CTGTCGGCCTCGACATCATTGCACACTTTTGATAGTTCTCAGAATCAGAACAACCGTTCATTGGTAGCCACAAGCTCCTTGTCAAATCATTGCCCTCCAATGCTGCCACGGCCCAAAAGTCATTCAAGCGACCCTATTCCTGGCGCGTTCTTGTTGACGCCTAATAACAGTCTTAACCCTCACACCGCCCACTTGTCGTCGGTCGCTATGAACATGAGTCGCAGACCCAGCCTGCCAGTGAACCATCCCCTTCTGCATCATCATCATCCAATGGAACGCCAGCGCAGCTACGATCCACGTCGTCAGCCACCAGGGTTCTACCTGCAGCAACAAGCGCTGTTGCAAGAACAGTTCGAGCAGCAGCAGCAGCAGCAAAGGCGGCTGTCACAATCAGATTTGCCACCAATGCCGGTATTACTCCAGCGTCAAGAAGCGGCACTCCCACAACAGCGTCCAGCGTTAACACCTCTCCTTCCGTCCCAGTCGATGTCTTCCCTGACCTCAACATGCACCATGGTCCCCAGCCTGTCCTCGAGGTCAATATCGTCTACACTCTCCTCTTCCACGCTGGCCACCATTTCCACGGCGGCGCGACACCCGCTATGGCAGTTGAATTGCAAGTCGTGTAAGACAACGTTGTGCGAACAAGCAATGCTTGGCCATCTGGCTGGAGACTCCGACAAGAAGTTGTTCTCCACCAACCTGGCCATTGGGTAAGTGTGGTTGCTAATTGATACTTATTGAAGAGCCCGCTTTATTCGTTTCTTTTTTCGTGTATGCAAGTGCAACAAGAAGGGATGGCATTCCTTGGTATGCAATGCGAATGGGCGTGTGTAATGAAGAAAAAAAAACGCGGAGAGGTGAGGAAGGAGGAAGAAGGTATGGGGGATTAAGAGGAGCCATAATTCCCCATCCCAACAGTCTATCCTGTCTGGATGGTTCTTTCTTTATAGCTGCTTTATATTTCCGCTTGCATGCGGTGTTCAGTAAGGGGGAAAGGGAAGAAGGGAATAGGAAAGTGGATGCGAATTGAAGTGATTATGGTGTTGTGGTGAATGGGTGTAGGAGTGAGGTCGGACCATCTATTTTTTCTTCTGTCGACCCATGTTCCTTCATATTCTAATTGCTTAACTGTCTTTGGATGTGGTTGTTACTTGTGTTTAGAGTGCTGGGACTTCCTGAACGTCCAGTGTTCATTCAATGTCCATGCAAGTTCCATCTCTTTGCTTGTGCAAGCTGGTAAGTTCGCATCTCCCCCTTTTGCTTATTTTCCCTGCCTGCATGTCGGTTTTTTCGTTCTCTTTGTGTGCGTGTGTATCCTTTTGGCCTCTCTCTCTCTAATCCGTCCTCTGTCTGTTAGCCCCCTTTTTCTATTTGGCCATCCCCTTCGGACCATTTTTTCTACATTTTCCTAACCAACAGACCATAAATGTATCCTTCTCTGTCCTCATCTCTCACTCACACACTGCCTTCACCGCCAATCCCCACTTTATTGAACCACTTCTTTCCCTTCTCACTCGCTCTCCTTTCTTCGTTGCGCCATGAGTCGACCCCTTTTCCTTCTCCTCTTCCGACACCCTATCCACACATACTCACACATTTACATCCCACTAACAAAATTAATTTATCTCTCCGCCTTATTTTTTTTCCGCCTTTGTTTAGTGGGAGCGTGTGTGGATACAAGCTGGAACAGACTTGTGCAGGCTGTGAGACGGATCGGGGGAACGGGCACTTTTGGATTTTTTATGCTAATGAGGTCGTGTCCCATTGGCGCAGGATCAGGGATGGAAATTACACTGTTACAACGGCAGCGACCACCACTACTGCATCAACATCGGAGGCAACAACATTGAATGAGAAGGAAACGACACCAACTGCAGCATTCAGCAAGGGGGAATCAGAGGGCCTGCGTCCACATCTGATTACTGTCTCTATGTCGCAGTTTGAACAGAGCGAGAATGTTACCCACTCAATGGACAAGCAAGCAAGAGGAGGTGGAGCCATAGGTGAGGTGGATGTGGCATTGGCCAAGTGTCATTTGGCGCGTGTTGAATGCGAAGGGGGCGATGAGGCGGAAGGACGGCCGATGTACTGGGACGATTTACCGACATGGCAAAGCCAGATCGAGGGCAATGTCGGACGGTAGACTTCTGAAGGTTGCATGATCCCTCAAAGGCTGGGCACTCTTTGCATCCTCTTCCTCCTTGGCCTAACTCTTCAGCCCGCCTTGGGAGAGGAGGGGGGTCTTGTTTTTTTTCCCTAGTACCCTGTTCTGGTAGTTCGTCCCATTTGTATATTTTCCCTCCTCCCACCCTTCCTCCCTGCTCTACCCTTCCCTTCCTTTCCTCTTTTTTTTTTCCCACAAAAACTTAATTTTCAGGGGTAGTGAGTGTTCTCGGTTCATTTTTGCATGACTATATTTTGTCCGTTTCTTTGTTTCCATTTCTCTCTTTTTTTTTTTTACGTCGTTGCGCTTGCTTTTTGCCCTTGGCTTATTCGCCTGCATGCTTGCTTGCTTGTTTTTTTTTTTTTTTGTTTTTTTTGTTTCGTCCCCTCCTCTGTTAGTTGTTATTGTTCTGTTTAGCGTTGAGTTTGTTTGTAAAATTGGAGTAGTGCAAGCGTGAAGAGGAATAAAGAAACGCGTATTGATCACCGTACTTTGAAAAAAGAAGGCAAGAAAGGAGGATGCCTGATTATGCAATGCATAGGTGTTTCAATAAGGCTCGAGAGGTGGGAGGGAAGAGAAGGGTGCCCCGAAAGAGAAACAACAGCGGTCGTGAGGTCGGAAAAAAATTGGAAGCATCGTTGTCCCTTGCTTCTTCCCGTGCGCCATATCGGTGACGCGTCTTGAGCGCGATTAGCATCAAAGGGCGATAAGTCGGGGATCGAAAGGGAGAGGGCGAATGAAGGTAAAGAAATAAAGGGTACAGACACCGCCGTCTTTTGATTCCTCTCCCCTCGCTTACTCGCCAGACCATAAAATACACGCGACTCGCTTTCTTCTCACTTCACTTTTCACCATGCGCTCACTTCCTCTCTTCCTCTTAAATAACCTTGTACCACTCATTGCGACTCACATTCGCCTAGACTTCGCTCTTCTCTTCTTCTCATCCACCACTCGAAAGACAATATAGAAAAATCGGTTCGAAAAAAGCGAATGAAACCACCACCGAGTCTGAAAAGTGTCACATATCATGGCCACACCCTCTAATGTTCCATGACCGTGCTTTCTAACTGTACTGTACAATGGTCTTCTTGTAATATCGGCAATAACACTACTCTACCCAGAAAGAGTGAGAGAGAGTGAAAGTTATGTGACATGTGAGAGGGTGGGTATTAAAAGAGAAGGTCGTTTGTTTTGATCGGCGAGGTCGTAGAGTGAAGAAATACGGCTGTATGGTTAGCACACTTTTTTTTTTTTTTTTTTTTTGTTCAGATGCGTTTTTCATTTTGCAACCCTTCATACTTCCTACTCTTCATTTCATTTTCCTTCTTTTCGCTCTTTTTCTCCAGCCTTCTCTTTCTCACATTGACCATCCTTCTTTCTCTTGTCCCTTCCATGCCCCTTCCTTTTGGTCTCACCTGTGTGTATTTTTAGTTGTGGTTTTTGGCATCACCAAAAAAAAAAAATAAAGATTACGAAAAGTGCACACCCCTCTTATTTAAACCATCTTTACCCTTCGCTCACATTAATTTTACAAGAGGTCACACAGACATGGGTCAAGAGACATCTTGATGAGGGAGGAAGGTGTGATGCCTAACCGCCTGGAAGTGGATCGACCTATTGTTGATTGTCATCTTTCTTTCAGTGAAAGAGGGGGCATCATTGTGTGCACTGAGTCCTAAGCGTCATGGCCGAGATTATAATTATCGAGGGCTTTAACCTCTTCCTTATTTCCTCCCAGGCTTACTCTCTTTCTAACTTCCCATCCTTACCTTCTTTTCTCCTCTCTCATTTTGGATGACAACAAAGCTAGATCTGTTGCATTGTGTCGATTGATAGCTACATAGACACACTGCTGTATGAGCTGTTTGTGACACAAAAAGGTGGGTTTAGATTTAGGCACATTTTGCAAACTCTGTAAGTGTGCACTGGCAATGAATGAAGATCATCAAAAAAAGAGCGTCGATCCCTCTTTCAAAATAAAAAAATGTCTCTCACTCCTTTGCTGTTCTAATCAGTTGCCTGATAGATGATAGCCTTGTTAGTTTCATAAAGTATACATCATTTATCATTGATCTATTCCCTCTTGGAGAGTACATGCTATTGACAGCACAACAAAACAATTGTCCTCACAGACCTAGGACATCCCTCCTTCCCTTTCCTTGTCCTGCATCCATCCCCAGCCAAGGGTATCTTTCTCTTTTCTATCTCCTGTTCAAAACGCCGTCACACGTCTCCGCTTGCTCCAACAAACTCCTCCCGAAGAGGGCTGCAGATCTGCACCTTCCGTCTTGAAATTAGTGCTTCTGTGCCATGCCCCTCCCTATTCGCAGTTCCAGCTCCAGAGAAGTGTGGGTGGTGGGTAAACTAGAGTGAGAAGGCCAACGAATGACCAATGTGAAGGTAATGTAGCCTGCCAGGTGTAAGACGAAACACAAAAAGTCAAAAAGTTTCGACACAAAGAAGGACTGGGTAAGAGTTCTTCCCGAGAATCCCTGAACAAAAAAATAATAGAAAAGGGAGTTCGAAAAAGGAAGTTGCCAGAGTAAGACGTGACGTATGTAAATAACATTTACTCCCAAGAACTCCAGTCCCATCCTTCGCCCGCTGCTGCCCGCAGTCGAATAATCTTTATTTTTTTCATAGTTTCCACACGTACATTTGTCAGACAACGATGAAAGAGAACAATACTCCGATCTCCAAAGCCATCCCCGATCTCTCGCTTTTTGTTGCTACGTATAAAAGGACGTCCTTACCCCTATTCTTTTTCCTCATTCTTCACTCTTCATCCCTCTTTATACCCTTGTACAAAAATACACTCCAAGGAACTACCACCATGGAGGCCACACCAACAACAACGATAGCAACCACAACAGCAACATCAACTTCATCACCACCGTACGACGCTGGTGGTGCACTCGACATCCCTCCTTCGACCACCGCCTCGACTATCGAAGTTAGCATCCATGGTTTTGACTCCAACGAAAAGTCCATTGGTGACAACAAGCTAGAGAGCGACCTTGAACAGCAGGATAGGCCTTCCAACCACACACCAACTGGCATCCATCGCTTTCTTTTGCTCCTTGGGTATGTCTCCTCAATTATATGCATTGGTTGCCTCAATGCAAAAAAAAGAAAAAGAAAGCTAGCCACCTAACATCTCCTCTTCCCGTTTTATTTATTACTTCAGTCTCTTCTTAGGATGCATCTTGGAAGCACTGGACAACACGATCGTCGCCACCGCCTTGCCCCAAATCTCCTCCGACTTCAACGCCCAATCTCAGATGGCATGGATCGCAACCGCATACCTTCTCGCATACACCGCCTTCCAATCCCTCTACGGTCGCTTCTCCGATATCTTTGGCCTCAAGACCATGTACCTCGGTGCCAGCGTCATCTTTCTCATCGGATCCATCGGCTGTGGTGCCGCTTCGTCTATGATCATGCTAATTATTTTCAGAGCCGTCCAGGGAATCGGTGGAGCAGGATTGTTGTCGATCATGATGATCATGGTTTCGGTCATGTTTGACGACATCAATGAGCGCGCCCGATACCAGACTCTGGGGTATTGGCGTTTGGTATTTCGGGCATCTGTGGGCCCTTGCTCGGAGGTGTCTTTGTTGAGCATTCGACTTGGAGATGGTGTTTCTACATGAACATCCCCATCGGCGTCTTTGCCGTGCTCCTCGTCTTCAAGTTCTATCAGATCCCCTTTGAGCGCACCGAGACCTTGCAGAAGAAGCTGAGAAGAGTCGACTACTTCGGAGTGTTGATCACCATCGGTGCTGTCTTGTGTCTACTTCTGCCACTGAACTGGGGTGGTACCGCCTACGCCTGGAACTCTGCCGTCATCATTTCGCTCTTCTTCGTCATGGGCGTCTTGATCATCGTCCTCGTCTTTGCCGAACAGCGTGCTGCAGAGCCCATCATCCCTATGTACCTCTTCCTCAATCGTGAAGTCGCCCTCCTCGTCACCGTCAACTTCCTCACCGGACTCATCTTTAACGGCTGTGGCTTCTACATACCCCTCTACTTCCAAGTCGTCCAAGGCACATCCGTCACCGACTCGGGTCTCCGTCTCATGCCTGCTGTCCTTGGCGCCGTCTTCTCAACCGGCTCATCCGGCTTCCTTCTCGCCAAAGTCAAAGACTACCGCCGTTTCATCACCCTTGGCGCTGCAACCCTCACCCTCTCCGTCGGTCTCTTTATCATGTTTGATGAGAATACCTCTCTCGCAAAGCAACTCATCTTTGTCCTCATCATGGGACTTGGTCAGGGATTCATCTACCAGAACTGTGTCCTCGCCTGTCAGGATTGCACCGAAGCCAAGGACATGGCCGTCGCTACTGGATTCGTCGTCTTTATCAACAATATCGGAAACGCCGTCGGTGTCGCCGTCTGTGCCTCTGTCATCAACAACTCGCTTACCACCACTCTTGCAAAACTCCCAGAGTCCAGTCAAGCTGTGTTCCGCGAGTTGAACGTGATTGAGAACATCAATGTGATCTTCACGTTGCCTGAAGCGTTGAAGGCGGAGGTTGTGCATGCGTATGCGTTGTCGTTCAGGACGCTGTTTACTATACTGACGCCGATGATCGGACTTGGGTTCGTGTTGTCGCTTTTTGTTAGACGCAGAGGATCCCTTGCCAGGAAGGAGTAATTATTTTTTTTCCAGTCATTTGCATTTTGCATTTTTTTTCTTATACCCCAGCCCTACTCTTACCATCGCATTTTTTTTTCGTGCCTAATTACCTTTTTCAAAAGAGAGCTTAATACTCATGCTTAATTCACATGTCCGGCTCAAAATAAATCATTGAAGAAAAAAGAAAGTTGTAGTCTCCAACATGTTGATCCTAGTTATGAAGAAACATCATAAGCTGAGGTGACCAAGACCAAAAAAAAAAAAGACAGCGGTCGTATTACAATCTAACAAGGATGACATTGTCAACCAATGCCACGTTGACTCCTAGGATTGCTCTTGTGCCATATTTTGTTCAGTATTAATATGCTCTATGTTATCTATGATTGTAATGTCGCGAACACTTCCCTTCCCTGCCGATGTGATACCTGTCTACTCAAATAACAGTAACAGGAGCAGCGGCCGACTCAACCTCACGTCGCTTATTGTATAACGCCCTCGCCTTCTCATAACTGGCCGAGTAAGCAGCCGGCACAGTCCCCTTATCCTCAATCTCCGGCAGATACCCACACCGCAGCCGGTTCTTGACCATGCCCTTCAGAAAGATTCTCCACAACCAGACAGGCATATACTTGGTAATCAAGAAGGCGATTGTTCCTGCGAGTCCTTTTTCCATGCTCTTAGCGAGGGATCGACTGCTGTTGAAGGCCGCTGTCACGGGTGGAAGTCGCTCGGTTTTGTACTCTGAAAACATTTGTGAGACGTCTGCTGTGCTCGTGGAGGGCAGACAGTAGATCAGGTTTGCTAATGCGATCGCGTCGTGCATCGATGTTACCGCACCTGCGGAAAAAAAATAAAAATGAATTGGAGGTATTGGCGGTTAGGCGAGAAGTACCTCAGCGAAATTATCCAAGGCATTTTTCGTCCTACAGCAAAAGCGAGGAGAAGATATTTTGGGAAAACACATACCAAGTCCACCAGCGGGATGCAACTTGTGGCACGCTATGAAAAGCAAGTAGGTAAGAGTAAAACAGATAAGTTGGCGTATATCCCAAACAAAGAGCAACAGACACGACCCAGCAGCAATTTTACGTACCATCGCCAAGCAAGACGGTGCGACCATGGTACCATGTCTTGAAGACCTTCTCTTCCAACATAACCTTAGAGATTAACTCCTTGGGTGTCCTGTCGTACAAGTCACCAAGGTTCATCTTGCCATTGCCAAAAGCGATCGGGAATTCGCGCGTTTCGTCACACATGCTCTGGGCAGCGGTGGGACCCCACTCCGAGTTTTCCGAATTCCTGAATCTCTGTTCCTGGGCCGTCTTTGTCGTTTCGCTCGAAAGATGCTCCACGACCATCCAGGCTATCTTTTTCTCAGCGGTTCCGAATAAAACCCACTTTTTTGGCAAGTTTTGGAGGTGAAAAGGTGAAAATAGAAGGGTCAATATCGTGCTCAGGTTATTCGCCTATGCGCTCAACAATGATACACGTATCAATGGCAGAGCATACACTTACAGAATATGGCTTGTCATTCCCCAAGGTGCTGATGAATGGATAAAGAGGGTCCTTCAACTGCGGGAACTCTTCCAGGTCCAACGCCTGAGTCTGTCCCACAAGACAGGTACAGCTGAACGGCAACTCCTCTTGATCCGATTTGGGTAATTTCCCCTCCTTGTGCAACGTATCGTACAATCGCTGACGGACGGCACTGTAGGCTCCATCGGCGCCCACCAGAATGTCGCCCTCGTAAACTGCATTGTCGGAGGTTTGAATGGTGACCCTCTGGTTGTCCTCTGTCTGCTTTGTCATGAGGACGCGTTTGCCAAATTGGATCTTGTGTGGTGGGATTAGCTTCACAAGGATGTTGTAGAGTAGAGGGCGGGGCACAATGTACTGAACCTCTCCTGAGCTAATAGTAAGAAAATAAAATAAAATAAGAGGATTGTGTTGGTTGTAAGGCATAATGCCGCGACAAAAAATTAGTTGTTCGTGCAAGAGTGAAATAGTGTGCTTACAACTCTTCGCGGGGCAAGAAATCCAATGAGTATCCAAATGTCGATTCCTTCCAGGTCTCGCCAACGATAGATCTTTTCCCGATTGCAACAAACTCATCATAGCAGCCCAATTGACGAAAGACAGGAATCAGAGCCGATCCGATACTCATAGCGGAACCTACAGTGGACGATGTCCAAAAGGGCAATTTGTTAGCGCGTTTGAGTTTGCTTTGTTTGTTGTTTGTTGCTGTTTGTCGTTTGCTTGTTGTTGTTTGTTTATTGTGTGTGATCTTTGTCTACTGTCCCGTGCTTGCGAACAGAGGGGACTTTAGATTTTTTTTGTTTACCAAGGGGCTTGACGCTAGAGGCACGTTCGAAGATGGTGTAAGAGATGTTCGCCTTTTCCAAAAGGGCTCCAAGCAACACGCCTCCCAAACCGGCGCCGACAATAAGGACACTGGGTTTGTTGGCCTCGTCTGACATTCGCGATGAGAGGAAGGGAAAATGTTAATGCAGAGAAGAGTGATGGAGGAATGAGGAATGAGAGATGTCGGAATCGCAGGCGAGAGAGAGTAATGGCAGAGAAGATGTGAAGGTGGGGGGAGAAAGGGTGTAAGCAAAGGAAGAGGAGATTGAGGGAGAAAGACAGAGGAGGGATGGGAAGTGAGAGACTACAGTCTAGTTCTCCATTATATGGCGCAACTAGAGCTGCTCTGTGAGAAGCATACATGAGCCTTGTTTTTTTCAGTTGCTTTCCCGGGAGACTCTGGATCCGACTAACCTTAATGCTGCATGGAAGGGATAGAAAAACCTTGATTCGATCTCTTTTCTTTTTCTGTCCATTTTGACCCCCGACTCAGGGAGCAATTACACATGACTGTCCCCACCTTCTCTCCTTTGGGCTGTATGCAGACCTTTACTGGCGCGAGACAGAGGAACATCCCTTCCAGCATGCAATATCATTTTCAATCCTTTCGCAGCATGCACTAACATGGGCTTCCACTTGGTATATCCGGAGTCTCTTTCATTTGAAGATCGTTTTGTTTGAGATTGCATTTTAATGGAAAGTGAGAGGACTACTGAAAGTGGAGATGCAATGAGATGATGGGAGGGAGAAAGGGATAGGTTAATAAATTGTGAACTGTAGCACATCTCCCCTCTTTGTGCGGGGAATTGGGATTTACTACTCCGCCTACCTCTTCGATGCATGGGTAAAAATATTCCTGCTTTGATTTTTGGAACCCCATCCTGGCACGAACGAACAAACAAAAATGAAGAAGACAACGACTTTGGCTCATTCCATTGCAGGTGACCAGTAACGCTACAAGCACTAATCAAACGAAGAGTACTCTCGCCCTTTCATTAGACATCGTCTTCGCCCATTTTTCAGGTACGAACTGATACCGGGATTCACCTTTTGAACAATCACCAATCACCAGAGGCAGCTCATTTCCTGCCCCACGAAAGACTGCGGCAAAAGATGAATGATCTCATAAATGCACTTTATATTTTGTTTCTACACCACTTGCTTCCTTCCCATTGCATTAGACGGCGACAGTGATTTGATGTGCTCGCTGCTGTTGGTTCTTAAAGACGGCCCTCGCCTTGTTTTCACTCGGCGACGGAACTGGCTTAACAGTGCCTTTGATAGCAACCCGCTCGAGAAATCCTATTTGCGGACGGAACTTTACTGTGTTGGCCAGCTTTTGTGAACAGCAAACAGCGGCACGAAAGGTAACGGGGCAGTTAGTGTATCGTGTTATCGCAACGGTAATCGTCCATGATCCCATGAAAATGGGATCATGGACGGGAGCATGCAAAAAAAGAAAACGTACCACGAGTCTCCACATCCACTGGGGCATTTTGGTCATGAGGAAAAGAGAAAACGCGCCGGCGAATCCACTATCGATGATTTTTCCCAACATCTTGCTGCTTTTGTAGCAAGCTATCGCCGCAGGGTAACGTTCGCTTTTGTATTCTTCAAAGATCCTGGTGATATCCTGTGATGTTCTTGTTGGCATGGCGTAGATGAGGTTGGAAAGCGCCATGGCATCGTGCATCGCTGTAATTGCGCCTGTGTAAAGTTGAGAGGGGGAAGAAAGGAAGTTGAGTTAGATTGTAGGTAGCATGGTACCGTGTGTACCCCTGTACATTTCATAGCGACGAGAAGACAGATCAGTCAATGCATTACCCTGTCCTCCACTTGGGTGCAGCTTGTGACATGCTATCAGGTAAAGAGAAAAGCGAGACATGTTAACTCGGAAACCCAAGGACGGAGCATGCAATCTGAAAGAAAACATGGAAGTCGAAAGAAAAACATACCATCGCCAATTAGGACGAAGCGCCGGTGGTACCAGGTCTTGAACACTTTCTCCTCGAACATGACCTTGGACGTGTTCTCCTTGGGTGTCAAGTCGTACAGGTCTCCCATGGTCCGTTTTTTCCCGTCGTTGAGCTCAAGAACAAAGTCCCGTGTCTCGTCGCGCATTGATGGTCCCGGAATGTCTCCCCAGCTAGAGTTTTCGTTATTCCTGAATCGTTGCTGTGCGGCTTCCTTGCTTGCCTGTTTGCTGAGTTGATTTGTAACGAACCAACAAAGACGCTTGTCAGACGTAGACAGTACAGACCACTAGAAAACAGGAAGAGAAGAAACAAAGACATCCTGCTGGTTAAGTCTTTCAGTCTCTGCCACACCGTGATTTCATTATGATAAGTGTATGCGTACCTGTACTTACAGTGAACGGTTTGTTGTGGCCATAGACAGTGAAGAACTGCGAATCCGGAACATCGACAATAGGAAACTCTTTTGGATCCAACGGTCTAGTCTGACCGACTAGGCACGTGCAACTGAATGGGAGCTCCTCATTGTCCTCAGAAGGCAAAGCGCCTTCGGACTTCAGTTTCTCGTACAACCGTTGGCGGACCGCACTGTAGGCTCCATCAGCACCGACGACAATTTCTCCCTCATACACGCCATTGTCGGACGTCAGCACTGATACAATGTCGTCCTTCTCGGTGATGTTGAGGACTCGCTTGCCGAAATGGATCTTGTCGGCAGGGACCAGTTTGAGGAGTAGGTCATACAATGCTGAGCGAGCAACGACGTAGTGCAAGTATCCAGTACTACAAAAGAATAGGGAAAAAAACGTTGGTTAACCTCCAAACACCATGTCATAAACAAGGAACAGATAATGGGAACCAGAGACGGACTGAGGTAGAAAGAACGGAAGAGAGGTGGTTGATGTAGCTTACAAGTCCTCAATGGGTTTGGTGTCGGTGGGTCTGTATTTCTCTAGCGATTCCTTGTAGTTTTGCGTGCAGTAAATTTTTTTTCCAATGGCAAGGAAGTCATCATAGATCCCGAGCTGCTGGAAGGTGGGGAGGATGCCGGGGCCAATCAACATTCCTGCACCTATGTACGAATAAAAGGGAGGTAAGGAGGGGCTAGTGTGAGTTGTCGTTTGTGGAGAATTGTTGTAAGATGAATGTCTGGCCGTAGTATGGTCGAATAGACTCAGGTCGTACCGACGGGTTTTGCTTTGGCAACGCGCTCAAAAATGGCGTATGGAACCCCGCTCCTCTCCAGAAGACCTCCGAGCATAAGCCCTCCTAGACCTCCGCCCACAATAAGGACTCTTGGCTTGCTGGTTGTTGACATGGTTTACGCTGATGTGGACAAGGGTGGGGGAAGTGAAATGTATATGAAAGAAAGAGGGGAGCGAATGTGTGATAAACGAAAAGGAAAAATAGTTAGTGGGAGTGAAGTTGGCAAGGAAAGAGAAAAAAATATAAAAAGAAGAGGAATAAGGAGATTAAGATTAAGGCGAGTCCACTGTCTTTCTTCTGTCCTTTCCACACTTGTGCGACATGAGCATTTTTTTCCCATGCGGGATAACTGAGGAAAACCATACTAGCCAACAGACAGACATGCTCATCTCCTTCTATCTCAATCCCTTGTACGTCCGTTTTATGAAAGTCGACCATTTGACACGACCTTCCAAAACTGAACTTCGGACTTTTGGAACATACTATTCTTGAGGAAAATATGTCCTGGAAGACGAACCAACGGAGGCAATGAATAGAGAATAAAGAGAAGGGGATCGGTTGAACCTACTACTACTCTTTCTTACTCTTCCTCTCTCTCTTTATCTCCCTCTCTCTTTCTCTTCCTCACTCTCTTCCTCTCCATCTCTCTCTTTCTCTTCCTCTCTCTTCCTCTTCCTCTCTCGTTTCTCTCGTCTTCGTTGCATGGAGAATAGCAGTGCCGTAATTTCTTCTCGATTTTGAGAGCACTCTTCTTTCTTTTTTCCATGTCCATGGTTAAGCAATTTCCTTTCGTTCTCTCAAGACACAACCATTGTGTGTAATCAAAACAGGCCCCTTCCGTAACGCACAGCGGCCAAGTTCTTGTGGCAGGCACCACTGCTGTCTTTGCGGAATGATATGATCAAGCATAACTCTTCTTACTCAAGACAGGCAACAGGTTAGTTTTCAGCAAGAGAGACTAAAGAAAGAACAAAAACAAAGGAGGATAGTCACTCCAGCGGCTCTTGAATTTTACATGCTCCCTCTCTCCTTTTCCTCCCTCTTTCATTGAAAGATGCATTAGCGCTGTGCAACCAACTCTTTTTGTGAGCAATCGTTTTCCTTGTTCAGAAACCACATTGAGCGGATGATGATGAGATGAGTGTTTACTATTGGCCCTTCGTTATTTCCCAACATAGCACAGATGATCTTCTTCCTTCCATCAGACGGTGGCGGCATTCTCCAGTTGCTCTTGTTGCGGCTGTTGGCGCTTCTCGAAGACGTCTCTTGCTCTTTGTTCGCTTGGCGAGACGACTGGCACCACTGAACCTTTCATCTCCGTAGCTGGTAGGAACCCGACCTGCGGCTTAAAGCGAGCCATCTTGGCAAGCTACAGTGACAAAAAGTCAGCAAAGAAAGCGAACACGACTGGTTAGTTGACTCTGCAATTTAGTGATCGCTATCCATTCGATACTCAACATATACAAACAAAAACAAGAAACACGTACCGCGATTCTCCACAACCAAGCCGGCATATGTACAATTAAAAAACGGAAAAGAGCACCCACGAATCCTCTCTCAGCGATCCTACTGAACTGTTGGCTGTGATGGAAGGATTCCATAACTGCGGGGTATCTCTCCGTATGGTAATCCTCAAAGATCCTGGTGATGTCTGCTGAAGTTTTTGTAGGCATCGCGTAGAGCAAGTTTGCGAGCGCGATGGCATCATGCATTGCTGTCACCGCGCCTGTAAGAGAGAATTGCAGTTGAACGGGAAAAAAAGTTCTCATTAGCATGTTACTTTGATTCGGTCTGCGATTCCTGTTCCTGACACACATTGAAAATGAAGAAAACTTACCATGTCCTCCAGCAGGGTTCAGTTTGTGGCAGGCTATAGAAAAGCGTAAAGAAAACAATGACTTACTTAGCCATGTGTTCTAAAGGCGAATATCTGTCTCAAATGCCCGCAACTGGACACTTACCATCGCCTAACAAGACGACACGACCAGAGTGCCAAGTGTCAAAGACCTTTTCCTCCAGCATGACCTTGGAGATGATCTCTTTGGGCGTCAGGTCATAGATATCACCGAGTGTCATCTTTCCATCTCCAACAGGAACAGGAAAGTCCTTGGTCTCATCGCACATGACTTGTGCAGGATAGGCGCCCCATTCTGCGTTGTCGTTGTCCCTGAATCGTTGTTCCATCGCTGCCTTGCTCGTTTTTTCCGACAAATGGCGAATGACCGTCCAACAGAGCGTGCCTTGGGCTGTACTTAAGAGGGACCACTTACACGGTAAGCGAGGGAAGAGGGGAAGGTTAGGCAACGTTATCCAGCCTTGCTTTCACAAATCGATATTCAGTTCATGTTCACTTACAGTAAAGGGCTGTTCATCTCCGTTAGTGATCAAGAACTGGCAATGAGGCTCCTTGACAATAGGATACACCTCAGGGTCTAACACCTTGGTCTGTCCAACAAGACATGTACAGCTGAATGGCAGGTCTTCCTGGTCGGCTTTAGGTAAGTTGCCCTCGGTCCTCAGTTTCTCGTACAGGCGCTGACGCACAGCGCTGTATGCGCCGTCCGCTCCCACAATGATGTCGCCTTCATGGATACCATTGTCGGACGTGAAGACCGTGACCTTGTTGTTCTCCTCGCTGATATTCAGGACTCGCTTGCCGAAGTGGATCTTGTGGGCTGGAACTTGTCTGAGAATGAGGTCATAAAGGATGGGGCGGGAGACAATATATATCCCATAGCCTCCACTAAATCATGATAAAGAAAAAAGTACTGTTATAACCATGAATGTCAAAGGAATTGTGCTTGGAGGTCAAAGAAATGGGCAAGAAATCTACGATTGCAAAGAGAGTGGACTTACAACTCTGTAATCTGACTGTAGTCGTTCTCATTCTGGAACGTTAGCGACGTCTTTGTGACCTTGTATCCTTTGGCAAAGGACAAGTACTTGCCGATGGTAAGAAACTCCTCGTAGATGCCTAGCTGTTCGAACACAGGAAAGAGGGTTGGGCCCACGGCCATCCCCGCACCTAAATGCAAAGTAAAAACACAGAGAACTATAGCGTTAGTGACAAGCATACCTCGAGCAATAGCCACTGTAGCAACAGAAGAGAGTGACAAAGTAGCATACCAAAGGGCTTGACAGTGGCTGCGCGCTCAAAAATGGTGTATGGTACGCCAGACTTCTCGAGCAGAGCGCCAAGCATTAATCCCCCCAGACCGGCTCCGACTATCAAGATGGTGGGTTTGTCGTTGGCTGACATCAAGTGTTACTATCAGCGGGAAAAAACGTGGGAAGGGGTGTCGGGTTGTCGAAAGAATGAAAATGAATGGAATGAAAAAAGTGAGAGATGAAAGAGATTCGAGATGAGGAAATGAAAAGAAAAGAAAGAAAAAGTATCTTCACCCGTTCCTCAACGCCCTCCTCTCAATCACACTTGTGCAACCATGTCCATGGTTGAGCATTTTCTTTCCCGCTTCAATAGATGAAGGCAAGTAAACAAAAACACTTGAACGCCCAAAAGCAGTTTCTCCCTACTCCTTAACTGCCTGTCGGAACGAGGTGGTCTTTGGGGCATGATATCGAGCATTACCCTTCTTGCTGAAGAGGGCTACCATGATGGCAACATGTATTCGTTTCAACCGAGAGGCACAAAAGGGAGAACGAAGATTGACACTCCAACGGCTCTTAATTTTTGTCTGCTCTCTTCCCTTCCTCCCTCTGTTCTACGGTGTCTAATTGCGCTGTGCAACCAAGTTTCTTTGTGAGCAGATTTATTCGTATTCCCGTTCTTATCTGTCCCTGGCGTGTTCAGGCGGAAACCAAAAAGCGGTCACGAACTACCCGAACAAACTATGGTCGTCCCGATTACAAGCCCACGCACACCTCTCCCTTAGATAGAAGCAACCGTGTCTTGGAGTTGCATCTCATAAACAGCCCTGGCCTTTTGTTCGCTGAGGGAGGTTGCAGGCTTGATATTGCCCATGACCTCAATCGCCTTCAGGAAGCCCGCTTGAGGTCGGAATTTGACAGTGTTGGACAACTTCTCGAAAGAATACAGTGTAAAATGGAGTAAGCGAGTTAGCTACATCGCTATCACCTGGTCATCGTCCATCCCTTTATCTGAAATTCAAAGAAAAACAAGAAAAATGAACGTACCACAATCCTCCACAGCCATGTGGGCATGTGGGTCATGATGTAGAGGTATATTGCGCCGAAGATACCACGTCCGAGGATATTGCTGATTCCTTGACTGTAGTTGAACGCCTCCATCACCGCCGGGAGTCGCTCTTTTTGGTACTCGTTAAAGACTTTTGTGACATCCTGGTTTGTCCTTGTAGGCATGGCGTACAGCAGATTGGCGAGTGCTAGGGCATCGTGCATCGCCGTGACAGCGCCTATGGGTTGAAGAATAATGGATCGAAAGGTCATTAGCATTTTCTCTTTTGTATTCTCCTGTTCGTACTAATTGCGGAAAGGAAAGTGCACATACCTAGTGCTCCTGCGGGGTTCAGTTTATGGCAAGCTACGTGGAGGGAACAGACGGAAAGACTACATGTCAACCATCGAGATCTACCGTGTGTGGAGATAAGTACATTGCGCAATACGATAACTTCCTTACCATCGCCGATAAGAACAGTCCTTCCCGAGTACCACGTCTTGAACACCTTCTCCTCCAACATGACCTTGGAGATTAGCTCTTTGGGCGTACGATCAAATAGATCTCCAAGGGTGTGCTTCTTGCCCTTCTCCAGAGGAATAGGAAAGTTCCTGGTCTCCTCGCACATGACCTGGGCAGGGTAAGCGCCCCATTCCGCATTGTCGTTGTCCCTGAAACGCTGTTCCATAGCTGCTTTACTTGTTTTCTCGTTTAAATGATGAACGACATACCAAGCTAACCGGTTACTTGAGGTAGACATTACTGTCCACTAAAAGAGAAACCGACGGGGTAGCATTATGAGTGAGCGCCTTCTGATTTTCAATTATTTTCCTCAATCGAACTGTAGCTTGTTTTTTACTTACGGTAAATGGCTTATCTTTTCCTAGCATAGCGAGGAACTGACAGTACTGCTCCTTAACAATGGGGAACTCTTCAGGATCAAGAGACTCGGTCTGACCAACCAAACAGGTGGTGCTGAAGGGGAGATCCTCATGGTCCGACTCGGGTAGCTCTCCTTTGACCTTCAATTGCTCGTACAACCTCTGCCGAACTGCACTGTAAGCTCCATCGGCTCCTACAACGATATCGCCCTCGTTCACGCCATTGTCGGATGTGTAGACCATTATCTTGTCCTCCCCCTCGACGATTTTAAGTACACGCTTCCCATACTGGATCTTGTGGGCGGGGACCAGCTTGAGGAGGATTTCGTACAGCTTGGGTCGAGACACGACGTAGTTGTAATATCCAGTGCTAAATATCAAGTCACAACATAAGTATTCAGCAATCCACATTTCCAAGGAGAAAAGCAAAAAGGTAGATAGTGGAGGAGAGGAGGACTTACAACTCGTGGACTAGGTTGACGTCGGTCGGTTTATAGGGCTCCATCGATTCCTTGTAGTAAACGCAGTGGTCCATCCTCAGTCCGATTGCAAGGAGATCGTCATAGATTCCAAGCTGCTGGAAGGTGGGAATAAGGGCAGGGCCCACTATCATACCAGATCCTATCATGCAAAGGAGGACAAATGTATGACGAGTGAGTACATCTATGTCACTTCCATTTGTGAAAGTGGGTATGAGTACATTACATCCTTGGTACTGCTTGCATGGGGAGTCGAAAACCGGGAACCGTACCGACTGGCTTAACAGAGGCTGCACGTTCAAATATGGTGTACGGAACATCGCTCCTCTCCAAAAGGCCGCCAAGGAAGAGACCTGCCAGGCCTGCACCCACAATGAGGACTCTTGGTTTATCGGTTTTATTCATTGTTGGTGCTGAGGTGATAGTAAGCTGGGAAGGTTAATGTAGATGAATGAATGAGATGGTTGAATGGAATGGAATGGAATGGAATGAGTAAAGGAAGATGAGGATGTAGATGAGGGAGGACAACGGAAGGAAAAAAAGAGGTGCCGTCCTTTTTTCCTTTGAACATTTGTTTATGCAACCATGTCCAGCTACTTCACCCTCTTCTGTTATCAAGGCAAGAATATAAGTAAACAAGCCAAGCCCCCTCCTCTATGTACTACTTCTGCATCCAAGAAGGGTCCCTTCTTTCTTCCTATCACTTCTCTCTCGGCGACAGGGATTGGCGCAATGGACCACACTTTTCTTTTGTGAGCAATTTTTCTCTCTCATTTACTTTTCCCGTGCATGCACTACACAACTAATCAAACCGACAATGGCACTACATGGTGTGCCTCTCCATTGTTCTCGTCTAAACCCTGTCGAACTTTCTATCTCAGCCTGTGACCCTCAGTCTCTCTCTCTCTCTTCACATATCCCCTTCAGTTCGTATGTGTAGATCGACCACATTTTCAGCAATCATAACGAACAAAATCAGGGACACCTTCACAAAGGGTACCCAGGAACTGCCTTCAACTGCTCCACGTTCTTCTCTCTTTCTCTCCCTTCTTTGAACAACTCCTTATTCTTTCCTCGAATTTCTTTATCTCGCCATTTTTTGTCTCTCCTCTCTTTCTTCTTTCCTTCCTTACTCTCCTTCTCGCTACATAATGTACATACCACACACTTTAACTACCCCTCTGGGATGACGAAGAAGATGGTTCGCTCTATCCTCTTCAACCCTATTCCTGTCCTGGGACTCCTCATCCTCCCCGTTTTTTTTCAATCCCGCCCTCAAGGTAACCACTCACTTGAAGCATGGAAGACGGAGGAGACGAGACGTGAACAGAAGGCGCCTTACTACTCAAATAAACAAGAGTATTTTTTTCTGTGAAGTGCTCCCTGTCTCCACGTGCGTGGAGAGTAGGAGCATGACATGGCGCCGCATAGCGGTACTTAATTGTATGCGTTTGTGCAAAACGCCGACAGCAGCGATGACAGCAGGAACAATTACAGGAGTGACTAAGTGGATCTCGCTCCCCTCTCATTCCTTTTGACATTCATCATTGACACCGAGGGAAAAAAACGCTGAATGTAGCAACAGAAACTAACCCCTCCTCCTTACTCCCCGCCTCGTCCTCCTGCTCAAATAAAAAATTTCCTCCACTTCTTTAGCCGTTATCTCAGCACGCATGTACTAGGGGTGTCCCGTAGATAAAACCCCTCGACAGAGACGTGTTGATTATGGGCGGGATCTACCAAGAGGTGACACCGATTGGGCGTCGAGTCCATGCAGAGTCCTGGGTATGACTTGATGCCTGTTGCACGGTGTCTTGGCGATGGCGATCCCAGGCTGTGGTTTAAGAAGGTAGTTGTTCCCGCTGCTATTGAGGACATGACTAGAAATTGTCATCTATAAACTATTGTCACCACCGACGGTGAAGACTTCTTCGCCGGCTCTTTTGCCTGAAGTGACACAAACACACACAACACACTCTTACCTCTTCAAAGTCAACCCGTACATAGCCCCTCTTTCCTTTTCTCCTTCTCCTCATTTCCGGGCATTCTTCGCGCATAGCGCAAGGTCTCTTTAGACAAACAACAAGCTGTCATCTTCTTTATATATATCCTTGAACAGTACATAGGTTCATTCACATCTCACAAATCAAATCCACATTATTTCTCTTACAAAAACGTAATTGGAATGTGCTTGTTCATCTTGATTGCTTGCCGCATGCCGGAGACAAGAAAAGCAGGGTGTTCAACCAAGACAGCGAAAGTAGGTAAGAGGAGTTAGGTAGGAGGAGAGGGAGGGAAGTACAATAGTAATTCGATAGCACAAACAACGTAACATGCTCCTTCAACGAAATCCACACCGTGACATTCAGCTTAATATCATTTGATTTCGCCAACACTAAAGGAAATCGGAGCGACATAGGATGGACATGAGAGGGACATGGGAGGGACATGGGAGGAGCTTCGATAAACATACGGCACAGTAAACCTTTAAGTACATTTCCTTTTTGAGAACCCTGTCAACCACCCCTCTAGTTACACACGCACACGGCCTTTGCCACCACTTCATTTTTGCCAAGGTCACTGCTGTTTGCACGTGCCACGCGGTATAAAAGGATCTCCCCGGCCAAATACAGTTGTTTTTCTTTTCTTCTCTTTTTTCACTCCTCTTTTCACCCACCTCTACCGCTTGGAACCCGCCCGCTGACCTAGTAAGGAGACCACCTTCCTTCCCTTGGTGACCGTTTGCGTTCGCGCTGCTTTTTTGTGTCCTGCGCTCTTTAAGCTCCCTACGGTTCCGAGTACCCACGCTCTCCTGCCTCCTTCCTTGCGTTCTTTACACAACTTCATTGTTCTCAGTTCCCACGCTCTCCCACCCTTTTGCTCTTGAGTGATTGTCTCGTCATGGTTACGTGTATACTATGTACTGATCATCAAAGATTTAATTACTGTTTCATCCGTATCGCTTTAGTGGCAAAAGAAGGTGCAGGCGTCGCGTGTTGAGGTACCGGGAGCTGGCTGTAAAGGAACGGAGAAAACAGAGTGCAGAAATGAGAGAGAGAGGTCAAGGGAATGAACAGGTGAAGTCTATGCAAGACGACGTACACCCATTCTCTTAATAGACCAGAGACCGAGGATGTGCCCACTAACGTCCTCCCTTTAGCTAGCTCACGCAGATAGTAGACATTTCCTCTCGATCATAATAAAAAGAAGGCCACACACATCCTCGGTCTCTGGTCTACTAGGAGAATGGTCGTAAATCGTCTTGCATAGACTTCACCTGTTCATTCACACGCACACACGCACACACACACGCACACACATGCATCTCCACCGCCCAAGTACGCTCTCAATCCTCAAGAACAGACAAACAGACAACCAAAAGGAAAACAACTATTATATTTTTTTCTGTTCGCACAACCATGCGTGAGGAAAGTGGCGGTCCCCACTCAAAGCACCCATCCACAACCAACTCCCCCAAACCTCCCCATACATACCTCCTACTTCACAGACTGGAAGAATCTAAATACAATTCATGATAGTCTGAATGGCGCACCAAACTCTTGACCATGTATGAGACACATCTGTATTAACTAAAAACTTACTGTCAGTGTTTCCTCTCTTACAAAAGTGCGATACGCCTCGTCAATTCAATAAGGTTATCTTGGAAAGGCATGAGTATAATACATACACATAGATATAGACATAGCCATAGGCATGAAAGAGGCATAATAGACAAGACTCAGTGAGGTATGAGTTATTAACCCACACAAAAGAGTGAGGATGGTTATATTGAAGGGACTACATAGGTCTTATCGGGGATCATTGCAGCAGGAGTCGATCTTGTAGTGGCAGCACATAGGGAACATCTCCTTGGGGACGGGAAGGAAGTCAGGGCCATCCATGGTCTGGGCGACGGCGGGGGCGGTACGGATGGTGGGGGGAGCGGGGGCCGCGCTGGCCATAGAAACGACTGCGAGGGCGGCAATGGCAACGTAGGTGATGAAGGTACGGGCGAACATGTTTGGAATTTGGATGGGTGACTGGAGAAGTTTGGTTGATTACTTGAATGAAGAAAAGAAAAAGAAGGACGATGGAAGGGGTTTATATAGAGATTTATCTCAGCCCCTTTCAACTTTTTTGTAAGTAACGTATTCTGGAGTGGAAGCACACCGATTGAACGAGCAATCTATCCTAGGAAGGATGGTTCGTTCACAATGGTGCTCCGGGTCACCAAGAAAAAAATATGAAAAAACCTCCCTGAACGCCACTGTCCACCATAGTTGCCAGTGGAGTGATGCGTGTGAAAATGAACGGTCTGTAGTTGCTTCTTTCCACCTCTTGAAAGGAGCTTTATTGCTGCTCACTAAAGGGAACCCGCCAGTGAATTTTCGTAAAGATTTTGTATGACTGTTCTTGTGGCCCGATCGAGATAAGACAGTCCATGATTCAATTGGATTTCATGTGTACATGGTCGGATAGAGCATCCGAACTACTAGAGACATTTCCCGCGGGTAGGAGTAGGAAGGTACATTCAGAGCCCAGATCTGAGACTAGGAAGCAAAATGCACGGGATAAACTCCCACCGACTATTGGGGTTAGCATTCCCCTTCAAAACTGAGGAAAACCAACGCACCCAAGGAAGCGGTATTGGCAATGATGGAAATCAACAAAAAAGTCCCATTCATTTCTCTGCATGAAACGGTGGGAAGGGTAATGTGTCCAACCAGGTCGTGTTTATCCTGTTTGATTTATCTCTCCTGTGTTCCCTGTTTTTTTTGGCTGTTCGTCCTCTTGTTTCTGGCCCGTGATGCGGTCTTACTTCCAATCACGATGGGCCAAAATAATGCGCGCATGGCATGCCGGTGCGGGATGTATGTCCTACCAATTCGACTGGGCTCAGAACAGCGCTATGCACAATGATCTCGCCTCTTCCAAAGAACTAATTACAAACTGTGCAGTAGGCGTACCATTCGATACAGCAAGAGTCATTTAATTAGGTAATTCACAGTCTTAGATGATCGTATCCTTGGTTTGCTCTAACCCGCTTCCTCTTGGCCTTATCCTTGGTTTGTTCTAAGCCGCTTCCTCTAGCCCATTTAGCACGCATGTACTCTCGCCCAGATGAAGTTCCAGCAATCTCGAAGGTGATGTGGTTGGGCGGAACTGAATGTGAGAATGAGATTGAGAGCGGCAATGTCATGGTGAACAATGGTCAATCAAGGATGAGGTTACGAGAGAAGTCGCGTCTTTATCTATGTGCCTGGGAGAACTATTATGGCTTGTTTCTTTGTCAAATGAAATTGAAAAAAGTGTGCAAATCGAAATCCATCAATAACTGGTGAGGGTGACCATAACTTGGTTACCACACCATCTCCAAACAGATTAGCACGTCCATGTTTTTCTCGAAAAAGTAATGTATCTTGCAGATAGCGCTGAAGCTTCGGTTTCGATATCTCATCGCAAAAATCAAGAAGATTCCTAGAAATGGATCTTGGTCGTCGAGAGCTACTATAAAAAGACGATCATGCTACTCGTACTCGAATTGTGTAAAGTCGCCATCGCCTCATCCGACACATCCAGCCCCGTTAGCAAGGCAGAAAGAGTACGCCTCGCCATAAAGATGGAGACAATTCACGCGATTTTTTGTCGAAATAATGAAGCAAACAGTATAGTTTCATATTGGCGACAAAGGATTTGCTCATGATGATCACCGATATTTGCGATATCTCACGGAAAACACCCAACATGTCTCACATTAGGCGTCTTTACCCCTCTAGTGCAGGGTATCTGAACCATTGGACAAGTCCTTGGCAGAACGACCATTGGCCCAATCATCAAACTTAGAATAGTCGGAGTTAATGCCAGACACTCTATTTCACTCAACCAGCTCCGCCACTAGTTGCATACGTTCATACCGTTCTGTTTTAGCCGTTTTCTTGTTCCCGACATAAACGCAAAAATGCAATGCTAACCCAAAGCTCCCTCTCAGGAACAACAAATCTTAAAAAAAAATGTCGTATTCGCACTCCTCACATGAAAATGCAACCGCGGGTTCTACCCAATCATCCAACTTTTGTTTGCGTTGCAGGGGGTCAATTTACGCACAGCGTATGATTAAAGGGTGTATGGGAATTGCGAGAACGAAGACAAAATACGACTGTTCGCGCAGGGTATTGACAGATTAGAGAGTAACTGGACTACTTCTTTGAGCCGCACACATTCATCAGCGCAAAATTTATTAGATCGGGGCATGGGTGCGAGCAAGGGCGTAGATACCGATAAGAAGAGATGGGGCTTGGAAACATGCATGGGCGTAGGAGCCGGTAAGAAAGAGACTAGGCGCAGTGCGTGAAAAGAAACGGGACCTGGAAATATGCATGGGCGTGAGAAACGGTTGGAAAAAATTACACAAACTGCATGGAAAGAAATAGGACCTCGACACGTGCATAGGCATCGGAAACCGTTGGATAAAGACTGTACTTCATCAAAAAGACGGGACCTGAAATCGTGCATGGGCGTGGAAAACGGCCGGAAAAAGATTATCCACAGTACATGAAAATTAGATGGGAATCGAAACATGCATGGGCGCTGGTAACTGTATGAAGCCGAGTATTCAAAGCGAATGGAAAGTGAGAACTAACCCAGGTAAGTGCGAGAGTTTTGAGTACTGTGCAAGTACATTATTGTTGTGTTGGAAATACCGTAGCCTTGCTCCAATTGCCTTAAGCAAACATTCTGAGCAGTGAGCCTACTAGGAAACAGTTTAGAGACGGTGGTAGCTGCAGTACACGAGGAAGAGAGATAATGTTGAATGATAACAACTTGACTTGTTTTGTTTCTTTTACGACCTTCGTCACGTATATAAAGAAGCCTAACCACCCAGCTTCTTGCAACACTCATCCGATCCTACCTCAAGCCTCAAGAACAGTAGCAGCAGTCGCAACCTCCGCAACCACTACTACAACTCCCGTCGCAAGATCACCACCCACACTATCCAAAACACCAACAGGAAACCCTACACCAAACTCACGTAAGGCTAAATGACCACACTTTTGCAAAATACCAAAAGGAAGCAGTATTCGCTCAAAGAGGTTCAGCTTCATCAGATATTAACTTATAGTTTTTTACAGCATGTTCAAGTACGTTTTGATCGCCTCAGCACTCGCAGCTGTCGGTTCTGCCTACAACCTCCTCACGGTCTGTAACGACGCCAACTTTAAGGGTAACTGCGTTACTTGGACCGGCGATCTCAAGAAATGCTATGGTCTCAACGAGTACAAGGGTGCCGTCTCCTCTGCGAAGATCTTCGGAAGTATCCGTTGCAACCTCTACCGTAAGGATGGCTGCAAGGGCGGAGGAATTGTCATTACTGGTCCCGCTTACAACTTGCAGGAGCAGAACTTCAACGACGCGGCATCTTCCTTCTACTGCCACTTCAACTAAGTGTTGAATGCAACGTCTCCAGCATCACTCTTCAGAGTCTGAATCTATCGGACATAATCCTCGTTGTTGCAATAAACTTCAAACTACACTGGTCCTCACTCCATCCTGGCCAGTTCTATATTTGACGTGTAATAACCGCCACTACACATTAAGAGTGTAAGGACTACATACCCTTATTTATGACGCTTCCATGAAGAGGGGGGGGGGGGGGGAGGTTCTCAGAGATGTTTGATTTTTCTTCACGTCTAAATATTGAAAGAGTGGACTTTGAAGTAACGTCGCTATGAACCGTTTTGATTTACCCACCGCCCCCAACATCTACTCGAATATACTAAACCAAGTGTGACTCCATCGCCACCTCAAACAGATCCATTCGGCCACCACTAGTAGAGCAAGCATTTCGCTAAGAGACCGTGACTTTTTCGACCCCCGGACCTGCAAAAGGCTTTTCCACACCTGTTACGCGGCAGTTCCTTGCATAGATCGTCTTTGGAGGTGTCCATCGCGCTAAACTTTTACACATGTCAAGGTGCACGCTCACAGGCGAATGCTATTATTTTTCTTTGAATCTGTTGTCCAACTAACTAGCCAACACTTGTGCCTGATTAATACGCAATAGTGTCGATCCTGTATTGGCAATATGCATACTTTGGGACTAGAGTAATAAAAAACATCACATTCGAATGAATACCACCCGCCATCATCCTTTCTTTGATAAAAACGAGAACATCTGTCCCCATCATGCACAAGCGCAAGCTAAAAAGTAGCCAATTGCAATGTCTCATATATAACTCTCCATCTCGCTTTTGAGCCATCCTACAGCGAAGGCTCCCTCTTCTGTTCTCAATCCGTTCTCAATTGCACCTTCCATTCACGAAAGACAACCACCTCTTCGGCCTTTGCCTTTTGCTTCCAAAGGGTTGTTTATTTTTGAGCATCCGCTTTTCGTCACGTTACTCGATTGTATGACCTCGCTGCTTTAATCTATCGAGACGACCCTTTGCTTTTGCATCACCTTGACGGGCAGCTTTTTTGTACCACTCGATTGCTTTGTTAATGTCTTTAGTGACACCTTCGCCGTTGTGATACAGGATCCCGGTATAGTCCTGAGCAGCTGCGTATCCTTTGTTGGCAGCTTTGATGAACCACTCCATGGCTTGGTAGTAGTCTTGAGGGACGCCGTCACCTTTATAATAGAGAATACCGATGTTGTGTTGAGCGGGCGCATAGCCTTGATCGGCAGACTTTAGATACCAGTCCATCGCTTTGGAAAAATCTTGAGGGACGCCGGAGCCCCTGTAGTAGAGAACACCGATATTGCACTGAGCTATTGCGTTTCCTTGGTCGGAAGCCTTGTGATACCACTCCATTGCCTTGATGTAGTCCTTTGAAACACCAAGGCCAACATGATAGAAGTAACCTACTTGGCGCTGGCCATCAGCATCCCCTTGCTCGGCCGCTTTGCTGTACCAGTCCATGGCCGCCTGGTAGTCCTGATGGACTTTCCGGCCATCTTTGTACATGTCACCAAGAGAAACTTGGGCCTTTGCACCTCCTTGACCGGCGCTGAACATGATTTGAGTGAGATCATCGGTGCCAGCAGTAGCTGACGTTCCTTGTGGTGCACGTGAGGGAATAATGTTCCCCATAGGTTGGGGCTGGGGGGTGACATCACTGGTGAGCGTTGTGGTAGTTGAGAGCGATTGCGGTGCTCTGGCTGATGGAGATACAGTAGGGGGTCTGTCGATGTGGGTGTAGTTCTCCATTGCAGCGTTTTCAAGACCATAGACTGGGTTTCGTCGGATGACCGAGGTGGTGTTGATGATGCTGTTGTCTGTTTTTCCCGTCTGCTCCTGATATGACATAGGTGATGTCCCTGGGACTTTCTCCTGTGGTGAGGCAGTCTCGGTGCGTACGGGGTTACCTCGCACAACAATGTCCAGTACCACCTCCGGCATGGCGGCAATTCGATGCGGCACCAGTCTAGATGCATACAACCAGTTTGCGTAAAAATAAAAAAGGTCAGCCATGAATATGATTTGGGCCATGTAGGTAAGCACTGCCTCACGTCACTACATGTGTTACCATGGCCAAAAAAATAATATTCATACGGGTTTAGGTCAGCTCCCTTCAGAAAAGGGACAACTCGTGAGTTGTATCGGATATGCAGCGCATCCTCGAAGGCCTGGACAACGTCACCCCAGAGTACAATTGGCTTGTGGGAGACGGGGTCGAATTGAACGTCGATAAAGACGGGTTTTCCTGGAGTGGAGGGGTGAGGAGAGTCAATGCTGTCCTTGGTGATAGGGTGCACTGCTTGGAAGGTTTGGGAGCCGTCTTGCAGCATTGTATGTTCGTTCCTGAGTTACTGTGTTGAGAAGAAACCCTAGGATCGGACAAAAGGGAGTGAAGGGTTGACAGCAGGTTGATGGTGAAGGATGAGCTACGAGAGATGAAGAAGGGGAGAGAGATGGAGGGGACGGAAAAAGAGATGAGAGAAGAAAAGTGGGAGAGCTGAAAGGAAAAATGGAAAAATGGAAAAGTGGAAAGTGGAAAGTAAGGAAGTAAGGAAAGGAAATGTAACAGCTTTCAATTTGCTGGTGTAAAGTGCAGTGAGCCTGTGGTAGGACATGGCGCTGAAGCGAGAGAAATTGTTGGTGCCTTGCAAGCCCCTTAATCCACGTAGTATTGTTACAAAAAGATGTGGTGGCTAGGCAGTGGCGGCGATGCCTTAGGTTAGCAGTCATATTCTTTAGTAGACATAGTATTAGTAGTGCGCCGAGCCCTCTTGTCTGCTCTTTGTCCTTTTACACATCACTTGGACGAGAGCAGTATTGACAAGAGTTTCGCTGGCACGCTGCAGGTAACAACCCCCTCTTTGATAATATGAATACAAGGTCCTTTTACACATCACTTGGACGAGAGCAGTATTGACAAGAGTTTCGCTGGCACGCTGCAGGTAACAACCCCCTCTTTGATAATATGAATACAAGGTCCTTTTACACATCACTTGGACGAGAGCAGTATTGACAAGAGTTTCGCTGGCACGCTGCAGTGTATCGTTTTGTGTGATTCTTTTAGGACACTATTGTCACTTCCCCTCCCCCCAACCTACAACCCCCTTCCCCCCCCTCCGTACCAATTGAGGACCTAACAGCGGTCCTACAACTCTGGCCGTCGACCCTCTCCCCTGAGTAACAGTATAGAAGAAGCCTGCTCAAGGTCAGAGAGAACAGCACCTTCCTTTCTTGATATCCGAGCAGGTATGTAAAATGCTGTTCTTGTTCTTAGCAGTATTGATGAGAGCGTTTGATATAGCGTAGTCCTAACATAAAAGCACCTTTCTTTCTGGATATCCGAACAGCGTCGAAAGTGTCAGAGTTCACCGTCGTTTTTCTTTCTATACATCTATTGAGTTACATACACACATACACACACCTACACACACCAATACGCCCTTTTTTTCCTTCCATGAGCGGCCCAAACACTGAAGACACAAGGTCGTTCGCGCCTTTGCAAGAAGGGGCAGTTTTTCCTTCGCCTCCTCTCGGTAGTTTCTGCCATGACACCACATTGATGTGGTGGTTTCGTCCACCACCCCTTAAGTAGAGTCTTCTCTAACAAAAAGGGAGCCTGTACGCAAGAGAGGAAATCAACCTTTTGTTTCCCTCTTTCGTGCAGGTAAGCAGACACAACGAACGACAAACACAAACTACAGTAGGATAGGAGCGGCGCGACGGATATTAAATATGAACCTTTTGTTTCCCTCTTTCGTGCAGGCATAACGGGTTCACCAGCGTTTTTCTTTCACCACCAGCGATAACAACAACAGCGGCAGCAACAGTAACAACAAAATTATCAACAACACACCAAATCTACCCATTTCCTATTTCGTTTCACCATCACTTTAACCAACCATAACCGCGACTACAACACAATAAGAAAATAACATAAAAAAGAAAAGAGACACCCACAACCACCAGCAACGCAGCAGCATGCCGAACAAACCCATCGACGACGAAACCCAAACCTCCGGGGCCGATATCAGGTCCTCCAGAAGGGAGGAAGACTCAGCTAGCGGTTTCCCATCTCCAGACAACTCTCCCCCTGCTCTCTCTCTGAACCCGGGGTTTCAAAACTCCCACATTGATGTGGTGATTTGGAGTGGCTTAGCTTCTGGTGGCCATTTCGCTATTTTACGCGCTTGCCTGCGAGTGTCTGGAAAAGCACCTTTCTTCCACGATACGAGCAGGTAGGCACTATGCCCTTTGACCATTGGTAGCAATAGTAGTTTCTAGCTTTTGGAGAATAGTTATTGACATAAAGCACCTTTCTTCCACGATACGAGCAGGTCTTGAGAGTTACTGTCTTTATTCGCGATATTGAGAGGGAGCACATACACACACACACACACACATATATATATATATACATACATCCTTTTCCTCGTCTGCTGCTATTCGAGTTATGCCCGCTGACCCCGAAGGTACTCCTTTGGATACAGGAGTTGCCGAGAGAAACTCCACTCTCCCTTCTCCCTCTCCCTCGACAAGTGACCCTGTTCAACCGGGCACTGACGCCAACGACTCGGCCAGCCAAGGGCAACTCCCTCCAAGACCCCCACATTGATTGTATCACGTGCCGTTTCCATTGAGAATGCCAAATTTCGACCCAGACTCACTGCGTGTGTTCGCTGCGCGAAGAATTAGATTCCAACCCACGTAAGGGGGGATGGCGAGACTAAGCCTGTGGTAAAAAAAAAAAAAAACAGCTTAGCACGTGCTAAACCCATGTAAAACCATGCACATAGGTCAAACACACAAGACTTTGAGTAGGGACTCCAAACTTTGATAGAAGATCATGTAGGATTGATGTCGTGACGCATTGAAGTTTGAAGGTAGTTAGAAACTAAAAAGACCTCGCAAGTTGAAAAAAAAAGCCGTCATGCATGTATTCCAATTATGTGATTCATGCGGAGTTAGCCATTTCAATTTCAGCGACGATCCAATGTCGGTCCATGCGAAAAGAGGTAACTTGTGATGAATGAAGTCACGATTCAAGAGAATAAATGGCAAGAAATCTGGGGGCCGTTCGGAACATTGGTGAATGGGCATCTCAAAAAGAAAGTCGAAATCGCTATTTGACGAATCAATTTTTTTTGGAGCACTTTATGTGGTACGAGCGCCTTAGAAAGAAGGGAACAGGTCAGAAGGGTACCAGCTATAAGCAGTGCCGTAGGCCTAGCCGTAACACTCTCTGGTCACCACATTCTAAGAGATGTGAACCTCCATTAGTTTTATGCCACACATAGAGACTGAGCAGCATGCTGAGATCAAGATCCGATGTGGTCCTTGCGTGTTCGCGTAGATCGAAAACGCGTTTGCATTTTTGTGCTGGTTGATGTCCTGCAACGTGTAATCCGGCTTGTGGTATTCGTAACCGACGAATTCGCTAGCATCGGCATCCAAGATGCTCCGACCCAGCCTCGTCGTATTCCACCGTACCAAGATTTCCGTCTCCCCGCGGTTTGCCGCCGCTGCGCATTCAGCGCTGTCAGGTTTAGGCATCCATGCAAGTGGCGAGAGGCTGTTTGAGCTCCTCGCCAATACCACCTTCAACATTGGGATCTTGCCTTCGCTTAGCGATGGCCAAGCACAAGTCGTAGCGGTGCACAGTGCGATCATGATCAAGGTGAAGCGAGACAACATCATAGTTCCTGAACCCCAGTCTGAATATCTCTTTCCTATCTGGTGACTCGGGCAGTGCGGAAGCAGTGTGTCGTTGGTGGAAAGAGTCTTGTGGGGGTGTGGACTGCATCGTGGAGGGCTGTTGCGCGGAGCGGGATAGGCGGGCGCCTTGTTCGATGAGGTAGACGGTGTCGATATAGTGGACTAGGATGGCAAGTTCCTCGTCGGTGTAGTCTGGGGAGGCGGCACCGGCCGATTGTTCGGGAGAAATGGATCTTGAGGGTGGCCGCTGTCAGGTTCAGACAAGGCAGGACAAGAGTGGTGTTAAGTGAAGAAGAGGAAGATGAGCTTGGGTCTATTTTATAAGGAAGAGTGCCTGGCGCAACAGGGAAAGGCAATGTGTAGGAGGATACCAATGTCGCATAGCAATCAGTTCAGCCGACTGATTAACGTGTTCTATTCCTTCGGCATTCAATTCCGAGCCCAAAAGAAATCCCTCATTGTTTGGATTTTTCCGTCGCGTGAACAGCGAATGGTGCGTGAGAGTGAACATTATTCGAGGGAGGGGAAAGGCAATGTCTAGGAGGATACCAATATGTTGCACAGCCGAAAAAGAGGACTTCTGTGACAGTTGTGCGCAACCAACCAAAGCAACTCCATGATTAGTTATTTTGCTTCGGATGGTCAGCAAGGCGCGGTGCGTGTTACCAAAGCAAGTCTATGATTGGTTATTTTTCGTCGCATGATCAGCAGGGCGCGGTGCGTGAGAATTTACTGGGTAACTGGCTTGTGGCAGTTAGACATGCGACGCCGCCGTTTATCATTATATCATACTGATTGGCAGCGATTGTTAAGGGTTCCATGAAACACGTTGTTGCATATCGAAGAACATCTGTTTTATTTGGCTACTAGATAGTGCCCGCGGCTTCGCTCGCGGAGTTGTGGGGCATGTGTGAATTGTGAAGTGATTAGAAAACTAACAAAGTGGTGGTGGTTGAATATTACAATGGTTATTTGTGTTTGTCAGTTCCTTTCTTTTTTTTTTTTTTTTTTTTTTTTTTTTGGGGGGGGGGGGTTCTATTGACGTCAGATCTCTTACAATCGTACCGGCGTGCCAGGCCTAACTAATCTAACACACTACATACAGGGAAGGAGGTGTCAGCGTTGAGAGCTTCGAAATAACTGCGCTGTTAGACGGGTCCCCTGGGGGCCCAAATGCTGCTTGGGTTGTATGAATGCCTTGGAGTGACCAGCACCGAGTCAGCCCTCCACATCACCTACGCGACCTGTCAGGTCCGTTGTGTCCTCTGTTAGTTGAGATCTCGGGTCAAAGATTTTATACGGCAGGTTCCTTTCTTTTTCATCAAGCGCAACACCGCCTTGCTATGTACATGCTGTACAACCCTCTCGTCGCCTTGGGGAGGCCAAATTCTCTTGATTTTCCTCCCTTGCCCACACCCGCCTACTTCTCTCGAGCTGTTATTCCTTGAGTCTTCTCCCATTCGACCGTCGCCTTGCAACGTACATGCCTCATCTCCGTCCGCCCAAAGTCCTCAATCGCACCCACACACTGTCCTTTTTTTTCCCTTTTGCTGTCCCTCTGCCAGGCGGTCACCGCATGTCACGATACTTTGTACTGGTACCAAAGGGCGCAAATGCGAGGGCATTGTCGAAGGTTCGTGTGTTGGCCAAAAAATCGCGTGGAGAGAGGTGTATCGCCTCAGATCGGGTCTTGTAATTCAGCGGGAGAAGCTATGATGGCCGGCATTTAACTTTTCCTTGCAAGAAATAAATGCAAAAAACGTGGATTGGCGACTGTATGTCCGACACACTCTCCGCATGTTCAAAAGAAATAGTTGAATCAGTATCAATGTAAAGAAAGAATAGTTGTAGGTGATATCGTAACTGAAATCATTACCTCTATCCAATGTAAAGCACCACGATGAGAGCGCACCATGTTCATCCGCCCCCAGGTCCTGTACTCTCTGTGTCGTCCAGGTCTTTAACAGCAGCTATTCTATATTTAAAAACGCATAGATCAGCATGAGCAACATGAGTAGCAAGGGTAACATGAGTAACAGGGACAACATGAGCAGCAGGGGCAACAGGAGCATCAGGAGCATCAGGAGCATCAGGAGCATCAGGAGCAGCAGGGAACGTGGAGGAAGTAGGAGCAAGAGATTCTGCAACGATCATGCGCTGCTTGTGTTCAGGTAAAATCAAGATTAAGATAAGAATAGATTAAGAACTAAACTGGCTAACAAGGAATGCATGTTCAGCACAGTCGTCGACGACTCCTAGATGCGATCTGCCGGAGGAAATATTCGTCACTGGTGGGCGGAGGCAGGACATCTTCCGCCGGCTATGCGACCTTTATTCTCCTTCGGCATCAGTTCTCAGATCCATATATCATATTTGAGGATCGTGCTCCCACCCCAGATCTTGTGGTCGACGAGCAAGATGAGCCACAACCCTTCCACTGCTGCTGCTGCTAAGCTCATGACCGCCAAGGAGGCATCCATACTTGTTTAAACGACACAAGAAGAGTTGCTCAGGATGCTGGTCTACAGAGAACCGGAGGAGATTAGGAAGTCACACTCCATCTGGCAGACGTCATACGGGAGACGCTCAACAACTTTCGAAGCTCTCGCCGCCAAAAAAAAAAAAAAAAACATCCGGCCGTCTTTGATCCTAACTCTTTTTCACTCGTACCTGGATAATAAGTTCCGCTTCCTCAACTACGCCAGAGAGTGTCGAGAGATAGGAACTGCGTGCGACAAGAGTCCCTTCCTTTGCCGACAACTCTCCTCCCACAGGACCCGACCCTTTGCCCTCAACAACATGTATTCGACTAAAGGCAAGGAACTCCATGTCGCACATTTTCATACTACCAATCCCTACCCTGAGCAAGACCGCCTTCGTCCCCATCTACCGGATCGAAATCCGATTCCCAATACTACAGGCAATCCTGGACGAGTTTGGCGTTTCATCCCAAGGAGATAGCTCACCTGACTTTGCCATGCCACACACGAAGGATTACGACTTCATAGACTAGGCGATGGGATGCGTTGATGTATGTTGGGGTTGTTGTGGATGAGTGTGATCCCAATCCAAGTTACAGACCGTGTTGCTTAGTAATAATTTCTTAAGCGTTTTTGGTCGCTACGTGTAAACTACGTGTATTAAATTTCATCTGAAACAGCTGAAGCTCATTGAAGGTATTGGCTATGACATGTAATATCCAACGTAAAAATAACGACAGTAATTAATCACTTCCGAAGGATTTCACTTAGAAACCACTTTTATTACAAAAAGATTCAAGAAGTCGGTGGTTTCCCCGAAACAATAACCAAAACTGATAGATTTGGGTGACCATTCCCTTTTGTCTCTCTTATCTTTAATCATTCTAGATCGCTCACTCGCACACAGGCGGATATTCTGTATCTTCGTTCGATACTTCCGAGGCGAAAAAAATAAACGGCCATCACTAAGTCATCGTGAAATCTACAAAAAAAAAATGGCGTTGTCTTCGCACTGTACAAAACAGGCGTAGCATCTAGATGAGTAGCGCAACGTGTTACTATGCATAGCATTCGTGCCGGTGCCCTGACACCTTTAGATCGAAGTGGCGGCCGCCATCTGCTGTTGATGCTTCTCAAAGAAGGCTCTAGCCTTTTTTTCACTAAACGAAGGAACTGGCAAAACACTACCCTTAACTTCAAGAGCTCTTAGGAATCCCGCCTGAGGTCGGAAGCGGACCAACTTAACCAACTAAAAACAAAACACGGACGACCGCAAGAAGAGCGTCAATGACAACCCCTCATTGCTTCCTGCTCCAATCGCCACAAACCGTAACAGCAGAAAGGTAGCAATAATATACGTACCATCATCCTCCACAACCACATGGGCATGTTTGTGTAGAGGTAAAAAATAATAGCTCCGATGAACGAGCGATCCGTAATCTTGCTCATGAGCTGGCTGTTCTCGAACGCCTCATTGGCTGCTGGGTACCTCTCGCTTCTGTATTCCTCAAAGGCGTCGGTGATGTCGGGGAGGGACTTTGAGGGCATGGCGTAGAGGAGATTGGCGAGTGCGATCGCGTCGTGGATGGCTGTCACGGCACCTGTGTTAAAGTCGAGAGATATAATAGTTGTATTATAATAAATGCGATTGTACCTTGCATACAGCCTGTTTCTTTCCATGCATGCAAAAAACACATTTATCTTACCTTGGCCACCATTGGGGTGGAGCTTGTGACAGGCTATGGGACGCGAACAACAAAAAGAAAACAGGTATAAGATACCAGCCATCGTAGCGGGTGTGATACAGCATCTCCAGTGGTCCTCGTACAAGTAAACATACCATCGCCTAGCAGCACAGCGCGCCCGTGATGCCAAGTCTCAAACACCTTCTCCTCCAACCCAACCTTTGAAATAAGCTCCTTCGGTGTGAGGTCATATAGGTCGCCCATGGTCATCTTGCGCCCATCAATGTCGATTGGGATCTGGAAGTTGCGAGTCTCGTCACACATGGTCTGCGCCGGGGAGGCATCCCACTCTGCGTCGTCTCCGTCCTTGACGCGTTGTTCTTCGGTCGCCTTGCTCGTTTGACTTGGTAAGTGATGGTATACCATATATGCCAAAGATGACTGCGCTGTTGTAAACGCTGCCCACTAAAAAATGAGGATGCCAAATATGAGCGTGCGTTAGTATCACGACCATGAAGGTGTTCGGGAAGTTTTCTTGTTCCCTACATATTGTGATTGACCGGTGGAAAAACACTCACGGTGTATGGTCGCTCCTCGCCGAGGAGTGTAAAGAACTGCCCAACAGGCCTCTTGATAATCGGATACACTTCAGGATCTAACACTTTAGTCTGCCCCACCAAGCATGTACAACTAAATGGTAAATCTTCCAGATCCGACGCCGGCAGAACACCCTTGGCCTTCAATTGCTCATACATGCTCTGACGCACAGCACTGTAGGCGCCGTCAGCACCGACGACGATGTCGCCCTCATGGATGCCGTTGTCGGTGGTGTGGATGGTGACGCTGTCTTTGTCCTCAGAGATGGTCTGGACGCGTTTTCCGAAATGGATCTTGTGGGGAGGGATCTGTTTGAGGAAGAGCTCATGGAGCTTGGGGCGTGTGACAATGTATTGACCATATCCTGCGCTACAAGAGTAAGAGAAAAACGTACCGTTAGTGCAAAGTCATACATGCGCCAAGCAAGCAGTAGAAGAAAGGGATCAAGGTGAAAGGATGACCATACTCGACTTACAATTCTTCAAAAGACCTCCAGTCAACTGGTCGGTATGGCTGTAAAGACTCCTTGAAGGCCTCGACGTGAGTCATATACTTTCCAATATCGACAAGATCGTCATAGATTCCCAGCTGTTGGAAGATGGGGAGTAGCGTGGGACCAACAGTCATAGCCGAGCCTTGTGGGCGCAGATAGTTAAGAAAAAGGGTGAGAAACTGCTGCACCGCATGTGTGAGTACAGGGTGTCGGTGATCCATTATTTTTGCGGTCAAGCGTACCCAATGGTTTCACAACGGCTGTACGTTCAAAAATGGTGTATGGAACGTTGGCCTTCTCGAGAAGGGCCCCCAGGAATAGGCCCCCTAGTCCTGCTCCGACAATGAGGACGGTTGGTTTGTCGCTTGTTGGCATGATTGGTGGAATGAAGGAAGAGGTGATGGATGTGAGAGAGAGGAATCGGATGAGGAGAAGAGATGGAATGAATGAATTCGGATGAGAGGAGAGATGCGAAAGAAGGTGGCGTTCAGAGAAGGAGAGGGTTGGTTGGGGCTTTGTCTTTGACTTGCTTTCATTTATTTTGTGCGACCATGCATCTTTCCTTACACTTGTTCGCCGTCGTCGTCAAACACCGTCAAACTGCTCTTTTTAGTGGTGCCACATCCACTTGTGTCTCTCACTTGTTAACCATGCGCCCATTCATACTCGCAAAAGCACGCTTCTTCGTTACCTCTTTTCCACACCATAATAATACTCCGCTAATCGCTGATAACGAATCCTTTGACGGTCCAAGACCTGAAGAGTTGCTGATCCGCTTTGGCCTCACCCTGCAAAAGGACAGATTAATCTTATCCTTTCCCTGTCGATGTTACCCCCTCTATTCTCCGTAATACTGCTTACTACTAACCAAGGTAAAAAAACTAGGTTCAAAGGATCCAATAACTAGACGTTTATTATCTCCTACAAAATATTATCCTTGGTCCTGTCCGTCGAACAAACACGCCCCTCAGATAGAAACTGTTATATGCTCCTGCTCAACTTGTTGCCTCTCGAAGAGGTCCCTCGCCTTCTGCTCGCTAGGCGAGATGATCGGGATAACGGTCCCCTTCAAGGGAATGTTGGGGACGAAACCGACTTGAGGGCGGATCTTGACCGTCTGCGCCAACTTTTTTGAACGATAGCAATGCACGAATGGGGCGGAGAGGTTAGTTACATCCTTATTCGCTTCTAAATATTCCAGTCAATCCACACCACCTCGTTCGTAATAAAAAAAACAAGAACAAAGGACACTTACGGCAAGTCTCCAAAGCCACATAGGCATATGAGTGATAAGGTAGAGCACAATGAAGCCAATGATGCCCTTCTCCATGAACTTGCTCATGAGTTGACTGTTCTGGAAGGATACCAACGCAGCAGGGTGACGCTCCTCCTGGTACTCCTCGAACAAGTTTGTGACCTGCTCAGCTGTGGTCGCTGGCATGGAATAGATCAAGTTTGCAAGGGTAATCGCATCATGCATTGCTGTCACGGCGCCTATACGTTTTAAAACAATGAAATGAGGTTAGTAATTATTACATTGTCAACTTGGTTCCTAGTTGCTGTGCGAGAGAAGGCTGAGATCTGAGAGAGAATGAAACTTACCATGACCTCCAGCAGGGTGCAGCTTGTGGCAGGCTAAAAGGTTGCCAAAAGAAAGACAAGAAAGGGTGAGTCTAAGACCAAATAACTACACGTTTTCACAGTAGTCAACAATCACTGCCAACACTTACCATCTCCCATCAAAACAACACGACCAGAATGCCACGTTGTAAACACCTTCTCCTCCAGCATGACCTTGGAAATCAAATCCTTCTGCGCCAAGTCGTACAGATCACCCAACGTCGACAACCCCTCACCAAGAGGGATGGGGAAGTTCCTAGTCTCGTCACACATCGTCTGAGCGGGGTATGCTCCCCATTCTGCATTATCATTGTTTCTGAACCGCTGTTCCATGGCTGCTTTGCTCGTTTGTTCGTTCAAATGATGAATGACCGACCAACAGAGCGTGCCTTGCGCTGTTGACATCACAGACCACTAATTAATACACAGCATGACAAGCAAGTCGTGTTAATACTGTCTTTGAAAATGGGAGATTATTGAGCTTTGGATACTAAGAGAAACAATCATGCATCGCCCCTTCGATGATACTTCATCAGACTTACAGAGAAGGGTTTGTCGGCACCGAGGACGGTAGGGAACACGCAGATGGGCTCCTTGATAACAGGATACTTCTCCGCGTCAAGAACCCTCGTCTGGCCCACCAAACAAGTACAACTGAAAGGGAGATCCTCCTGGTCCCCCTTAGGCAACTCCCCCTTCGCCTTCAAGCGATCATACATACGCTGACGGACAGCACTGTAAGCACCATCGGCTCCAACAACAATATCTCCAACGTGCATACCGTTATCGTTAGTGTGGACAGTAACCTTATCATTCTCCTCGGTGATATTAAGGACCCGCTTGCCAAAATGGATCTTATGAGCTGGGACCTGCTTGAGGATCAACGCGTAGAGCTTGGGACGAGGAACGAGATACTGTGAGTAGCCAGTGCTGTGAAGGTCAAGAAAAAAGGGTAAAAGGACGATGAATGTTGTGTTCGGTTACACTGACAGAGCTTGGAGAAAATACATGTAGGATGTAACGTAACAGAAAAGGGACACTGTCGCACAACAAAAACGGTAGGCAAGAAGAGACGTACAATTCCTCGATGGCAATATGGTCCGTAGGTCTGTACGACTCCAAAGATTCCTTGTAGAAGGGGGTGTAAACGATGCGTTTTCCTAGGGGGAGGAACTCGTCATAGATGCCCAATTGCTGAAAGATGGGGAGGAGTGTCGGACCAACTGCCATCCCAGAGCCTGTGAGATATGGTATGTCAAGGGAAAGGGGAGGGAGGGGGAAGTGTGGGTGTAAGGGTGCAAGTATGGGTAACAGTCATGATACATGCGTTGGTACTGCTACTGTTGGTAGCCAATTGACATACCCAGGGGCTTGACGGTTGAGGCACGCTCGAAGATGGTGTATGGGACACCTTGCTTCTCGAGGAGGGCACCGAGCATAAGTCCTCCGAGGCCTGCTCCGACGATCAAGACTGTGGGCTTATCGGTGACTGGATTTGACATTGTGACGAAGGAAGAGTTGGGCTAGAAAGTAACGTCAAGGTTAAGAGGGGTGGACTAAGAATGAGAAGGAAGCGAGGATGAAGGATGGAGAAGATGGAGAAGATGGAGATGAATGTCGGAATCAGATGAACAAAGGAAAGAGTAGATCAACTGTGGAAGATGATGAGGGATGGAAGAGAAGAAAAAGTGGGGCCAGTCGACTCTTTCCGGGTTTACTTCCAGTCTTTGTAAACTGCTCTTGTTCTCTTACTCGAAAGCCCAACCTGTTTTTCCTTCTTTCATAATGTATGTCCGCCCTACCCCATTGGAATGTCGTGCACACCATGCAGCCAATGCATCATGCATTTAGCACGTTGACTTCTTCCCTCTATCCGTTTTAAACCCAGGTCAAGACAAATAAAGTATTTCGAGCGCTGCGGAAGAAAAAGAAGAACCAAGTGCATCTTCCATGTTGAGAGCCTTTGTTATCCAGCGCCCACTCTCCCCTCTTTCCATAGATTCATACCCACCCGTTCTACTTCCGCCAACCTTCCAACGGTCGAAAAAAGTAGCTTCTTGGATCTTGCTCTTGCATCGCCCAATTTTGAGGGAGAGGACCAACTTAATTTTCCATTTTCCTCTAGTTCTTGGATTCTGCCACGGACATTACATTCACTGTTGCAAAGGCATTGTATCACTGCAGTCACGGACATTGCATTCATCAGAGAAATGCTGTCTATGCTTCATTTTTCTCACGAGCCAGTCTCCTTGGGTTTTCCTCCAGAAATCACGGGATTTACGCGACTGATCGACAGGATGCGCTTGCGTTCGACTGAGGCCCTTAAAGTGAATGTTGGCCTCAATTTCCAAGTTGAGATGGTAGCATCCCGCTCTACTTCCTTTTCTTCCGCCCACATTGCTTTTCTATCATTCCTAGTCGCTCTCTTCTTCCTCCTTCCTCTTTCTGTCAGGGTGTGCTTAGCAAGCTGTTCAAATGAATAACTTTGTTTGCTTAAGACTGGCGAAGCAAAGGGCAAAGACAAAAACACGACAATTCAATTGGTTGTACCTGAAAACACAATATGCGCAAGAGATTCAGGTCCAACCGCATCGGTGAGGTCGACCATTCAATTTTTGATGTCTCTCCCCGTGTACCATCATCCCCTGTCTTTTTTTAAATCTTCGCCAGCCTTCGTTAACTTCCTTTCCTTCCTTTCCTTCCCTTCCACTTTTCCTTTCAGTTCTCCTACTTTTCTTCTCTCATCTCTTTTTCCGTCCCCTCCATCTCTCTCCCCTTCTTCATCTCTCGTAGCTCATCCTTCACCATCAACCTGCTGTCAACCCTTCACTCCCTTTTGTCCGATCCTAGGGCTTCTTCTCAACGCAGTAACTCAGGAACAAACATACAATGCTGCAAGACGACTCCCAAACCCTCCAAGCAGTGCGCCCTATCACCAAGGACAGCACTGACTCTCCTCACCCCTCCACTCCAGGAAAAACCGTCTTTATCGACGTTCAGTTGGACCACGACTCCCACAAGCCAGTTGTACTCTGGAGTGACGTTGCCCAGGCCTTCGAGGATGCGCTGCATATCCGATACAACTCACGAGTTGTCCCCTTTCTGAAGGGGGCAGACTTAAACCCGTATGAATATTATTTTTTTGACCATGGTAACACATGTAGTGACGTGAGGCAGTGCTTACCTACATGACTCAAATCATTTTCACGGCTGACCTTTTTTATTTTTATGCAAACTGCTTGTATGCATCTAGTCTGGTGCCGCATCGAATTGCCGCCATGCCGGAGGTGGTACTGGACATTGTTGTGCGAGGTAACCCCGTACGCACCGAGACTGCCTCACCACAGGAGAAAGTCCCAGGGACATCACCTATGTCATATCAGGAGCAGACGGGGAAAACAGAAAACAGCACCAACAACACCACCTCGGTCATCCGACGAAACCCAGTCTATGGTCTTGAAAACGCTGCAATGGAGAACTACACCCACATCGACAGACCCCCTACTGTATCTCCATCAGCCAGAGCAACGCAATCGCTCCCAACCACCGCAACATTCACCAGTGACAACGCCCCGCAGCCCCAACTTGTGGGCAACAATCCTCCCTCACGTGCACCGCAGGAAACGTCAGCTACTGCTGGCACCGATAACCTCACTCATATCACGTTCAGAGCCGGTGAAGGGGACGCAAAGGCCCAAGTTTCTCTTGGTGACATGTACAAAGATGGCCGGAAAGTCCATCAGGACTACCAGGCAGCCATGGACTGGTACAGCAAGGCGGCCGAGCGAGGGGATGCTGATGGCCAGCGCAAAATAGGTTACCTCTACAATAACGGTTTTGGCGTCTCAAAGGACTACATCAAGGCAATGGAGTGGTATCACAAGGCAGCCGACCAAGGAAACGCAATAGCTCAGTGTAGTATCGGTGTTCTCTACTACGCAGGCTGCGGCGTCCCTCAAGACTTTTCCAAAGCGAGGGACTGGTTCCTAAAGTCTGCCGGTCAAAGCTATGAGCGCGCTCAACATTACATCGGTCTTCTCTATTATAAAGGAGACGGCGTCCCTCAAAACTACTCCCAAGCCATGGAGTGGTTCATCAAAGCAGCCAACCAAGGATACGCAGGAGCTCAGAACAACACCGGGGTCCTGTATCACAATGGCGAAGGCGTCCCTAAAGACATTAACAAAGCAATCGAGTGGTACAAAAAAGCTGCCCGTCAAGGTGATGCAAAAGCAAAGGGTCGTCTCGATAGATTAAAGCAGCAAGGTCATACAATCGAGTAACGTGACGAAAAGCGGTTGCTCAAAATAAACACACCTTTGGAAGCAAAAGGCAAAGACCGAAGAGGTGGTTGTCTTTCGTGAATGGAAAGTGCAATTGAGAACTGATTGAGAACAGAAGAGGGAGCCTTCGCTGTAGAATGGCTCAAAAGCGAGATGGAGAGTTATATATGAAACATTGCAATTGGCTACTTTTTAGCTTGCGCTTGTGCATGATAGGGACAGATGTTCTCGTTTTTATCAAAGAAAGAATGATGGCGGGTGGTATTCATTCGAATGTGATGTTTTTTATTACTCTAGTCCCAAAGTATGCATATTGCCAATACAGGATCGACACTATTGCGTATTAATCAGGCACAAGTGTTGGCTAGTTAGTTGGACAACAGATTCAAAGAAAAATAATAGCATTCGCCTGTGAGCGTGCACCTTGACATGTGTAAAAGTTTAGCGCGATGGACACCTCCAAAGACGATCTATGCAAGGAACTGCCGCGTAACAGGTGTGGAAAAGCCTTTTGCAGGTCCGGGGGTCGAAAAAGTCACGGTCTCTTAGCGAAATGCTTGCTCTACTAGTGGTGGCTGAATGGATCTGTTTGAGGTGGTGATGGGGTCACACTTGGCTCAGTATATTTGAGTAGACGTTGGAGGCGGTGAGTAAGTCAAAACGGTTCATTGCGACGTTACTTTTTGATCCTTCAGAGTCCATTCTTTCAATACTTGCTTCATGTTATGATTGTACTTAGCAGTGAGGATATCAAACATCTCTGAGAACATCCCTCCCTCCCCCATTCACGGAAGCCTCAAATAAGGGTATGTAGTCCGTGAACTCTTAATGTGTGGTGGCGATTGTTGCACGTCAATTATATAGAACTGGTCAGGATGGAGTGAGGACCAGTGTAGTTTGAAGTTTATTTGCAACAACGAGGATTATGTCCGATAGATTCAGACTCTGAAGAGTGACGTTGGAGACGTTGCATTCAACACTCAGTTGAAGTAACAGTAGAAGGAAGATGCCGCGTCATTGAAGTCATGCAAGTTGTAAGCGGGACCAGTAATGACAATTCCTCCGCCCTTGCAGCCATCCTCACGGTAGAGGTTGCAGCGAATACTTCCGAAGATGTTCGCAGAGGAGACGGCACCCTTGTACTCGTTGAGACCATAGCACTTCTTGAGATCGCCGGTCCAAGTAACGCAGTTACCCTTAAAGTCGGCGTCGTTGCAGACCGTGAGGAGGTTGTAGGCAGAACCGACAGCTGCGAGTGCTGAGGCGATCAAAACGTACTTGAACATGCTGTAAAAAACTATAAGTTAATATCTGATGAAGCTGAACCTCTTTGAACGAATACTGCTTCCTTTTGGTATTTTGCAAAAGTGTGGTCATTTAGCCTTACATGAGTTTGGTGTAGGGTTTCCTGTTGGTGTTTTGGATAGTGTGGGTGGTGATCTTGCGACGGGAGTTGTAGTAGTGGTTGCGGAGGTTGCGACTGCTGCTACTGTTCTTGAGGCTTGAGGTAGGATCGGATGAGTGTTGCAAGAAGCTGGGTGGTTCGGCTTCTTTATATACGTGACGAGGGTTGTAAAAGAAACGAAACGAGTCAAGTTGCCACCATACAACATTATCACTCTTCCTCATGTACTGCAGATAGCACAGTCTCTGAACTGTTTCCTACTGGGCTCACTGCTCAGAATGTTTGCTTATGGCAATTAGGGCAGGGCTGGGGTATTTCCAACGCAACAATAATGTGTTTGCACAGTGCTCAAAACTCCCGCACTTACCTGGGTTCGTTCTCACTTTCCATTCGCTTTGAATGCTCGGTTTCATACAGTTACCCGCGCCCATGCATGTTCCGATTCCCATCTAATTTTCATGTACTGTGGATAATTTTTCCCTGCCGTTTTCCACGCCCATGCACGATTTCAAGCCCCGTCTCTTTGATGAATTTTGCACAGTCTTTCTCCAACCGTTTCTCACGTCCATGCATATTTCTAGATCCCGTTTCTTTTCATGCACTGTGCTTAGTCTCTTTCTTACTGGCTCCCACACCCACATGCATGTTTCCAAGCCCCATCTCTTCTTATCGGTATCTACGCCCTCGCTCGCACCCATGCCCCGATCTAATAAATTTTGCGCTGACGAATGTGTGCGGCTTAAAGAAGTGGTCCAGTCACTCTTTAATCTGTCAATACCCTGAGCAAACAGTCTTATTTTGTCGTCGTTCTCGCAATTCCCATACACCATTTAATCATACGCTGTGCGTAAATTGACCCCCTGCAACGCAAACAAAAGTTGGATGATTGGGTAGAACCCGCGGTTGCATTTTCATGTGAGGAGTGCGAATACGACATTTTTTTTTAAGATTTGTTGTTCCTGAGAGGGGGCTTTGGGTTAGCATTGCATTTTTGCATTCATGTCTAGAATAAGAAAACGGCTAACACAGAACGGCGGGTATGTATGTATGCAGCTAGCGACGGAGCGGGCTGAGTGAAATAGGGTGTCTGACATTAACTCCGACTATTTTAAGTTTGATTATTGGGCCAATGGTCGTTTCGCCAAGGGCATGCCCGAGGGTTCAGATACCTTGCACTGGATGGGCAAACACGCTTCATATGAGAAATGGTGTTGGGTGTTTTCCGTGATATATCGCAAATATCGGTCATCATCATGAGCAAATCCTTTGTCGCCAATATGCGACTATACTGCTTGCTTCATTATTTCGACAAAAAATCGCGTGAATTGTGTCCATCCTTATGCCGAGGCGTACTCTTTCTGCCTTGCTAACGGGGCTGGATGTGTCGGATGAGCGATGGCGACTTTACACAATTCGAGTACGAGTAGCATGATCGTCTTTTTATAGTAGCTCTTGACGATCAAGATCCATTTCTAGGAGTCTTCTTGATTTTTGCGATGAGATATCGAAACCGAAGCTTCAGCGCTATCTGCAAGATACATTACTTTTTCGAGAAAAACATGGACGTGCTAATCTGTTTGGAGATGGTGTGGTAACCAAGTTATGGTCACCCTCACCAGTTATTGATGGATTTCGATTTGCACACTTTTTTCAATTTCATTTGACAAAGAAACAAGCCATAATAGTTCTCCCAGGCACATAGATAAAGACGCGACTTCTCTCGTAACCTCATCCTTGATTGACCATTGTTCACCCTGACATTGCCGCTCTCAATCTCATTCTCACATTCAATTCCGCCCAACCACATCACCTTCGAGATTGCTGGAACTTCATCTGGGCGAGAGTACATGCGTGCTAAATGGGCTTGAGGAAGCGGCTTAGAACAAACTAAGGATACGGCCAACTAAGACTTGAAAACCCTAGGGCCCAGGAAAAACCTAATTGAATGACTAATGCAGTATCGAATGTTGCAATTAGTTCTTTGGAAGAAGAGAGGTCATTGTGCATAGCGTTGTTCTACGCCCAGTCGACTTGGTAGGCCACACATCTCGCACCGGCGTGCCATGCGCGTATTTTTTTTTGACCCATCGTGATTGGAAGTATGACTGCATCACGGGCCAGAAACAAGAGGACGAACAACCGGAAAAACATGGAGAACAGGAGAGATAGGAGAAACAGGAGAGATAGGAGAAACAGGATAAACAGGACCTGGTTGGACACATTATCCTACCCACCGTTTCATGCAAAGAAATGAATGGGACTTTCTTTTTGATTTTCATCATTGCTAAGCTCGCTTCCTTGGGTGCGTTGTTTTTCATCAAGGTTTTGAAGGGGAATGCTAACCCCAATAGTCGGTGGGAGTTTATCCCGTGCATTTTGCTTTCTTGGTCTTAGATATGGGCTCTGAATGTACCTTCCTACCCGCGGGAAACGTCTCTAGTCGTTCGGATGCTATCCGACCAAGTACACATGAAATCCAATTGAACAATGTCTTATCTCGTTCGGGTCACAAGAACAATAATGCAAAATCTTTACGAAGGTTCACTGGCGGGCTCCTTTTGGTGAGCAGCAATAAAGTTCTTTCAAGAGATGGAAAGAAGCAACTACAGACCGTTCATTTTCACACGCATCACTCCACTGGCAACCATGGTGGACAGTTGCGCTCAGGGGGGGGATCTTTTTTTTTTTTTTTTTTTTTTTCATGGTGACCCGGAGCACCATTGTGAACGAGCCATCTCCCCTAGGATAGATTGCCCGTTCAATCCGTATGCTTCCACTCCAGAATACGTTACTTACAAAAAAGTTGAAAGGAGCTGAGATAAATCTCTATATAAACCCCCTCCATCATCCTTCTTTTCTTTTCTTCATTCAAGTAATCAACTAAACTTCTCCAACCACCCATCCAAATTCCAAACATGCTTGCCCGCACCTTCATCACCTACGTTGCCGTTGCCGCCCTTGCCGTCGTCTCTATGACCAGCGCCGCCCCCGCTCCCCCCACCATCCGTACCGTCCCCGCCGTCGCCCAGACCATGGATGGCCCTGACTTCCTTCCCGTCCCCAAGGAGATGTTCCCCATGTGCTGCCTCCACAGCATCGCCGCCTGCTGCATTACTCCCCAATAAGAGCCCTATAGTCCCTTCAATATAATCATCCCCACTCTTTGTGTGGGTTAATAACTCATAACTCACTGAGTCTTATCTATTATGCCTCTTTCATGTCTATGTCTATGTCTATGTATTATATCCATGCCTTTCCAAGATACTCCCTATTGAACTGGTGAGGTCTATCGCACTTTTGTAAGAGAGGAAACACAGACAGTGTGTTTCTAGTGAATACAGATGTGTCTCATACATGGTGAAGAGTTTAGTTCTCCATTCAGACTATCATGAATCGTATTTGGATTCTTGTAGTCTGCGAAGTAGGAGGTATGTATGGGGAGGTTGGGGAGTTGGTTGTGGATGGGTGCTTTGAGTGGGGACCGCCAAGTTCCTCACGTCTGGTTGTGCGAACAGAAAAAAATATAATAGTTGTTTTCCTTTTGGTTGTCAGTTTGTCTGTTCTTGAGGATTGAGAGAGGTTTTTTTGTATGAGAGTGAGTGTACTTAGGCAATGAAGATGCATGTGTGTGCGCGTGTTCGTGTGAATATGTATGTGTATATGTGTACCCTGCGCCCGCTTCTGCATGTGTGCGAGTGAGAAAGAAACAGCAAACCATCGTCCCTAAGGTACATTGCTATATTTTTGTATTCTTTTATTGCAGGTGTTGTAAACCAAACAATGTCCTTCCTTTGTTTACTTTCTTGTTTTCCAACAGCCCCAACCAACTTACACAAAAAACTCACACCAATAGCATCGAACCTTGACGCATGGGGCATCAGGCCCGATATGTGCGTGTGTACGAGTGGCACCATTTTAGGTCATTTTTTTCGTGTCCAGCGGTCTCTGTGTTGTTTGTACCTGAGAATTGATTGGGTGGAATATTTTAAGGTTTAGAACACAAATGAAAAAAAATCCCTTTTGGGAATAGCGTTTTTATTTTTTCTTTGTGTCTATGCAAGATGACTTACGCCCATTCTCCTAGACGACCTGGGACCGGCCCTTCCCACACTCTTTCTTTGAGTCTCGCAGATAGCAGATAGGGATTTATATCCGCCGTTTCCACCATTTGATATGCCTTTGTTCTTTGTTTTTTGTTTCCTCAATCAGAAAAAAAAAGGCATCGGTCACTGGTTGTCTCAGCAGAGAATTGATGGTTGGGGCTGAACATATCTATTGTCAAAGGTGGTTCGTCCTCTTCCATCCTCAGAAATGTCGAGGTCGACTCTTTGCATCCTCGTCGTCCTCGCGCATCGGGAGAATTTCTTTTAAGCTGCACATGCTTGTCCATGTTATCCTGGTTGGTGACAATAGCCGCTGTCAGTGTCCATATCTTTCTCGGACAGATCCCCCGAGGATGACCTCGCCATCAAATATGTTGCTGTCGTTGTTGTTGTTGTCTTTCCTCAGGTTATGAGGGATGTGACAATTCTCTTTACCCAACCACTCCTTGACATCAAACTTCTTAGCCCCACTCCTTGAGGTCACTCAGATAGACCTGCTGATTTGGCTGTCGCCTTGTGAAGTGGTACGACACACCATCCAAATGAATACGGCAGCTGTTCAAGCTCGTGCCTGCTCCTTCACCGCACCCTCAACAAACGACTTGCGATGAAAAACGAAAACAAAAAAAAAAGAGACATGCATGTGCAGGCGTGAAAGTTGTTTTTATATCCAACGTAAACAACAGGCCACATGATCCTAATTTTTTTTTTTGTTCCTCTTTGGTTTTGGTTATTATTATTTTTATTCTTTCACACAGCACAACACATACACCCCTTTCTCTCTTATTCTTCTACTACTTCGCTCCTTAGGATCCTCGTGTTCGGTTGTCTATAACGACCAAGAACGACATTGCTGCCCTACTCAAACCCAAGTGGCACCCCCATGCTGTTGCCGCTGCTCAAACAAATTCCTGGCCTTCTGCTCACTTGGTGAGATGATCGGGGTAACGGTGCCTCTAAGGGGAATGTTGGAAAGGAAGCCGACTTGAGGCCTAATCTTGACTGTCTGCGCCAACTTTTTTTTTTTTGAAAATGACGTTTGCCCCAAAAGGCCATCGGGTGTTAGCTACATCTTCCATTGTTTTTTTCCTCGCACATTCCATCAGTACACTCACACCCACGACGTTCGAATAAAAAAACAAAAAAAAACAGAACTTACGGCAAGTCTCCAGAGCCACATGGGCATATGAGTGATCAAAAACAAGATGATGGCGCCAATAAAACTCTTCTCCATGAACTTGCTCATAAGCTGACTGTTCTTGAACGACACCTGGACCGCGGGTAATCGCTCGGTTTGGTACTCTTCAAAGATTTTTGTCACTTCTTCTCCGGTTCTGGATGGGAGTGAATAAAGGAGGTTGGCTAATGCGATCGCGTCGTGCATTGCTGTCACCGCACCTGTGTGATGGAAGGGGGGGGGAAAGCGGGGGATGGGGGGTAGATGTGAGTTTAGTCCTGGGTGTAGTTTCAACTGTTCGTTATGGGATAGAAATTAAAGGAACTGAAAGGCACTTTACCATGTCCTCCAGATGGGTGAAGCTTGTGGCAAGCTATGAAAGAAGAAGAAAAAAAAGGGCACCAAAAGCTAGTTAGCGAGAAAAAAAACGAGACAAAACAGGACACCTAATGGCCAACGCCATGCCAAAAAACAATATTAATAAGTACGCACCATCGCCCAATAGGACAACACGCCCTGAATACCACGTCTGGAACACCTTTTCTTCCAACATAACCTTAGAAATCAGATCCTTCTGAGCAAGGTCATACAGATCTCCCAGAGTCGACAATCCTTCGCCAAGAGGGATAGGAAAGTTCCTGGTCTCATCACACATAACCTGGGCCGGGTAAGCGCCCCATTCTGCGTTGTCGTTGTTCCTGAATCGCTGTTCCATGGCTGCTTTGCTCGTTTGTTCGTTCAGATGATGGATGACACACCAGGCAAAACTTCCTTGTGCCGTTAACATGATTGACCACTAGAAAAACGGTCCAAAAGAAGAGACAATACATCAATACATGCATACATCACGTGTTAGAGTTCACCCTTTTTTTTTGGCCGCTCACAAACGAAAGAAAAACTCCAATTGCCCACCATCCAATGATTGAGCCCATTCAAAGACAAAAAAAAAGGAATCCTTACAGAGAACGGCTTGTCTTTACCCAAGACAGTGGGGAACACACAGGTATCCTCCTTAATAATCGGATACTTTACAGGATCCAGCGCCCTCGTCTGACCCACAAGACAAGTACAACTGAACGGCAAGTCCTCCTGATCACCCTTGGGCAGCTCACCCCTAGCCTTCAGACGGTCATACATACGCTGACGAACAGCGCTGTAGGCACCATCAGCTCCGACGACGATATCTCCAACATGCATGCCGTTATCGTTGGTGTAGACTGTAACCTTGTTATCCTCCTCAGTGATGTTCAGGACTCGCTTTCCGAAATGGATCTTGTGCGCGGGCACTTGCTTAAGGATGAGGTCGTAGAGGTCTGGACGTGCGACGAGGTACTGTGAGTAACCAGTGCTATGGAATGGATGCCATAAACGACGAAATTTGAATAAAAATAATGACAATTAGCCGAGTGATTAGATTCGAGAGCCTCAACAGAGAAATAAAAAATCCCCCAAAAAGATGACGAAGAGGAAGAACGTACAACTCCTCGATAGCGATGTGGTCGGTCGGCCTATAGGATTCCAACGACTCCTTGTAAAAGGGTGTGAGGACGATTCGTTTGCCAAGAGGGATGAAGGCGTCATAGATGCCCAGTTGTTGAAAGACCGGAAGAAGTGTAGGACCAACAGCCATTCCTGAGCCTGTGAGTAACAAGCAATAAGAAAAAAAAGGTGTGTGTGTGTGTGGGGGGGGGGAGAGAGAGTGTGTGTAAGAATACAGGGTATAAGCAGTGATCATGGTGCATGCATGGGTTGTGTTACTATTGGGAGTCAATCGACATACCCAAAGGTTTGACGGTGGTGGCACGCTCAAAGATGGTGTATGGGATGCCTTGCTTTTCGAGGAGGGCGCCGAGCATGAGGCCTCCCAGTCCTGCTCCGACGATCAATACCGTTGGTTTGTCGTTTGTATTAGACATTGTTGGCGTCTTGGTGTGAGTAGTGTGAGTGAAGTGAGAGCGAAGAGTGAGGAAGGTGGAAAGCGAGGTTTGGCGATCAAGAGTGAACAGGAGAGTGAAAGGGAAGAAGGGAGGGGAGGGGATGAAGAGTGTTGAAGATGGTTTAAATGGAGCAGCGACAGGGAGGAAAAGGGAAGGGTGGGTCAAAAAAAAAAAGTGGGTATGTTCTCGGCCCTCGTTCATATACACATACGGCGTGTCCCCTCCCCTTCGTTCTAACTCCCGTCGTCCATCTCAACGGCAATTTGCGTGACCATGTTACCGTTAGCACGTATTTTATTTATTTTTTTCATCCGTTTTCGCACATTCAGAAGGATCTCCGATAAAGGGGGTAGAATCAAAGACAAATAACCTTTTTCAACTCCGCCCAAGAAAAAGAGTTTGTCAGGAACAAGGACACTCCTTCTCCATGTTCTACGAGAGTATTAGCTTATTGAGCCTCCACCACTCAACGCCATCATTCCAAAGCTAGAACAACTCAAACATGCCAGATCTCTCTTTTCCTCTTCCATCCCTTTGCTTCGCAACCTCACCTCCCTTTGCCACCGCCAACGGATTGATAACCACAAACACGTTGCACCAAATCTCATTCCAGTGGCGTCTCTTTACTCTCATTCATACAATCCACAATGCGAGCAACGTGTATTTTATCGCACCTCTATTTTGCCGGCAATTCCTTGCTTACCGACAGTAAACTGTTTATTATAAAACAGTTTGTCCACCAGGGATCCAGTACATCGCTCCCACTCCTCAATCTTACAGAGGAACAGTCCGCTGTCGTCTCTCAAACTCAACTCTCGCCTTCTGCTCACTCGGTGACATCACAGGCGGCACACTACCCATCAACCCAACAGCCTCTAGGAACCCTACTTGCGGACGATACCTAATCGTCTTCTTCAACTTTTTTTTTTTCAGAGAACCAACCCAAAACACAATGATTAAAATCGTTAGTATTCATTTCCATTTGTTCATGACCACCTTCGTTCACTGTAATCCAAAAAAGGGCGGGGGGACTTACGGCAAGTCGCCAGAGCCACATGGGCATATGCGTCATCAGGAACAACACAATCCTGCCAATGATCCCGCGGTCAGACACTTTTGCAACAAAACGACTGTTGTTGTAGGATTCCATGACGGCCGGGTGTCTCTCCTTGCGATACTCTTCAAAGACTTCTGTAACGTCGGAGGATGTGGATGTGGGCATGGCGTAGAGGAGGTTTGCGAGTGCGATTGCGTCGTGTAGGGCTGTCACTGCGCCTGTTATATTTTGGATGATGTATGAAAAGAAATCAAATAAAGTATGTGAGATTGAGGAGGTGTCCATCCTTGAGGATCCCTTGGTCTCCGTTGTCGATCCAGTTTATCAGGACAATAGAAGGAAGCACATGTACCATGTCCTCCGGCGGGGTTTAACTTGTGACATGCTATGAAAGAAATGCGAAAGCAGAATATCTTTAATTGCACGCTTCCAGTACGAGCCACAAACCGCTCCATCCAATTCAACCAGATACGTACACAAAAACAAATAAACAAGCACACTTACCATCCCCAAGAAGAACAACCCGTCCATCATACCAAGTCTCAAAGACCTTCTCCTCCCTCATAACCTTACTGACAAACTCCTTCGGCGTCAGCGCATAAATATCCCCCATCCTCCCCATCTTCACTACCCCATTCTCATCCACTTCCCCAGTCAACGAAGGGATCGGGAAATCCTTTGTCTCCTCACACATGGTCTGTGCAGGGATGGCCCCCCATTCTGAATTTTCGTTGTTCCGGAACCGTTGTTCGAGCGCCGCTTTGCTGGTGGTCTTGTCGAGTTGATGGACGACCGACCAAATAAGTGTATTTTGTGCTGTCGTGAAAAAAGACCACTAGTTTGTTCCCATGCAAAAAAAAAAAAGGCACAAACGTTAGCTTCCCCTTCTTCCTGTATCTCCATTCCTCAATGTTACTCAAATGCTCTAACCCTGTCAAAAAAAAAAAAAAAAAAAAAAAAGGGGGGGACTTACAGTAAACGGCCTACCATCACTAAGCACAGAAACAACCTGGCACCTCTCCTCCGCCACACTCGGAGCCTCCTCCACACCCAACACCCTCGTCTGCCCAACCAGACAAGTACAACTAAACGGCAATTCTTCCAAATCTCCCTTGGGTAATTTACCCTCCTTTTGAAGAGTCTCATACATCCGTTGACGGACCGCACTGTAAGCTCCATCAGCGCCCACCAGGATATCGCCTTCGTAGGTGGAGTTGTCAGCGGTTTGGATAGTGACTCTTTGGTTGTCTTTTGTCTGCTTAGTGATGAGGACTCGTTTCCCAAGATGGATCTTGTGGGCTGGGACTTGTTTGTAGAGGAGTTCGTAGAGTTTTGGGCGCGCTACGATGTATTGCCCATATCCCGTGCTATCGTTCCGTGAATCTAGCTTAGTACTTTGAACTCAACTGAGGAAACATATGTGTACTGAAAGGAAAAGGACGCAAAAAAAAAAGAAAGTGCTTACAATTCCTCAATGGGTCTGAAATCACTAGGCCTTTTCGGGTACAGGATCTCGTTGGATTCTCCAAAACTCGGGATATGTGTCAAGTACTTTCCAATGGTGAGGAACTCTTCATAAATTCCCAATTGTTGGAAGATGGGCAGTAATGTAGGTCCCACCGCCATCGCAGAGCCTACACACCCCAATTGCAAAGAAAAAAAAAGGGAATCAATTCATGTTAGGGCTGAGTGTACTATGACAATGTTGGGGTCGAGGATGGCATAGGTATGGAGTGTTTAGAGGAAGGGGTTACCCAAGGGTTTGAGGGTGGTGGAACGTTCAAAGATGGCGTAGGGGACATTGGACTTTTCGAGGAGTGCGCCCAGCATGAGGCCTCCTAGTCCAGCGCCTGCAATTAGCACAGTTGGCTTATCGGAAGTCGTGGCTGGTGTTGACATGGAAATGCTCATGTGAACTATTGGACAAAGAGAAAGAAGATGTGTCAAGGGTGCTGGAGGAATGAGGAATGAGGAATGGAATGAACGAAAAAGAAGAGACGATGAAGGGGAGTGAAGATGATGAGGACATAAAAAAACATATACAACGGTAGGTTTTCTTTCCTCTCTCTTCCTTTCTTTCTTCCTTTCCGCTCGTCATACCGTTCCCGTCCTGCTCATCCTTCACTTTGAACAGCACACTTTGTGCAACAATAGTTTCCCAGGGGAGGCAAGCGAGGTGTGAGCATTTTGCCTTCCCTTCCTCTATGGGAAGGAAGGAGGTGATGGGCGTAACCAGAACGGCCAATTGTCATTCACTGATAGGACGATTGATGGGCAGTTTCATCGCCATTCATCTCTATGTGATCGCAATGATTCAGTTTACTAAACACAAACATGTACCATGCCCATCCATCACCGCCTTAACTAACATGGACATGGGCATTGCATTGCATTGATATTTCTCCCAATGATACCCAAATGTAAAGTGCGTGTTGTTAATATCCAGGAAACAGGAATGGACAAAGCAGCATCGGAGGTATCAACGAGAGGTATGCAAGAAGGTGGCAACCGAGGCTTGTCCTCTCGTGGTCACTTCCGTGCACCCTTGTCCCTCCGTCGGAAATATCCATGCGAGAAGTGTAACCTGCGAACATACCAATCCTTACTTGACCCTTTCATGACACAATGACGCTCATAAGCCATAAAAGAGAAAGTGAATAAGGGTAGCAATAATATCCTTCAACTAGTGCAATAACAACAGCTCAAGGTTTCGACCGTCCGTGCTCAACCATCAAGGTTCATGTTCTATTGCTATGGGAAATAAGTAAAGGGACAGGGATGATCAAGGAAAGGAGACATTTATTTCGGACTCATAAAAGAACGTAAAACAAGCGACAATGGCTCAAAAATTATCTGTCAAAAGTAGGCGCTGTGCAAAGGAGAGGCAGAGGGTGGGTGAAGGAAGGAGAGAAGGAGAGTGAGCAAGGGAAAATGTGGATAATATGGCGCAGAGGGGAAGTTGGAAGAGAGTGAGGTAGATGTGGTGGAGAGGGGATGCAAGTACCTGAGGAGATGTAGTATTGATTGACGACAGAGAGGATGGGAGGTCGCTATGAGAGAGAACAATGTGAGGCTTTTTTTCGGTATCGTGATGCACGATTATAGTGAGAGTGCGAGGGAGAAAAGGAAAGAGAAGAAACAAGAAGCGATTTTTCGTTAAAGTACAGATGGAAAAGATGAGGAAAAGCTAACTGGTGGTACATCACGCATTGCGAGTAAAAGATGGTAAGAGTAAAAACACAAAGCAAAGAAAAGGAAAAACAAAACGCAAAAGTAGAAAAAGATATACTATGAGGTTATAAGGCGGACGCAAGAGAGGAGGTCGGTTGGTGACATAGCAGTGTCATGATAGACATATCTTGCTTCTTGCGTCGACCGGGTTAAGTCGGTCAGGCAACAAAACATCCGTCCGTGAGCAGGTTAGATGACACGACGTTGAGTTGTTGAACGGGTTGGGTATCGGGTGTGGACGGTGGTAGCGAGGATCCCGACTTGGCCTTCTCCTTCTCCTTGACGGTTAAGGTTCAGTAGATCCTCAACCACGACAACAGCGACAGATCCTGCTCCTCCAGCAACACTGGTCATTGTCGCTCCTCCGTGTCCTGTAGTCAATGTGGCCGTGGCCGTGGTCCCTGTGGCTGCACCAGCACCAGTGGAGATCGAATTGCTACCCGAGGCAGAAGCAAGGAAGCGATGATGCTGGTCTTTGCTCATCATCCCTGAATCCTGTAACATGTAATCTGTCATGGGCGAGCTCAAGAACGGGTTGGTACTGCCCCCATTGTTGCTTCCAGACTCGTGTTCATCTCCCTCAGGGTGAAGGTTGTACAGTCGTCTCGCAGAGAGACCAGGGACGGCGGCATGTGGGAGACAGTTCTCAGGGTGCAGTGGGGCTTCACCACTTTGACCACCCTCCAGGTTGGATGGGGGGGTTCTGGGCGATGTTGGTGCGGATTCTGGACCAGAGTCAGATGAGGACGAGTCTTCGCTGCAACGACGGCGCTTGATACGGTGGAGCTCCAACTCTTCTTCCTCCATCTCCAAATCTTCATCCTGCAATACAGAGACCAAACGCGCAGTGAACGACATTGGCAAAGACGGCGAGGGGGCATCAGAAAGGAATCCTAATTCGGCGTCTTCTGGTGATGGGCTGGTGGCAAAGCGTGCGGAACGTTGCTGACGGGTATCGTAGTGGTGACCCTTGGATGGGGATGATGGAGCAGAGTGCAGCGCCATCTCTTGGATCGCTCGGTCGACATCCATAGCACTTACATCCTGAGTATCATCATCATGGTTGACATTGCCTTGTTCTGAAGAAGCTGCCATGGGCACCATTACATGACGACCAGAGAGGCTGTCGTCAACGTCAATACGGTGTTGCTGGTGGTTGTGGTTGTTGCTGGTACCCGTATAAGAGCTCTTGTCGATATCCATCTCGGTCTTTTCAGGAGACGATCCCATTTCGTCCTGAGGTGATATGTCATTCGACTTCGAGAATTTCTCCGCGTAGCTTTGGGGTGGCAGGTTCAACTGGGATGATGTGGTCTGACTTGACGACGACTCTTGTCTTCCCTCTAGTCCTTGAAGGAACGAGTCGACTCTGCCAGATGGGCTGGTCTCTGATGCGGTAGAAATGGTATAGGGCGAGGGCGACAATATTGAAGTGCTGTTGCCGACTGCACCCGAAATAGGTGTAACCGATTGCGATTGGAAAGATGCCAACTGGAAGGCAAGGGCATCCGAGACTGCAAGTGCGGCGGATGAGACGATCGGCTGACAGGTTTGGATGCTACTACTACTTGGACTGTTGCAGCCGGGGAAGTCTGTGTACGCCATGATGGATGCTGCCGTCGCACTAGTACTTGAGTAGTCCATAGAGTTGTTGTTGCTGTTGTTGGTATAGAGATTGGCTGAGATGATAGGGAACTCTGAAGAGGGCGAGGACAAGGGCTGGCCTGATGGCAACGGAGATGATGATGATGATACAGTCGAGGAAAACGAGGGGGAGGAGAGGTCGCTGTTAGGATCATTGAGGAGGGTGGTGTAACCAGTGGTCCCGGTTGAGGTCATGTTGGCCTCGTTTCCCAGGTTGAAATAATCGAGCTCGAGGCCCGTGGTATCTTGAAGCCAGTTCCAGATGGCAAAGGGTTCTGAGGTGGGGGTGGCAAACATGTTGCTTGGGTCGAGGGAGGTGGCTGCCTGTGGTGCGGACTGAAGCGGCATGAAGAACATATCTGATTGAAGACGACGCCAGAAACTATGGATAAGTTATCATGTCGTTCAGAGGCACAGTGAAAAAGGTGAAAGAGGACAAAGTGACAGACGAAGGAGAATCGAGTTAGTAAACGGGTTCAACACAATTAGAATGCCCATGGCAGCAACAAGAACAAGGGTCAAGCAAAGAGAGAAAGGAGTGTTTGAGTGTGAAGCGAGTTGAGGTTGGTCAAGGACAGAACAAAGAGGTGAGTTGTGAGCAGTGTTGCGTGTCAGAATATCAAAGGAAGGTAAAGGGGAGAAGTATTACCATGACAACTGGGCGACACGGCGGAGAGATTCTCGTCCGGAGGAAGCGATGCTTATCTTTGTCAGACAGAGCTGGGTAACTCTGTTCATGAGAAGCGGGTTAAGCTGGACATCGAGCTCGGTTGCACCTTGGAGCTGGTCGAGTGCGCCGTGGAAGAAGAAATCCATGGACGTACCAACAGAGCCAGCAGCTGCAGCGGCTCCTGTGAGAATTGATTCTTCTGCTGGTTGTTGATCGTGTTGTTCTTGAGGGGAGGAAGGAGAAGTCGAGGAGGAGGAGGCGAAGGTGAAGGCGGTAGAGGTGGTGGTTGTGGTCTCTTCAGCAAGGGACAGGTCCATGGTTATTCTTATTTATCTTGTGTTGCAGTAGGACGAGGACAGGACAGGGTAAAAAGAAACGACGGAATAGCCAAACAAAAAAACACAGAAAGAACAAGGAAGGGGAAAAAAGAAAAGAAGAGAAGGGTTCGACCAACAAAATCAAGTGTGAGGTATGTGCCGTATTGTTGTGTGCTATATACTGTTTTCTCACTTGTTTTGTTACACGATGGCGAGGATCTGGGTTTCCATCCAACAACCAGACTGATTCAAAAGGGAAAGGGGTGTAATTCAAAAAGAAGAAGGGCGATAAGAAGAGTGGATTGCTATTGTTGGGAAGGACAAGGAGGAGGAGGGAGCATTGGAGCAGGTGTAGAAGAGGAAGATGAGCTGGGTGAGAGAGAGTAAAAGGTTGAAGGAGTGTGCGAACAAGAAGATAACCAACTGAAAGGGAAAGGCAAAGGGGAAGGAGAGACGAAAAGGGGGTTCAACCGCGGGAGGAGGGTGTGCTTGCTGGCAGTGGATTTATATCACGGTTGGTTGCTTGTTTCTGTTGCGTTTGTTATTGCTATTCGGTCTGTTCGGTCTGTTCGGTCTGTTCGGTGCTATGTCCTTGGATTCTTGGGGGAACAAAGGTGGTGTTTGCAACGGGTGAGAAGGGACAAGGGTGACTGGACTTGTTCGGAGAAGAAGGGCTTTTTGGCAGGTTCGCGGACTGGTTGATTGGCTGGTGACAAGGGTGTCGCTGACGCTGATGAACTGGACTGGGCTAAAGGGTGTCAAGGGTGTCAAGGGTGTGAGATCAGAGAGGAGGGCGAGGTTATTGTATGATGTTACAGTATGTACAGGGTGGGAGAGAAGGTATGTATGTATGGCTATGGAAGAGAGAGAGGGGGAGAAAGAGGGAGAGAGGGAGAGAGAGGGGGAGAGAGATTAGATCCTTTGTGATTTGAAGGAGAGGGTATTTTTTTTTTTTGACTGTACAAAGAAAAGGAAGAAGAATGACGAAAAGGAGGAGGAAGGGGAGTTGAAGAAGAGGAAAGAAGAAGAGAGGAAACTGCTGGAAGGACGGAAAAAGGGCAATTTCAAATACGAAGCAAAGAGGGATGGGAAGGAAGAAAAATCGCTCTCGCTTCGCCTTCTCATTCAAGCTCCATTGGCACCGCACGGCACAAATCCACCACACTCACTTGACTTGACTGACACCACTCGACTCATATACAACGCAGCCTACTTTTCGCTGTATGCACAACCGAGTTATACACACGAGTTCGCTCATAGCATATCCACACACACCCTTTACTTTCGCCCTTGTGCCTCGATTGACTCCCTTTGCCCTGCCTTGCGTTTGTCAGCGTGTCAACGCACAGTAGGTTTGATGACTTTGATCACAAAAGACCTTCAAGCGAACACGTGCCTTTTTAATGGTAACCTGAACCCCTCCTTAATGAACATTCAAATACACATTCACCAGTCACATATATCGCAACGAGCAAAAGGATAAAAAGATCTCGTCCGCCATCTCTCCTTTCTTCTCTTTGCGCTCCCAACACACTTCCCTATCGTGCCCCTCCCTTCATTCCTAGCACCCACCACATACCACAATGTCCGAGGCATTCAGGCTCATCGAGACTGGGGGTGACCCTAGAATCCATCTTGCCTTGGTACATACTCACTCTTACACACTTTTACTCTGTTTTAGACTTTTGCATTACATCTTGAAGAAACGAGAGGGGATCGTTATTACTGCCATGCATCAGAGGGGACACGACGAATAAGAACACAGACGCTGACATATTTTTATTACTTTGGTGGCAAAAACTACCCTTTCAAACATTACTGTCTGTAGGACTACAGCGTGCTTCTTCCTTTACTTCTATCGCGCTTGGGACTAGAGTCCGCGCCTTTTCTCTCTCGTTACACTCAGGTACCGTACCTTCACTCACATCTCATATCTTCCAACTTTTGCGAAAAGCCTCGTTTTTGACTGGTTGCAACAACTGAACTGACGCCTTTTTCATGTTTGACAACGCACATGTAGACAGGGACAGTCTTGAGGTACCTGGACTTGGACTACCGGTTAATTCAGCGCCAAGTCAAGGAAGAGCTACAGCTGGATAAGCAGCAAATCAGATCATCAGGAAATTCAAAGGCAGGACTCTTCGAGTCAGGAACAGCAGAGGATCGCGCCCGGTATGAAACATATCCTCACATTTGCATTTACAAAGAACAAGACGCAAAGAAAGAGCTAAACATAACTAACGCGTAATAACGGTTTACTCGTTCATTACTTTAGGATTGTGCTGGCGGATCTTACAAGACTTGAACAGTGGGAGCGTGACCACGCTACCCAATCCAAACGAGCAGGAGCACATACAAACAGATCATCACTCCTTGACAACCAAGTCTTTCGCCAAGAGATCACCACCATCATCGTCGTCCTAACCCTCCGCTGCCGGCGACCCACGGTCGAGATCCAGGTACAACATAATTCAAAGTACACATCTCCTACGCGTCACGGCTCAATCTGTCACGTTTCACAATACCAACAATCATTTATTTATCCTTTACATGAGTAGACCTTGATACAAAATCTGCGGGCAGTGCGGGATCCGGGAACGTTCATCTATGCAATTGTCGCCAACAATCCAACCGAGTTTTCGCCTACCATTGACACGCTCCTCGACTCTGATGACCGCTACAACAACGTCAAAGATATCTTGCCCCAACTCTGCAAGCTCGCTGATTACAGGACCTGGGATGTACGGCAGCGACTGGTCAATCGCAAAGTCTTTCCCAATCTGGCGATCGAACTCACCATCGAGCACTGTCACGACGAAATCGGATTTATGAACAGGATCCTCAAGGGCCAACCCGAGTGGCTGACCAACAGTCGCGGACCAGTGACGAGGACGAGCATGTCGTCCATCATGGAGTTTGTGATCTCTTCTTTGAACGACGAATTGACATCCGATCACCCAGACAATGTTGCTATCAATCGGCTACTACGGATCTTGTCAGGAATGGTTGGACTCATGGGTCTTTCCCTCACCGCGGAGCAACTGGAGATTTCTCTCGGAGTGCTGGAGATGTCACCGGCAGAGCCATGTACGGTCAACTTCAAGGTATGCTTAATCTTGATGAGCGCTGCTCAGCTGATCAAGTACTCCGAGTCACGGACACGGAGGATACTGCGCCAGCTGTTAGATTGCGCCGACTCGCCTCAGGTTTTGATGCTTTGGATCTACCTCCAGAGCAAACTGATGCCAAAGATTGACGAGTTTGCTTCACGAGCGCTCTCTATGGAAATCGTCGTTCCTCGTATGGGACTCATGGAACTCGTTGGATTCTTCACGACCCTCTTTACCGACAAGGAGCTTGCTTCGTGTGCGCTTGGTCTCGGACGACCTGCCACTTCATCACCCTACAAAACCAATGGATCCAATGGATTCAGCGCGCCAACATCAGCCGCTCCTTCGACAGCATACATCGCAAGTTCTGAGGCATCGGAACTCCGATCCGTCTCCAATTTTTGTGTTTCACATCTGCTGGATAGAGGCGTTTTCATCAGGAGTTCGACGGATGTGCGCACATGGGTCCTTGATCAGATCCAAGCCACAGATGTTCCTCTTGATGACAACATGATCCCTCTCCTCCAAGCATATACCAAAGCCATTTCAAAGTCGGATCGCATCACACGGATACCAGAACACGACATTCGCACGTTTTTTGCCAACCCCTGTCAGGACCTCACACCTGCCAAGGTGCTTTTGACCCTCTACATGTTGCTCAACAACGAAGTCTGTCTCGAGAACCTTGGCCAAGACAGTTCCAACCGGAATCGAGGTAACTTCTTTTCCCCGAACGTTCCTTGTCGTCATTGTGTGCCTTTTTTCACTGCGGACGAAATTAACAATGACCCTTTTGTGCTTATGGTCAGAGTACGACGCGACGTTGCTTCAGTATGTACAGATTAGGAAGGTATTGCTATTCGTTCAGGAGTTCCAGGGAGGAGTGGCGTTCAAGGCGGTCCAGCCCATGTTCTTAAAGCTGGTCAACTCTCAGTTTCCTGAGCTGTTTGATGTCTCTACGCTTTTGCTGGAGGAGGAGAACAAGTTCTCGTCATCGGCCGTCGTTCAGAGCTCACATTCATCAAAGAGAGGGGTCTCTGGATCATCATCATCTACGTCGCTTATCAGTACGCCACACACAACGTCAGCAGAGTCCTCGGCATGGGTCGAAACCCATTACAAGTCTCTGGAACAACACCTCCTCTACCCTGAAGACGCTATCAAAGGTAGACATCACTTGTTATTATTTTGGAATTCAGTGCTCTATGTGTTGATGAACTGCGTTCTAAATACTCTATCATGCTCTGGCACGAATTATGTTAGCATACTACGCATTCCAAAGGCTTCCGCAGGCGGACAGGCAGATACTGGCAGGGTCGATTGTTCAGATGAGTTTACCTTCGCTTTTGGACCCAGAGTCGGACCCCACGGTCATGGAAGTCTTCAAAAAGACGTGGGATCAACTCAACTCGATCATGCCACACGACCTCTGGGCTATGACTGTCGATGCCCTCCTCCCACGTTCCTCTAGCTCTTTCATCCCCCTCAACTTTGCAGCAACATCGGCATCTTCATCACAAGGCGGGGGAGGAACAGGGCCACCCCAACAGAAACTCAATCAGCAACCATTTCAACAAAAGAACAAGGACGTCTATACCTTCGAGTGGCTGGTCCAGGATCCACTCTTGCTGTTCAAGGTCGACCCACGAGTTTTTAGGACACCGACGATTTTCCGTCTGTTTATTCAGATTCTGGGCGCTGTCATGGTGGGATCTCGACACTGGTTCCGGAAACAGTTTACTGCGTCACAGGTGGTTCTGAATAGTCATCAGAACATGGTTCCGATCCAGACTCAGAAACATCGGGTGTTCAAGGAGTCCAACTTGACGGCTTTAGTCTATATCCAGGACTCGTCCATTGTTCAGTTGTTGTTTGAGATCTGTCAGCGCCGACCGGAGGATATTGAGGAGGCTTTGGCACATCAGCACCAGCAGGAGGAGGCTGCAGCTGCAGCTTCTGGTATCTATTCGGATGACGAACTTCCCGGCCACGGTCATAATACGAACAGGAAAAATAGCACTGCAGCGGGACCACGGAAACCTCCATCTCACGGGAAGGAACCTCATCTTCAGGGCCCGATCTCGGAGGTACTGAAGGAGATCCAGATTGTGACGTTCAACTTTTTGCATCAGCTCTTTATCGATTTCAAGATCCTACCCAAGTTGATTCACTTCCAAGGGTACTCGCCTGAGCTGCTGCCGGCGACGCTGGCGGGAATGGAATCATTGCACGTTTGTATGGACTTTTTGCATGAGTTGCTGTTTGCTACCCCAGCGGCTACTTCTGCCCTGGCTACCGGTCCTCCTAGTGGTGTTAGTGGGACGCCGGTGACGAGTTCTACGGGGTCTATGCTTGCTGGAGGACCGGGCGCTGGTGCTTTGGCTTCCTCGTCTACTGGATCGATCGTCGTAGGGGACGGCGGTGTTGTACCAAACGGAAACATGCCCTCGGCGGCTGCGGCGGCTGCTGCCGCTGCAGCTGCAGCGTCGTCGTCGACAGATTTGACGCTTCGTCTTTTCGCGTTACGACTGTCAGTCCTGGTGTGTGAGAGGTACCCGTTGGAGAGGACGCAGGACATGGCACGCAAGTTTATTCTGGAGCGGATGGGGGCGTTTGCGATCAGCTCGAATTATTCGCCTGAAGTGCTTGATTCTGCCAAGATCTTGGCGCGTGCTTTCCCGAGTATGCTTTCTGATATCATCGGTGTCCTGCAAGGTAAGATTTTTTTTTTTTTTTTTGGTTGTATTATTTTTTACTGGTGCTGATTTCCTAGAGGAACAGTGAGAGCTAACGCAAGTTTTGGTGTATTTTTTTGTTGTGCTTTTTTTTTTTTTTTGGTTGTTAGATGCGTATGGACAAGAAAGGCAGAAGGAGCTGGATGACTTTATCGAGTCGGTTACCCTGATGACCTCTGACCCCGCGCTCTGGAACAAGAGTCTTTTGTGATATCTTTTGCACTCCCACTACGATCCTGAACAAACAAAAATATTAAAAAAAGAAACACGAGTTTCGAGCCGAGGTTGTGTTGTATTGTGAGTTTCTGTTGGTTTGTTGGTCCTTTTTAATTTATGTATGCTGGTAGAATGGTAGTAGGTACATGGTTGAGTGAGAAACTTGTGCGGTCGATATCGTTTACAACTTGGCCAAGACAGCTCCGGCGCCCGAGACGGAAACACCAAACCTAATTATATTCAGTAGACAGATAACGGCGATTAGTACCGATACAGTGTTGAGAGCGGCTGTTCTAGCGATGTGTCAGATGTGAGAAGGAGGGTTAAAAAGTAAGTGAGAAGGTACGTACTGGGTCTCGACACCGATGTAGGTGACCTTCAAGTCCTCGACGACCATAGCGAAGCGCTTCGAGCGGACAGCGCCCATTCCGGCCTTTGTCAAATCTAATTATCGACGTTTGTACACCAAGCAACAAAATAATTAATGAGGGTGTATTCCGGAATGCCATAGGCCAATTTTGAAGTGGCTGTTTCTTTGGGTTGTTTGTTGTGGGTGGATTGAAGAAGGAGCTGAGTAATTACCCTGGACGAGACCGGTGGCCTTGACGAATTCGCCGTTTCCGTCAGCGGCCATGATGACCTTATCGCTCACGTTTGTCCACTTGCCCCACGCATCCATGACACTACAAAACAAGAAGCCAATTGAGTGTTAACAAAAAACACGACATAAAAAGGATAGGAAAACGACACAAAAAACACATTCCTCGACAAAAGGAAACTTACAAGGCGTCAGCGGTAGAGATACAAATGACCTGATCAATACCCTTCTTGGCAAGATCCTGGTACTTTTGATGGTACTCGGGGAGATGGTTGTTGTTGCAGGTGGGGGTGAAGGCGCCGGGAACGCCAAAGATGACAACCTTCTTGCCCTTGAAGGAATCTGTGCTCAAGACCTGGGGGATCCCGCAGGCGTCCTTGAGTTCAGGGTCGTATGGGCTATTAGTGGAAGGGTGAGAGGAGAAGGTTAGTTGGGCGGCTTTGTTGGATGGAGGTGTAATACGGGGTAACAAAGTGGAAAAGGAGAAGGAAGACTTACCAGTACTTGAGGGAGACGGTGGGGAGGGTATCTCCGACCTTGATCTGCTGAATTAGGTGGATATTTTGCAGAGAACGTAGAGTGGGGGATGATACGTCAGTCGTTTTTGGGGTATTTGGTGTCACTTTCTTCCTTTCATGTGCTTTGTCTTTCGGTTGAGGTGTTGGTATCCTCCTTCTGTATGGTGTATTTGTGTGTATGTCCTGTATGTCTGTTCGGCGGTCCGTCGGTCGGTTGAGGGAAAGTGTGTCAAAAGTGTTACTGAATGGCCTAAAGTGCGGGCGTGTTGTGCATGACAGTTTGGCATGTCAAGTAAAAGGGACGGTCGCCTTCCGTTGTAGTCATCCAGAAGTGTTGAAGTGAGTCCGGCTGAGGGAACTTACTTGAGCCATTGAATGTGTTGGTGAGGTGGAGTGGAGAGGAATGAGTGAATGAAAAAGAGAAAAGAGGAAAGAGAAGTAGACAAAAAAAAGGGGTGAAAAGGCAGTTTGTGAACACTCAGTTCTCCACGCGTGCGCGCAGAGTAAGCTTCGGCTGATATTTCGATCCACCCCGGAATAGACACACCACCCACTTTTCTTGCTCCGTCCCTGCAGGCCTTAAAATTCTAATTGATCGAGTACTTCCCCGGATGCGGGCAAATTCGCGTCCGGGCACACCGATCTACGTCCGTTCTTACCCCTACTCCACCCCTTCTTCCTGCATAGCGCCCTCTTTTTTACCTACTCAGTCTAGGTCATTAGAAACGTATCCATGCTGATAAAGCCGTATCTTTTTATGAGAAAAGAGGTGATAAAAATACAATTGATGTCTATGTTTTGCAAACTGTCGTAAGGCCTAATGCGGTGCGAATTACTTGCGGCCCTTGCCCTTCTTCTTTCCACCACCTTTCTTTCCACCACCACCACCACCACCACCTCCGCCTCCACCACCAGACTTCTTGCCGCCCTTCTTCTTGACGCCCTCGCGCTGGACAGACTTGATTTCCTTCTCGGTCAATGTCAACATTCCATTCTTGAATCGACCCATCGACGACTTCAATCCACGATCCGATCGCTTCGTCTCCTTCTTCTTTCCTCCTGACGCCGCGAACGTGTGTTTGATTCCCTTGTGGTACGTTCCATTGTTCTTTGCCTGTTGGGTTCGATTAAATAGGGAGAGACGGGGTCAGTTATCGGTATATGAGAAAAGGAATGAGACTGTACATGGAAACATAGTATAATTAGCAGTGCCCGGTTGATGGTTGCTTCTCCGTACCTCTTCGAGTTCCTTGACGTCTCTCTCGCGCTGCTTGGCCATCATTCCGAACTTGATCTGAAGCGGCACCTTCACACTCTGCTGTTTCTATTACATCAACAAATAACATACAAAAAAAGGCGTTAGATGGTTTGTTTTGTAGTCACTGCCCAAAGGGACTTCCTGTTATCAATAGAAAACAATGTAGAGGTCTCCATTTGAAAAAAAAAGGGAGCAAAGAAAGTTACCTGGATACCGAGACTAACGAGCTGATCGCGTTGATGTCTCCGTCTCTCAACACCATCCAACTGCTCCGCCGCAAACTGTTCCAGAATCCGACTGCTCTTGATCAATGTATGCAATTCTGCATCGTTCTTCTTCATCTCCATCTCTTCTGCCTTTTCCTCGGCTGTGAGAGGGTTCTCCATGGGTGGCGGGGCTTCGTCCAGTTTCGAGATCTTGGAGGACATGAACTTTTTGAAGGAGAAATCTGCAGAGCCTCCGGCTGCTGAGGAAGTGCCTTTGCGGTCGACCTTGGAGCTGTCGAATACTACGATTTCTGCGGCGGAACGGGGTTTAGAGGTGACGATTGTGGAGGAGGAAGTGGGGGACTTCTTGACCTTCTTCTTCTTTGTTGTCGTTGTTGTTGCTGAAGTCGTGGTGGATTTTGAAGAGGAGGAGGAGGAGGGAGTGAAGAGGGAGAGAAAGTCGAGGTCGTGTTCGGGTATGTCATCCGTCGTCGTATCTGCTTTCCGCTTCTTCGACCCAGCCCCTGTTGCTCCTGTAGCTGCAGTGATGGTGGTGGTGGTGGCGGTCTTTGGTTTGAAGATGGTGCTGACGAGTTTCTTCTTCTTGAGGGGGGCGGGTGCAGCCATGGCCCTGGCCGCAGCCTTCTTGTCCATCACGCGCTCCATGCTTTGTTGCTTTGATTGTTTTCGGTCTTGGTGATGCTCTTTGTGGATGTGAGGGTCCTGAACAAAGAAAAGGTGTCGTGAAACGTTCGTTGGTTGGTTACCATGCAACAAAAAGAAGAAAAAAAGAAACTACTGTTTACATGAAACGTCCACTAAGCCACAAATCACTCCAGCCATGTAACTGACTTTCCCCCGCCGCTCCGCTCCTTGTTTCCGTACATTCCTCGACCAAACTTAAGCACGGACACGGACAAAGGAACGACCTAGCAATGGCAACGACATCGGCATCAGCACTCGAGTACCAACGCTCAACACTCCACAGACTGGCCGCCTCGCCTTACCCCGAATGGTCCCTCTCCGCCCTCTGTACGTTCCCCCCTCTTCCCACCCCTTTTGAATTTTGACCATCATTCCCCCGCCTTTACTGAAGAAAAGCCAAATTAATTCGTTGCTGCTTTTTGTATTTTCAATAGGCGCGGCGTCCATCCCAACGGCGGCAAGACTTAGCCCGGCGATGCCCCATTTCGGCATCTTGATGGGCTTCAGTGCTGTCTGGGCTGGCTCTGGGTATGCCCCCCTCTCTTGTTTGATACGACTAATGAACCTGTTTTAGGTCAACTGATCGTTCAGGAGAGAGAATGATATCATATCAGAAAACGCACTTACTGACTGATCACTTGTGGTTGTTTTTGTGGATATGTAGGTACATGAAGTACGTAGGAGATGCCGAAAATGGATCCGGAACCACCACAGGTAAATACACCCTTACCCTCAAAAAGAAAACTCTCAGGACCAGGAGTAAATGAATGTGGAACCACACCACCCCAATACCAACCCACCAACTCACTCATGTTATCATTCCCCCCCCCCCCCCCCCCCTCTGTCGTATATCTCAAATAGCCTGGTGCTTGACATACCTGTTCCTGAACTTGAAGAGGACGATCCGTCAACCCAAGCCCATGCCCTCCTTGCTCGTCGCCGGGGTCTTCTCGAACTTGGTCATTTCTGGACGCAAGACCTTGGAAGTTGAGTTTGGTATCTAATTTGATCATTGGGAACAGGAGCAGGATCGGGAGCAGGGGCTGGAACAGGAACAGGGACAGGAACAGAAAGAGGATGGAGGTTCACATAGAAGAAGAGCACGCGCTGCATTTTGTATAATATCACACATCACACATCACTTTTCGCATTTCGCTTTGTTGGTGCTGGCGTGTGTTGAATGAACGAGCGAGGGATGGGTATTTGGAAAAGGCAGCCCAACTGGAGAAGAGATTGAGGAGTTTTGTGGCTTTTTTGCTTTGAATCCGTTGCCATAGTCGGGTTATTTGTATTAAGAAATATGCAGTTGAAAGTTATGATGGGGACGAAGGGTATATGCCATGTCCTTGGAGTCCGTGCAGTCCTGACAGGGCGAGGACACAGTTCTAGTAGATCAGTCCCTGACCCAGTCCCATGATCAGGACAAAGATGAGCTGCTCTGCGAGAGAAGTACCTTCATCGAACATGATGAAGAGACGGACGGTAAGGGTGAGGGTTGCGGTCCCGAGGGGTGATGAAGATCTGGTAGTCCTTGAGCTTTCTGAGGAGGAAACCGGATGCGCCGGTAAATATGACGGCGTCGATGATGCAGGGCATGAGGCGGAGTCCCGAATCTGTGGTCGAGACGCCTTGAGGACCTGGAAGTACAAGGGAACGTAGTAGGTGCATCCTGTGAAGACCAGACCCATCAACCCATTTTCGGCGCGTGCGAGAGTGACCTCGCGGTTCAGGAACAAGTTCATGGGAAGAATAGGTTCCAGCGCACGGAGTTCGATAAACACCAAGGCGGCGATTTAGGACGATGATCACCGCAGAGTTCCAGGTATAGGCGGTTCCAGGCACAGGACCGGTACAATGATGAACAAGACACCAGTGTAGTCGACCCTCCTCAGCTTGGTCTTCAAGTGTGTGTGGAGTGAGAAGATAAGACAAACAAAGTGAGCGAGTGAGTATGTCTTTCGATCAGTTCATTTCAGATCTGTGGAGGTGGGATCAGTGTTTCTGAATTGGAGCGATTAGTGTTGATATCCCAGCCAATGCATTCTCTTACATGGGTCTAGCACAGCAATTGCCATTTCCTTTTTTTATATTTTTTGCGGTGTCCAAATTTAACTTTCCCTTGGCCCGCTGGAAGCATCATTATCCAGGAGTGGCATAGAAGGGCCTGAACTGTCGGGACTCACAACAGGCTTTCAATTGCATCGCATTGGCCAACGTTCTTTTCCTCATTTGTCCTTGGCCAATCGCTTTCCTTGTGTTTTCCCTCCCAAGCCTTGGAGTCTAAAAAAAATACTGCAGTTGAATGGTGGCCCGTTTTCCCGAAAGAAAGCTGCGGCGAGAAAGAGGGATTGACGTTGCTATCTAGTGGGCGTTCACTTGAAGAAGAACGTCCTGTTCTGAAAACGAAGAATGACGAAATGAGAGACGGATGGCTGATCGACTATGCTGGCAACGTAGGGTCCAGGATGACCTATATCGCAAACTATAGAGGGAGCTGGCCACAATGCATTCCGACCTGCCTGCCCTGCTGGAGGTACCTGAGCGTGAGGGTGCCGTTACCAGACACCGGTAAGGGGCAGCATATCTGCGTAGAAAGATCGCAACCAAAGAAAGATTTTGGTGGCGTGCTCAACATTGTCAATGCCAGCGAGTGCAGCCAACAATGGCGCCAGCATATGATGCTCCCACCTTACCATGTTGCTCTTCTTTTCTCCTCCGTCTCTGTCAAGGTTAAGAGTGTTCGTCTCGTGCAAGTGCAAGCTGTGTACGTTGAGCGAAGTATATGGGTCCAAGGTCCGATAGGATAGGAGCAACAGCATGGGATAATATTTTGTGTTTTGCTATGCGACTTCATTCAACAAGGTGTCAAATGGACACAAAAACACAACAGCACGCATGCATGCATGAGAAAAAAGAAAATTATGAGCCGCCGGGACGCCAAGTAGGGCAAAGAGTGAATGAATGTCGACAAGGAAGTACGCCAGGAGGTATGGAGGTAGAACAGACGCTTTTTCTTCTTTTATCTTCCTTGTTTTTCTCTTGAGGACATCCCTTCAATAGTGATTCACTCTTCTCTCTTTTTCTCTCATTCATTTTCATTCCAAGACTCATTCACATCTCTCACTTCACTCATTCCACAATAAAAAAAAACAGCTATGTCCGACACGACCGAAGTCGACACGAACCCTAAACCGACTGTCATTATTGTCGGTGCTGGTTTGGGCGGTCTCATGCTGGGGGCCTTGCTTGAGCGGGTTGATATCCCTTATCTCATTATCGAGCGAGCCACCAGTTTCAAGCCTCTCGGTAATCCCCTTCTCTTTGTCTCACTCCCTCCTTTCTTCCACCCTGAGTTCCAACCCTTGCAATGTGATTATGACAACCCTTCTTTCTAACGCTGACATTCATTTGAATGGACAGGATCGGCGATGAGTCTCGGAGGGCAGGTCCTACCGGTGTTTACTCAGCTTGGGATCGCAGAAAAGTACCGAGCCATAGCCAAGCCGTACACCTTCTCGCGAGGCATTTCTGAGACTGGCAAGCCCTTACTCAAACTCGACTGGTCTGCTACCAAGGACGTGTAAGTTAGCTATGGCACAACAATAACTTGACTGTGCTTGTCTGGAGAGGAGTGAGTGTCTAACAGTGAGCAACTCTTCCTTCCTTCCCTTTTGGCCTGACCTCCAGTTACGGATATCCGAACTACATTGTTGCTCGGCCTCAATTATACGATCTCTTGTTAACTCAAGTCCCAGCACACAAAATCTTGCTCGGAAAACGAGTCTTGACTATCAGTGAAGACGACGAGCGAGTCAAGGTGCAAACCAGCGACAACTCCGTCTACGAAGGGGACATCCTCGTCGGCGCCGATGGCGCCTACAGTGCTGTTCGCCAACGACTCTACGAAACCCTGAAGCAGCTAGACCAACTCCCCAAGTCCGACCAGGAGGACTTGCCCTTCAATTGTACTTGTCTTGTGGGCCAAACTGAGCCATTGAACCCGGAAGAGTTTCCTCAGTTGAAGGATACGGGGTACCCGTTTATCTTTACGCTTGGTCGTGAGGGTAGACCGTACACTGTAAGTGTTTTGCTTGGTGGTTAAATTGCAATTAGTTTTTGGTGTTTGCACTGTCGCTGTAGAGGTATCTTTCTGTGATGTATTTTTTTTCTCACACAAACACAAATCGACGTTTTCCTCCTTACTTCTTTTGTCTTTTACGCTATCGACTCTCAAATGAACCGATTAGTGGACAAACTTCACGACTATCGATAACAGAATCTGCTATGTGGTCTTTGAACACCTCGACAAATCTACCAGCAGAGCAGCTCAGGAGCAACGATTTAGACATTCGGAGAACTCGGAATGGGGTCCCTACGCCGCCTTGACGATGTGCGACGAGACCAGGGACTTTCCTATCCATTACCTTGGAAAGGACGGTGCCAATTTGACCATGGGGTATCTCTATGACAGGACGCCTCAAGATCGCATCTCCAAGGTCATGCTTGAGGAGAAGATCTTCAAGACCTGGCACCACAGCCGCACCGTCCTTCTCGGCGATGGTAATTGCTTCTTGGTCATTTTATTTCTTCGTCGTTGGTGAAATGGGTGGTAGTATGTCGATGATTGACAGAGCGCACGCTTTTCTTCTGTTCGTTTCATAGCTTGCCACAAGTTGAACCCGTCTGCCGGACAAGGTAACGAAATGCGAATCAAAAAGCATTATCCGATAACACTCATGAAATGAACCATGGCCCATTTTGGATCGTCTCTCTATTTTAATTCAAGGTTTTATGCTCACAAAACTTTTTCTTCCTCTCTTCCCACCATCCATTTTCCCAACAGGTGCCATAACAGCAATGCACGACGCAATCGTGCTCGCCAATCAAATCTACGCCCTCCCCACAAACACCTCCCAAGCTATCCACAAGGCCTTCACCGAATACCAAGCCGAGCGTTACCCTCCTGCCATCGAGGCCTCCCGGAACAGCGTCCTTCTCAGCATGATCCTCAGTAAAGGGTTCATGGGGATGGTTGCGTTGTTTGTGACGCAATATATCCCCGATTGGCTCTGGAGGATTTTTGTGAGAAAGATGGTTCATACTAGACCCGCTTTTGGGCCGTTAGAGAAGCAGGAGTATAAGGAGACTGTAGCGCCGTTTGTGTCGCAGAGTGAAGAGAAGGCGAGGAGGGTTTTTGAGTTGCGGAAGAGTAAGGCTGCCGCGGCAGCTGGTGGTGGCGCTGCTGGAGAAGTTGATGCTGATGCTGTTGAGAGTGGTGCTTCTGCCAGTGCTATCTGAGAAGAGAAGGGGGCGGGGCGATTGGGTTTGAAATAAAGAAGACGACAGAGGATAAAAGCAAATTGACAATGGCCTGTGCATCCTTTGAGTCCAAGTCACGTACAATGAATTGTACGTGAACGTTTAATTGAGCGAATCAACTTGGCTCCAAGGCTCCACGCGATTGATAGGTAGCAAACAATCGTCACCTATTATCCGATGCCCGTACCTGGATACTCTACCCATCCACACCAGGATAACTGTCCCTTATTGACATGGCATCCTGTGGTCGACAGTATAGCTCCCTGCCTTTATTTGTCTCCACAATTATTTATTTATTTATTTCCCGCTGCACTTTTAGTCTCTTCCAACAGCCACAGTATCAAGAGTGCCACTTAGAAAAAAGAAAGGCGAAGACTTACGGCTTTGACTCTTTTTCTCTTTTTATTTTCTTCTTGCCCTTCTTGCCCTCTTTGCTCATTCCTCTTCCTGCCACCTCGCAACCTTCGCCTTCCATCATCTCAACACTCATCCACCTCCTCTTACTCGACATCCACTAATTCGCCACTCATAGTTATATTCTGCACACGTGACCGAGTGCAGACTCGCATAACAAAACTCATCGCAATACAAAAACAACGTTAGGCTACCCCAAACCAAAACAAACACAACGCAGTGTGTCCACCCATCGAGGTACGAGTACGACCCTTCTAAATATTACTGGAAGAACCACAGCACCGACTGATAACTAGAAAAGGCGACCATAGCCACAAGAAACTAACTATCTATATATTCCAAATTGTTTTCTTCATCCTCCAAGGTTTCCTGAAGGACGAATTCTCAAAGTCAACACGCACCCAGTCACCAAGCAGGTTCCAAGCCGTGTGAAGAAGGATAGGCACAGGAACTGCGCACCTTGGGTGTTTCTAAACACGAATTGGAACCCCCTTTGCTTCGAAACTAGTCTCCTTACTACTCGTACAAGTCTCCCCAACAAGCCCGACCGCCTAACTCACCAGTCTGCACCAAAGGAATCGACATCGCCATTCTGGTACGTGTGGGTCCCCGCTGACGCAAACTATGTCTTAAAAGAGTCTCTCCTAACTAATCGCTTATTTCATTATCACTCATAGGCTCACCATGTCATCTCCCTCTGCGACACAGGAAACTGCAGATAACCAGGACTTGATTAATGACCGCAGCTTTAGTCTCTTGCAAATTAGCCGGTCAGCAAAGTTCGGACGTACTTCAGCCGAAACGGGCAATCTTGCTTCAGTCGAAGATGCGCTCCTCAGGCTGAAGACGAACAGACTTTTCGAGTACAACCAACCTGTCTACATTGCACCAATGGCCAAGTCCAATCTGCAAGCGCCAGACAACAGCGCACTTCCTCTTATGGACATGGTCCGGGAGTTCTTAGCAGGCAACGGTCAGGTCATGCTGATTCTAGGCGACTCTGGAGCCGGAAAGTCGACATTCAATCGACATCTGGAGTACCAACTATGGACGAACTACGAAGCTGGAGACTGCATCCCGCTCTTCATCAACCTCCCAGCCCTGGACCGACCGGACAAGGATCTGGTTGCGGAACAATTGAGATATTGTGACTTTTCAGAGGAGCAAATTCGGGATCTAAAATTGCACCGCCAGCTCGTCTTGATCTGCGACGGCTACGACGAGAGTCAACTCAACTCCAATCTTCACACCACCAACGTCTTCAATCGTCCTGGGAAGTGGAACGTCAAGGTGCTCATCACCTGTCGCACACAGTATCTCGGACCGGACTATCGGGACTGCTTCGCTCCTAAGGCAAGTGGGCAGTACAACCGAGCTGCCTACGGTCTCTTTCATGAAGCCGTCATCACGCCCTTCACCAAAGACCAGATCGAAGTGTATGTCGACAAGTATGTTCCTCTCGAACCGCGCACTTGGGTCAAGGAGGACTACATGGAGAGGCTTGCAACAACCCCCAACCTTATGGACCTGGTTAGGAACCCGTTTCTACTGACTCTCGCTCTGGAAGCTCTTCCAAGTGTCGTTGAAAGCAGGGCCGATCTCTCCAAGCTCCATGTCACCCGTGTCGAACTGTATGATACGTTTGTCAAGCATTGGCTGGGTGTCAACAAGCGCCGCTTGCAGGAGCAAACGTTGAAGGACGGCAAGTTAGATGCACTGAAAGAGCTTCTTGCAGATGGATTCGAGCAGAACGGGATTCAGTTCCAGAGAAACCTTGCGGCGGCGATCTTTTGGGAGCAGGATGGGCGCCCTATCGTTGACTACTCGCACCGTAGAGATAAGACTTCGTGGAAGGGAGTGTTCTTCGGCTTGGAGCCAGACACCACCTTTCTGCGAGAATCCAGTCTACTGAGTCGTGCCGGCAACCAGCACCGCTTCATCCATCGATCTGTCTTGGAGTATTTCTTCTCTTGTTTCGTCTGGGACACCTCCAGGGATGATAACGAGTTTGCTCCGCATGTTTATTCAGAAGCTACTGGTGTATCTCTTCCTGTTACCGATCATCCACTGTCCAAGAGGAGTCTTGTCCCGGAACCATCGGTCATCCAGTTTCTCGCCGAGCGTGTCCAAATGCAGCCCATCTTCAAGCAATACCTTCTCGCGATAATTGAGCTTTCCAAGTCGGATCCCTTGGCTAGCATAGCCGCATCCAACGCCATCACGATCCTGGTGAAAGCTGGGAGACACTTCAATGGAGCTGACCTTAGAGGCATCCGGATCCCAGGAGCCAATCTCACAGGTGGGCAATTCGACTCGGCGCAGTTTCAGGATTCCGACCTAACAGGAATTACCTTCACCAAGGCTTGGATCCGACAGGCGGACTTTAGCAGAGCACGGATGGGCGAGACACGGTTTGGAGAGCTGCCGAGTTTGCGGGAAGCGACTCACATACAGTCATGTGCATTTTCCCCTGATGGAAGGACTTTTGCAACGGGTTTGAGAAACGGCAACATTAGTATCTACGACACAACCACCTGGACAAGGATTCGGCTATTTATTGGTCATGAAACAGCCGTTTGGAGCCTCGCCTATTCAACAACCGGCCTTCAACTTCTCTCCGGCAGTTCCGACGGCACGGTGCGACTGTGGGACGGTGAGACAGACACGACCGATCGTATTCTGAAGGATCATTCCGAGGAGGTGACAGCTGTTGCGTTTTCACCCTCAGGCATGCAGTTCGCCTCAGCCAGTGCGGACAAGTCAGTGCGCCTATGGGACACCCGAACAGGGACCGTCACTTTTGTCATAGAACATTATGGCGATGTCACAGAGATCGCGTATTCACCAGACGAGAACAACATTGCATTCTGCTGCCTGGATGCACAAGTCCAAGTATTCGACACGCGGACGGGCTTTCTGGCGCTGGGTTCTGGAATGAACAACGAGGGTTATCTCTGCCTTAAGTATTCCCCTAACGGACAGTCAATCGTCTCGGGTGACTTCTTCGGCGATCTACAACTCTGGGAGGTTACCACTATGATGCCGAGGATTGAATGGAAAGGACACTCTGAAGATGTGAATAGCGTCGAGTTTTCGCCGGACGGCCAATGGATTGTGTCCGGCAGCGATGATAAAACGGTCAAAGTGTGGAGTGGAGATGCAGCCACACTTGTCTCTGTATTCACAGGTCACACTGACTTTATCACCAGTGTTACATTTTCCCCAGACGGCTCACTCATTGCTTCAGGAAGTGGGGATCAGACCGTACGACTCTGGGAGGTGAACTCAGCTGCGTTTGGTCTCGACAAAGATAGCGCCTTCGACTCCAAGCCAAGTATAGCCTATTCTCCTGATGGACGGTTTCTCATCTCTGGCAGTCGCGCTGGAGCTATAGAGCAACATGACGCGGAGAGTGGCGAGATCGGTCTTGTTATTCGCCGCCAAGAGGCCGAAGTCAATTCTATCGCCTATTCATCGGACGGTCGTCAAATTGCCATGGGTGGTTTCGTAGGCGATGTCACGTTGTGGAACGCTTACACCGGCGCACTTGAGAACACTCTTCGTGGCCATGCTATGGATGTGAGAAGAATTGTGGATGTGATAGCAGTTGTGTTCTCACCATGCGGCCAATGGATTGCTTCCTGTGATGAGATGACGGTGGAAATTCGGAATGCTCGATCAGGCAGGTCTATTCAGGTTATCCCTGGTGGCCGCCACTCCTTCGCATCTCTGTCGTTTTCGTCCAACGGTGCTGAAATTGCATTTGGAAGCGAGTGGGGAGAGGTGCAAGTCTGGGATGTGACGACTGGGAAGTGCAAGATGGCGAAGAATAGAGCTAACCTTTTGTGCTTTGTGAAGCATTTACCAAGAAGTCTTCAGGTTGTTTCCAGTCACGGTGGAGAAGGTGCTTATTTGTGGGATGAAGAAGGCCAACATGCTCGAGTCATTTTGCAGCACAGTGGTATTGCCATCCAAAACTTTGCATTCTCGAGTTGTGGTCAATGGATAGCAAGTGTTCAAGATGATACTGTTCATCTGTGGAGAAGCCCTCTGGAGGTGAAACCACAGGACTGGAAGTATGTGCTGGCCGTCGAGGGTTGCTTAGGGAGGATTGAGGAGATTTTCTGGAGGCCTAACAAGTTGGAATTTGCCACCGCCGATATGAGTGGATCCACTCGTGTGTGGAGGGTTGTGGAGAGGTTCGGCAAAGTGCAGGTCCAGCTGGTGTGGGGTGCTGGAGGGGGAGGTGGTCTTGCTGTATCGGGGTCGCTCCTTGACGATGCCATTGGTCTTAACGCGATCAACCGGAACGTACTGGAGCAGCGCGGCGTTGTTCTCTCCAAGACCCTGTAGTGACGAGTTTCTATCGCAATACGGTTTTGAATGATACCATGATGGCTCTTTCTTGTTAAATATCAATGAGTAGCAAAGACATTACAAATCAGAGAAATGATAACGTACGTGTTCTCACTTTTCGTGTTTGTACCTGCCAGAAAGGGAGTGTCGTCATTGATAAGATACTTTTTTTCGTTTCGCGAAACGGTCCTGCAGACAGTGCTGATTGATAGCGAGAGTGCAGTGGAGATCCAAGGAGTGGTTTTCGGCGCCGTTACCAGCTATCCCTGGCGTCAACCAACATCCACCTCTTCCGGTTACTTCAGATGACCCTGAGCCTCTAGGTCCGAGTGCTTCTGAGGATGATTGTGGGTTGGAAACAAAGGCGAGAGTGGCGACCTTGCTGCAGTTTCCTTCTGTTTTTTTTTAATGTTGATCTGATCAACCGATATCAGATTTCAGCGGTGCCTAACTAGATTGATCTATCTCAGGAGCAAACGATTTTTTATCAGCACAAGTCGGCTAAACGAGGACGAGGGGGGGGGGGGACTACAACGAATAAAGCGCAACATTGCATTGTGCTCGTTTTTATTGTTTTTGATTGTCTTGCTCACCTCTGCCTATGATACTTATTCAGGACTAGGACCTGGCATGTTTCGAAAGCAAAGGTACCGACAGGCAGTTCGTTTTGTTTTTTTCTTCAATTATTTATTTTGGACCAAACATGCGGGTCAGTAGTAATTAGGCGCAAGTAAAAGATGCAATGGTACTGATAATAGGTAGGGGTATACAAAAAAAAAGGAGGGGTGTCAGTGTAAGCGAGTTACTCCTTCTTGGCAAGGGATCCTCTGCGTCTAACAAAAAGCGACAACAAGAACCCAAATCCAATCATGGGTGTCAGAGTAATAAACAGCGTCCTGAACGCCAACGCATACGCGTGCACAACCTCCACCTTCAACTCTTCAGGCAACGTGAAGATCACATTAATGTTCTCAATCACGTTCAACTCGCGGAACACGACTTGACTGGACTCTGGGAGTTTTGCAAGGTTGGTGGTAAGCGAGTTGTTGATGACAGAGGCACAGACGGCGACACCGACGGCGTTTCCGATACTGTTGATAAAGACGACGAATCCAGTAGCGACGGCCATGTCCTTGGCTTCGGTGCAATCCTGACAGGCGAGGACACAGTTCTGGTAGATGAATCCTTGACCAAGTCCCATGATGAGGACAAAGATGAGTTGCTTTGCGAGAGAGGTATTCTCATCAAACATGATAAAGAGACCGACGGAGAGGGTGAGGGTTGCAGCGCCAAGGGTGATGAAACGGCGGTAGTCTTTGACTTTGGCGAGAAGGAAGCCGGATGAGCCGGTTGAGAAGACGGCGCCAAGGACAGCAGGCATGAGACGGAGACCCGAGTCGGTGACGGATGTGCCTTGGACGACTTGGAAGTAGAGGGGTATGTAGAAGCCACAGCCGTTAAAGATGAGTCCGGTGAGGAAGTTGACGGTGACGAGGAGGGCGACTTCACGATTGAGGAAGAGGTACATAGGGATGATGGGCTCTGCAGCACGCTGTTCGGCAAAGACGAGGACGATGATCAAGACGCCCATGACGCAGAAGAGCGAAATGATGACGGCAGAGTTCCAGGCGTAGGTGGTACCACCCCAGTTCAGTGGCAGAAGTAGACACAAGACAACGCCGATGGTGATCAACACTCCGAAGTAGTCGACTCTTCTCAGCTTCTTCTGCAAGGTCTCGGTGCGCTCAAAGGGGATCTGATAGAACTTGAAGACGAGGAGCATGGCAAAGATGCCGATAGGGATGTTCATGTAAAAACACCACCTCCATGTCGAATGCTCAACAAAGACACCTCCGAGCAAGGGCCCACAGATACCAGAAACACCAAACGCCAAATACGCCAGAGTCTGGTACCGGGCGCGCTCGTTGATGTCGTCAAACATGACCGAAACCATGATCATCATGATCGACAGCAATCCTGCTCCACCGATTCCCTGGACGGCTCTGAAAATAATCAGCATGATCATAGACGAAGCGGCACCACAGCCGATGGATCCGATGAGAAAGATGACACTGGCACCGAGGTACATTGACTTGAGGCCAAAGATGTCGGAGAAGCGACCGTAGAGGGATTGGAAGGCGGTGTATGCGAGAAGGTATGCGGTTGCAATCCATGCCATCTGGGATTGGGCGTTGAAGTCGGAGGAGATTTGGGGCAAGGCGGTGGCGACGATCGTGTTGTCCAGTGCTGCCAAGATGCATCCTAAGAAGAGACTTAAGTAGTAAATATAAAGAGGGGAGAAGTTAAATGGCTAGTTCTTTTCTTACGCCTTTATTACTAGAATTTTTGCTCTGAGGCAGCCATTGCATAGAATTGAGGAGATCTACCCAAGGAGCAAAAGAAAGCGACGGATGCCGGTTGGTGTGTGGTTGGAAGGCGTATCCTGCTGTTCAAGATCGCTCTCTAGCTTGTTGTCACCAATGGACTTTTCGTTGGAGTCAAAACCATGGATGCTAGCCTCGACTGTTGAGGCGGTGGTCGAAGGAGGGATGTTGAGTGCACCACCAGCGTCGTAAGGTGGTGATGAGGAAGTTGATGTTGCTGTTGTGGTTGCTATCGTTGCTGTTGGTGTGGTCTCCATAGTGGCTGTTCCTTGGAGTGTTTTCTTATACAGTGGTATAAAGAGGGATGAAGAGTGAAGAGTGAAGGAAAATAATAGGGAAGGGGACGTCCTTTTATACGCAATAACAAAGAGCGAGAGATCGGGGATGGCTCGGAGATCGTAGTATTATTCTTTTTCTTCTCTGTCTGACACTTAATGAAAAGTGTACGTGTGGAAACCATACCTAAAAAATAATAATTCATTCGTACTCTTCTGCTGACAATGGATGGGACTGGAGTTCGTTGGAGCAACTTTATTTTACATGGCTCTCGTACGACAGATTCACTCTACCCCTCTTCCTTTTCGAACTCCTTTTCTTTGGCCTTTTGTGTCTCGTCTTACAATAGGACTTTCGCATTGGCCATCCACTCTAGTTTATCTATTTTCCACACTGCTCTGGACCTAACTGGTGCAAGATCTGCAGTTGTAAATGAAGGGACGCCTCTCTTGGAGAGGAATGGAGTTTGTTGGAGCAGTTGGAGAATGTGACGACTGTCTGGGATGGAAAATAAGATCTATGCCAAACAATATCGAAAATTATTTGTTTGTACAGCCAATGGACAGGGGCCGGCTGCAGGGACAGTATCCATTTGTTGTGTTGACAGTGTCTGCATGTGTAAATGAAACATACTTTGTGAAACTAACAAGGTCATCAGTGTAATCGTTCTCTTTTTGGTCATCTAAGTGAGAGGAGAGAAAAAAAAAAGTAAGGTTGTTGGAGAAAGAAGAGGAGAAGGATGAAGAGAAAACGAGGAGGAGGTTAGAGTCTTTGATAATCGGAACCTCGACCTTGATCCTAGGGATTCTGTACACACAACGGTCCCCCCTGTCTCTTCCATCGAAAGAACGATGACAATCAACAACAGGTCGATACACTTCCAGGCAGATAGGCATCAAACCTTCTGCCCTGGTCTTGAATTGATCTCTTCCAAGCACTGTGTCTGTGCGCCTGTTATGTGGTCAAAAAGGAAAGTTGGTCGAGAAGAACAAATAACATGAGGCAAAAGGGGGATCACACCGTGTGCTGGTTAACTTTATGTTTGTCTTTGGAGATGCCAAAAAAACCATGACAAACGAAACATACAGGTGAGACCAGAGGGAAGGAACGATGAAGAGGAAAAAGTGTAAGAAAGATGGATAAAGTGAGAAAGAGGGGCTGGAGAGAGAGAGGGAAAGAAAGAGAGAGAGAGAGAGAGAGAGAGAGAAAGAGAGCGAAAGAAGGAAAGGGAAGTGTCCCGAATGTGAAAAAATGCTTCTAGACGAAAAAGGGTGAATGAACAAAAAAAAGAAATAAGGTGTCCTTCACTCTACCACCATGTCTTTTGACCAAACAGCCGTGTTTCCATACCATCTAACCATGTTTCCTGATCAAGCGTCGAAAAGCCGCCTCTTGCGCACTGTCCTGTCCACATCGTCGAGCACCAGAGGCTCGAACGCCGATGAGATCTGAGGAAAAAGTCGGCATCCAAATTGGTCCTGCCGAACAAGTCACTCCTCCGGCTCCTTGGGTCCGGGTTATGTTGGGGGGAGATGCCTCGGTACCGTGAGATCCAGAGGTTGCGTGAGACTCATATCTACACTTGTCCAAAGTCGATAGCCGAGTGCAGGTGAATGCGATTGAATGGGGAAGGCCGCCATAGATGTTCCTGAAGGTAGGGATAAAGCGGGATATGATGTCGTTCGGGGGTGATCCGGATAATTGGCTTTTCCGCCGCTGCCGTGCCAGAGAACGGGAGAGCAGGGCCTTGTGCCATGACTTGGAGATTAGAATCAGGACAGCGGCAGTCTCAGAGTAGAGGCGTGTACCACCATAGATATCCTTGTCATCGAGACCATGGCGTCAAGAAATGTGCGCCTAGCGCAATGATTTCTGGAAGGGCGGAGAGGGTTCGTATACTTGGACATGTGGGATGGCATGCTGGTCGGCGCTGCTGTGTCTATTATGGTGAAATATGGGTATGTAGGCAGTTAGAAAGCGTCAGCAATTGCTATGTTATTCTCTTGCATTGTCATGTAACCGGCCGTTGTCAACAAACCACGTCCTTCAATTGTCCAAAGTCGACCAGCTAGCGCAAGCTAACACTTCTGTGAGTCGTCCGTTTTACAACGCACGCTCATGATTTATACCCAATTGTGTCTTTCCCATGTGCACAGTAAAATGTCGCCAAGTGATGTATCCTGAAGTGGTGCAGAATTGGACAAACACACTGTCCAACCTGTCGTTCAGCCTGGTCTTTGGGGGGGTAATTTCTGTCAATATGCGTTGTTGCTTTAGCGAACACGAATCTGGTGACCGGGATTGTGTCTGCATTGTTGATCGAGCGGTGACTGATTCAATAAGGAGAGTATAGACAGTGTGATCCTGATTCCGTTGTCTTGTTCTCTTGGTTGCCTTTTCACTTGAATCTGAATCTCCTGACGTCATCACCGAGGGATGCGATGGGCAGAAGTAATGACCGAACAAGAGAAGTCTCTGTCAAGAACGACAAGAAAAAGTACACAACTCAACGGCTCACTGTGCAACGGAGATTCGATTAAGGGCTTTTATTCTTTTTGATACATGCGTTGATAACTATCCTAGCGTTGTCATATGATAAAGGACAACAAACCTTAATCGCGACAAGCTCACTCAATCCAGTTACAGTACCCAACAACAATGAGTTGAGATGTAGGACTCGTTCTCGGATCGGGAAGGAATGAAGACGACAAACACCTCAACCGACCAACTAAAACGAACCATCGTTTTGTCTAAACAGGAAACAAACCCATGTTTTGTCAGGTTTTTTAATGGTGCTCAACCTTTTTCCTCACAATATGCATAAATCTTTACAAGGGGTTCTCTGGTTTCCTCTTATTTCATTGTCAATTGGGGTTTTTGTCATTTTTCCTCACACATCTAAGTACATCTTGTGGTTAATTTTTCCCCACATCTGTGTTTCAACAAGGATTTTTCTTTCATTTTTGCCTTAGCATTTATTTTTTCAAACCAACAACGACAGCTCTCTTTCAATTAGTTAACACTTAGTCATCATGTTGTTTTGTAAGTTAGTACTAGTCTACTTTCCTGCAAGTAGTCGACACCCTACCTCCAGCTGCTCTGTCAGACCCAGCTCTCAGCCCCTGGGGGAGGGTTATGAACTATAATCGCGTGTGTCACAGTGGACAAGGAGCACAGCACTACATCCCCACCCATATATAATATTACCTCCATTGTTACTACAACCCGGTTAATATTTCCCACTCTTTTTTAAATCTTCCGGCGGCGTAAGAGACAGAGGAGATGGGGGTTGGGGGGCTCTGGGGTGTGGGGAAGTGGGTTAGGGGGGCTGCACCACGTCGTCGCCCATCGTGGCAAGAAAGATGAACCTTATTGCTTTTTTTACTATCTCTTGAACGATTACCCGGGAAAATATGTGGTATTCTCTTTTTCAAAGCGGGTGATTATCCAATTGAATGACAACCTGCATATTTTTTTCTTTTTTTTCTTCAAAAAACAAACAGTCGAACAGAGTGTATGTGTGAAGGAAGGGTCAAGAGGACAGGAACAAGAAAGGGAACAAGAAAGGGAACAAGAAAGGGAACAAGAAAGGGAACAAGAAAGGGAACAAGAAAGGGAACAAGAAAGGGAACAAGAAAGGGAACAAGAAAGGGAACAAGAATGGGGACAAGAAGGACAAGAGAGGAGACATGAAGAGGTTTTTTGTTACAATTTTATCTAGACTATTCATGATGTTTCTTGATGGCGTGATTCTAATCCGCATCTGTTGCATCGCCATTGGTTGAGAACCTCACTCAAGATTAATTTTCCGCCTAATTTTGCGGCCTTCCTCTCTGTATGGGTTGGAATCCAGGGTCTGGGTCGGAATTTGAGTTACTGGCGGAGCGGGTCGTGAAACTAAAAAGGAAGGTGAGCAAGGGTTCTGCATGGACATGATGCGAGGAGATGAGTTGATCCTTTCATTGCAAATGTCGTTTCCATTGAGAATTCCATCTGCATGGCCCTAGTTCACCTTCCTTTTTTAGTTTTACGACCCGCTCCACTTGTTGCTCCAAATTTTGGCCCAGACCCTCACTGCTGCGCGAAGATTGAAAATTGGAACTGGATTCTAACCCGCAAGACTAGTTCCTCCAGCAGATTGAGGCTCAGCTTCCTTGAAGTCCATATTATCAGATGTAAACCGTTGGTTATCTGATTGCCGGATTACTACATAAGAACGCTGTCAGGGCATTGTTTCCTTCACTACCTCTGGTCTTCCTCCCTTCCTTTCCCGCCTTTCCACTCGTCTCTCCTTCCTTTAACCCGTTATATTACTCCCTCTCCGTACTTGTCACTTCTCCATCATGGCTATTGATCAAAAGACCCTTGAAGAGGAGAGTTGGTCTGGCAGGGCCCTCGATCGCTCCAAGTGGACTAGAAAAGAATTCATCGTCCTTATGGTGTGCGTCATTTTCGCATCCTACCTGTTCTCCGTCAACTACAACCTGAACTACATGGTTATCACCGTAGCTCTCAATGCTTTCACGTCCTCGTCCTTGGCTGCTATTGCTCCCATAATCTCGAACATCTTGACGATTGTCCTAGTCCCCTTCTTCGCAAAGTTCTCGGACGTCATCGGTCGTGCAGAGGTAATAACCATCGCCTTGCTCTTCCAGGTGGTTGGCTATAGTGTTCAGACATCTTCGAACAACTTTGAACAAATAACTATCGGTGGGCTCGTCGCTAGTATTGGCTCCACTGGCTACAGCTGCTTGCAGGCTGTTATCATCGCTGGTAAGTGTGTAGTTGCGACAACAGATCGTCCTTCCACCTCGCTGGTTAAGGTGTGCGACCTTTCGATCGTTTAACGTATTGAGGCGAAAATATGCACTGACACATTGCACTCATTCAAACCTACCTTCAATCATCTCTGTTCGCCTTTTTCGAGTGTAGACGTCACACCGCTTAGACACCGTGGAATTTTCATCTCTCTCGTGGATCTCAGCAGTCTCATCAACATTTGGGTTGGTCAAGTGTGCGTTTGCGTTTTACCCTTTCTGCTGAAATGGAATGCTTTCTGTGTTTCTGGATTATGATAGTAGCCAGTATCTGACGCTTCGTATTTTATGTCCATCATTAGTGCCGCAAATCATATCGCCACGAAAGAGACGTGGCGCACTGGGTTAACCGTCTGCACTTGTCTTGTCGCTATTGGCGCGGTATCATTAGTCTCTCCTCTGTGGTACCTTCAACGCAAGGGTGAAAGGACGCTTGGAGGACGCCCTCGTCGCACACTCAGCTGGCTCTGGCAGCAGTTCGATTTCGTCGGTGCCATTCTCTTGGCCGCCACTTTGTCGCTATTGTTCTTCCCGCTGATTACTGCCAGCACTCACGAAGACAACTTCAAGAACCCCCTCATCATTGGCTGTCTTTGTGCTGGCGCAGTGGCTCTGATTGTTCTGCTCGTTTGGAACGCCAAGTACACCACCAAGCCAATGCTGCCAAAGCGCATTTGGTCTGATCGCACTGTCATGGGTGCCATCTGCGGCAGCATTGTTAGTAGTATGATGGTTTCCATGAACTATACGTACTTCTACAACTACCTTGTCGTCACACGCAAGATCGATTACCCTAGAGCCTTCCTGCTCGCACGCGGTTACCAGATGGCCTTCTACATCATTGCACCCATCACTGGCTTACTGATGAGGAAGTTCATGACCACTCGCCGCTTCATCTGGATTGGTCTCATCATTCAGACCATCGGCACCATTATCATGATCCCTGCTCGTTTGCCTGGCTCGTCGGACTTCTTTGTCGTCGCCTCGCAAGCCGTTGTCGGTCTTGGTGACGGAATGACATCTCTCGCTGCCATGGTCTCGATCACCGGCTCCGTCCATCGCCGTGATTATGCCATGGCCATCAGTGTCAACCTGATGTTGACCGCTGTTATTGGCTCAATTGCCGGTACCGTGGCGGGAAGTGTTTGGACTCAGGTGCTGCCACAGCGACTCAAGCATCACATCGTGGGCGAGTACGACGAGCTCCAAATCATGAACAATGCCGATTTCGTCAAGAGTCTTTCTGAACCTATGTACTCGCAAGTTGTTGCTGCCTATGGTGATGCGCAGAAGATTCTCTCCATCATCTCCGCCTCTCTTGTTGTGATTGCTGGTCTCTTCACTCTTATGATGAAGAAGGTCGATCTCTCTCTTGACCACGATGCTCAGGACGCCAAGTTTGGTGGTGTGGAGGTCAGCAAGGAAGATGCTGAAGTTTGTCACGAGAAGATGGAGGCCATTAATGAGAAGGAGAAGTAAGCAGCTCTTTGCATAGACGCTCTAGTCCCCGGAAACTGCACCCTGTATTAATCGCATTTTATCATATTTATATGCTATTAAATCTACATATTTGTTTGCGCGACCACTTGCTCCGTCCATTGTGCCATCTGCATAGTTAAATTCTAAACGTTATTTATATTGCTACAGCTGGTAGGAGAAGTGAGCTTGTAACAACTGACATAGCGGCGTAGTAATAGCAGTGTTAAAATGGATTGTCCGAACTTGACGTGAAAACTCTCTTCATTACCAGTGCAATCATAAACAATGCTTCGTTAAATGTGTTTGAGTTTATGGAGGAGATGAGTAAATTGGGAAGAGAGGGAGGTTTATTTTTTTTGCACCCAAGCTCAACATGAATATGATCAAGCCTGGGTGGCTTGGTTCCAAATTGAACTGAAAAGGAATATGACGGCTAATCCGACACCCCCAGAACGCGACAGAATGCTGATGCCGATGTTTACAACCAATTGAATTCTTGATGTATGTATTGTATTACCTCTTTTTGCGTCTGATTCAGCCGAAAGTGATTATTCAGACTGTTGACAAAGCCCAGCTCTTGATTCTTTGTTCGTCTGTAGGCTGCGTGGCAGGAGTGGATCCTGGACTAATCTTATAGATCAAAAACTTGTTTAACTTGGTTAACTTGGTTAACTCGGTTAATTGGTCTGCATCAAGGACTCCTGTTACACTGTCCCTCTGTGTACTTGAGGATGTACTTCTAAATTTTGATCAGCAAAGGGTACCATCTCTTTTTGAGAGGATTTCCTGTTCCTCCTCAACCTCCCTCTCTCTCTCTCCTTCTTTCCTCACCCTCGTCTCTCATTAAAACTGATTGCTAACTAATTCCGATTATTCTTCATGCCGTTTTGTTATAACCTAGATATGCAGATGATACGGCAGTCTTTAGCTTCTCGGTCTTGCTAGAGTGCTAGTGCTCGTGGACGTCGTCATCATCCTCAATTCTGCTGCGTTTGTTGTTCTTGGAAGGAGTCAGTGTAATGTAGGGCTTAATTTCAGCATCCTTGTGGAGTGGCGTTAACGGAAGGCAGGGCGTTGGAATCCCAGCAAGGGTATTTCTGACATTAAGCGCAAATCTCCTGATGTGATCCTAAACAGTCAAATAATAGAATGGATTAAGATCTTTTCTACGTCCATTTGAGGCTTTCGATCTTTGAAATTTGTGAAATGCAACCAAATACGCCGTGGAAGGAGACGCAGCATTGATATGTCTGCAAACATGCTACGCTACGACTTGAAAAGAGAAACTTCAAAGCTGACAGAAACCCCTTCTTTGCCTCCCTATGCTTCCTTATGAACTTACTGCAAATGCGACGAGGACGTGGATAGAGTATGAAAGCAGGAATCGCTTGAGTTGAGTCAAGTCCGCGGGATGCCATATGGGATTCTTGATTGCATGGCCAGCACCAAGAACATCCCCGTACCGCCTCATTGTGTACAGATGTACAGTTAAACCTTTGCCCTCTGCAATCACAGGAAAGTCCTGTGTGATGTCGACGCCCTGACGCTCTAGGTCAATGAGGATTGCCCCATTCAGTCGCACGGCCTTTCGTTGCTGCTTCTCGCATACATCCATCACACTGTCCTGGACTTGAATTCGTATACACTTATTTCCTAGTCCTAAGTAAAATTCAAGTAGAGTCTGGCTGAGATGTCCACCTTTCTTCCTCTGCCATATCTGGTTGTAAGGCTGAATTCCTCCTCGATCAACGTCCTGGTATGATTCATAGCAGGAGGTGTTAACTCTCCTCTATTTGAGGTATTAATAATAAAGTCAAAGTTAGCAATGTATACCCAGTCTGATCATTATTACGAACAGTAATCAAGATAACTTACGGAAGTGTGCGGAGGGCCTTCCCCCCCACCCCAAACAATGTTCCAATACAAATGCTCAGAGCGGGACATAAACGTGTTCCGATGAGGGTAAGGCAAGCTGGTTGGGGCTGATCAGTGGTTCACAGTGAGCAAAATCGCCAATGTTGTCATCTGCACCTTTCTCTGTGCGTCCCCTCGACCAACGTTTGCGAGCAACTCCCAGACCCTTCCTTGAAACCCTCACATTGATGGTTCGGCATACGGATCAGTCTCTAAGTCCGGACAAAGTGCAGCGAGCAGCTCCGATATCAGTCTTTTCACCACTGGCTCTTTCCTGACAATGCAGGGAGGATGGATTCGGATGCTATCGCAGGGCAATTGTGAAAAATGGTCTCCGTTGCAACAGCGGGATCAAATAAAATATGGAGAGAACAAGCTTACAGTACGTCTTTGTCGAACAGAAACTCCGTCTGCTTTTTGGCTATCCTGCAAAGTCTATCGCTGATTGCCAACTCTCTGGACAGCGACGGTTGCTTGGTTGGTGGTAACTTCCGTGGTGACTTGAATGGCACGCTGTGTCCAAAATACTTCATGATTCTTTTGGAAGCACTCAAAAAAAGTTCGACAAAGGTTGATTCGGCGGATCCTTAGAATCTCGGGTGACTTTACAAGGGCCGAAAACGCACTATTCGCAGAGTCTTTGTCCGAAAAAATTGAACCGGCGGACGAAATTGGCTTGTAAGGCGTGTCCCTTTCCTAAAGCCTTCTTCTTAGCCCTGCGAAGATGTTGAGTATGCGAAGACATGTTCGAATCGGAATAGATGTGAATATGCAATCGGTATGGCGAAGTGAAGGCTGCTCTAAATGAACACCAAGCCGCTCGTTGATATTAGGGGGCTTCAAACTTTGGCATGCCCGCATTCAAATCGAAGCGTATTTCAATGGCATATTTGAAATACATCGGCCATCGAGGAAACGCTATGGCGGATTTCAATGACGGCGTGTTTGGTTACACGCCGTCAAATGTCAATGTTTGAAACCCCCTATTAAAACAAACATAAATAGGATATATGTTAATGACATAGTCATAGTATACATCGCCACAGTATACAGGGAATTCATTTTGGACAGTGGAAAGTGAGAAAGGGGACGAATCCCCTATTCATCCGTTTTGTCGCAACCAACTAATGGCCGGGCAGAGCCCCGTAGTGTAGACTACCAAATGTATCTGCCGCAACTCAATAAGCCGGGCCGCATATGACAAGATGTTTCTGCATGGGTGTAAAGGAGTACATTCATACTTACAAAGCAGCAAGAGAGATAGCGAAAAAGAGAGCGAGAGAGAGAGCGAGAGAGAGAGCGAGAGAGAGCAAAGCTGGCAACAGCTTAGAAGAAAATGCAGGACCGAAAAAGCTATAGGAAAATAGTAGAGAGGGCAATGACAAAAAGGTAAGAGACGTGTGGAGACATTGGCAAAGATGGGAGAGCAGTGATAGATTAGAAAAGGGAGACTCTTTTAACATGTGGAAGCAGTGGCAAAGGAGTGTGGTGACGGACGAGAAAAGTGTTGAATGATGAGAGACGCGTGGAGGCAGCGTCAACGGAAAGTGGTGATGAAAAGAGAAAGAGAACTGTTAGATAAGTGACGCGTGGAGAAAATACCAAAGGAGAGAGAACGCTGATGGAGGAGAAAGAGGTGTTGATGGGAAAGGCGAGGAAACAATACCAAAGGAGAGAGAGATCGCTGATGTAGGAGAAAGGGCGCGAGGCAGGAGGATGTGACGTTTCGTAATGAGAAGTTGATACCAGCGAATCCTGGTTACTGTCTTCGCGTCATATGCTTCTGTGGAAACCTGAGATGCCATGACGCCGGCGTCTCCGCCAACGTATCGTCGCATATGATTAAGGGCGTTTAACTCATCGAACATGGGAGTGCGACGACGGAGAGAACGCAGGTCCGGGTCCCATTCTGCGCAAGGATATTTTTCACAGACGGTGGACCAACCCATCACACATTTTCCAATATCTTGTGGGACAAGTTCCTCCAAGTCCGAGATGTGACCTTGTCGAAACGGGAGGCACATTCGAATAGTCCAGTTTGGATTAAACCTGTCACCCACATACTTGATCGAGTTTGTGGATCGTCTCGGGAGTAGGACAGGGATAGGAAAGGGCAGCTTGTAGGGTCTGTCGGCGTTATACCCGGTCAGACCAAAGCACTTTTCGCAGACGTGAAGACTCGACGCACACATAAAAGACTCGACGCACACATGAACACAATGTAGCTGCTCTTAAACCTGGCAAGCGGTCGCAATTGTGCCTTGGATCCATGAGCTGCATAGAACATCCGAGGCCAGACCTCTAATGAAGGTACAATCACGTTCAAGTACTTATTGACCATCGAAATCCGTGAGAGTTGAGATGGGTAGAAGTGACTGAGAATCCTCTCCCAGACTTCGTTCGGAACACGTTCACATGAGCTCATGGTTGGACTGTTTGACATATAGAAGAGGATTCGAAAGTAGAAATGAGGGCAAGTTAAAAAAAATCTTGGTGATGACGCCTATCACATTACAACGATTGGACATACCAAATTGCCTGGTGATCGTGGTTGTGGATGGTGATGAGGTGTGAAACAAAAGAAAATTAACACTTGAGCTGGAGGTAGGTTTCCCCATTTTGTATCAATTTTTTTTACTCATTTTCATTCCATATTCTCCATTCCTCTCTTTACTACATACCAACCCCTTTTTCTTTTTTTTCATCGTAACAAATGCTGTCGCTCCTTCCCCCATTTTTACCCCAACACCTCCACGCTTATCCCCAAGGATAACTGGCTTGTGGCAGCCAAGAGTTCATTGCGACGTCGCTTTTTGCTCCTTCGATGTTAGCTCTTTCAATATTTGTCTCATAAGAATTCGAGGTCGCTTTGATCTTTAAGGGGTACATAGGATATCACTTTATTCTTTACACCTTTCAAGGACGTGTTCGATACTACATGACCCCTCTCTCTCGTCGATGTGGAGACGAAAAAGACTGCCACGTTGTGACTGACAAGGTTCACACAAGTAACTATCCAGCTCAATCCGATATCTTTTGCCACGTAGTGAATCCTGTTAGTGAAAAAAGACGTAGAACTGAAATAACGCTCACAGATATAAGGCTGATCGCACACATATAAATCATGTGGCTCTTGGATTCCGGCATACTGTGCAGAGTGCGAAGTTTCTGCAACGGAACAGGCGTTCTACTCATACGAGGGCTATTACTTGAAGCGTGAGCCACGGTGAACATGTGAGACCACACCGATAGAGAGGACACGATCTTGTTGAGAGTTCTGTCGACCATTGAGTGGCGAGAGAGCTGAGACGGATACAGGCAGTTGAAAATCCGCTCCCAAACCTCGATGGGAAAGCGCTTACTAACAGACTCGACTTGATGGAAGCCTGCAAGAACTTGATTGGTACTCATTGAAAGTAGTGTGTACGAGTACTATTGGCGCTGTCCTGAAAGATGAAGAGAATAAATGAGATGAGAAAATGAGCTTAAAGGAATACGACTGTGGCAGTAAGATGTACTAGTAAGCGGCGTACCTTGTTCGGTTAGGTGTAAGGTTGAAGGTTAAAGAAAGAAGGAATAAGGAATAGACTAGATAACACTAAGAGGGGGAAGGATACTAGCACCGCTAGAAACAGCGAATCAAAAAGTTGAGGCATTCTGGAACCTTGAAAGATTGTGAAAAGGATAGGGGTTTAGAAAAATAAGATACGAGAAAAAAATGGGCAATTCCCACACCTAAGACAGTACCAGAGATATCACCAAAGGATAACCGGTTTGTAGCAGCCACGCGTTCAAAGCAACGTTGATATTTGATCGGCTCTTTCAATTCTTGCTTCATTAGAATTCGAGGTCGCGTTGTGGTGCTTTCTTCACACTGGTCAAACAACTGATATGATGAAAGAAGTAACAAACATTCCATCTCCGTCACTGATTACCAGTCTTTCATTCTTTCTTCCCATGAAAAAAATTAATTTATATTTATATATGCGATAAAAAAAAGTCTCCTTGCCCTTTGCTCAATAACGTTCCTGGTTTTAGTATTAGGGTTTACTCAGCGACGCTCTCGACGGCCCTTTCGGCAGCCTTGAGGACCTCAGGCTCCTTGTCGGCCTCAGCCTCCCGACACTTTTGATGCTCCTCCTCCGAAAGCGGAACCTTCAATGACTCCTGAATCCTCAACCTCGTCAACACCTGCTGCTGTGGAGACGAACACCGTCCAGATCCGAGAATAGGCGCCACCATATAATCATGGATCGCCGCCGAAACACGTCCAGCCTTGTCAAATAACCATGCAGCCCAGTAAGGGGGTCTGGTATGCTGCTCGACAGGTTTACCCCGGTTCCGGAGGACGATGACGGCAAACATGAGGATCATGGGCGAGTTGATCAAAGTGAAGAGGACACGGGCAGTCTTAGACCGGACTCCTGTGCACTCGTAGGGGACGATGTTGGCGAGGTAGTTTTGGTAGGAGGGGTCGAGGTGGTGGTGGGCTGCTCCAGAGGTCAAGAGGTTCTTGTAGCGGGCGCTGGGTTGGCAGTGGGTCTTAACAGAGGCGGGGCGGGATTCGAGGACGAATGCGCGCAGTTTCTCCTTGCTGCTGTGTCGAATGCAGTCGACTTGGATCTGGTTGTATCCTGTAGGCACATCATGACCCCATCCTCCCTATTTGGTTGCAATTGAAGGCAAAGACGCCGGGTTAGTATGGGATGTTGGTATTGGAGCAAAGGATGCAAGAAGTCTGCGCTGATCGGCGGGGGAATCAGGCGGCGGTCAAAATTGACAGGTGCGCATGGCGGAAGTGTTACGTATACCCCAATCGAGCTCATTCCATGTCCCATTCCAACAGTCCAATATAATTATGCTCAGGGGTTCGTTTCCTTATTCCTTAGTACTACGCGTCACCTTATCATTCTTTCTTGGCAAACATGTAGTGCTCGGTCTAGGCGTCATGTTGTCGACCGTATGCTGGCCAATTGCCAGATGTGTCCATGCGTTGATCCTTGTTGTCTTTTTCTTCGTGCTAGATTCTGCATCTACTTTTGGCAATTCTGCTCATCCTGTGTGTGTGTACATGATGACTGCGCGCTCTCTAATTAAATTTGCAGTGTCATTCATCCCGTCTCACAGTTTTTTTCAATTGCTCGCACACCCACGAAAAAACGGAAGAGTCATGCATACACCCCATTGCCCCACAAACAACCCCAAAAAGTAAGCCTTATCACCAATTACCTCAGACTGAATAACCAACTGCCAATCCCTCAACGTAATCTTGTGCACAACGCCTTGCAAGACTGGTGGGTACGACTTCTCAGGGTTCTTCTCATCCCACACAAACCCGCGTCCATGCATCGTCCTGGAATGGACCTCGAGTGCATACTCCTTCTGGTGCATCCTCGTATGGTCCATCTTGAGAATCGACGCAAAACAGGGTTCGACAAAGGGGATACCGCCGATATCGAAGGAGAGCCAGTAGTTGGGGACAGTGACGACGTGGGATTCGAGAGGCTGGATCTTGCGACGGCCTGAGAAGACTTTTGGGTCCATGTTGGACCCGTAGGCGAGGTACCAGATTGTTTCTGGGGAGGGGGTTGGTGTGAGGGTGTCGGTTGTCATTGTTGAGGGTAGATGGGTTGATGAATGAGTTATGTGCGTTGGTGGATGGTGAGTATGTATGAATGAGTGTTTGTGTTGGTTGATGATCACACGAAAAGGAAGAGAGATGAGTGAAGAAGAAGAGGAAAGAGTGGATGCGCGAATGAATGAACTAGAGAGAGAAGTACAAGAGAGGAGAGTATGACGGAATGACATGAACAGAATCGAAGAAGAAAAAGAGGTGGATTTCTAATCTCTCTGGACTATTGGACCCCCGCCCGCCCTTTTTATTATCCGGTTGGCTCGTCCAAGGTCCGCGTCTCAAGAAGTGGGAAGGTGGAGCAAGAAAAGTGGGAGAGAGCAGCGAAGTTGTTTACACTGCGTCAAAGCCAATAAGAAGCAAGGCAAATCGACCAGAAAAGGAAGGTGGCTGGACCCTTTGCCCAAGGTGATGACGACTGATGGCTCGATCAAATCTTAATTGAAGGGGGGGGATAATCTTCCCTCTTCTTCGATCATTCCTATGGTGATTGCTAATAAAGACGCGCAATTGCTCACTCGTCTACCATCGGGAATTTATCATTGCAAACTCATACATTCCAATGAGAGACTGTTATTATTAAACCACGATTGCTTTTTTATTATTTTTCGTTAACTCGTTAACCCATGATCAACATGAGAAAGGGGATATAGAGAAATAAGGATAATGTGTATGTGTGGCCATGTCCGGCATGGGAAAGATCAAAAGTGTGAAGTAGTTACACTAATTACAAATATATAGGCCATGAACTACTCTCCCATCAAGAGAGAGAGAAAGGGGGTGTGGAGTAAAGATAGATCCAAGACTTAGTTGGAGCCAGCGCCGCCGTTGAAGACCAGCAGGTTGGGGGATCCGTTCAAGTCGCCAGAGACAACACCCTTGGTACCAGTGCTGGCCAACTTATCAAAGACAGCCTGAGCAGTGTCGAGACCGCCCTGGGAGATGTACAAGGCAGCAACACCGACAACGTGGGGGGTAGCCATCGAGGTACCAGAGATGGTCTTCTTGGCCGAGGCGCCGCCGATCCAGGAGGAGGTGATGTCAACACCGGGTCCAAAGATCTCGACGCAGGAACCGAAGGAGGTGAACTCGGCAGGGGCATCGGTCTTGTCGGTGGCGCCGACGGTGAAGACGTTCGAAGCGCCCGAGGGAGAACCACCGCAGGCATCGTCGGCATCGTTTCCGGCAGCGGCGATCAAGGGGATGTTCTTGGCAAAGAGACGACCAGCAGCGTCATCGATGGCCTTGGACTTGCTACCGCCGAGGGACATGTTGACGACCGACTTTCCGGCGACAGCGTGCTCAACAACATAGTCCATACCAGCAACGACACCAGAAGTGGCACCGGAACCATCGGCATCCAAAACCTTAACACCGACAATCTTGACCTTCTTGGCAACTCCGTAGGTGCTACCACCGATGGTGCCCGAGACGTGAGTACCGTGACCGTTCTCGTCGGTATCCTTGGACCCCTCGATAAAGTTGGCACCGAAGGTGGCACGGCCACCGAATTCAGAGTGCCCGGCATAGACACCAGTGTCGACGACGTAGGCAGTGACACCCTCGCCGGCAACATCGGGGTAGGAGTAGGGCTTGGTGAGATCGAGCTTCTCCTCACCAACGCGGGTCAATCCCCAAGAAGGAGGGCTGGGCTGGGATCCCTGGATGGTGATGATGGCATCCTGTTCGACGTAGGCAACATCGGGGTTGGCCTGGATGGCCTTGAGGGTGGCAGCATCGAAGGAGGCATGGAAACCGGGGATGGCGTTGTACTCGCGGTGGATCTCGGGGGCGCGACCACGGCCGTTGTGGTTCTTGCTGATCTTGTCGAACGAGGTCTTGAAGGTGTTGACCTTGTTGGTATCCTTGAGGACGACAATGTACGAGTCAGCAATGGGCTTGCCGCCAGTGGCGTGGGGGAGGAGGGGAGCGGCCTGGACGGCGGCGACGAGGGCAACGATGAGGAGGGTGGTGTACTTCATGGTGAAAGAAAGTGGTTGGTTAAGGAGGAGTGTTTGAGGGAAGAGGTGTGTAGAAAAGCTTGGTTGGCTTGTGTGGGTGTTGTTGTGTGGAAGAGAAGAGAAGATCTGATGAGGAATAAGAAAAAAAAGTGAAGGATTCTTCCTTCCTTTTATACATGCTCACCTCCCCATGGCGGCTCCCTTTCTCTTCGTTTACAGCGAATGATTCTATTTGTTCATGAGGTAATGCAAGGGTGCCGGACGATCGCATATAAAGCAATACAAATGAAATGAATGTGAATACTCTTGTTTGTTTGTTCATCAAATAATTGCAAAAGGGGGTTCGATGGTGTGATTGCAAAACGGTTCCCATGGGGGATGGGGGCAACGGCCGTTCTTAGCCCACGGAGGCGTCCTGAGAAAAGGTATCCATCCATAGGTATCGATTGGGACTAAGGAGGAGGGAAGGATACGAGTAAATGGAAGAGCGGGTGTGATGATAGCGCCATTTGGAAGTGTTAGTCTGATAGCGTGCAGAATGTACCTGCGTGAAAGAGTGAAAGGGAAGAGGAGCATCCCTGGATATGCACGAAAATGAGAAGCAAGGGTTCAGCATCATGGTCACCCTAGTGCCAAGTAGGGGTTGTAAGGTGAACTAAAAATGGCGGTGTGCATGTTACTGTTGACCAATCAAGACACACACACATCGCTCATAATCTACACCAGGTTACAAGAAAAAAGGGTGTAGGGATCGAAGGTGACCGAGGGTCGACCATTACCATATCATATTCTACGGTCTAACCCATTTTCTCTTCACTTCCCTCTCTTCCTCTTTCTCTCGGGCTTCACCTTCCCTCGGGTGTATAGGCGAAATGGAATAAGAGAACAAGGCATCGGCCATTTTAGTGCCATTTGTTATGTGTGCAATCCCTTTTCTACTGTCAGCAAATTATTAGGTCACTAGAAAAGTCAGAGCCCGGCTGGAATAGTCCCATTAGCACATTCGACATCGAAAAACAAGGTATTAAATAGTTCATTTTTTCGAGTGATGCTATGGTAAAGGGAGGGAGGAAGGAAGGAGGGAAACGAGAGAGGGAAAGAGACGAAAAGGAACTGCTACGCTCCCCCTTCTACTTCGACCATTCATGTACACCACTACTGAATACCTGTAAACAACTCGAAACACAAAGATGTGGCGAAAAACAACCACCAACGAACGGTGCAAAGCGAAACCATGCAAGCAATAATTCCATGGGCACCAAAATACATGACATCTACAGCCCAGGTAACGAAAGCATGTGTGTTCGAATTACCTGGGCAGGTGTACAAAATTCAGTAACATTTATCGAACCGGACTCGCCGCATCCTGAGGGATTTGTGGATGTGGCAAAAAAGGAAAAGAGAAGATGAGAGACATCATCAAACGTGGGACCAGGGTCCAAGAAAAACAAAAAAAGATACATTCAAATGTACCTCCTTTCAAATGCTGGTTTGGATGCGAACACAAAACAAATGTACTCGTCATAATATTCATGTTGGCAGCGATGGGATAGGTGCGTACAGGATGGGCGTGAAGACCAAGAGGGAGAAGGAGGTGTTGAGAAACCATTTTAGTCTTGCACGACATTACGGCCTCTTTCTTGGTCGTCCTGCTCATGAGCACCCTTCAGACGCCCCCTGTGTTTGTTGATGCAATAAACAACTAGCCTCGGCATCACCATCCGTCCGGCGTTCGGCAATCAAGGTCCTTCCTAGCATCCCTTCTTCCCCTCGCCACGACTCTTGGCGTAATCCATCGCATCCAACAAACTGGGAATCGCGAAAAATACCTTTTCGGTTCATCTACTCGTCCTCCTCCTTCTCTTCAAGCATGTCCTCTATTTGATGGTGGTTGCTTCTGTTTATTTATGTTTGACTGCCTTGCACAGGAGGGCGTGTTCCCACCCTCTTCCCCGCCCGTGCACAAGCATAGGTTGATGTGAGCAGGTCGATCGAATGAGATGAGAGAGGGAAAAGGGAATAGGAAATGTAATTTTCAGAAAGTAGGGACAGGTGGACATCGATGAAAAGAAAATAAAAGAGAGCACTTTCATCGATATTGAGTCAGGGCTAAGGGACATGTACAGGGCGCCAACGAAATCAAGGGGTCAAAAGCATGTGGATGGTTGCCAATTGCAACAACCATGAGAGGGATAGAAGGAAGTGTGGGTGGAGTTGGACTGAGAAGGATTATTCGCGTCGCTTATCCCTCGTTTCCTACTTTTTCCCCTCTCTTTCTCTCTCGTTTCTGCCCATCTGTCCCTCTTTACATTTCACTCTGCCCATCTCGCGACTTTTTCTACCCGTAGCAATAGATATCTGGGGAGTAGGCGTGGGAGATTGCTTGTGAAGAAAGATCTAAATGAACAGGTATGGCACAAAACAACAATCATGAAACAAACACAAATCACGAAGAAGCCAAGGTAGACTCAAATAACTCTCTTTCCCAGGAAGCGATGATGTCTGCTTGTTTGTTTATTTGTTTGGGCCATGTTTGAGAAGTGACTATTTATTTTTGTATGCAAACAAATAGAAGGCCTTAAATTGCTCACAACAAAGGCAGCCCTTTCTTCACTAGCTGGCTTCTCTCTACAATTGACCTTGTTTGTCTACAATGTATGCACCTTCAAGCACCTAGCACCAAAAGTCAAATGGTACTAAGCAGTAAGCACCTTTTACCCTCCATTCTTTTTAGACCCTCGTCAACTAGAGGTATACCTGGGAAGTCGGTCAAGGAGATGGTCACTCGTTGCCTGGGATTGAAGTCTAGTTACGGGAGAGACGATTTTGGTGTATGTCTAGGCCAGGTACAAAAAATGTTTGTTAGTCTCAGAAACTGATCCATCACTAGCGAATGAGACTGCGCCATTGACCAAAGCGTGCAGAGGAGAAGGTGGCAAAGACAATAGAACAGCCCTTGGGCGTGATGGGAAACAAAGTCGATGGAGAGAGAACATGGTAGGAGAGGCGTAAGTACTGCGCCAAGAAGTACAAACATGGGCATACATCATTTTTTTGTCCATCTCTCTCTCGCACATTCACACTGTCTCTGCTCTCTGCTCTGTTTGACATGCCAGTCAACAAACAACAACGACGAGCACCCTTTTTCACTTCCCTTGCCCTTCCTTGTCCCCTGTGAGTGAATTTTTGCTAGCGCCCTACCAATCAACGACTGAATTCCCACAATTTCATCACATGGCCACGGCGTACCTCCTCGCCTATCATTTTCCACTAGTTTCCTTTTCCCTGGCTATTTTATTTGTTGACACTCCTTCCGGAATGGTTTTGTAGACTGTTTACAAAAACAGATGATTTCATGCAGGTACTACCAAAGGGTTACCTGCCTACCCGTCCGCCGCCTATTCGCTCTGTCCATATCCAAAGGTACAGTACGAACCTTCTACTACCTCACCGTCTAAACACCTAGTAAGGTTCCTTCCTTCTGTTTAACGTTCCTGGGTAAAATTTTAATAACCAGCCAGCGCATCATTTTTTTCATGCGAAAAATGGCATCGTGGCTCACAACCTATGATATCAGCATTAGAGGGGATGTCAGTGATAGGAAAAAAAGAAGAGAGATAAGGCGTGAGCGAATGAGTAATAGGGGCATGCAAGAAAGGGGACGAACGGCGTACTCTTTCCCGTCATTTTCCCTTCCATGTCGTCTTCTTGTCTATCTCCCCTGTTTCCCCTTGAATGCCGTTTTTTTTCATTATCACTCCTCCATTTTTTTTTGGTGCTAGCCTGGGTGAGAGGGAAAAGTAGAAAATCGAGACTCGATCATTTTTATTTCATCCTTTCCTTCTCGTGATCAAATCAAGGGGGTGGATTCGAGGCTAAATGAAGGACGAAGGGGAGAGAAGAGGCGAGAGCTGCAAAAATGAAGAACGAGGGGATGGGGTGGGAGCTATGGTTGCTAATGGGAAATCGAAGCGGTGTGAAAAGAGTGCAGAACGAAATCGATGCTAAGAGGTACGAGCCAGGAGTACCATGCTACATGAGTGTCGATTTAGCGGCCAAATTATTATTACTGCATGCAGCCCAGGTCAGTTGGTGTCGATCGAAGGGAGGTAAAGAAGGAGCTAGAAGAGGAATCTCACTAAAGGAATTACTAGCGTCAAGCTGGCTAAAATGCCTTACGGAAATAAGCACACTTGTACCTGGAATAAAGGATGCCTGCCAGGAATGGATAAGTGCCTTGTAGCAATGTGTACATAGCCTAGAGGTTCTTTCCTAGAAGTCGTAGGGATGGTGGAAGAGGAAGAAGCGAAGGTTAGGCGTGATGTTGATCTAGGGTGACATTTACTACGGATGCCTCCTGTCGTTGTCTATGTCTTTAACTTTCATTTTTCTTTTTTTTTCCGTTGTCTTGGTTGACCCCCTACTTTGCATGCTGCCCTTTTTTTTTGTTGGATCGCTTTGATTGCTTCCCTCCCTCACTGCATCATGTTCGCCCCCTCTTCATGTGGTGGTTATCTGGCCTGCAACTGCAGCATGCAAGTATGCTATCTTGCTTTGACCATGTGCCTTTTGTTCTTCTTTCCTCAACCCCCACTTTTTGATATGCTAAATTCATCTCCAACGTGAACATTTCTTTACCCCCTCTTTCACTGCCATGTCAGTCTCTTTTCTTTCCCATGCTCCAACCATTACAAGTTCTTGGGCTGCATCATCCATTCGTCATTCGTATCACTCCTTTTATTTTCTTGCTACCAAAGCCAACCCACATTCCCCTTTGGCTCCCTCCTTCTTTCTTTTCACATTCAACAACGAAGATGCAGAAGAGTTGCTTTTGAGATTTTTTATTTTTTGAATATGAAATGGCTACTGAAGAACCTTTCTGTGCATGGATATCAAACCCATGTGTGGTAAATAAGATAATAAAGGAGTATTCAAGATGATTGAAGAATCGTTAATAGAAACCATGGTCAACACGGTCAAGAGGGAATGGAAGTCATCCATGGCCTGCATGGTAAAAAAAGGGGGGGACACTATTCATCAACTCTCCGACACTTTGAACACCCATCATTCGATCAACGAATGATTTAGGCAGAGTTGTAGACCAACAGGTTGGGGGAACCGTTCAAGTTGCCAGAGATGGCGTTGGGGGTGGCGGTCTGGACCAACTTGTCAAAGACAGATTGGGCAGTGGTCAAACCACCTTGGGCAATGTAGAGAGCAGCAACACCGACGACGTGGGGGGTGGCCATCGAGGTTCCGGAGATGGTCTTCTTGGCAGTGGTACCTCCGATCCAGGAAGAGGTGATGTCGACACCAGGTCCGAAAATCTCAACGCACGAGCCCCAGGAGGTGAAGTAGGCAGGGGCATCATAGCGGTCCGAGGCACCGACGGTGAAGGTGTTGGCGGCACCAGCGGGGGAACCATCGCAAGCATCGTCATCAGAGTTTCCAGCGGCGACGATCAAGGGGATGTTCTTAGCGAAGAGACGGGCAGCGGCGGCATCGATGGCGGTGGACTTACCACCTCCGAGGGACATGTTGACAACGGACTTGCCGGCAACAGCGTGGGAGGCAACCCAGTCCATACCGGCGACGACACCGGAGGTAGATCCAGAGCCGGAAGCATTGAGGACCTTGACACCAACGAGCTTGACCTTCTTGGCAACTCCGTAAGTAGTGCCTCCGATTGTTCCAGCAACGTGGGTACCGTGACCGTTCTCGTCAGTGTTGGCCGAGCCTGAGATGAAGTTGGCTCCGAAGGTGGCACGGGTGCCGAACTCAGAGTGGGCGGCATAGATACCGGTGTCGACAATGTAAGCGGTAACACCCGATCCGGCGGTGTCGGGGTAGTTGTAGGGCTGGGTCAAGTCCAAGTCCTGCTGACCGACACGAGTGAGACCCCAGGAGGGAGGGTTGGTCTGGGTAGCCTGGATGGTGATGATGGCATCCTGCTCGACGTAGGCAACATCGGGGTTGGCCTGGATGGCCTTGAGGGTGGCAGCATCAAAGGTGGCGTGGAAACCGGGGATGGCGGTGTACTCGCGCTGGATCTCGGGGGCACGACCGCGACCGTTGTACTTCTTGGCAATGCCGTCGAACTTGGTCTTGAAGCCAGGGGCAGAGCTGGCGTTCTTGAGGACGACAATGTAGGAGTCGGCAATGGGGGATCCGCCGGTGGCGTGGGGGACAAGGGGGGCGGCCTGGACGGCGGCGACGATGGCGACAATGAGGATGGCGAACTTCATGTTGGCTGGTTTTTTTTTGTGTGTGGAGGGGAGTGAGAAGGAAGAAGTTGTTGGAAGAGGAGGTGCTCGAGTAGTTGAGTGAAGAACAAGAAAAGGAGTGGGGGATGGCGGTTCTTTTATACGAGAATCGGCAATGTTAGTAGTCTTAGGTTTCTATTTTGTCGTTGTGTTTTGTTGAGGAAGGAGTAAGGGCGTGAAATAGGAGAGGAATGGTTAGAAAAAAGATAGAGGAAAGGCATTCTACTCCTTTGAATGAGTTAGAGAGCAAAGCAAACAAAGAATGAGACGACCAATTATGTCTAAGGGCCCATTGCTCTCCTTACCCCTCTACTCCTCGCCCATGAGGCTCCCTGAAAAATGACAGCAAAAAGGCGAATGAGAAAGAAAAAGGAGGAACTACAAGATGAGAGTGAAAGGGAAAAAAACAAAGAACGGGATTGGCTGGTTGGGTTGCTGCAGGCGCACATGTATGTATGTCCATCACATCCTTTCACCGGGTGTTTGTCCCATTTGCTCTCACTCGTTTCTACCTTTGTTTTGTTTTGTTTTGTTTGTTGAAATGCTCACTCCCTTTTGTTTTTTTGCGATGTTGATATCCCTGAATATTGCGCAAGGGTCCAACCGTCTCTTAATTTTGAAATGGAAGTTCACAGGGGTCAAAGATGAAGGCGAAATGGTGCAGCCAATTACCATCGACTCCATGTCTCTCTAGGAGTGAACAAAAGTGGCAAGGGCGTAAAGCAAACACAAAACAGAGAAACAACCATTTCGACATGGGAGACAATGAACACCATGTTCTCTCCATCGCGTCAACAAATGCCATGGCCTTTCTTCCATTTCCTTTGCATGAACCGCGCCGCCGCTTACCTGTCCGTTCACTTTCTTAGCATTCCTGGAAAGAGAAAAAAGAACAATCCCAGGGGGATCGTGGTTTGTTGCTGATTATTGTGTATCATGTTCTCAATGAATGCGAATGGAATTCTTCATCGCACTGTTGTTTAATTTTTCTTCACCTTTTCTCGGTTGTCATTTGCTTACTGTCCATACCAAATGAATCTCGGGTAAAGCAAATGGAGGGCGAGGGAATGGAGCATGCGTCATTGTAGTTATTGTAATTTGCATCGTCAATAACAAATGCAATCAACCTACCCTTCACCATAACCTGACCATACTCTCACCCTCCAGTGTAAAGAAATAATGACATCTCTCTTGAGCCCAGTTCCTGAAGGAAACCAACAACAACAGTCGAAGAGGATTGAGCGTGTGAGAAAAACCATGGTGTTTAGGTGTGAAGGGAGAAAAGGTCAAGTCCGATAGGTTGTCGATGGCGAAAAGGGGATATTTGGAACAAAAACAACAAAACATTAAACAATGAACAACAAACAGAGAGCAAATACCTCCAACGGCGTTGGCGTTTGGCGTCGGCGTCGACCTTCGCAAACACTCTGCTACCGCGCAACTGTCAACAATGAGTAACCCGGGACTTGAAGAAGCGCAAAGACACAATGAATGAAATATGTGAACGCGTGTTTCTTTTCGTTGGAAAGGAGAAGAACGGATGTGGATGAAATAGCGACATTGAAGCGACGAGGATTCACGCCATCGTGGATCGAGATATTGTTTTTTTCTACCTTTTGACGTGATATCTCTTCACATCCTTCCTTCTCCTTCCATTTACACTTGACTCTTAAAGGAAACATTCCGTATGGATTGCATATGGATGTGTGCAGTGTGCGGGTGTTTGTATGTGCACCGACTCGGAGTAATCTCACTCGCCGCTTATCTACCCGGAACCTCTGCAGCTCGTGTATGTGAGTAGGTTGTTGCAATTGCATTTGCACACGATATTCGTCATCAGATGTTTGCAATGTCGCCTCCTTTTTACTACTCCGAACTATCGATCGCATGGCGAACAATGGTCCGCACCAAGGAACGGTTAAAATCACTCTCTGCACAGAAGTCTTAGAAAGATTCTGTTCGAATGCCCCCCTCGGTATTAGTGGGTGCTTAGTACATTCCTTGGCATAAGATAGTCCAGAGATTTCTCTTCGAAAAAGTGAGTGCAAGAAGGAAAATAATAACAAGAGCAAGAGGGAGAACCCTGTCGGAACAACGGAAGAGTGCTCACCAATCATCACAACAAACATAACAAAGTATCAGAATTCTCCTCTGTTAGTTGCATACAGTGAGAGCATGACAAAGAGGGAACGTGTGCGAGCATTGCGAGATTGTATGTATGTTCACAACACACTTCTTGGTGGTGGTAACGCGTGTCTGTGGCTCATTTCTCATGGCGGATATTGTTACTTCTTGCGTTGCTACATTTGTCTTCGCCAATCTTCCAGTAAAGAAACACAGAAGGAGAGAGGGATAGGGCGGAAGGAGAAGTGACACTGTGTGCAGACGGCAAGACGGTCAAGATGCTTAGGGGAACAAAAAAGTTTAAGAGATATCTGGAGGTTTCAAGGCTCAGGCTGCATGCTGCCCACTTCCTATCATACCACCTCTCTATCTCTCCTCCCTCTCACCTCCATTCTCATTATTGTCAACTTCCCTTTCCCCACCTCCATCCCTCTCTTCGAAAAGGTTTCATTCAACTCAGAACTTTCTAATGCCAATTCCCAGGGGAACCCAAACCATAAGTCACGTCAACAGACAAGAACAAAGAAAATGAATCAGAGAGAAAAAGGGATGTAGCGCCCGCAAGGTACCTGCCTGTTTGGGTTAGTCGGGCGACCATGTCGTGCTTTCCTTTGTTTTTCTTTAGGCCCTTTTTTTTTTTGCTCGACCCCATTTTGGTATTATACCCTTCCTCTCTCCTTTTCTCCCCTGAACTGAAAATAATTGTACACCGAGGGAGTACCTGTCTTGCACACTCACATTCTTTGATTGCCAAGAGAGGGAGCCGTCATTTGTTTACCGGGAGACGGTAATTTACATGGAAAAGGACACTAACGGGTACGATGGGAAAAACCGAGGAGGTAAACAAATGAACCAGTCATGTGTATAGTTAGTTGGGGTTGAAGGGAATGCAATTTTTTTTTCTATTTTGCACCCTTGCATGGGATATGGTTTGCAGTCAATCCGTTTGTTTTTGTTGTGGGCTTTTTTACGCAGGGTGAAAATGGTCAAAGTGTTATCATGAAAAGAAAGTTGATTGCCAGAAAAGACGGAGGTATTGAATAACAAAAGAGAACTCAATCCCTCTCCCTTGTTCAAAGGAAACTAAGGAATGGGCTCTCGCACCCACCAAGTGTGGACTGATGGGGTGATTGAGTGTCTTAGTCCCTTTGTCTCTCGAGTCGAGTGATAAATCAACAGACTGAGACCAAGAAAGTAGCGAAACTTTAATATTACACGCGCAGATACATGAAGTGGTCCAAGGCCAGGCACCATTCACAGAATGAAAGAAAAGCAAAAAATAGTGTTCTGCAACCCTCATTGGCTGTCGAATGCGTTATTGCCTTACGCAGGGCGTCATGCCTCTCTCTTTTCCCTTCCCTTCAATCCCCTTCAACTTAGGAAAGTAGAGTTAGGGGGTAAACTTTTAGTCTCTTTTTTTTTATCGCTGTTTTGTTTTTGATGTCAGGGTCCAAGGAAGTGATATCTTGCCCTTTTGCTTTGTCCTTGTTGCCTTTGTTTCTTGTTATATCTTTGAATATCCCCATTCGCTCACTCTTCTTACTTGCTCACGTTCACAAACTTGCAACCAATGCAAGATGACAAGGGAGAGTAAGGCATCATGGCACTTCTCCTCGATCATCAACAGCATCATTCAGCTCACATTTTCTTCGCTCTAAATTTGTGATGTGGTTAAGTATCTCTGCCTTGGTACCTCCCTACCCTCTCTTTCACAGATGCCGAGCAGGCAATGAGAGTGGGAAAAAATCAAATTGTGGTTACCAAGGAAACTCAACCTTCACCTCTTCCTTCCCCGTCTTGCATTCTAAAAAAGAAAGTGCGTGAAAATGTGCCTAATGCGCGCCTACTTTTCTTCTGTGTACAACACATCTCACATCTGTACACCTCGTCTCTCTCGCCTATTTCTGAAGGTCGCCAATGGTGTCGATTTGCTTGCTCCTGCTCCTGCTGACAAAGAAGTAGAGTTCTGCAGGGTTCAACAGGATCCACTAGCAGAACCCCCATCCCCTCAATTCTTGCTCTCGTGATCTTGGTGGTTAGGTACCTACCCAGAACTACATCTCATCCCCACCTTGTCTCGTTTTCAAAGATCTAGGGTAGAGACAAATCTTTTGTCTAGGACAGAGAGAGTGTAACTATTTTTTCCCATAATGGCATACAAAGTAGCTACTATCTGACTGGTTAACTGTCCAAAGTCATGCAGGTCAGGGCCAAGTCAGGGTCAGGGTCAGGTCAGGGCGTAGTGTAGCCCATTTTTGAAGTTTTCCCGCTAACTCTCTCTATCCCTCTCCATCTCCCCATCTCTCCTCTTTCGCAAATAAAAACAAAACAAATGGCAACGGTAAACGGTAGTAAAATCAAATGATTGTGGGTCTAAAAACATCATCATCAACAACAACAACAACAACAACAACAACAACAACAACAACAACAACAAAAAACAATGGCGAGAGAGGAATTTGGATGGATAGTAAGAAGAGGAGGAGAATGCGTTGGGGCAGGGATGACAAAAAAAGTCGCACGCTCGAGTCGCTCTTTAGCGCTGTTGATGTGAGAGAGAGGCGCAAGCGAGAGAATAAGAATGGATGAGGTCCATGCCATTGCTGTCAGTGCTCCAATGCTCAATGCAATATATTTTTATTGTTTTCGTAAAGAGTCGACGTTTGTTGTGGGCTGTTTCCTTGGGTGAGTAGGTGTACTGTTTTGTTTTTTCCCTTGACCTTACCGTGAGAAACTGTATAAACGAAAAAGTGAGTATGAGGGAGAAGCGACAGACCCCCCCCCCCCCCCCCCCCCCCCCCCCCGATGAGAAAGCGAGGAAGCATCAAAATTAGGCAAAGGGAGAGGAGAGAGTGTATGGACAAGCAAGCGATATCCATGGATCTACAATGAATTAATAAAAAAAAAAATGCGCGAAAATAGGTACGAAAGAGAACCTCATTTTCTTGGGCTCCCGTAGTCTGTTTGTACTAATGGCACTCAAGTAAAGATCCAAACTAGCTTATACATCTGCAAGATCGTGAGCGCAGGGTGGCTACAATGATTCTCTTCAATGAAAAAAGATGGGGTTGAGCGAGTCGCGACGAGTAATTGGGGAGGATCTTGACAATCAACTAGCGAAATGAGATCCAAAGTAATAGATCATGAACCCTCCCTTGTCACGGCGCGGCGCTCGCATCCAATCAAAGGTGGTATGTAAATGGGCACGCGGTAACTCTACGAGCATGCATGCACTCCTTCCCTCATTGCCATCATCACCCCTCACCATAACCACCATACAGCATCCATCTGATATGCCATGCTGGACACAATGGGGGGTGAGTAAAAAAGAGAAAGGCGGAGTTAAGAGTCGACATAGGCAGTACTTCAGGGGCACGGCGAGCAAAATACATGGCCTGCATGCAAGCAGAAATGTGATCGACTAAAGGGGGGTCTCCAATGACGCCTTTTCGATTTTACAATTGAGACCATGCAGACAGGGCAGGGCAGGACAGGCAAAGTACCCAGTAGATACGTTGTCCACTTTCAGCCCTTTCCTTTGCTCCCTTTACTGCCCTGATGGAAAAGAGGAGCAAAGGTTGAGATAAACAGACAATGTCTCATAGGCAATGAGTCTGGGCTGAAGGGAACACATTGTTGTGCATGACCATCAGCAGTGGATAAACCACCTGGTACCTATTTCATTTTTGTCCGCTAATAGAAAATGTTGGTCCAAACATTTTCCCACCCTAGCAAGCGCAATGCATGTATTGTTTCGTTGGTTCGCTTTATCACTTTCCCACTTTGAGTACGGAAGCACCCTCTTCTTGGTCCCGTTGACTTCACTTGTCCATTGGAGAGCATGTGTGTGTCGCTTCATTTCATTTTGTATATCTTTTTTTTTGGGCTGTCCTAGAAGGCATCACGTCGAAGAATGCAAAAACATGAATGAAGAAAAGTAATGGTTACGTTTATTTGAATATAGTTAAAGTAGCCGAACCTATGGGCGCGTTACTGTAGTAGAACGGCATCCAATGCCAGTAAGGTTTCATCCATGAGTTCCAGAGGGCAGCATCCATGAATGATAGACGGACGGCACCCAATATGGGAAAGATATCTTTACTTGGTAATTTGCACAACTAGGAGCGGTGCCAGTTTTTGGGATCACGCGATGTTATCTCTTCTGTCTTCTTCCTCGACCATCCATTCAAGAACCGCCTTTGTACAAATGACAGCTTTTGGCACTACCAAAGTTGCCAGTAATAACATTTGTCCTACACTCCGCCACCAAACTTGTTATACACCGCCTGAGCAGTGTTCAGCCCACCCTGGGCATAAACAACGCTGCCGCACCTGACGTGAACGCCGTTGAGGTTGAGGGCTCTAAAATGGTACTTATCGCACTGTTGGAGCCAATCCATGCGCTTTTGATCCCCACTCCAGCCGTGCAGTAGCGGAATCGGTCGCCTTGGACTTTCCACTACCCAGAGACATATTGACAACGGACGTGCTGCGACATCCAAACGAGAACCCAAGTGGCAGGGGGTTCAGTTGCGAAACATAGGCGTCCACAGCAGCATCTTGTTCGATATACGCAACATCAGGGCCAGCCTGGATAGCCTTGAGGGATGTGGCACCGAGGGTGGCGTAAAATCCAAGAGTGCAAAAGAAAACTCACGATAGATAGTGGGGACAGGTCCACCATTACGACCGTTATGGTTCTTGGCAAGGACGTCGAATTTAGCCTTGAAGGTGGTGGCGGTGGCTTCAGAACCGCTGGGTGAGAGGGTGTGCATGTTTTCGTTGAGAACGATGATGTAAGAGTCGGGGATGATCTTCCGGTTGGCAGCGGGGGCGGTCAGGGGGGCGGCTTGGACGACTGCGACCAAAGTGAAGCAAACAGTGGCATGGACCTCTACTCTCCAATTTGTTCTATCGCTTGTTTATTTGTTTGTCTGTGAAAGAACGTGTTTGTTGATTATATTTCTCTTGTCCTTCTTGCGAGAAAACAAAAAAATAAGAGTATTTTTGCTCGTGAGAGAATAAGGAAGCAAGACACTTCTCTTTCTCTCGTCGACGCCCCCTCTTTTTGGTATTTCTTCATTCTAACTTTTGTATTGAGAGATGGTGGGTAAACATAACAAGGTGTGGCAATGCCGGTGATGTGATGAGGAGGGTGATGGGACGTTGAGTGGCGCTGCCCAGCAGTCGCGTTGTAATGTTTTCTCGTTAGAGTAGTGTTTTCTTTAGAGTAGTCGTACGAACTGAACCACAAGGGAAGACACCCCCAAAGCAAGGAGGCGCTCATTCTTCTCACACACCAAATCTCTTCTCATGCATACCAAACACAGATCTTTCTCACATGCAGAAGTCTAACAAGAATGCGAACAATAGGCGTGTGTACAAAGAAGAGAATGTCTGCTTTAATTGGAACGGGAGTATCAATCAACTAGAAGTTTTTTTTTGTTGGTGATAGAAAAAAAAAGGGCCCAATGTCCTGCATGGGGTCACAAAGAAGAAGAACAGAAAAGGTGAACCTGTCACTAAATATTCTTCCGCCCCCATACATATTTAGGGGCCACCGTTGTAGACCAAGCAGTCGGCGGCACCTCCCAGGTTACCAGTAATAACACCGGTAGTGCAGTGGGTCGACAAGGCGTTGTACACGGCCTGGGCAGTGTTCAATCCACCCTGGGCGGCGAACAGAGCAGCAGCACCGGTAACGAAAGCAGTCGAAATGGACGTGCCAGAGACGGTGTTGGTCGCAGTGTTAGATCCGATCCACGTCGACTTGATGTTCACACCAGGGGCAAAGATCTCGACACAAGGGCCAACCGAGGAGAAAGAGGCGATATTGTCGTTGGAATCAGTGGAAGCGACCGTGTAGACGTTGGGTGCACCGCCGGGGGAGCCCGTGCAGGCATTAGAGGCAGATGCGCCGGCAGCAGCGAACAGGGGGGCGTTCTTGGCGTACAGACGTTGGGCGGCGGCGTTGATGGCTGTAGAGGTGCCACCGCCAAGGGACATGTTTACGACGGTCTTGCCAGCAATAGCGTTGGTAGCGACATAGTCCATACCAGCAATAACACCGGAGGTCGTGCCAGAACCCTGAGCGTCCAAGACCTTGACACCGACCAGCTTGACCTTCTTGGCGACTCCATAGATGGTACCTCCGATGACACCGGCCAAGTGGGTACCATGACCGTTATCGTCGGTGTTGGGCGAGCCCGCGACAAAGTTTGCGCCCATGACCGCGCGGCCTCCGAAATCGGTGTGGGTGGTCAAGATGCCAGTGTCGATGATGTAGGCGGTGACACCCTGGCCAGCGAGGTCGTTGTAGTAATAGGGCTGGGTGAGGTCACGGACATGCTGCGAGATCCGGACGAGACCCCAGGTGGCAGGAGGGTTGGGCTGGACACCATACGCGTTAACAACAGCATCTTGTTCGATGTAGGCGACATCGGGGTCAGCCTGGATAGCCTTGAGGGTCGTGGCATCGAGGGTGGCGTGGAATCCAGAGATAGTAGACGAGAACTCACGGTGGATGGTGGGGACGGGTCCACCGTTACGACCGTTATGGTTCTTGGCAAGGGCGTCGAATTTGGCCTTGAAGGCAGTGGCGGTGGCTTCAGAACCGTTGGGGGAGAAGGCGCGCATGTCCTCGTTGAGGACGATGATGTACGAGTTGGGGATGACTTTCTGGTTGGCAGCGGGGGCGATCAGGGGGGCGGCTTGGACGGCTGCGACCAGCGCGAGGATAAGGAAAGTAGACTTCATGACTTTGAGGAAAAAGGATGTAGGGATGAAAAAGATGGGTGAGATTTAGTGTGGGAAGGAGGATAGAAAAACGGGAGAGAGAAAGGGAGTAAAGAAAGTGGGCTCACCTGCTAGTTTTTATACTAACAGAGAGAGGCGATTGTGCCATCGTTGCTCCAAGGTTTGATTTTTTTACTTTTCCTGTGGGCATGGGCGTAACCCTGGAGACAAGAATGCGCAACTGTTCTCTTCCTTTATTTTATCCTCGGTAAACAAAGACAGTACTGAGCGAGGGGGAGAAAGGGCACAGAAACGGTGGCGAGGAAGAATCGAGGAGAGAGAGGATGACATGGTCTCGCATGGACAGCATGAGGAAAATGCGATAGTGCAATCAACCTGCTCTCACTCCAACCCTTTTTGCCACAGGAATATCAACAGTCGAAAGCAACAAAGATAAAAAGAGAGCAACCACAGGGTCCTGACGTCTATTATCCAGTCGGGTCTTGTCCTGCCTGTCACCTGCCTGCGGATGCATGCTCCCCGTCCCCCTCCTCATAGATACACACTCCAAAAATACAAAGCAGGACCCTCAATTGTAAAGAAGAGACAATGCTGTTTGATATCCGTTCGTTGTCTCTCTCTCTTGCTCTCATATGTTTTGTCATTGTTTTCGTTTGTTTGTTGACGAGCTCACATTTTCCCAGCCCTTGTGTTTATTTTGGCTGTTCTTTTGTATCGGGGATACGTGGGCAGTTATGTTCCCTGGACCGACTGTGTGAAAAAAAATCGTTGAGAGAGAAGAGAGGGAAAGGATTGGAGGATCAGGGTGAGTAAGAGAGGTGTTTGTTGTTTAAAATATCGGGCCAATCACAGATGCCCTTGTATGCGTAGAGTAGAAGAGAGGGACAGGGAAAGGAGAAGGAAAAGAAACAGATTATAGAGAGACAACAAAACAAACATTCGGCAGACAAACACTGCAACAACAATGATGAGTGAAAGTAGGAGCAGGCAGAGTGAGAGAAAAAAATACAACCATGACCCAGGCCCTTTACTCAAGTCTTCACTGTCCACTCTTCTTTCTCTCGTATTTGTATCTGTAGGTTTTTGCAGAATCCTGCCCGTGTCTCGACAGAGAAAAGAAGATTGAGGGTGAAGGGCGGCAAAAAATAGTGCTATCTTTCGGAGGACCTTCCTCTTAACAGGCGCTTTATGTCTCTGTACTATGACTATGTGTTACTTCCTCTCATTACTAACCACTCTGTCGCTGTCCTAAAAAGCGAATTGCACCATGGTTACCTCCCAAGGCTTCTCATACAGGGACTGGCACGGTTTTTGACAGCCTTAGAGAGTTTTTTTTTTTTTAAATATTTGAGCCCGCTTCGTATCTCTTCTTGTTCCTTCTTCCTCTTCGTGCCTCTCTCCCACACAATTCTCTGAAGACCGAAGCTATTTTTTTTGTTTAGCGTTGGCGTTCTTGCTCAGAGGTCAACGGTGGTGTCGTCCAAACGATATTCGTCTGATCTTAGATAGGCAGCAGAAACAAGGATGAAAGACCCAGTGAAGCAAGTGGAGCAGCTCAGAGAATCCAGGCATCGAAAAATAAAGTATCACTCGACAACCATCACTAACTCCGACTGGCCGGTGATACCTCAGTGCTGATCATCACCATCACTTGTCTTCGCCCTCCTCTCTCCCTCTCTATTTCGATTGGGCTAAGACTGAGGGTTTTCATCCTTCAGCTCGGACAATTTATGTCTGCCATCCTCTTGCACCAGCTATTGGTTTTGTTGACGTGCACCAAGTCAACGCTGAGATATCATATGGTTCCTCTCTGGCACTCCTTCCCGCTTTTCTTCTTCCCTCTCTTTTTGCATGCGACAAAGAAAAATGTTGACTTGGCTATGAAAGTGTGTGGCGGGTAGTGGTGAGGGACTAATGTACTGTTGTTGTGATTAACGATGCGTCAAGAAATGTACAGATGGATACTCAGATACAACATTCAAGGAATCTAAAGAGTGCAAGACACCCCTGAACTTGATCGAACCTGAGTAATAATAACGTATGGTATTGGATCACATTAACCCTGTCCTTTGTCTGAAAATAATAATAAACAGCATCAACCGAACGATAAACCGCAGTGGCACAAGTAGGCAGATGACTGCGCAAGGACTAGCAAATCTGTTTTCATATCTTTTATCAGACAGTTCATTTCATGATCACAGAGACAGGTGTCTTGCAGAAGTTAGGTACTCTATGATTGTTTATGACGCTAACTGCAGAGAGCAGCATAGAGACAAGTGTGTTTGACTGGTCATAGCATCGATGTAATTTAGCGTTTTTGCCCCACATCCTAATTTTTTGCAACAAGATGTTCATGATTGTATGGTGTGTGTTTGTGTGCACAGGAATAGGGGAATAGACCTTGCTTTGGAGACTCGCGGTCGTTCTAGTCGCCTCGGCAGAGGATTGCAAGTTTATCACCTTCCTAGTCGGCAAGTCCGCCAATCTGTTCGGCACAAAGTGGAGCGACATGGAGCCCTACCTGACCGTCCGTGATGGCAAGACCTACTATGCCAAGATCTGAGAGGGGTCGCATTGGGAAATTGGAGGGAGTTAATGCGGGTAATGACGTGTCAGTCATGTTTGCTGCTCATAGGACGAACAGGACCCTTGACTTCTATTATTTTGGATAGATGAGCATTGGAGGTCAAGGAAAAAAGAAGTGGAAGCCTGGTGGATATGATTATATCGAGTTCTGGTAGTGCTTCTCGCTTTATGATATGAAGTAGGATGTTGAGGGTTGATCGCTTGCAGTGTTTCTTTTCTGTTGTAGTCTACTCTTCTCCCTTTTTTCCTTTCTCTCCCTGCCCTGTCTTCCCACTCTATGTTCAATATGTTTTCTTTGCATTCGATAGTGATTTAAAAGAAGTAAAATGAATGTACAACCTCGCCGGTGAGAGTGCATCACAAGGTCGGGTCGCTTGATTTGGTGAAGATATTAGATGTGCATGGTATGCGGTTTGTTTGCTTTGAGACGGTATTATGAAAGCCGGCTCTGGGTGAAAAGAAAGTGAGTACTCATGGTCCAACTAGAAAATATATGAGATCAATAGTTCGAGATGGAAGAATAAAGAATTGGAAACATACACATGCATGTTTTTCATGCATTTGCCATTCTCTTCAATGTAATACACCTTTCCATGCGACGAAGCAGAAATATTTTGGGTGGTACACTCCAGCGAATTCAGGAACCAGGAACATAACAAAAAGGGGGGTCGATCAGTTTGATTTCTGATTGGCTGGCTACATTTCATTGCTGATCACTTCCATCTGCATCCAGATTGGACTAAGACAAGGGTTTAGCACCTTGCAAAGGCCTAAAAAAAAAAAAAGAGGTAGATTGCCATGCGTCTCCCTCCTTTGCTCCCAGGGTTTTGTTTGTTAAAGTGGACCAAGATGACACTTGAGGTAACACATAGGAAGTACCGCAACTATACCATTACAGAGGTACTAGGGCGGTGCCACTTGAATTATTCTCTTCTTTTTTTTTTTTGCATTGTTGTGTCTATTTATTGCTGGAAGTGTACAGTACAGTGTAGCCTCATGACGCATCCAGACACCCTTTTTTTTGTTTCACGGACAAAATGCAGGCAACGTTTAAATACGTTCTGTACAAATGCTCCGAATCGTGTTGGTTCTCAATAGGAAAACACTGTCAAGTTATTCAGCAGACGACAAATCATATCATTTGAAAAAGATTGAAGCTTCGCTCTTTGCCTGTAGGGTGCATCGGAGAAGGAAACAGTGGTGGTGCTTATCCATTTCAATGTGCGGTGAAAGAAAAAGTTAATGCTTCGCTAACGATTTTTTGCACGGCAAAAGGAGAAAGAACGATATTCGCTGCAAGCTCAATGCATGGGAAAAGAAAAAGGTAATGTCAATGGATATATGAAAACGTCATGAGACCAATACGGAGAGCGAAAGGAAGGATGATCGGATAACATTGTATGAAGTGTAGAAAGAGGAGAGAGAGAAAACAGACGAAGAGAGAGAAAACGAAAACACGGGCAAGTGAAGGGAGGAAGGACTTTCAAGAAAAGAGAAAAAAAGGAGAGGGTAGGGGGGAAAAAAAAAAGTGTGAGAGGACGACAACCGAGACCAAAAGTAAAACCGTTTCAGTGTTCGTAAGTCCCGTAAAGCACATGAAGTGGATAAACTCCAAGATTACTCTGAGGTTGTTAACATAACATGAAGTGGATAAACTCCAAGATTACTCTGAGGTTGTTAACATCTCAACTAGTCTCACTCTTTTTTTCTCGCATGCAGATCATCCATCGCGAAATGAAAATTGTTATTGCACCATGACACGATCAAGCACATTGAAAGATAGATGCAAAGAGGAGAGGGAGGATTTGAGAAAATGAAGGAGACCCTTTCTGCGAAGTTTTATTATTCAAAGATGAACCTAATGAATAGGTTGAGATTTTTTCAAGTTTTTTGTCGACCATGTCCTGCATGGAGTAAATAAAGTAGATTCAAACGAATAGAGGCGATGAATTCCTGTTCATCATCCTCTTAGTTCCCAACATCCAAATGAAAGAGGATTATTTAGACGGCGCCACCGTTGTAGACGAGACGGTTGGCAGTGCCACCGAGGGATCCCTTGACGACGTTCTTGGTCGAGGTGGTGGTAAGCTTGTCAAAGACAGACTGGGCGGTGGTCAAACCACCCTTGGCGATGTAAAGGGCAGCAACACCAACGACGTGGGGAGTAGCCATCGAAGTTCCGGAGATGGTGTTGGTGGCAGAGGTGCCACCGATCCAGGACGAGGTGATTCCGACACCGGGTCCGAAGATCTCGACACAGGTTCCGTAGGAGGTGAACGAGGCGGGGTAGTCGGTCTTGTCGGTGGCTCCGACAGTGTAGGTGTTGGCGGCACCAGCGGGGGAGCCAGAGCAGGCGTTGCTGCCATCGTTACCGGCAGCGACGATCAAGGGGATGTTCTTGGCGAAGAGACGACCAGCGGCATCATCGATAGCCTGGGACTTGCCACCTCCGAGAGACATGTTGACGACGGACTTGCCAGCAACTGCGCGGGCGGCAACCCAGTCCATACCGGCGACGACACCGGAGGTGGAGCCAGAGCCGGAAGCGTCTAAGACCTTAACACCGACGATCTTGACCTTCTTGGCAACTCCGTACTTGGTGCCTCCGATGGTTCCGGACACGTGGGTACCGTGACCGTTCTCGTCAGTGTTGGCCGAGCCTGAGATGAAGTTGGCACCGAAGGTGGCGCGGCCTCCGAACTCAGAATGGGCGGTGTAGACACCGGTGTCAACAACGTAGGCAGTGACTCCGGAACCGGCGAGGTCGTTGTAGTAGTAAGGGGAGGAGAGGTTCAAGACGTTCTGGGAGACACGGGTCAATCCCCAGGAGGGGACGGGGGACTGGGAGGCCTGGATGGTGACGACGGAATCTTGCTCGACGTAGGCAACATCGGGGTTGGCCTGGATGGCCTTGAGGGTGGCAGCATCAAAGGTGGCGTGGAAACCGGGGATGGCGGTGTACTCGCGCTGGATCTCGGGGGCACGTCCGCGACCGTTGTACTTCTTGGCAATGCCGTCGAACTTGGTCTTGAAACCGGGGGCGGCAGCGTTGTCCTTGAGGACGACAATGTACGAATCGGCGATGACGCGCTGGTTGGTGGGAGGGGTGACCAAGGGAGCGGCCTGGACGGCGGCGACGAGGGCAACAATGAGGAGAGTGGTGTACTTCATGGCGAGAGTTGTTTTTTTTTTGGTTGGGAGTGGGTTGGTAGGAGTTGGTTGTGAAGAAGAGAGGAGTTGGGATGGGGAATAAAAAAAAGAAAAGAAATGGCAGATCATCCCGTTCCTTTTATACGAATTTTGTGGGTCTCTGCCCAAGGGTCAAGGAGTGTCAAGGGTTCAAGAGTAACCTGGATAGGGTATGCGCAAAGCAGCGCCACACATGCTAACGAACAGAGTGGTCCAGTACAGGTAATCTCTCTATGGATGGGTTGCTCTTCTTACTCGGTAACAAGTCATGAGAAAATGTAGGGGTGCAATTTGATTTGTTTGTTATTGGCAGTCGCGATCTGGAAGTGAGCATAAAGGCGAAAGTCATTGCCGATGGTGCAATCTCGGTTCCTGTCGCCTTCCTTCGCTTCTCTCATTCTTGAAATCGTGTTTGTGTTTTTGTTTTGTGTCCCTTGCAGACGACGATGGTCATTCATGTGTTGTGTTTGTTCAACGAATTGTATCTTTGTTGTTGTATTCTTTGACTCTTTGATTACAATATGATTCAAAATAAAGAGCTATCGCACGGGTGGCGAAATTTGTAATGTGTGTCCGTCTCTGTCCCTGACAGCGAGAGAGCGCGAGAAAGAGAGTCCCTGGACTAGCCCCGTTTGCCGTAAAGTTTGTTTTGTTTTGTTTTGTTTTTGTTGTTATCTTTTGAACAAGGGTCCAGTTCCCTCGCCCTTCCTCCTCTCCCCAAATCTAATTCCTTAACCACTGTTGCATTCTATTCCGTTCCCTCCAACAAACGGATGCAAGGGATGGAACAGACTTAATCTATTCAGTTGCTGTGATTGTGTGTGCATTAGTGTGCATGTGAACCAATCAGAGAGCAGCCCATTTTCGTAGGAGGACAGATCGAAGGTGACAAGAAGAGAGAGAAGTGAGAGAGAAGTGTGAGAGAGAGAGAGAGAGAGAGAGAGAGAGAGAGAGAGAGAGAGAGAGAGAGAGAGAGAGAGAGAGAGACGGCAAGGATGCGAATATCGTTTCTCCCATTCATTTGTTGACATGGGGCCCATCCAACCTACCATCACCATCGTCAACCGAAACAAAAACAAAAGCAAGCATACCAAGCGTGAAGGGAGGACGCCTTCTTCCCCACGGCCTGCGGTCTAACATAATCCTGGGTCCGCCCTTTGCCTACAAAATACACCACCAACAATTTTTTTTGGTACACTTAACGAACTTAAAATGTTAATGGAGAGCTTCTTTTACCGAGAGACGACTACGGGCTAACATTCGCATTTCTCTAACAGCGTGATTATTATTTTCACACACGCTCCATGCTTCTTATTCGGTAACTCTCTTGGGAAAAGAGGTGACGGGGGAGGATGTTGACGCGAGAACTCATGTTTCTTGAATCACTCCCTCGTCTTCCCTTCTTTTTTCTTGTTGGTGGAGACAGCAAAAAGTCAATTGAGCCCAAATAGTGAACAAGCAAAAGGAACAAGAACGAGACCCAGGGAGAAGAGAACCCAGAATGTCATATTTCGGAAAAAAACCGTCGATTCTCTATGGTAGAGAAGATGGAGGGAGGATGACGGGACATTAGCACCAATAGCGGAATGCAGGGCGTCCGCAACGAGCACCTGCTCGGATAGGGAGAATACTCTCCTTTCCTATTCGTCCTCACCCCTCCTTTGTCTTTCTGTCACCCCTTACATACCCTTACCCAGAGTGTCACCATCGAGGGGTCTAGTGAGTGACTAAGGAAAAAATGTATCCACTTCAAACACCGACAAGGGGGCGGGGACATGTATGAGTGAACGTGGTGTTGCGGGGGTATTCAAGAAAACTGCCGATTCGGCGCGAGGGAGGGAGGACACCTCTTGTTACTGCGTTACCCTACTTTTCTCCCTCCCTCTCTCTCTCTCTACTCGCTGTCTCCTTCTACTCGCTGTCTCCCTCCCCAAAACTCATCCACCATGGTTGTCTGTATGCAGGTCCGCACTTTGTACCTTGGAGGATAGCAGTAAGAGAGAGGGAGGGGAGTCTAGTGCGCACTTGCTCAAGTGTGATGCGATTTTTATTTTTCTGAGTAGGGACAGGGAGAGAAGGTTCAAAGTAAACAAAATGAGCCCGCATCCTCAATGGATTGCATTTCAAAATGTTATTTTATTTCGAGCTAACGATCGTGAACGAGGAGCCAGCGGGATGGCGTTGGTGGTGATGGTGCATGCAAGGTAAAAGGAGGGGGGACATGCGAGTCAAAGTGTGTGTAGAGGATTTTCATTACGCGACGGCAGAGGGGAGAAGGAAGAAAACGTCATTTCATGTATGGCCCTCATGATCAATAAGCAAACTATAAGTGAGCAACGACGATTCGATGGGAGGTCTATCCCATGCCCTACATCTTGACTTCCTCTCTCACTCACTAACCTACATTCCAGGAACCCTACTCCATTTCGGTCTAGTTTGTCAAAACGGCCAACTTGTCTCTTTATGGCACCCACCCTCCCTCGCTTACTCGCCAACGGATGAACAATCGGGTGGACCCTGTTTCATCCCTCTCCTATACTAACATCCTGTTTGTTTCTTTGTTTCTCATTGTCATTGTTTTTGTTTCTCCCCAACGGTATACGCAAAACATTTCCCAAGGACACTCTCTACTCCCGTCTAATAAACTGCTGACTGACAGACCATGGTCTTTGTTTACTTTAAAGTGCTAAGTGGTGGTCCCTGGGAAAATGCAGGTGAGATTGCTATTTGTTTTTTTTAATCGATGAGAAATGCGAAATAAAGGGGATACGAGAGTGTGAGAATGGAAGAAACAAAGGGAGAGCGAGCGAGAGGAAGGCGATGGGAAGGAGGGCGTGGTAATCCCAATCACATTTTTCTCACCATCTTCCCTTTCGCCTTTCCATCTTTTTTCTCCCACAATATTCATAATCCAACTACAGACAACTAGCCTCTCCAATGTCAACAATGAAGCAGGACAATAAAGGAGAATCGAAAAGAAAACAATGCCCTTTTCGTTTCACTTCCCCATGGGGTCACGAAGAGGTTCCAGACGTGATAGGAAGATCCAGGACCACTCTGGCGTATGAAGAAAACAAAGACATTGATGACACGGTCCTATAAAGACTAAGAAGGCGTGGGGTTTGAAGGAGGAAGTTTTCCCTAGAGCGGTTGGATAATCAATTCGCCAACACCGACATCTCTGTGGAATATCCTTCACGAGCCAGAGCGAGACCGACAAAGAGAAGAGGTCGAAGCGTGTTTAGCACAGAAGGGCTACTGGGAATCATGGGTCTAGGCGTATTTTTTATTCTCTCGAGACTTAGTAGACAAAGTTCACCCCAGAAAGCCATAGTCGCCCGGTAATGTTTGTTGTTATTTGTTGTTACTTGTTTTGTTTTGGATTGTTGTCTGGCCCGGATGTGAAGGGGAAAATCTCGATATGCCTTTGGTCTGGCCGCCTTTGCTTTTTGTTTTTCTCGTTTTTCCATTACAGTTTCTCCAGCTTGCGTGTGAAAACATATCGTCGATGTAAACAAACAAAACAACTCCCCTCTTCCCTTCTTTCCAAATCTTGTTTCTCCCAGGGAATAAAACAAAATATTTTTTCAAGACGTATTGGAGTAGAGTAGGCAGGGTCCACCAATCCCCGGTCCACTACATAAACTAAAACGTTATTTTGTTTGTTTGCTTTGCTTTGCTCCCTCCCTTTGTTGTTGCAGAGGGTGAAAATAAGAGAGAGTCTGTGAGCAGCAAGAGAGAGTAAGCGGCTGATTGATGGTTGGCCATTCGGTCCCATCCGGATCACACGCTCATGCTCACTTTGTTACTGTCACGACATCCAGGAACGGAGGTTCCTATTGGCTGGTCACCATCGGCGCCTTGGTTGACATCTAGACATATCATGGTGGGAGTGAATGCGAGAGGGCGAGAGGGAAGTGAAGGGAGGGGGAGAAGGGGTGCATGCAAAGTGGCAGGGATGTTAGTGTTCACTGGCGTGCGTTGGATTAAGGGAGGGAAGGAGGGAAATGGGGGTGGATCATTGGCATGCACATGTCTTTGATCACTTGCTTAATGCAAGGCTGCAGACAGAGAAAGAGAAAGAGAGAGGAAGGATGATCGATTTTCGACTAGGAATGCATGAGGGAGGAGGAAGAGAAAGAGAATGGTGCTGGGCTACTCCAATGCAGAGAGGGAGGGAGAAGGGGATCATACCAGCCAAATCCACAGCTACATCCACATTCCTTACCCTTTCCCCTCAATCCCTCACCATCCATCGCCATCGCTCGCGAGATGCATCTACTTTCGAACCCAACGTCTTTTTTTATCTACTTGGCACATTCCTTTACCTCTCTTCGTCTCTCCCTGCTGCATATTATGGGCACGTTATCGGTGACAATACATTTCTTGCCACCAATCGCCTTCCATTCCTCAATAGTGAAGTGCATTCAACCCTAGTCGACTTTTCATCCTTCTAGTCTGTTGAATAGTGTCAATGAAGTACCTTCGAGTTTTGTTGCAGTGTCGGTAAATGACGAGAGTTGGGGCTAGAGAAAGTACCCTAGTTGACTGACACTAGTACCTGCACTATCTCTCCTTCCCTTCTCCTTAGACCCTTTCTATACCACACATCCCTTCCTAATGCCTGACTTGTGTATGTGGACTCCAAGACCACAACAACTCCCTTCGCATCGCAGCAGGCAGCTCCCTGCATAAAACTCTCGAACTTACTAACCTATCCCAGCCCAATCAAGTCTAGCGTACCAACCCGCCCACCAAGCAAAAGGTCCATGCAAAGAGGTAAGGATAGGTATAAAATGAGCGTGCGACTTGACATTTTTTTAGTTATCAAAACTAAGAGCATCAAGACATGGGTTGAGCGCGAGAGGAATAGAAGAGCACACAACCAATGGAGTTTTGAGCGAGTACAACAAGCGCAAAACAAGTATTGTGTGTTGGAGGGTTTCCTAGCTGATGGGAGTGGCAGCAGCACGCCATTATCGCGCCCTAGCTTGCCTCTGAGCTTTGTGGATGCAGCAATGGGATGCAAACATTTTTCGAAGAGTGCAGAGTAGGAAACTGTTTATTCATTCACTCAATCGTGCATTAACTCCTTCCTCCTTAGTTCCCACCTCTATTTTCCCTTCACGCTCCACCTCTTGCTCCTTGCATTCTATTCGAGACATGTCTTTCTACTCTTGCCTCCAACAACCCTTCCGCCCCCACCCTTACGCCCAACATTCCTGCTGGAACCGCCCTTCTTTCTCGACCTTTCCCAAATAAGCATGCGCCTCCTCCACCCCCATCTTCCCCTCCTTGGCCACAACCCGTTCCAACGCCCTCGTCACATCGGCAGGCATCCGATTCGAGCTGCCTGACAATAGGATGACACCCTTCTGGTCGTGGAGGTAGTTCCAAACCAGAGCCGATTGTTGTTCGATGAGGTGTTGGACGTACACCTTGTCCTCCTACATGCATATAAAAAGCGTAATGTGGTAATTGGAAGAATGTGTTAGGTGGGTGAAGTGAAATCACAGTTTAAGTTGAGAGGATAACCAATCCCATCACAGTCATGCAATAGGTTTATCGATGGGCTGATGAGAAAAAGAGAGGACGCATAAAAGTATAGTCAACAAAAAACGTGAAAAAAAAGAATGAATGTAGGGAGTAAACAAAGCGAATGAGCCGACATAAAGAATGAGAGATTGGTGTGCAAAGGGCACCTCATTGAAAGAATAAACAAAAGATCAAATGGGGGAGTGAGTCTCAAGGGAAAAAACAACGGAAGAAGCGTTTTTGCGTTTTGGAGGTGCCGAAGGGAATAAAAGTGAACACAAGGTAGGATGAAGATAGGATGCAAGTGAGCCAGAAATCGACCCCATCCGTGATGTAGAGAGGGAGGAAAGGGAATAGCCGGTGCCAAGCCAAAAGTGGGCGTAATGTAAAAAGCGCATTCCTGGGGATTCATCCATTTGGTGGTCTAGTTCCGTATCCACTGCGCTGATGGATAATTCATCCAGACCCACAATGAATGCTTGGGGTTGCCAAGAAGGAAGAAAGAGAAGGACGAGTGGATTGAATGGAGGGGTCCCGTTTGGGTGTAAAGACAATTGTCATTCGATCGATTCTTCTCCCCGTTGACCAAGCGTGAGAAAACAATAGCTCCGGCACACATCCGGAAACTTTGCCGTGGTCTGTCGACTTTTTCTTCGTCTACGAACACACGCACTGCCAAGTCTATTAGACAACATAGATGTAAATGTTTTACCTGGTCGCGAGAGCAGGCGGCAAAGACTTTGAGACGGCCCTCGGATTCCAACTGCTCCCATTCCTCGCGGTAGTGGTAGTCTCGCTCACGCTTCCTGCAGCCAAAGAAGAGCACGTTTTGAGTCGCGCCTTGGGCATAGATTCGGTGGTGCAAGAAACTACGCATTGGGGCCACACCCGTACCTTTCGAACGAAGGAGAAGTGTACAGTGGAGGAAAAGAACTCACCGATTGGGTTAGAGCGCGAACAAAAGGTACCACGTTCACGTTTGTTCCACCCATTATAATAAAAGGCACATGCATGAGAAATGGATGTGCTCTTACCAGGTCCGATGCAGATAAGGGGAACGGAGGGGTCTTTGGGGAGTTTGAGTGTACCTCGTTGGATACGAATCCAGAACTCAGAAGGCTCCTTCTTGTCAGTTGCCTCCTCGAACAACTCATCAGCAGCGTGAAGACTCTTGAGCCACTTTGTGCAGACACCTGTCCTCCACCTCCATAACTTGGTCTTGTAATGCACAATTGCTATACAAAGATCAATCTTCCACTGCAGCTCGCCATCCGCATTCCCAGTTGCAACTGTGCCATTCGACGTCGCAACCTGCTGTACCACCGCCTCACCATTCACTCGGGCTGTCACTGCGGTCTGGGATTGTTCCTGAACAGACGCCAGGGGTGCCGAGGCGATCGAGAAGCTGCGAGGCATGATGATAGGAAAGACATCAAGCATGTAGTCAAGAGGGATTTTGACGTCCTTGAAATCAGCAAGGACCTCGAAGATGGTTCTCTTCACACGATGGGAGTATGTGTACAGATCGTCTTGGCCAGCGGGGGAGATGAACTCGCGCAACTTGTCCTTCTCGTCCTCGTTGGGGGTAAAGTGGATCAAGAGCTGGAAGAAGCTAGTGCGAGGGGTCATGAAGACGTTCAAGTGGTTGGTCAATAGCGAGCGGATCGTTTGTCGATGAGGGATATGCTTTGGCAACTGGTGATCTATTGTGAAAGAGTAGATATACATATATCTTTGTACGTTAGTCATTTGCTTGAGCAAGACAAACAACAAACAATAAAACCAGAGACAGTGACATACCAGAGAGGTTCTCGACGATGGTGAGGGGTTCGTCAGCTATGCTTGTCCATCCATTGTACTCCAAGAACTCATCGACATCCTTGGTAAGGTTACGAGGTCTCATTGTCAGGACATCTCCAGGGTGATAACCGGGGAAGACGGGATCCTTGACAAGGAGTTCGATATGACGCACATCTTGGTTATGTTTCTCGTGAGTGATTCTCTTGTTGGTCAGGAGGGTAGCCAAGTAAGAGTTGGGCTCCTGGTTAAAGTCCAATGGCTCTTGTTGTTTGTTGTGGGTATTGTTGTTGTTGGTAGGATCAATGATCTCCTTGGGGTCAAAGACGAGACTGAAGCTGTTCTTGAAGATGACGTTCTCGGGGATGATCTTGAGGGGCGGTGGGATGGGGTATTTTTCGAGTGCAACCTTCCACAGTCCTGTAAGCCAAGGTCCCAGTGTTCCATCCACTCTATTTACCGTTTGCATCAGATATGATGATGAGACAATTAAAATTTAGATAGAGATTGGTGGCGGTGGCTTGAAAATTTTATACTGCGAAAGTGGGTGACTAACCCGAGGTAGTGCTGGTCGTCCGCATAGGCTGGCTCATAGAAGGGCATTGCGCCCAGCTGCATCAAACGCTTGTACAGCTTCTTCGCAGGCCAATTGAACCTAGGAGCACATACACATTGAGTGAAAGAAAGAGAGATAAAGAAGTCAATTGGTCATGCATACATGCAACAAAGGACGAGCACAGCCACGAAAATGATGCCTGCGCAGAGGAGAGAAAAAACTCAAACGATGCATCTCAGATATTCAAATATTGACTCACTTGATGTAAGAAGAGTCGCCCAGTCCCAGGACAGTATACTCCATGTGGTCGAGAGCATCACTTGGATGGGACTTGCGGAGGAGGAACTTCCAAAACTTTTTCATGTTGTCTGGCTCCTCGCCCTGACCTGTGGTTGAAGCAATGAACACCACAAAGTGCTCGCGGATCAGCAGCGACTACATAATAATGTATTGATTTCATAGAGTGAATAAAAGGGCGAGAGGAGATCAGTTTTCTTTTGCTTTGGTGTGCATTGAGTATAGATCGAAAGACCAGCCGATCTATCAGATCGAAAGCTTCCCTCCCTCCCTTTTTCTATTATTACCCGATCATAGTCATCCATGGCAGACACAGTTGCGCTAAAGTGCATGCGTCTAGCCTCACGGGCAGCATTCTCGGCTACATCCTGTGCGCAGCCCGTCTGGGATCCGTAGAGGAAGAGGATCCGACGGGGGTTGTGGATAGCGATATGTTCCAGGTGCTTGGCGTCGATTGCTTGTTGCTGTTGGTGGGCTTCCTCTGAGGGGGAAGTGTTGTTGTTGGTTGTCGGCAAGCTCATTGTTTGTTGGAGATGTGTCACGAATGATGTGTGAAGAAGGAGTGGACGGAATCGGATGTCGAATATTGGTTGATCCGTGTTCTTGCTGGCTGCGGGGAATTGAGTGAGGGTGTGAATGGGAGAGCAGAGGAAGGAGGAGGGAAATGCGAGATGAGAGTGAGACGATGCGGAGAGGAGAGGACTGTGGACAATTGCCACGGGGAAGGAAAAGTGGTAAGAGAGAAAAGGAAGAGAAAAGGAAGAACGGGGCGCAAAAAGAATCAAGTGTGCCACTCTAATCAGATCTTCATTAAATCCAGAATATGCGCAGGGATATAGTGGAAAATGATCGAGTCATTTGATTGGTTACTGACGGACAATTATACTGAGAGTCAGTGTTGGGTTCGGGTTTGCAACAGTTGGGTTCGATTCTTCTTCAAAGGGCCCGGAGGAAGGCGCCGGGTTAGGATGCAAGAAGCCCAAACGAGACGTGGTCGCCACCGTGGTGAATACTGACTCCTCCGTCCTGGGGTCTTTGCCTGTGCCAAATGATATGAGGGTAATTTTAAGGAAATAAAAAGACTCTTACGACATGTGATGTTCCTTGTGGTGTTCGCGACGCGTTCAAAAAAGGAAGAAGGACCCTCTTGTTCATGAGGATTGCTTCGCTTTCTTTTGCCCCAAGAAGGTTGACGGGCTACAGAAGATCGATTATCCATCCCTATCCATCCAGGCACCATCACTGATCACCTTGTTTGTGTCACTCTGGAGTGATCAGACATAATAATTTTTGACCAAAAATAAATAACGGCCGTCTTCCAAGAAAGACCTCTTTTTCCCTCTCCATGTGGTTTGTCCGCGATCAAATTTTATGAGCCATTTTCCTTTCCTTTCATTTGTCTGGTTCCTCTGTCCATTTTACATGGCCCTAGTACATCATCCTGCCTCACTGCTCTCTCGCTCATTGCTCCACGACAGACAAACGCTCTCTCCTCTCCAATTCACCTTCAATAATAAGCTGCCTCCCTGTCGACCTACTTACCTGCTCCAGTCCACCCTCTTTTTACACTCACTGGTCTTCTTTGTCATCATCCCTCTTTCTTCTGTCTGCCAGCCCATCATCCCCTTTCCGCCATCCCACCCTTCCTTCTTCATCTGTTCATCCCATACCGTTCCTTCTCTTCCCATACCTTCCCGACCCTCTCTCCCTTTCCCTTTCCTTTTCCCTTTCCCTTTTCCCCTTTTCCCTTTTCCTTTCTCCGCCCCTCCTTCCCTCTTACTCTCACTCCTCCTACTCCTCCCTCCTTTTACACATTCCTCCCCCTTCGACCACCTTTGTCTCATCCATACTCACCCACATACATCCACCCACCCGCCCGCCCTGTCTGCCATATACTACTCCCTCAGTCGACTACCTGGACGATGAACGCCGAGGCAAAGCTCGTCTTGTCCCTGATCAGCAGGATCATCGCAAGGGTAATTCGCTCCCTTCCTCACTTCCTCTCTTCATCACTCTTACTCTTACCCACACTCCTACTGTCACTCACAATCGACGCTCAGCAACAACAACTCATCATCATCCGACAGTGCAACATACATATAACTTAACACAATACTGAACACGAAACAATGGAGCCAACTACGCAATCGCCCTTCTTCTACTCTCCCCGTTGGCAACGTCGTCCTTCTCCCACGTTGTACAATATGTGCAACGCACACACACACAACACACACGCACGCCTTCAATCTGCAGCCATCCTGTCCCTTTCATCACGTCTACCCCATCATCTCTTCGCTCCTGTACTTTAATATGATAACGACAACAAAGTGTGCTAATAACACCCACTTTCTCGGCACATAATAGCTACCATATAATGGACGTACACTCGAGAGCATAGAGATGGACCCGCTTATCCAGCAGTCCATCAACTCCCTGCTCGACCTCTCACGATATCGCCTGGGCCTGATTTGCCATCATCTCGTCAATCAGCTCGAGAACATCTCAAAGGTACCCCAACTTTCACTACTACCACCACAGCAACAACGACATCAACAAGGACAACATCAACAGTACTTTGTGTTGCTCATCATCCCATCCCAAATACAACCAAAGGAAGAGCATACGCCCCTCTCCCATTCAACACAGTAACAGCAATAGAAAACAGAGCCGACAAACGGCTGTCAACAACAACAACAACAACAACAACAGCGACAACGATTATAACGACACCTGAAATACATTTTCGGTATTCAGGAGGAATGCCTTGCAGATAGGCCTCAATGGCACTGCAGAGTTGCGTACCCGGGTGTTGCATTATCCATCAGTGCCAAACCAGATGGCCCTTTTTTATTCAGGATGACAACAGAGGATTAACCTTCCGAGTCGAAAGACGGACAACGGAGCTTTTAACATACACATACATACACGTGCAACAACCTCAAGAAAGACGCCATGGACACTTGCACTCTCGTATGCACAAGAGCAAATAAGCAAGAGCATAGACAGCAGACCATCGACAACGAAAAGCGATGTGAGCCAAAAACAACTTAACATATAAGCGCCCAATGAGCCTGTAGACAACATCGATGCTCTCTCACTCTGCCCCCATGGATTATGTTCGCCCATAAACAAACACCTTGCCATACTCACATCAATTGACCCTTATTTCCCAATTGCATTTCTATCTACCAATTAGCAAAATGGCATGGTCCTGGAGGAATCGGTGCCATATGACGTCTTGCAGTCGCAGATGTTTGTGCTCAGGATCCTGTCGCAGTGCATGGACGCCCATTGGAAGGCATATAGGGATCAGCTCACGCAGCACCTTCGGGAAGCCAACGATAACTCATCAGAGACCTTGACCAATGGCTCCGATTTGACCGTCACCTCCATTTCGGCCCTGGCTTCAGCACGACACAGCGACCCCCCACCACTGGATGATGCGCTCGCCAAATACGTCCTCAGTGTACTGACTCGGTTCCTTCAGGATGTTCACCCAAGCGAGGACACTGATGCGAGGACAGAGGTGCAGAGTAGTAGCAGCAACAACAACAGCAGCAGGAAGAAGGCTAACGAGACAGACAGCGCCCCTATCTCGTCGTCTCAACCAGGCAACAACTTACAGGAAGTCGAATTGTCACAGGAGATTTACAAGACGGCAGGGAAAATCCTGTTCTACATCAGTGCCTCCAACTGGCCCATCGTCTTTGCCCGTCTCAAGGCTCGCATCCAACACCTTTCGACCACCAACGATGACTGGCCCGAGACCGCCGAGCTCAAGTTGCTGGAGACTGCCAGTCTGAACCAACGCCGACTTGGCCAAGTTCTGACAGGTGCGCCTTCTGTCATTTTTTTATTTTCATTCTAAGGACGATTGATGACCTTTTCGGTGTGGCAGAACCAAATAGACAACAGTGAGTGTCGAATGACCTGAGCTGACGGTGTTCTTTTTGTTTAACGTATTTAGAATTGCGATCGTCGTTTTTGCACCTGAAGCGATCTGCCCAGACGGTGATGGGTCAGGTTCTCCACAAGGCAATCTGGAACTGGATCGAGACATTCCCCTCGGAATTTGTCGTTCTCTGCCAGACTCAGAGGCGCATGGAGGGAGAGCCCCATATCCTGTTCGACATTTGCCACTCTATCGCCACAGACAACAAGCGCAGGATACACTTCTGGCCTCTCCAAACCATGCTCCTGATTCTCTGTCCCGACATTCTACTCAACGCCATGAACGATGACGATCGTTCCAACCAGTCCAAGAAGGCCCAGTTCTTGGCTGCACTCAAAAAGTCACTCAGGAACAAGAGTTTGATGGAGATTTCAGGACTCTGCTATGTCGACATCTGCAAGGCATCAACCTATGTCTCCAAGAACGATACCTCGGCCCTTCGCCACCTTGTTCCTGAAATCGAGAATGAGCTCAAGGAACTGCTCTTTACGCCAGCAAAACCATATCTGGATGCGGATGGCACGATCGACAAGGCGACGATGTCGTCATGTCTGACGGCCTTGTACAGATTGAACCCTCGTCATGTGATCCACTCGCTCATTCCAGAATTGTCGAGCGAGAAGGTGCCGATTGCGTTCAAGCTTGTGCTTGTTACGTCGTTCTATACGATTGCGTCTGAGGAGGACCGATTGCCGTGGAACCCGTCTATTCAGACAGCGAGCAATGCGCTGGGAGCACCTCTGAGACGATTCTTTGCGGAGAATGTTGTCCGTGAGCGAGTTGCAGATATCTTGGCCAAGAAGATCAACATTGACCGGAAACTGAAGAAGCAGATGCTTGAGAACGCGAGGGACAAGCAGGAGCTGATCATTTATCTCCTCAAGATGTACCAGATCGACGCTTCGTTGGCTGTTGCCGTAAGTCACGTTACTTGTTTTCTTTTTTTTTCTGGCAGGCTTACATTTTTGCCGCCTCTTTATTCACACCTTCTCTTCGTTAACAAACCAACATGTAGACGGAGACACCAGAGACGGTAGAGGACGAGATTCACCAGCTGTTGAAGGGACTTTTGCTCTGCTTGAACGAGAGCCACCTCCTCATTCGCTCAACCGCAGGCAATGTCCTACTCCAACTCTTTGACTCCAGGATCATCAAGCGCTGGGGATCAGGCGCCAACCTAATGGTTACCTTCTGGAACCTCAGCTCGGACGTCATCATCTCCATTGCACGTCAGCTCATGGAGCTCAAGTGCACCGACGAAAAGTCGCGCTTCCTCCTCGAGTTGCTCCAGCAGCTCATGTCCCGCCGCAACATCTTCTTGAAGGAGCACCAGGTAACCTTCGTGTGATATGCATCTTATCCTTTAACTCATCATGTTAATTCCAAATGCCAAAAGAAATGTATTAACGTTTCCATAATACTTGGTCACTCTGAACCCTATAGGATCTCGCTATTGCATGCCACGATATCCCCAAGAGATTCGCCACCAGTGTCGCTTTGGAAATTGCGCTCTTGATTCTCATCTGCGCTTCAGATCAGGACATCTGCACCATGGCTGTCAACTGTATCAGTCTTCTGTGTGAGGAAACTGTCATCACCCAGGAGGTCGTCAACCCCAACGTCGGACAGCTTTCGCTCCTAGAAAACATCGACGTCTACATGGAGCTCTCTGCCCCCAGCGCTGTTGTTGCAGGTATGACTATGTAACGTATGTCTGCTACAGCTCTATTTATTGCCTTTATGTCATCATTCGGCCCACTCATCAACTGTTCTTCACTTCAATAGGTCGTGTGTCTCAGCAGAAGCGCCTGCGCAAAATTATTCGTCAGATCTCTCAGCCTACACCTGGAAACTTGGGAGCCTGGGAGGAGGCTTACCGCCGTTGGAAGAACATTACAGTGTTCTGGACAAAGGATGAGATCGCCTTCTACGAGAACATGGAGCCCTTCGAGAAGAACAGGAGCGCCAAACGCTCGACCGCCCTTCCAGCGCCTCCCAAGGGTGGATTTGTCATTGACCCCTCAGATTCTCGCAACACACAGTGGCAACATTTCACTGGCTTCTTGGCTGCCCTCGCCGGCGCGTCTCTCCCCTCCAACGCCGCCCCTCGCACTAACGCCTCAGGAGAGAACTTCCGCCGTTCCTCAGTCAACGAAACCAAGGCTGCGCAGGGCAATGTGGAGCGTTACATGCTCGATATGGTCCAGCTTTTGGTCAACGAGCAGGTGTTCGTGCGCGATGTTGTCAAGCAGACACTCGGCTCAGAACTTTCTCCGGCGCTCTACCCTGTTCTCTTCAAACAGTTGATCTACGTTGTCTCGCGCTTCTTTGACAGCCACGGAGAACCCATTTGCACTGATCAGTACACCATGTTTGTCGACCAGGCAATCTCAGTGCTCAAGCTCGTCTTGGATCGCATGTCGTCTCCATCAGATGCCATCTTCTCGTTCGATTTTGGTGCCCTGGTCCTTTACTTTGCTCGCTACTTGCACCGCCTCGGTCATAGCTTGAACGGTCTGCGTGTCAAGATCAAGATGTGCCAGCTCTGTGAGACCTTGATGCAGAAGAAGGAATACATTTCCCTTCGTCAGGAGATTCGTTTGCGTAACAAGATGGTCGAGGTCATGATTGAGTGGACTTCTGACTTTTCTTTGGTAAGTTGGCAATCGGGGTTGGTAAATGAAGAGGACACTTGTGTTGCATGCCGAACTGAAAATCGCTTACTAATATGACACACTCTGGCCCTCTTATATAATTCATAAATAGCCTACGGAGATGCCTTCATATGTCGAGGACAAGGATGACCCTGCCAACAATGGAAGACTTTACCGCGATCTGGATCTTGCTTGCATGAAGTCTATTGTGTCGCTCTTGTATCAGCTTCCTCTGCAGCCCTATGAGACCACGCATGACACCGACATGACGCAGATCCGGTCGGCCATCTTCTACCGTTACTTCAACTTTTTCTTGAAGCTGTTGAACCGGTGTCGTGTTCTGGAGTACATCGAGTCCGGACCTTCTTACCACCGCCAGAATAACGAGGACCTTGCCATCCTCTTTGCCAAGGTAATCATCTTCGCCACATTATTACATTGTCACAGCTGAACTAAAAGGTAGCTTGCTAACTGTATGTTGTGTTCCAATTGGTTTAAAATAGTCAAAAGCGATCGTCCGGGATCTTGGACCATTGAAGGACTATACCATCAAGGCTCTGTCCAACATGTTGAGCGCCAACATCGAGACAGGATTGAACTATTCGCTTTCGATGGGATACCACGAGGATGACAGGACAAGGACAGCATTCATGCAGGTTCTCACCAACATTCTCAAGCAGGGCACTGAGTTCGCCGTATTGTCTGAGAGCGCCATGGAGGATCGTTACGAGAAGCTGATCGACCTGATTGCGTCGCCCGATCTCAATTTGGTCTTGTCGCTGTGCCACGTTTGCCCAGTCAGTGAGATTGACGACTTGGCGATCGTGTTGCTCCACGTCTTTGAGAGCCGTGGTTTGGCCATGCCCTTGTTGAAGGCCATCATCATGAAGGAGGTTAGGGAGACTGGCGAGTCGGAGCTGTTCCGCAGAAACTGTATGGCTACCCGTCTGTTGACCGTTTTTGCCAAGCTGAACGGAGCAGAGTACCTTAAGAGCACCCTTCAGCCTCTCTTGAACGCCCTCATGACCCTCCCAGCCCAAGGCTCTTACGAGTTGGATCCCGCACGTCTTGGACCAGAGGAGGACGACAGTGTCAACTTTGAGAACTTGAAGAACATGGCTCAAGTCTTCTTGGACACGATCACAGACTCGGCCTCCAAGGTCCCCAACTCTTTCAAGGAGGTCTGCTGGTACCTGTCGCAGGCTGTCGGAGAGCGTTTCCCTGATGCCAAGTTCACCGCAGTCGGAGGATTCATCTTTTTGCGTTTCCTCTGCCCAGCCATTGTCGCTCCTGAGTCCGATGGCTTGTTGCACGCCCCTATTGAGAACACTAAGGTGCGTCGCGGCTTGCTGTTGATCACCAAGGTCATCCAGAACCTCGCCAACAACGTCCTCTTCGGAGCCAAGGAACCCTTTATGATTGTCCTCAACACTTTCTTGACATCCAACATCCACAAAGTCACTCGTTTCCTCGGCAATATCTCGACCCCTCAACCCATGGAGCCTGCTTCGACCGATCCTGCCCACTACCGCGCGATCGAAGTTGGCGATCGTTCGTCGCTCCACCGCCATTTGGTGCTGAACTTGGAGAGGATGAGCAAGGATTTGACCATGAAGACCTCTCAGGAGCTGGAGGAGGACAAGACCTACCTGGCGACCAAGCGATCCTTTGACACGCTCTCGACCCTTTTGGCACAGCTTGGGCCACCTCCAGAGCGCCATCGTCGCGATATTGTCCCTGTGACGCTGAACATTCACCAGTACCACGAGTTCATGCGCAAGAACAGAAGCCGTGTCAACGATAACATCCTCAAGGATAGCGTTTTCTATGAAGGCGGCCTCTCCAAGGAGAGGAGACCCGTGTTTTACTTTGTCATGCGTAAGCTGTCGCTCGAGAATCTTGATCTCGAGACCGTCATGTACCGCGTCTTCCTCGTAAGTTTGATCTCTTTGTCACTGAGCCGCTATTACATGAACATGTCATTTCTATCTTTGCTTTTTCCTAACCACACTCTGATGTTATTTGAATTACAATAGTTGCTGGAGCCTGTGGCGAACAAGTCGTTTGATTTGGTGGTGGATGTTACTGGTTTTGGCGCATCGAACGAGATTTCCGACCACAACATCAGCCAGTTCTTGCAGCTCTTGCCATCGGAAACTGCTCTGGGATTGTGTAACCTGTTCTTTGTTAACGTCAACTCGGCCTTCAGGCGCTACACCAAGTCTCTTTCTCGCCAATTGACTGGACGCGTTGCTAAACGAGTGATCTTCCCCTCCAGTCTGCAGGAGCTCTATGAGTTCATTGCTCCTTCTGAACTTCGCCTTCCCAAATCGACCACATCCTTGGAGGCAGACGCTAACATTGCGATCGGCGGTGTCAGCAAGCTCACCCCTGGATCACCCCCTACGCCAGTCCAGTTCAAGATTGGCCACGAGGTCATCCAGATCGTCCTGCAGCGGAAGCAGGAGATCTTTACGGGAATGAACTGCCAGTACAACGACGTCTACCACATCAGCGAGCTGGATGACATCTCCAAGGCCCACAGCCGTGGAGACGATGGCGAGTTCTTTATCATCTACGAGGACGGCACCATGTCGATGACTTTCACCAGTCCCAAGCGTGATCAAATCATCTCAGCTGTGGCCAAGACCAAGCAGCGCTTCCTGACTACGAAGCCTGCTAGCTACAATGCCCGCGTGATTCGACCCAATGATGTGCCTGGTACCTTGCTCACCATGGCGTTGTTCAACTTGTCGAGCCCCGATTCTGCTCTTCGTCTGGCGTCCTACAACTTGCTCTGCGCTCTTTCGGACACCTTCAAGTTTGATACCGGTAACCAGTTGCTGAGTGCCAAGGGTCTTTGCATCCCCACCAACAACGCGCCCTTTATTCGTCGTATGAGTGAGATGCTTGCTAGGACTGAGTCCCACTTGACATTGGAGTTCTTGACCGAGTGCTTTGTCGGTTTCCAAAAGACCCCCAAGGCCCTCAAGCCTCGCTGTCTCGAGTTCGTGTCGCCCTGGCTGTCCAACCTGGCCAAGTACTGCAGGAGCTCGAGCGACAACCATGCTGGATTCGCCAAGACGCGAGAGATTATCAAGGGTCTTATCGACATGACCGTCAACGAGCCTGAGATCTATGGAGCTATGCAGGACATCATCTGGAGCCGCGTCGAGGAGATTGACGCCTTGGTCGTCCTCGTCCTGGACTTGTTCATTACAGAGTCAATGGAAGGCGGTATTGGATCGGTTCAGGCCGAGAAGTTGGGCGACTCACTTGTGACTCTGTCGTCGGTGTCAATCAGCGGAAAGGTCATCTCTCGCCTGCGCAAAGTGATCTCCAAGACTGGCCTCAAGCCCATGCGCCAATTGACGGACCATCCTTCCTGGACAGAGATTGGCGTCTTAGTTCGATTTTGCATGAACCTGTCGTTCAACGATACTAAGGATGTGCTTAACTTCTTGCCCGAGGTGTGCCACATTGTGACCTTGTTGGTCGCTGCGGGTGCTTCGGTGGTTCGATCTGCAGTCCACGGCATGGTCACTAACATTGTCCAAGCTTTGGCGACGACCATCCCTACCAGCGAGCCCAACCACGCCAAGCTTCTGGATCTGTTGCAGGAGCTTTCTGAGAACAAGTACAGGATGTTGTTTGGACTAAGCCGGTCTTATAGCAACTCGTATGTTATCTCGCCCGAGACCCTCAAGGACTTTAACGAGCCCATGCCCCTTTCTTGGCTCGACAACATCTGCAAATCCCTCATGGACGTCGTCGAGCTCGGCTCCCCCACCAACGGTACGTTTCTGTTTTCTGTTTCGTTTTGTTGAATTAGCATTTCTGTGTTTTTATTTTCTACGAATGTGAAATGCTAATATTATTTTACTTCCCTTTTCAAAAATAGATGCGGCGAATGCGGCGAGAGCTCGCTGGATGGGATTGGTGACGAGCACTGCTTTTCAATTCAACCCTGCCATTCAGCCAAGGGCGTTTGTTGCCTTGGGTTGCCTGGCCCGCGAGGAGGTGGATGATGATCTGCTGTACCAGATTTTGGTGGCGCTCCGAGGCGCATTGGCAATGTTCACCGAGGCCGACACGAATCTGATTGCCAGTATTGTGATGTGTCTCACCAACATTGCGGTCAACCTACCCGCAGAGTCCAGATACCTCCAGCACCTCTTCTGGCTAGGCCTGTCGATTGTCGAGATTGGCCACGTCCCCCTCTTCACGTACGCCCTCGAATTACTCCAAGCGGTCTTGAAGGTCTTGGATGCTCAAGGCTTCTTTATCGATGAGCCTGTGGATGAGGTACTGCTGAGAGCTCGTATGCCCCTGCTGGATGTGACCAGGGATCTGGACGAGTCTACGGGCTTGAACTTTGAGACACACTTCTCGTTTGGTGTTGCTGGTGCCCTCTTGAAGGGTCTGAAGCACCCTTCGACGAAGACCATCACTACCGATGTGCTGAGGTTGATTTTGCAGATCTCAGTCAAGGGCACCACACCTAACATGGTCGATGTCCGCGTGATGGGTTACTTGGCTGCATTGTTGCCCCAGGCTGCCAGGAACATGGAGCTCAAGGAGTTGTTGCAGTTGGTCGGCATCACGTCGATGGAGGTCAACAACGCGGCCCTCAACGATACCTACTACAAGATGTTTGATTACCTTGTCATTCCCGACAACACCACCGGATTGTTGTTGGTTACTCTTGTGGTCACTATGCTCCAGAACGCCGAGACGGAATCTGAGCGTCTGTTCCTTTACGCCTTCTTGGCCGAAGCTGCCGTCGCCCTCCCCGAGGTCTTTGCCCTCGTGTAAGTCTCTTTTTCCTTTTTGTTTTATTATTTCTTTGAGAGCGAATAGCGTTGCGTTTACATTTGTCTGTCAGACTACTAATTCTTTCTCCAAACCTCTTCCACTACAAACCATGATAGCTACGAGTCCCTGTTGCCAAAGATGAACCAGATCATCAACAGCTCCCAGATCGTCCCCATCATCGACGCAGTCCAGTCCATCATCTTCGCAGTCGTCGCCGACCCAGTCCTCAGCGCTGCCGCAGCCAACACCCAAAAGGCATCCCAACTCGCATACCTTACTGAGCTGGGATTCGCGGGATTGATGGATACGGGTGCTCCGGGCTTCAACCCTAGCACTGGACGGCCGACAGTTCATAAGCATGCCCTTTTGGTCAGTGAGCTTGTTGAGCGTATCATTCAGTAATGGCGATAAGCGTTGTTGGTTGGTGGTATGAAGGGTGCGTGGTGCCGAGGAAAGGAGGTCGGTTAATATTTACTTTTCGTTACTTAGCTTTTTTTTTCGTTGTTTTCTTTTTTTGTGTTTTGTTTGCTTCAATCAACCTTTTGTAACTCCAAAAAAAATCCTTTCTAATAAATATAACTTTCAAGGATAGTTCTTGGTGCCTGAGTCGGATGGCTGGTTCATATCGTCAGGCTTTGATGTGTGAGAAGCATGCAGCCAGCAAGGAGGCGCGCTTTGGCACGATAATTTCCTCGTCTAGCTTGTCCGCCTGTATACATGCTGCTATTTCCTCGAATGATGCGCTGTATTGATCCAATCCCAGGGGTTTTTTTTCGTCACCTTGGATCGCCGATGGCATCCGCTTTCGCTATCTTTTTTTTTCTGTTCTGTGGAAGAGAAATATCCAGTGCCTGGCGATGAAGAAGGGCCAAAAGTGAGAGTTTGCCCCGTTTCCTTTTGCATCGCGTGCTAGATGCCGCCCATCTGGGCACCTGACTGTGATACCTTTAAGGACATGGTCGGATTATGTTGATTCGGCGAGTTCCTAGATTGAGCGTTTTGTTTTTGAGACCAAACGAGTGTAGGAGGGAGAGATGAGGCGTGAGGGGTTTCTTTCTGTCGCTCTGACTTTTTTAGCGTTTGTTTTCATGGCTTCGCCCTTTCCTTTGTGCATGAAGCTTTTTTCGTTGTATCTTTTGAGTCATACTTTTCAGAGACCTAGGAGGGCTACGTTTACGCAAAGAAATGGTTCATGCTAGGATACAGTTTTCTTCTAGCTTGCTGTCTCCTTGAAGATTTCAATCGCTTTCACCTGCTGATGGCCATTATGTATTGTTGAAAGTGGTGTGTGTGTGTGTGTGTGTGTGTGTGAGAGAGAGAGAGAGAGAGAGAGAGAGAGAGAGAGAGGTCAGACGAATAAGAAAACGTGGAGGTAGATAGATGGTCTCCATCAGAGTCTCGCCGCATCTGTGTTCATGCATCTTTTGTTTTTTGTTCATGCTTCGAGGACACCAAAGTTTGAAGGCTGGAGTGGGACAGGTTTCTTTGTTTTGTTGTGAATTTTTTTACTTTTTGGTACATATATCGTCAAGACACTCATGGGCATATTGCTACTGAAACGACATTTTCAGTTCCGTCGCAACGTCTTTTCGATTCCGTTACGCGTCTTTCAATAACCGCTTACGCCAAAAATGAAGATGGTTGAGGATGAAAAAATGTGTTTGGGGCGACGCCTGCTCTGTATTGGGATTCAATTGAGAAAGAGAGAGCAGCGTGTATGCTTTATTCGCAGATCTTCCGATAAAGAACTAGCAACTATTGAAAATGCGGTTATTGATTGGAATGAACCTATAAAATTCTATTGGATAGTGAATTGGACGTTTGGAGCTACTGGTGTCTAACAACCAAAGACGTCGTAGTTACTGTTACATCAATTCAGACCGTGAAGGTTTATCTGCGAGATTGGATTTGGATGGAATCCACAAAACAGAGAGCGATATCTTGTCTGTCTCCAACCTCTTTGTGAGCTCCATCAGATGGTCGTTTACTGCCGGATGCCTGGCAGGGTGTCTTACAGAACGATTGTTCAACATTGTACAGACGCTTGCATTGTCACAGTACAGGAGGACGGTCGTGTTTTTATACTCTGTGTTATCCAAGATGGCACGGCAGGCCGCATAGGACTCCGCTGCGAATATACTCTGTCTGAAGTTCGGCGGCAGTGGGAAGTTCTTCGAGGTACCTTTGTGGTTCACCCAAGCACCCTGGGTTAGCGTAGCGTCACTAAATAGTTTGTAAGGCCTGCAAGGCATAATGAGAGGCGAATGTTGTGTTGTGTGTGACTAATTTAGCGAAAGATAATCCACCTCATCGTCTGGTTTTATACCCCCATTGCCAAAGTTTTAAACGGTTTAATTTAACTGCTATGGTCTCATCATAGTTACATGAACAAGCCAAGTGATCATTGCATGAGTTACGTAAATATTATTGTATAGTGCTTTAACTCGAACAAACCAAAGGCCTGTGCTTTGATACTTATGCATTATATAAGGGTCGTCAAACTACGGCCAGATCCAAAATAAATCCGCCACTCGTTTGCGCATTTGACATTTTTCTGTCAACGTCAACTGCGCAGGTCTTCTAATACGAAAATACGAACGCACAAACCTACGACCCTTGACGTATTTCGCAAACACAAGGCGCGCGTTTGGCAGTGGCAGCGGCAGAAATCGTCAAACGAGAAGAAAAAATAAATCCTTTTTTTTCGTTCAGGAGAGTCAAATACCACTCCATCTACTTCTCTCACAACCAATTGGACACACCTCTTACCCTACACCATGGCTCCTATCAAGAACAGCAAGAACGTCCAACCCAAACCCAGGGTTCTCACTCGTCGTGCAAAAGGCCGTCACGACTCTCTTGACCCCCCAGACTACCAATAAGTACAACAATTAAGACCACACAAAAATAAGAGCAACCACGTCCGTTTCTGTCAGCCTTGTGTAACATTTTTTTCTTCTTTGTTCTCGTTTAGTTGACGCCCTTGTCGTCCTCCTCCTCTGAATTTGACACCGCATCCCATCAGCCTTCGGCCTCTTCGCATGAGACTCCTCGTTGCCTGCTGAGGACCAGGATGGTACTCCCGCGGGACCGTCGTCTGTCCAGGTCACAGAGACCGCGTCGTCCTCTTCCTCATCCAAAGGGAAAGGAAGACATGTGTGTGAAGAAGAAAAACGGGCAAAAAGGGGCCAAACAGTCGTCACGTTTGACGAAATGCGTTGGCGTGTTTGATTTGGGTACGTGGAAATGGATACTTGAAAAGAATACGAAAATGGGTACTCCCTTTTGCGTGTATTGAAATACGCTCGGTCTCTTTTCACGCCGTCTGACAAGGGCTTTGACGGTCCCTATTGTTATCAAGACCGACCAAGCCGACGGTGGTTTGCATGTGAACCTACAAAACCAAGTGGTCAGTGCTATATCTGTGAACCAAGGGATCGGTGCTTTGCCTGTAAAACTAGGCAAACCAAGGGATCGGTGCTCTGCCTGTAAAGCTAGACCAACCAAACGGTCAGTGTTCTGTAAGAATAAGGTACTGCAACCTCCTCCTAGTCTTTTCTGCCATTTTATGTCGACCCCTATTATCGATTCGTGTGTGCCGCGCTCTTGAAAAAAATAACTCTAGTATGAGCATATGTCAGTCATACTTTCATGCGCACCCAGTGTAATTGTTTGGTCATTGTTGCGTAAGTCCTCACGTCGCATAATTACCAGCCATATAAAAACCATGGCCACACCCGAACACCAGTTTTATCTAACAACTCACACCTAACCCACCGCATCAAGGTTTGTCAACGCTAAAACAAGAATGCCACCAGTGAATTCCCATGATAGGTTATTATTTGTGATTGCCGCTAACTTGACCTATATCGAATTTAGCTACCTAAATTTACCATGAAAATATCTCGGGTTATCCCTTACAGTTTGGTCTTTTCGTCAATCTTCGGTCTGACGAAGGCAGGTCCCATGGCTTATGGGATATGCCAAACTGGGTGCAATTCACTTGTAGTTGCCTGTTATACGGCAGCCGGTTTCACTTTTGGAACTATAACCGCCGGTGCTGGTATCCCTGCTGTGATTGTTGGGTGTAATGCAGCGCAAGGCACATGCATGGTTGCTTGTGTCGCTGCCGGATGCGCACCTATCCTTTGACTGCATTTGATTTTTCCGTTATTAAAGTAGCCTTTAACTATTCAAGTACGGTACACTCACCCGTGTGTGACTACCAGGTCATTCACTGCCTAACGGGTGCGTCTTTTTCTTTTCTTTTTACTCTGGGATCGTGGTTTAATGGATGCGCCACGAACGCAGTGACGTTCGCGCTGACTAATAAAACAGTGCTTTTCCAATTAGCCAAAGCCTCCGGTAAATCCCCCATGAAAGCCTTAGAAGGTGCCAGTGGTGAAGTATTTGACCTACACAGGTGATGCGATTAGAGTACCTTGACCGGTTCGTTAAGTAATCTGATACATGACCCTTCATGTAAGGAATAGCCAGCCGTTGTGAACCCGCCATGATTCGTATCCATGTACCCTTTAAGTATGCCCTAAAGTACTTTTTGGTTTCCGCGCGGAGAAAAAGGTTCAAGCCCTCCCTTGATTTCCAGGTTAGCACCTATGAAAAGGAACGGAGCATCGGGAGTGGATTGTGTAACCTTTTTTAGCTTTGGTTCGTGCCCGAACAGCCAAGTTCTTTGCAACTTTACGAGGTTAATAGAACGCAAAGTGCGTTTTAAGGCGGTCGTATACTCAAATGTCAAGATGGAGAATCGAGGGATAAACACCATGGGTGTTCATTTCATCCGAGCGCGCATTGCCTCAATGACCAATTCCTATGTGTTTCGATAATGGCTACAGAATAGTACTCTTCTAGAATACGGCTGGCGGTTACACCGTCAAACGTTAGACTCTCATTCAATTTTTGCCTTGCACGCCAGTTTGTTTGCTGTACTACGTTTAACAAAGAGGGAAGCTACCATGGGAAAGCATTACTGTTGTTTTTATTGCCCTTGCAGCCGCAATAAACATTCGCCAAAGAAAAAGATAATGAACAAAATGTCTGCCAGAGATACAATATATATGTATACCAAAGAATGATTGCTTGATTTTTTAAATAAAACTCGATGGAACTCGAGTGAAGCACCTCACCTCATTTTGGACTCATACTTTTAACGTTATCTCCTTCAGGCCGCTCTTCTCGAATCAAGGAGAAAAAATTAAAGCTATTGTTATTGGAAAGGTGTTCTAAGACCCTTTAGCAAATCTTGCGAGTCCCGCGCTGTCGCCATTAAATATGTCCTGATAGCCTGGGCTACTACGTTGATACTCACTAAGTCCATCAAATACTTCGTCTATACCTACTCTCACAAGAGGTTTTGCTCCGCAGTCTCCTTGCCAACTACCACAACTTTCTCCAACAAATCAATCCTCTTTCACCTGACTCTTGTAAGTCAATGATTCTGGCTTTTGCAATTCATCTCTCAGAGTAGTAAAAATAGTTCACAAATGACGCATGTCTACGTTTTCTTGGTATCACAAACCCAGATCCTCCAAAATGAAGTTGTCTACTACCGCCCTCTCCCTGGCCCTTATTTCAACTTACTTCTCCGCTGTCCAGGCTTGATACCCCGCCATGTTGATTGTCTCTCAAGTTTTGAACGATGATCCCAGAAGCAAGCTCACCAAGGTGACATTCTTTTTGTTGGCTCCCAGAGATATCAACAGCTACTCTACAACGGTCGACTCCGGCAACACTAACAAGACTATGATAACCACCGCCGGCAACGGTACGTTTCTGTTTGCTGTCCTCTGGAGAGACGAGAAGTTCGGCTTTATTACAATGACTGGCACAACTTCCATGAACATAGTAAGAGACGGTGGTTTACTAATGGAGATAGCGTGGGGAACATTGAGTTCGATGGCTGCATTAACTAGGGTGAGTTTTCTCTCGATCGTTAGCTGGGCTTCCTTTTTTTTTCTGTAGTATTCTCTTCTCTCTTCCGCTATTTTTTTTCTCATTATTTAATAGTTAGAAAAGTACAGTAGATAAGGTCTTATGAATATATGTGTACGTGCAGTCTGTATAGCTGTAGGTACTTGGCCGTGCTGGTTGATCCAATTTGCGGGTGTTAGTCGGTATTTTGATGTAGTCGGAGACTGTGCATAGCACAATGAAAATGAAGCTAATGAGAATAAAGGCCATTTTTTGTATGACTTGACACATAAACGCGTTGCCTAGTAATTTACGTGTCTGCGGACATGCCGGCTCTCCTCGCGTCGAAGAGATGAATCATCCCATAGAGACAAAAAAAAAGGTGAGTCAAGAGACAATCAAAGAACAGCAATTGGCTGGCAGCTAACAAAAGGTGAGTGTGAAAAAAAGGCTTTTGCTCGGCAGCTCTTCAATCTTTCTCTCTCTCGCGCGAAAATAAAGAGGCTTGTTGTGACACCTTATTCATGGCACCCCCACTTTTTTCGGCATCAGGTTTGCTCCTTTCCTCACTTCCCTCCTCTTCTCTTTCCCACTTCATCCCTGCATCCATCAACCTTCCTCCTTCCTCTCATTATTTTCTTATATCCATTCTCACACCACCTCTCACAAGTCCCCTTTCCTCAATCTTCATCGATCATATATCTGCCATCAGCATCCGCTCCCTCCTCATCTGCCTCGTTTTGGTTTCCTGTTAAACTATCGACACATTACTCCCGTCAACCAAAACGCAGGTATGAACAAGCACTCCTTTCTTAATTACCAGATTCTTGGTTTTTCTCTGTCTTCCTTTTCAATCAACTACCGTTCAGTTGTGCCTCTTTTCATCCTATGTGCACCCCTCGCCTTTTTCTCCCTGAAGACACAGCTATCAGTGCGTACACTTTTTTGCTCATCTGGATCCGGGAGAAACAAAAAAAAGGCGTTGAATTAGAATGTTTGTCGATTTTTTTGTTCGTCACCAGTAAAACATAATGACCGGCGAAAAGTGTCAGACGAATTTTTGTTTTTCTCCTCGCACTTTGGCCTCATCAACCGCTTCAACCGCCTTTTTACAGCCATCATTTTTCATCACGAAGACTTTTTTTCATATTCTTGTACGGCCGAAGTACTGATCTTTCCATTTCTAATCACTTCCTTTCCGCTATTGACAGCACTCTACCGTTCGTGCACCCTTTTGATAGCATGACGAGGACTAGCAAAGGCAGCCCTCGCGCTGAGACAGGTGAACAAGGCAGGAGCGACAAAACTCAACCAGGAACAAGAACTGTAGGTCAGAAGAGGCTGCGATCCAGCTACTCACTGGACGAAGAACGACTGTCCCCTCTTCTCTACCAGACTCGATCTCGGTCTCGAGTTCTTCAAGACAAACCATCTCTGCCTGGAAAGCGGAATATTTTTCGTGCAGACCTGCGGAATGGGAGTTCTCAAGAGATTCGATCTCGACATGTGAGAGGTCTCCATGATAGCGGGTTTTCTATGGACGACGCAGAGGATGAGGAATTGACGATTCGGAGGCATGGCAGCCAAGGTTCGAGTTCGTCTTCGCGTCCGCAAAAGGTACACACAAGTCAACCTTGCTTATTTTTGCACGTCTTGTACTGTAGCATCTTTGATCATCAAATGAACAAAGCTAACGATTGATGGTTCTGTTTTTCCATCTCACCTCGAATATTCGAAATTTAACAGAAGAAACGATGTGATCGCAGGGCTGAGTGGCTCAATAGTCAATTACCAACCAAGCTATCGCAGATATCATCTCCAACGCGCCGTAAAGTCAATGCCCCTTCTCGAGTACATGGATACTACCAGCCAGCCAAAGAATCGGATCTATCTAGCGACTCTGAGTCTCTGGAAGAAGGAGACCTTTCGGAAGAGGACTCTTACTCCTCGATAACTTACAGTTCATGCTCTGAATCGAGCACTTTATCATCCTCCTCCTCTTCCTCCTCCTCAGGCCTCGACGACGATGAACAGTCTCGGCGATTTGTGTCAACTTCAAGGTCATCCACTACCAAGTCTGGTCGTCTTGTTCGAGCAGTCAAGTCGAAAACCTCGACTATCGGCGCAGTCGTCACTACCACTACTGCGAAGCCGCCGACCAAAGCTGCTCCGAGTCAAGCTACAAGACTCAGAGTAATAACCAAAGCTATCAAGACCACCAATACTACCAAGACTACCACCGCTTCTGCCACCCTCTATTTGAAAAATGGTGTCTTTGGCAATCCTTGCCGCATCTCTACCATCAAAAAATCAGTCGCTCTAGCAACCGCTGCCCACCTACCGCATCATTTAGTCGCACCAAAGATCGTTCCACGTCCCACCACCACCGACACCACCCGGTCTCGATCCAGACCACCTCGCCAAGTCCGCCTCAAGACTGGCCGCTGGACAAAAGCAGAGGACAACGCTCTTTACCAAGGTGTCGTTGAGTACTTAGCCCAGTTCGGGTTAGAGCCTAAACCTCTCGCTCATTTGCCGCTCCACGAAAACGTCAAAGAAGAAGAAGACAAGGAGGTTAAAGATGGGGGTACAGCTGTGAATGAGCACGGGTGCGGGGGTATAGATGAGAAGCTGCGCCCGAGTACATTGGAGCGGATCGTGGACGACAGTCGTCGTCGAGTCGAATATGACGCTGCAGTATGGAAGGCATCGGCGGCCGCGTGTCAGTTGGGTGAGAGGTACCGCTCCAGCACCAACCATATTTTCGCATCTGAGAGTGACTCAGTGAGGGATCGTGAGAATGACACGAGTCTGTTTGATGAGTTGGTCGACGTCTCTCGGGATAATTTCCTAGCTGATAGTGGCCAGGATGGCTATCTGAATTTGGAGTCACGAGCCGGGCATGGGCACCACACCCCTCTTCTGCTGCCTTTCCACGTGAGCTCACTCGTGGGGGATGCTGATGCCGACAAGGGTACCAGATCCACTGCCGAATCTGGGTTTCTGAATGGTATGTTACCGTATTTCTCACATACTATTTTTCTGTTGCCGAAAGAAAATCCAAAATTATCATGTCACTTACCGATCCTCCCCCCATCTCTCTCCTTTTTCTCGCTGGTGCGCCTCACTTACTCTCTAGCCCATGGCGACCTTTCCTTAAGAGGGAATATTTTTGTTCGCACGACAACGAGACCACCACCAACCATCAGGCCCCAGGAAACCTGCATCGACGCATATAACGAAAACACTCAGGTATCCGATGACTACCACAACTACAACAACCTACCCCACCAACACCTTCAACAGCAGCAGCAGCGCACTCAGCTCCAGCAGCAGTACAGCCAACACGTTCGTCATATCAACCAGGTCTACTCAGACCAGAATCACCACAAGCAGCAACAGTACCAGTGGTCACCTCTCCCCCGGTATCAGCAACAAAATTACCAACAACAACCGCATGGTCCCGGCGACCAGCAGTACGGAGTCCCAAGCATCTATCCACACTGGGAGGAGGCACCCTATGAGACGCGAGCAGGGGATATCTGGTTAGCGCCGATCAATGAAGTGAACTCGAGGACCCTTGAACTTTCAATGGCAGCAAACCGCGGAGAAACTTCAGGCTCTGGCGCTGCCTTCACAACTGAGGGAGGTTATGGTCGAGCGAGGTCAAACACCAACCGGTCTGCGACCGCCGCTACTTCCTCAGCAGCGATCGAGACAGCATTGTTCGGCAAGCTCTTCTCAGATACAACCAACACCAACACATTGTCCACCTCGCCTTCACCAACCATCATCACCTCCACATCCACCCCCACACCACCACCCTGTTACAAAACCCAAGCCTCCTACGCATCCGCAGTATCCCGCCGCCTAACAACTTGCCCCTGGTCCCACATCGCCACCCTCGCCGTGCCCGGGCGCACAGGCGTCCAAGCCCAAGCACGATGGTCAGAAGCTCTAGACCCGCGTGTCAAGAAAGGTCCCTGGTCTGAAGATGAAGATGCACTCCTCCTTGAGGGGGTGGAGAGGAGCGATAAGTGCTGGATTTGGATTGCAGATTCGATTGAGGGGAGGACCCAGAGACAGTGTCGGACGCGGTGGGTCCAGTTGACAATTAATGCCGAGCGGAAGGCTGCGTTGGTGGCTTTGGAGGGTGTTACGGAGTTTTGAGAATGAGGTCCGGAAGGAAGGGAAGGGAAGGAAGGAAGGTGGGGAGGGAAAGAGGGAAGGAAGGTGGGGAGGGAAAGAGGGAAGGAAGGGGGATGGTGTATGGTGTTGCATGTTTTTTGCTCGAGTGACGAAGGATGACTGAGTTCGAAAGTTTCAGCAACGAGAAGCATAGAACCCACACGACAACGAAGAAAGAAGAAAAATAAATGGATCGACACGTTGAAATACAAAAGAGACCGATTTTTAATTTTCTAGGCACACTCACACGGTGCGCGTTCACACAGAAACAAAAAAAACAAGGGTAAACAAAGAGAAGAGGAACAACAAAACAAAAACAAAAAAATCCCATTATCATCTAAATCCAATAACGCGTTCCAGAGGCCTAAAGTCACTTGCCACCATGGCCAGTTGTGGTCTTGAGACTAAACATAGTCTTCATAGTCGCCCACCGATTACTGCCCCCACCTCCACTGATCTGACTCGAGCTCGGTCCAGCAACAGGATGCGACATTGTGATCCGCGGGAGTGGAAGGGGTGCACTGGTCATGCCAGTCTTGTACCCACCGCCGCCTCTCGACACCTTATCTGATCCTCCATAAGAATACGACTGCTGGCGCTGGGGATGCTGATGACTCTGGGGCTGGGGCTGGTACGTGTAACTCTGCTGCTTTTGATGCTGCTGCTGGGAATAATGTTGGTACAGCTGCGGCAGCGACGGCAACGGCCTCTGCGTCAATGACTCTGCCGACGTCTGTCCAGGGGCATTGACAAAGTACCAATCCGAAGTCAATCCCGTTGTCAGGTCCGGGGTAGATTTCGACGCTTTCATCCCATAACTGGCTGCAGATCTCGCCGTAGTTGAAGTGGTTGTAGTTGTTGGATGGGGTGCTTGGCCCTGTGAGAGCGATGTGGCTGTTGAAGAGGTGGAGGATCCAGTAAGGGAAGGCGATGTTGAGGACAGGGGTGGAGAAGGTGGGGACGAGGAGCGCGTAGGGGCGGCAGTAGTAGATCGGGAGTGGATCTGGTCGTCAGAAGTGGATCGGGTATAAACATGTGGAGTTGCCAGGTACTGCTGCTGCTGCTTCTGTTGCTGCTGCTGATGGTGGTGTTGTTGGTACTTATACGACACTGCTCCACTGGTGGGCGAGGAAGGGGATGAAGGCGGTGGCGATCGACGCGGATACGGCGAGGTAGGCGATCCTGACGACGACTTCTTATCTTCGCTCTGGACAGGGAACAGCGGTGGCAGAACCGGCGCTCCCGACGCCAAAGGCCCACAAGAAGGCAACGATGACAGGGCAGGTGCAGGTGTCAGAACATAAGGGGGGACCGATGCTGTAGTAGCAGCAGCACGTGACGGTGACCGGGGTGGAGTAATGGGCATAAAGTTGGACGTGTTCGAGGGGCCCCTGGGGGGTGACACCGGTGGCGGAACTGCCAATTTCCGAGGCGCTTGTGGATGGCCTCGAGAACTGACAACAGGGAACCCTCCTGCATTGAACCCATTGCTCTGGTGGTTGTAGTGATGATGACTGTCGTAGTACTCATTGCCGCCAGCTGCATTCGTTCCAGACGAAGGAGCAGCGGGCAACGATGCGGGCAAGGGCTGGCTCGTGGCAGCACCTCCTTGTCCAATGACGATAGGTGACGAGAAACTCTTAGCCAATAGAGGACGGGGTAAGCCTGCGCTCGAGGCTACATTTTCAGTGCTAGGGTTCCTCTGCCCAAGTGCAGGTCGCTCCATCGGCTGAAGCGAGGATGTCCTCCTAGCAATACTGGGCGATACTGAGCCTCCCGATCCAGATCCAGGTCCGAGGCCGGGTTGTTGATGACCACCATGTGCACTGCCTCCCCCTGACCCGTTGTTACTGCTGCTAGGCGAGACATATCCGTTCGCAAACGACGTGTTGGACTGTGGTGGCGGCGAGGTTGGACTTGCGCTGCTGTTAGTCGAGGTGGTAGAACCCATACTGCTAGTGTTGATTTTGGTGATGGTGACGGTGGTAGGAGTAGGGTTGCTGCTAGGAATGGCAACAGGCCCACTGGTGGGCGCCTTCCTGGTGCCCGAGGCTGATGGCATCTGGCCAGTGTGCATTAAAGAGGACCTCCTTCCTGGAACTAAAGTCGACTTGCGTGTTGCTTGCTTGGACGGAGATGTACCCGTGTTGGCGGCAGGTTGGCGGTTGTTGCTGTTGTTATTATTAATGTTGTTATAGTTGTTGGCGGTGGTGCTGACCTTGAGAGTATTATGTCCATCGCCAGCCCTAGGGACAGCTCCTCCCTTGATGGGGACAAGTCCAGCGTCAGCAGACGTCCGTTGCTGCATATCTTGTCGAATGGGTGGCAAGGATTTTGCAGGACCGGTAGTAGTGGCTCCGCTCGTTGCCGCCCCACGGGTGACCAAAGAGGCATAGCTGTTTCCATGATAGTGTTGCTGCACCGATTTAGCGACCATGATCTCTCCAGAAGTCACCATGCCACGTGGTGTAGTTGTCGTGGTAGTCTCGGTAGCCACAAAGGGAAGGCTCTTGTTCCAAGAATCGACACTGCTCAATGACGAGGACGACGACGTTGTAGAGTGCTTCGAGAGCGTCGAAAAGGACGATGACGAAATCGTTGACGTTGAAGAAGAGAATGACCTCCGCTTGGGTGCTGACGACAACAAAGATCCATTCATGTGCGACGAAGTTCCTGGAGGCGATGGTGTTCCCAGTGATGGCGGTGAAGGTGAGGACGATGGTCCTTTGAATGTAAACAGCGAGTCCTCCATGGTGGGCAGTTCGACAGACCAGTCAACATCAAAGACCGCAGAGAGATAGTTGTTGAGCGATTGAGGCAGTTCAATCGACTTTGGCCTAGGGAGAGGTGCGGCCCTTCCACCAGAAATGAGGAGACTGCTGCCGCTCGAGGATGAACTTGTATGTGACCCATTGGAGGACGACGAAGTCGTGGAGGATGCCGAAGAGGATGACGAGGGAGGAGAGAGGGTATAGGTCGTCCGTGGCAGAGATGTGACTGCTTGAGCGGAGGGTGCTTGGGCGGATGCAGCAGGAAAGTTAGGCGGAGAATGGGCGCGATTTGTGGGTGCGGGGGGGAAGGAGGGGAGAACGGAGCTGATGGATGGTGACGATGAGCCAGAGTTCTGGGTCGGACGCGTTGGTAGCCGCGGCGGGGTTGTGGTGGACTTCGACGCGTTCTGGCCAGTGTAGTTCCGGCAAGTAATCAAACGGGAAGAGAAACAGGGCCAATGAGGTTAATTTTTTGCGGGAACACTACATATGGTTATGGAGATTAAGAAGGGTAAAAGCCGAGGGAGAAAGAGGACAGAAAAAAAGAAAGAAAGAAGTGCTCACAATTACCTTAATGCTCGGCGTAGACTGGTCAACGCCTGATCCTTGGGCGGCAGTGTCCTTCCTCTTGTTCTTCTTGCTGTCACTGTTGCTGTTACCAACAGAGCCCCCCTCGTCCACGCTCTTTGTCGAATTTGACTTTGTCGTCGTTGTTGTCGGCGTCATAGTCTTTGCTGTATCAGAGCGGCCATGCTTTTTCATATTCTTGACTATCACTTCATCATCATCATCGCTCAATCCTGCAGCATTAAGGGTCTGTTCGATCCACCCGTTCTCCTCCTCCTCCGCCAGCAACGGCTCGGATGAGTTTGAGATATCGTCCTCAGCGTCTTCATACATTCCAACATCATAACCTGACGAGCTGTCATCGAACCAGTCGAGCATCGGGTTCATCTCATAAATCAATGTGAGCAAGTTCTTGACCAAGATCCGACGGTGGATGGAGAGGGAGCGGGTCGAGTAGATGTCGCTATTGAGTTTGTGGTTCGAAATGGCGACGACCTGCATAGGGGTTTTGGACCCAAGGGAGGCATGGTACTGATACTCTGCCGAGGCTGTGAAGGAGGTTGAATAGGGGTAGTGCAGGTACGGATTATTGCTGTTTACTGCTGTTGATGTTAAAGCTGGTGTGATTGTTGATGTAGTTGTGGCTGCTGTGGTTGTGGCTGCTGTGGAGGAGGAGGTGGAGGTGCTGGGGATTATTGCCGTGTAAAGGGAATCGGCGACAGTGGGGATGGAACTGTAAAAGGCAGTGTAGCTATCGTCATAATCAAGGGAGGACGTTGTCGAACTTGCTGTTGTTATGTTGGCGTTGAAGGAGGGAGAGGAAGAAGGGGTGTCGTGAGGGATTGTTGCTGTTGTTGCGGGTGGAGTTGTGAAGGACCCGAGAGCTGGAAGAGAGAGGCGAGGGGCTGGAGGTGGAGGGGGGAGGTGCTGTGGCTCGTAGAGGGGTGCGGGGTTCCTCTTTGTAGAGAGTGCTTCGTCAAAGTCCTTTCCAGACTTGACCTGAGGGGACATGGTTCGCTGCAAGGGTTGGTCAGGGGTGTTGACGAGAAGAAGAGTGGCCGTGTTTACTGGAGTGCTTAAGTGAGAAAGTTGTTTTCTTTTGTTGTGGAGTCGAATGTGATGTACAATGGGAAAAGGGAATCAACAAAAGAGAGAGTGCAAGAGGAGAGGGATGGAGTGGTGGTTGAGGTTCAACGGGTGGTGGGATAAGAGGGAAGGAGAGGAGTGAAAAGTGAGGGTATAGGGGTGGGGGGAGGGATAGAAGGAGACAAAAGAGGATACATTCACATTTACATAGACATAAACAGACATACATGCTGGCATGCCCTCGCTCGTCCTACTTTTTCTTCCTCCACCCACACTGCTCCCCTCTCTTTCTTTGCACACCGAGTACAGTAAAGTGAAGAAAGGAGAAAGAGCATGAGCATGAATGGGTGAGTGGAGTGAGTGCGCAGGGACCCCTTCGGACACAATATTTTTCGTCTGAGCTGGTTGGTTCTCTGCTCTGAAGGTAGGAAAGTCAAGTGCTTGGTAGGGTATTTATTATCGCAGCTCCAGTCATTACATAAAACAAAGTACCGGTGCTCATTCTCTCTCTCTGTGTGTTTGTTTGAATGTTTGTTGACATCAACGTACCCCTTATTCATCCCCTATGTTTTGCTTGTACATGTCTCTGTCAGAAGGACGACAAGCCAAGTCAAAGCAAGGGGAAGCTCATTATGGAAGATGCCTTGCAAGTTGCATGCCCATGGACAAGACAACCAGAAACAACAACAAAACACTGTTGTCCTTGTTTGATGGTGTGTGGTGGAGTGTGTTGTTGTTGTTGTTGTTGTTGTTGTTGTTGTTGTTGTTGTTGTTGGTGAATTCAAGTGCAAGTGCAAGAAGAAAGGGTTGAGAGCCCTTCATTGTTTACAAGCCGCATCTTCCTTCATCAGTCGTCTGTCCGTTGAAAGCCAATTAGACATTTGGCCCACTGAGGTTCTGAGTGTTCCTTGATGAATTTGTTTGCATGCCAGCTATTCCACTATATCCCCCTAGCCTACGATCGAGCGAGAAGACAGAGGGGACAGTGGTTGCACAAAAAGACAACAAAATAAATAAACGAGAGCACTTTTCCTCTTTCTTTTATTCTTTGTGTGTCGGATGGATGGTTGTTGTGTGTTCATGTCCGTGTTTTGTCTCCCCTCTTTATTGCATCCGTTCATTGATACACAAACATGTTCATACAGCGGTGAGTACATGACTCGATTCGATTCCCTCGTGCTTGTCGTTTTATTATCCCCCCACCTCACACCTCGCGACACAAAGTTCATTGCCCTCTTTCACACCCACACAAAGATACACATACACACGCACCTTACACATACACATTCAGGCTCATATGAATCTCCTTGCAAATACTCATTCAAAGTCTTTTCTTAGTGAAAAGGCTTGCTGAGCCGGAGAATAATAATCTCAAGAGGCACGAAAGTTACTTTGCTTTTTAGCTGGCCATTTATTACGAGACACTTCGCGTGTCTCTCTTCAACTACTCTACCCCTGCTTACTCTCAAGGCACAATCAGCTTATCCAAGTTATCTTAGCAAAATCACGTACACTCGTGCTCGCAACACGTAGAAAAATATTTAATCATGTGACATGTATCCTTACATCATGCAAATGCTGCAGTCTTCCTATCCTTCAAGGTATCTCTCCTCCTCGTCACTCAACTCTTTTCGCTCTTCATCCCTTCTACGCCAATCTATCATGATTAATGGCACCTTTATGCTTTACATCACCGTACCGCATCGGGCAGGAGAACCTGGATCGGATCCACAACGTGGTCTGGACCTATGTATCCAACCATTGTTACGGCATTCAATTAGCCAAAGGGCTACCGATCATAACTACGGATACTAGAAAGTGTAGAAAATACCAACGAGCAAATAAAAGAAGGGCGACGCTCGAACAGCGCAACTGTCCACACAGGTCATGAGGTCAAAGCCGAAAAGAGAGGACAGGGGCAGCGCATTGAAAAACACCCAGGGGCGAGGACCACTCGTGGAAAAAATAAGAAAAAAGGCTGGGGTAAAAGCAATGATATGATAAAAATATAAATCATTGATCGAGATAGCTGGTATCTATGCGGTCGACTCCCACTTGACAGGTTGATGGTCTGGCAAGGGAAAATATCAATGGCTGGAGAAGAAAGTGTACGTGTGTGTGAGGTAGGGAGGCTGGTCGAATTGTCTCCGCCAATTATTCATTAACGACAACGGAGCAGAGGAGATAATGATATTATAGTATCATCGCATTTGGTTTGATCTAGGGAAGGAAGAGGAGAGATAGCAAGAATGAAGGGAGATACGCGGACGCACACGCCAATACCATTACCAATACGCCACACACGCGACTAGGAGAGGGAGCATTTTGGGCGTGGAAAAAAAAAGATAACGAAAGGAGAAAAGGAGGGAAGCTGAGCCCTTTGTTGTTTAGCTTGCTTGCTTTGTCCACTTGAGAGAAAGAAGGTAGCCGAAGAAGATCAGAGAAAAAGGCCAATGGGGCCATTTTGATCACGAAGCGCAAAAAGTAAAAGAAGGAGCAAAAGAGAAGGTACTGGCTTTTTTGTTAGTAGTTCAGACAACGAGATAAAAAATGTTGGGGCTGGGCCAGGGCCATGTCTTGTGTTGAGAGCAGGTTGGGAGGAAGACAATTTTTTTTTTTTATGATCTCCAAGTTAAGGGTGTTGGTTGAGAGACATGTTTGATTTGATTGCTTTGCCCAGGCGAGTGTTCTTGTGGAGCATACCTCCAGTCCTCGGGCAGGAAAAGTCCTTTTTATTTTTGTGGGACAAGGCTGAGATTAGAAGCCAGTCAATTCAATTCAAAAAAGTGCAGGGGTGTGTATGTGTGACCCTGAGTCCCTGACCCATCAAAAATTGATTGCCAGAGAAAAGAACGGTCGTCTCTCTTCCCCCGCCGTGTTATTGTTCTGCCTTCTTCGGAGGTATCTGAATGGATGTGCAATTGAACTCCTCCTTCTTCACTCTTCACTCCTTCGTTCTTCCTCACGTTTCTTTTTCTTCACACTTGCTCTCTTTTCCCTTCACCTTCTCTCTTTTCCCTTCACCTTCTCAGTCGCACTTTCTAACTGTTTACCTCTTCAGCTGAGACCTCTTTCGCTTGTCTCCCTTTCTCCTTCCTTCCTTCCTTCCTTCCTTCCTTCCTTCCTTCTTGCCTTTCCTTTCTTACATCCTTCTCACCTTGGCAATCTTCGTTTCACCCATCAACTCAAAGTCCACTTCCCTCCATTACTCATTAGTGCACCAACCCAACACCCCAACCATCCAACCCTGAATCACTTAAATACATCACCCCCTCCCGCATCTCTGATCAGCCTTTGGAATGAGTACCCAACGGTTCTTCTCCCCTCCCTCCTCCGTCTCCTCCTCCGCCACCTCTTCCCCGTCCTTCTATCCCAGACCCGTCTTTGCAAGCGATCTAGTCGGCCAACCTAAAAAGCACTCTGGTCCCACAGAACTATCCTCCTCCTCTACCATTCCTTCTAAAACCACCCCTCCTCCGCTTCCAACAAGAAGCACAACTACCCCTTTTCCTAATACCACCACCAGGACGAACCATAGTACCAACAGTAGTAGCAGGATGGATCTGACATCAAAGCTAAGCGACCTGCCTGCTATTCAACTCCCGGACTTTCACCTCCCGGATTTGCAGCGACTCAAGCAACAGCTCCACAAACACACCCCTTCCTTCTCCCTCAAATCCCTCCAGCATACCTTCAATGTCCCATCCTACACATCCTTCCACTCCAATAGCTCTTCGAAATCATCGTCGAGACTCTCACTCTCTTCTTGGTCCAGTCGACCCTCCACTTCTGCTTCACCCGTTGGGTCGACACCACCACAAACTCCAGGAACTATTGAAAACACTGGTCACTCGAGTGCCAAGACACAGGATGCAGGGATCGGTTCATTGTCTCCAAACCAGCAACTCCAGCAACAGCAACAAAAGCAAATCACATCCACGGCTGGAGCGAGCACTACAACAGCTCGGCAGCAGCCAATCGCAGCTGATGAGCCAGTGCGGGTCTCATCGCCCATCTCCATCCCCACCCACCCCTCCAACTATCTTATCAAGAAATCTAGCACCGCAGCCTTATCTGGAACAAGCCTTGTCATCGATAACTCGTCCAGGAGCAACACATTTTCCATATCAGCAACGAATGCCGCAGGGGGAACATCAACTAAAACACCTGCGGCCAGCAACAGCGCCACCATTAGTGCAACTGCGGAAGCAGATATCCCTCCCTCAACAACCCTTCGGATAACACCTTCGGCATCGGGAACGTCGACACCTGTTACAGCATCAGCATCGACGTCCAAGTCTCCTGTTGGACATCTCTTCCTACAGATTGTCGAAGCACGCAACTTGACCTTGGTCAACCCAGCAGCAATCTCTCGCCCTTACTGTCTAGTCGAGTATGACCAGAACGAGCTCATGACTCCGTCTGCGCTCTTGGAGGTCAACTCTATGGGTCGCCGAGGAGGGAACGACATCTTTGCTAGAGCCATGGCTGCCAGCAGCCCCAAATGGCGCCAAGACGCCGAATTGTACGTTACCTCCTTTTGTCTTGATTTGTGTATTTGGTATTTAATGATTCATTCTCGCACATTCCTCTTTGTATTACTCCAAAGCAAACTGCGCCCGCTTTATGATTTAGCCCTATTTCGCCCTTGGCCTGCATTTCAAATTGCAGGAAACATCACCCCGTATTTCTTTTCTTGTTTGTTGTTTTGTCGAACCATTCATTCTTCTTTCATGTCCTGACCCCAAACCTTTCATTTTGCACTTCGTCTTCTCCCTCACTCCTTTGATCCAAAAAAAATAGCGATGTTGTCCGGCCGAACCAACAAATTGCAATCACAATCTATGATTCGGGAGCAGCAGATGAGGATCAGGATCCTGGAAAGCGGTTCTTGGGCCAGGTCAAGCTGAAGCCATCGGAGATTCACAACCGGATGATTGATTCTTGGTTTCGCTTACAGGGACGTGATGGCGAGGACGCGGGCGAACAAGGAGTGACAGGGGAGATTAGAGTGACGATCAAGTATCAAGCCATCGAGGTAAGACAACACAGAGACATCTGATACGAAGGGAGTTGGTGGCGTAGCCATCGGTAACACAGACTCCTCCATTGCTCCGATGTTTTTGTTTTGATGTGAAATGTACATAATTAACAGTCTTATTTTTTTGTTGTTTGAACCTTCTAGTCCCGTCACTTGTCAACATCGGATTTCGACATTCTGCGAGTGCTGGGCGTGGGATCGTTCGGGAAGGTGTACCAGGTCAGGAAGAAGGACACAGGACGCATCTACGCAATGAAGGTGCTCGTCAAGAAGCAGGTCATCGAGCAAAAACAGGTCGAACACACCATTGCAGAGCGCAACGTCCTCGTCCAAGCTCTCCAGTCTCCCTTCATTGTCGGCCTCAAGTTCTCCTTCCAGACTCTCACCAAACTCTACCTGGTCCAAGATTTCATGAACGGCGGAGAACTCTTCTTCCACATGCAGAACGAAGGCACCTTTTCAGAACCCCGGGCTCGCTTCTATGTCGCAGAGTTGGTCCTGGCATTGGAGCACCTGCATTCGTGCAATGTTGTCTATCGGGATTTGAAGCCTGAGAATATTCTGCTGTCGAGTCAGGGGCATATTGTCCTTGTGGATTTCGGACTGTGTAAGCAGAATGTTACGGAGGATGAGCGGACGCACACGTTTTGTGGGACCACCGAGTATCTGGCGCCGGAGATTGTCAAGGGTACGGGATACGGAAAGGCGGTGGATTGGTGGTCTTTGGGAGTGTTGATGTACGAGATGTTGGTCGGAGCGTCGCCCTTTGCGGATAGCAGGACTGAGGGTACATATCACAAGATTCTGCACCAGCCCGTCATATTCCCTTCGCGACTTGAACTTAATTCAACAGGACACGGGCGTAAGAGCCGCCGAGCTCACATTACATCACCGGATCCCGCAACTATACAGGGCACTGGCGGAAGTAGCACGGGAATCAGCACCAACGCTCAGGATCTTATCCAGAGGTTCTTGGACAAGAACCCCAAGACCCGCCTCGGTTCTGGACCCAGTGGTACCGAGGCGGTGGCGCAGATCAAGGCGCACCCGTTCTTCAAAGGGATCGATTTTGACCGCCTCAAGACCCGCGATGTCACCCCACCCTTCCAGCCCCACGTTGGAGTCATGGGCGATCTGGATGTCTCGAACTTTGACGCCCATTTCACGGACCAGACTGCGACTCTTGGAATGAAGCATCACAATGGCAGCAAGTTTGGCAGCAGTATCTCATCGACTGGATCTTCCACCTCGACGACACTGATGGATGGCGAGGCGGGTAGTTTCATGTTGCAGCAGCAGCAGAGGGCTGCCAACCTGTACCGTCAACAGCAGATGCGGGGGGACAATACGACACTCAGCCCGAATGTCATTCGTGGACGACGGAGCAGCAATAGTTGGAGTAGTTATCGGACTCCCAGCAACGATTCTCTGTTCACGTTGAGCGAGCCAGTTAGTCCCTCTCAGACTCGAACTGGTGGTGGCGGTGGGGGACAAGGTTTACAGCGATCGATCACAGCGCACAAGGCCAGGGCATTACAACAACAGCAGCAACAGCAACAGTTACAATCTCAGCAGCAGCGGCATCAGGAATACTTCAAGGGGTTCACGTTCGAAGGCGAGAGTATCCTTGAGACCCTGAAGCGCCAAGAAGACGAGCAGATGACGATGATGCAGCAGCAGCAGTCGACGATGAGAGGCGTTGCGGGTATTGAGGATGACGAGGAGGAAAAGATGGTGGATGGAACCCGAATTGGGATCCATGGTCTGAGTAGGGGTGGAATGAGGCCGCCGAACCAGTTGTTCTCGGGCGAGGCTGGAAGTGTCGATTCGATCTTTGGCAGCATGTAAATAGTACTTTTTTTTTCTTTTCTTTTTAGTTTTCTTCTTGTTACTTTTTTTTTTTTTTTTTTTTTTTTTTTTTTTTTGCTCGTGTTCGTTTTTCTTAGAGTTTCTCAATACATTTACTTTTTTGTACATTAACAACACCTTTTCTGTGAAAAGTGCCAATGGTTCTTGTTGATGTGACGGGGAGAGATGAAGGAGAGCGGTGGAGGAGAGGGTATCAAGGAACCAATCACTGAAGAGTGAAAGACTGATGTTCGACTGAAGAATGAAAGTGGCAGTGCAGTATGCTATGCTCTGCTCTTATGTATTGTTTTTTGGTGAAGAAGAAAAAGCAAATTGGTTTGTGCAGAATGCAAGTTGTGCAAAAGATGAGAGATGAGAGATGAAAGATGAGAGATGAGAGATGAGAGATGAGAGAAGGTTCCGTTACGAGTTAGTAGGAAGTGGACTGTCAAAGGAAAGGAAAGGAATGAGGATCAAGGGAGGACTCAACCATTAGTGCACTTGTAAGCCTAAAACACACCTCTCCACGCGCTCAAAGGAAATGAAGGAGGCGTAGGAGGCGTTTGTCACTGTGATCGTCTCTTTGCGCCTCATCGTCGCCCCTTTTTTTCTTCGTTCCTCATCCATACTGAGCAGATCGGATCCACACTCCCATTCACATCCACTCAGACTTTGCTTTTCATGCCCGCCCACCTGTCAGCATCTATGAAAAAGAGAGTTTTCGACTCATAAATCGCTTGTGAGATGCCATGAGAAAGAGTGAGAGGGTAGAAAGACACAGAAAATAATATTTGTGAGCACTCGCTCCCTTTTTTCCAGAACAAGGGACACTCGGGCTTGGTGGGTGACATGAACGTCGACCCAGTGTTCGTTGCAATTGCGATACAGAGCAGTTCTTACTAAACAATAGGTCTTCTTTCGTGACATGGGAGGGACACGGTGTGGTTTGTTGAGCCAACAGTTTTGTTAATTGAAAAAGCAGTAGGATACCATCGCCAATTCGCATTGAGAAGTGACAAGAGGCGACGTCCACGAGATGAACCAATCGTCCTCTGTCATTCCAAGCAAGATTAAGGTTGCCTCTTTTCACAACAAAGAAAGCCATCGAAACCTTGTTGATTGTCATTCCTTCTTTCCTCCTCCCGCTAACCCATTCTTGTCGTTGTACACATGAGGCCTCTAGCAAAAAGGAAGGATAAGGAGTTTGCCAGGGTTCTGATATAAAACAAAGAACGGCTGTTGTCTGTCGGATATGCAACATCCGCGCCTTCAGAGCCCACATCTGGCGTGCCCCTCTCTTCTCCCCTCTTCCCTTGCAGAAGCAGACAGGCAACATGTTGGGTTCCAACTGATATTCACATACTCTTGAGAAAATACAAATTTATTTAAAATGGGCAGACTGGATGTTGTCGATGGTTGAGGGAACATGGGAGCAACGGTTTTCAACTCCGGTTCTGGTTTTGCTCACAACAACAATGAAGAACCTGTTCACAACCGACTATTTTTTTTTATCTGTTTCCTTTTCCCCCTTTCCCTTTTCTTATTTCTGCTTTCCTTCCTTTTCTTCTTTGCTCTTCTTTCCTGCCCATCTCCTTCTCTCGCTCCTCTTCTTCTTCGTCCTCGCTTCTGCGTGTGGCTTCCTCTCTTCGTCCTCCTTTTCACTCCTTTAACTCTTATTCCTCCTCTCCTACCACTCCCTCCTTTCTTATTACCCCGCTATCCAGCCCTTCCAATTAATACCCATCACCCTCATCCCATCTCTCCCTCCTCCTTTACTTTAACACAGCTACCTTGACCACAAACACCCATAGCACTAATAGCACTAACACACAACAATGATCCAACCGAAAAAGGCCACCATCGGCAGTATGCTATCCCTCACCCTGTCCCTCACCCTCCTCCTTTCATCGCACAAAACAGCCTACGCCCAGTACACAAGCATCAACTCCGCCTCGTCGGCAGCTTACGCCCGTTACCAAAACCAGTTCTACGTCGGCGGAGGCGGTCTCGAACGCGAAATCGCAGGCAGTTTCTACACCAAACCTGAAGCCACCGCCGGCGACGGCCAATTTTCAGTCCTCGACCTCTCCGTCCCTTGGGCCGGCTCCGCCCCCGCATGGAAGAAACTCGCCTACGGACCTAAAGTCTTGGACTTCCCCTTCGCCATGAATGCCAATGGGACCAAGGCGATCGCCTTCCGGGCTGTAGTTAATGCGAGCGACAGTTTTGCGAGCATCTATGAAGTGGCGACGAACACCTGGAAGCCTTCGAAGATCGTCGCCCCGAAACCTGACCAAGACGGTATCGAGGCGGTGTTGGACCCCACGAGCGATAAAGTTTACATGGCCGGCGGGTTTGAGGGCGACGAAAAGTTTGACAAGATGTACGTGTATCTATGGGAGACGGATGAGTTGAAGAAGATCGAAATGCCAGGGCGGCCCTTGACGCAGACGTTGTATTACAAGGCGGTGTGGTGGACGAAACAGAATAGCATCTTGTTCTTTGGAGGGTATGCTAAACCCAGTGGGGCGTTCGTTAAGCCAGAAATTAATGTCTATAGCCCTGCAACTGACTCATGGGGCAACTCTCTCGTAAGTGTTTTTTTTTCCTTTTTTCCTTTTTTTTTTTTTTTCTGGGGCTGTTCCACACTGCGAGACTTGGGGCTCTGTGATGTTTTGGCCCTACCTGTATTCATCGGCTCGTATGATTTTTTGTGCTTGTTCTTTTTCTTGATAGTTAACGACAGGAGCTGGACCAGGAGCACGTTCCGATATGTGCATGGCCATCTGTAAGTTCGCAATGATAATCATAATCTCTCAACTCTCTTTCCTTTTGGATTATGACATCATGGACACCAACGTTGCATCTAACCTACCTACTTTGCTTTCCTTATCCTTTTCGTACTCTCATAGCGGACGATGGGACAAAGCTGGTGGTCTTTGGAGGAAGATACTTCGATACGTTTCACCAGTATATCACGGGCGACATATATGTCCTGGACTTGGACACCATGGTCTGGACCCGTGGACCGGACTATACTACCCCACGCATCTATACCACTTGCACTATCGTTGATGGTACCTTTCTCTCCTGGGGAGGTAATACTTCTTTCTCCGTTGTCAAACATTGTTTTTGTTGATGTGAGAATACCCCTGTTTGAACATTCCAGTATGTGCATCATAGAGTCGTGCATTAACTTTGTTTTTGTTTTTATGATTGATGTAATAGGATCGGACTCGTTGTCGACAGTGAACTCACCCATCATCATCTACGACATCAAGCGGAACAAATACCTCTCCCAGTACAAAGGCCCCGATCCCGACAAGGATTTCGACCCCCTCGCCCCACCCAAAACCTCCGGTTCCGGCTCAAATGGAAACTCCAACAACTCGGACGACAAGGAAATGACGTTTGAGGAACGGAGGAACTTAATCCTCGGCTGTGTGTTTGGAGGCGCGGCGTTATTCTGGATCACGGTCTGTTGCTGTATCTGTCGGGTGAAACGGAATCGGACGTATAGGGTTCAGGAGGTCCTGGATGCGGCAGAGAGGAAGATTGCGGAGGAGAGGGAAAGCGCAGCGAAGAGGCAAACTGTCTCTCCTGCTGCTGCTGCGAGAGTGAATGGATCCGCTACAGTTAACGGCAAGCGGGTCAGCGTCAACAATAACAACAACAACAATCGTGTGAGCACGACAGTCCGCCCAGCAGCCATCCCAACACATGTGCAGTCACCCGGGAACCAACCCTACCCACTCATGCAATCCCCCGGATCTCAACCCTACCCTCTCATGCAGTCCCCAGGACAAATTTACCCACTCCTACCCCAACAACAGGGCTACGGACAAACATACCCCATGATCCCTCTCCAACACCAACACCAACCTGGTCAAATTGGCGCCCCACAAGTCTACCCAATGCTCCAACAACAGGATCAGCACCGGCTCTCAAAACCCGCAGCCCCCCTCCCACATCAACACCAACCCGGTGGATCTCCCCAAGTCATCTCTTCAGACCCCACTAACGCCAGTATGATGATGGCGTCCCCAACGTCAATTTACGGGAGCCCTTATGCACCAAATCCGCGTGGGCCAGAGTTGATTTCTGTAGCGCAAAGTGATTATGCAGAGAGTCATGGTGGGTTTGCGGGGTCACAGACTTCGTTTGTGGGGCAGAGTAGTTCGCCAGCCTCTGGGAGCGCGGCAGATCTCATCCGGTCTCCTCAACAGCGCCATAATTAGGATTATGAACCCGTACACGAACATCAACTTAGAAATACCATTGACTTAAACCCGTTCATCCATTTTTGATTTATCGCATATCATTCAATACATCAATCAGGAACCAACCTTGTCGGTCTCACTTTCTGTTTCATCGCTATCTCTTGACTCTAGTGTTTATTTGCTATCATCGACAATATAAAAACAAAGTTCGTCCCTCTCACTAAGGCGATCGACCACACAGAAGCAGCAACAGCCGCAAACAGCAACACGTTTATCAAAAACAGCTTTAACCTTCACAGAACTCGGCGACACACTCGGAGGCTGCCAGTGTCCCTTATCCTCAGCCTGTGGGTCAGAAGCCCCCGCCTGTGGTCTGTTCAAGACCAAAGTTCCTGACAAATTTTTCTCCACAAGAAACTCGGGGAGATTCTGGGAGACCATGACGGGGGCGATCTTTTCCTTCAATGCCTCGATCCATGATATTTGCTTAGCATCTGACTGCTCTTGTAGGCTGCGACTGCGGTGGTCGTAGCGTTCGTTTTGGGTATTCTTTGAATGCATTGGTGATCTCTGATGAGGAGTTGGTGGGGAGGGCGTAGATGAGGTTTGCGAGTGCGATTGCGTCATGCATTGACGTTACTACGCCTATTTTTTTCGGATAGCATATAAGAGAGGTTTGGTTAGGGTTGCTATTATGTATCTTCATTGATCGATGACATGGTCATGGTCCATGAGTAAGCACACGTACCACGACCTCCTGAAGGGTGCAACTTGTGACACGCTAAACGCACAAAGGAAACGAGGAGTATCAATTGGTCAATTAGTCACACTGTACATCAAGAAGCAAACGAACAATAAAACTTGAAGAGAACGTACCATCACCAAGAAGGACGATGCGTCTAGAATACCAAGTCTCAAATACCTTCTCCTCCAACATAATCTTGGAAATAAGATCCTGATCCGTCCGGTCATACATATCCCCTATCGTCAAAGTACCATCCTCAAACTGTAGAGGAAAATGCCTCGTCTCGTCATACACCTCCTTGGCAGCGGCTGCATGCGACTCCCACTCCAGATTCTCGCTCGTCCGGTTCCTCTTATCGGTATATGTCGATCTGTTGGCGACTTTTTCGAGGTGCAACATAACCATCCAACATATCGAATTCTAGGACGTTGTGAAAGTGATCCAGGAGTAGGTGTTGTCGTAGCCGAGGGTGGATTTGAACTGGGCTACGGGTTCCTTCAAGACTGAGAACTCTTCTGGATCTAGGGGGCGGGTTTGGCCTACCAGACAGACACAGCCGAAGGGTAGTTCCTCCTGATCTGATGCAGGTAGTTTGCCTTCCTTGAGTAGAGTCTCGTACAGCTGTTGTCGGACCAAGCTGTAGGCTTCGTCTGCTCCTACGAGGATGTTGCCCGCATAGTTAGATCCATCCGTTATCTTGGCTTCCACACTGTCCCTATTGTCGTTAATAGATATCACTCTCTTCCCGAAGTGGATTTTGTGAGAGGGGATCTGGTTAAAGAGGAGGTTATAGAGTGCCGGTCGCCCAATTGCATACTGCTTATATCCCGTGCTACCAGCAACAACAGCAAGGAACACAATGATGTTAGTTACAAACATGAGGTCTCGCAACAAATACAACACATAACATCAAAACCAACATGATGGACCTGCATGCGGCCCTGGGCAAGACTAAAGTCGGCAGCCAAGATGAGCTCCTTGCTCTCGCTATATATAGTAATGAGTCCATGGCTTGCCCACTCCGTATAGTTCCTCTTGCAATCCCGAGCTGCTCAAAGAGCGGAATCAGTGTCGAGCTCACCGTGAGTGCTGACCCTATGGGGAAGCAGCATGGGTGTCTATTTTAGTTCTAGGTCAAGGTTGCACACTGTTGTATCATTCCTTGGGTACACACGCTCACGCCTTGGCTTAGGCTCACTCACCCAAGGGTTTGATGATTGTTGCTTTCTCGACTATGACATAGGGTATGTTGCATCGTTCCAGAAGGGTTCCGAGCATCTGGCCTCCCAGACCTGCTCCTACTATCACAACCTTTGGTTTCTCTGTTGTTGTCGTTGCCGTTGTCGTTGTTGTTGTTGCTGATGCCATCAAGTATGAATGTGAGTGTAGTCGAATGCGTAGTTTGAATGGATCCTGTCCTGTGAGTAAGTCGATGTCAGGAATCGGCAATGGGAGTGGTTAAATGTAATCAGATGATGTTGGAGAGAGAAAAAGAATAAAAAGTGTTCACGGTGACTCCTTCCTTCCCCTTCTTGACGCCCCTTCTCTTCCTTCTTCTCTTTCCTTCATTAGCATCTCAGGCTAAACAGCGCATTTGATTTCCCCTATTTCTTTTTTTGCCTGTTGGTCATGTAAACAAAAAAGAGCAAGATCAGAGCAAGTAAAGCGTGCGAAAACTCTATCTAAGCCTGTGGCCCTGTGTGCGACAGAGATATCGAGCTAATCGAGCTAAAGTCCAGACTATTGACAATATGACCAGACTTATCTGTTGTTGCTTACATGAATGAGGGTGATAAAGGCGCACACTCCTCTCTCATCCCTCCTTTCAATTGAGTTCCAAGTAAAGACCGACCGCATTCTCGGAATCCACATCATGGGTCCCAACGCCGGATGGATCATTGCTAAGGGTGTATTGGCGATGGAGTATGGCGCTTCGTCCGAGGATATTGGCCGCACTTGCCACGCCCTAGATCACTTAGGCACAGACCAAGTCATCGTTTTTTGACTCTCCGACGAGACGTTCATCAATGATTACCTCTACCGATCCCATCTCACTAAAAAAGTGCCGAACGCCGGGTTCTTGAGTAACCAGCACCTTGGGTATCGATATATCCATGGCCTAGATAATACCACGCTACCCTTGTCAACAAGGATAGGTGATAGGTGGGGCATGCTTCCAGAAAAGCACAGGATAGGACGAGAGGACAAGGAGCGGAGAAAGAAGAAAAAGAGAGATGAACGAGAGATCGATGAAGGAAGAGTCCACATGCTGCTCACACCCTCAGCATCGATATGCAACCAAAATAAAAAAATTGAGAGCGATGCAATGCGTTCTGTTTATTTTCCTTCCTCTCTCGCATGACCCTGACCAAGAGACCAACCAACTACGCTCCTGCTCGAATACCCCAACCTTATCCCTGTGATCAAACAGACTGAGCGTTCTGCGCTCTCTGTTCCTGTCTTCGTCGAAACGCCTCCCCCGCCAACGTTCCACTCAAATGCACATCTGGCCTCACACTCCCCTTCACCTCAACTGGTGGCAAGAAACTAGCCGTCGGTCGATACTTGACCGATTTCGCCAACATGATCTTCCACAACCACAACGGCGTATGTCTCGACATCCACCTGGCCAGGAACCCCATGAAGCTGCGCTCGATTCTCTTGCTCAGAAACTCGCTGCTCTTGTAAGCTTGCAGGACGATGGGGTAGCGTTCTGCTTTATAGAGAGCGAAGATCCGGGTGATGGAGGTCAGGGTGGTCGAGTCGAGGGAGTAGATGAGGTTTGCGAGCGCGATGGCGTCGTGGATGGCGGTTACTGCTCCTTGTCCTGCGGAGGGGTTTAGTTTGTGGCATGCTAATTGTCATAAACATGTGTTGTGATTTCAGTTGCATGCATGAAGCCTTATAGGGACAGGGCATTGCACAAACAAACGCACAAAAGCATCACAAAAAAAACCCCCCTCCCATCCATCGATAACGAAGGGGAAAATATGAAAACATAAACATACCATCCCCGAGAAGGGCAACCCGACCAGAATGCCAGGTCTCAAACATCTTCTCCTCCAACATGACCTTCGAGATCAAGTTCTTGGGCGTCCTGTCATATAGATCCCCCATTGTCAACGTCCCATTGCCGCCAGGGATAGGGAACCCCCTGGTATCGTCGCACATCGATTGTGCGGCAATGGGTCCCCATTCCGAGTTGTCCATGCTCCTGAACCGTTCTCCCTCGGCTGCTTTGCTCTGTTGTTTTGAGAGGTGACAGACGACCATCCAGCAGATTGTATTCTGAGGAGTCGTGAATGTAACCCACTGTTTGTCGAACAATGAACAAAGACGAAAAAGTAAGCGCCAGCTTCAATGATGCGTTCACTTAAAAAAATAACAACAAAACAGTAACAACAACAAAAGCAGAGAACGTACAGAGAAGGGCTTATCCTCGCCAAGGGTAGACCAGAACTGACAAATCGGCTCCTTCAACTCCGGGAACTCGTCCTGGTCCAAAACACCCGTTTGCCCCACAAGACAAGTACATCTAAACGGCAGATCCTCCAAATCCGACTTTAAGATCTGCCCTTTCTGTTTTAACGATTCATAAAGCCGCTGCCGGACTGCGCTGTAGGCTCCATCGGCGCCGATCAGGATATCCCCTTCATAGTAGCCATTATCGGCGGTCCGGAGGAAGACCTTATCGTCCTTTTCGCCAATATCGAGGACCCGCTTGTTGAGGTGCACCTTTGTAGCGGGAATTTGGCGGAGGAGGAGGTCGTAGAAAACTGGGCGAGCTATGATATGTTGCCTGTATCCCGTCCTGAATAGTAGTAAAAAAAAAAGGCGGTTAGTTAAGTCAACCTTTGTCCACTTGCGTTGAAACCTGAAACGGGGACACCATTGATATTTTGTGGAGGAGGAACTTACAGCTCTTCGATGGGAGAAAAGTCGGAGGAGAAGACAAACTCACGCTGCTCGTTAAAGGATCTAACATCCGTCATTGGTTTGGAAGCGCTGAAAAAGTCTTCGATGGGCATGATTTGTTCGAGAAAGGGGATCAAGTTAGGACCGATTGAGAGTGCCGATCCTACATAGATGAAAAGGCGAATATTATGTTAGTTTCTTGATGCTATCGGTATCTCGGACAAAAACAAAAGATGGTCCATGTTAAATGCCGGCGAGGAGATGTACCTAATGGCCTGATAGTAGAGCTGCGCTCAAAGATCTCGAAGGGAATCTGAGCTCGTTCCAGGAGAATCCCGAGGGAGAGTCCTCCGAGTCCTGCGCCGACAATCAAGACCATAGGTTTTTCTGTTGCCATCTGTGTCGGTGTATGATAGAGCAAAAAAAAAAGATGAATAGATATGTAAGTGGGGATGAAAAGAACGACGAACAAGTGAAGAAGAAAGAAAAAAGGAAATGAAAGAGAAGAAAAAAGAAAGAAATGAAAAGAGAGGAGAGAAGAATGAAAAACATGCGATCGAGATCGATATCGCTTTGGTCTCGACCACCCCCTGCCTTTACCCATTGCTCTCAAATCATCAAATGGGAGGGCGCATGCTGTGCGACAATATTTTTTTTCCTTCCTAGAGCAAATACACAACCATCATGTGTGCTCACTCATAACTCTTGCCCGCAACTATCTTGAATCGAAGTGCAAAGAGATCGGATCGGTACGTACATCATTTTTGGCTAACCTACCACCCAGGTAAGTAAAGGTGTCCTACCCCCCCCCTTTTTTTTTTTGGAACTCTCGTTGGGCGTCTTGTAGTAAGCAACATAAAAAACGAGCCTTATGTTTGTCTGAACAGTTTGTGGCCTTGTCAACTCCTCCTTCGGAAAACAGAAAATAATCAATACTACTCTTTAGTTGGCATTGATACGCCTCTCTCTGGTCGGACTAGGAGGATCCAAAAACCGCCATACGCTGCTCGAGTAGCTTCCGAATGATCTCACTCAGACCAACCACATCAACAAAGACGGTGCCTGCATGCAGCCAAAGCGACGCCTCCCCACATCATCTGCACTGGCACATTCTTAGATTCCTCTATCGTCCATGTTCGAATGGACTTATCCCGACTGGCAGCAGTAAACTCCAGTCTGTTGAGCCTCCAGACAATATCCTCAATGTAGTCAATACAGGCATCAAACATCGTTACAATTCTCCAGTCTTCAGGAGCGGCATTTAGTGGGCACCAACGCCGAATAACATTTGACCGCAAGACGAAACCGTGATTTGTCGGACACTGGCTTCACCACTCAGAATGGTTCGGTGCTCTTTGCCTTGCTCATCCCAAAAGCCAAGTCCCGTCTCAACCACGGCATGAAATCACCTACGAACTCGTTCGTCACTCGTGATTGCACATATCTCAAATATGCAACCATCCATCTCTGCATCTAGCTGCAATGTCGAAGCCGTTCGGGGAAAATACGATGTTCTCAGCAGTAGTTGTGTTGCCAGAAACAACCAGGCCTGCTGCTCCTGAGCGCAAATCCCAAAGTCGTATCCGTCTATATATATATGTCCCTAGAGAATGAGCTCAAGAATACCGGTGTGAGCGCTGCACAGCGTCATATCGCCTCTGGAATCGCCCACGCCTAACTGAATTCCACTTGACGAGTAAGCGATGAACTTTGCTTGGCCTCCTTGCCTCCTTGCGATTAATGACAGAACCAGCCTCGCCACGGTTGCTGCCAGAGATGAGGGATTGCCCATCCGGAGTCCAGAAGTCGAATTAACCTTCCGTGTCGAGACCAGAGCGGGTAGGGGTAAAGTCACAGAGCCTCACGTTGTTACTCAAATGGCTTGCCTAGGCAATCTTCGAACCATCAGGATTAATGATATTTTTGGTGGCGTTTCAATTTAGTCTCAGCCTTTTCGATCACTTCTTGTATCTAGTCTCTCTTTCCCCTAGAAGAACTCCCCAATCACCACAGCGCAAAGGTTAGGCTGCACAGCACTCTTTCATTTTCTCGCTCCAACTTGCTAAACATATGGGCCCCTTTTTCTAGAACTTACTTTGATGTGTTCTTTGGGACACAAAAGAAAAGAACCCATGATAATACTTGGTTCTCATTCTATGACTCCTTCCTTCGGACAACACAAATAAACTCACACATACAAAAAAGGAACGAAAAAGAGTACACTGTAGAGGGAAGGTGGAACAAGTGGACGAGAGGCCCCTTTGCTTTGTTGACTGAAAATAATGGGGTCTCTCTTCCGCTGCTTTGTTTGTGTCGCACGGGTTATGGCCAACTTCCCTAAACGACCACACCTCATTCACCTATTCTTTCGCATAAACATCAACCAGCCTCCACGAAGTGTCCACACTACCCATCGAGGGTGCTAATGTTAACAACTGAAATGATTAGGAAGGCGAACCACCTCCACTTTTTCTCCATTGCACTTTAACCTCCCATTCAGGGGAAAGAACAAAGTGGCAGGGTCATGGAAGTCATCTTTGTATATAAGACGAGGGTGCTGAAACGTTCTCTACAAACTACTCTTCCTTTTCCTCTAACCTTCATTCTCTCTCTTTCCCTCCCTCTCTTCGTCTTCCACAGCTCAAACACTCATTTCTATCACCAAAAAAAAAGATACAGGAAATGTTTTTCTTCCACTCACCGTGGGACCCTTCCTCACTCATGGTGATCAATAACCAAATCAATCCTCTTCACTTCCTTGGACCGAGGCAACTCTCTTCTCTCCCCAGAATCAAACCTACTCCAGCTCTAGCTCCATTTTCGACAACAATACCTAAGCCGACACTCAAATCAACAACACTACCCCATTTTAAACCCTCATACAAACCCAAAGTTTCCAAGTTTGGTCCGAACGCTCATCTGGCAAAGGCATTTGTCCCCTCCTCCAGTCGTCGATCTGATCACAAATCGTCCCTTTACCTGAAGGAGAAAAGAAAAGAAGGTACAAACGATACCCACATTTTTTTCGGAGTCGGATCGTTGCTGTGTTGGATGCATGCAGGGTCTAATGTTGTTTTTAACAAAGCGGTCTCTTATTGATTCTTATGACCCCCTTCGTTTTTTCGGGATGAACTAGCTGTTGACCATTCGACATCTTCACCCATGCTTGTTCATTATCCTTTTGCAAGCAACAGCTCCAGCGATGACAAATCCTTGCCGCCGCCACCGTCTCATTCAAAATGGACCACGGTGCACATAATGAAAAGACGCCCACCTGGTCTCCCCATTCCATGGCACCAAGACGAACACGACATCTTCATCGGCATGACTACCACAGGTCACTCTCCCGCTGAGATCCCCTACATCGGTCATCACATCCTAGTTCACACTATCCTCGATCCACCAACGTGCCCCTGGAATTCCTTCAAACAAAGGCCGGAATCTTTACATTGCTGGCACCACCTTGCTTTGGATATTCAATTCCCGACCCTGGGTCTTGGACTGCACGACCTTCTTGCCAACAACCAGCCTCAACGCCCTTCAGCGTTCCCGAACTTTGAGCGGGATGTTAATTTTCAAGTTGCCTACTTTCTTTCATCCTCTTCGGCCAAGGTCACCTCTTCTCCTCCTGGACTGGAGACGTCGCACTTCTCCTTCTTTCCTTGGCCCATGGGTACTACCGACACTGCCGACTTATCTTCCAGTCTCTTATCGACCACAACGCCCTCTTCAACATCAAACACTGTCTGCTCGTCCGTCTCATCCTCACCCACCTTCTCGAGCATCTCTACACCCGGCGGGTACCTCATCGACGACGAGACAGTAGGAGAGTCCATAATGTCGCATGGAGATATACTCGAAATCTGTGCAGCCCTTGTTCAGACCATCGAGTCTGCCCGTGCCAATCAGCAGCATCGCTACATGAGCTCTAGCAGAGTTGGTGTGATTGGGAGACATCGCTCACCCAAGCCTTGGTCATTTGCTGAGGCAGAGATTTCTTGCTTGGCATTGGGGATTGATACCTCAGTTGCTCTTTTCAGAGGATCGCAGTTGTAGGACGTCCCAACGATCGAGTAGCCCCTTTGCCTCTACCTCTCTCTTTCAGCCTTCGCACGGCCAGTCAATGTTCAGACAATAAACTTCGTTTTTTTTCTTGCTCTTTCCCTGTTCCTCCATGCAGGTCTGAATGCTCCCACACACACATACGCTCCTTCAAGATCGGGGCGGTTCTCTGTTCAATTGCTGTACGGTTAGTGACACATAACACTGCTGCATACACAAGGAACTCCCGTTTGTATTGTTTGTCTTGTCCGTTGTTTGTCAAACAACAGACGATCGGTGCGCTATTGCAACAACAACAAAAAGGAGACAATATCCAATTTCTGTGTTCCCCCTTTCTTTTTCGTTCACTTTTTCTCACATTGCATCTCCCCTTACTCTTACTTCCTTACTGCATCTTCCTTTGTTGCCTCTCCTCCATGACCTCCTTCCATTCCTTGCCACTCTTTCCTTTCCTTCCCTCCTGAGAAAGACACTCGACTCGAGATACATAAAAAGGACACGCCCGCCACTACTTTCTCCCATACACTCACTTTCGCTTTCTTCACATACCAACACTCACACCTGGCTCCTTGACTTCGCCACCTTCACGCTCACCACTCACACGACACAACAGAGGTATTCGAGTTATGCACATCAGACAACCAAAGCACTCTTCTTACTGCATGACCTTCCATTCCATCTCTCACAACATTAACAAACACTCATTCCTCATGGACGCAATCACTTTCCTTCATTCACTTCTTTCTCGACTCCTGACAATATATTTTTTTCCTTCGTCACACCCCAGTAGAAAAGGCGCAACGTCAGAAAAGAAGGATGGCATTGGCCAGGATCATGTCGAGGAGCAGAGACAGCAGTGATCCAGGATCCCCGGCGCCACGGATCCGTGTCGGGTACAAGCGGCAATCAGATATCCCGGACTCTATGGGCAGCCAACAGCAGCATGCCTACAGTCAAGGTAATAACCATCACCCTTCTGTCACGTTGTAGCCAATGGGATCCGTTAATAATCGTTAATCAATTAAGGTATCGCGACAACTTATGGTTCTTGTTTCTCACGCCCGTAATTAACCTTGTTACAATGTACAAATAGCCACCTCGTCGAACAGAGAATCGATGTACCATCGCCCTTCATCAACTTATTCCAACTCCAGTCGGGACCTCCTCCAACACCAACAACACCAGCATCAACCACAGTACCACCAACAACAACCGCAACAACACCATTCCTCCCCGCGTCGAACCGTAGTCCATTCTCCAACCCCACTCCCACTTCCACCACTCCTTGAAATGGACCAACATCTCCACATCCTCGCCGACCTCCTCACCGAGACAGTCCTCCTCCCCCGTGAGGCCATCGTTGACTCTTCCCCCTTCCTCTCTTCGAACCGGTTGGAGTTGTATGATCAGGACCCGGTGGTGTGTGTGCAGATTCTGAGGGAGGAGCGGAGACGGATTCTGGAGAGACGTCAGGGGGTTGAGATGGAGCAGATGAAACAGGAGACTACCCAGGCACTTTTGAAGGTTGAGGAGGCTAAGGTCCAGAACGTTGAGCTTGCTCTCGGTTCGTCTTGTTTTGTTTGATTTCTTACTGTGTGCGTTTTGTTCAGTTGATGATGTTGTGTGACTGCTAATGAATGTAATTGCATCACGCGAATAGAAACGCTGGCGATTGCACCAGAGAGTCTGGCACCACTGTCCCAATCCCGAACAAAACTCCTTGATGACCTAGGAAACATCCTCAGCAAGATCCGGGGGCTCCTCGAGACAGTCCATATCCAGTTCGAAGAAGAAGTGGAGCTCCAACAACAGCAACGCCAACTCGAGCGGGAACAGCAAATGGAAATACGGCTGCACCAATGGGATCAGGAGCAGGATGATCATGGGAAGGAAGAGATGGAGAAAAATGACGTGGGTGGTGATGATGGAGTAGGGGTACGGCCAAAGGATGCAGTGCTAGCGACCATTGATAGGCTCCATGTCCTGCAACAGACTCAGCAACAACAGAAGCAACAGGAAAAAGGATTGCAGCAACAGGAGACGAGGACAAGGACACCCGTGGCGATTGATATCTTTCAGATGCATGGGCTGATGGATCTGTATGATCGCGAACCCGAAAAGTGCATTGAGCTGTTGAGAGTCGAACATGCTCGTTTGGCGGCCAGGAGGGATGAATTGGAGTTGGAGTATGAGCGGCAACGCACCGCCCTCTTGAAGACCATGCAGCAATGAACCTACAAGGGATCTAATTTCATTAATAAAAATAGGGGTGAGGAAAGAGTGATAGACGCGTTGGCTTCTGCATATATATGGGACATATGAGAGCAGACCTTCCCTGTCCCACTTCTTCCTCTCCGCTCAATCATCTTCTCCCTCCACGCACTTCCCACCCAACTCCTCGTCAACCGAAGACAAGAGTGCAACAGCTCATCGAATCAGGGGGCAGGAAACAACAAGAGTCGGATACGACCAAGAGCAGGACAAGATTCAATACCGTCACCTTTGACATCGTCGCCATCAACAGACAATCAACAACGGTATTCCCCAACAACACATAGCAGCACTAACACACCAGCAACGACTGCAACAGCAACAACAACAAGGTCCATGAGGACTCCTCTTACCAGCCCAGGGCGATCACGACAACGTGATAAATCATGCATGGCAACACCCACGGATGTACTGGATGGTACTGTACACATCCCTCTGGACGGGAGTTGGTTGTCGTGACTCAAGTGAATCGATTTCGATAGTCCGATATGCCATCGCTTTGAGGAATGCAACAAAAAACACCCGGCTTCTCCCAGAGGGTATTTCGATTTCTGTTCATTGATTCAACCGGCTCAATGGGAGTGCCGACATAGTGGCACATAGCAATGGCAATGACAGTAGCAATATAAGGGGTTTCTGTTCTTTTCACTACACCTTGCGGTTGTTGCCCTGAGGTTGCCACTTTACCATTCGAGGGATGGCTCCTGCCTAAAAGGGCTTTTGTTTTTCCACATCTCACCTGTGCTTTGACCCTCCATAGCATATGAGCGTGCGAAAAGAAAAAAAAGGCAAACTGTGATTTATTTACAAGAGCAATTGGGTTAGAGCTGCCAAGACAACACTGCGCAGGACCACAACCTCAACACCTCTAAACAACGCCTGCCACCCTTGCTTCTCCACAATCTCCTTCGCCGCCTCCCATGAACTAGTATACCGTCCTGGTGCAGCAATCATCCTCCGGTTCCCGACCGTCGTCAATGGGTACGTCACCACCGACAACGCCGTCTGTGCGAGGAACACTTGGAGTGGGCTGATGCTGACGGTGCCCGAGGGACCAGCACGGAAGGACTTGAAGGCGTAGATGGTCATCATTCCGAGGCGGGAGATGAACGCTGAGGCGATGAAGGTCGAGAAACCCTTGTAGAGGCCGAGGTAGCCTTCGGAGGAGGCGATAATTTCATGGTAGATTTGGCGGTAGGTTTTATATTTGTGGGAGAGGTCGTAGGTCACCGTTGTGTAGGAGAGTTCTTGGTCGTCATCGTCCTTCTCCTCGGTTGTTATTGATGCCTCTGTAGTTGTTTGGGGTGTTGACTCAGCGACACTGAGAGGTCCTTCGATGATGGGTGTCTTGACTGTGAGGTCCATCTGGTCCTGGTCCTGATCCTGATGGTTGGCCCATTCGGCAGTGTGATCGACCCACTCAACCGAGTCCCGTGAGACCGACTCTGTCGAAGACTCAACATCCACTGGTTTTCCTTCCTTCTCCTTCTCTTCCTTTACAGTAACAAGAGTTGCGGTGGGAACAGGAGCAGGCTTGGCAAATACCTTGTGAACACTCCGGGTCCTCCTCCTAACATCCGTTGCCATCTTGGCATGCAATACCGCCAACGGATACACCACCGCCATCGCTGCCGCTCCTACCAACGTACCCTCCACCGCCGTCGCCAACATCCATCCTGCTCCCATCCCTCCTCCTTGTGCGTTGGGTGGGGTAAGAGACATCCACTTCCGCAGGGCAAACGTTCCTCTCCGGCTCAGTCTCGTCTCAATCGACTTTTGAAGAAAGATCCGTCCCACTTCGACAGAGTAACCCCTCCAGAGAGCCGCGCGGCCTTCTTTCTCGAGTAGACGGTGGTAGCAGTCTTGCATGTCTGTGTACGGTAACTGTGCGTATGGTGCGATAATCGACCGGGGTTCCTCATCATCATCGTCTTGCTCCTCAGTGGTAGTCTTGTTGTTGTCGTTGTTGGTGAGGTTGTAAGGCTTGATATTTGAAGAAGAAGGAGTGTGATGATGGTGGTGGGCGAGAGACTCTTCCCGGAGGTTGAGGACGATTTCGTCTTGGGTCTGGAGGAGGAGGCGGACTCTGTTTGCCGGTGCAGTTGCGACAGTGAGGACGAGGGGGGCGAAGAGGGAAAGGCCTACGATGTGCTGTGAACCTGACATTTTGTTTGTGTGTTTGCTGTGTTTTGTGAGAGGGATGGTATGAAGGGAAGGGGACGTAAAGAGGAAGCGAGATTAAAGGAAGAATAAAAGGCGTGAAAAGAGCGTATTGTTGGTGTTTCTGTGTCTGTGTGTTGTGTGGGAAAAGGGAAGCGGTCATTGCGTCTTATTTATGCGGGGAACAAGCCACATGAGCACTCATCGCAAAAGGAAATTTCGCTCCCCGTCCCTGAAAAAGGAAAAAATTGAACGATGGGAGATGGGCTTGGCTAAGAGAGCACGCGTAACTTGCAATTACTTCCTCCCTTCGGAACCCCGCCAGACCAGGAGTCGTCATCGAGAGAACCGACCAACGAGGAGAAGAACATTCTTGTTCTTTGGCCAGAACAGGAGATTATTCGTTTTCAAGAAAGACAACTTTGTTTGCTTCATTCTTCTTCATCGCTCTCATTTGTTCATTATCCTGTTGTGCACACTGGAGGAAAATATCAGACTGAAAAAGGGAATAATCGCTAGGAACGGGGTTAGGTGAAGCCCGTTCATAATGAAAAGGACAGGCTTTGTGTATGACAACATGCCTGCGAGCAAGTATCCGACACGATAAATACTACTCCAGTTGGTCTTACCAAGGATAGTGCTCTATTTCTATTTTTCTTGTCACTGTGCTAGGATGATGTAAAAAGACCAACGGATTATGTCTACAAATGCTCGAGTTCATGTGTTCATGCCCCGACTTTCCCCGTCGTCAGGTAGAGAACTGGTTGTCATTCTCGCTCTTTCCCTCCCATTAGACAAACAAAGAACAAATAATGGGAGCGATTTAAACTTCAGGCGATTAACTCACTTATAGTTGCACTCTGACAATTACAATCTTAGCCAAAAGAATGTAACACCATTACCGCGACATTCTCTTTTCTCAACGGACAATGCCAATATCTGTCGATGTACGCGATAGATAATGCCCTCCAATTGTCGAGCAATCGGATTCTTATTCATCCGCGCGGATGAACTCTCCCTCGCTTTCCTTTGTCCTTGTTGCCAATCCCTCTCCTCTCTCCCATCTAGCCCTTTCTTTCTTTGCTCACTTTGCTTGCGATGTAACACAAGGAGAATACACCATGCAGCAAAACAGAGAATATTGGTCTCCTCCCAACCTGTCCTTCCTTCCTCTACTCGCACTCTGCTTCACATTTTGTTCCTCTCATCTTTCCTCTCAATCTCCTCTTTTTCTCACATTCCTTCCCCTACTCATCATCTGCCCCGCTTCTCTTTCATCTAATTCACTCATCCAACATCTCGACCACTCCCACATCAGGAACAGAAAAGAATAATCAGTCATGGAAATCAACCCCGCAGTCACTTTTAAGCACGACCGTTCGATTATGTACGCCAAACGACCCAAAGTCCTTATTGTCGGTGCAGGACTGGCTGGACTCACCCTCGGCATGCTCTTGTACAAGGCCGGGATCCCTTTCGAGATCTACGAGCGTGCCGCAAAAGTCAAACCCCTCGGTAACACCTTGTTCCTGGATTACTCTATTGATTCATCACTGATATCTGGTGACTGTATTTGTCTCAGTAGAGCTTCTTTCACCTAACCCCAACCCTCCGTGCTATAGGTTCGGCGATGTACTTCAACTGCACCACCGCCAACCTCTTTAAGCAATGCGGTATTTATGAAGAGTTTGTCGCCCTAGGCAAATACGTCTCTTCTATCAAGATGTGTAACGAGAACCGAGAGCTCGAATTCTCAGTTGACTTCGAAGGGCATGAAGAACTGTAAGAAACTGGCGTCTTTGATTCTTTCTTCTTGAACAACGAACACCTTGAGAATAAGAAACTAACACACGCCTATCGTCTTCTCTAATAGGTATGGTGCCAACGGATACATTGTTTCTCGACCTCTGATTTATGACCTAATCCTCCGCCAGATTCCGGAAGAGCATGTTCACTTGGGAAAGAAAGTCCTCACCATGCAGCAAGGCGGCAACGGCGTCCTTATTCGCTTCAGCGACGGTAGTGAAGCTGAAGGTGACATCCTCGTCGGAGCCGACGGAGCCTACAGTGCTGTTCGTCAAGGGATGTACGAAAAACTAAAGAAGACGAACAAGCTCCCAGCATCTGATGCACTCCCACTTCCCTTCAGTACAGTCCGCCTTGTCGGCCAAACTCATCCTCTTTCTGCTGAAGAGTTCCCTGATCTAACAATCGACAAATCTCAATTCCGCAACTTTATCGCAACTGACAAGATGTACACGGTAACTACTTTTTTTGGATGCGTCCAACCGTGTCCTACCACTCTTTTACCTTATCAACTCTAACGCCTATATCTTGTTCTTGTTATTCAATGCTAGTGGTCCACATCGACAACTGCTCAGAATACCGTGTGCTGGGGTGCGATTCTTTTCCTTGATGAGGAAACCAGCAAGGACAATGACGCCTTCCGTAACTCGGAGTGGGGCCCAGAAGCTGCTGCAGCGATGTGTGAACAAGTCAAGGATTTTCCTATTATCAGCGGAGGCGACAAGATCCTCACTCTTCAAGACTTGATTGATCGTTCTCCCAAGGAGTTTCTCTCCAAGGCCATGCTGGAGGAGAAGGTCTTCAAGACCTGGTTCGATTGTCGCACGGTTCTCATTGGCGATGGTATGTTGTATTTGTCTATTTTCTTTTCACATACATTGTAAGCGACGCAGAACGTCTTCATCTCTAACTTTTTTCTGTGTGGTTTTCTGATTACGCTTTTTCTTTGGATTTTGGATTTTAGCATGCCATAAGGTAGAGGCAACGATTCGTGTTATGAAATGATGAAGCATGTTACCACAGTTACTGAGAAACCACTGTGCTAACTTACCCTATATTTTTCGCACTGTATCATAGTTCAACCCTGCCGGAGGAGTGGGTGCTGCCAACGCCATGCACGATGCCATAGCATTGGCGAACGGCATCAATGGCCTTCCCTTCCACCCTGTTGCTGATGAGATTGAAGCTGTATTCAAGGCCTACAAGGAGGAGCGCATCGATTGGGTTGAGAAGGCATTTGAGAACAGCAAAGCCTTCAGGACCATGGCGGGTCAGGTAAAAGAAAACCTTCTTGTTCTTTACCCCATGAGGTAATGTCTGTGTTGTACAAGGTACAACGACCAGTGACTAATTCTCTTTTTGTTTTTGTCTCGACCCATCTCTAATGTACTTAATAGTCTGTCTCGTCCAAGGTCACTCGATACCTTATGAAGTATATGCCTTCATGGGTCATGGATAGTGTTGCGCGTCGCCAGAATACCAATCGCCCTCAGGCTGCATTTTTGCCTCCAGCTGAGGACAAGGGTACTGTCATGACCGCTCCTCAACCTAGTTTGTCTATCAAGGCTCCTGAGGAGGCCGAACAATCGAAAACAACCCAAGCTGTGTAGAGAGAGAGAGAGAGAGAGAGAGAGAGAGTGAATGGTAGGGAGGAAACGATAGAACGAAAAGGGAAGGACCCGTCCCGGCGGGAAGAAATTCTTCCAATGCAGAATGGAAATCGTAGAAGTATCGCGCGAGTCAGCACCCGGTAAATAACCTGAAAACCAACCGGATGTCTGTTGACAGGAAAGGGTGTTCTAGATGCGCTTGAGAGGGGCTGTTGCTCCTTTTTGTTTTGTTGTGGCTCTATCCGATTCACTCGAACCCAACTGCTTACAATTTTACCCCCTTTCACAAAGTCATTCACTCAAACACAACCCTACCGCGTGGACAATGCAGAAGAAGAACGTGAAAGAGAGAGCAGACGTGTGTAGACAGACACACAACACTAAAACAAACCGCAGGTTTTGGGATGTTTACAATCGCAAAAAAAGAAAAAAAAAGAATTTTCTATTTGTACATCACGTACTTCAATGGTGAGCTGTTCTGGGTATCGACTATCTACACAGCTCTACACAGATTGAGTGGCTGAGATTTCTTCATTTTCTACTGGCGCTTGAACAGACAGACTGGGCTGCTGTGCAGGTCGAACATGACCGGTATCCTCGGTCAGTGGTAAGGACGCTACCTGGGGACGGTAACTGCAAGCCTTTTCCTAGATGCGCTGGAAGAGCCAAGCGGAGATGTGCTTTGCGAAAAATCTGGGGAACTTGGACGCCATCGACTATTATTGTCTCACCAAGACAAAGATGAGAAGAATGAAAAGGGGTGTAAAAACGAACTAGTTAGCACATGCAAGGATACCCAAGGGGTCATAGGACTGATCAATGTGCGCAATTGGTTGCGGGTCCGTCGTTACCTGTCCCATCATAGTTCTGTGCACGTTGCTGGAGTGAAAGACATCTTGCACCCATGAGAAGCGCTCGTCTTGGTATGCCTTGAAAGCAGCCTCGATCCCCTCTGCGACAGGGTGGAAAGGAAGGCCATTGATCAAATTGACCAACACGAATGTATCGTGCATAGCACTGGTTGCCCCGAAACCTCTTTGTGGGTTGAACTAGAAGTAGAAAAAAAGTGACTAAGAACGCAAGGATGCGAGCAAGGTGTGTTCTCGTAGACATCTCACCACCTTTGATTGAATCAGAACAGGTCATACCTTGTGGCACGCTATCTGAGAAGCAAAATAGAATGGTATGGTGAACTCGAAGAAAGGCAGCAACAATCACGGTAACCTTGGACCACCCCTGCCTCTCATCTTACCATCGCCAATGAGGACTGTTCAGCAGTCATCTCTTCCAGCATGACCTCTGTTATCTAATTCTTGGGAGTGCGGTCCATCAAATCCTGGAAGGTAAGGATCCTGTCGCCTCCACTGGTAACAGGAAAATCCTTGATCTTTTCGCACATCGCGGCAGCAGCCTCCGGTCCCCACTCTGAGTTGCGGAATGCATCGTTGTTCTTGCTTGTTTCTTCGTCCAAGAAGAGAATTGAACCCCAGGCGACTGTGCTCTGGGCGGTTGTGAATTAAGACCACTTCCAAGTAGGCGAAGAAAAAAATGAGAGGGGGTTAGGACCGAAGAGCAGGTATGGGGTTGATATCACACATTTTAAAAAAAAACATCTACATGAACTACAGCTTACATAATACCCGTGTCGATTTACTTTCGGAACTGACAATCATGAAGCGCAAGGTCAAGAAACCCTTCGAATGTGAGTGAGTGAGTCTGAGCAACAAGCAAAACAGTACTGAAGGGAAGTGGCAGGGCGTCAGACGGCGGCAGCTTGTTGTCCTTCTTTAACCTTGCATAGAAACTCTGTCGTACCGCATGTAAGCACCATCTGCTCCGACAAGTATATCACCCTCAGCCTCGGTTCCATCGCTAAATCGAACCAAGACCCCGTTGCCTCCATTCTCCATCGACAAGATCTTTTTACCAAAGTGAATGGACTCCCTTGGAACTTGACGGGAGAGCAAATCATAGATCTTGGGTCGACTGATGATGTATCCGTTGGCTCCAAACCTAATTCGATGCAAGGTGAGAGTGTTGAGAGCAGCACAAAGAAAGTGGATTAATGGGAGAGGGAAGGAGCGGGGAGAGAATTCATTGTCTCTTTGGCGGTATCGCTTGTGACCTTGGAAATCTATCTTGTATTGAATCTCACGCTGCTCGTTGCAGACATTGACTGCGGAGACAAACTTGCCAGAAGAGACAAACTCATTATAGATGCCACATTGCTTGAAGAGATTGGCAGTGGTTCCGTGGAAGTACATTGCCGAACCTAACAGAGGAGAGAGGTCGCATCATTCATTTAAACCACAGCAAGACAAATAAAGTCATCAGCCATTGATCAATAACACGTCAGAACTCAGGACAAAGAAAGGGTGTCACTACTTACCGATGGGCTTGACCTCAGAGGCTCGCTCGTAGATCTTATAGGGGATATTGGCCTTGTGAAGAAGCGTGCCGAGGGTCAGTCCTCCCAGACCTGCTCTGACAATAAGGACCTTGGGCCTCTTATTATACATGTGAGCGGTCGTGCTCAAAAGCGACAGCTGGATTGACCTCATTGATTGCGTTGATGAGAGAATGTTGGAATGAGAGAATAAAAGGCGGATGAGGGCGGGAAAGAGGATAAGGATGAGTTTCGAATGCAAGTTGACAAAAAAAAGATAGAAGAGAGTGAGAGAAAACGGGAGAGTAAAGGGAAAAGACACAGAACACCCAGCGGAGTGTGTATTGTTCCCATTCGTTACTTTTGATTGCATGCTGGAGAAGAACCTTCTTCGATGGAGTAACCTTTTGCATTTGTGGTCCCGTTACTTCGTCCCTGTGTTACATTTGTATCCGCTGTCCTCTCTCTGTGTTCATCAAAGATCAACCTTTGTGTTCACAAAAACGATGCCTGTGGAACATCTTCCTCCTTTTCCTCTTTCACCACAAGGGAGTGTCGTCCTGGACAAATAACGACACATAATGTTCCCTCATCGGACCCCGCAAACATCGACAACAGGATAGTGAAGACTAAAGTATATACCTTTAGAAGCAGCAAAATCTCTTGATGGCAACTACCGCTTGGGCCAATCGACAATGTATGGGCAGACACGATGCTCGACTTCAGTTGTCCCAACCTTACTGTACCTTCTCAGTCAAAGTCGTTGTAACAAGGCACCTATGTTTTTTTGTTGTTTTTTCTCACACAGAGAGGAACGATTGTGCTCACCAGAGGAAGACCAAGCCATGAAATCTATGAGCACTTCGTGCGAGAGGTAGAGCCATCCGGAATACAATTGACCGGTTCATATTTGCACGTGCATCCAGCTACGTAGGATTCTTTTACATCGATCGCTTTTTGTTCTTCGGAACAACAGTCGACATACATTATGTACTATGTTACGACCATATCATCCATGGGATGCCAAATACTCAAGAAAGAAAGAAACTAGCACTAGAAACTAGCAATTGAAAAGAGGGTTTGACACTCGTTATCGATGCAATATTGACCCATGATCATTAAACATCTTGGGTGAACGGTAGATTTCGGATCAAGACTTCTCTTCGATTGAGAGCAAAAAAGGCTGAGTTCGTAGCAACGTTGCAAACATACTTGTTGGATTGTACTATCTAGCCCTTGCTGAAAAGAAGATATGTGGACAGGTATCCTTTTCTGAGTACTGACTCGGGCATTGCTATCGCATGCACTTGTATAATACGCCCTTTTCCATTCATGGCCGAATGGTTAAGTCCCTTTGCCCTTTTTGTTTGTGTGGATCTTTCTTATCCGTGTTGTTACATGGTCAACGCCCATCCGTTAGTTTACTGCACGCACACTCACGACGCAATAAATTTCTTAAAAACAAAAAAAAAAAGGTCAACGCCCATCCCACCTCATTTTCCTTTCGCATCTCTCTTTCTCGCTCATCAATTTTATCTTCATCCACTTTTTTCTCCATCCCCCTCCCTGTTCATCCTCGCCACACGACATCGTCTTCCCCTCCCGACATCCTTCATTCTCTCATCTCGCCACTCCGCATCAGGAAAGCAAAAGACATCATGGAGATTAACCCCGCAGTCACTTTTAAGCACGACCGTTCGATTATGTACGCCAAACGACCCAAAGTCCTCATTGTCGGCGCAGGACTGGCTGGACTCACCCTCGGCATGCTCTTGTACAAGGCCGGGATCCCTTTCGAGATCTACGAGCGTGCCGCAAAAGTCAAACCCCTCGGTAACACCTTGTTCCTGGATTACTCTATTGATTCATCACTGATATCTGGTGACTGTATTTGTCTCAGTAGAGCTTCTTTCACCTAACCCCAACCCTCCGTGCTATAGGTTCGGCGATGTACTTCAACTGCACCACCGCCAACCTCTTTAAGCAATGCGGTATTTATGAAGAGTTTGTCGCCCTAGGCAAATACGTCTCTTCTATCAAGATGTGTAACGAGAACCGAGAGCTCGAATTCTCAGTTGACTTCGAAGGACATGAAGAACTGTAAGAAACTGGCGTCTTTGATTCTTTCTTCTTGAACAACGAACACCTTGAGAATAAGAAACTAACACACGCCTATCGTCTTCTCTAATAGGTATGGTGCCAACGGATACATTGTTTCTCGACCTCTGATTTATGACCTAATCCTCCGCCAGATTCCGGAAGAGCATGTTCACTTGGGAAAGAAAGTCCTCACCATGCAGCAAGGCGGCAACGGCGTCCTTATTCGCTTCAGCGACGGTAGTGAAGCTGAAGGTGACATCCTCGTCGGAGCCGACGGAGCCTACAGTGCTGTTCGTCAAGGGATGTACGAAAAACTAAAGAAGACGAACAAGCTCCCAGCATCTGATGCACTCCCACTTCCCTTCAGTACAGTCCGCCTTGTCGGCCAAACTCATCCTCTTTCTGCTGAAGAGTTCCCTGATCTAACAATCGACAAATCTCAATTCCGCAACTTTATCGCAACTGACAAGATGTACACGGTAACTACTTTTTTTGGATGCGTCCAACCGTGTCCTACCACTCTTTTACCTTATCAACTCTAACGCCTATATCTTGTTCTTGTTATTCAATGCTAGTGGTCCACATCGACAACTGCTCAGAATACCGTGTGCTGGGGTGCGATTCTTTTCCTTGATGAGGAAACCAGCAAGGACAATGACGCCTTCCGTAACTCGGAGTGGGGCCCAGAAGCTGCTGCAGCGATGTGTGAACAAGTCAAGGATTTTCCTATTATCAGCGGAGGCGACAAGATCCTCACTCTTCAAGACTTGATTGATCGTTCTCCCAAGGAGTTTCTCTCCAAGGTCATGCTGGAGGAGAAGGTCTTCAAGACCTGGTTCGATTGTCGCACGGTTCTCATTGGCGATGGTATGTTGTATTTGTCTATTTTCTTTTCACATACATTGTAAGCGACGCAGAACGTCTTCATCTCTAACTTTTTTCTGCGTGGTTTTCTGATTATGCTTTTTCTTTGGGTTTTGGATTTTAGCATGCCATAAGGTAGAGGCAACGATTCGTGTTATGAAATGATGAAGCATGTTACCACAGTTACTGAGAAACCACTGTGCTAACTTATCCTGTATTTTTCGCACTGCATCATAGTTCAACCCTGCTGGAGGAGTGGGTGCTGCCAACGCCATTCATGATGCCATAGCGTTGGCGAACGGCATCAATGGACTTCCCTTCCACCCTGTTGCTGATGAGATTGAAGCTGCATTCAGGGCCTACAAGGAGGAGCGCATCGATTGGGTTGAGAAGGCATTTGAGAACAGCAAAGCCTTCAGGACCATGGCAGGCCAGGTAAAAGAAAACCTTCTTGTTCTTTACCCCATGAGGTAATGTCTGTGTTGTACAAGGTACAACGACCAGTGACTAATTCTGCTTTTGTTTTCGTCTCGACCCATCTCTAATGTACATAATAGTCTGTCTCGTCCAAGGTCACCCGGTATCTTGTGAAACATACGCCTCCATGGGTCATGCATAAATTCGAGCGTCGCCAGTTCATCCAACGCCCTCAGGCTGCCTTTTTGCCTCCAGCTGAGGACAAGGGTACTGTCAAGACTGCGCCTCAACCTAGTTTGTCTATCAAGGCTCCTGAGGAGACCGAACAATCGAAAGCAACCCAAGCTGTGTAGAGAGAGAGAAAGAGAGAGAGAGAGAGAGCGAGCATGAGTTTATTTTTTCACTAATGCACTGGACAAGATCGTAGGCACCGGACAAGATCGTAGGCACCGATGAACAATAATACATCCAGATACTAATAACGCATACTTCTCGTGACCTGTCTCCCCAATGGCTTCTGCTACTTCATGTTGTGTGTTCGTCTCTTTTAAAGAGGCCTAATTGAGAGCAATTGCATTCACCAGACAAAGCATGTCCTGTCATAGTATCTGTAGTCCTTGGTATCATGCGTTCGATTTTCACCATGATGATCACAGTTGAACGTCTTGCTGGCGGTTGCAGAGGAAGGCGAGCTGGTGGACGTCTTGTTGCGGCCGCGACGATCCTTGCGAAGGCTAGGGCGGCGACTTGGTCGTTAGTTGTTATTGTTGCCGTATTTATCGTTCTTGGAAGAGGGCACTTCTGGCTTGTCGTCAGAGTCGTCATCGAAGAGACTATATAGTCTCTTGAGCGAGTCATCAGGTCAGTCCATTGTCGTGAGGGCAGTGAGGACATCACTGATCGAGTCCAACTTGACCTGGGACAAGGAGATGCCAGCGTTCTAGAGTGAACTTTTAATGAGGTTCAGCTCCATGAAGGGAATGGCACCCATAATGCCAGAAAGAACGGTAATGCTGTTGTCATCGATTAGGTAAACGCGCACAGAGTGCTGGAGACATAGGGCGAAGTTACGGTAGGACTCCTTGTTGCGACGGTTCGGAAGCGCTTCGTTGGTGTCAAGACACTGTCGATGAATGCGACCACGCACTCCTCCCAAGTAAGGGAGGAACTGTCACGTTGGAGAAGGGTATCGTTGAATTGCTGCCTGATTTGGTCGTCCTGAATGACTACGCGACGCTGCACCGACGAACATGGGTATGTCGCGCGGCTATGCCAAGTTGAACATTTCCGGTTGTGTTTGTCTCTCCTATTCTCATAGAAAAGACCAACGCCACCTCCCGAGTTCCTCCAGACTGCTTTACAAAGGTGTCCATCGAGCAGTCGGAGATGTCCAGATAACGCACATTCTCGTTCATCAACAGCATACTATGTCGTCCCGCCAATACAAAGTGCTCCGGAATCATAATACTGCAACTGTTGACAGATGGCCATCGCGCATAGAGCAAGCACCGGACATACTCCACAACAGCGCAGTAGTTGGCGGCGTTGCTATTTGTTGAAATATTTCGGCCTGAATGGCTCAGCTCCCCGTTTTAATCCCTCTCAACATGCTGGGCGCGAAGGATACCTCTCATAAGACTTTTAGCATACCTTCGTAGAGTTCTCGATGGGTTTGTAGGTTGCCACTGATTGTGAGGTATTGGGCTCTGTTGACTGTGCTTGCTGTAGTTTTTGAATGGTATTCGGGGCAGCATAGCCATGCTCGATTTTCTGTAGGGGTAAGGAGTATGTATTGTGCGCCGGCCATCTGATTGGAGAGACATTCTTCCAACAGCCTCATCCGCGTCCACATCTAAATAATTAAAAAGTAATATTTAAAACCCACATCATTTTACGTATAATTGAGCTTCTAAATTACGTCGAATCAAAAATAGGAACTTGCAACGGGCAAGGTCAATGGTTTCAAAGCTCCCTCGATGGGGACTCGATTTGATTTAACAGAAGGACGGGTCGCATTTCATGTCCATTTCGTGTGTCGTGGGGAGTAGATCTTCTTCGGTTAAGGAGGCGTCGGCTGGGTGGTATTGGTTTGGCATCATTTTGGCAGTGGGAGTTGACTCTGGTAGCCTGCTGGGCTTTGGCTCTGTCAACGTTTGCCCATGTTGGGTTGCTGTGAGTTGAGTGTACGTTGTCAAAGTAGTAGAAAGGGGGGGGGCGAGTTAGGGGGGGCTGAGAAAAAGTAAAAAAGGGGAGGGGTGAAAAGGAAGTGGGGAAAGAGAGAGAGAGAAAGAAAATGAGAGAAAGAGAGACGACTGAAGACAAAATGCAAGGAAAGTGAGCTCCTATATCCACTTTTTTTTTTTTTGAGGCGGAAAGAAAGGATTTGCCTTGATGGGATTATTTTGTGCTATGGTTTTGTTGATTTCGCGAAGTATGGTGTGGATGATATCGCTACTGGATTGAGTGTTTTGGTGTAGAAAAAGGACGGTATTGGCTGTTGAAATACCAATGAGGCAACAAGCCAACCGTTGTGGGATAGTGATGTTGAATTGAGGTTTGATATCAAAGGTTGGAGGTTGGAAAGACAAGACTTTATCAAGGTCATCACCAAACCAAAGTATTTTGGATATGTGTTGCTTGAGGATTGTTTGCCATACAATGTACTTAGGAGCGCACTGAAAGATGTGATTCGCCTTGTCCTCGCGTCGCTCCAGCCATGCTACCTCCTTCCTTGAGCCTTCAATTTTGCATAGACTGCAGCCAATAGAATTGGACCTTCGCTCGCTCGCTTTGCAGCGAAAGAACCATCATACCCCTTAATTCGATCACCCCTCACTCACAGCTCAGGACTTTGCACAACTATGGTGTTATCTCTGTCTGATTCTCCACTCTCCTTACCCTCAATTCCTCTTGCTTGTTCTCCTCCTTTCATCTGTTCATTGCTCCTTTCCCTTGCCTTTCTTTGATCACTCTACTTATATGTTGCCATCATTGTCTCGTATCTCTCAACCTTATAAGGCAACTGCCCATGCTCACAATCTCGTTAATAGTGCAAGTGATTTGTCAGGGTTCCATAGTCGCGTTTCGTCTTGTGCATTATTCTTTTCAGTACACATCCTCACAAACCATCCCCTTGTCCCTGTATTTACAGTCGCACGACGTCCCGAGTCGACTCCAGCTTGACTTACAATTGCACTTTAAGAGAAGTACCCATCTTGTTTGCTGTTTTGTTAATTGTGCATTCTGGAGTGTTTTGCCATTTGCACTTGGGCTCTCTATCGACTCGGACAGCTGGTCCCTCTTACAAAAGAGCGGATGACTGCATCGAGAAGGTTACTATCACAGGGATGCATACTTTGTGTCTCAATAACGTCGCAGATACCTCATTATGGGCGAGAGGGCTGCGACGCCGTGGGTAGTATGTTAGGTAGAGCACAGAAGACCAGCTTGGCCCTCGGAGCCGGAGGGTGCATGTCTTCAGTTTTGCTTAGATTTTTTGTTTCGCGTTATTGTTTATGTGCTTCACATTCAGTGACTATATTTCTAATTGTGCGAGTCCCGATAGATCTCAAGTCGACGCACCCTTTCAGCTCGGCGAAGCTGCCGAACACGTTCTATTTCGTCCGCACACACCCCAATCGATATGATTCAGTCGACTACTTTCGGACATGCAGTGGTCTAAAGGCAGCGGACAGAGGGAAACTCCATGGATACTGGGCCTACGCCTTACGAACCCTTCTAGACTCACCACTACAGAAATTCGGAGACAGTGGCAATAGGCTGCAGGCCACGTGGAGCTCGCCAGACAAGGGTCTGGGAGGATTTTGGGAGGAGCTTGAGAAGGCCGAGTCCGCCAGTGATATCTTGAAATCCTCCAGTGTGAAAATTCGGAAGCGCTCACTCCGGTCCGCAGAGCGGAACATCCTCAGTGCAATTGATGCTATAGATGAAAGTGAATACTTGTACCTTTATTAATACCTGAAAATTAAGTGACATTCGCTGATAATGAATGTACCACTGACCACACGTTCCTTCAACGCTCAGATACCAACAAGAATAGCAGGCTTGGCAAAGGCGACGAGTCCCAGCAGCTGGTAAAGAAAACAAAGAGGCCATCCAGGTTCCGTCCATAAGCGCAAAGCGTCATGTGTGGAGGGCCAAGATGTCAGGATTCAAGCAGCTGAGGTCCAAGATGTCAGGGTTCACGAGGTTCATGACAATGCCGCGGTCTAGGACGAGAAGGGTGATATGCGTCAAGACGATGTCGGAATCAAGGACGATACAAGTCAACAGGATGTCCATGTGGATTCCAAGGAACTCTTGTCACAAAAGTCGACCGAGTCAGAGTGCGAGCTGTCGCGTTCTACCTTTTATCTCACAGGAAACAGCAGCGCGGATTGCTCGGAGGCGCCCTGGACGCCTTGGCTCGTGAACCAACAAGACTTGGCACCGAAGCTGTGGCGATATCGGGAAGCCATTCTTGAAAAGGCTCTACGCCTCGAGCTATTGTGGGATCCACAGAAAAAATGTACGTGAACTCGCGCGATGCATAAATGATTCTTCTTGGACGACTACTATCCAACACGCGCATACGCGCAGCACTTTCCTACTTTGATAGGGTCATCAGTCACATCTATTTTTTCGAAAGAATGACTGGATTGGTTCATTGTTCGCGTCCGTGGGTGCTCAGAATTGGGCGACTATTACATCCTCAACTATTTACCAAATGATGGATGGCCCCGCACTTGCTGACATTGGTCATTGAGATCAACCATCTGGCACATCCTGAAGTTGAAGAGCGAACCTTGGACTGGACCGGTCCTCGTGACGTTAAGAAGACCCTTGCAGGACTACTTGCGGATGATTTCCTGTGGAAGAGACCACCTTTCAACGAGCACGAATTCCTGAGTCACATATTCTACCCCTTGATCAAGTCGATCATCTGCAGCGTGGGCTCCAGTATAGGCAGATGGTTCGTACGAAGCTTGACTGCAAGCAAATCTGGACAGTATAAACAGCCATGCAAGACTATCATTAGCATATTTATTCTTCATAATAAGGGTAGGGCTTTCCCTCCCAGCAAGAAGAGAAAAAGGGATCTCATCGAGGACTCTCGCGGTAGGCGCCCAGACTTCTTTCTACAAACAGCGTTGCCTAGCAAGATGTGCCATCTTTTCTTCATAGAGGGAAAAAGGGAGCATCAAGGCTCGGCGGTTCAGGTCCATCTCGAAAAACTAGCTATGTTAATGAAGGATTATATCGACGACATGCATACCCAAGGCGTTGGCACATCCAAGATTAAGGTGATCGGCTTGGTTACCGCTGGTAAGCATCGTGCCCTTTAGTAGAAAAGCCTTATTGTGCTATGTATCTCTGAATGATTGATGATACCTCGCCCCATTCGATATTTAGGTTCAGAGGAACGATTATACACAATGTGTCTCGAAGCAAGAGGGATCTATGTGATGCGTCTGCTGTCGGTCGTCTATGCACCAAGGCCTCAGTACGATCTCTATGTGATGGCATCAACAATCAACACTTCCATGAACGTGTGGGAGCGACTGCATCGAATCATTTCCGATATATCTTGTGGTCAAGGCGAGGCATTGGATATAACACGTCCTGGGTATCACACGCCTACGCGAGTATATAAAGCCTGATTTCTTCAACCTGTTCTATCGTACTATAAACCCCTTGCACTATTAAAAGGGTCGGATTGGCGACTGGATTCGTCGCACGAATCTGTAATGTGCATTAGACCCAGTTTAGAGGCTTCCTTCGTTTGCAAGTCGTAGCTATAAGGCTAACCATCCCAATAACACTCTTACTCGTATCTGTCTTTGAGTTGCTCTGGAAGACAAAAGCATGTTCGGAAAAAATTCACAGGCCAGGAAGGCATGCACGCGAACAAGGCTGACTCTTTTCCAATCGAGTCTATCACCAGTTCATCTCTCTTCGCCCAAACACACTCACCCAATATCACATCCTCCCTGCCTCTCACCCCTCCTGTCGAAATCTTTCATTGATTCCCTCACCTTCATCGTCCCCCTTCTTTATATATTTACGCCTCAATTATTTCTTGTCAATCCAATCGTTTTAATTTTGACATTTTCCTGATCGTGCGCCAGACTTGAGCGGGTAAGGGCTAGTGTTTTGCGCTCACTCTTTAAGAACGCTTCAAGAACGAAGACAAAAAAAGTGTTGTCCTACAACAGTGGAAGAACGTGAAAGAGAGAGCAGACGTGTGTGGACAGACACACAACACTAAAACAAACCACAGGTTTTGTGATATTTACAATCACAACAAGAATTTTCTGTTTGGGGCATCACGTACACAGCTCTACACAGATTGAGTGGCTGAGATTTCCTCGTTTTCTACTGGCGCTTCAACAGACAGACTGGGCTGCTGTGCAGATCGAACACGACCGGTATCTTTGATCAGTGGCAAGAACGCTACCTGAGGACGGTAACTGCAAGTCTTTTCCTGGAAGCGCTGGAAGAGTCAAGCGGGGATGTGTTTTGCGAAAAATCTGGGGAACTTGGACGCCATCGACTATTGCTGTTTCACCAAGACAAAGATGAGAAGAATGAAAAAGGGTGTAAAAACGAACTAGTTAACACATGCGAGAATACCCAAGGGGTCATAGAACTGATCAATGTGCGCAATTGGTTGCGGGTCCATCGTTACCTGTCCCATCATAATTCTGTGCACGTTGCTGGAGTCAAAAGCCTCCTGGAAACGCAGTTTGAGGCGGGACGGATCCTGTCGTGATCATGAATAAGGGTTTTTTTTGGATACCATGTAATATTATTGACTCGTTGGTATTGCACAGTAATCTTCTGGTTAAGAGTGCAAATATTACAGAATGAGGGGTGGTGGTTACAGAGGAAGGTGCCAAAAATGGCAGGCTGCATAAGTGAGCAAGAACAACAAGTTGACCAGAAGAATCGGCGTTTGTGACAATGGATAATGAAAATTATTGCGACATGTAGATCAAAACAGAGTTTTGTCCACACCGCCCTTTCATACCCACTAACCCGACTGCTCATTTTGCTTTGTCCATAGTATGAGAGATAACGGGTGAGTGAGAATGGGGTGCAAGAGACGAACTCGTCCGCCAAGCGAGCAAGCCGTATCAGTATATAGCAAACTTTACACCTTGCCAGCAATCATGTCCTAACGTAAGGTAGACCATAATCGTGAATCAATGACCCTCAGGTCTTTCTTGTCATTTCACTCTAGTGTATTCGCCTGGCAAGAGATTTAACGATGGTTTATTAAAGATTATTATAAGGTATCATTCGTATCAGCGCTAACAGGGTAACAAGCGGATGGCAATTGGAGTACTTAAATAGCAGCAGCGGCCACTGGCGTAGAATCAACCTTCTCCACGTTATTCTTGGAGTCGTCGGGTGACATGACAGATAAACTAGGCTGAGGCGCAGGTCGAACTCGACCAGTATCCTCGACAAGAGGCAAGAACGCCACTTGGGGGCGGTAGCCTGTAGTCTGGATTTGGACCCGATGGAACACCCACTGGGGCATGTTCTTCACGCAAAATCGAACCACCTTTGCCATCGTTTTCTTAGTGAGATAAAGAGATAGAGAGAGAGAGGGATGAAAATAATACAATGTAATGCATATTGGTCAGCAATAAATCTATTCCACAAAAACACGAAGACACAACGCTCTCGGTTTCTTTTCCCAAAATGGTTTGGGGGAGATGTACCTGGCCAGCCATGGCTTTAAAAATCTTGCTCGATTCATAGGCATCCATGACCCTGTGGTAACGTTCACGCTTATAGGCCATAAAAGCTGCCTCGATCTCACTAGCGATGGGGTGGAAGGGGAGACCGTTGATCAAGTTGGCCAGGACGAGGGCGTCGTGCATGGCGTTGGATGCACCCACTCCTCCTGCTGGGTTGAACTGGCAAAACAAAATGAACGGTAACAATGGAGCGTCGGTGTTAATATAGGGTCAAATGGTTCTGTAAAAGCAGAAAAGGTCGTCGGCTATGAGATACATCAATTCTTTACCTTGTGGCAAGCTAGAGTGGTAAGTCGACAGACAGACACAAGAAAGCGGCGAGGGAGACCGTTAGAAAGCGTTCAAAAAAGTGGCCATGCTCCATCCAGTCTTTCCAAACTATAACTTACCATCGCCAATGAGCACGGTGCGGCAGTCGAACCAAGTCTTGAAGACCTTCTCCTCCTGCATCGCCTTGGACATGAATTCCTTGGGGGTCCAGTCAATCAAATCTCCAAGCGTCAGTTTCTTGTTGCCACCACTCACAACAGGGAAATCGCGGACCTGTGCGGCCATCGCTGCTGCAGCCTCGGGACCCCATTCCGAGTTACGAAAGGCGTCGTTCTCCTTGCTTGATTCATCGTCGAGATATTGAACACAAATCCAACAGACTGTCCCTTGCTTTGTCGTGAACGTCGACCACTAGCACGGTAGAAACACAATTGAGATATTTCCTCCAGTGTCAGTTGACATTCCACAAAAAATATACCGAAAATCAGGAAATGAAACATAAAGAAAGGAGACACAGTAAGGAAACAGAGGCTTACAGCATAGGGTCGGTTGTCCCCAACAACGTTACGGAACTGACATTCCTCCAATGCAATATCGGGGAACTCGTCAGGGGTGAGAACACGAGTCTGGCCAACGAGACAGACAGTGCTGAAAGGAAGGGGCTGCGAATCAAAGTTTGGGAGGGTATTCGCCTTCTTCATCTTGGCGTAGAGACACTGACGCACAGCACTGTAAGCGCCATCTGCTCCGACAAGGATATCACCCTCAGCCTCGGTTCCATCGCTAAATCGAATCAAGACCCCGTTGCCTCCATTCTCCATCGACAAGACCTTTTTGCCAAAGTGAATGTGCTCCTTGGGAACTTGACGGGCGAACAAATCATAGATCTTCGGTCGACTGATGATGTATCCGTTGGCTCCAAACCTAATTCGATGCAAGGTTGAAGAGTGTTGTGAGTAGCGCAAAGAAAGTCACCTAAACATGAGAAAATGGAAAGAGGGAAGAGCGGGGAGGGAATTGATAGTCTCTTTGGCGGTATCGCTTTATAAATCCATCGATTAACCTACAGTTCATTGTGACCTTGGAAATCTATCTTGTATTGAATCTCACGCTGCTCGTTGCAGACATTGATTGCGGAGACAAACTTGCCAGAAGAGACAAACTCATCATAGATGCCACATTGCTTGAAGAGATTGGCAGTGGTTCCATGGAAATACATTGCCAAACCTAACAGAGGAGAGAGGTCGCATCATTCATTTAAACCACAGCAAGACAAATAAAGTCATCAGCCATTGATCAATAACACGTCAGAACTCAGGACAAAGAAAGGGTGTCACTACTTACCGATGGGCTTGACCTCAGAGGCTCGCTCGTAGATCTTAAAGGGGATATTGGCCTTGTGAAGAAGCGTGCCGAGGGTCAGTCCTCCCAGACCTGCTCCAACAATAAGGACCTTGGGTCGTTTGGCGTACATAATCGAACGGTCGTGCTTAAAAGTGACTGCGGGGTTGATCTCCATGGTGATGTTCTTGGTTGGGTGAATGTAGCGATGTCGTGATGAACGAAAAAAGTAGATGAGGGTTGAAATGAGAGATGAGATTTAGAAAAAAAGAGGAAAAGTGGGGAAAAGGAGAGAGAGAGAGAGAGAGAGAGAGAGAGAGAGAGAGAGAGAGAGAGAGAGAGAGAGAGAGAGAGAGAGAGATTGGCATCAAAAGAAAAGAGTGAAGGTGGAGACACAAAGAAGAGATTCTTATCGACATGGTTCACTAGGATTTTTTTCTTCTTGTGCTACGATAATACATATGCCAATGGATTCGCAGGAGGGAGGGATGTGAACACAAGACAAGAGCTATGGTAATACAGGGAAGGAAGGAGGATACGACAATGCTTGACATGTGCGAACGATCTGCGTAAAGGGGTGGAGAATCTACTTCAGTGAAGAGGGGAGACTTTTTTACGAGAATCCGTACTTCCGTGAAAAAAGGGAGCATGGCAAGCATAGCAAACATAGTCGCTGTGTAGCTCGCTCAAGCCAACCACACCCTCCTCGTCTCTCGTGAATTGTTGTAAGCCGATGGAAGAACAGGAATTATCCAATTGACTAGTCCCTGTGCTGGGTTGGTCTCTGTTCGCTCTGTTCTGTTTGTTCCCCTTTAACTCAGAAGCAGAAGTGCTCTCATTTTATTAATCGTGAACATAAACTAACGGGAAAGAAAACGGTGAAAAACGGAGATGCATGTGTTATTGTTGTTCGCGTATCTTTTTTATTGTGGTTCTTTGTGCAGAGTATCATCCTCGTGGGAGCGGGTATGGTTGAACTATCCTTGCATCTCATACAGCAGCGACAGGCTGCTCTGACGATCCGTCCGCCTGTATTCTCGCTTGAGGTCCCTTAATATACAAACTGTGTGCGTGAGAAAATGATCAAGTCAATATCAAACACTGTGACGAACGTCCATCACTCAATTCTGCTAACGTACCATCACCCAGGAGGACTGTCCCTCAGTCGTGCCAGGCCTTGAAGGCCTTCTCAAGCATGATATTGGGGACCTGGTTCTGAGGAGTATGCTCCATCAAGCCTCTTAATGTCTTGATTTTGTCGCCTCCATTGATAACAGGGAAATCCTTGACCTTCCTGTACATTACTATCGCTGCCTCTGGACCTCACTCGGACGACTGGAACGCATCGATTTCGTTGCTTGTTTTTTCGTCAAGGTAGAGAACTGATCCTCAACAGATGGTATTCTGGCATATTTTTCAGTGTATATCACTATATGTGGTGAGGCAACAATGGAATATGTGGTGAAGCAACAATGGAATAGGTGATTAGATACGTACGAAAACAGCTAGTGAGGTGCTCAACAATAAAGCTTTCATTTGTTTTTGTATTACAGTATTTCCGGAACTGGCTTTCGTCTAGTTCAAGTAGGGCATGCGACGATCGTGCTGATGTAGACATTCTCTGGGGTAGTACTTGTGGTAATCCTTTACCTGACTCTCGATCTTCGGCGCCGAAACTACGGTGAGCGCGCCTTTCCAACCCCCGTCAGAAAAAGATGACGATCTTTGATGCAACTTCATCCGAACGAAAACAAGCATTGTCCTACGACCGTCGATCTGAATGAAAAAACCATGACTGGTCCCTATGACTTAGACTTGGGGATGAGAAATGGGGGCCACAGCCTTGTTGTTTCAGAGTTGATTGGTGATGGGCATGAGCCTCCATAAACTCTTCCATCGACGTATTCTTTGTGGATCATTCTATGCTCGAGTCCAGATTCCTTCCAGCCAGCAATCTCGGAGATTGTGAGCTGATTCGCCACTCAGATAGAGGTTGCGCTGGAGGGTCTCGCTGAAGACGCTCATCATGGAGTGTTTAAACATACTCCTTGGCCCGGAACCGATGTCGATGCCGCCCTTTAGCCTTCCTGGAGTGTGGAGATATAGTGATAGAGTAGATTTCCATAACCCTTACTGACGAACGACCCATCTAAGACAGTGACTACGTATCCTGGGATGATGAACAATGGCAACGGTTTTTTCGAGGTTCAGATGTGATTTATGTAAAGTCAGAATTTACTGCAATGTCGCGTTTATTTAAAAGAGCATTACTTCCGCTGCTTTGTCAGTTTTGATTTTTTGCCCACCGTACCAGACGAGCCCACATGTTCATGTACTCGCTTGACGCCTTTTACACTATTGTGCAAGTCCACCACTCCCCCAGACACAAAATACCCTATATTGCTCCCATCAATAATCATAAGGAGCTGCATCAACGGCATGTCACTATCCTTGACGACATGGTTATGGTCCTCTCCAATCTCAGGCTCCGAATCCCAAAGGTTGCCACTACTCCAGCCCTCGCGCGACGTCTTGACAATCTCACGGTAGGCGTAGATCAAGCTCAGGTACTTTCCACCAGGGCAGTACTTGGCCAGGTTTGGTAGAAAAGCCTTGATCCTAGTCTCATGTACTGCCAGTCGAGCTTCCTCCACGGCTCCTGGAGTGATATCGCGAAGGAGCTTGCTATGGACAACACAGGGTAGAGCTGATCATCGATTCGCAGCACAAAGACGATATCCGGGCCTGACGGAGACGGCTCTGGGTAGTAAAAAGGTGACACTATGGAGTTGCCTCTCCTCGAGCCATGCTCGTAGTGCGCCTCGAAAAAATCGCCCATGGTCAAGGTTTCCTTGTTTAGAACTCCCAACTCACAATTTTCCCATCCGACAATCGTTGCTGGGTGCTCGAAAAAACGCTTGAGAAAAGTGACAGGCTCAAACAGTGGGATAAGGGTCTTGAGTTTCGTGGTGCGCCGGTGCTCGGCGGCATTGGGGACTGAGAACAGCTCTTGCTTGAGTTGTTTCTCGTGAAAAGCGTAGATCAGGTCAAGGGGTGCTTAAGGCTCAAAGATCTCCCATTCCGATTGTGGATCCTGTAAGTCTTCGTATTGCTCCTTGAAGTGTTTGTAGAACCCTTTGTCCTCCTTCCGGATGAAGCTGTAGGCGGCTTGGAATACGAATGGCTCGCCAGTAATTGTGCTGATCGTCTCCTCAGCTGCAGTCTTGTCAGCAGCAATGCGGAGACGGCTGAGAGCGCTCTCGACCAAGATCGGTTCCTCTCCTCTCAAGCTCCATGGCAGTCCCAGTGAGGCTCGATAAATAACAGTCTGCTTGAGGACGTGCTTGAGTTCGACGGTTTCCGCGTACTTGGTTGGGTTCTTGGCAACTCTGTCGAGCATCGTTTTGATATCCGAACAAAGATTCCCGCGCATTGGCAACTGCTCGGGATAGCATACCAGTGCGTTGAATCTATGTTCGATAGCCTCACTCCAGTACGACGTGGATCCTTTGGCGATGATATCCTCGAATTATCGTGACGATTGGACGGAGCCGACCTCGAAGCTTGTAAAACAAATCCCGGACAGCTGCCTCCGATATCAAGGTATGAAGCCTTGCGCTGTCGTCCTCGCTCATCGCACCTCCGAGATTGTTGAAGTACATAGCAACTTAGTCCTCCGTTTCCCAGCCTGCAAAGTCGACGATTCGGCGATCAATTTGATCCAGGTTGCCTGCAATCCCACCGGAGTTCGCCATGACTTCGAGTTCGTCTGCACCAATGCCTGTGCCACAAGTCACCACACAGTAGTCTCCCGTACTTCCTGAAATGCTCCTGAGCCCATGGATTATAGGCGAGAGGATTGACCTCAGATCACCGGGATCCGCGTGCGACACGAAGCATTCCTTCCCATGATTGCTCAGGGTCTGCGCTTCGTCAAGGACAACGAGAATCTTGTTCGTAGGAGAATTGAAGGTGAACGAGGAGAGCTGGTCTTGAACCTGATGAAATCGATCCTGTAATGGACGCTCCAGGCTGGCGAATGGAATACATGGCGTCTGATAGTGGTAGGCGTCTAGTGTAGCCTTGAAGACAACATCAAAGACATCCGGTACAGTGGCGTCAAATGCTCCAGGGCAAACTTGGAGCAACATCCACCGATCGCAGGTAAATGTATCACGACGACCGAAGCTCAGGCAGTATCGTAGGACCGTAAGACGTGAAATAAGAAGGCAGCCTGTAATCGCCATAATGTCGAGGCCATTCTGCTCCTTATCGGAGGAGAAATATTGAGACAGCCTTTTCCGTGCTGACTCGAACAAAGTAGTAACATCGTTTGGACCTCTGTCCGCCTGACTGCCATTCAGATAGAACCCCCAGTTCTGCGCAAGCATTTCTACGACAGCTCGCGTCTTCCCACAGCCACTCACGCCGAAGAAGGTGATGAGATCGTAGTTTTGGTATTTCTTGATCGTTTTTAGGGCTGCCCCTGAGGGAGGTGTCTTTGTCGTACGATGTGGTCGCTCTGGGTGCAAAAGGTACAGAGCAGGCTGGGGTGTATCCTCGCTGAAATAGCTCGATCGAAGCCAAGATTTTGGTAGGCCCTTAACACAGCAATTTGCATCAGGGATGGAGAGGTCGCCCTTCACGAACGAATGAAGGAAGCGTGAAATCGCAGTGTCCGCATGGAAGATATCCTTCTCGAGCCTATTTAAATGCGTGTTGACTAACAATGAGCGCAAGGCATTAGCAGTAAATTCATAGCCATAACGGGAGCGCACATTTGGAAGGATATGTCAGCCACTTACAGGTTTCTTCTGGCAGCCTTGGTGATCCTGGCGGTGACTTTCGGGCAGATTCATTTGAAAAGTGGCCAGAGAGAGGAAGAGTGGAGTCTCGGACAAGAACTGGTGCATGGACCATCTCAGTACAGTAAGATAAGGACACGTAGATGAGGTAAGTCCAGGGAACATATTTTACCTACAAGTTGTCAATGAAAGAGAGCAAACGCGAGTGCATTACCTGTCGGGGGTCGCCGGACAAAGATGGACGTGTTATCTTCGGGACTCTTGGGAAACAGCTCGATGAGGCGTTTCCTCGGATTGTCTAGCTCAGACTAGTTGTCGTCGTCAAGAGCATCAACTGTGATGGCAGAATGCAGATTGCCGGCGGGGATGACAACACGCCAGAGGGTAAGATTCTTAGCATCAACTCCGATGAACGTGTGAAGATTCTTGGTCCAGATTTGATCCTTGAGATGGCCGATTGTCATGGACGACCAAATATCGACAGGGAACTCGGTAGCCTCTCTATCAACGCGACAAAATAGGGTCAGAAGGTAGAGTCGGTCATGATGCTGCGAAGTATTAGTGAAATTGAAGTGATGAGGGCTGGAAGGCACGGGATGCAAGCTTAGGGGGGAACGAAAAAAAGGCGAAAAGGATGAAAGAGGGAAGGGATTAAAAGGGCGTGGGAACGGCGGGAAAGGCGAGGAAGGTGTGGAAATAGTGGCAATAAGAGCGAGAGTGGAAACAAACGGAAAGTGAAGTCGAGAAAGGAATCGAGTGATGGCAAAGGCGACGAAGAAAGCGCGGTGAGGTAAGGCAATGAAAGTGAACCTTTTTTTCCTCACACAGAGTTCTGAGTCTGTGAGCACTTTGTCACGTGCATCCAGTTATGTGCGGGGGGGAGAGTTGCCAGGAGATGGGAAGGCGGTAGCTGGGTCTTCCTCCATTCTGGAGGACCTAGTGTCGGATCCAGGGGTTTGGGTCACTTCGTTGATTGCTTGGTTTGACATGTTGTTGCTGTTGATGTTGTTGTCGCTATCGCTGGTGATAAATGAAAACTCTCAGAAGGAGGGAAAAAAGGTTCATATTTAATATCCATCTGTTGTGTGTCTGCTTACTTGCCTGCCCGGTGTTCAGGCTCTCTTTTTCTAGAAGGGACTTTACTTAAGTGGTGGTAGACGAAACCACCACAGTTACAAGTTTACAGCAACGGTCGACACACTTTGTGTACTGTGTTATGACCATATCATCCATGGGATTGAAGAGAGGGGCTGATATTCCTTATCCATACAGTATTGAGCCATTCAGAGCAAGAATTTTCCTTCTCGACTCTCCTTTCGGGGACTCTCAGAGAAGTAAAAAGGATTGAGAGCAGTGGCTCAAAAGACTGAGGTCGTACTTTCGTGGTACCTTGCAAACATACCTGTTAGATTATACATTATGTAGCCATTGCTGAAAGGAAGATATGTGGACAGGTATCCTTTTCTGGGTACTGACTCGGGCATTGCTGTCGCATGCACTTGTATAATACACGTTTTTCCACTCATGGCCGAATGGTTATCCCATACAAGCCCGTCATACATAGTTGATTCTACAAAAGCTTGTTTTTGTTCCTCTTATCCGTTTTGTTGACAACAACATGAGAGAGCTCTTGCTCTCCCTCTTGCCACTCCCTCTCTTGCTTGCCTCTCCCTCTCTTGCTTGCCTCTCCCTCTTTCCTCAACACCCACCCCATCTATTTTTCCATCTATCTTCCCCACTCATCAATTTTTTCTTCATCCACTTTTTTCTCCATCCCCCTCCCTGTTCATCCTCGCCACACGACATCGTCTTCCCCTCCCGACATCCTTCATTCTCTCATCTCGCCACTCCGCATCAGGAAAGCAAAAGACATCATGGAGATTAACCCCGCAGTCACTTTTAAGCACGACCGTTCGATTATGTACGCCAAACGACCCAAAGTCCTTATTGTCGGTGCAGGTCTGGCTGGACTCACCCTCGGCATGCTCTTGCACAAGGCCGGGATCCCTTTCGAGATCTACGAGCGTGCCGCAAAAGTCAAACCCCTCGGTAACACCCTGTTCCTGGATTACTCTTTTGATTCATCACTGATATCTGGTGACTCTATTTGTCTCAGTAGAGCTTCTTTCACCTAACCCCAACCCTCCGTGCTGTAGGTTCGGCGATGTACTTCAGCAGCACCACCGCTAACATCTTTAGGCAGTGCGGTATTTATGAAGAGTTTGTCTCCCTTGGCAAATACGTCTCTTCTATCAAGATGTATAACGAGGACCGAAAGCTCGAATTTTCAATTGATTTCGAAGGGCATGAAGAAATGTGAGAAACTGGCGTCTTTTTGATCTCCTCTTCTTGAAGTAAGAACGCCTTGAGAATAAGAAACTAACATAGGACTCTCGTCTTCCCTAATAGGTACGGTGCCAACGGATACATTGTTTCTCGACCTCTGATTTATGACCTAATCCTCCGCCAGATTCCGGAGGAGCATGTTCACTTGGGAAAGAAGGTCCTCACCATGCAGCAAGGCGGCAACGGCGTCCTTATTCGCTTCAGCGACGGTAGTGAAGCTGAAGGTGACATCCTCGTCGGAGCCGACGGAGCCTACAGTGCTGTTCGTCAAGGGATGTACGAAAAACTGAAGAAGACGAACAAGCTCCCAGCATCTGATTCCCTCCCACTTCCCTTCAGCACAGTCTGCCTTCTCGGTCAAACTCGCCCTCTTTCTGCTGAAGAGTTCCCTGATCTAACAATCGACAAGTCCCAGTTCTGCAACTTTATCGCAACTGACAAGATGTACACGGTAACTACTTTTCTTGGATACATCCAACCGTGTCCTACCACTCTTTTACCTTATCAACTCTAACGCTTACATCTTGTTCTTATTAATCACTGTTAGTGGTCCACATCAACAACTGCCCAGAATACCGTGTGTTGGGCTGCCATTCTCTTCCTTGACGAAGAAACCAGCAAGGATAATGACTCTTTCCGTAACTCGGAGTGGGGCCAAGAGGCTGCTGCAGCGATGTGTGAGCAAGTCAAGGATTTTCCTGTCACCAGTGGAGGCGACAAGATCCTCACTCTTCAAGACTTGATTGATCGTTCTCCCAAGGAGTTGATCTCCAAGGTCATGCTGGAGGAGAAGGTCTTCAAGACCTGGTTCGACTGTCGCACGGTTCTCATTGGCGATGGTATGTTATATTTTGTCTGGTTTTCCTTTCACATACTTATAAGCGACCACGAAATATGCAGAACGTCTTCCTCTCTAACTTTTTTCTGTGTGGTTTTCTGATTATGCTTTTTCTTTGGATTTGGATTTTAGCATGCCACAAGGTAGAGGCAACGATTGGTGTTATGAAATGATGAAGCATGTTACCACAGTTACTGTGAAACCATTGTGCTAACTTATCCTATATTTTTCGCACTGCATCATAGTTCAACCCTGCTGGAGGAGTGGGTGCTGCCAATGCCATTCATGATGCCATAGCGTTGGCGAACGGCATCAATGGACTTCCCTTCCACCCTGTTGCTGATGAGATTGAAGCTGCATTCAGGGCCTACAAGAAGGAGCGCATCGACTGGGTCGAGAAGGCATTCGATCACAGCAAGGTCTTCAGGACCATGGCAGGCCAGGTAAAAGAAAACCTTCTTGTTCTTTACCCCATGCGACAAAGTATGTGTTATACAAGGCACGACGACCAGTGATTAATTCTCTTTTTGTTTTCGTCTCGGTCCATCTCTAATGTACATAATAGTCTGTCTCGTCCAAGGTCACTCGGTATTTTGTGAAGAATACGCCTCCATGGGTCATGCATAAGGTTGAGCGTCGCCAAAATACCCATCGCCCTCAGGCCGCCTTTTTGCCTCCAGCTGAGGACAAGGGTATTGTTAGGCCTGCTCCACAGCCTAGTTTGTCTATCAAGGCTCCTGAGGAGACCGAAGAATCGAAAGCAACCCAAATTGTGTAGAGATAGAGAGAGCGAGAGCGAGGGAGAAAGAGAGTAAGCGTTTATTTTTACCCTAATGCGCTGGACATGATCATGGGCACCGGATAAGGTCGTAGGCACCGATGAACAATAATACATCCAGATATTAAAGACACACACTTCTCGCAGGCTGTCTCCCCAATGGTTTCTGCTACTTCATGTTGTATGCTCCCTTCTTTTAAAGAGGTCTAACTGTGAGCAACTGCTTTCACCAGTGCATGGTAAAGGAGAGCGACGAAAACCTATTGTACCCTGAAACATAAACGACAGCGCACTCTCTTCCCTTCCTAGTCGAATTAGAGTTTCCCGTCGTCCTTATTTGCAAAATGCATACCCATATCATTGGTAAGAAATAGAGTTGGCACCGTTCTCCACCCGCCGCACCTCTCTTTCGTTCATCTACATTTTTTCCTTTCTCATTTACATCACTCCTCTCTCTTGCATTCATCCCCTAATTACATTTCGGGATCGCAACTTAATTACACATCGGGAAAACCATCGCAGCAACCACAGCTCATCTCAATCAGTACCCGGCCGTCCCAAGGCCCCTATCATCGGAGCGGGGCTGGCTGGACTCACCCCCGGGATGCACCTGCACAAGGCCGGCATCCCCTTTGAGATCTACGAACGAGCTACTATTGTTAAGCCCCTCGGTAGGTTCTCATGTAGATACACCCCCTTCCCAGTGACCATTCCTGAATTTGAACGTCCCTGCCCGTCTCACTTTTCCTCGTCCAATTTCTGAGGTACGAACCATATCCTTTGGATGTATGTTACCCAGGATCGGCGATGTACCTCACTGCACGATAGCCAACCTCTTCAGACAATGTGGGATCTACGATGAGTTAGTCTCTCTCGGTAATACGTGTCGTCGATCAAGATGTGCAGCGAAGGCCGGGAAGTCGACATGATGTTCTGCAGGTGAAACCTTCTGTCGAAATAGGTGTGTGAAAAAAGTGACTCGCCTTTGACCTTTGGTCTTTTTAGTTCTTGCTCGCCCACAGGTGCATGGCCTGTAAGATGAGGGCAAGCTTCTTCCCTCAGACGACCTCACTCTTCCTTTCACCACTGTATGCATTCTTGCACAGACTCGCCCTCTCACACCAGAAGAGTTTCCCGATTTTGCACAGGAGGAGAGTCAGTTCCACAACTTCATCGCCACTGATAAGACGTACGCGATGAGAGGAATGAATGTAAGTAACAATGCATGTTATTAATTGCAACCTAATTTTCTGATGTACACCTTCTATGTCTTCCTCCAACGTTTATTAGTGGTCAACGCTTACCTCCGCGCAAAATACCGTGTGTTGGGGCTCTATTCTCTTCCTGGACGAAGAATTGAGCAAGGAGGACAAATTCTTCAACAACTCGGATTGGGACAGGAGGCAGCGATGGCGATGTGCAAGGAGGTCAAGGATTTCCTATCATTGGAGGAGGCAACAGGAAACTGAAGCTTAAGGATTTGATGGATTTGGCGCCTAACGGTCAGATCTCGAAGGTCATGCTCGAGGAAAAGGATTTTGGGGCCTGGTACAGCGGATTGACAGTTCTTGTGGGAGATGGCATGTTGTACGCTTTTGGGCCATTCATGAAAGAGAAACATGTGCAAGGCTAGAGGCCGTTATCTGGCTTTCTAATCCACAGTTGCCTTCTTCGTTTACTTCTTATTCATTGCCGTAGCATGCCTCAAAGTATAGTTTGTCTGTCTTTCACGTGGAATGTATTGCGTATCAATCGTTCAAACAGTAATAACACTTTCTCTCCTTCGTTTTTTTAATATTGTTGTACACTCTTTAGCTTAACCCTGTTGGGGGTGTTGGAGCCGCTAACGCTATGCACGATGTCATCGAACTGGCCTGCCGTATCAACGGTCTCCCATTGCACTCCACCGTCAACGATATCGAGGACGCTTTCAAGGCCTACAAAAGCGAGCGCATTGGTTGGAGCGCAATGGTTGGGTTACCAAGGCTTTCGAGAACAGCAAGGTTTTCGGACCATGGTCGGCCAGGTGAAATCTTTCCCCAGTGATTGATCCTAACTTTGCCTGTTTGTTTGCTCTTCTTCTTTCGATTATGTTGGGATACCCAGTCCACATCATCAAACATCACCTGATTCATTGCCAAGCATACTCCTCAATGGGTGATGCTGAAGATTGAACGGTGCCAGTATATACACCGTCCTCAGGTAGCATTCTTGCCGCTGCATGAATACAAAGGTAGTGTTTCAACGACTCCACGAGCCAGCTTGGCCATCAAGATCCCTGTCGAGACCGAGAGCTCAACAGTGAGCCAAGCTTTGTAGAGTGTGCGGACATTTTTAGATGTCTTTTAAGTTCGCCAGAGTTGTTTCGTTTAGTCTTGTTATATCCTATATCCAATAGTAAAAGGTCCAAGGTCCTTCGTATTGCAACCGGTCGGATGTTACTCTCAGCGCCTTTTATTCTTTTTTTCTCTCCAAGGTGCATGCCCATGCATGTCAATGCTACCTCACAAGTTGTGCATAGTCGTTACTTACTAGCACCTTGAACTGCGAACACGTGTGTGTGTGGGGGGGGGGGGGGGGGGAGATGCCTGTTAAACTTGACAAGAAATGAGAGCAATTGAGGTGGGTGGGCTAAGTTCATCGCACAACCCAATTGTGGAAATGGCGCAAGTCTGTTTGTTAACGTTCGGTTTCTTGAAGGTGCTGGTCCGAGCAAACTACGCCTTTTGCCTTCCCTCGTCCATTGACGAAAGAAGGATGTGAAGAGACAGCCCCTCTCTTTGACCTAGATTCTCGACCCTCCTCCTGGCAACCATTCGCCGTTGTCCAGAAATTTACTCTCCTCTGTAGTACTCCTCTCGTACTCCCATCTTCTATCACTCCCTCTGTCGCCCTTGGGCTCATTTTTGTTTGTTAATACATTCATTCGCAGAATGTGTCCTTGTCGCACAAATGCGAATTACAAAAGTAAGACAGGGAGAGAGAGAGAAATATGTTTACTTTTTCCCTCCACTCTTTTTCTTTTCTCAGCATCTCTCTTTTTGTGCATCATCTTTTTGTCATCACCATCTCCTCTTCCTTTTGGTCGCCTCCATCCTTCCATTCAGAAACCACATCACCTTCTCTTCAATCTTCCATCTCGACTTTTCCACATCAGCACACCATGGAGATCAACCCAGCTGTCACCTTTAAACACGACCGTTCTATCATGTACGCCAAACGGCCCAAGGTCCTTATTGTAGGAGCTGGTCTGGGGGGACTTACCCTGGGTATGCTCCTTCACAAGGCCGATATCCCTTTTGATATCTACGACAAAGTTCCAGAGATCAAACCCCTCGGTAAGATCGTTGTTCTTTGGATCCTTCTATTCGATTGGCCCCTGATGACCGATGACTGATATGATGACCTTAAAAGTCTCACCAGAGGCTTGAAACACTCATATCCGCTTTTTTTTTTTTTTGGCAGGTGCGGCGATGTACTTCAACTGCACGACTGTCAACCTCTTTAAGCAGTGTGGGATCTATGAAGAGTTTGCTGCACTGGGAAAATGCGTTTCTGCGATCAAGATTTGTAATGAGCAACGAGAGCTTGAGTTCTCTATTGACTTTGAAGGGCACGAGCAAGAGTAAGCGAAGGGTGTTTCGATCATACCGTGCTTTGATATCCCTTTTTGTTGATTCCTGGAAACTAAACACGCAGTCTTTCTTCTTTCCTGTAGGTTTGGAGCAAAGGGCTACATGATCACACGTCCAGCACTGTACGGCCTGCTCATGCGTCAGATTCCCATAGAACGCATCCACCTTGGCAAAAAGGTCCTCACCATGGACCAGGGAGGGAACGGTGTCCTTATCCGCTTCAGCGATAGGACAGAGGCTGAGGGAGACATTCTTGTCGGAGCCGATGGTGCATACAGTGCCGTGCGCCAGGGGCTCTATGCCAAGCTGAAGAAGGCTGGCACTCTCCCTCCATCCGACTTGCTCCCTCTCCCTTTTAGCACGGTCTGCCTGGTAGGCCAAACTCGTCCCCTCACTCCAGAAGAGTTCCCTGATATCGCGCGGGAGCAGTGTCAAATGCGCCGCACCATTGGTACAGACAAGATGTATTCTGTATGTATGAAGGAGGGATGGAAATTCTGGGTCAAGAAAAAATTATGCTCTCAAGAATAAATGTCCCGCAAATCACTCCTAAACCTCCAATACAACTGACACCCTCTGTTTGTCTTTCTTGTTAGTGGTCGACATACAATACCGCCCAGGGAACCATGGCATATATGGTCCTTCAATTTCTAACAGATGAATCAAGCAAGGAAAACGATGCTTTCCGTAATTCGGAATTTGGACCCGAGGCAGTGCTGGCGATGTGTGAGGAGGTCAAGGATTTCCCGGTCATAAGTGGAGGTGACCACAAGTATACTTTGGCCGACTTTTTTGCTTGGTCAAACAAGGAGCACATCTCCAAGTTTATGCTGGAGGAGAAGGTGCTCAAGACTTGGTACCATTGCCGCACAGTTCTCATTGGAGATGGTATGTGTGAACAGAGGGGAACAGGAGAATGTAATCAAGGTTGTGGCTCTTGCATGTCTTGCATTCTTGTTTTTGTTGTTTGTTGTTTGTGTTTGCTCTCTAATCGATTTTCTTTTTTGTCTCTCGTATTCGTTAGCATGTCACAAGGTAGATTTCATATTTTGAATGGATATGAAGGCATGTCCTGGCTCAAGAACATCTTAACCAACTTGCCTCTTTTCTACCCTTCCGATTTTTCGTTCTTGCAGCTGAATCCTGCCGGAGGAGTTGGCCCTGCGAACGCCGTCCAAGATGCCATGGTGCTCGCAAATCTGATCAACGGCCTTCCCTTCCACCCCATCGCCGAGGAGATCGAAGCGGCGTTCAAGGCCTATCAGGAAGAGCGTATGCCATGGGTCAAGGATGCACATAAAATCAGTCAAACTCACCGGACCATGGTCGGACAGGTAAGAATAAGCAATGCACTCTGGCGGACCGATTGGGGACTGCATTGTATGGACACTTCTTACCTTAACGTTATTTCTCCTCCTGTTTTGGGGATCATAGTCGTTCGCCTCAAAGTCAACTAGATACGTCTCGAAGCATATCCCGCCATGGCTTTTCAATCGCATCCAGGCGCGCGCATTCAGTTATCGTCCTCAGATTGCGTTCTTGCCCCTTGCCGTGGATAATGGTCGTGTCCGCCCTGCTCATCAACCCAGTTTGTCTGTCAAGGCACCCGTCAAGCTAGAAACTGTGACGACATCGTGTAAATAGTTGATACCCCTCTTCCTTCCAAGTAGTTCGACATAATTCAAAAGTAGTGCTTCTTAAAAGACCTCCTTGCCTTTTTTATTCTCCACGCCTCGTCTTTTTTGTCTTCTCTGTCTATGAACTAAAAACATGAGTGCAAGTACTTTGGGATGCAAAATGTGAGCAATTGAATTCAATGGAATGAAAGCAAACCAAACGCCCTCCGCCCAAGCTACCGTCAATTCGACTGCTGCCTGCAAACGGCACACATTGGTTCTTGCAGGGGCTGAATGCGGCTCTTCTGCTCCAAAGTGGACCCAAGGATGCACGTTGATGCTCTGCCCCATCGGGGATTACCTGTTTGTCTTCACCCTCTTTCTATCCCTTCTCATCCGATCATGACTCTCTTTTGGGTATTGTTTACTGTCCTGCGAAGGCGTAAGGATGTCAATGTCGCACAAAGGAAAAATAACAAGCTGGCTCCATCCATGTTTGTGAAGACAGAACCTTGTCCCTTTGCCCTTCTTTTTTTTCGGCTTCTCTTTCTTCCACTTCTCCTCCTTTCTTCTTCATCTTCATCCTCATCACCACTTCTTTCCTCATCTACTCTTTTTACATTCCATTTCTCTCCTTCTTCTCATCCTCAGCTATTCGCTGCCAACTCGAGATCCCGACATCCACACATCACCTGCCATCTCCATGTCAGCAAATTCAACACAACACAGCCATAGCGAAGGGCGACCCAAGGTTCTTATCGCTGGAGGAGGACTGGGAGGTCTTACCATGGGCCTGCTTCTTCACAAGGCCGGTATTCCCTTTGAAATCTATGAGCGCGCCACCGACGTCAAGCCCCTCGGTAATTCTCAACTTACGCATACCCCTCTCTTCCCCTCTCTTTCAATTCACTTCCTCATCACCGTCGCCCGTACCTGAAAGATGTTATGATCTTCAATCGATCAACTTGTTTATCTGTCTCACTCAGACATAGAGCACCATTCTGACCACTCCACGTACCTTGTCTTTCTTTATATGACACCCAAAGGCTCATCGATGTTCCTGAACAGCACGACGGCTTCTTTTTTCAAACAATGCGGGATCTACGATGAGTTTGTCGCCATTGGCAAATATGCTTCCAATATCCTAATGTGTACCGAGGAACGCAAGGTTGATTTCACCATGGAGTTTGCACAACACGAGAAAGAGTAAGCATCAATATCCGGGATAACGGATGCGCGATGCTTTATGAGCGGAGAGAACGTCGTTTCGTGATTTGTGAACAAGGCTAATAGGATTCTTCCTCCCGTATGTAATGATAGATTTGGCGCAAAGGGCTACATGGTCACCCGCCCACAATTCTACGGCCTGCTCCAGCGCCACATGCCCAAGGAACACGTCCACACCGGCAAGAAGATCGTTGGTATGGACCAAAACGACGAAGGCGTCGTCCTTCGTTTCAGCGACGGAACCGAAGCAAGGGGTGATATCCTTATCGGAGCCGACGGAGCTTATAGTGCCGTGCGTACAGGTCTCTATGCCAAGTTGAAGGAGGCCAAGAAACTCCCACCATCCGATGCGTTGCCTCTCCCTTTCAGCACAATTTGTCTGGTCGGCCAGACTCTCCCCATTACGACGAAGGAGTTCCCGGATCTCAAGCACCAGGGATGTTTGTTCCGTCGCATCATTGGTACCGACAAGATGTACTCTGTAAGTCTTGACGAAACGCGCTTGTAGGTATAAGACGTTGCCCGTATGTTGCTCAATACCAAGGGGCCTAACACAGCCATTTTTTTTTGCCTCTCTGTCCAGTGGTCAACATACACAACCTCAGAATCAACCGTAGCCTACTTCGTCATTCGTTTTCTCGAAAATGAGACCAACAAGGAAGACGAGGCGTTCAAAAACTCTGACTGGGGTCCCGAAGCAGCAATGGCGATGTGCGAGGAAGTCAAGGACTTTCCTGTTATGGGCGGAGACGGCAAGGATCTGACTCTAGGAGACCTGTTTGCCTGGTCTTCGAAAGATTACATTTCTAAAGCCAGTTTGGAAGAAAAGGTGTTTGAAACGTGGTACGATGGTCGCACTGTACTCCTTGGCGATGGTAAGCTACCAGGCACAACAATACCAGCAAACGATGGACGTGTCCAGGTGCTCAAGTAATTCCTCACTAATTATCTTTGTTATCCCCCTCTATATCCTGCTAGCATGCCACAAGGTAGGATTAGGTTCACTTTCAAAAGGACAGGGGGTAATGCCAACCGTCAATTTGCACCAATTATTTACTCACTAGATTTGCGTGTCTTGCCTTTGTTCATTTATAGTTCAGTCCTTCTGGAGGCGTGGGAGCCACCAACGCCATGCACGACGCCATCGTCTTGTCAAACTATCTAAATGGTCTGCCCCTCAACCCTACCGCCAAGGATATCGAAGCCGTGTTCAAGGAGTACAAGAATGAGCGCATCAGCTGGGTCAACAACGCCTTCGAAAGCAGCAAAGTCTTCCGTACGATGGTTGGCCAAGTACGTCTCTCAAAAGCATCCATGCCAAATGCCTGTTTACCTTTCGTTCAGTCGGTATCGTGTATTTTAATTAATTCCCCGTCCCTCCTCTTCCTGTTCTACTTCATTCTCTATGCAATACATAGTCACTCAAGTCAAAGATTATTCGACAATTCTTCAAGCACATTCCTGGATTCGTCATGCGGAAAGTGGAGTCTCGTCAGTTCTGCTATCGTCCTCAAGTTGCGTTTTTGCCACAGGTCGAGGACAACGGCGCCTTCCCACGGGTACATCAGCCTAGTTTGTATATCAAGGGACCTCAGGCGAGAACACAGGCGGACGGATCGTCAGAGCAGCCTGTCACTGCTGTTTGAGATGCAAGGATAGTACAACCATACCCCCAGGATGGTACGCTGTACAAAGGACCACAATAAATAAAGATACGCGAACAATAACAACAACAATGGCCTCCCTGATGGTCATGATATGCATGCATCTCCTGGATGTGTTTAGAATATAAAGAGGGATTATGTGTTCACACGATTGAAAAAATGAGAGCACTTCTGAGTTTAACGGGAACAAACAGAGCAAAGAGAGCACAGAGACAAACCCAACGCCCACACTAGCATGGGGACTATTCAATTGGATAATTCATGTTCTTCCATCGGCTTACAACAAGGCACGAGAGACAAAGAAGGTGTGGTTGGCTTGAGCGAGCTACACAGCTGCTATGTTTGCTATGCTTGCCATACTCCCTTTTTTCACGGAGGAACGAGTGCTCGTGAAAAGTCGCCCTCCTTAGCAGCAGTAAATACTCCACCCCTCTGCGCTGATCGTCCTCATATATCAAGCATTGTCTTATCTTCTCTCCCTCTCTGCATCACCCTAGCTCTTGTGTTCACATCCCTCCTTCCCGACGATCCATTGGCGTAAAATGTATTATCGTTGCACAGGAAGAAAAAAACCAAATGAATCATATCTCCTCTTTGTATCTACACCATCACTCTTTTTCTTTTGCACATTTTTCCTCTCCATCTCTTTTTTCTGAATCTCATCTCTCATTTCAATCTTCATCTACTTTTTTGTTCATCACCGACATCGCTACATTCACCCAACAAAAACATCACCATGGAGATCAACCCCGCAGTCACTTTTAAGCACGACCGCTCGGTTATGTACGCCAAACGACCCAAGGTCCTTATCGTCGGTGCAGGTCTGGCTGGACTTACCCTCGGCATGCTCTTGCACAAGGCCGGGATCCCTTTCGAGATCTACGAGCGTGCCGCAAAAGTCAAACCCCTCGGTAACACCCTGTTCCTGGATTACTCTTTTGATTCATCATTGATCTCTGATGACTGTATTTGTCTCAGTAGAACGTCTTTCACCTAACCCAAACCCTCCGTGCTGTAGGTTCGGTGATGTACTTCAGCTGCACTACCGCCAACATCTTTAAGCAGTGCGGTATTTATGAAGAGTTTGTATCCCTTGGCAAATACGTCTCTACTATCAAGATGTGTAACGAGAACCGAGAGCTCGAATTTTCAATTGATTTCGAAGGAAACGAAGGACTGTAAGATACTGGCGTCTTTTTGACTCCCTCTTCTTGAACAAAGAACGCCTTGAGAATAAGGACTTAACATAATACTCTCGTCTTCCTTAATAGGTATGGTGCCAAAGGTTACATGATTTCTCGGCCTCAGCTGTACGACCTACTCCTGCGCCAAGTTCCCAAAGAACACATTCACCTGGGAAAGAAGGTCCTCACCATGGATCAGGGCAATAACAAAGTTCTTATTCGCTTCAGCGACGGTAGCGAAGCTGAAGGTGACATCCTCGTCGGAGCCGACGGAGCCTACAGTGCCGTTCGCAAAGGGATGTATGAAAAGCTGAAGAAGGCGAACAAGCTCCCAGCATCTGATTCCCTCCCACTTCCCTTCAGCACAGTCTGCCTTCTCGGTCAAACTCGCCCTCTTTCTGCTGAAGAGTTCCCTGATCTAACAATCGACACGTCTCAGTTCTGCAACTTTATCGCAACTGACAAGATGTACACGGTAACTACTTTTTTTGGATGAGTCCAACCGTGTCCTACCACTCTTTTACCTTATCAACTCTAACCCCTACACCCTGTTCCTATTATTCACTGTTAGTGGTCCACATCAACAACCGCCCAGAATACCGTGTGTTGGGCTGCCATTCTTTTCCTTGACGAAGAAACCAGCAAGGACAATGACTCTTTCCGTAACTCGGAATGGGGCCAAGAGGCTGCCACAACGATGTGTGAGCAAGTCAAGAATTTTCCTATTATCAGCGGAGGCGACAAGATCCTCACTCTTCAAGACTTGATCGATCGCTCTCCTAAAGAGTTAATCTCCAAGGTCATGCTAGAGGAGAAGGTCTTCAAGACCTGGTTCGATTGTCGCACAGTTCTTATTGGTGACGGTATGTTGTATTTTGTCTGGTTTTCCTTTCACATACTTATAAGCGACCACGAAATATGCAGAACGTCTTCCTCTCTAACTTTTTTCTGTGTGGTTTTCTGATTACGCTTTTTCTTTGGGTTTTGGATTTTAGCATGCCATAAGGTAGAGGCAACGATTCGTGTTATGAAATGATGAAGCATGTTACCACAGTTACTGAGAAACCACTGTGCTAACTTATCCTGTATTTTTCGCACTGCATCATAGTTCAACCCTGCTGGAGGAGTGGGTGCTGCCAACGCCATTCATGATGCCATAGCGTTGGCGAACGGCATCAATGGACTTCCCTTCCACCCTGTTGCTGATGAGATTGAAGCTGCATTCAGGGCCTACAAGAAGGAGCGCATCGACTGGGTTGAGAAGGCATTTGGCAACAGCAAGATCTACAGGAACATGGCGGGTCAGGTAAAAGAAGGTCTTCCTGTTCTTTACCCTATGTGGTAATGTATGTGTTATACAAGGCACGATGACCAGTACCAATTCCGGTTTTTTTTTCGTCTCGGTCCATCTCTAATGTATAAAATAGTCTGTCCCGTCCAAGGTCACTCGGTATCTCGTGAAGCGTGCGCCTCCATGGTTCATGCTGAAGCTTAGCCGTCGCCTGAATACTCATCGCCCTCAGGCTGCCTTTCTGCCTGCAGCTGAGGACAAGGGTACTGTCAAGGCTGCTCCTCAGCCTAGCTTGTCTATCAAGGCTCCTGAGGAGACCGAAGAATCGAAAACAACCCAAATTGTGTAGAGATAGAGAGAGTGAGAGAGAGAGTGGGAGAGAGATTAAGCGTTTATATTTTACCCTAATGCGTTGGACAAGAGCATAGTCACCGATGTGTAATAATACATCCAGCTAAAGACACACACTTGGAGCAACCGCGTTCACCAGACGAAGAATGCACTGGCCATTACAGAGAAAGTGAGGGCTGATGATAGGAAGCGATGGAGAGTTACTCCTCTGTGAGGTGGAACATATTTGCTTTATCCAGTTAGGCAATTTTTTTGTGCCTCCTCCATGCAAGAAGCCGGTTCTGATACGCTGCAGCCGTAAGCGCGTTCTAGAGGGGCGAGAAAAATTCGGATCCGTTGCGGCTGAATTGGCGTTGAGGAGTAACCGGAGTTGTTTTGGTGGTGGAGGTGCAATTGCTGTTACAATTGTAAAACTATTTGGGCGCATGATAAACGGTTTGTAGGCTTTATTTAGGGTGGTGACAGATGTACCTTGGTACAAGGGTTCAAGGCTAAAACGGCCGAAAGAGACGGGACGGAGGGGACAGGGACAGATGTACGAGGGTTCAAAGGTTCGGGGTCTGGGGCGGCACAGGGGCAGAAGGTGAGGTGGCCAATAAGGAAAAGGATTATTCATGGCATGTCAAGCCGGTAGACGTGATGGAAGCATCTTCACAGCACTTATGCGACTTTTTTCTCGCTGCTTTCGACAGCCAGCCCTTGTACACAACAACACCTTTGCTGTTGACGTCCTTGAATAGAGGAGATGTCCCCAAGGGAAGGCATCCAAATGTCTCCTTCTTTTTAACTTGTCCCAGCCAGTTATGGCAGAAACAGTAGACATCTGCTGCTTGCACAACATACAGAGTGAGGAGAGCCAGCAGAACCAGCCGAGTGAATGACTTTGTCATGTCGTGAAATGAGAGAAAAGAGCGTGGAAGGGTGCCACAGGAAGGTGTGTGGGAAGGTGTGTGGGAAGGAGAAAGTTGCAATGGACTAGAGGGGGGGCTTATATATGTGTGGATCAGCATGGTCGCCCGTGGAGGCTTACCAGATTAATAATCGTCTAGTAAAGGCGCAAGAGGGAGCAAGCGAGTGAAGGCAGGATACCCGGTAAAAGCGGCGGAACGTGAGTGCTAAACAGATCAGGAAAGAATGTTGAGAAGCTCACACCTCGCAACGGCGTCTCTTAGCGTGCAGTTAGACCGATTCGTATAATCGTCGTGATCATCTCGCATGACGGCGTGAAATTGCTACGGTCTTCAACGACGAAAGATACAGTCATGGTAGTTGCAGTGATCTAGACAAACTTGGCGCGGCGGGACGTGAGAGCTAAAGGGGTCAGGAAAAGAATGGTGAGAAGCTCATCTCTCATAGCGGCGTCTCTTACCATGTAGTTAGGCCGATTCGTGTAATCGTCGTGATCGTCTCGCATGACGGCGTGAAATTGCGGCGGTCGTCAAAGTCGAAAATAGTCATGACAGTCTCGGCTCTCATCGTCTCCTTGAAATTTTCTTTGTGTAACCAAAACAACCACCTGGTCACCACAAGTTCTACTCCTTTTCCTTCAACGCCCTTCCTCACTTGTCTGCATCAATTGTACGTCAACCAATCATTTTGCCCATGCCAAGAATATGGTCCCTTTTAGCTATATTCCTCACACTACCCCTTCACATTCAAAATTACCACGCGTGTCTGCCTATCGACCATGTCCGTTAGCATGCATTTCCGCAGGCTCCCCCTCCTCGTGACCACTGTCACGGTCTCCAGCCTGATGGCTTTGAAGGCCGCCATGACAGCCGAGTTTCTTAGTTGCTTTGACTAAGAGAAGAAATTGAGTGTGACTGACGCCTACCTTGCATGCACCGAATATAATCTGCAGGACAGGGGCTACTCTTTCAGGGTCAATCGTTGGGCCGCACCGTATTACAGATGCATAGATGCGGGAGATGATACAATGTAACAAACCAAGTGTAACAATCAGCACCCTCCTTTCCGCGTAGGTCGTGGTGGATGCCTGTTCTTGGTCTAGGATAGATTGGTTATCTAACGACCGGTGGCTGCTGCTCTTATAGCTATGATACCGCGTGTGCAAGCAGCTTTTTTATTCGTTTCCACCCTCTTTTTGGTTTCTAGCTCTCTTATCATTTTCTTTGTTTTTACTAATTGAATATTTACAATTCTTGCACAGCCAAAACAATATTGTGATATTTATGCAGTGAGGTGTAGCTTGTTGTCTGTGATAAGGCAGGGGTTTATGAGCAAGCGTGGAGGAACTTGTGCGCACTGTGCGAGTCCTCCCTCGTTTATTCCACTAGACTCATCTCTGTTATTGTAACAGAGGGTTGTGCTGTTTCTTGCTTTGATGGGATGAGGGTCACTACCTAGGAGAGAGGCTAGGTTGCTTTTGAGAAGCGAGACTCGTTTTATTTGACCATTGGCTTTGTTTGGAAAAGCATCGATGAGGTGTAGCTCAGAGCTACGCTGTGGGGGGTTTTTTTGTTTGCTTTCTTCCGAAGAATTGTACACCTTCTCCCTCCACATCATCCCTCCTCTTGGGTTCCAGATGTATGTGGGTCACTTGTGATGAATTATTTTTTGGAGCAGGGCTGGGTTGGGAAAAATCAGAGGATGGGAATCATCATGCGAGGGAGCGCAGACTAACACCCGAAACACCTCCAAGGACTACGGGCATCGACTCAGGAGCTTTTGAATTTTTGTGGGCTGAGCGAAGGGTCTTTTTATGACCGAAGGAGTTGGCTTGTGAGGGATTGTTCGAATACATACTCCCCCCATCCCCTTTTGACTAAAAAGAGCATGCATTCCATTGGCTATTCACTAGGTCTTTGCCTTTCTCAATGTCTGGCAATCCTGTATATCCCCTTTGATTTCTACCTTTACCAATATGCTCCTCTTGTTTGTATTCATCTTTTGTTGCCCACTTGCAATGCATTTTGGTCGCACAAACACAAAGTTAAATAAAGTGAAACATACGCAGAAGAGTGCCGCCATCACTTTCAAGCACGACTGCTCGGTCATGTACGCCGAACTCCCCATGGTTCCCATTGTTGGAACGAGTGTGGGATATCTAATACTCGACATGCTCCTTTACAAGACCAACATCCCCTTTGAGATCTACGAACGCACCCCAGAGGATAAAACCCTTGGTGCGTTACGACCCCTTCTTTTCCGTTCCTGATTGAAATGACCAACTTGGCGACTTTTTCTCGCACAAGTCTTCAAACTGACACCAACGCCCTTTTCATGCTTTTAACTTAGGCGCTGTCATGTACTTCAACGCTACCGTCGCCAACCAATTCAAACAACGTGGCATTGACGATGGGTTCGTCCCCCTTATCAAGTTTATCTCTGTGATCAACGTCTGCAACGAGCAGCGCGAGAGCGAGAACAAAATCGACTTTGACGGACACGACGAGGCGTAAGTTATCAATTCCAACTGGTGTACCTTGTTCTCCTCTTGCAATGAAGCAATTACCTTCCTGTACTTCGGCTTTTCTGTTCATGGATGTCCACACAATGTTAATGCCTTTTCTCTGTCCTCTTTTTTCGACGTCTGCTTGTTACTCTACGTTGGTATCGGGCTAGGTTTGGAGCCAATGGATACATCATTACGCGCCCTAAGTTGTATGATCTGTTACTCCGTCGAGTTTCCCGGGAACGTATTCACCTCGGCACGAAGATCTTATCGATCTAGCATAATGGCAATGGTGTTCTCATTTTATGCAGTGACGGATCTAAGGCCGATGGAGATGCCCTTGCCAGTGCTGGCGAAGCGCACTCCGATGTTCGTTAGAACCTGTCCGCCAAGCTGCTGAAGAACAAGCGACCTTCACCCTCGGATGCATTTCCGCTCCCCTTCAGCATTATTTGCCTTGTGGGTCAGACTCGATCGTTGACTTCTGACGAGTTCCCCCATGTCGTTCTGGAGGAATGTCAGTTCCGGAAGATCGCTAGGGATTTCTAATTGAATAATTACACGATGTCTAATTGAATACCATCTATTTGCACATGTGCCTGGCACACATTGTACTTCGTCCATGTCCATCGTTCACTCGCGCCTCGTCGTTCCATCCAATTCCTCCGTGTCTGGACCAACAACAACACTCAGCATCCGCTCAAACAAGCAAACAAGGACTGTCTTGCTTGTTGCCGATAGAGTTTCAGCCTGTAATTGAATTTGCCCGTGCTGTTGTAGCCTCGTTCGTATCCCCTAATTCACTCATAAAATTCATACACCAGCCACACACCAAACACTTTTCGGCAACATCAACCAAGGAATTCCTTTCGCCTCGCCAGCCCCACATTACCCCACAGCAGCAAACCATCCATCAGCAGCAGCTCAATAGCCTTATCCGCACTGGCAACACCTCCAGCACCCTTCGTACCCTCAGCACCCTACGCTACAGCATCCGTTTATTACTCAATTGAAGGTCCAGCCTCAACTGCATACTATCCCCATTCAATATCGACACTACCTACAAGGGCAACTCTATTGTCCTTCGCAACCTTCACAGCGCCAGTTCTTTTCTCCTTCACAGCGCCAGTCTTTTTCTCCGCCTTTACAACATAATTCCATGCAGAGGACCTCTTCCCGCGGTCAACTCCGCTCTATCGTTCCCACTCAGATTCCGTCTCCTTCTCTCACAGTTACCCGGTCTAGTGAAAAGCGACGCAGGCATGACATGGATCCTGAGTCGGGCACTAAACTTTCATCTACTCTGGACAGAGAGACAATGCCGCTGTTCCCCGAGTTAAGCAACACCTTAAACAATGGCAACAGTAACATAAGGCAGAAAAATGGAGGTGGAAGCGGCAGTGGAAATGGCGGTAGTAGACGCGGTAATAAACGCATCATTACCAGGAATAACAACACCAACACCAACACCAATACTAGCACCAGCAGCAATAATAACAACAACAACAACATTGGTACTCATATTATTGACCATCCTATTATATTCAGCGGTGACGATGACGAAGCAGAGCAGGAAGAGGAGGAGGAAAGGTCTTTGGATGCAGGAGTGAACGACAGTGGCCAACCGCGTATCGTCACCGGTTTATTGTTCAAACCTGATGTGCAGCAGTTTTTGGTACGGCTGTCAGACTTCGAAAACGCCCGCCGATACCTTACGCCAAGAACGACAGGTACCACGCTTGTTGATGTACAGAGAGAGGTTGCAAGTATTGTCAACGCAGTTATGGCAGAGCTCCTGCCTTCAACTCCACCCATCAAACCGAGATACCTATGGAATGATACGACCGTCAGACTGAAATTCCGGTATATCAAGGCCCAATACGACAAGTGCGTCAAACTCACGAAAGTGACTGGCAATGGTGGCGCTAAGTCCAGTACATTGACGGCGGACATTAACGACATAAGCCCCTTCTACCACGAGTTGGTCGCGATTTTTGGAGCACAGCTCACCAGGAACCATCCTCCTCTTAGAGACTCTCCAACCCCAAGCCGAGCACCTTTTTTCTCGAGAAGCCAAACGTGGAGGAGCCAGGCATCGAGGAGCGAGCCCCTGGTAAGCTACTTTTTTTTTTGACGGTTACGTCGGTACATTGTTACAGATTAACTTATCACAGATTAACTAAATCCCCGTACTTGCTCGATTAGCATCTGTTCCTCCCCTCCTCCCAGTCATGAGCAAACCTTCAAATGAACACTCGCTGCGCCCATTGATCAAGTCGATTGCCTGTGAGTTAACAACACAGAGTTTGGCAAGTCCTACAGTTACCGGCGAGTCGCAAGAGAGCAAGGAGATGAAGTTTCACATGGAGTTCATCAAACGAAAGAGAGCTGCTTGTGAAAGAGAACAACGTGCGCTGGAGAAGGAGAAGGAGGATTGGAGAGAGCACAACGTAAAAGAGATGAATGGAACGCGAGGATGGAAAGGGAGTGGGAAGACTTGAGGAATGATACCAATCGACAGCTTGTGACGAAATACAGGGTTAGTTTTCATTTGACGAAGAATTCTCTATTTATTAGTGTGCTCAATAAACTGGTCAACAACCACCTTCTTTCTCGTCTTCCATTTTCCCCCTACATTTTGACTCGTGATCGTCATAATGAGTTGCGTAAGGAACTCAAGCAGGCCAAGGTTGACTTCCAGACAGAGAAGGCGCACCACCTGGACGATGTGACTGAGTTCAGATACAAGAACAACGATCGTGAGGCATTGGTTAAATCGCTGGCCAAGCACAAAGTTCTGCTGAATGGAAGAACTGAACTGATGTCACCCGAAAACGAGAACAAATAACTGAATGTATACATCGATACAAAAAAAGAATGATTTAAATAATCCCTGATCGCATCCTTTCTTGCCTATGCCTTTTCTGCCGCCCTATCCCTGTCCACAGTTGAACGGTCACCGCGCATTCATTTTTTTGCCCCTGGATAGAGGTGTGATGCGGTGAAGCGAGAGAAATTGGTGGTGGCTTGAAAACCCCTTAAGTCAAGTAGTATAGAAGAAGCCTGCTCGAGGCCAGAAAGAACAGCACCTTTCTTTCTTGATATCCAAGCAGGTATGCACAATGCTGTTCTTGTTCTTAGCAGTATCGATGGGAGCGTTTGACATAGCATAGTCCTAATATAAAAGCACCTTTCTTTCTTGATATCCGAGCAGCGTCGAAAGTGTCAGAGTTTATGGTCGTTTTCCTTTTTATAAGTCTATTGAGTTACATATACACATACACACACCTATACACACATACACACCAATACGCCCTTTTTTTCCTTCCCATGAGCGGCCCAAACACTGGAGACACAGGGTCGTCCGCGCCTTTGCAAGAAGGGACAGCTTTTCCTTCGCCTCCTCTCGGTAGTATCTCTCATGACACTTCGACACAGGCGTCTCAGCCCCCTCAGACCACCACACACTTTAATGGCGCCCAACGTGGGGGGGCTGTTTTCAATGTCGTCGGTCCAAGGGTCGACAAGCCGGTCTATACGGAGGGAGGAGATATGGCCGACTTATTCTACCAGTTCGAGGAGTACTGTTCCCAACGTCAGCGAGGGGAGAGTGAGAGAAAGACCCTACTCCGGAACATCTTCTCGTCAACTCGCCACAAGTCAACCGTCGATGTTCTTTTTGGCACCCAGATGAGTTCGAAGGATATGATTGAGAGTCTGCTCGAGTGTATGAGGGATGAGGATGACTCAGTGGACCCGTACCAGGCCGCCGAAAACCATCTCGCCGCTCTCCAAAGTCGAAAGTTTAATCCGGGGAGCGTCAAGCTTGAGATCAAATCCATTGGTTGGGCGTTGGAGCAATTGGAAACAAAGTTAGGGGGGATTGCTCACAAGAGGAAGATTTTGAACTGCTGCCCCGACGCCGTGAAGTGAGAGTTAGAGGTTAAATATGGAGGAGGCTCCATGCTTCCAGCGGTCGAGGTTTTGAGAGATGAGGTGATCAAGCGAGTGAGAGCCTTTGCCGCGCAACCTCAGAGGGTCGACGCCGCCAAGATCAAGACCTCCCGCGAGATCGAGTTGGAGGCTGAGATTCAGGAGATGAGGAGAAGGTTGGAGGAGGTCTCGGTGTCGGCAGCGAGGCGAGCCCAGGCCAACCGTCCGTTGTTGCTGCGAGTCCTGCTGCCCCAGCGGCTCCTACAGCGTCGATGACATATGGCCAGCCTTTCTTGAAGCATTGCATTTATTGTGATTCATACGACCACTTCAAGGCAGATTGTACCGTGTTGGATCGAGACATGGTAGCCGGATTGGTGAAGCTGGATTTCGCCAAGTGCGTCATCTACCCAGAGACCCAAGGTTGTGTTGAGACGAACTACGGTAGAGGAGGGATGAAGGCGCTTGTGGATGCGTATTATAGCAGAAAGGCGCAGAGTGAGGCCACCACCCAAGTAATGCAGGTTACGGTTGAGGAGGACGTTGTGCTCGCCCTATTTAAAAGCGTCGAGCCGGCAGAGGAGATAGGAAAGCAGAAGGAGATGTTCATCTTGATGACCAAGAGGAAACTCTTTGAGGGTCTTGAGAACCATAACGAGGGTTTTGTTCTGAAGAAGGGGTCAGACAAAGTCGAGGTGGTGGATGCTAGCACCAGTACGGAAAAGAAGGAGAAGCGTTTCACTGTCACAGTATCATAGTCTGTTGTGACCCTAGATCATTAGCATCATCTAACCACCGTCCCATCTAACCACATTATCACCTAATCACATCACCACCATCCTGGAGCCCATAGCCTAGCACATATAAATACCCTGGCTCCCCTGTACAATAAACACCATCCGTTTCTGCCTCCTACTCTTGTCTGCTACCCTTCTTCTGTTGCTATTACATTCACCAATCTTTCGAAGGTGGAGGAGTCGAAGGATGAGGGGCGTCTGTTGAGGAAGGTGTTGGATACGGAGGTGCACCTTACGATGCGAGACGTCCTAGCCCACATTTCCAGTGCAAGAGCGGGCCTCAAGGAGATCAAGACCACAGAGGTGTGGTGATTTGGAGTGGCTTAGCTTCTGGTGGCCATTTCGCTATTTTACGCGCTTGCCTGCGAGTGTCTGGAAAAGCACCTTTCTTCCACGATACGAGCAGGTAGGCACTATACCCTTTGACCATTGGTAGCAATAGTAGTTTCTAGCCTTTGGAGAATAGTTATTGACATAAAACACCTTTCTTCCACGATACGAGCAGGTCTTGAGAGTTACTGTCTTTATTCGCGATATTGAGAGGGAGCACATACACACACAAACACACACACACACACACACACACACACACACACATATACATATATACATACATCCTTTTCCTCGTCTGCCGTTATTCGAGTTATGCCCGTTGACCCCGAAGATACTCCTTTGGATACAGGAGTTGCCGAGAGAAACTCCACTCTCCCTTCTCCCTCTCCCTCGACAAGTGACCCTGTTCAACCGGGCACTGACGCCAACGACTCGGCCAGCCAAGGGCAACTCCCTCCAAGACTCCCACAGAGGACTCATCATGTGACTGAATAAAATTTCCGACTGAATAACATTTCAATTCATTTATTCGAAAACGGTTTAGGGACAGATGTTCCATGCGCGGTGTAGTTTCTTTGCCATTGAGTTTAACTCTCGAAAGATCGCTGGTCTGTCATCTTCTTCATTTGCTTGCAAGGACGCCTTGACCTTTTTTGATATTTTATATAATTTGTATCCTCAGGCAAGGTGCTTTGTTTTCTTTTTACCATCTTTTTTTTTTTCTTTTTCTCATACATGCAGACACATGGACGATTTGACAGACAACGGTGCCACAAGGTGTACTTCATCCAAACAGAGTTGCCTGATTCAAGCAGAGAGATGAACCCCAACGGGGAGCAAAAGGAAAGATGAGGCTTGCCAAAGAAGATGTTTACACGAGGGACGGAGGGGAGAGAGCGGGAGAGAGGAAGAGGAGAAAAGTGGAGAGGTGCTCTTCCTCCGTCGCTCTTTCTCGTTGCTCCCCACCCTTACCCATTCCGTAACTCTTTTCTTCGTCATCCTTATTCACCATCATTCATTCCTCTGCATCGCTCTCTAAACATCCATCAACTCTCTCATTCCGACACTTGCTAATCAGGACGACCATGGAAATCAACCCAGCTGTCACTTTTAAACATGACCGGTCGGTTATGTACGCCAAGAGGCCCAAGGTCCTCATCGTCGGCGCAGGTCTCGCCGGACTGACTATGGGCATGCTCTTGCACAAGGCTGATATCCCATTCGAGATATATGAGCGTGCCCCAGAGGTTAAGCCCCTTGGTATGTGACGCACCTTATTCCTATTCATAGCTTGATGTTGATCGCTGAACCACTGCTGGTCACCTTGTCTGTCTCACTCATATCTCTCACAAACCGTTCTCTATGCTTCTATCTCTTAGGCTCGGCAATGTACTTTAGCGCAACGACAGCACCCATGTTCAAACAATGCGGCATCTATGACGAGTTTGTCTCTGTCTCCAAGCCGGTCTCGGATATGAAGATCTGCAATGCGGAACGGCAACTGGAGTACATGATCCCATTCCATGGACACGAGGAACTGTAAGTGTAGTCCACCCATCCTTGTTTGATGCAACTTCTTTGTGTTTTTCACTGCACACTGACATGTCCTCTCTTTTACTTAACATAGTTTCGGCAGTGAAGGTTACATCGTTGCTCGTCCCAAGTTGTACGACATCCTACTTCGTCAGGTCCCCCACAAGCACCTTCACTTGGGCAAGAAGGTCCTGTCAATGGGCCAAGGAGGAAACGGGGTCTTGCTTCGATTCAGTGACGGGACGGAAGCAGAGGGAGACATCCTTGTCGGAGCAGATGGTGCGTATAGTGCCGTTCGTCAGGGGCTCTATGAGAAGCTGAAAAAGGAGAATAGGCTCCCAGCTGGTGACGGTTTGCCCCTTCCTTTTAGTACTGTGAGTCTTGTGGGTCAAACCCGTCCTTTGACCACAGAAGAGTTCCCTGATATCGAGCTTCCAGACTGTCAATTCCGCACCGCTGTTGGCGCCAATAGACCCTACGCCGTAAGTTGATTTTTCTCTTTGTCGCACTCGGACCAAAGTACCAAAAACAGTGTTGACCTCTACTTCGTCCTCTCAATTAGTGGAAAACGTTTACGACTGCCCAGCGCACAGTCTGCTTTATTGTCACGCAGTTCCTCGACACAGAAAGTAGCAAGGACAACGACGCATTCCGCAATTCCGAATGGGGACCGGAGGCTGCGCAAGCCATGTGTGAGCAGGTCAGGGATTTCCCGGTCATTAGCGGGAGTGCTCAGGGGGTCACCATGGGCGATATTATCGATTGGACGCCTAAGGATTTGATTTCAAAGGTTATGCTTGAGGAGAAGGTGTTTGATACCTGGTTCGATTGCCGTACCGTCCTCATTGGCGATGGTATGTTCATCAACAAGGATGGTGTAGTAATGGTTATGGATTGTTCATGTCACCTACTCTCTACTAACATGGTTTTACTGTCGTCTCTTTTCTTTTCCTGTTTCCGATAGCATGCCACAAGGTACGACCAGCCCTGTCTCGAAAATCTCTCTTTCTTGGTTCCCATAGATGAAGCCACTCACATGCAATTTATTCCGTTCTTCTGCCTGCTAGTTCAACCCTTCGGGAGGTGTCGGTGCAGCAAATGCTATGCACGATGCAATTGTGCTGGCCAATTTGATCAATGGACTTCCCTTCCACCCTATCTCCGAGGAGATCGAAGATGCATTCAGGGCTTACAAGAAGGAGCGCATTGACTGGGTCGAGAAGGCATACAGCAGCAGTGCCATGTTTAGGACCATGGCTGGACCGGTAAGTTGAAACATCCAAACAAAAAAGGGAGAAGGCAGCAACTTTATTTCGTCTCAATTGTGCCCAGGCAACCATTGATAGTGCACTAACACTTTTCTCCCCCTTCTATGTTCTCGTAGACGATGGCGGCAAAGATGGTACGATATGCAATGAAGCACATTCCGGCCTGGGCGATGCGTAAAGTGGAACTACGAGTGTTGAGCAATAGACCCAGTGTAGCCTATTTGCCACCTCAGGAAGATAAAGGATCTGTGAGACCCTTTTTCCAGCCCAGTTTGTCGGTCGTGGCGCCTGTTGAGGAGGAGAAGGCAAGAGTTGGATCAGGAGGCGAGGGTGGAGGGGAGTGCTAAGGCCGTGCGATCGATTCTCAATTGTGTGGAAGTAATAAAAAGTGCTCAGTCCCCTTCGTTCCTCCTTTTTTTTTCTTGGATATGGTTGCACAATCAAAGGACTTGTACACTCACACTGCACACAGATGGCCAAAACACCCACCACACACCACTGAACAGACCTAGAGACTTACCGTTACCTTCCTTCTTATCAGTCCACTCTTTGAATCTTCTCCTTCGTCTTCTGTCCCCATCCTTCATCACTACTACTCTTCTTCTTACATTCACCCCTCTTCACACATACTCATCCCTTCGACATCTTTCAACCTGCATCTGATTCACTCAGCTCGATCAACCTTCACCCAATCTTTCCTTCCTTCCTTCGTCTAATCTCTTCACTCTCTTCATCACTCCGCCTTGAATCAACAGCATAAAGTCGACAACAATAACAAGAGACATCCGAATGAATGCAGAAAAGAAACCAACGGTGATGATCGTCGGTGCAGGACTAGGAGGACTCTTGCTCGGTACTCTTCTTCATAAGGCCGGTATATCGTTCAACATATTCGAAAGGTCGCCTACAGTGAAACAGCTCGGTATTCATTCTTCCTTCTTGCCTACACTCTTTTCCGTATATGTAACTGTGTTTGTGCCTCCTGTTGCGTCTCACATAGTGATGGACCCAACTCTCGGACAATATTATTTGTCTCATGGCTGATAATTAATATTTGAACATCGTTAGGATCGTCGATACCGATCGGAGGGCAGATCGTCCCTCTGTTTGCTCAATTGGGGCTGGACAAGGACCTCCTCAACATTGCTAAACCCTTGGAAGAGTTTCGTGTCTACAACGAGAAGCGCGAACTTAATTACACCCTCGCTTTCTCAGACTACGAGCACCTGTAGGTTAACTCACTCGCCGTTCTTCCTTTTCATACCTTGTTGACACCTCACTGTGCTTGCCTCTCACTAACATGTTGTATTACTGTTTTTTTTGACCAAAGAACGGGACACAAGGAATATATGGTGGCACGCCCTGCACTCTATGACTTACTCATTCGCCAAATCCCCCCAGAGCGGATACACAGGAGCAAGCGCATGCTGACTAAACTGGAGGCAGGCGACGGGATCATCATCAAAATGTCGGACGGGTCCACTTATAAGGGCGATATTCTTGTCGGAGCCGATGGAGCATGCAGCACAGTCCGACAACGGCTCTTTGACCGGTTGAAGAATGAGGGTACGCTGTGCAAAGGTGATAGAGAGCACCTGCCGTTTCGAACAGTGTGTTTGGTGGGTCAGACGCGGACTCTCGATCCGATGGAGTTTCCACAGCTCCAGAATTCCTTATGCGAGTTTTGTGCTGTCCTCGGGGACAGGAGGGCACACACTGTAAGCAGCGAATAACTGCACTTGTTAAGGATGAATGCATCGGTGCTCTTGCTTCCATTCAACCATTGACATTCTAATGGTTCTTTATGCATGAATTAATTAGCTGATGATCTCTACTACGCCACAAAACACAGTGACATGGACGTTGATACGACACCTCGACAAAACATCCAGCGCGGATCTAGAAATCCAGAGACTAAAGAACACGGATAACACAGGATGGGGCCCTCTTTCAGTACAAGCTATGTGTGATGAGACTCGAGGGATTGGTATTCCTGGAGGAAATGGGGCGATGAACTTGGGCGACCTGATGGACCTGACGCCCAAGGAGCTGATGTCGAAGGTCATGCTGGAGGAGAAAGTGTTTGAGACTTGGTACTCTGGGCGGACTGTCCTCCTCGGCGATGGTAAGCAACCTCATGGGACAGCGAAGTAATGATACATTTGTTGGAGGCACTTTCATTAAATTCAATTCTTGGGTACTGCTGATCGACGTTCTTTTTTCTTCATCTCCATAAAGCTGCTCGCAAGATTAATCCGGCTGGAGGACGAGGTTAGTACTTAGTTGCTTGCACTTTTCATGGTGAAGGTACAGCCCAGTCCCTTTTTCTCGTTCATCTATACTCACCGATGCTCTTTTTCAACGCGTATCTTAGCCGCCAAGTTGGCGATGCATGATGCCGTCGCGCTCGCGAACCTCATCTACACCCTCCCCTCCTCACCATTATCCATCGAGGACACGACCACCTTATTTTCAACATACTGGACAGAACGATACCCCGCCGCACTCGAAGAACTCCAATCCAGTCAGCTACTCAACAAGACCCGCGAACGCGGACTGTCAGGAACTATGGCTCGTTTTGTTGCAAAGACAACGCCTAATAGGACATGGCGACAATTGTTTGGGGTACATGGCCGGATTCAAGTTCGGCCAATTGTTGCATATTTGCCGGCGCCGGATGTGAAAGGGAAGGAGGGGAAAGAAGGGAGGGGGACTGGTGCTGTTGCTGTTGAGGGTGCTGTTGAGGGTGCTGTTGAGAGTGTGGTGCAAAGTAGTTATTTGAAGGCTAGGGAGGTGTTTGAGAGGCGGAAATGGGCTGATAGGGAGCCGTGAGGAATGGAGTAGAGAAATGAAGAGGTACTTTGTCTGAGGTGTTGTTTGTGCAAGAGGAGTGGTGCATTGATGGATAGAGAGGAGTATTTTGACGTATCGACGAGGGGGGCCTTACCTTGTTCGGTTGTGCCAACAACTGAAACAAAAAAAGATGTGCGCCGCCAATGAAACAGTCTTCGGTGTGGAAGGGAAGAACGCGAGACTTCCCAACAGAAGGAGGCACCGGTAGGAGCTGGGGTTATTGTGTCGTTGCTGGTATTGTTGTTTTCATGGCTTGCTTGTGACTCAACAGGACAGAGCTAGGACGCATGAAATTGTGCACTCACAGAGAGCGGCATTGACCCTCAAGCCAAATTAAAATGGTCTGGCCACGTGGCTAAGCCACACAGCCGAAGAGGATTGACTCCCTTCCCTCTTACCTCATCCTGCACCTTTTGTCTTGCATCACTCCCAGCTTCTTGTATCATCAATCTTTTTGATTCTTGACCGAGATCATTTAACCTGTTTCATTACCACATTCAGCACACTCACTTGCACATATCTGTCTGGCTCATCACCACCGCCAACACAAGACAACACAATACAGTAACGCCATCACCAACCACGTGGTACTACTCCTCCTCTTCACACCATCGCCTTCTAGACACAACATACCCGCCAAAAAGGACAACAGCGGGACACGGTCACACAAGGACAAGTCTCACCTTCCTCCTCAATCAATAGAAATCATCAACGCAACCTTTCCAGCACTCTGCTCACAACACAATCACAACACGTTACTACACATTCAACAAACCACAGACATCACATAATACCCCACAACAATGTGCCACTACCAGTCACAACAACAAGAACAGAGTTTCCTCGCCCAGTTCAAGCCTGAGGTCATTGATCCTCGACTCAGGACCACCAATCAAATACAGCCGAGCGAGTTCTGTGACTATGTGGCAGAGGTATTTTTTAAGCGCGACGCGTCGATTTACGGTTGTTCTATCACTCACTCACTCCAACTCGCCAATTTACGATACGTGAACGGAAATATACTCACATTGATTATATATATCTTTGTTGCAAACCTCTAGGTCTGTTACTTCAAGGTGGAGAGAGGGTACTACGGGAATAAGTCAAGGGCTGTGCTGGTCTTGACGGACTACACCGAACACCCTCAGCTCCCCTTTCAGGACTCAGAGGGCCGGCCAATCGGCAAAGCCGCGATCATCACAACACTGTGGGACGAACATTGCGATACTGCTCAGACGTTCGACATCAAGCAGGGCGATATCATCTATCTCAAGAATCTCCGACCAAAAATAAACTCCAAAGGCAACATCGAATTGAACATGAACGGGTACCGCCAAGGATCTGGTTTCCGACAGATCGATCCCATCCAAAAACTGGAACCAGACCACCTTTTTTCCGCAGAACTGCGGATGTGAGTCGACAGTCCCTCCCACAGATCAACACTGATTATTCCTCCTTTTTCTTGTTTGCTCAAGAACAACTCCTAACCAGAAACTGTTTAATTTGCAATAGCCGAAAGCACAAGTATGAGCAATATCTCGCTGCGAAGCAGGCGGAGGAGGAACGATACGAGGAGGGCTCGATTGAGCCTTCGCCTACGCCTCAACGCGCACTTACTGTCCGACCAACCAAGCAGGAACCTGGAACTGTCACCAGCCAGCAGCCGCCTCAACTTCAACCGGCACCAAGATTCGCATCAGAATCAACAGCGCTACCATCACCAGCTCCGCCACAGCCACACCAGTTCCCGAGATATCCCACATTTTCAGTTAAAGCATCTTCAAGCGCCACCTCAGAAACGCGGTCACCTTCTCGTGCCTTCCAGTCAGAAGCCCATACCCCTTTCGAGCGGGAAAACAGCCCCCTTGTTCCAGTGAAGTCGGAGCCGAATCGCGAAGCCAGCTTGTACACAGAGTCACCAGCTTCTCCTGTCGAGACCTCACCTACCGGTATAGAACAGACGGCGATTAATTGGTGTCGCGTCAAGAGTACCACTGATTGTTGTGATGCCGTTGACTAACTGGTTCACTGCAACCTTTTCTATCTACTAGTTGTGCTCGTTGAGAAAGTGAGACAAGCCGTCAAGGATAACAAAGCGGAGGTAATTATTTGCTAGGGATGCAAACCATGGGACGTAATACTAGTTGAATGCATGAATACTAAACCACCGTTGTTTTGGAATGGTTGTTTAGAGACCTCGTTTTGTGAAGTTACGCGCCCGTGTCATTGGATTTGCGCCAGAGCATCTTATCGACTTTTCCGGTGCAGTGTGCAGAAAGTGTAGACACAAGTACCCGTAAGTTGGTGCACAGTTGCATTTGAAAGGATTTACTCGTATCGTTTGGGACTGCACAACACACTAACAGTTCGACGTATTACATTAGTCTTATCACGAAGCAGAAACCTTCTCGCCGGTGCCCGGGCTGCAATCTGGAAGGCGAGGTCAAGTTTGAGTACTCGTTCAAGCTCAATCTTATGGACGAGCTTGACCAGACATTTACTGTCGACGTTGATGACGAACATGGGGTATGTCACTATTGTTTGTGTTTATTGGGATGCATCACAAAATGCCATCGAACAGCCAATGTACTAAATTCCTTGACATTCTTGAACTATATAGACCATGCTCCTTGGATTTGCTGCTGAAGACCTGGTGAAGGAGGATGACATTCTAACATTGGTCATAGGAACCCTTGCACGGATTGGGGTGTCGAACGTGGCAGAGCAGGCCAAAGAAATATACTTTGACTTTTGTGTACGACAGAACTTTCTTTGTCCAAAGAACCGAAATGAGCCCAGGGGCGATAGGCAGAAGAGAATCGGAAGCAGAGATCCCTCCCGAGTGGCCAAACGATATGCCACTGGCAGTTTACATCCGAGTGAATATGGATCGATCAAACAGTCGCCAAAACCGCCAATCAAGGAGGCGGCGGAGGATGAGTTGGTGAAGGATGAGGAAGACGAGGAGGAGGAGACAGACAACGCCCCGCTCACATGGTCGCTTGTGTTCACAGAGATCGTGAAAACGGAATGGAAATAAGAATACAGCGACTCCCTCAAGCCCACACATGGAAAAATATGTGTATGTGTATGTGTATGTGTATGCGGATGTTAGTTTTATTGCCTCTTGAGTTGTCTATCCCTCACCATCTTTCACTTTCCTTTCTTAATTTCTTCTTCCTTCTTTCCCTTCTATGCTTCTTGCTGTTCTTACCATGTTTTCTCCTGTTCTTGCCTTGATCCTCTTTTTTTATATATTTCCACGCGTTATGCACCCTTGGAGTTTTCCTGTCTTGGCTAGGGATGGGGACCAGTCATCATGAAGCCGACAAAGGTGAGACAACGATCGAATTGTTGCTACGCTGAGGGGGGGGGGTTCTGCAGCCAATTTGATTGGCCTTTTTCTTCGACTTTCAGGTTCTTTTCGACTTACAGGTTCACGATTTGAAAGTACAACGACAAAAAAATGGGCACAATGATGCAAATAGCATTTGAATAAAGTTCTTTCAAACATAAAGGGACCGTCGATGGCCTTGGGATGATAGGACAGGACGAATTCAAGAGACAATAGGGACACAGTGTGCGGATGTTTGTTGCCGAACGGGAAGTCCTCATTATGCTGTTTGAGCGGGTATGCTCTGAGTTTTGTTGTTTGTTTGTTTGTTTGTTTGTCATTGCGTCGAAATAAATTTAGAAGGTACTGGCAGCAGGTCCACCTACAGTAACTGAAATAAATGTTCGTGCAAATTAATTACATTGCCACATCCCTTACATGGTCGCATCACACCCTACATTGCCACACCCTGCCCTACATTGCCACATCCCGCCTTACATGGCAACATCACACCCTACATGACCACACCAAACCCTACATTGCCACATCCCAACCTGGGGAGAGGATTGCATATTGTTTACGTCCCTATCCTCCACTTGATGTTTCTATATATATATAGACACTGTAGGTCTCCACCCTCCTTCTTTTTCCTCATCACCCTCCTCACACAGATTAGTTAAGTGTCTCTTTCTCCTCAAACTCTCTTGCCATTAAAGTTGCAGTGCAGGATTGGTTCATATCCTTAAACTCGCATATGTATCTCTTTCTTCAACTGCTACTAGCCATCGAACACCATGATTCTCACGAAGTGCATCCTGCTTCTCGCGATGATGTCGCCGTCATGGGCAGATTGCCTCTATTGGGATGGGACAGCCCCGTTCTGCAACGGAGGATGCCCTAGCAACTGTGTTCTCCAAGCAATTAGCAACAAAGGAAATGGGGCCACTTGCTGGTATGGACACAAGGCGCTGTGCGATTGCTGCGGAAGATCTACCCCAAATCATGTGTGCACGCCCACCGTAACGGACATGACTTGCTTTGGCTTCATCTTTGGCTATGGCGTAGCGATATGCCGAGACAAGGAGCTCACACTTGACAACACGGGCCACACTGTTGAGACAACCTGCTCTGCTTACATCTGTGGCGCATGCTTTGGCTTTTGGAGCGAGAGACGTCCCACTCTCAGCAAGCGCAACAATGGTGATGGTGATGCCTTGTCATGTCGCAGGGACAACATTTTCCATATCAGCCCCATGAGACAAGATGTGTTTGTTCGAGGTCAAGACAACGTGACTGAGCACGATATCGAGAAGATGTTGATCTCGAAATTTGGAAGCAAGCAAAACAAGCACAACATGACAATCGTCATCTTTGACGATATCGATGCATCTTCCCGAAACGTGTGCAAGTAGGCAACTTTATGTGAATGGGCCAGCCAACGCCGCGGTACAACTTTCTGAATTCCACGATATAGCTGTAAATACTATATATTTAAGAACTCTTATTAAAGAAGACATGCGTCAGTTTCAAAAAACAACTATATAGAGACACAAATAAGCAAATTAACATATGGGTCAACATTGCACTTGATGTCGCGCTCCTTTGAAGTACAATGCATCCACACCTTTGTCTTATGTGTAATCCATATTATTATTAATATTTTTTTTTGGGAGAGGAGGGACAAACACTCTGATGTTTGCATTTGCACATCACAAACAGAGAGGGATGGAGAGATAAATGTTATTTATTTTGGAGGTTTTTTTTTCAGTACATGAGTGATACTTCAACTTGATGGCACAGTGCAGTTCGGTACAGTTCAGTAAATGGCTTCTATACCGTGTAACATTCAGTACAATTTGGTAATTGGCTTCTACCCCGTGTAACCTATTGTGCACCTGTTTCTGATACGGAAAAAGGTCCGTAGGAGGTACTGTACGTTGATAAAAGTGAACGAGATGGCCAAAGAGAGAGACCAAGAGGGGTGGCACCCAATCAGATGTTCGGTAATCAATTGATCGATTGGTTCCTGGAAAAAAATTCCTTTGGTTAAGGGAATGATCAGTTTATGGCTCGTGCGCGTGTATCAAAGGAGGGTGCTACATACCCTTCGGTGGATACATCATGCACCTCTCCGTACAATTGCATTCAAGATGGCGACATGCTGGGTATATATTTCTCCTTCATCCAACAAACAGACACAGGAAACACCTGTATTATTGTGTCGAGGGGATTGGTTCCCTGTGTTGTGTAACCAAGACGGATGCCCTGACTAATGGAAAACACAAGATGTGGGCATGCATATACATGGGTGGGCACAGGGAAGCATAAGATTAATACAAACACAAACACAACAGACTAAATAGCACATCAGAAGGAGAGAGTGAGCCGTTGGAAGAAAGACGGAAGGAGGAAAGAGAGAAGAAAGGGATGGACGGAAAGCGCAGAGAAAAAATTGGTCCTCGACTCTCTCTCATCGTTCTTACTTCTTACCTCTTCCATCCCTCATCATCAACCAAACGCCTCCATCTTCATTGACATTCACTCTCTTCACTCTGTCATTCCTTCATCCACTTTAACCACCCTCGTCTCATCTCTGATTCCTTAACTCGGCTTTCGACTCCCTCATGTCAGCAACAGTCGCAACCCCGCGCCCAACCGTCCTTATTGTCGGAGCAGGTCTGGGAGGTCTCGTGCTCGGTGCCTTGCTCGAAAGATGCAACATCCCCTATACCATCTTTGAGCGTGCCTCCACCGTCAAGCCCTTGGGTACGCTCACAATAATGCTACTATGGAGCAAAATAGTGTTCCAGAAGAGTACTCTCGCCTTAGTTTAAGTCGCATGCACTGGTTGACTTACCCCCTTTCTCTCTCGCACTGTCGCTTTGGTCAATCTTACAGGTTCCGCCATGAGTCTTGCTGGACAGATGATATACTTGTTCCGCCAATTGGGAATCGACGAGAAGTTCATAGCCATGTCCAAGTACTCGCGCTTTGCAAACGGTAGACGTGACGACGGCACACCGCTTCCTCCTTCGGACTTTATTGCTATGGAAGAATAGTACGTAACAATGTTTCAAACTATACTCGCTGTTTTGTTGTTTTTGAAGTCTCTTTTTATAAACAAACTTTTGTTACTTCAACTTATAGCGGTGGATCCCCAAGCTACATCGTCGCTCGCCCGCTACTGTACGACCTACTTCTCAGTCTGATTCCACAAAAAAAGATTCACTTTAGTAAACGCATACTCACAATCAAGGAGGTGGACGACAAGGTCAAGATCCAGGCTGCTGACAACTCTGTTTATGAGGGTGATATCCTTGTAGGAGCTGATGGAGCTTACAGTGCCGTCCGTCAGCAACTGTACAACAGACTCAAGAAGGAAGGGACCTTGCCCAAGTCTGACCATGAAGACCTCCCCTTCAGCTGCACTTGTTTGGTGGGACAAACTGACCCTTTGGATCTCGAGGAGTACCCTGAGCTCAAGAACCCCAAGGAACCCTTTGTCACCACCTTTGCAAGAGATAAGCCATTCACTGTAAGTCTGTCGTGAATGTGTTTGTGTATTGTCCCTCATCACCTTTGTGTTTTCAACAACGGAATTAACACCTTTCCTTCTATTCTCTACGTTCCTCCTCCCAATTAGTGGACCATTTTCTCTACCAAGCAAAACACGCTCTGTTTTATGGTACTGGAGCATCTCTCGAATAAAACGAGCAGGGCAGCTCAGGAACAGCGGTTCAGGAACACGGATAACTCCGAGTGGGGACCCCATGCTGCCCAAGCTATGTGTGACCAGACTAGAGACTTATCCATCTCGTTTGGTGGTGGAAAGAAGACTTTGGGAGACATCTACGACAAGACGCCCAAGGAGCGCGTCGTCAAGGTGATGCTAGAGGAGAAGGTGTTCAAGACCTGGTCGTCTGGCCGCACTGTTTTGTTAGGCGATGGTAAGTGGCTCGTTGTTGGTTATTGTCCTTGTGAGAGGTAGTGTGCATGTTTCTGTTCTGGGATGTCTTTACTTAATTACTTTTCTGATTTTATTTAGCCTGCCACAAGGTCAACCCCTCTGCTGGAGTCGGTAAGTAACAACGAGAGCAGGGTCAGTCGCTGTTGGCAATTTTCTTTATTTCGTCGCCCCTTACTCACCCACGCTTTACCATTCTTCTCATTGTTTACTTCAGGCGCCATTACTGCCATGCACGATGCCATCGCATTGGCCAATCTCATCTACGCCTTACCATCCAACACCTCAGAGGAGATCACCAAGACCTTCAAGGAGTACCGTGACGAGAGATACCCACCTGCCATTGAAGCTTACAACAACAGTCTGCTGATGAGCAAGCTCCTCAAGGGCGGTATCACTGGTGCAATTGCCTCGTTTATGAAGAACAATATGCCCAACTGGCTGTGGAGACTCGCGGTAAGAGACGTCGACGACTGCCTTGACAAGTGATGAGCTTTTTAATTTTTGTTTGTTTTGTGACATCGTCAACCCAACCACTCACGCAATCAAGCTTACCTTCTTCTCTATATCATGTTAGGTCAAGGGGCTGATTATGAACCGTTTGCAGGCTGGGTTCCTCAAGCCTGTAGAGGACAAGGGTACCGTCCCACCCAACATCTCGCCTAGCACTGAGAAGGCTCGAGCTCTCTACAACAAGCGCATGGGTATGGCTACTATTGTTTAGTTGTCTTCGAGATAGGCTTGTATTGGTGGAGAGGGTGGGGGCTGCGAATAGCTAAACATCTACAATGTAATGGAGTGATAACTATTAAATGTGTGAGCTGTGCACGTTTTCAAAACCAAACTCTTTTTTTTGAAACAGTGGACGTTTTTTTTCTTGCTCTTAAATCAATGAGAGATGAGACCAAGAAGGTTGATGATACTACGTTGATCAGTTTTTTCGACTATTGTGCCTTTCTAACAAAATGAGTCAAAAAAATTTAAACTAATCCAACAAAGTCCAGTGGAGAGCGGAGTGTACACAGGCGCGGAACAAAATTTTAGTTGTGAACAGCAACTTAATCAAGGTTTAGCTGTCCGAATTAATTATTTTGGTTGCAAGGCGCAATAATTCGTTCCTGAAAACAAAATTTATACCTTCTCCGTCGGTCTTCGTTAGCCCAGGAAAAAAAAGGATGACAAATGTAGTAGCATGTACCCATAACCAAGTTTCCTTGGTCAATCTTCCGAATGGCTATTTGGACTTGCATGCCCCTGGAATAGCATCCTGCATGCACGCTCTTGGTGTTGGACAGAGACAGGCAGGAAAGACCTGTTTGCCCTTTGTCAACTGATTCATATCGGGCATAGTTACACAAAGATAATACTGTTTTCCTTCTTCCCTCCTTCTCTCATGCCTTTTAACGCCCGCAAACACAAGGCTTTGATGAACGATAGGTGAACAAACAGCTTTTCACGTATATTAAAAAAGGCCACCTCATGTATACGTACACTCTTCCTCTCTCTTTGATCATTGCTCCTCTGGTTCAGAGACCTTCTTTCATCTATTCCTTCCCTCGCCGTTATCTATATCTCATTCCTTCGCTCCACCTCGCTCTCATCAGTCTCGCAATAGTTGTATTTCCGCATCATCACGTCCTTATTCTAGGTGGCAGTCTAGGTGGTCTCCTCCCGAGAGCCTTACTAAATCTGCAACATCCCTACACTATCCTTGAGGGTGCATCTACTGTCAAGATCCTCGGTACAAGGAATGATCCTCTCATGCTCCCCAATCGTCTCCGCTCATAGAGTTCAGTCAACTGCTCCTCCCCCTCTGATCCAAATGAGAGAACCGATTATGATTGTGGTGGGTCACTTGATGCACCATTATTGAATGTCCTATCATTGAACAACTGGCGGCTCTTTGAGCAGATCGCTGTTGCAGGTGAGCATATTTACCCGACGTTGATAATCAATGAAATCAAGGGGACAATGCGCTTCATAAACCTTCTTCTATCACACTCTTCGAATCCTCCGTGAACACACAATTATCCTGATGGCAACTAGACAGCAGCAACGACACCCACGCGCTCGTTGTAGAGAGCTCGAGCCTTCTCAGTGCTAGGCGAGATGTTGGGTGGGACGGTACCCTTGTCCTCTACAGGCTTGAGGAACCCAGCCTGCAAACGGTTCATAATCAGCCCCTTGACCTAACATGATATAGAGAAGAAGGTAAGCTTGATTGCGTGAGTGGTTGGGTTGACGATGTCACAAAACAAACAAAAATTAAAAAGCTCATCACTTGTCAAGGCAGTCGTCGACGTCTCTTACCGCGAGTCTCCACAGCCAGTTGGGCATATTGTTCTTCATAAACGAGGCAATTGCACCAGTGATACCGCCCTTGAGGAGCTTGCTCATCAGCAGACTGTTGTTGTAAGCTTCAATGGCAGGTGGGTATCTCTCGTCACGGTACTCCTTGAAGGTCTTGGTGATCTCCTCTGAGGTGTTGGATGGTAAGGCGTAGATGAGATTGGCCAATGCGATGGCATCGTGCATGGCAGTAATGGCGCCTGAAGTAAACAATGAGAAGAATGGTAAAGCGTGGGTGAGTAAGGGGCGACGAAATAAAGAAAATTGCCAACAGCGACTGACCCTGCTCTCGTTGTTACTTACCGACTCCAGCAGAGGGGTTGACCTTGTGGCAGGCTAAATAAAATCAGAAAAGTAATTAAGTAAAGACATCCCAGAACAGAAACATGCACACTACCTCTCACAAGGACAATAACCAACAACGAGCCACTTACCATCGCCTAACAAAACAGTGCGGCCAGACGACCAGGTCTTGAACACCTTCTCCTCTAGCATCACCTTGACGACGCGCTCCTTGGGCGTCTTGTCGTAGATGTCTCCCAAAGTCTTCTTTCCACCACCAAACGAGATGGATAAGTCTCTAGTCTGGTCACACATAGCTTGGGCAGCATGGGGTCCCCACTCGGAGTTATCCGTGTTCCTGAACCGCTGTTCCTGAGCTGCCCTGCTCGTTTTATTCGAGAGATGCTCCAGTACCATAAAACAGAGCGTGTTTTGCTTGGTAGAGAAAATGGTCCACTAATTGGGAGGAGGAACGTAGAGAATAGAAGGAAAGGTGTTAATTCCGTTGTTGAAAACACAAAGGTGATGAGGGACAATACACAAACACATTCACGACAGACTTACAGTGAATGGCTTATCTCTTGCAAAGGTGGTGACAAAGGGTTCCTTGGGGTTCTTGAGCTCAGGGTACTCCTCGAGATCCAAAGGGTCAGTTTGTCCCACCAAACAAGTGCAGCTGAAGGGGAGGTCTTCATGGTCAGACTTGGGCAAGGTCCCTTCCTTCTTGAGTCTGTTGTACAGTTGCTGACGGACGGCACTGTAAGCTCCATCAGCTCCTACAAGGATATCACCCTCATAAACAGAGTTGTCAGCAGCCTGGATCTTGACCTTGTCGTCCACCTCCTTGATTGTGAGTATGCGTTTACTAAAGTGAATCTTTTTTTGTGGAATCAGACTGAGAAGTAGGTCGTACAGTAGTGGTCGAGCAACGATGTAGCTGGGCAACCACCACTAATATTACGAGGAAGAGCGGAAAAGAGAAAATATGCGATATATAGATATTTTATCAACCTTGAGCGAAATGACAAACACGCAAGTTATGACACATAATAGTGAGAAACTAGGAGAATTCAGGCCCATACGTACTATTCTTCCATAGCAATAAAATCCGCTGGAGGGATGGGTGTGCCGTCCTCATGTCTAAAATTCCCGAATCGAGAGTACTTTGACATTGCAACGAACTTTTCGTCGATACCCAATTGGCGGAACAGGTACATCATCTGTCCAGCAAGGCTCATGGCGGACCCTGTAGTGTAAGTCAAGGTGGCAACGAGAGAGAGTTAGAACGAGAGCGAGAGTGAGCAAGTTAGTTAGTGCATCCTGATCGCAAGTTTCTTTGGTGCAAAAGGGGATGAGTGTATGTTACCAAGGGGCTTGACTGTGGAGGCACGCTCGAAAATGGCATAGGGGATGTTAGCCCTCTCCAGTAGGGCACCGAGCACAACGCCTCCCAGACCTGCTCCGACAATGAGGACGGTGGGGCGTGGAGTTGCGACTGTTGCAGACATGAGGGTGACGAAGGTTGAGTGGAGGAATTAGAGATGAAACCAGGGTGGTGAAAGCGGATTAAGGAATGACAAAGTGAAGAGAGTGAATGTAGATGATAGAGATGACAGATGGGAGATGTAAGAGGTGAGAGAGATGAGGGTCGTGGACCCAATTTTTTTCTGCTCTTTCCCCCTCCTTCCACTTCCTTCTTCCTTCTTCCCGAGTGGGCCAACTCCATCATTATCTCTTGCGATGGATTCGTTTGTGTTACACAACAAAAAGAACCAATCCCCTCGACTTAAAATTGCAGGTGTTCCTGTCCAGTGCAAACAGCAAAGAGTCATAGGCATTATCCATTGGACTCACCAGCTCCCATAATATCCCCCAGTGAGGGTGGTATGTAGCTCCTCCCTTGAATGCACGGACCATGAATGAACTTCTTTTCGGAAACCAAACTGATCAATTGATCACTACAAACTTGAATTTGATTGGGTGTCACCTTTATTGGTCTCAGTGCTCTCTCTGACGGCGTCATATTTACATTATCTAACATAGTCCTGAGATACACCACTGCGATGCTTTTCTAAACAAAACAATGGTCAAAGAAAATATGTCTCACTTCTCGAAAGCAGTAACTCTCATATTAAAAGAGCAAGAAAACAGCACAACCCCCTGCTACCCTAACAAAAACGAGCCAAATGGTGGAATAAACGAGGGAGGACTCGCACAGTGCGCACAAGTCCTTCCACGCTTGCTCATAAACCTCTGCCTTATCACAGACAAAAAAACCACACCTCACTGCATAAATACTACAATGGTATTTTGTTTGGGTAGAAATTGTAAATACTTAAATTGCAAAAAGGAGGTAAAAAAAGCGCGGAAACGAATTAAAAGTTGCGTTCACAAACGGCACCATAACAATTAGTACAGCTGCTTCCAGTTGTTAGATAACCAATCCATCCTGGCCCAAGAACGGCATCCACGACTGACGCGGGCATAGGGGTACTGATTGTTATACTTGGTTTGTTACGTTGTATCCTCAGCGTTGTAACAACTTCGATCGTCTTCCACAAACAATCCTCAAGATTGATCCTCGATTTGATATCTCACACTTCTATGCATCTGTAATACGGCGAGACCCAACGATTTGCCCTGAAGCGTAACCCCTATCCTGCAGATTATATTCGATGCATGCAAGGTAGGCGTCAGTCACACTCAATTTCTTCTCTTGGTCGAAGCAACTCAGAAACTTGGCTGTCGTGGCAGTCGTCAAAGCCATCAGGCTGGAGATCGTGACAGTGGTCACGAAGAGGGGGAGACTGCGGAAATGCATGTTGACGGACCTGGTAGATAGGCAGAGATGCATGGTTATTTTGAATGTGAAGGAATATTTGTTTTGGTGGAGAAGGAGAGGTGAAGGAAGGGTCTTTGTACGAGGGATAGAGATAAAAGGACCATTTTCTAGTTTGGCATGGACCGAACGATTGGTTGACTTACGATTGTAGCAGGCGTATGAGGAAGGTCTGAAGGAGAAGGAGTAGACTTTGAGGGAAGGTGCTGCATATCAGGTTTACAATTGCTGACTAGTTAGTCATTCTCTGTCACTCTCCCTCATCTCTGACTCTTATAAGCCACTAGACCAATAAACTTAGTTGGCAACTTGTGTTATATAGTTGCATCATAGTAACAACAATCGTCATCACTGCCTCAACCCTTGTCCCTGTCCCTGATCCCACTGTCTCTGCGTACAGCTATTGCAGAAGGGAGACGTGATCGGGTCGTGGTTGTTTGGATGGTTGGTGTTGTTGGAATACTACTGATTCAAGGATTGAAGGAGCCGACATTGAAGGGTCAAAAGGCAACGCTTCGCTGCTACAAGCCAGTTCAAAATAAGATAAGTTAACAACCAGCTAAAAAAAAGAGTGGATAGAATCGTACAATTGGGTTTATGACAAAAGAAAAATGATGGCTAGTCTACTTGTCTACTGGATGCGTCCTGTTAAGGTCAGAAAATAGTTTACGTCTAAGGATGGAGTAATCGCGACGATTATGAAACTTCTTCTCCTTGACCCTATCGTAATAACGCAGGGACTTGTACATGGAGACATCGGACTTGTACGTCAAAAACTGGCGTAGATCGTCCAAAAAGATGGCGTTGACCTTATAAACCTCTTCCTTGGGGACGAGAATCCTCTTGTATTTAAACACATCGTCCGGAGTGGAATGAGTCGCGAAGTCGAAATCCTTAGTCGGAGGTCCCTTCTTGTAGTCGGTCTCAGGATAGGTATGAAGCTTGTCACCGAACATCGAGGTCCAACCAGGTTTCTTCTCGAGCCTCTCATTCAAGTACAAACGACTGACCAGGACGATCGCGAATCGGGGCGAGACGACGAAAAAATTGTGGAACCAGATGCCAGGCTGACCTTCCCAAGCACCAAAACCACCCGCGGATAGGATAAATTCCGACCCTGTCTCTGCTTGCCAGATGCAAGCAATAGTTGAAGTCATCAAGCCGCCGAAGTCCTCCAGTTCAGAAGCATGAATCGGTCCCAGGTATGGACCTAAAAGCGCAGCAGGTCTCTTTGACTCGACTCTCGCTGCGATAGCTTTGTCATACTCTGTTATGATGTCCTTGACGGAGGCTTCGATGAGCCACTTGAGATTCTCGAACCAGACTGTCGGAACGTTTAAGAACCTGTTGTACTCCATGTGCCTTCTGATTGAGTACGCGGTGAGGAAGTCAAAATTCTGGTTGAAATACTGGCTCCTGCGGGCGTCACTACGGTATGCCATAACAACTAGAAACTTTTTCATATCCCCGAGTTGGGTTCGGGTCAACGAAAGGTCTTTTTCCTCATTCCAAATCTTTCGGATAAACGCAGCAGAAGTGCTCTCGTGTTTGGCAAGGAGCTTCTCAAACTTCATGCAATCGGCCTCGGTGACATCTCGGTACATGTCCTCGGCACCGTACGCTCGAGAGACGTTGGTCGGGTTCGTGGTGTGGTCGTCTAATCGGTATACATTGATATCGTATATGGGCCGCACTTTGCGCCTGCGCTTGCTTGGACTTCCTCGCTTGAACCATGAGAGACCTGGGTTTGACGTGTCCGTAGTGAACTCGTTGTTGTCAAGCGAGAAGTTGTCCGCAAACGTCTTGAGAATGAACCTTGGTATATAATGGTGAAACTGAGTTTGTGTCATGCTCTGTTTCGAGAAGGATGTTAATAATGTCAGGTCTAGGCTATCGACCAAAGTTTAAGATGGCGTGCCTCAGGGATACAAAATTCGGATTATATATGTACCTTGAGCTTCTGGTGGTTGTGATAAAGAAGGTGGAGAGGAAAAAAAAGACAGGGCAGAAGTGGGAGTGATAAGTGTGTTGTTGAAAATTTAGTCTAAGAAGGGCATGTTGACCTTTCTCAGGGTAGAGTCGGGATAGAGAATGGAGAGCAAGGATAAAAAGGGCAGGGATAAAGAATGGGTGCAGACGAAGTCACCAGATGAGGGGACCCATGGGCTATATATGCTTGGGTGGCAATGCTAGCTTAATTACTTTGGAGAGTCAACCGATCACGCCAAAGTCGACCGATCGCTTGCAGGCACACTTGATCCTATTGTACAACGCGACAATGTACGGGATTGAGAAAGAAAGTAGTGCTCGCATTCGAGCAGGCAAGAGTGAAACATTAGGCATAAAAACCTAAATACAAATACGAGTCCTATAGAACCACAAACCATGACGCGCGAATAGAGCGCTTTTAGGCACGTGTTGAAACTGAGCTCAAAATTTTACCCCTTACAGAGAAAAGGCAGGCATCCACCGTAGTGAAAGTGAGCAAAGTATTGACGACGCGACTTCGAATAAAAATGAGGAAGATCGAAAGAGTTGAGATCGACGCTGCAACAAGCCATTTATCTACATATGACTATGTTCCTTCGTCAAAGAAAATAGGGACAACGCGAAAGGCAATGCAAAAAGCAAACCAAAAGCAAACCAAAAAGTATAGTAAAAAGCATATCAAAAAGGCAAAGCAAAAGGCAAAGCAAAAGGTAAAGCAAAAGGCCAATCAAATGGAAAAGCAAAGGGCAGTGTCTCAATTTCAAAGGTACTTTCGACCACACCCTTGAAGTTTCCCTCAGTTCCCTTGAAATTTTAGTTGTGCAACCATGCTCGATATTTTCTCTTCGTTCCCCTTGTTGCTCTGTTGCTCTGTCAATTAACAATCCATCATAGTTACACGAGATAATTTCTATGAGAGGTAGGACTACCATGACTATCTCTTTCACTTTCAGGACCATCTGACTTTCACGCCGTCATGCGGGATGACCACGATAATTACACGAATCGGCCTGCCTACATGGTAAAGGGACGCTACTGTAAGAGATGAGCTTCTCGCCATTCTTTTCCCAGATCCTTTAACTCTCATGTCCCGCCGCACCAAGCCTGTCTAGATCACTGCGACTACAATGACTATGCAATGATCAAACAGAACTCGGAAGAATGTGTATTGCTTTTGCTATGTTTTATTATGAAGAAAAAGAAAGGAAAAAGAAGAAGAGTGTGCAGAAGAAAAGCAGGGGACAGATGGAAGTGGGTTGTTGCAGACTGGGGAACAAGACAGGGGAACAATGGGTCTACTTATGCTAAGGGCCGGATGAACAGAATGAACCAAGGCGGCGCTTGGACATTGGACGGGGCTTGGAACATGGGGCGGGGTTTGGTATCTTGGATGGGGCTTGGAATGTCCAGTTGGTGGCGTGTTAGGATTCTCTGCTTCCCCTTAAGCAGGGTCACCTATATTCTATCTGGTCACCACGTCCCTACCGGCCCCTAGGATCCTGAGTCGCGGCACACTTCGGCATCTCTATATAAATAACTAGCATTTCCTTAGAATTACCTTTAGTTCCTTTCCGTTCTCCTTCATAAATATATGTTTCTTTCCTTATATTTTCCTCGTCTTCATATCCCTCTTCCAGTGGACCTTCATCTATCTATCCCTTCTCTTTTCACTCTTCCTTCTAGAACTCATTACATTTGGGCTGACACCCAAATCCTGTACCTTTGATCGCTTGTGCTGCACTTTCCCCAATGACAGTCACCCGATTCACCGCTCAGCCGAACAGGCGGAAGTCACGTGACGAGTAATCTGAAGTCCTATTCTCGCGTGATCCAGGCAACCTGGGGCCTGGCAGCCTTGGGGCAAAACGTGGCAGACTATCTCTTTCGTCTTTGAAGGCCGTCTTACCTTTACGCCGGCATATGAGGTGACCACGAACCGGCATAACTGCATGCTAAGAGACGCCGTTGCGAGAGATGAGCTTAACATTCTTTTCACGATCTCACATCCCACCGCCATAACTGGCTGGGACAAGTTAAGGAGACATTTGGATGCCTTCCCTTGGAGACATCTCCTCTATTCAAGGACGCCAGCAGTAAAGGTGTTGTTGTGTACAAGAGCTGGCTGTCGAAGGCAGCGAGAAAGAAGTCGCATAAGTGCTGCGAAGACGCTTCCATCACGTCTACCGGCTTGACATGCTATGAATAATCCTTTTCCTTATTGGCCACCTCAACTTCTGTGCCTGTGCTGTCTCAGACCCCGAACCCTTGTACTCGCACATCTGTCCCTGTCCCCTTCGTCCCGTCTCTTCCTGCCGTCTCAGCCCTCGAACCCTTGTACTATGGTACATCTGTCACCACCCTAAATAAAGCCTACATACCTTTTATCGTGCGCCCAAAATGGTTTTACAATTGTAACAGCTATTACACTTCCTGCTTCTCTCACAAACACAAGCATTGATCTCCTCACACTTTTATTTGTTTTACACACTTCCATCATCATGGCGCGAAGATTGTCAATAAACCTTCCCTTACAGTGAAATGAGAGATGAGATTCAGGAAAAAAAGAGATGGAGAGGAAAAGTGGGGAGAGAGAGAGAGAGAGAGAGAGAGAGAGAGAGAGAGAGAGAGAGAGAGAGAGAGAGAGAGAGAGAGAGAGAGAGAGAGAGAGAGAGAGAGAGAGAGAGAGAGAGAGAGAGAGAGAGAGAGAGAGAGAGAGAGAGAGAGAGAGAGAGAGAGAGAGAGAGAGAGAGAGAGAGAGAGAGAGAGAGAGAGAGAGAGAGAGAGAGAGAGAGAGAGAGAGAGAGAGAGAGAGAGAGAGAGAGAGAGAGAGAGAGAGAGAGAGAGAGAGAGAGAGAGAGAGAGAGAGAGACGGGTTTTTCTTCTTATGCAACAATAATACATTTTACGCCAATGGACCCGCAACCCGCAGGAGGGAGGGATGTGAACACAAGAGCTATGGTGATACAGATAGGGAGGGAGGGTCAGACAATGGTTGACATATGAGAACGATCTGCGCAGAGGGTGGAGTATTTACTGCTGCTAAGGAGAGCGACTTTTCACGAGCACTCGTTCCTCCGTGAAAAAAGGGAGTATGGCAAGCATAGCAAACATAGCAGCTGTGTAGCTCGCTCAAGCCAACCACACCTTCTTCGTCTCTCTGCCTTGTTGTAAGCCTATGGAAGAACATGGACCAGCCAATTGAATAGTCCCCGCGATAGTATGGGCGTTGGATTGGTCTCTGTGCTCTCTGTTCTCTCTGTTGTGTTTGTTCCCGTTAAACTCAGAAATGCTCTCATTTTACAATCCCTCGTTACATTCTAGACACAGCAGAGAGACCATTGTTGTTGTTGTTGTTGTTGTTGTATCTTTTTTATTGTGGTTCTTTGTACAGAGTATTATCGTGGGCGGGTATGGTTGGACTATCCTTGCATCTCAAACAGCAGTGACAGGCTGCTCTGACGATCCGTCCGCCTGTGTTCTCGCCTGAGGTCCCTTGATATACAAACTAGGCTGATGTACCCGTGGGAAGGCGCCGTTGTCTTCGACCGGCGGCAAAAACGCAACTTGAGGACGATAGCAGAACTGACGAGACTCCACTCTCCGCATAACGAATCCAGGAATGTGCTTGAAGAATTGTCGAATGATCTTTTGGCTTGAGTGACTATGTAGCCATTGCTGAAAGGAAGATATCTAGACAGGTATCCTTTTCTAGGTACCTGTCGCATGCACTAATGTAATACACCCTTTCCATGAATGGTTATCCCATACAAGCTCATCGCACAGTTGATTCTCCACCCGCTTCTCCATGCTATCTATTATGTAATAGCTGGCAAAAGTCTGTTAGCCCTTACTCCCGAAGTCCCTTTTGTTTCTGTGGATTCTCTTCTCTGTTTTGTGGTGGCCAAAGCTCAAAATTCGATGCATGATTGACAGGGAGCTCTTGCTCTCCCTCTTGCCTCTCCCTCTCTTGCTTGCCTCTCCCTCTTTCCTCAACGCCCACCCATCTCTTTTTCCATCTCTCTTCCCCGCTCATCAAGTTTTTCTTCATCCACTTTTTTCATCATCCCGCTCCCTCTTCATTCCCGCCACACATCATCGTCCTCACTCCCGACATCCTTTATTCTCTCATCTTGGCGCTCTACATCAGGAAAGCAAAGGACATCACCATGGAGATCAACCCCGCAGTCACATTTAAACACGACCGTTCGATTATGTACGCCAAACGACCCAAGGTCCTTATCGCCGGTGCAGGTCTGGCTGGACTTACCTTGGGCATGCTCTTGCACAAGGCCGGGATCCCTTTCGAGATCTACGAGCGTGCCGCAGAAATCAAACCCCTTGGTAATAGCCTGTTCCTGGATTACTCTTTTGATTCTGATGACTGTATTTCTCTCAGTAGAACGTCCTTCACCTAACCCAAACCCTCCGTGCTGTAGGTTCGGCGATGTACTTCAACTGCACTACCGCCAACCTCTTTAAGCAGTGCGGGATTTATGAAGAGTTTGTCGCCCTAGGCAAATACGTCTCTTCTATCAAGATGTGTAACGAGAACCGAGAGCTCGAATTCTCAGTTGATTTCGAAGGGCATGAAGAAATGTAAGATACTGGCGTATTTTTGATTTCCTCTTCTTGAACAAAGAGCGCCATGAGAATAAGAAACCAACATAGGACTCTCGTCTTCCCTGATAGGTATGGCGCCAACGGATACATTGTTTCTCGACCTCAGATTTATGACCTAATCCTCCGCCAGATTCCGGGGGAGCGTGTTCACTTGGGAAAGAAGGTCCTCACCATGCAGCAAGGCGGCAACGGCGTCCTTATTCGCTTCAGCGACGGCAGTGAAGCTGAAGGTGACATCCTCGTCGGAGCCGACGGAGCTTACAGCGCTGTCCGTCAAGGGATGTATGAAAAGCTGAAGAAGACGAATAAGCTCCCAGCATCTGATGCACTCCCACTTCCCTTCAGTACAGTCTGCCTTGTCGGCCAAACTCATCCTCTTTCTGCTGAAGAGTTTCCTGATCTAACAATCGACACGTCTCAGTTCTGCAACTTTATCGCAACTGACAAGATGTACACGGTAACTACTTTTCTTGGATACATCCAACTGTATCCTAGCACTCTTATACCTTATCATCTCTAACGCCTACATCTTGTTCTTGTTATTCACTGTTAGTGGTCCACAGCAACAACTGCCCAGAATACCGTGTGTTGGGCTGCCATTCTCTTCCTTGACGAAGAAACCAGCAAGGACAATGACTCTTTCCGTAACTCGGAATGGGGCCAAGAGGCTGCCACAACGATGTGTGAGCAAGTCAAGGATTTTCCTATTATCAGCGGAGGCGACAAGATCCTCACTCTTCAAGACTTGATCGATCGTTCTCCCAAAGAATTCATCTCCAAGGTCATGCAGGAGGAGAAGGTCTTCAAGACCTGGTTCGATTGCCGCACGGTTCTCATTGGCGATGGTATGTTTTTGTTTCGTCTGTTTTTCCTTTCACATACTTGTAAGCAGCGACGAAATAAGCAGAACTTCTTCGTCTCTGACATTTTTCTGTGTGGTATTCCAATTACGCTTTTTCTTTGGATTTTGGATATTAGCATGCCATAAGGTAGAGGGAATGATTGTTGTTGTGAAATGATGAACCATGTTACCACAGTACTGTGGAACCATTGTGCTTACTTATCCTATACTTTTCGCACTGCATCATAGTTCAACCCTGCTGGAGGAGTGGGTGCTGCCAATGCCATTCATGATGCCATAGCGTTGGCGAACGGCATCAACGGACTTCCCTTCCACCCTGTTGCTGATGAGATTGAAGCTGTATTCAGGGCCTACAAGGAGGAGCGCATCGACTGGGTTGAGAAGGCATTTGATAACAGCAAGGTCTTCAGGACCATGGCGGGCCAAGTAAAAGAAGGCCTTTTTCCTTACCCTATGAGGTAATGTCTGTGTTATACAAGGCACGACGACCAGTGACTAATTCCGTTTTTTGTTTTCGTCTTGCTCCATCTTTAATGTGCATAATAGTCTTTCGCATCCAAGGTCACCCGGTATTTTGTGAAGCATGCGCCTCTATGGCTCATGCAGAAGATTGAGCGTCGCCAGTTCACCCAACGATCTCAGGCTGCCTTTTTGCCTGCAGCTGAGGACAAGGGTATTGTTAAGACTGCTCCTCAGCCTAGTTTGTCTATCAAGGCTCCTGAGGAGACCGAAGAATCGAAAACAACTCAAGCTGTGTAGAGAGAGAGAGTGAGAGAGAGAGTGGGAGAGAGATTAAGCGTTTATATTTTACCCTAATGCGTTGGACAAGAGCATAGTCACCGATGCGTAGCAATACATCCAGATACTAAAGACACACACTTCTCGTGGCCTGTTTCTCCAATGGATTCTGCTGCTCCATGTTGTGTGTCCGTAACTTTTAAAGCAGTCCGATTGAGAGCAATTGCATTCACCAGACAAAGCATGCACTGTAATAGTATCTGCAACCCCATGATATCATGCGTTCGATTTTCACCATGGTGATTACAGTTGAACGTCTGTGCTAGCCGTTGCAGAGGAAAACGAGTTGGTGGACGTCGTGTTGCGGCCGCGACGATCCTTGCGAAGGCTATGGCGCCTTGGTCGCTAGTTGTTATTATTGCCGTAGTTATTGTTCTTGGAAGAGGATACTTCTGGCTTGTCGTCAGAGTCGTCATCGATGAGACAGTTTGGTCTCCTTGAGCGAAATCATCGGGTCCGTCCATTTCCGTGAGGGCAGTGAGGATATCATTGATCGAGTTCAACTTGACCTCGGACAAGGAGGTGTCAGCCTTCTGGAGTGAACTTTTAATGAACATCTCCTCTATTCAGGCGCACCAACAGCAATGGTGTTGTTGTGTACAAGGGCTGTCTGTCGAAGGCAGCGAGAAAGAAGTCGCAAAGGTGCTGTGAGGATGCTTCGATCACTTCTACCGGCTTGACATGCCATGAATAATCCTTTTTCTTGTTGGCCACCTCACCTTCTGTCCCTGTGCCGTCTCAGACCCCGAACTCTTGTGCCCTTGTACATCTGCATGTACCACCACCCCAAATAGAACCCAAATAACATTTAGTGTGCTCCCAAATAGTGTTTCCATGACGACAGCAATTGCACCTCCTGCTTCTCTTACAAGTACATGCATTAATCTTCTCTCTCTTATTTGTTTTTTTCACCATGGCGAGAACTTTGTCAGTGGACCTTCCGGGGTGAATGCAACTGCCTCTCTCCTGGCGTCGAAAAAATGTCGTCAAATCCAAAGCATCACTTTTTTGTCTTATCATTGTCATCTTCCTAGCCTCAGTAAAATTTGCTTTTTGCATCATGTCATCTCCGTCCTGTTACGTTCTGGGGGAGTGGAGCATCCACTCCTCCTTTTTTTATTCATAATAGCATATAAACGCTATAATATTCAGCTGGTCTGGTTCGGTTATAGTAGAAGGATCAGACCAGGACCCTAATACAACCCACCCTTCACTTCTCTTGACATCTCTCTCCTCAAATAAGCTAAATCTTCAATTCCACAAGTCTGAATATGGCTCTGTCAAGAAAGCAGACCAAGCAATAGAATGAAGTTGATAAAGAGAACCTTGATCAAGGACTAGGAAATGAGTATAAGGAATAGGTTAAAGCGTATGTTGTATTGGCGATACCAAGTAAAGAGCTATAGATTTGCTATCTAAGGCCCTTTTATATTTGTTAGGGCGAAGTCACAAGAGCAAGCTCTTGTCTCGTGACAGGCTCAATCTCACAGATCATTTTTATCATTAAAGCGAGCGAATGAGGAACAATCCCAAAAAGCGCAAGTCAGTCGCCTTTGGCGAGTCCGACATTTCCGTCCTTCGCACCTCTAATAATCTCCTTCCCGAAAAGCCCTCTCGCTCGTCATCATTGTCCCCGACTAAGCTACTAAATATTTTCCCGGCTACCCTTCAACACGAGTTCAGCCGCAACAGATCAGAGTCAACTTCCTCTGAAAGCTAGCCCAGACGCAACGTGAATTATTCTCGACGCGGATCAAATTATCTCTCGACTTGTGCTCTTCACGGATCAAGCCACCACGGACTGCAGTCCATGAGTCTCCTTTGCGATCAATCACTTTCAAGTTTCCCGGACTTGCTCTCAGAATCCGACCAGAGCGGCTGCGATGAGGGCAACGGTTCGTACAAGGAGAACAAAAGATCTAGCAGCATCCCTATCCACCAGGGAGTTCAAGGATTCAAGAGTACGCCCACCGACCGAGTCACAGCACATGTATGACACTAGATCGTGGGAGAAGTAAGGCGACGTCGTTCCACTCCAACAGAGTGCGGCTGTGGGAATGAGCTTCTCCTTTTTGCCTTTTCTGTCGCAGTACCAGCCTGACTCTCAAGAGCTCTATGACAAAGGCGAGCGACTCGTGCCTTCCGATAACCACCCATCTTTTTCCGGTCCAAATGTGCAGTACCAACTAGACTGAGTGGACATTCGCAAGACCAGGTCCAAGAAGGCTCCGAGGGTAGCCAAGGTTCGGAGGATCAGAACAGGTGGAATACAATGTTGATCGATTAGATGAAGTCCAATAAAACACATAATGCCTTGTTAGAACCATCCACATCTTCCTCCCCTCGGAGGTTTATGGATGAAGAGAGTGGATGACATGAGAGGATATTGCGCCTACAAGAGGCAAAGTTTCTTGAGGATAGAATTTACAATAGCCACGTTTTGTTACTTTTATGTTTATATAATGATGAGTTATAATAAGAATTTCTAAAGATAGCGACTGTCTAGTAAGAAGCCACACCTTCCTCTCTCTCTCTCTTCTTTTCTTCTTTACCAAAACGACTTGTAGGTATTGGCCTCCTTGTGGTAGCGGTAGAGTCTCCTTCTTTAAGATTTGCATCAATTACGTCCAAAATAAAAACACAGACGACAAAAACATCGAGACGGGCGACAGTGGGAGTTCAAGGATCCGAGCGCAGCAAAGGCACATGGAAAACGAAATTGGGAAGGTCATTGAGGCAAACAATGGACAATGATACTTAGTATTTTTCAAGTCTAACGATACCCCATGTTCAGCAAAAGAAAAATTATGGTTGTACAAAGAATCCATCCTCCATCCGTGCCGGCACAATCACACGCCTCTGTACTGATGTTAATATGTCAATGTGTTAATTTGTACCGTAACCCAGACAAATCGGTTTGGGACAAACAACAAACGACGACCGCAGTTCATGCATTTATTCATCTCCCCGCACATGAGGTTAGAACACGCCTCGGAGCGGCCAAGGACCCACGCGCTGCTGAAGAGCGACTGCTGGGGAGTCTGTTAGGAAGGAAGACGTTGTCAATGATGGAGAGGATGGGAAAATCACTTTAATTCGTATCTAGTATTTTTGTCTCCAGCTTAAGCTGTAAAGAGCGACAATTGTTGTGCAGAGCTAGGTTCTGGATCGGACTGCAACTGGTAGATAGTACATTAAAGAGTTTGGTCTATAATCCTTTTTTACTTCCAAATGACTTTTCTGTGCAGTTTGTTAGAGAAATAAAATTGTGTACGGCAAAAAAGCATCTATCCATCTCCTGCTGTCAGTGGCCTCGTTTGTACAGAGTCATCATCATCGTAAAATAAAGTGTCGATCTCTTTATTTATCGCTATACAACATGTCTCCAACCCTCATTTGGCAAGAACTGCACCCGCTCGCTTCTCAAAGACACTCCTAGCCTTCTCGCAACTAGGTGACACCGCAGGAACAACGCTTCCCTCAACTTTGACCCGTTCCAAGAACCCAATTTGAGGTCTGTGAACACACCCAGGCTTGACAATAAGGTTGTTCCACACCCACAAAGGCATGTACTTGGATGCTTGGAACGCGATCCAGCCTCCGATTCCTCGCTCCATGCCCTTGGCCATAGCCTTGCTGCTGTTATATGCGTCGATGGCTGGAGGCATGCGCTCGTCCTGGTACTCCTTGAAGCTCGTCTCAATTGACTCGTTGGAGTTGGAGGGGAGGGAATAGATCAGGTTTCCCAACGCAATCGCATCATGCATTGACGTCAAAGCTCCTATCAAAGTGAAGGAAAAAAAATATAGTAAGCAACAAAACCAGTAAGCATGACTTTTCTCTTCATGTGTTGTAATGCAGTCGACTGTACCTACCTTGACCTGCAGCAGGGAGAAACTTGTGACACGCTATGTCAACACCAAGCAAGGATCGCGTTGAGCATTTAGTATCCATATACATACTCATTTCTTTACTGTTCATCCATCATGAACAGCAAATGTCATTTACCATCTCCCAGGAGGACAGTGCGTCCAGAGAACCATGTTTCAAAGACTTTCTCTTCGAGCGACACCTTGGAGATCAGCTCCTTGGGTGTCTGATCGTACAAGTCTCCCAGAGTGAAATCTCCAGTACCGAAAGGGATATGAAAGTCTCGGGTTAGGTCGCACATCACCTGGGCTGCATTGGGACCCCATTCTGAGTTGTCATCGTCGCCAGCACGATCCCTTTCGGCCGTCTTGTTGGTGTATTTGTCGAGATGTTGCACCACCATGAAGCTGATCGTGCGACTGGATGTTGTGAACAGGACCCACTTTTGTTAATCCGTGTGTGGATTGAAAAAGAAAAACGATGTTAATGCGCCTATTAGAATCCAAGGAGGGAAAAAATGAGGACACCATTCGCGAAAATATATTGAAAATACACAAGGATCACTTCAAGGTACTCACAGAGTAAGGCAGGTCCTTGCCAAGGGTGGTGGCGAACGGCTGATCAACGTTGTTCAGCTCCGGAAACTTTGTCGCATTCAAGGGCTTCGTTTCACCCACAAGACAAGTGCAACTAAAAGGCAGAGCTTCCTCGTCCGACTCCGGCAGTTTGCCTTCTCTTCAACCGCTCATACAATTGTTGGCGGACTGTGCTGTATGCACCGTCGGCTCCGACAAGGATATCACCCTCGTAGACAGAGCCATCCGTGGAGTTGACAAAGACTTTGTTGTCCTTCTCAGAGATGGTCAGGACCCGCTTGTTGAGGTGGATCTTTTGTAAGGGAATGAGGTTGAGCAAGAGATCGTATAGCAAATGGCGAGAGAGGATGTGAGGTTGGTGTCCGCCACTACAGTAAGGCAAAGAGAAAGTTCAAAAATTCAGTGCTTTTTTCGCCCTCGGGTCTGTTCGCTTCCCGGTCTACATGTGCTTGTGAGTGAAAAGTAGAGGATAAGAACGTACAAGCCCTTGATAGCGGTGTAGTCCAGAGTGAGTAAGAGTTCCTTGGGCTCCCTCAGAACCAACGAGTGGAGGGAGGGATTGGCGAGGGAGACCAGCTTGTCAAAGATACCGAGTTGCTGGAATGCAGGGACAAGGCCACACCCAACAGAAATCGCCGCCCCTAGAATTTTTATGTGCAATGGATAAAGAAAGTATGCATCAGTCTGATCGTTGCTGAGAGGGAAGAAAAGGAGTGGATGCGTTGTCTGCGTTAGGTACGTGTATATGCATGAAGTACCTAAGGGCTTGACGGCGGAGGCACGTTCCAGGATGACATATGGGACAGAGCACTTTTCGAGGAGCGCTCCAAGCATAATGCCGCCCAGACCAGCTCCTACAATGACTACGGTGGGAGGTTTAACTTGCGTGTGGGTGTTTGTCATGGATCAAGAAAAAAAGTAATAGTGATGGGATGCGTAATGAAAGAGATATCGGATGGAGAAACATGAAGATGAGAAAGAGAGATTCAGATGGGGAGACGAAAAGAGTGGGGGTGAGGGGATGTGGACTTGTTTGTGAGTGTCTGTGTCTGCTCTCATTTCTTGTAGTTTGGTGTTGTTGATGTTGCTGCAGCTGTTGTCGAAGGGACAAGGGTGTTTGTATGCAATGATTGTGTCACATTCATTTTGTGTGCCACTTTTTATATTTTTCTGCTCTCCTCCAATAGGCATAGGACGCATGCAGAAGGAACAAAGAAACGGCACTACAGGACAAACAAACATCCTCCACCTCACAGAGGCGCAACGCCTCGTCGCTTCCTTTCATCAACAGGGACCGTTTCAGAAACGCCTTCCAACGTACTCGGGGACTATGCTTCAACCATTTCTTTTTGTAACCATTCAACAAAAGGAGGCTTAAAGGGAATGATGCTTCCCAGCCATATTCTATTTCTTTCCGTTGTCGTTTACCCCTTCTATGCATGCGCGACATGGAAGGCCTCACTTTTTTTCTTTTTCATGGGTGCGTCGACTCTCACTCATCTCTTTTAGTTAGGCACAGTCTTATGTGATAGATGGATTGCTTACTGAAAACCATCAGGCATGGAGCGCACACACACATAAATACACATTATTTAAATGAAGGCACTCATTCTAACCAAGCCATCCTTTATTCTCCCCTCGTCAAAAAAAAAAACTCCAACTTGCTTAAACAGAGACAGTCCCATGGCGCTGACGATACACCTCCCTCGCCTTAACACTACTCGCTGCCTCTACAGGAACAACCGTCCCTTTTAGCTCAACCTCCTTCAAGAACCCTATCGTCGATCTCGAAACAACCATCTTCTTCACAAACTGCCTCCACAAGAAATCCGGCAGGTTCTGTGCAACGAACAGAGCCACCTTACTACCAAAATTCTTGCCGGTGAGCATGGAGAGGGTTTGGCTGGCATCGAAGGCTTTTACCGCGGCGGGGTAACGCTCGGCGCGGTATTCGGAGAATGTGGTTTGGATTTCGGAGAGGGAGGGGGAGGACATGGCGTAGAAGAGATTGGCGAGTGCCATTGCGTCTTGCATTGCCGTGAACGCTCCTTTTGGAACAGAAAGATGGGTGGGTGAGTGGGTGATCGGCTTTTTGAGTGCTGGGATTTTTTCATTCCCTTTTACAAAAGTACGAGACGACGAGTACCTTGTCCTCCTGCAGGGTTCAACTTGTGGCAGGCTAAAACATACAGAAACGCAAATACATAAAAGTCAGTGCCAAATGCCACAATTTCCCATCCTTCATTATCCCTTCTGCTCGCAACAAAAGAAAAAGGGTATACCGTCGCCCAAAAGAACAGTGCGACCGCCAGACCAAGTCTCAAAGATCTTCTCCTCCAGCGAGACCTTGGAGATTAAATCCTTTGGCGTCCTGTCAAACATATCCCCAAGAGTCCTTTTTCCATCCCCAAAATGGATCGGGAACCCGCGAGTCTTGTCCATCATTGATTGAGTAGCACTGGGACCCCACTCGGCGTTCTCGGCATTGTTGGTCGTACGTTCTTCCTCGGCGGATCTGCTCGTATAGGCGTCCAGCTGCTCTACTAACATCCATGCTATGGTGTTCTCTGCCGTTGGAAAAAGGGACCACTAACAGATTGATAGCGAGGTGGGCGAAGAGGAAAGAGTAGTCGTCAGTACGTTCATTTCGTGCTTTCACAAAGTCGCACATCTGGCAATATCCTTTTTTTTCCTTGTAGTGAATGATATGGCTTACGATAAATTGCTTATCGTCGCCAATAGTCGTAAAAAACGGATACCGTGGATCCTTCAACTGCGAATAAACCTCCAAATCCAAGGGCTCAGTCTGTCCAACAAGACAAGTACACCTGAATGGCAAATCCTCCTGATCTGGTTCTGGCAATCGTCCTTCCTTCTTCAATCTCTCATACAACCCCTTCCGGACACTGCTGTAAGCACCATCGGCTCCGACGAGGATGTCTCCCACAAAGGTTTCTCCGGTAGTGGTGTGGACCTCAACTTTGTCGTTTGTCTCAAGGATGGTGTCGACTCGTTTTCCAAAGTGGATCTTGGAGGTGGGGATCTGGTTTAAGAGGAGGCTGTAGAATAGAGGGCGTGCGACAATGAAGCCTGGGTATCCTGTGCTGCAAAAGAGCGAAGGGAGGGAACAAGCGACAGTGAGTGGAGGCTGTAGGGCGAAAAGTCGAACAAAAATCAAGGTTCATGCACAAAATTTGATGTTGCGATAAACAAAACACACACAAGGAAGGAGGAGGGGGGAGTAAACATACAATTCATCCATGGGGCTATAGTCGAGGGCAAGCAACTTTTCCTGGTTCTCTTTGATGAACATCGAGTAGCGAGCTCGCTTTCCGAGGGCAAGGTATTCCTTGTCGATGCCCATTTGTTCAAACACCGGGACCATCGATGGACCCACAGCCAAGGCCGAACCTGCATATCAAAAAAGGGGAGCGAGATAGGTTAGGTCTGTGTGTTTATTATGTTACTGTGTGAGAAACAAAGGAGAGGGAGGGAGGTATGCATGAGAGGTACTTGGAAAAATGAAAGTGTGGCTGCTTCATTACCAAGGGGCTTGACGGTCGTTGCACGCTCGACTATGAGGTAAGGGATATCTGCCTTTTCCAGAAGTGCACCTAGCATAACGCCTCCCAGACCTGCTCCGACAATAAGGATATTAGGTTTCGATTCTCCCGACATCGCGTTTCTCACCCTTGTGGAATGTAAGTTGTGGAGGTGTGAGATGAAGAAAGAGGGGATGAGAAGAAGATGGATTCTGAATTCAGATGAGGACAGAGATGAAAAGAGAAATGGGGGGAAGAGAGATGCCCACCTATACAGAGTGAATGCTCACAACTATTGTCCAGCCGTACTTGCTGTTTTGTTTTGTGCAACGTGCACAACAAGCCAAAAACATAAAATAATATGTGCCACGCCCATGCAAACAACAGGACGGTGCATGTATCTCCTTTTCTTCATATGCTACAGCCCTCAGAAGAACAGAGAGCATATAAGAGACCAGACAACCAAAACCCACCTGGCGCTTCCTGCAGTCACTCACAAAACAGTCCTCCCGATACCAAGTGCACGGAGCGCATCATCACCATAACCCATTTATCACCACCACTTCCCCTTTTTCACATACAAGCAGTCTCAGGCACACACGTCTGATTGGCAGAGTTCCTCTACAATCAATCACCATCACCTTCGCTTTACTTAAAACCCGCCCTGCTGGCGTTGCCAAAACACCGCTCTAGCCTTCTCAGTACTCGGTGACACATCCGGCGCCACAGTACCCCGAACATCCACCTCCTGCAACCATCCAGCTGTCGGTCGATTCTGGACCATCTTGCGCTTTGTGATCCTGAACACCCAATCTGGCAAGCCCTTCATCAAGAAGAATGCCACCCATCCGGTGATGTTTCTGTTCATGAATTTAGAGAGAAGTTGACTGTTCTCGAAGGATTCCATGACGTGCGGGATCCGCTCAGTTTGGTACTCTGAGAAGGCCTGGATGATGTCGCTCGAGGTTGGGTTGGAGGGAAGGGCGTAAATCAAATTTGCTAGTGCCAGTGCGTCGTGCATTGATGTCACCGCGCCTATGTGAAACAAATGAGAAAGAGAAAAGAATAAGGGGAAGAAAAAGAAAACGAGGTCAGTGGCAAACAAGTACTATGCATGTGAGCCAAAAAAAAAAAAAAAGTTATCTGCGTCGCTGTCATGCCCGATCCGCCCGAATAAAGAAATATCGTTCCGCATTGTCTTGCTCAATTTGGACATACCGTGAGCACCGGAAGGGTTCAGCTTATGGCACGCTAAATCATACAACGAGAAACAAAACAGCACCGTTAATATCATTGCCGATCCATCCTCGTCTCTCTCTCTCTCTCTCTTCTCCGCATTTCACACACTCCCTCCCCTCCCCTTCCCTTCCCTTCCCTGCATTTTTTTTTTTCAAAACTCAAGAGCAAAACTAAAATCTTACCATCGCCCAACAAGACCGTCCTTCCGGAGTACCAAGTCTCAAACACCTTCTCCTCCAACATGACTTTAGAGATCAGATCCTTGGGAGTTGCATCATAGATATTCCCCATCGTCATCACTCTAGTTCCAATCGGCAGCGGGTAATGTCGGGTCTGCTCAATCATCGCCTTGGCTGCAACAGGACCCCACTCCGAGTTCTCACCGTTCCACGCTCGTTCCTGCTCTGCGGCTTTACTGGAGACAGAATCGAGATTGTGAATCACCATCCATGTAATTGTTTTCTGTGCTGTTGCCCCGATAATCCACTATGTTCGCACAGACATAAGTAACCAAGAAGGAGGAAGCGTTAGAGTACTCCCATACATGTGCTGTTTTCTCCTCTGTTAAAAAAAACAACAACTACAAAGAGCCTCAAGTCTCCAAGGCACTTACAGTGTAGGGCTCGTTGGCAGCCATGGTATTATAAAAAGGACACAACGGCTGCTGGAACTCTGGGAACACATCCATATCAATCGGCCGTGTCTGTCCCACAAGACAAGTACTATGAAACGGCAAATCCTCCTGATCCGTAACCGGTAACCTGCCCTCCTTCTTTAACCGCTCATACAACTGTTGCCTAACCGTACTGTATGCTCCATCGGCCCCTACAAGGATATCGCCCTCGTAGGTTCGCTCCTTTTGGTCGTAAATGTCCCGTTTGGAGGTGTGGATCTTGACTTTTCTGTCAGTCTCGGTGATTGATAAGACTCGTTCTCCGAAATGGATCTTGTGCGGTGGGACGAGTTTGAGGAGGAGGTCGTAGAGTAGCGCGCGTGGGATGTTGTAATTGTAGTATCCCGTTCTATTCGTTTTGGCATAAAAGAATGCGTTAAGATACTAGTTGAGGGAAACAATTCCTCCTCTCATTGTTGTGCTCGCTGTGTCAACCTTGGGACTTACAGCTCTTTGTGCACAAGAGTGCTGACGGTACAAAGAGGTCCCCCTTTCTCACGACTGATGATACACTCAGTAGTCGCCTTTCCCAGTGAAATAAACTCTTCCATGATCCCCAATTGCTCAAACAACGGCAGCAAGTTGGGTCCAATGATAAGTCCCGAGCCTACACATACAAAAGGAAAGGAAGAACGATGGTAAGAGACTGCCTTTGTTTGACCTGCGCAGGAGACATGTAAAAATGAGAGAGAGGAGGGTGTCAATACCAAGGGGCCGCACAACCAAGGCACGTTCAAAAATAGTATATGAAATCTCTGCTCTCTCCAGAAGTGCTCCCAAGAGAAGGCCTCCTAGACCAGCTCCGACAATGAGGACCGTGGGTTTCTTGATGTTCGACATGTGCGATGTAAAGGAAATGAATGTAACTTGGTGAGATGAATGGAAGTAAATAAGTGATCGAATGAAAAGAAAGGAAGAGGAAGAGAAGGGAGATGTTGATTCCTTCCCCTCTTCTTTTCTGTTTTCGTTGTTGTCTTCGGAAGGGAGGAGTCGGCTGCTCACTGAGACATCGGCTTTAATTTCGTAGCATGCGCATTTGGAACTGAACACTTCTACATGCAATTTGCCATATGCGCTGGGGTAGGCGCCTGTCTCTCTATTTTCCTCATATACTTGGAGAGCGGGAAAGAGGTGGTGGTAAATAAGCCAAGTAAGTACCTACCAAAAAAGAAGCACTGACAACAAAGGTAGCTTGTTGGTAAGGAGATCACCCATGCCATCCCGAGGCTTCCCTTCTTTCGCCCCCCTCTTCTATACCCAATGCACGGTCATGTCCACCTGCGATGCGCACGGTGCACATCTACATCACTTTCCCTCGATCACAATGATCACACATCACTAATTGGAGGTTCTTCGACTTGCCACACCCGTCATCGCTCCCTCCATGGTCGACAGGCCATGCTGGCAACTCTTCCCCTCCCGAACAAAGAAATACACTGAATGTATCCAGTAAATCTATATCCTAACGCGTTCGACGACCTGCATCACGACCTTTTTTCGGGACCTACCGCAAACAGAGGACCTATGGAACAAGTGATAACTGTATTGACTGAGTTTTGCTGTCAGTGTAGTGTATGTATGAGGGAGAGAAGGAAAGAGAGGGCGCCAGGAAGGAAGGATACTCAGTCTCCGCTTTCCAGCCAACTTGTATCCCACTCGAACAAAAAATATGGACAGCTCATTCTACCACGACAGAATGAGAACAATGGGGGAAAGGAGAGAACAAAAAAAAAGGCACTAAACGAGTCTGCACATTCGCACATGAAGAGACAAGAAAAAAAGGCGATAAACTACAACAGACTACAAAAACACATTCACGTACTAGCGGGATCCATGGAGTCGTATTTCTCGTAATAGCAGTAGCAGTCGTAGTATTCGTCTTCCTTCTACACTTCGTCACCGCTACTTTACTCGATTAGATCACGCTGTGTCCCCAAAATCTTCGTGAACACAAGCCAATAGGAGAAGTCCCTAAAAATCCCCACCCCTGACGGTCGTGGCGGTTTGCCCGGTTCAGATTCATCCATCCCTAGAGTACCGTAGGCATGTCGTTTGGTCGGTCGAGAAGGAGGTGGGCTTCCGGCTCTCTTCAAATTGGAACCCACAGTCTCTATTCGGCTCTCCGAACGACTAATGCGTGTTTGCATATACATGTCGAAATAGATTTGCTTATCCCGATGCACCTCCGATACCCCAATCCGTGCAAGGCGTTCTGTTACCTTTTCCAACTTCTCACAATCATTCATCAGATCCCCTGCAAGAATGCCAATGAGCGCAGTCTACAAAATTCAACAGCATTGAGGAGTTTAGTATACTTGTTCAGGTTGTTCATTGACATATTTTGAGTCTTCACAATATAAATAGAAATAGAAAATGCGGACATACTGCATGTGTGTCATCAACTTTGACAATATACTCCTGGCCAAACTCATCCATAAGCTTGAGCTTGAAGTCGTACTTGAACTCGACCCCACCGTCGTGTTTGCAGCTCGGGCACCTGGGAGCAGGCACTTTCTTTGACCTAGGTCTATTTAGTACATCACATCGTTAGTGTGTCGTGTAGTTGCTGCACGTACAAGTATATAGTTTCTAGGGCAACCGTGTACCAACTTACGGGTACTTGTATTCACACCTAGAACACACTAGACTAGAAAAGTCGATAAGTGTCTTCGGCTCAAATCCGACGACACAAGCGCACAACGGCATCACACGAAGGCCCTAAACAGTCATTCCCAAATAATAAGATAACTGTGATTTAGTACTAAGCAGTCAATTGACTCTAGGTCCCTCAGATTGCTGTCCTGGGCAAATAATTACACTTCTCCCCGCCCCTTTAGCCTTTTCTGTGAGCAAGACTAGTAGATAGAAAAAGGTGGTAGTGACCAGCAAATTAGTCAATGACATCGTATCAACGGCAATCTAATGCGGGACCAATTAATAACTGCCCGTTCCATACCAGTAGGCGAGACCCCAAAAGGGGTAGCAGCCGACCAACGCTGCGCTGAAACTGACGACAATGTTGGCGAGCTGGCTACGCTATTCAGCTCCAACTTTACTGCGACAAGAGGAGTGGTCTCGCGCTTGGAAGAGCGAGTGGAGCTGGTATTGATGAGGGGTATGGGTGAGCGAAGGCATTGGAAATCGGGCGCAACGGGGATGCTGAATTCGCGCCTAGAGGATTCGCGCTCGACAGGGAGGCTGGGGTTGCGCTCGAGAGGGGTGGGATCGCGCTCGAGTGGGGTATGAGGAAGTAGTCGAAAGTCCTGAGAAGGTGACCTCGTTGTGCTCGCGGTTTCCTCGGCAGACAGTAACCTCCTTGGCGTCGGGACCAGCAAAACCTCGTCCTCCTCGTCCTCGTTATCATCAATAACAATAATGGATTGGCGCACGGAAGGGACATCGACAACTACTGGCTGGATGTCCTGAGAAGATGACCTTGTTGTCTTCGTGGTTGCAGTAGCGTCTGGAAACACGCTTGGTGTACTGAGTTCCTGAATCGGTTCCAGCTCATCGTCCTCTTGCACGCCATCGTCATCTCCATCATCTTCTTTAGAAGGGAAAATGAATTCGCGATCGGAAAGGGTATCAACAACTGGCTGAATGTCCTGGGAAGGTGATCGGGTTGTGCTCAGGGAGGCAAAAGAACCGATAGGACTCCCTGGTACCCTGACTGGCCGAGGCGGTGCCAGCAACTCGTTCTCGTCCTCGCCCTCTTTTGAAGAGGACGAATGAAGCAAACTTGGATTGCGCTTGAAAGTGGGGTACTCAAATGGTTCGATTCCATGAGTAGGTGACCGCGTTCCTGATGTAGTGGGAGACCGAACATATCCTTCAGGGTATATCGGCAAATGGAGAGGGTGGTTCGGATCGTATGGTCGTCGCATTGGTGGTGTTCTAGAAGGTAGAGGGGGGCGGGGACGTTTGGGCTCCTGCTTCGTTGGTGTGGGTTGACGCTGGCGCGGTAGACTGACGTACCGTCGGGTTCGCTTCTCCTCCTGTGCAGTGAGATGTTGCTCGTATAGAGCCTTTCGCCTATTGAACAGTGCATTTAGATCTATATCTAGTTATTGTGTTGTACTAGAACAAAAAATATAACATCGCTGAAAAACTGAAGTATACCCTATACTTACGATAGTAACTCCTTAACGTCGGTGTCGCTTGGGTCCAGTTTTGTGATGGGAAACCCCTGTTGATAACCGAAACCTCGGTACCCGTTCATGTTCAATTCGATTTTGCGAGTGAGATCGGTTTTTGCGCGGAGGTTCCGGAGGCGGATGAGATCGCCCTTCCTGATGCCTTTGTCTACAGCAGTCTGGTAATGTTCGTCCCAGAGTGTCGTGATGATCGAGGCTTTGCCGATTGGCCGGCCGTCTTCGTTCTGATGGGGGAGTTCCTCGTGTTCCGTGTAGTCTGTAAGGATCATGGTCACCTTATTCCCAGTCTGTTTCCCAGTCCTATGGTCGTAATTTTGCACAGTGTCCGCGCGAAAGTAACAGACCTAAAGTTTTGCAGGAAGAAAGATATATTTATCATATATTGCTGTGAGTATTTATTTCTCGTTTTGTGTTGTCGACGCGGAATTAAATTGACAGGACTGCCCGTGAGCCGACGCGTTGTGCCTTACATTATTATTACCTCTGCCACAAAGTCGCAGTACGTGTCTGGCTCCAGTTGGCTGGTGGTCCTGAATCTTTTACCATCATGCTTAGGCTTGAACTGGGAGAGGAAACTCGGCGCCGTCAGCAAGTTGACCTCGTCTGTCCGGCCATATGACCTGTCGTGGCGGCTGTCGTAGTAGTTGTAAGTGTTTTTGTTGTTCTTTTTTTTGAAGCGATCGTGTCGGGTGAACATGGCAGAAAGTGCCGCGTTGGTGGTTTTTTTTTCTGCTGTGTGAGTGAGAGGGATTGTGCCTGTTGTGTGTTCGGACGAAGTTGACCTGAAGAGGAAGAGTGCACGCGTTGTTGTTGGTGTCGTTGTTGCGAGCTGTGGTTGTGTTGTTGTGTTGTGTTGAGAGTAGTGATGAGTTGGAGAGGTATGTGCAATGTGAGTGTACCGGGTGGATGATTAACCGGGTGGGATGACCGCGGCCAAGGAATCAGAAAGAGTGCAAGAAGACGAGACGATGACCAAAGGAATTAAGGGTGGAGGCATGGATGGGAGTTAAATGTTCAAGTTGCAGCGCACCAACGCGTTTCTCCTCTTCGTCTATGTGGCTTAGACGCATGTTAGTCTGGGTCAGCACCAACGGTCCATGCTACTATCGATGCAATTGTTATTGTATTGTGCTCGCGCGTCTTCTCTCTCTCTCCGTCCTATTAGGCCTGCCTCGTTGCTCTTATTGACGGCGCGTTTTTTTTACTGCTCCAGGGGTATCAGCTTTAGGTCCAACTAGAAACATCGCCATCGGGCTACAAGCTATAACTGTTCATCCTGTGCGACCTAACAAAAGTGTGTATACATTTCACTCGTTTCGTGTGTTCTATGATTATATATATGCATCTCATTCATACCAGGCTGGGCATTTTCATGCAGTAACAATCTCAAGCAACCGGAAGTTTGACCCATTCACCTGTACAACCTGCCCCTCCTCCTCCTCTCCTCCTTGCCCCTCCTCCTCTCCATGACCGCCATCCTGTCTATATCCAGCCGCAGAATCCATCAGCACCTTCTGGAACCCTGTATCTTTTGACGAGACACTAATAGTTCCATCCCGCAAGTACTGCTGGTTGTTCATCTCGATATGGTCCAGCGAGTACAGGTAATTGATCATCATCCCAAACGACTCTTCCATGCCCTTCGTTGATGTGTCACCGAGCCAGTTTAGGCGGTGTGCACAGGCGCCGTTGCGAAGGTGGAAGTTTGCAACAGGGTCCAGTGCCAAGTGACGGCGCTTCTCCAGCAAGATGTATCTATTTATGTTAAGAGGGAGAAATATGGACATTAGCTGTCTGTTCCAGGCTCATGTACATGTATTCAGTGTCCGATTGGTTCAGGATATCGGTGAGTTGGTTACCTAGCGCAGAGTCGGCCGAGGATGGGTCGCAGCTTGCCCATAATCTCACTGTCCGAGAATGTCGAAGGGTGCTTTAAGATAGCCTGATATCAAAAAAATAAAAAAATAAAAAAATAAAAATATAAAAATATAAAAATAAAAATAAAAATAAAAATAAAAATAAAAATAAAAATAAAAATAAAAATAAAAATAAAAATAAAAATAAAAATAAAAATAAAAATAAAAATAAAAATAAAAAAGCGCTGAAGTTAGAACCAAGTTCCATTATAGTCCCGATGTAGCACAGACGAAACTAACAGCATGGGAGCTTACACTGAATTGATCCTCGACATCTCCTGAGGCAGCCCCTGTCTCTTGGCCCAACTGCGAAACAACCGATTCCTCCTGAGGCAAGAGCAGCTTCTGTCCAAGGTTCTGGCATTGCACAATCCATGTTCTGAATCCTGGGATGGGCGACAAGGTGCTGAAGGTCTCGATCTGAGGGAACTCGACCTTCAATGACCGGACCACACGCTTAATCAAAAAGTTACCCAACTCAATTCCCGACAACCCTAGTTTGTTGGAACGTGTAACCAGATATGAAAGTTAGTACAAGAGATCTATTTGGCATAAGCATCAGATCCCATCATGTAAACACTGCAGATACTATTGCCACTTGCCTACTTGAGTGGTGATGGAGTAAAAGATCGCGCACTTGACAGTCTCGGCTGGGTTGGCGTGTCCGGGTGAAGGGTCGCTCAGGATATCTTGGACATTATCCGAAAGACGCTCAACCAATGCCACCTGGACAAAGACCAAGGGTTCATCAGGAAGACTCTTGTTCATCAGTGCAAACACTCTCCTGCCAGGCCCCACTCGTCGCTTCAAATCCTGCACATCATTGAACTTGTGCACCGCTTCGTATTGTGTAATCTATTTTGGACCATTACGGTATATCCTTGGTTAGCAAGTCTGTAGTCGTGATTTCACACCCCGAAAAGCGCCTGTTGATATGAAAAGTGCACGATGTAGACAGTTACCTTCTCGAGCAAGACAGCGGGTGATTGCCAGGTCAAACGCTCCAGATCCAGGAATCCGACGAGCCATGCCTGCAACTTTTCCTTGAGCGACTCGTTCAACGACGACAAATACGCATCCCCTCTGTTTGCTTGAATAACGCTCTACTTGCATCAGGACACAAAAAAAGGTTAGCCTGTGTTCATTCACCATGAATGCAAACCACGTCTTGACATACGTGCGTAGGTGTTGTTATTACCAGGAGGTCTTGGCGCATGTCGATGAGGAATTTGAGTCCTCCGGGCAACCGACTGACGCGATCAAAGAACTTATTGTGACCAGGGACAATGGCATGACGAAGCAATTGCTCCGCACGCAGCAGTGCCTTACTCTCCGGTTCTTTGTGTGCGTAATCCTGGTACTGTTCGGCAGCCTTTACCACGTCCTCCTGCAGCACACCTAGTTGTCCAAGACGAAAGGAGAGAAATACATGAGAATTAGAAGGATGATTGTTTGTTAGTGCATTGATATTGTGTTATTAGTGTTAGCGCTTCGTGGGTTCTTGGGGTCCCTGGGTCATGCGTTCCTGTGTGTTTATGTGTGCCCCTGTGTGTCTGTTGTTTGGGTGTTGTTCGCTGTTTGATGTGTCTGCGAGCCGGAAGGTATATTAATACTTTCCCTCAATGGATCCCATATGTGTATCAGTCTGTCCCCATATGGATTGGAGAAGTGACGACAGAGAAGGAAATCTTCCCCTCTTTGCCTTCCCTTCCCCCGCTTTTCTGTCCCCAATTAAATTCTTGATTTGAGCACGACTCACACACAGAAAGATATACCCACAAACATACCCACAAACACAAACAACACCATGTGCATATCATCATCATCTCCAAGTAATTGAACATACCAAAATCGCGAGCCAAAAGCCTCAAGAACTCAGTCTTGCCATTGCGATCCAGACTCGAAAAGAAATCACAACTGCTTTTCGCAATCACGCTCGGTAAGATATCACCTTGCCCCGGTCGATCTGTAATGACCGCTAGCAACAGCTTCCTCATAAACTCCGGGTCGCGGTCTGCGGCTCTTCGGGTACGTTCCTTATCAAAGGTTGAAAAGCCCGGTTCACGGAAGTGTGCAGCAATGTCGTTCCAGTACCGGTCTACTACGTTTGCCCGGAGTGCCTGTAGTGTTCCTGATCCCGCTGCATTGTTGGAGGAGGAGGAGTTGTTATTGTTGTTGTTGTTGTTTCCGCCGTTGCTGATAGAGGCCATGGTGCGATGTCTCTGTTATGTGTCAATTGATGAGCGATGAGCGCGGGTTAGTAACATGGATACTTTCGCACACATCTCTTAGAGAGACAAAAAGGAAAAAAAAGCCGAGAGAGAGGAGAATGAAATGTACCTGCAGGGTGGCGTTGTGGAATGGAAAGCGGACAGTTGTAGAAACGGCAGGAGAATGAAAAGAAGAGGAGTAAGAAGATGACCAGACGCGGGATGATGGTTTTGAGAGGTGGGAGATGATCAGTCGTCTGGACATTGCTTCATGTGTTGTCCTGTGAGATCTTGTGTTGTCCTGTGAGAGAAGAGACCGAGAGGGTGAGGTGTGAAAAAGAGAGTCAAGTAAGAGTATCAAAGAAGGAGAAGAAACAGATGTAATTGGATCAGGACAACAAAAGAGGAGAGATTAAATGTGTCGGCGTGAGTGTGATGTAAGTGTGTGAGTGTGCGTGTAAAGTGTAAAGTATAAAGTGAACGGGAACAGATAAAGACAGACAAAGTGGGGGAGACAGAGACCGAGAGACAGACGCGTGGGAAGAAAGTGGTGTGTGTGTGTCCGTGGCCGTGAAAAGGGGAAATGGTGCAGAGAGAGACATAATGGTAGTCCGACATCACTAGCCAATCAGACTACCCGTGGTGATCGGCACACAATCAGGTCAGGCACACCCTCAAAAGCAAAGGAGCGCTCCAAAGCACATTGAATACAATGTCTGCGATTCCCAAAGGTACACTCCTTCTTCGCTATGGCACGAAATGACCTGGGGACTCATCTGTAGAAACACCACGAATGCATTCCATAAAATCGTGTTGCCAACAGTCGTTTTGCAAAGCCCATCTCTCGTCTCCCAAACAAAGATGCGTCCTATTATTACATTATTACTATTGTTATTACTAGAATAGGTACCCGCGACTTCGCTCGCGGAGGTGTGGACTAATCCAAGCCACGGGAAGGAGGTGTCAGACGGGACCCCTGGAAGTGCGAATGCCTATGGTTATACAACTTGGGTCGCATGAATGCCTTGAAGTGGCCAGCACCGAGCCAGCCTTCCGCATCCCCTACGCGAACTATCGGGGTCCGATGAGGCCTCTGTTAGTCGAGATCTCGGGTCAAAGATTTTATGCAGCAGTCTCCTTTCTTTCCATCAAATGCAACACCGTCTTGCCATGAACGTGCTGTACAGTACAACCCTCTCGTCCGCCTTACTCAGACCTTGGTTCGACAAACCGACTCGTCGCCTTGGCGGGCCAAATCCTATCGGTTTTCCTCCCTTGCCCAAACCCGCCTTCTTCTCTCGACCTGTTACTCGGGTCTTCTCCCATTCGACCGTCGCCCTTGTAACGTACGTGCCATATCTCCGTCCGCCCAAAGTCCTCTATCGCACTCACAATACCTTGGTTTTTATTATTTGCTTTCCCTTTACCATGCGGTCAACGCATGTCACGGTAATTTGTACTGGTACCCAAGGATGTAAAAGTAAAGACATTGTTGAAGATCCGGGTGGTTGCAGAAAATAGCCTGGAGGGAAGGATATCACCTCTGAACAGGCTTTGCGATTCAGCAAGGGAAGCTTCCATGGTCGGCGTTTGACTCTTAGGCAGCACATAGAGAAGCGTGGATTAGCGACTGTACGTCCGACACGCTCCTGCGTATTCAAATGAAATAATTAAATCGAGTATCAATAAAAGAAAGAAGAATATAGAATGGGTGTAGGTGATATCGTAACTGGTTACCTCTGTCCAATGTAAAGCACCACAATGAGAGCAGACCACGCTCATCAATTACAATATCATGTACACTGTGTCGTCTTGCTCCTTGACAACAGCTATTATATTTCTAAAAGCACTTAGATCAGCAGGAGCAACATGAGCAGCAAAGGAAGCATGAGCAACAAGGGTAGCATAACCAGCAAGGGCAGCAGGAGCAGCAAGGACCGTGGAAGGAGTAGGAGCAAGATATTCTGCAACGATCATGCGCTGCCTGCTCATAAGGCAATCCGCATGAGTTGTACGATGGTGATCAAGTTGTCTGCAAGCATTGCATTTCATAGCAGAGGACTGAGGAGCATCATGCAATGCTATGGCAATAGGTCGCCCATGTTACCTAATGGGTCGGAATGGTTGACGTCGGGCTGGAACCAAGCATGACTGGTATAATCATGCGTGACTGGGACAACCTATGTCAGCGAGCTGTTCTCCTTCAGCAAGTCGTCGTTGTCACTTATGTTACCTAAATGGGTCGGAATGGTGGACCTTAGGCTGGATGCATTCTCCGGTACCAATGCCTCCGCCGCCTGATCGATGGCTCACTTTCACTCCCCTCACCCTCCCACTCAACCGCTGTCTGACTTGTAGTCTCGAACTATTGAACCACGTCAGCAATTTCAGCGTAAACAACCTTGTCTAAAATAACATCAAAGCTGGTTTCGCAGTTGTCGCCATTATAGGAGTTGTGCTGCAAAGAAACGATGATCCGAGCAATCGTGGTCTGTTTGCCCTGATACCTGATATTGCCGTTTATTTTCCTTTATAGTAGCGACAGTAACAACTTGTCGGCCTTGGGTGACCGTTTCCATGTCCATGATACTTGATACACTTACTAATGGAGGAGGAAGAGGAGGAATGGGGAGGAAGAGTAAAGGGTGATGGCATTGAGTTGGCGGTGCAAAGGATATCTAAGGATGCGCCACATGCTCTCATGGGGCAGAGAGGTATCTCATCTCATATCGCAAAATTCACGAATCTTGCATACAGGCGACGGTAAAAAAAAATGTAGAGAGTGAGAAAAAATAGTAAGCAAGGAGCTGCAATGGTCAGACATCAAGAGAAAAAATGCCCAAAAGAAATACCTCCTTGCTTGTTGCATTTTTTTTGGTCTGCAGTGATTGGGCCTTCAGTAGTGGCGATGCTGGGCCTAGTAGCGGTAGCTATGGCAGTGGCGGCGCTGGTGCTGGCGCTGGTGCTAGTGCTGGCGAATGCAAAAGACGACGATGAATACTGATCAGTGGAGGCAAATAGAAGACTCTTCTCTTTTTCGAGGGCGATCTTGGCTCTGTTCGGTCCCTTGTGAAAATGAAAAAATGAAAATTTTCTTTTGCTTTTGATAATGGATTAATCTATTCTCACAGGGCTGTGTGGCCTTATTCTCACAGGGTAATATCACATCCATCAATGTAAAGTCCAAAAACGCAATATGAAGTAGCCCTTTCACTTTAGATACCTATTGTGCCTCATAAAGAGGTGCATCGATTGGTATAAGAATGGACATGATTGGGGTTCTGGTTCAATGAAATATTGGCATCAAAGTCTTTGTCAATTATAGGACCATTAGATGGTCAAAAAAGTTAAATTTGGTCGAAGAAAGCAGGAGTATGAAGGTAGTAGGCCATGGCAACAATAGTTAGGATGGCTTCAGAGAGTCTTGAAGTGATTGCGAGCAGTTTGAGAAAAAAAAGTAGAGAAACTGTTTTTGCACAAAGACCATGTCACCTTCTTCATGCTAAGCCCATGTAAATTTTTAGGACCCTGTGAGAATAAGACTTCACAGGGCTGTGAGAATAACTTCATCCTTTGATAATAAAAAAAAAAAAGCAAGAACAAAAGACATACCTAATGGATGTACTGTACAGTATTAGTAAAAATATTTCACCGCAGAGACCGAGAACATATCTCGGGTTTGTATGCTCGCGTCTACGTGTTTGTCTATGCCAAGCTGCGTCCTCATGTTTGTCCATGCTGAAAAGTATGGTGTATGGTCGAATATGTCAATGGGAAGAGAGGGATCTTTTATCGCACCTACGCAACCCACTCTGGTATTGACGTTCTCACTTTGATGTTAACGTCATGACTCTGGTGCACTTCATTGAATAAAAAACCCGTACCGCAACAATGCCAATCTGCGTCCTCATGTCTGTCCATGTCATGCTGCGCCCTCATGTCTTTTGTCTGTCCATGCCATGCTGGTGGAAGTTTTTTGTAAAAAATAATAAAAGATGGGTGGGTTAAAAAGGGGAACATGACATCAAGCAAATGGAGACGCCACGCGGTTGTGCAATTATGCAAAATTGTGTATATTTAGTATATGAGAGAAAGATGAGATCACATCCAAAATATCTTCCCTCATAAGTCGTGTCCCGTCTTTCCTTCTTTCTTTTCTCGACCCAACACGCACAGCGATACAAACAACAATCAGTCCCATAGAAAAAAAACCTATCGACCAAATGTCACAGTTCATCTCTTTCGCCCGAGGAGTAGGCCAGTCTTCGATGTCTCACACCACCTTTGCAGCAGCTGCTGTTATGACGAACCATAAGTACTCGCAGGTCACTGGCTTCCTCAACAGGGTCGCGATCTTCAACAGTAACAAAGACCTCCATTCTCGCGCCCACAACACCAACTCCAATAGCGTCAGCTACAGGAACTACACCATCGCAAACACGAACACCCCAACCTCCCCCTCATCTGCACCTCGAAACAACCTTCCCCGCTGCAGCGGTATGACCGCCAGGAATACGCCCTGCCAACGCGACGGCATCAACCTCGTTACGGAGTCGCCCACATCCGCCAACAAGGACAGCAAAGCGGTGGTCCGATACTACTGCTACCAGCATGACCCACGCCTAGCCGTCAGTCGCCGATGCCTGGGCTATGTTGCGAGCGAACATCGACAGTGTCGTTTGATTTGTTCCGAGTCTGAGATCAGGACTGGAGGGCGTCCTATTTGCAATAGACATTACCATCTTGGAGCCCGACTTGTCGCTCGTCGAAACTGAGAAAAGCAAATAAAAATACGTTTCTCCCTCCCTCCTTTCTTGACAACTGTTCACTCACACTCGTATTCTTTTTCTGAACCTTTTTGATGTTCTTGTTTCCGCATATTCTCTTTTTCTCTTTTGCTTTCCTTTGTCGCTTTCTTCCAGTATTTACTACCTCCTTGCTCTGTCCTCCCATATTCTCTTTTTCTCTTTTGCTTTCCTTTGTCGCTTTCTTCCAGTATTACTACCTCCTTGCTCTGTCCTCCTTCCGTTACACTTGTCCTTCCACAGCAAGCCGAATAAAAAATAAAGATAAAAGAGCCAGCAGCACAACCTCCTTTCGTCATCCTTCATCACCTTCCATCACATTTTTCACGCATTAAGCATCACTTGCAAGTTGCCAAGTAAGAGGACTGTGCAGGATGGAGAGTTTTCCGCGAGTCTGATTGTGATGGACGTGTTACCCTAATCAAACCGTAAATCATGACCTTACACGAACACACGGACTCTTGCAGTCTGAAAAAGAAATAGTCACCCAAGGTCTTCGGGCTAAACCATTCTCGTACACCCCTCCTCTCGCCTCACATATTACAGCAACCACGCCGTACGACAGCCACGACAACAACTACGACCACGACAGCCACGATATCACAATCGAACGACCCCGCTTCCTATCGCGTCCACTGACCTTGATTTACCACCATTGTTTTGCCATCATGAATGGTGGCAACACAACAATGAAACCGTCGGACCAAAAATAATTAAATGCTTGCAAAGACAAAACAACACACACAACACAATACAAAGTAGTCTTCTTAAGTAATCGTACCGTATTATTTTGCATGCTAAAAATCTACTTCTCAAGAAGCTCCTCCTTGTTTCTTTAATCTTCTTCATCGGGCTTGGGGGCAGTCTTGATAGAAATGTTTCCCATATCAAACACCTCATAATCTGCAGGGTAGACACCCTTGGTTAACTTCTTCTGAGAAGCAACGACGATCTGGTAAGTACCGCTGGGCACCGTCACGGGCGCGAGCGTTGGGTCTGCAGCGGTGATCACCTGGCCCTGCCAAGTCCAGCGCGAGAACATCAATTTGCCGTGGAAGCTCTGGTTGTTGACACGACCAGCCCATCCGAACGCGCGGCCAAGGTCGCTACTGAACAGGAATCCGACAAACTTCTTCTTGCTGTCAAACACACGGATCGTGAAATCTGGGGTGTGCGAACCTAGACGCGATACGACGACGGGGAGGGTTTCAGCGTTCTCGGGGTCGGTCAAATCGAAGGTGGTGTTGGCGGGGATCGCGCTCACCTGCCAGTCCTTCTGGGACATAAGATCGGGGAATCCTTGCGCGGTATCTTGCATAGGAACCTTGGAAACGTCACCCTTGAGGCCAGTGTAAGGGACATGAACGGGGATGCCGCTCTTGGAGTTGGGGGTGGCAATAACGTATCCAGAGTAGATAGGGAACTCGCTGGCCTTTCCTTTCTTGGGTTCCTTGAACTTCAAGGTAATCTTGACGGTCTTTCCAGCGGGGATCTTGACTTTGTTGGTAGAGAAAGAGACTGTGGCATAGTCGGCTTCGATGACGGGGGTTCCCAGAGGGAAGGTGTTGTTGGCGTTGTACGAATTCAAAGCATCAGCGGCAGTGTGCGAGAGGGTGTAGGTCTCGGTGTGCTTGCCGTGGTTCTTGATCGATATTTTGACGCTCTTCTTGAAGTGCTTCGAATCCAGGAGATCAATGTGATCGGGGGAGATGGAGGTTGTTGTCATGATGGCGCTAAGGACGTTAATCAATCCAGCACCCTGTTTGGCGGCAGAGGCCTTGGTCTTGGAGCCATGGTTGGAGGAAATGGTGGCAGTATTCTTGAAGACCTTGCGGATCTCATCGCCATGGGGCTTGGCATTTTTGGCCTGCATATACAAGGCGTGGGCGCCAGCGATATAGGGTGAAGCCATGGAGGTACCAGAGAGGACGGTATAGCCGCCATCGGCAAGAGTGTAGGTTGATAAGATGTTACCACCGGGAGCGGCAAGATCAGGCTTGGAGCGGAGCTCACCATCGAGACCGAAGGAAGAGAACACTGAGGGAGATCCACCATTCTCGACGGTGAAAGTAGAAGGGCCTTTGCTCCAAGTAATGCGCGACTTCGCGTTCTTCTTCCAGACGGCAATCATTTTTTCGCCTGCTCCATGCTCGATCGAAGCCATAGGGTAATTGTAGCTGCCACCCATAGTGGCGATTCCGGCGGGGGTTGTCTGGGTGAGGATGGCGGCTGCACCGGCGTTCTTGGCGTTGACACCACGTCCAGACAAGCAGCGACTTTCATCACCATAGGCAAGGACTACCTTGCCCTTGACATCGATGCCATTGTAGATCTCTTCGTCACATCCGTCAGAGAGTGAGCCATCTTTCTCAAAGATAGGGACAAGAGTGGCGTTGGCTGGCAGCTTGATGGCCATATTCCAGGCGTCAGAGGGAGCATATGGGTGCTTAACACCTCCATAGGTGAAGGAGTTGTAGAAGCCGTAGGCGTTGTCGAACGAGGCAACAGATGTACCGAGGTCGCCGAGACCGGTGTCAGCGACCATCCAAACACCATCGGTACCTTCATTACCAGCACCAGCGGCCAAGGCCATACCACGGGCAACCAGCTTGTCAGCAAGAATAGCGGTAGGGTTGGACTTGTAGGAGGAGCTACCGCCGAGAGACATGTTGATGACCTGGGTCATGGATGGAAAAAACAGAGAGCGTGAGTAGGGTGGTCTCATTCGCACGTACAAAACGATTCAGACATACTAAAATATCCAGGAACTCACATCCATGCCTTCATTGAAGGCCAGCTCCATGGCGGCGAGAATAACATCATCTGCAGAGGTACCGTAGCATCCAAAGACTCTGTAGGCACCGATGGTGACTTCAGGGGCGACTCCAACAAAGGGCTGTGGGGGCTTGGGGGAGACCTTGATATTCAAGGCGTTACCACCAATGATACCAGCCACATGAGAACCGTGGCCGTTGCAATCCATGGGGTCCCCGCCAGGCTTGGGAGTGTTGGATCCATTGTAATCATCGCCGACAAAATCCCAACCGTACTTGACACGGCAGTTCTTGCCATTGCGAGCGAAGCACCCCTCATTGGCGCCAGGGGCGGCGAAGGCAGGATGTTTGTAGTCAACACCAGTATCGATGATACCAATTTTGATGCCCTTTCCAGTTAGCTTGTGCTTCTTGTGGAGGACATCCACACCGGTCATACGGTGAAACGAAACAACCTCGGGGTCGGTGGGCTTCTTCGTGGACTTGTTGACCTTGGGGATCTTGTGAAGGGTGACGCGCCAGACATTCTTGATACCAGGGATCTTGGCCAAGGCATCGCCTTCGTGGCCTGACTTGACGGTCAGGGCGGCACCATTAAAGATGTTGTACTCATTGCGGACCTTGTAGTCGACCTTGTTGGCCTTGAGGGAGTCGTGGGCAGCATTGCGTCGGACACCATCGCTGTACTCGATGATATATGCGTTGGGAATGAAATCAACCTTGCCCTCCTCGACGGGGTGGAACTTGCCTGCGGAGACAAGTGCAGCTGCTGCAAGAGCAGAGAGAATAGCAGTCAATTGCATAATGGTTGAGGAGCGGTATTAGATATAGAAGATGTGTGAGATGATGATGGTGAGGAGGATGAAGGGTAGTAGCAGTGTCTGTCAAAGACCGTGAGGGATGGTGTCGGGTAGACGGAAGAGGGGATGAAGGGTCGTAGCGGTGTCTGTCAAAGACTGTGAGGGATGGTGTCGGGTAGACGGAAGGGAGGATGGAGGGCAGGACTAGATGCTAAGGAGAGAAGAGTCGAAGATGCTGGGAACCAGATCATATTTATATCTGTGAATATTCACTAATGCAAACAATAGTTGTGTAACAAGCGTGTGAAAGCCAGCAGCGGTACCTTAGTAACCCGTTGGGCGTTTTTCCTCATACTTTGCCTTAAGTACTCACTTGTAGTGTGGGTAATGCCTCCTTTTTTGCTTTGGTGATCATTTCAATGGGAGTAAAATGCGCCCACCCTATTGATCTAGAGATACACTTTTTCAGGTACCTGCAGCATCGACTAGCTTGTACAAAAATGCCTCCAAATTGGGTACAGCCGTGCAGATGACACTCCGACCAGAGCCGGAGAGGGGTTTGTTGAGTAATCAGTTTTTACCAGCAGCAGACCAATGTATGGTTCTGTAGGGTGCCGTCTTCGATAACCCCTCAACCCAACAAGTTTCTTGCGCCTTCACATCATCCTGAGCTTTCTCTCATTGTCTCCAGATCCCCCCAGAGACGAGAAGCGACAGGAGGGAATTTTTTTTTTTTATTCTGTATTGTAAAACATAAACGCTGTGCCCAGGAACATCGAGATTTTCAGTTTGTCTGTCTCGTCTGTCATGTTTATTTTTCTTTGCTCACAAATGTTTTTGCAAGTCCCTTGGTGGACTTTGCCCACTGGTTGTCGTCTATTCCTGTCCATCAGATAACTCTCTGTGGCATTTTATAGTCCGCCTAATCAGATTTTTTCAAATGGCATGCCATCATATCTGGAGCTTCCTTTGCTCACAAAAAATTGGATGTCCACGCCTTAGCTGTAGCGAGTGAAATATTGGTCTTCACAATGGAATTAGGGCTAGTCTAGTCGGTAACCTTTCCATATTGGGCAATCGAAATATCATTGTGTTGTATACGTAGCTCCCACTACCTAGAATTCTCTGATCAGGTTTCAGAAGACGTCAATGAGCGGGAGGGTTTTGGTGACCTCACATGGCCTTTTATTCGAGGTACCTTGACCTTGGTCGGTATCCGTTCACGATGCTTTGAGATACCGGTGATAGGGACAAAGGAGAGGAAAAACCTTGGACGGGACCTTTCGGTGGAAAATGAAGAGCAGGCATCCATGGCTGATGGCGTCGCTCTCTTTGAAAATTATCAGATCTTTATGGCGGAGGCTTGGAATTGTCAGATCCGATCCATCGCTCGTGAGTTTGTACCTCCTGTTGGTCTAACAGTCTTTGGGTCCACATTATTTCAAGACGAGACGAAGTTCTATGCACTGGATTATGTTGGCACATACCGACGGAGACAATGTGGGAGGATGCTTGTACCGCTGAGAAAGTCACACTTCGCTACGAGGATGTGACATGTGTCCGGACTTGTTTGAGATTCGCACTTGATCTGGGAGGAGACAATTCGACGAACCCATCTGGAGACAACCGATCAAGATTTAGGAGCAGCCTCTGACATGATTCAGCTGACAAGGACAACTCCAGTAAAAGAGGTTAAAGACGACTTAGCGGCATATATCATTAAACAGGTTTTTTTTAGTGTAGCGACGGTAATGTTAAAGAGTGAAGCGGATGGAAGCTGTCACCATGAAGTCGTGGAGAATCAACGCCAACCCTTAACAGTACGCATGAGGTCGTGGGTTCGAATCCGGAGTGCAGCATTTGTTTCGCCAATGACTGATTTAAACAAAACAAAAAAAAAAAAGAGGAAGAAAGAAAGTGGTCCTCACAAGATACACCGTCTGCGTTTGGGCTCTAGTACTCATGTCTCCATCGACTCGTCTTAAGGCTCTCGCTCTTCGCAACCGGCAACAAGATCTCCATATCCATGGGCGCACTGGTCGGAAGCAAGGTAGCCCAGCAGCTCAGCAATATCGCTTGTGAAGATATTGTTGGTGTCGACAAAGTCCTGCATCTTCTTGAGAACAACAACATCGCCTGTGTTGGGATCTGAGAGATGATCGACAAGCTCCTTTGGAAGTTCTTCGAGGTGCGTCCGTGAGATAGTCTTCCCCACTGAGTTGCATACTCCTGATAGATCTTTGAAGAGCTGCCACTGTCCATCTTCCATAAACAGGGATCGGAGATCGGATTCTTCTTGGACGGTCCTGAGGGCTGGACGACCTTTCATATCTGTGATTCCAAAGTACCGACCCGTCGCCTTGTGAATGAACCCGGACCACCACGCCGACTTGTCCGTTTGCACGATACGAACTCCCGAGGGGAAGGTGCAAGCCAGACGATAGAGGCACATGGGCGAACCAATGGCTTTGAAGGGTATCCTCTCCCATGGATTGGACATGCCTCTCGTTTCGAAATCGGCATAGATGTCGCTTTGAAAGACGATTTTCTCGAGGTTATCACCTTCATTCTTTTGCAAGAAGAAGCAGTCGTCGTCCATGCTACTGGTATGATACTGTTCTCGGTGGCCTGCATAGATCTCCCACTTTCTGGCAATGATTCGTGCGAGGTCGTGGTTGGCAGAATGAGTCTCTGGAATAGGTCTCTCCTGAAGCGCGTTGAAAGTGAGAGAACTTGACGGGGACTCCATTCAGTGCGAGTGTTGTGGTGGTAGTGGAGTAATGGAGAAGGGAATGGGAATGGAGAGAATGAAGAAAAAGAATGGCGAAAAGTCCACTCGAGGAAATAAATACATGTCTATGGTAGGGCTTCTATTCGAATCCATTCGAATCCACTATGGTTTGCATTCGGTTTGTGCGCATTCGAATTCGAATCTGATTCGAAATTTTTGTTCGAATAGGCGCACTATTGCAATGCGTTTAAATCGAGTTGAAGGCACTATATCTACTTAAACCAAGGCGAGTTCGAATGGATTCGAATAGAAGCCCTAGTCTATGGTGGCAAATACATTTTTTTCATGACGTTTTCTCATGGAGCTATCTAAAAAAAGAGGCGGCGCAGCATCCTTACCGCCATTACGTACTCCGAGATGTCCCTAATGGCGTCCTTCCTATGAAGGAAACATATAGTTCCCAGAGGGTGGACGCAGCGGTATTTTCGTGGCTCTTCGGTAGATGACAATACAACAATGGTGCAGCAGAGATGAATGGCTAGTACGTGAAAGGACAGTGCACTTCTTGGCGATATAATGATCGTGCGTTCGCTAGTACTAACGCAAAGTGACAGAGGAAGAGCTTGCAACCTTGTACTTGGGTCGAGCAGGTGACCCTTGATGGTATGGACAAGGATGGAGAACGGACAGGACGAAGGAGTCGCCTCCGTTTCGATGTCCTCGCGAGCCAAGGCCTTGATAACGGAATCGATCTTCCCAGCAAAGGACTTTTTGAAGTATGGTTTCTCGGAAACGATTTCGTACTTGCTGGCAATAGCCGGATCCTGCGTCGGTGTTCCTCCAAGTATTCTTGACTGTGGGTCCCAGGCCGCGTCAACTGTGTCTTGAATAGGACCCACGGAGAACCAACCCTTTTGGCATCAAAAATAAAAGTCAACTGGTCAGTGTTCGTTGTTTCACGTACAAAGTTGGCACAGTAAAAGTAGCACATGTAGAGCACCTTGAGCGAACAAGGAGCAAAGCGTACCTTGGTAGCATCTGCCTTGACTATCGTAACCAGTAGGGTTTGTTCACTCGACACAATTGAATCGTCTTCCATTAGGGCAATGGAATGACTGGGCTCTTCCTGAAGTGATGAGGAATGAACGAATCGTGAATGTGAGCCATGAAAATCGTGTTCGGCCATTGCGTAAAAAGCGACGAGAAGATCGTGGACCTAGATCTGTACCCGGTCTGTATCTGATTCCATCTTCGGGAGGAGAAAGATGAGAAAGGTGAGAAGGTGGTGTTTTGTTGTTGTTGTTAATGGAAAGTGGTGTGCGGGAGCAAGTTGTGGAGAAAAAAAAAGAAAAAAAAGGAAAAAGAGTGGTGGGGTGTATTTGTATGACCTGTGAGACCACACTGATTACAATGATGCATGAATTTGGTACGCAAACAGTGAACTACAGTGCGATTTGGCCCTTGGGTAAGAAAACTGAGAGGCGCGTATCATTCAGTTCAATTACATATTTGTGAGCATCAAGCGTGTGTTTATTCAGCCAGACCATGTCTACGTTGCTTCTGTCGTTCTCGCATCGTACACGGCAAGTCTGTGGGGAGTCCATTCCGACCGTTAGACTTGAACTTTGAATTTGGTCGCCAAAGATGTGACAGCTATATATATATCTCCAATTACATAGTACATGCAGCAACCTGGTGGTCGCGTTTCCTGTGGCTAAGAAAGTTGCAGCTGCGTACAAGGAGAGGCTGTTACTTGGGCGGGCGTTTGGGTCTGCGTGTGTAATGCTTGCAATAGTGCCACTCATGCTCCTGTCGCTTCTGGCCTGGTACTGGCTGGTTTTTGCGTCATAGCGCTGACACTTATGCTTGACATTGTATTGCTCGTTGCTCTCGAGTAGAAGTAGCGATGGTAGTAGTATGCGCCACTTTTCTTGTATGGTGTATAAGTGTGAGAGAAAGGAGGCCTTAGTGATAGGTAATACGAGATAGGAGGATCGCAAGGCGAGAAACAAATGTGTCTGAGGTATGGCTAGAGTCGTTATTGATAGTATTGATAGGAGAGAGAGAGAGAGGGAAAGGCAACTGTGCTAATGAGTTGAAACGAAGGAAAAAGAAGAAAAGCGAATGAATGGTGGGATGCATGCATGCAGGTGAAAAAAAAAGAGGGTTGGATTACACGGAAAATAAGCGCTGATTTGTGTTGACTTTATTTGGGGGTTTCAAACCTTGACATGATTAGGTCCTTCTCAGGGCAGTCGCTCAATGGTTGCAGGATTCACTCTTGATGCGATTGGCTCTCAAAAAAAAGATGGCTTGATTTTCAGCAAAAAAAAGGTCGTAAGGGGCAAATGCTTTCAATCTTCCGGGAAAATGCATATGCTGCACATATACGTAAAAAAACAGTCACGGTGGTGACATCAAAAAGACGCGCTCCCATCACAGTGCCAGGCGACATCAACTTCATTGTCACCTTTGCCATCATAAACTCGCCTTTGCCTTTCTGCCCTATTCCCTCAGTACACATCACCAACTTTGTTTTCGCCAGTGCCTCCACTTTTACACCCACCTTCTGCCTCCAACCCTGTCTCCCAGGACTACAACGGTAAGCACCTCAGTACCTCATCTTCGGTTCCCACAGAAACGGATTTGTAACCGATGTAGGCTACGGGCTGAAGGACAATGGGCGTTCGGGGCAATCCCGTGCAAAGCTTCTGGCTGGATCCATTGTTCTTCATTTCATGACTTTTTCTTGTCTTGAAGCGGCTTTTTGCCTGGCATTGATGGTCTGCAGCACCTTCACTCTTTTGTGAAGATGTTGCCTCCTTGCGCTCGATTCGAACGAGTTTAACTTCTGGTTAGCAAGGTTGCCATCACAAATTCGTTTCTGTTTAGCTCTGTCTTGTTAAAACTGGTGTGGGGGCACTGAGCTGAAGTACAATGGGCGTTCGGGGCAATCCCGTGCAAAGCTTCTGGCTGGATCCATTGTTCTTCATTTCATGACTTTTTCTTGTCTTGAAGCGGCTTTTTGCCTGGCATTGATGGTCTGCAGCACCTTCACTCTTTTGTGAAGATGTTGCCTCCTTGCGCTCGATTCGAACGAGTTTAACTTCTGGTTAGCAAGGTTGCCATCCAAGACTAGCGTTTCATTAATACTTCCTCTCAGCTGTAGTCTTGTTATGCAATTCATCATTCACGCTCTTTCTAGATTTGCAGGCCATGTCGGCTGACCTTTACAAGGAGAGGCGTGAATTCATCTTGCAGAACGCCAACAAGAATATCAAGCAAATAGCTCAAGAGTTTTTCGAAGTATTCGACCTCTCCAATAAGCAAACGGCTCTGGACGCTCTTCATACTTCGCTGTATAGTACCGACTACACCGAACTTACGAAGCTGCTGAAGGTTTGTTTCAATTTTTTTATCCTGTGAGAACGTGGTCTGGTAGCAACGGAAAACTCACATCATATTTGTTGCATTTCATAGGAAAACGATTTCAAAGAGTGGGCGACGCACTATTTCTCGCAGGCAAAGAAGCGGAAGAAGATGAGCGTCCAAAACATTGTCGACAAGGAGCGCAATAAGCTTCAAATCGCTGGGGTGGTTCAAGGCTCAAGGTTCATAGAGTCAGGCATGGGGCTACTCGCGCCAGAGGTAAGAACTCAATTCTGCTGACCACAAAACTGTTTGTCGGTGCCTCAACCTTGAGCTAATGTCGATATTCCCTATTGATCAGGAGGATCGTATTGCTGCATCTACGCTCGCGAACCGGCCTCCCTCCACTCTTACGTCCAGTTCATCAACCAGTCTCCCGCCATCGACTTACACAGCTCCCCAGCAGGATGAGGAACATATGTTCAGTGTGGCCGAGGGCGTGCCATTGTGTGTCACTGGTGAACATGACAAGCGCGCGACGCCACTCCTGACACGTTTATCTTCCGACACCCGTCCTTCCAGATCATTCACTTTCCCCTCATCATCATCTTCTGTAGAGACAAAGAACCCATCCACAGAGCACTCGCCAACGGAGCCAGAGACAGGTATGTGTGATGTGTTCTGGCTCAGTAAAACCAACCCATATTGTATCGTACCCGCTCGCCTATTCATTACTAACCCGGCATCTCTGATACTGCTGATGTAGATGCTGATGCTTCGGAGGTGCAGATTGTTTGCTCACGCGCCAAGTCGACTCCTTTTTATGACTTGATCGCTTATGTCTTTCAGAAGGTACAACAAGCGCCTGTGCTGACCACCGGTAATGAAAACTCTGATGCTAATGTTGAAACGCTCGTCCTCGACTCCTGTAGGTCAAGAAGAAGCCCGCGGTCCTCCCTTCATTCATCCCAGGAGGTCTCTCAAGTAACCACAAAGAGCTCTACAAGGCTGCGTTGGACGAGCTGCGCAAGCCGGGACCAGTCCAAGCCAAGAAAGATGTACTGTAAGTCCATCTTCTCGCGTCGCAGGCAATGTCACTAAAGTATATCTTGCTAATATGCTATCTGTTTCTCTCTTTAGGGTCATGCTATCTGGAATTATCAACACTGTGGTGCCGAGCGGACGGTGCTTCTCTCTCTCCAAGACTATCGTGACCTCGTCGCAATTAACTCCTGTCGACCCTAACTCAGACACTCACAAGGCAGTCAAAGAGGTCTTGGAAAGGCTACTAAATGCATTGTACCCGAGTCTCGAAAAAGACCGGTACGCGGATCCCCAGTTTGTGCAGCTGCAGAAGACCATATGGCAAGGACTGTGTCACGCGGTCGATCTGAAGCAGACCGTTTCCGGTATGGCCACGTACACCACTTTACTGATCATACAACACATCGTTGCATGGGTCGAGCAAGGATCGTTCATGCCCCCGACCTCAGAGCATGTGTTCGTCTCTGCGTGGACATGGATCCTCAACGTTTTATTTACAGGAACCAAACTTCGTGTCGTTCCGTAAGTTTATACATGTGTACTTGTGTATTGAGCCGATTTCAACTTTCGATGTGGTTTGCCATGCAAGGCCTCCTGAATGTAACCACCTGTCCTCTATTTTTGTTACCTCTAGTGGAGAGCTGATTTCCAAGTCGAGCACAGATGCACGACAGCTTGCTGAGGCTGAATTTGGATCCACAACATCGTCCGTGTCCGGTAGAAAAGTGGATATGAGTCTGCGGATCCAAGTCGACAACCAATGGCGGAGCGAAATCGCCGTCTTTGAGTTCAAGACTGCCAGCGCCAGCCAGCATATCTGTGACATCCAGCAAAAGAAATCCGTCCGTTTGAATGCCGCCATTCTTATGGATCTTGAGGAGCGCGGCCTGGACCTCACTCGCCATTATCCCATAATTGCAGAAGGCAAGGGCCTCAGCATGGACTTCTACGCATTGAGGCGACATGGTGACGTACTCGGCGCAGGTCGGGCCACAGTCAGGGGCATAACCTTACCTTCTGATGTCTCGAGTCTCAAAACATTCTTCCTATCCAACAGTATCCTCACACTGTTTGCCTTCAAGGCAAGTTCCTTGATCAGAGATCTTTCAAATCCTGGTTATTCATTGCATCCCAAGAATGAACTGCTGACAACTTTTTCGTAAATATTTATATCACAATATCACAATATCACAATAGGAGCATCTCCGTCGCTTTTCTATCGACGTCACGGATACCTTGGCCCAGTCCAACGCCACACCCTTTAACGATGATGATTACGACTACTACGAACAAGAGGAAACACCAATGTCATCCCCACTCTCCAACACCAGGCCGCGACCATCCACGCCCCCGCCACGCAAGCGTTCGAACCCCTTTATTCTCTTCTCGCCCGCAAATAAGAACAAGCGAAATCATGGACGTCGCCGTTCGCAGGCAGAGAAGAAGGATGAACTTGACTACGAGGACGAGGACGATGACGAGTATGACGGCCATGATTGAACGTACTAGCGAATAAAAAAATAGCATATTTGGATGCACTGCTACTTGTCCCGGTCACCAACAATCTTTGATGTTTTATGACAAAACCAAGACCTTGAGCCTTCTTCTCCGCGGCTGTGCAGAGAGGGTTGTGAAGGTGACCCTGCTGGTAGGACGAATAAAAAATGGACTTGTTTATTTTTCGCAGAACATTTGGATCCATAATAGCCGTATCAGCCATAGTCGCTCACCAAGGCAGAATAAAGGTGAGCAAAAATTCTATCGAATGATCTTTTATTGCATATACGACACCTTAAAAACAGTTCTTCGCGTTGTTTACTGAGAGGAGACATCGAAGTAGAAATGTCGCTTTGAACCCTTGGCTGTCACAAGCCAATTATCTGACTTATCTGTCCGTTGCAGTGTTGCACTCTTTTCTATGAAAAGCCCAGTATTCTACTGAATTAAAAATATGATATATACGTGATAGAAGTTTTTAGGATCCTTGATTAGTCAGCAATCAATTTAGTAGTCCTGGTGGGATTCGATCCATGACCTGTGTGTGACCATCTCATGACAGTCATATCAGAGTGGATACTCTGACATCCTCTTCCAACATGAACCAGCACATCCAATACAACAACCCTCGAGGTAATTACTACCGAGGACACTATTGAGCTTCAGAGGCACTTACCAAGAAGGCTACCGAGGTGGCCATTATGGCAATCACCAAGATAGTAACCATTGCCACCACAATCTTTACAGCCATTATTATCAATATTCCTGTTATGACCCCAACTACTACTACAACAACAATCCCTACCCACCCTATCAACAACATGCAGTAACAAACACGTTCTCCACCCAGCGCCGACAACTGGTGTCAAGGATGTCAGCCATCTGAGAAATACCTGAACCGCTCGCCAAATATCCGTGTGTTCCTATTACATTTGGATAGATTCACGTGATTGTGACTGGTATTCAACCATGTCCAGTAGTCCCACAGTAATTGCATGGGTGATGTTGGGCCATGCTGCCCATGTTTGCTTGCCTCGCCAAGCCAAGATGGCACTGACGTCTATGTAAGATTGAAGGGGGTGATGGATCGGGACCCTCGAAGAAACGAGTATGAGAAGATGATGTTATCCTTGATGCGCATCGGCCGAAAGTTCGTGCAACAGCTGAATATCGACAGAGATCACTAGAGGGGTAAGAAAAAAATGGCGAAGCTTGTTTGAATTAGCCATAGCACCTTTTATTTTTTTCGCCTTCCTTTCGTCATCACTCACATTCGCCTTTTTTTTCACTCGCCATCCCATATCTCTCTACTTTCTTCTCTATTCTTTCTCTCTCGCTGTTCATTCATTCCAGCTTGTCATCCCGTTCTCATTCCTCCCATTCTTGGAAGGAACAACTCTGGCAACCTCGTTTTTTCTGAGGTAATCGCACTCCTACATACAGACGTTCATTGTCGACCTACCATCGAGTTGTGAATCACCTTCATTTGTCAGTCTTTATTGTCCACCCCACTCCTCATTTGCACAGGACGAGTTTGTTGTCGTGACCAAAACGACAACGACGTAGCTACCCCAGTGCCTATTGTATGGAGTGCTGTGTCGACGCGTGTCGTGTGCTGGCCTATTGCTTTTATTCCAAGTCTCCGATGTCTCACACGCTTTAATTTACTCACATATGCGTCTAGCAGCAGAGGAGCTCCGCAACCGTCGCCTAAGTCGACTTCCTTACCTTTTCGAGACACAAACTAACTGCCTGTCAACCGACTAAGTGTAATGCGTTGCTGCTACCAAGACACGGCCAAATATCACTGGAAGAAAGTGTCTAATCGTTCGTGGATTAACATAGGTCTCACTTGCTCCTAACTATCAGTGTAGTGGACATCCTCCACTGGACCTGCCCAACAAAAAAAAACATCCCAGTATTTCCATTCCAGGTAAAGTACATACAGATTAAGTAGACTACCTTTCTTTACCTTGCTTTCGATCCATTGTCTGATCACAGACCGAACACCATTATTCCCTTAGCCTTTTTTCCGACTAGTTGTAGTCGACGTCCTGCTGAGCCACGATTTTGTACCCATCCCTGACCCGAATGTCTACCCAAGTGCATCACGACAGACCTACTAGGTAGGCAAAGTGGAATCATTGCGAGCCATCGTGAAATATTTGTCAAGGCATTTATGCATAACAACTTACCAGTTATCGCAACTAGTCCTCCTACCTACAAAGAATCATTTTTTCACCCCCAAGCCCAATATTACCCGCAATTTGCAAGGAATATCCAGACGAAGGTACTGCAACTGCATTTCATATGCAAAAATAGAGAATGTACAAGTCTTGCCCAACGTAGCTAACTATTTTCATCATTAACTCAATAGACTTCTTACTCGTTCCAACAATCGAATATCTTCGACTTGAACAGTCTCTTGGAGTCCGTAAAGATGTCAGAGGTATGAATTTGTTAGTCTCCTGGTCACAACGTCTTCATCTCGCACACAAACGCTTTGTTTACAATGCTTTTAATTTTATCCGCGTGGTTATTTAGTTAACACAATCGGACCTTACATCGTGCAAGCTCATCTCTCGCATTTTGACTCAGCCAGGCTCGGTAGATCTTTTTTTGCCATCAAAGTAGGGCATACGATTTACGATGTTATTTACGATCGTACGAATTTGAACGCACTATTAACTGCAGGTTTGCTCGCTTCTATTATAGTATCGGACGTATGCCTTCCTATACTTCGGAAACTGCGTCAACCACGTCGCCAACTCCTCTTTCCATCCACTTGGAGCCTGAGCAGCGCCATCTGTCTCTAAGCGCAACCTTCGCGATCCCGAACACTGAGTTTCAGTCGGTCAAGGACGAAGAGCCCAGTCGTGTGTCATCTGAAGGGGCGCGACTTACTGAGCAATCGAACATACAGACGGCGTATCTTTCTATAACATCGAGATCTACCTCCGAGTACCCTCTTCAGACATCCGCCATCGATTTTATCCGTGTCAACCAGGCGAAAACACCTACTGATACTGGCGATTCGTCAGTGGAAAATGGCCACCATCCTCCAGCTGAACATTGCTACGAGTCCACCGTCTCAGACGACAAGGCTCTTGCCAACATGATGGCCACACACTTTCGCGCCACCACCGCCTTCAAGAACGCCTGCAGGCCTACAATCAAACCTCAAGTTCCAATGACAGGCCTAAACGATATCACGTCCACCCCGCAGCTTGTTTATTGCATTACTTTGTTGCTCAACAACTCCGAATCAGTACTCCATGGCGAAAGCGTAAAGAGGCCTGTTGATTTGAGTAAGAGGGAGGGCAGATGGCTGCGAGGTGCGAGGGAGGATCCAGAGATACAGAAATACCTTTGTTCGCTGACGTCGATGATGGTGTGGGCATTTGTCGATGCCCGTTCCCAGTGCCCTGATCTCACTGCCGAGATAGTACTCCTTGGTCCTGTACTCAACCGCGACGATTATCACACCCTGCTCTCCCACTTTATCAAGTCTCTCAACCATGCACGCTGGCAAAACATCGAATACCTCCGGGGGATGATTCGTTTGGTCCAGTCTGCCTCTCCTGGGGTCCTTGCAGACGACGACGTGGACAAGATTCTGACGGCCATTCGGGTACATTTAGGGATAACGACGAAAGACTATCACCACTTGGTCTTTGCGGCCACGAAGGTCTTGGGAGTGATGGCGAGCGGCATAGCCAAGGACTTGGATCGACAGCGAGATTACCGACCTCTTTTGGATGTTCTGCATGCCACAAGCTGCAAGGACAGATCGCTCGAGTTTCAAGTCGAATGTGCCCGTCAGGCCTGTCTGTATCTCTCCGCTGACGAGACTCCTTTGCGAAAGGTCCTGTGCTCTGCCCACCTGGCCACAACTGACGTCCCTATGATCGATGAAGTATCTACGTTGGATGTGCAATCTGTCATCGCCGCGGTGGAGCATCTTCGTCATGTATCAAGTACCTCCGCGATTGATGTTGACGTTGTCATAACCGAAGTCAATAGAGCGCGTGCGGGGGTCATAGCTGGTAGCGACGCAAAGGTTGTCAAGGAGGCCGGCCATATCAGACAAAAAGAGGCTTGGTATCCTGCCCTGCAAGCAGCGGAGACATTCGTCCAGCATGGCCGACTGGTTGAGTTCAGTCAGCTAGTTTGTGACGCCTCGTGTCGTTATGATTTGAACTTTCAACGTGGTGCCTGTCAGATCATTGGAGAGATTGCCATCGACCCTCTTTGGACCGTTGCCAGCAGGCGGAGCGCTATTGATTGTCTCCTTGGGCTGTATCATTTGCACGGGGCCGACATCGATTTCGATACGGGTCACAACATCAGACCATCGATTGTCGCCATCCTCCGCCATATTTCCAACATGAAGCAGTCCGACATCAAGAAGTACGCCAGCACGCTACTGAGCGACTTGCCAGGGAAAGACTCTTGCAACCTCCAGATCTTTCACCCATGGATGACCCGATTACCGTTGCCTCCATTTTACCGTCTTCTCCGTCGCGCTCAAGCCATTCCTCAAGAGGAGACCCAACTGAGGTATCTGCGACGTATGCGACTTCAGGAATGCCTCCAGCCCATATATGTCACCCTTCAAGCGACATCAAGCTGTGGAGCCTCCAGAGATACACCTTGTTCATTAATAACCACCATGCAGGGATTCTTGAAATCGGATCGCCTCGTGTATCTTCTTTTGGGGGAATCTGGGTCAGGAAAAACGTCATCGTGCCGACGCCTGGAGCGGGAACTCTGGGACGACTACAATAACGGCGGCATGATCCCAATATACATCGACTTGTCTTACATTGACACCCCAGAGCACAAATTGATCGAAACACAGCTACACACCCACGGCTTTTCGGACGATGAGATCCAGCAACTGTTGCAGCATCGACAATTTGTGATCATCTGTGATGGTTATGATGTACGCCGCCTCACGACAAACCTCTTCAAGACCAATCAACTAGGCCAATGGGACGTCAAGATGATCATCAACTGCAGGAGCACTTTCCTCCCTAGCGACTACCAAGGTCGATTTCGCCCTCATGGACCCGACCACTATTTCGACAAATCGGCGAACCTTTACGAGGAGTCAACCATTGCGTCATTATCCGAGAGCGACATCAAGGAATTTATCCAGCAGTATGTCCGAGATCTACCCGCGCAGGAGCCCTTGGGCAGGCTGCATCTCTCGATTGCAGATGACTACTGGAACGCCTTGGCCGCCATACCCAATATGGTGAACGTGGTCGAGAACCCGTTTCTATTGACGCTAGCGCTGAGGAATCTCCCGTCATTGTCGCACGATGCTTTGGATCCCGCCAGGAGAGAGACCACCCGAGATCAACTCTACAACAACTTTGTCAACAGCTGGATCGACGCCAACAAAAAGCGACTTGATTCGACTATACTCAGTCAGGAATCTTCCGACGCCTATGATCTCTTATGTGACCCCAACTTTCGATGGTGTGTAAGAGACTTCTTGAAGAGGTTTGCGACAGCGATGCGGAAACATCAGAAGAACCGCCTAGTTGTGAAATACACAGAGCGTGAGGACAAGAATTCCTGGAAGGCGGAGTTTCTCGGAAGAGCTATCGAGGCGACACTTCTGCGCGAGGCCAGTCCCCTCACAAAAACAGGGAATCACCACAGATTTCTCTATGACTCTTTGTTCGTCTTCTTCCGGTTTCTGGCAGCATATGACCCCTTTGAAGACGATGACAGCCCCAACAACAACGATGACGATGACTCCTTTGACGGTCAAGACGGCTTCCACGACGATGGGGACTTGACTGACGGCAACACTGGTTCGAGTGGCGGAAGTGACGGCTCGGCTGACGATAACAACCGCTCAACTGGCGATAGCGACCGCTCGTCTGGTGGAAGCGATAGCCCAACTGATGGAAATGATAACCCAACTGGCGGAAACGATGGCTCAACTGGTGGGAACGATGGCCCAACTGGCGGAAACGATGGTTCGACTGGTGGAAATTATAGCTCAACTGGTGGAAGCGATGACCCAACTGGCGACAGAGTCGATTTTGGTGACAGCCATGGCGGTACTAGGAATGGCAGCAGTTCTGGCGGAGGCAAGGACGCTTCTGAGGAGGACAAGGGCGGCTCTCGCCGATCCAAGGACGTTTCTCGCTCCAAGAAGAAAAGCAGGTCCAATAAGCCTCTTCTTTCCACATTATTCTCGGATGTGAACTATCTCGATGATCTGGAAGTATTGGAGTTGCTGGTCGAGCGCGCCCAAGTTGATTCACGCATGAGGAAATGTCTTTTCACGGTCATCGAACAGTCCAAGTTGTCGACTGCTCCCAGTCTTGCCGCAGCTAACTCCATCACCATCCTGTTCAAGGCCGGAGAGCGATTCCTCAATATCGATCTGAATGACGTACGGATACCGGGGAACTACATCTTGAGGGAGGCCCTGGAGTTCATGGAGACTGATCTCGTGCACATGCTTTGTCGACTCGCTATGCCGATCCTCAAACACTCTACCACTACAATTATGACTCCACTTGCCGATGTCAACTTCGACCCCACAACCCATGGTCCCATTGCCCCACCCCCGACACTCGTCATCCTCGAATCCCAGCAACAGATCGGATCAGAATACACGAGCAAGATGACTGCACTTGCCGATGTCAACTTCGACCCCACAACCCATGGTCCCATTGCCCCACCCCCGACACTCGTCATCCTCGAATCCCAGCAACAGATCGGATCAGAAGACACGAGTAAGATGACTGTCTCTGCCCGGCATCTCCAACACCATGCGCTGGTGCCCGAGTTTGTGTCTGAATATACCCTCGGCGACGAGCTCGGTTATGGCGGATCTTCAATTGTCGTATCTGCCACGCGCAACTCGGACCAAAAGGAGGTCGCGGTCAAGTTCATTTTCCGGGAAAAGGTCACCGTTCATGGGTGGGTCAAGGATCCCGAGCTTGGTGTGATCCCCGTGGAGATTTATATCCTCCGGAATGTTGCCCATGCTAATATCATTGGGTTCTTGAATGTCTACCAAGACCACAAGTACTTTTACTTGGTCATGGAGATGCACGGTACTCCCTGGTCCGCCATCAATCCGCTGTTGAATAACATGCAGGGATCGATGATGGGCACGGTGGTTCAGGCGACCATAAACCAAAGAAATGTCGCTGTTGCTGCTGTAGACCCTTCTGCTACCAGATCCACGTCAACTATAAGTTCAGGATCGTACCAGGACATCTCTATATCATCCTCCTCGTCTTCCTTATACCAGGCGACAGGCAGTAGCGACAAGGCACACCAACCTGCTAATTCAGCCCTTCTTGCCCACCGCGCCTCATGTGATCTCTTTGCGTGTGTCGAGTACCACTCCAGGTTCACCGAGACGCAGGCCCGTGTGATCTTCAAGCAAATTGTCGAGTGTGTTCACTACCTCAACTCGCGCGGAATCTGCCACCGCGACATCAAGGACGAGAACTTTGTCATCGACAATGACCTTCGGGTCAAGTTGATCGACTTTGGATCGGCTGTGATCATCCCCAAACCCCAGGGCAAGCTATTTGATCGCTACTATGGGACCATTGACTGTAAGCATCTCTCGTTGCATGCACATTGTCCTCATTTTTTTGTGTTCGCTCACCTTCCTTCTCCCTCCTGCCCCTTCACTCCGTTCTTTCTTTCTTTCTTTCCCTAATATCTGCGTGCCTGTCTGCCTGTGTTCTTGGCTGACCCCCTTGACCTCGGCAATAATGCATTTATTGCAGCACCATTGAAGAGAGCCATAAATTCGTTCCTCGAATGTGGTCTAACGCATCCATCCATCCCTCCCTTCTTTCTCGCTTCTTTCTTCCCTCCCATAGATGCCTCCCCTGAGATCCTGAGGGGCGAGAAATACAGGGCAGAGGCAGCGGAGATCTGGTCTCTTGGCATCCTCTTCTACATCATCCTCTACGGCGAAGTGCCATTCAGTGACCCCGTCCAGGCCATCTCTGGACCTTACACCCTGCCCCGCGTAAGGTCTTCAGGCGAGTGCTTACACTTGCTCAACTGGATGTTGGCCAAGAAGCCCGAACGGCGTGCGACCATTGAGGACGTTGCCAACCATCCATGGATCGTCGGAGTAAGCATACCCAATGTGTCGTGAATCTAGAACGAGGCAAATGGTGATTGATCTTTCAATCCTGGCAATGCAGATGCAGAGGCAAAGGCTAGAAAAGGGCAGGGAAAGGGTTGAAAATGGTGATCAGGGTCCAGACCAAGTATTTTTCAGAGTACTTACTAAGTACTATCTAAAATAAAAAGACAGACTCAAAAACACCGCCAAAAAAAAAAAAGGCACACATTACATGCGAGGATGACTTGTTGTTTTCCTATACCTTAAAAAAATGAATCAGACCAGTCAGCCCTCTCTTAGTTGAATGGCAACTAGCAGAGGTAAGCACCCGTACTAAAGCCGAGCTGATATCAAAATGGGGCTGGTAAAAAGAACAACATTAAGGTCTAAACCTCATATCGCTCTTCAACTAAGAGAGGGTTGACTGTACCCACAACAGGTAATGCACGTGGACACAGACCACATTAAAGGACGCGTCGATCTGAGCTCAAATTTGTACCCCCTAAATGGAAAAGGCAGGCGTCCACGGTGGCGGTATTGAACAAAGTATCAACGACGCGACCTTGAATTCTAATGAAGCAAGGATTGAAAGAGCCGACATCGAAGGATCAGAAAGCAACGTCGCTATGAACTCTTGGCTGCCATTATTCTTCCTTGCCAGGGACTCTATCTGTGTGTATCTTTCTTTTATTATTAGCCGTGACTTCCGAAAAAAAAAAAAAAAAAAATGAAAAAAATGAAAACAAAATAAAGGGGACTCTAGGTGATCTGTTGATCTCTATCTTTCTTTTTCACGGCCGGAACACTATCCCCGAATCTTTGAACGATCCTCCCCCATGTCCCATGCATCCAACCTCACGGCCCCCGATGTCGATATCGACGTTCACACGACCCTTCGCCTTATTCAGGAGCAAATGCAGCAACAACAGGTCTTTATGCAGCAACAGCAGGCCCTTTTACAGCAGCAGCAAAACAGGATCCAACAACTGGAAGCCGAATCCATTGAGCAGGACGGCAAACTGGTCTACAGGAACCCTCGAGCGACCCTCATCAAGCTTCGCCAGGACATTCTCAAGGTTTACCCAGCCATCGGCGAACCCAAGTTCTTCTACTCGGAACTACCCAAGAACCACAACGTTTTCAACTGGAACGACTACCACTACACTGAGGGTATGGATTACAAGCCTCCCCCGGTTCTGCAGCACTCCGAGGTTACCCTCACAGACGCGGCTAAGCGACACGAACGCGATTTGGTATCGATCCAAGGATTTTTGGCTCAATCGACCCGGTTCTTCGACACTTTCGCTTTCGAAGTCCTTGAAGATGGAGACGATCAATCGGAGCTCGGCAAGAAGATACTCGGTCTCCTCAACACGGTACGCATATCAACAGCCCACGACGCTTCCAGGATCAGTCGGATGCGAGAGAACCTTTACCTCGACGAACTCGGCATCAAGCATGGCAACGACAAGGAGGAATCCCTTTTCACTTTGGAATCACTGGCTGCCAAAAAAGCAGCCGCTGATCTGGTTCGGAAGACATATAAGAAGTTCGAGCCTCCAAAGGACAAGAACAAAAAACCTGACAACAAATCCAGCAAGGACAATTCAGGATCAGGCGACAAACGCAAGGACCAACAGTTCGGCAAGTCGCAACATAAAGACAAGTCAGGATACAAATCCGACAACGGCAAGTCGGGTTACAAGTCGGACGGAGGCAAGTCTGGTGGCAAGCCTCGGAACAAATCTGGTAGCGGACAAGGCAGGAAGCAGCCAGACAAGGGAAACGAGGGAGAGAAGTCGGATTAGTAGGAGGTCGACTTCTCCAGTTCTAGGAAGCATGGAGGGAGATGACGGATTCGACCTGGGTCAATAACATCATCAAGTCAGGCTACAGTATCATATTCAACCGACCTCCGCCACTACGCCTACCACCTCAGTACGATCCGTTCATTTCGCCGGAGGAACGCACAGCCATCGATACAGAGGTCCGTTCCTTATTACAAAAAAGGGCTATCGAAGGCTGCAGCGGGAAGGGATTTTACAGTCGTATCTTCACGATTCCCAAGAAGACAGGAGACTTACGCCCAGTATTAAACTTACGTCCACTCAATCAGTTCTTGACAGCACCAAAATTCAAGATGGAGACCCTCAGCAACATTTGCCGGATGCTCAGACCAGGCGACTGGCTTACGAGTATCGACCTAAGCGACGCCTTCCTGCACGTGGCAGTCCATCCGGCATCTCGAAAGTACCTCCGCTTCAGATGGGGAGCGGCATCATACCAGTTCCGAACCCTGCCTTTCGGACTGTCACTTTCCCCTTTCATCTTCACAAAGATCATCCGTCCAATTCTCAAGTGGGCGAGGGAGAAGGGGATCAGGATCTCGGCATATCTCGACGACATCCTCATCGCAGCCAGGACCAAGGAGGAGGCCAAGGAGCACACTCGTCTGGTTCGGGAACAACTAGAACGACTGGGTTTCCTCATCAAGGACACCAAGTCAACACTCGACCCTACCCAATGTATCGACCATCTTGGGTTCAGGGTCAACACCGCCGACATGACACTCTCAGTACCAAGATCAAAGGTCCGCGACCTGCGCAGGGAGGCGGAGAAGATGATCAGGGCAGGGACCATCCAACTTCGGCGGCTGGCGGCATTTATCGGGAAGGCGATCGCGATGACGGTGGCAGTCTTTCCGGCTCGACTGAGGACGAGGAATCTGATTCAGGTTCAGAATGCTGCTTTGGCCAACGAATGCAAGTGGACGGACCCAGTTACATTGGATACGGCGGCACTGGAGAATCTCAGCTGGTGGAGATCTCATCTGTCGGAATGGAACGGTCAAGGATTCTTGCCTCAGAGAACGGAGGTCGACGCGTACACCGATGCCTCGGAGGAGGCATGGGGGATTGTGATCGAGGGCAAGGAGATGTCCAGGACATGGAGTGCATTGGAGCAACCACACCACATCAACTGGAAGGAGCTACGGGTTATTGGCACTTGGTCCACCTTCCAGAAACGATCGGGAAGACAATTCATGTTATTTGCGACAACATGACAACCATCGCTCAGATCAACAGATTCGGCGGGACGAGGTCTCAACCGCTACTCGATCTGACGACCAGGATATGGAACCACTGCATGGAGACGGGCACGAGACTCAAGACGACATACGTTCCCTCACAGTTCAATCCAGCAGATGCACCGTCCAGGAGGATGACGACGCAACTGGAGTGGTCGATCGACAAGTCATTCTTTCAACACCTCGAGTCGATATGGGGTCAACACCACATCGACCTATTCGCAACAGCAACGAACGCCAAAGTTCCTCGATACATTTCATGGAAGCGAGAGGAAACCGCCTGGAGCCAGGACGCATTCAACAGCTGCTGGTCCAACATGAACAGAGTCTATGCGTGTCCGCCGTGGTCTCTGATCAGCAAAGTCCTCCAGAAGATCAAGCAGGACAAGGTCAAGGCGACGGTCATCACTCCATTCTGGACAAGCGCGCCTTGGTACCCTACGATCACAGCCATGTCGGTCGACAAGCCTCTACGGATCCTGAGGAGCCAAGTCTTGCCAGCTCCGGGGAACAGTCCACACATCCTCGAGAGGAATCCAATGTGGTCGCTCTCAGCCTGGAACGTCGACGGCAGCAAGCAGTAGAGAAGGGAGCAGGAACAGGAGTCCTCGCCAAGTTATTCGACTCAGGGGCAGCGCAGTCACGCCGCAAGAGACGAGTTCCCGGACAATAAGCTTTTATTCGGTGGATGCAGGATCACGAACGGGACCCCCTCAACCCATCGGCCATGGACCTCATGAACTTTCTCGACTACGGACTGGAAGAGAAAAAGTGGAAGCTTACAACAGTTCTCACTTACAAATCAGCCATTCTACGGCTATTTCCCGCCAAGCAACAACTGAAGATCAAGGAGGATGAGCTCTTCAAGGACTTTATGAAGGTGATGGGCACAGGCACCTTCAAACGGCTCCATAACGCCACAGTGGATCTGACGCCGATATTGACTGGTCTTCAAGCACTCGGCGACAATCACAGCATGGACATCAAGGACCTTACCGCCAAGACATGCTTCCTCTTGGCCACATGCGGTCTCCTGCGACCGGACGACCTAGCCTGCACGGATGCGTCCCAGTGCAAGATCAACGGAAACAAGCTGGAGCTCACAGTCGTATTCCCCAAGGAACACCGAGGAGGTCAAATGATTATCAAGCCTGTCATCATCAAGCCACACCCGGTCGAGTTCTTTTGCCCGGTCAAAGCCTATGTCGAGTATCGGCGACGTACTTCGAACCAGGATCGCTTTGCCAGGACGACACACCCCAAGGTCGAGACAGAACCCTTCACCCCTCTCATTCGACATGTGCGTCGAGCCAATCTGGGATTGAGTTCGGATCGGATCCGCAAATACATCCAAGAGATCATGCAGCTGATGCCACGAGACGAGACCCAGCCACCATACAAGGCCCGAGCAGTGGGTACGATCGCCGCACTGGAGAAGGGGATCCCATTAGACGACGTTGTCACGCACGGCAACTGGTCATCCCCAGCCATCGTCGAAGCGTTCCACAGGATCTCGCGGTCCCTGGCGAACAACTTCACCACAGCCATTCTTTCCTAACTTTGGATTCACAGATAGAGTCCCACCCGACCCGCCCTTTTCTAGCAAGTAGATAGAGATCAACAGATCACCTAGAGTCCCCTTTATTTTGTTTTCATTTTTTTCATATTTTTTTTTTTTCGGAAGTCACGGCTAATAATAAAAGAAAGATACACACAGATAGAGTCCCTGGCGTTGTCGAATAATAGGCTTTAGCCGTCATTACATTCGGCAACGCTAACCATAATAAATTGAAGGTCACACACACATCCTCGGTCCCTGGTCTACTAGGAGAATGGGTGTAAGTCGTCTTGCATAGACGTCACCTGTTCATTTGTCGGTAGAGGATGTTTTGTCGAGACTCGTTTGCTTGAGCTGCGATGTCGCCTGCCAGGTATCGGATCGTGCTGGCGAGTGCAACTGCTCGGTCCTTCCATATATTCTCAGTGTCGTCCTTGGCTGCCATGAGAGCGAGGGTGTCCAAAGGGCGCGTGAGATGGGCCAGTCTGGTCTGAATCCTGGCCAATTCCTTCTCTGCGAAACTGTTGTCTTCATTGAGTTGGAGTCCCTTTTGTTGAACGTCCAGAAGTGGATGGGCGTCGTAGTCCATTCCCTCCACGAAGTGAAAGTCGGACATGTCGATGAGTTTCTCAGCAGGGTCGAGCTTGGCTTTGAAAAAGTCCTTCTGAAGGGCAATGACAGGGTAGATAGCGAGGAGTGATTGTGTGGGGACGATGTAGGTCGGTCGAGGTTTGGTGATAACGAGAGTGGAGTCGTCGGTGTGTGCGTTATTGTGCTTGTTCTGCTCAATAGCTTCGTAAAGTTGATCAATCCGTGCCATGATAAGGGCAAGTTGTTCTTGAAGAGATTCATGCGACATAGTGACGGATCGATCGATGGAGATCCGGGGATGTGTTCCAACCGTGATTAAAAGAAAGATAGAGAGCAAGGTATCTGGAGGTCCCCTTTTATAGCAGCAAGCGCTCCCTTTTTTATTTTTTTCTGGACAATCATGATTACAATAAAGAATGATACACACAGATGGAGTCCCTGGAAAGGAAGAATAATGCAGTTGAGAGCACCGACCAAAAAGAGGAATGAGAAGAAAAACGAGGATGAAGGTGCGCCTCCAAGTAGTGGACAAGCAACAGGGATGAGCGGGCGTCACTTGAGAGCATTGCTTCGTTTGGGGGAGAGGCAATCGACAAAAAAGGGAGAAGAACGAATATAAATACAGACTAGTCGCCCCTCACTTTTTCTCATTATTCTTCTCATCCTCAATCACAACCACAGCAAACACTCTCCCCCTCCGATCAACATACAAAACACATATCCAACATGCGTTTCTCCACTCTCATCGCTGCCTCCACCATGACCGCCCTCTCCGTCGTCTCAGCCCAGTCATCGGTGCCCGATCCCAAAGTCGTCGCCGCCTGCAGCACCTGCATAGACAATGCCGCTATAGCCGCCGCTCCCGCCTGTAAGAGTCTCGAGGGCTACATTGGCGGCAAAAATGCCCCTCCTGCCGACAAGATGCAGGCTTGCATGTGCGGATTGAAGGGCAATATGAACTGGGCTGATTCCTGTGTTCGACCTGACAAGTGCACTGCCCTCCATACGTCCGCCCTTGTGAGCGCTGTCACCTCTAATACCTCCCAGCCTAATGCCTGTATTAACGCTTCTGCCACTAGTGCTGGTTTCAAGATGTGTGGAGTGTCTTCGGCCAAGGTTGCTGCTGCTGGTGCTGCCATGGCTGTCGTTGGTGCCCTTTTGTAGATTCTAGCTAGATCCGTTTTTTTCCTTCCCTTCTGTCCTCCGCATTTTACAATCATAACCTTATTATCACATATTCTCTCGAATAATGAATGATGGGAGGTGAATGATCAACCGCTGGTGTCTGGTTCCAATTCTGATGGAACTTGCTGACGCGTCTTTCCCTTGATCAATGATATGAAGTGGATGATCAACCGTTGGTGTCTTGTTTTTCATTTTTAGAACTCCCTAGCGCGTTCTTGTTTCTGAAAATACTAGCTGTTCTTCGCCCGTGACTTCGTCACAGGCAGCCTGACTCCGCCAGGCGTGTAAAGAGATTAAAAAAGAAAGCAAAAGAAAGAGATATGTATATGTATTAAGGTATTTAATATTGAAAGGAGAACAAGGGAAGACCTATGATAGTGCGCCGGAAAAAACAACGTTTCTAGCACAGCGAATCGTTACTTTTTACTTTTACTTTTCCTCTTCCACTCTCTCTATCTCTACCTGTCTATGCTCCCCAATATTCTTTTCTTGTCCAAATAGCTTGTCCTGACTATTGAGAGCACCGTTGAGTCTTGTTCTCTTGTAGACACTTGATGGAAACGTAGTACCTCGTTAAAAAAAAGGAAACAAGGTGTCATCTTATTTTTTTTTGCGTGGAAGAAAAAAAAAGATGTTAACAGGGAGCATTGTCAACTCTTTTTTTGATCCCAGCAAGACAGGCAGACTGCACACCATTGGTGCTGAAGGTGTTTGTTATGCTGAGGAGAATGGAGAGCACCAGCGGGAGATGGGCTCAAGTGACCAAAAATGAGTTTCCAGCAGTAATCATATGACTGGTGCTTAACTGTCGACGCTCTTCCATAAAGGAATGGTCGTAGTCTCTTACTTTGTCCCACTTATAATTACATCCACCACCACCACCACCACCACCACTACTACTACCTTTTACCTTTCAACACATAAACACACACAAAAACATCCAACATGCGTTTCTACACCATCGTCACCGCAGTCGCCATGGTCATCCTCTCAGTCTTAGCTAAGACGCCACGCTTTTACACAGCTGACATGGAAGCCTACACTTCCTGTATAAATAATGCCAGCATCGCCGCCGTCTCCGCCTGCAAGAGTGTCGAGAGCACAATGGTTCCCGTCGTTACCGGCCCTTCAGACACACAAAAGGCATATTGGTGCACCTTGAATGCCAACAAGGAGTGGACTGATGGCTGTCTCCAGCCAGACAAGTGCACGACTGAAATGATGCAGACCGTTTTCAAATCATTACCGCCGCTGCTGCCTCTAAGCCTCGTATCTGTGATAACTTATCTGCCAATGTCAATGCTGCTGGTGTCAATATGTGTGGAGTGGCTTCAGCCAGGCTTGTTGCTGGTGGTGCTGCTATGGCCGTCGTTGGTGCCCTTTGTAGATTGTAGCTACATCCTTTTTTACCCTTTCCTTCTCTCCTTCACATGTTGTACAATATTAATCTTACTTTCCCTCTACTGGCGAAATGACGTGATGTGGATTAATCAACCGTTGTGTCTGGTTTCAATGTTGCCGCCATTCCTAAACGCGTGTGGTTCCTGGTCGATTCACTGCCACACAGTACACACAGCACACATACAGTACATACACCTCTTGCTTAGCATACTTTACTTCCCTTTCACTTTCAGTCCAAGCAATCAGCGTCTCCACCTCTTCTTCCCAAGATTTCTATCTCAGTTGGGCTGTTGTTGACACTTGGGAGCATCGGCTCACTTTTTTTTTTTTTTTTTTTAGTGCAAGAGAGTTTCGCATTCAATGTGGGCATCCTTCTTACACAAAAATAAGGTATATCGACTTGTGGCGAGATTACCGGTATTTGTTTATGCAAGTGTCACCTATAGTAACGGTGACTATCGCTCTTTATGCAAGTGTTTCTGTGACCTTTTTTTACCGCCCCACTGATTTTTCATGCAAGTGTCGTGCTCTAGGCCATCTGTCGCCTTTGTTGACCTCCCCAGTGTTTTTTCATGCAAGTGCCATGCTCTGCGCCCTCTGTCGCTAGAAGCGTCGACTTCTATACCAACATGTTGAATGTTCTCCCTTTTTCATATGTCCCTTCCATGCATACGCTTCATTCTCTCTGTGCTGTCTACTTATTCTTCTTCAAACTATGCCGGCTTTTCTGCCTTCTGTGCTGTATCCTCAACTTCGAGTCCGAAAGAAGTTATAGACACATATAAATAGCATGATTATTGACAGCAGCCATACCTATCAACCAACTCAAGGATTCGAAGCAACCACAACAATGGCGACCTCTCGAACAATGGAACTCAAAGCCAAGTACGACTTCGTCAAGTTCCTCTTACACGATATCATTATTACCATAACATGCTATGGAGACGGAGAGGGTTTCCCCCAGATATTGGAAGTAGAGGTATATCTGAAGGACACTATCGCAGACTTGAAAGACCTTATTTTCAACCAAGCGGAAAAAGAAGGCTTCAACATGGAAGGCATTGATCCAGAAGCGGTCTTCATTGGTTTTCAAGATGATCTCGACCGGCCCTCACATTATTATCGTAACGGAACGAAGCTCATGGATTTCGACAGTCTGCCCCGTTATGCCGTCTTGTCCCATTATCTGTAAGTTAATGAATATAGTTTGGCAACTAAGGGAGGATATTTTTACGGATTCTAATTTTTCCCTTTTGTGCTTAAGTTGCGTCAGGCTATGGGACCTGGATACTTTCAAGTACTAGAGGGACTGGAGTTTTGAAACAGGAGCAAAGTGAAGAAGCCCCTTAAGACGCTCACTCACCTCTCGTTTACAGCCCTGGAACAAAGCATCGGCGACGAGACCTCAAAAAAGCAACGTCGCTATGGACGCTTGGCTGCCACAAGCCAGCTATCACTGTTGATAAGCAGAAAATGGCAAAGCAAAGATTGGTAAAATATCAGGATGACAATTGGTAAAACAATAAACAGTAAAGTGACAGATGGCAAAACAAGGACAATGACAGGGCACTTTGTAAGCCATAGGTCGACAGACTCCCTTGAGTTTTGCCTCGGCTCCCTTGAAATTTTCTTTGAGCAATCATGATCGATCAACTTCATCTTACTTTTTTTTCACATCATACCCCTGCATTATGTTACCCCTTCTGACATTCCTCCCATCCATCCGTTTGTTAACTGTATACCATGTTAATCTGTTGCCTCGAAAGAGTGGCAGCTCGTAATGCTCTGAAAGGAAGGGGGACCTCATCGAAGATGCCAAATCGTATGAATTGCATGAAATATGTGTCATGCCTGCTCAATTGAGAGCAAATGATGCACAAGATTAGTGTCACAGTAATATAGAATGTTCTTCTGCTTCGCCTTCCTATGCCTCTACCAGCCCCCACTACTGCGCCTCTACTAACCAAGCCTCCGACCCTTCTATATAGTAGTATGAATACTCCTCTCGTCTTGAACCATAAATCGGGACCTTTTTCTAGCGTCCTCCACTTTCCCCTCGTACTCTTGTCTCTCTCTTCCTTCCTTCCCTTGCTCATGCCCTCATCCACACTCTCTTTTTGTGTTGCTTTTACAGTCCGTGTCTAACATCCTTCGTATCTTTATCCACGTCATTGACTACTTCACAACATCACTGTCGCCTTGCTCATCCTCTTCATTTCGTTCCTTCTTCCTTACCTCTTTTCTTACCTCCTTCCCCTTCGTTATAGCACCTTCTTGTAACCCATCGTCACTCTATACGTCATCACCCCATCACGGTAACACACTTCAGCATTATGACTAAGATGTTCCCGACACATGCCCTCGATCTACATGAGATTCGCTCAAGGATTGCCAATAGCCTTGGCCACAGAGACCTCGCATCCTGTGCGTGTGTGAGTCAAGATTGGAATGACTCATTTGCACCACCACTCTACAACTCTGTCGTCCTGTCGAAACATGGCCCCAGCATGGAATCTGTCGCGAGAAACAAGCACCTTATACGACGTCTGACGATTGAGATCTCTGCCTATGAAAAAATATTATCGGCATCTTCACGAGACAAATTAATATCTAGCGTCATGGCAAACTCGAAACTAGCCAATCTGCACTTGTCTTACAACTCGATCGAATCCAACGGAGCTCAGGTGCTGTTTGAGGCACTCAAGACCAACTCGACCCTAACCACTTTGGACTTGTCTGAGAACTGGATCGAAGACGATGGAGCTGTTGCGCTGTCTGAAGCACTCAAGACCAACTCGACTCTTACCACTTTGTACTTGAGTTCCAGCTCGATCGGAGAAAGGGGCGCTCAGGCTCTAGCTGAAGCCCTCAAGATCAACTCAACTCTAACTTTTTTGGACTTGTGCGACAACTCGACCGGAGACATTGGAGCTCAGGCTCTTTCTGAGGTATTCAAGATCAACTCAACTCTGATGACCTTGAACTTGTGTTCCAACTCGATCGGAGACAACGGAACCCATGCGCTGGCTGAAGCACTCAAGACCAACTCAACTCTGGCTACTTTGGACTTGAACTCCAACTCGATCGGGGACAACGGAACCCAGGCGCTGGCTGAAGCGCTCAAGAACAACTCGACTCTGATCACTTTGTACTTAAGTTACAACTCCATCGGAGACAATGGAGCTCAGGCTCTGTCTGAGGTATTCAAGATCAACTCGACTCTGACGACTTTGAACTTACATGGCAACTCAATCGGAGACAACGGAGCCCAGGCGCTGGGTGAAGCACTCAAGACCAACTCGACTCTGACCACTTTGAACTTACATGGCAACTCAATCGGAGACAACGGAACCCAGGCGCTGGCTGAAGCGCTCAAGGTCAACTCAACTCTGGCTACTTTGGACTTGAGCTCCAACTCGATCGGAGACAACGGAACCCAGGCGCTAGCTGAAACCCTCAAGATCAACTCAACTCTGGCTACTTTGGACTTGAGTTCCAGCTCGATCGGAGACAACGGAACCCAGGCGCTGGCTGAAGCGCTCAAGAACAACTCGACTCTGATCACTTTGTACTTAAGCTACAACTCCATCGGAGACAATGGAGCTCAGGCTCTGTCTGAGGTATTCAAGATCAACTCGACTCTGACGACTTTGAACTTGAGTTCCAACTCGATCGGAGACAATGGAGCTCAAGCACTGGCTGAGGCCCTCAAGACAAACTCGACTTTGATCACTTTGTACTTGAGTTCCAACTCGATCGGAGACAATGGAGCTCAAGCACTGGCTAAGGCCCTCAAGACAAACTCGACTCTCCAACTCAATCCGAGAGATTGGAGCGCATAACAGAGATTGCTCTTATTCCGCACCTCGACTTTTTTTTTCCAAATATTTTTACTGTCTAAAAAGGGGCTATAATACAATACCACAAAATTTGTACAGATGTGGAGTGGTTTGTGTGTTTGGTGGCTTAAGAGAAGAGAACTTTGGATGCGAAACTAGACCCGAATTCGTTTTAGTTGGCGATGGTTGTGTTGGTTAATAAGGGTATCGAGGTGGTGCTGTGCAATGTTCACTCCTGCTGCTCGAGAGACCACCGTGTCATCAAAGACAAAGGCAAAGTGCATTCGCCAGATCCCGAGGAGCGTGCTGGCGATGAGCATTCCTTCTTTCTGTCATTCCTGGACGATACTTGTACTCCTTAAGTTTGCTAATTACACTAAATAGAACAACTCCTTTCAAACCCCACTTCAACGCACAACTGACACCTATAATAAATGCCCCTTAAAAATATTACTACAAGTGAACAAAGCATCACAACGCGTCGGACGAATTCGATGCAGGGAAGAGAGAAAGAGCCGATCAAAAAGCAACGTCGCTAAGAACGCTTGGCTGCCACGAGCCAGTTACACTTGGGATTCAAAGTACAAGTGAGTAAGATTGCATGTGAAACCCTTAAGTCGACGAGAAAAGGTAAGAAGCGGAAGAGAGAAGGAGATGTTGTTCTTTCGAACAAATCTATAGAACAATGGGCTTAATCTCAGCAGATCGTAGCAACAGATCGTCTCTACTACTTACAATACCAAGTTGCTTAAAAGTCGTCTGCAATGGATTTATCTCTTCCAATATTTGAAATTAACATTAGCAGGCGCCTCATGAAGCCTTTCCGCTCCACAAGACGACCCCAGGTAGTATGATTCAGGAGCCTAAGCTCTATTCGTATTCAACTAAAAATCGGAAAAGGCGGTAATCGTCGCGTTCTAGCACGGGTTCTGACTTAGAGGCGTTCAGCCATAACCCAACGGATGATAGCTTCGGGCCATTGCCTGCTCAGGCAGGCCCAAATGTCACGAGACAAGAGCTTGCTCTTGTGACTTCGCCCTAACAAATATAAAAGGGCCTTAGATAGTAAATCTATAGCTCTTTACTTGGTATCGCCAATATAACATACGCCTTAACCTATTCCTCATACTCATTTCCTAGCCCTTGATCAAGGTTCTCTTTATCTACTTCATTCTATTGCTTGGTCTGCTTTCTTGACACCAAATACCAATTATCCGAATGAACGGTTCCTCTCGTACTAAGTTCAATTACTATTGCAACAACATTTCATCAGTAGGGTAAAACTAACCTGTCTTACGACGGTCTAAACCCAGCTCACGTTCCCTATTAGGGTCTGCTTGGAAGCGATCAAGGCTCTTAGAAAGGTGCTTATAATGGTTCTCGAAGTTGTGGTAGCGATTGTAGTGTGAGTGCGCAGGATTTCGGGCAGGTTCGACTTCTTTATATACGTGAAGAGGGTCGGAACAAACCTAACTGTTCTTTTTTCTCCCTATGCCCAAATGAGAACGAGGAAGGACGCAAAATGATCAAGGGGACAAAGCAGAGCAACCAGGAAGGGACAAATTCAGAGATTGCAGAAAAGGGTCAAGGAATTGTTGCGGAACGGGTTTATTTTTAGTTCAACCCTTTTTATTCAACGAAGAAGCGCACCCATGTGCCCATGTCACCACCTGAGCGGGCTTATTATCCCTCTCAAGGTGTGAAATAAACAACAGACTCTTTCTTCTCCTTGATCATCAAAAACAACACCCGCACATTTCAGAATACCAGAAAAGACCAAGAGATACTGGGAAAAGATCAAAGAAGGCTGGTAAAAGATCAAAGGAGGCTGGAAAAGCTGGAAAAGGATCACGGGAGGCTGAAAAGTTCAAGGGGACGACGACACCATCATATGATGGTAGTAACGTTGCTAGGTTTTTATCAGGACACGATACTTACCAATTCCTCCATCTTAGAAACATAATAATGTATGGAGCTTGTGGTAGCTGAGTGTTCATAACGATGTTGCTTTTTAATCTTCGATATCGGCTCTTCCTGTCATATTGTAATCTACACAACGCACAACATCAAGGAACACTGAGGGACAATATCTGGGATAATGCCTAACGATTACCTTAAGGGACAGCACCAAAGGGACAACACCAAGGGGGACTAATTTAAGGGATGCTGGAAAAAGATCAAAGAATGGAGAAAAAACATGATAAGATGCAACAGATAGGAAAAATCAGTGATGAGAAAATCAAGGGATGGGAAAATCAAGGGATGGGAAAACAAGGGATGGGAAAATCAAGGAATTGGAGAAATCAAGAGATCAAACTACTAAGGACGACAAGATCAAGGGACAACACCATAGACTACATTAGGGGACAACATCAAATGATAACATCAAAGGACAACACCAAAGAGGCAATACCAATGGACAACATCAAGGGACAACATCAAGGGACAACATCAAGGGACAAAAATCAAGGGACAACATCAAGAGACAACATCAAGGGACGCTGAAAAAAGATCGAGGGATGCTAAGAAAAGATCAAGGGGTATATATCTCATGATCGTTAAAAAATGCTAGGAACTGTCTGGTACGCGATACTTACCTACCAACCTCCTTCCGTCTCAGAAGCACACTAATTATAGCAGCGATAACTGGCTTGTGGCAGCCAAGCGTTCATAGCGACGTTGCTTTTTGATCCTTCGATGTCGGCTCTTCCTATCATACTGAAGCAGAATTCAGTAAGCGTTGGATTGTTCACCCACTCACTGTCCAAAATCCTGCGCATTTCTCTACCCGTACCCTTGTAAGGCTACATGTGTTATGACTTAATAAGGAGTCAGCAATATTCATTTGACTAAGCTAAATGTCATTCATAACCCCATCGCTTTGTTCCACTTGCTCAGCACATTCAAAAAGTTCTCCCTACTGGAAGCTCCAACCTCCAAGTCAAGCCGCGGTACTATCCCATCTATAAACGACTCTTCTCATACCCCCACCTGAAGCAAGACTCTCAACTCATAGCTTTCATTCTCCACATCAAAGCATTCCGCCTCATATACACAGGAGCGTTATACACGTCATATCTCTCTCCGTTCTCTCCGCCAGTATACAAGGAAGGATATCGCAATGGCCAAAATTCTATTCTGTATGCTGATACTCAACGCACTGGCATTCATTTTTGCAGCAGCTGCATGCGGTCCAACCGCTTGCTCGTGTAAAGGTATCCCTAATGGTCCATTTTGTGGTGATGGAGCACTTGGCTGTATTAAGGGGCATGTGTATCAGTGTGGAGGAGACGGAAAATTGTCGTGTGATTTTGGCAAAAGAACATCTTGCCAACAATGCAACAAGCTCTCCTGTTAGGCTTCAGCTGTAGTCTTTTACCGCCACTAAGTCACAAAGTGAGAATTAAATTTTATTCATGTCTCGTATAAAAAAAAAGAAATCGCTTCGTTCCAAAACTATAGAGGTGTCAGAGTATCCACTCTGATATGACTGTCATGTGATGGTCACACATGTCATGGATCGAATCCCACCTTGACCAACCATTTTCGAGATCCTTCCCTTGCTGACTAATCAAGGGCTGACCTAGAAACTTCTAGAAGCCAGGATGGCTTCTATCATACATATATAAATAGTATAGCAATCCGTAGGTAGTGTAATTCAGTAGTTCATAACTCACTCTTTATTAAACAATCAAAAGCACACAGTCGCCTTGTTACATCACCTCTCTCTGTATCTTTTCGCCGAGGACTTGTCCGACGGCTTATAAACATTGTACGGGATGGGAAACCCACTTCATGTCCCGCCCATCCCACCCCATTTAGTTTAGTTTTCTACCTCGAAATGTTCCTACGCGGACGGTGAGGTTCTATGTACTGCACTTTTTCTTTTATCTTTGGATTTGCTGAGAAAATAAAGATTGTCACGTTAGACATGAAGTGGGTTTCCCTCTCCTTAAGTACAATAAAATAATTCGTGAACCGCGCTGTTGGCTAGAGGCGCGTTCTTTTTTACACAATTTTTTCCAATCTTGAACCATACTTTTGATGATGACTTCTGATAATCGTCATTGAAAGCGAGGGTCCACTACTACATCGACACGTTCTCGACCTCCTTTGCACCCCAATCGACTATACGACTTAAATCCATTGCTCGCCTCGAGTCGTAGTTCCGTTGGCCCACCCTCTCGTCTAGAAGCGATTCCGTATCCAACCAACATATCGACAACGGCGGTGCACGGGCGACCGAGCAGTCGAGACAACAAAGCACGCACTCAGGGGTCTATTTTACTGTTAGTACTCCTTCCTTTTATTCTCCCCGGCTTGTCTGTCCTATCCTTGACACTATTTGCGCCATCCCTGATCACATGGAGATCCACTTTTCGCCCTGCCCACGTTTCCGCCAGACCTCCGCTGTTGCAGCCCAACACCCGAACACAGGCCGATCTATCGTCTAACGGTGGACTGCGGTGCAACTGTCAACATATATTATGGATTAGCCGGTGCCCAGGGGTCTACTTTAGCACTCCATCCCTTCATTCTCCCTCCCTCCTTTTTTATTTTAGTTTGTATTTTATCGATCTCACATATGCGAACTCCTTGGTCCCCTCCCAGTTCATCCTTACGGATATAGTCCTAGCTCCTGCCCATTTGTTTAGACTAGACCCTCCACAGATAGTCTTGTTTACTTCATCGCACTAGAGTCTGGCGTAAAACCGAAGAACCCCTACGACAACTCAACACGATTTTCTCATATCCGAGAGCATTTTTGTTTGGCAGCTCGACACAGCGTGATTCTCCGAAATGAAGACTTACGACATCTCAACCTCGCGGATGTCTTCAGCATTGATCGCACGAGATCTGTTAGAGGCTCCAAGCGTGCTGTGGGACTCTGTTTCTGCATTCATCGAGGCAAAACAAATCCCATTGGGAAGAAAATGTATGCGGCTGCCTTTCGCCACAAGAACTTTCTTCGTTGTCCAGTCGGTGCATTTGCATTTTATATGCTGGAGCGTTTTCATGTAAGCAATGTTTTTATCTTATAGGAGAATGCTTGAATTCGATTTGGAATTAAGTACTTACATTTTCAATCGATGATTTTAATATAGATAAATCGCGAGCCGTTCCCTGACTTTTCAGATCCAAGGAACTGGTATGGCATCAAGGTTCTTTCGTCGGGGGGTGAATACCACCAACTACATGCACCGAACTTGAGCACTCAGATTGACTCCACTAAGGCTGTCATGCGGTCATGCTCAGTCAACAGTCCAAAGATCACCCATGCCGGACGCCATGCTGGAGTTGCTGAGGCATATGCTCTTGGCTGTCCTATTGAAGAGATCCGTCATCTTGGACGGTGGGTTATGACGCAGATGGACAACTATTATATTCCTTCTGCTCCTGTCAATCCTGCCTTCTATATGGCTGGTTTTATCTCCGGAGAGCCATATTTCATTGAGCGGAACTTGAATATACCTTCAGTGGAACTACAGCGCGAGATCTTTCCTCGGATCGAGGATGCATTTAACAACGACGGAGATCGATCGGAACCCTACTGGCGAGAAACATGCAGACGGTTGATGGACGAGGAGGAACCAAACGCGGTCACTGACGCCGACATTTATAGGGAACGCGTATTGCCCGAGTCCGCAGCCAGTAACAACTACACCACCGCCACCGCCCATAACGATCTAGTCAGGTTCCTCACACCACTCGTTCATATGCGTAGGGTGATCCTTCAAGATGTGGCGTTGTACTTGAGACCGAACTCCAAAGGCGAGACGTTGCAGAATAGTCTTCTTTCCTTGCCTTTTTTCTCGTCGTAAGGATTTCTGGCTTTGCAAAGTCAACTTCTGAAAGCCACTGAGGACTCTCGGCTCCAGGCGAGCATAATTCGCACCGACGTTGTTACCGATGGACCAACCCTCACGGCGGGCATCAACACTGTTGGAACCAAGATCGATCAACTGTCTCACATGCTGCAGGAAACAATGGAGACCCGCTTTGGTCAACTGGAGGGAGTCGCGGCCGGAGTGATGAGAAGTTTGGCGGTACGAGAGGAGCGCACCAGAAGTTTGTTCGAAGTAGGCATGAGGATTCAGGATGAATTTTTGAGTGCAGTTGACATTCAAGAATACTCTAACATCCCTCCCTCCATTATTGGATAACCGGCAACAACAGCAACAACTCCCATCACCTTTGCGAAGGCGTTCACAAAATCAACTCACATTCCAATAGCAACCACAGCTACAGCTTCAAATTCAACCCCTCGAACAGCGACTTCAACACCATCAACAATGTCAACAGAATGAACATCATCAACAACAGCAGCCCTTCCTTCCACAGCTGCCGCTCATACAACACTACCTACCGGAGCCGCAGACAGAGTCAGAACGTCGTTCTCAAGTACAAATGCAGCAGGCACAGACTCTGTCTCACGATCCTCATCCGGCGGATGTCCAACCCCAACAATGATTACAGTATTTCCACACTAGACTATGAACAGCAATCGCAGAAGCGAGTACAGGAGGAGAAGGAGAGGGAGGCTTGTAATGAAGAGGCAACCAGGAATTAATGACAGGAACGCCACGGATGCCCTTTCTACCAGAGTGTAAACAGGAAGGACTGACGCTCGATCTTGCATGGCTTGAGTATAAGCATTTCTCTCGAACGCTTTTGCCAGAGAAAGAGGTGGCCAGGTTAGGCCTGCATCCTTGGCCGGGAGGATTAATGCGTTTCCAGCTCCAGGTAAAACACGAGGTTGCCCTCAGACGGAGAACAATCCTGTTTAGAAGGGTCGAGAGGCTCGCGAGGAAGGAGGACCAAACTTTTGAGGCGTACATTGGGATATTAATGGAGAGGTACAAGGGCAAAACCGTCAGCGCCATAGCCAACTCTCTCGAAAATCTGGAGTTGCTCGGGCCCAAGAATGTCGCATCGCCAACAACAACACCGACTACCAAGAATAAGAGCAAGGGCAAGAAGGACGAAGATGAGGGTGGAGGGGATGAGGGAGAGGCTGAGGGAGAGGCTGAGGGAGAAGTCATTGCCATGGATAACTAGATCCACAGCAGTATATGTATGTAGCCTTAGTTATTTTTTTTATTGAGGAAGATTTTGTATCCAAAACAAGAACCTGGAAAGTACAGAAGTGAAGACGGGTGGGTGAGGTGCAAGACAAAACAAAGGGAGGAATAGAAATGGCAATGAAGGTCAGTGAATTAGTGGAAAACGAATGTAATTGCATGTTGCATGGTCATGGTCGCATGATGGCCTACGAAGTCCATTAAGCCCCTTTGAGAACACCCTTGAATTGCGTGACTTGGTATGAATGCCCTTTAGTTGGCCAATACACTTACTGGTCTATTGGATGAAGTGATCAAAGAACTAAATGGTCCCAGTGAACTGCATCTATTCAGCCCATAGACACATGTCTTTGGTTTGAACATGAAAATTTTATGTTCGAAATTTCACTCAAATATGCCCACTTTTATTTGTCCAGGAATGTTTGCACACAAATAAAGCGGCGCGGACAAAAACATGGTGGGAGGCGCGACACTGTTTTTGTTGTAAAGGGTGGCTGTTGTTTTTATCCGCGAGTAAAAAAGGTTACCGACCAAACTAGCCTGCATTTGGTTCTTCCTCGGCCACAGCCCTCTTTCTCTCCTTCCCCCCCCCCCCTGCATAGCTAAAAAAAATGGCTGTGCCTAACAAAAAGTACTTTCCTTGTGGTAACAAATTAGTGGCGATCAAATGGACTAAACAATAACACACAGCAACAACAAAAACGCACACAAAGTTGTTGTAGTAATGTATGCAAAATGAAATGAATGTATTATAAACTTTTGTGTGAAAAAGCAATCTAAATAACAAAAAAAATGTGAGAGAGAGAGAGATCCATATACTTTTAATAAAGCTCCCACCGAGGAGGAACCTGCTTAACCCGCCCCTCATTCTTGATCCGGAAAGCTGCATGCGTCGCCAACGCCGATGCGCGATTGCCCACAAAGACCGCACTGTTCGACATCACAAACGTCCGTATTGCAGCAGGGCCATACCCGCCCAGATCCTCGACCGTCGTATCAAACAGTCCATTACCCCCATCCTCGTCTCCTACTCGGAACCAGCCCGTTTGTTGGTCCATCTTGGACAAGAGTTCCGGGTCGGTCTCGGTGGTGGTGACGATGACGGGTCGTGGGGGACGACTGGTCCCGACGCCGTTGGATTCTGTCTGTTGGAGAATTGCAATTCGCTTGGCGATCAGGTCGACGGTCCAAAGACATTGGGAAGGGATCATGGAGGTGGATGTGGTGGATGTCATCGCGGGGTTTCCTGCAGCTGCTGCGACCACATTCCCGTTCACCTCGTCCTTTCTCTCCCCTTCAGCGTCCTGCTCCTCCTCTTGATGTTGCTGTTGTTGTGAACCCTGATCCCGACCCTGAGGCGAACCGGATATTGAATCAGAAGGCCCATAGCGTGGTCCACCAGGTCTGCAAAACTCTTTTGAGGGCAACTTGTCGATATGGACACCAATGTATCCACTGTTCTTATCAGACCTCTCAACAGCCCTCAGCACCTGGGCAACACTCTGTCGCCCCTGGCTCTTGACCGTATTCGAGAACGGAATCTGCAACCCAATCTCCTGCCAGATCATCTCCTCGATCGCCGCGTTCTCGGCCCCGACCAGCTCCGCGCCCGAGATACAGATGAACTGCCGATGACGATCCTCGCTGCCTAGTCCTCCCTTGGTCGCCTTTGACGTAGTCGTGGCTCTCCAATGTCTCGAAATTGCCTCTGGTTTCAAACTCCAGTACGAGTCCCCAAGGATTTCAAACTCGGCCATGAGATTATATCGGTTCAGGAAATGGTGGCCCGCAAAATCCAACGCCTTCCATGATCCCGCTGTAGGTGGACCATGACACTTGATCTTGACAGGGACTGTCGACCCTGCAGGGGTGACCATTGCGTCATCATCATCGTCGTTCGTCACTGGTGCAAGGTAAGGGACCGACTGTGTAGCGTTGGTCGGGTTCTCTTCTTCCTGTGCCATCTCGGCCGTAAAGGGTGTCTGGAGAACAGGGCGGGTGCTATCGATGAGAACCGTCCGCTGCAGGTTGGAGATGAACCGGAGGTCAAAGAGGGTGCTCCAGCGCTGTCGTTTCCGTCCTTTGTTTCCTGCAAAGTGCGGGTGGAGATGATAGAGGGAGGGAGGGGCCATCATAGGTGGGGGGATAATGAGTGTCCGGTTCGAGTGCTTGGCGATCCAGAGTGAGGTCAGGAGGGAGAAGAACTGGGCCTCGATGGTCTCGCCCGAGGGGATGAAGACCAGGTAACTGTCTGAGGGCGTGAGGAACTTGTTGACGTCGAACTCCTGCAGCGTATTGTCCCACACGGACGAAGGCTTGTTATTGTTGTTGTCATCCTCTGCTGCTACTGTGTGTCCCTCTCCATCCAGGGGCTTGTTCTCAAGCACGAGTTCCTCCTGTTCGACAGCAGGCTCGTCCAAGAATGTCTGCTCTCCATCCAAAGGCTCATCTTGTTGTGGTTGAGTTTCTTCGGCCTCAGAGTTGTCAATGTTGTGCTCTGTCTCGTCTTCCTCTGAAGGAATGCTCTCATCGACCGCCTTGTCCTCAGGATCAGAAGCAGGAGTTGCTGGTGGTAATGGTGAGCCTCCTCGGTTATCCTCCTCCTCCCCATCGTATTCAGGGGACGAATGTGACCCAAGCTCCCCACCGTCCAGTTCCTCGTCCCCTCCTTCGTCGTCGTCGTCGTGGTTGTTGATACCGTTTCCTCCGTTCTCCTCATCGTCCTCGCCATCCTCGCCATCGAGTTCGTCCAATGGAAACTGAGACTGTGTACCAGGGGTGCCCTTGGGTCGGATCGGCCGTGCGACGTCGAGGAGGTCGTCTGAAGTATCGAGGAGGGTGGACTGGATCAATCCCTTGAGCTGACGGAGGGTCATCTTGGAATAGTCGGTTGTGTAAGGACCGAGTCCAAAGTGGTTCTCTGGATCGGACCCCTTTGCCCCTGTGCCGATAGCATCGTCCACTGAGGAAGTTGAGGAGGACGTAGAAGGGTTGTTGCTGTTGGGGTCTGAAGATGTGGAAGAAGAGAAGCCAGGCCGCCGGGAGACGACCCAGTCGCTGTGGGAGTCTTGTTCAGAGAGGGGGCGGAGGGAGAGGGTGAGGAGGGAGCCTATGCAGAAGATGAGAAGGACTCCAAGCAGGGCCCTGTGCCTGCTGGAGATGCTTGTTGTCATCCTCCTGATGGTGATCTCTTTTTTGTGTTGTGTGTGGTGTAGTAGGTGTGAGTTGCAAGTGAGAGGAGATGCACAAGGGAAGGGAGAGTGAGTGAGAGAAAGGGTATGAGTTCAAGTGCAAGGAGAAGTGGATGAATGAAAAGAGCGGGGAGGGGCAAAGAACGTATGAAGTGAGAGTGAGAGAAGAAGAAGAGTGTTGTTCTGCTCTCTGTCCACCTTTGTTTTCTTTTCTTCTTTTTTCATTCTGTTCCCCTGACCAGAAAGGCATACAAGAATGTCCAGCGGGGTGGGTGTCACCGCCCAGACACACATCCCAAAAATAGACCTCTCTCTACTGGCTGGAATATGCATCTCTGTATACCGGGAAGGGCTAGGCTTAGTTGTATAGATAGCATGCCTCCATCGCATGGCCTTGAGCATCATCATTCATATCCATCCCTTTCTTTTTTCCCTTTTTTATGCACCCCCATATAAACTATCACTATTACTGTTGAAAGTGGCCCCCATCGAGAGATACACATACCATCACAGCTGTTGTGATATTGTACACTGACATTCTAGCCCACATGCTTCTTTAAAAAGTAGAAACGACTTTTATTTGCAAACATGGCCACTTCTCAATCGTTGCGCATGTTGGTGCGGCCACGCTGGACTCGATCTGCCAGCGACATGGACCCATTGTAAGCAGCCTTTTGTGCAGACTTCATGAACGATGCCTGTTCGCCGTTAAACGTCTTCATCCTCTTGGTCTCTTCCTCTGCATTTTGCTTGGCTTCAATCTCTGCAATCTCTGCCAGGCGATTCTTGCGAGCCAGAGCATCAGCATTGGCATCGTCCGTCATCGCCTTCAATCTCCTGGCGCGGTCCTCCTCCAACGCTGCTCTCTTCTTGGCCAACTCCTCCGCATGGCTCTTTTGCTGCTGTTCACGATCCTGCTGTGTTCGTTCCTGCTGATGACGGTCCGGTGCACGATCATGATGGCCGTTGTGCTGGCGGTCGTGGTAGCCACCACCATTGCCATGGCGTCGCGGAGGTGAGATATGTCGTGCCTGTGAGGAGCGATCGTACTGTGGTGAACGTGATCGTGAGCGGCGCCTTGATGATGACGAGGGTGGTGGTGGTGATGAGCGACGACGAGTATCTTGACGCATAGGTGAGCGAGATCGTGAACGGCGTCTCGTATCCTGACGAATGGGCGATCGGGATCGAGAACGACGACGGGTCTCCTGGCGAGCTGCAACAGGCGATCGGGATGACCGGCGCCGAGTCTCCTGAGGAACAGGTGATGGGTTTCTTACAGTGCGGTGGGTATCACCACGAACAGGCGATCGAGACTTTGGGCGCTCACGGTTTTCCTGACGAGTTGGAGATCGAGAATCTGAACGACGACGTGTCTCCTGACGAACAGGAGATCGAGAATGTGAACGACGACGGGCTCCCTGACGAGCAGGAGATCTAGACCGCGAGCGCCGTCTACTGTCTCGAGACGATTTGTGATGACTAGTGGATGGCGACCCTGATCGGTGACTACTACTACGATGGCCGTTGCTATTGTTACTGCTGGTAGCAGCGGTGTGTCGAGAGTCATCATGGCGTCTTGAAGATCTCTCAGGTGAAGCCTTCCTGGCGGGTGAAGGAGACCGACGCTGATGTTTCCTGGAGGATCGTACACCATTGTTCCTACTGTCTCTACTGTCGTCGCTGTCGCTCTCGCTGCCATCGCTACGATCCCTCGAGGCCTTGCGCTTCTTGTGGCGTTTCTCTGATCTCTCCTTCCTGCGTTCCTCCCTGTCGGCTCTGTCCTCCTTGCTGCGCTTTGACTTTTTCTTCTTGTCCTTGTCTTTGCCCTCCTTGCTCTCCTTGCTCTCCTTCAGTTGTCGCATCTTGATCGGATTCTTCATCAGCTGCTCCATACTGGCTTGCTCACGTCTCTTGATCGCCAACAACGGATCCTCACGGACCTTGGCCTGCAAATCCTTGATCGAGTTGGCCTTACTAGCCTGCTGCGCCATAAAGTTATCCGAATCCTTGCTAAGCGACTTCATCCCACCAGCAGCCTTCTGCTTCAGAATATCATCCACACTGCGCTTCCCCAACAGATAATCCTCCTGATCTTTCTCGTCCCGGGCTCCGCCTGAGGGTGCAGCCTGATACATCCAGTCAAGACGGTCGGCGCGCTTCTTGCCACCGTTTCGTTCAGAGAGTTGTTGGAGTTCCTGGATCTGTCGCTCCTCCTCGAGCTCCTTCTTCATCTGCTGGATCTTTTTGTCCTCATCTGCGGCTTTGCGTTCCTCCTTCCAGACTCGCTCCTGGTTTTTGAAAGTTCCTGGATGCCAGGATTTTTTCAAGTTCTATCATTTTCACATATATACGGGAGTGTCAGTTGCTTGTGTTCGTTGTGATCTTCATAGCGAGTTGTGAAGGCAGAGAAGAGAGATGCAAGTGAAGAGGTATTGAGTTGTTGACTTACGAGATCGCCTCCTCCCATGTTGTTCTTGCTGCTGTTGGTGAGTGGTGAATTGGAAAGGTTGACTTGTGATTGTAGTGAGAAAAGAAGGGGAGAAAGCAAAGAGGTGAAGAAAGTGAGAGGTGGGAGTGCTTCGCCTGTAAGGACAACGCACAAAAAAAAATGTGACGTCACTCAATTTTTTTTTCCTCCCAGCCTTCAGACTGCGGGTCTGAAGTGATAAAAGAATTAAGAAGCGCGCTGCTGGGTTCTGATCACTCGCTCGCACTCCATCAACACAGTCAGGAACGACACCCTTCCTCGGGACACAACCTACTCAAACAACTACACCCACCCCGAAACACACAGCCAGGAACAACATAGAACTACAAAGCAGCGACACCCTTCATCCACCTCTCAACCACAGTCATGGAGCAGCTTAACCGCTCGGTAAATAATACAAGGAAAACAAACGCGTCTTTGGTTTGTTGTTGTTATTAGTCTGATACACACAACAGAAGAGCAAACTTACACACCTCCATTGTGCCCATTGCCTACACCAAACAAACTGGACTATAGATCTCAAAGCTCAAGCCGCCAACAAAGATCACCTCCACTGCAACGCCCTCGTCCACCATCGCAACTGCCCTCGCGGTCGCAGCCGCCATGGGGGCCAACGAAAACACCGCAACAAATAACAACTTCAGGAACAACAACAGCAATAACAACACAGCACCAACCGCCGTAGTAACAGCTGGGCTCAAGAGGAAGGCTGAAGAAACTAGGCCAGTGAAGCGCACAAGGACAGTACCAGCAACCAACTCAAAGCCAACGTCCAACCCAACTCCCACAACAAACCGAGGACCTCTAGCTGCAACTACCAACAATAGAACTGGGTCTGTCAAGACAACAGCAGCTACTACAAGAACACCCCTGGTTCGGACAGTACTGCGAGGGACTACTGCTACCCCTGCCACTACATCAACCTCTACAGCCACTCGGCGGACCGTCGCAAGGACTGCAACATCTGTAACCTCAACAAGGACAAGACCTGTTGCGACACCAGCATCCACAAGGACTCAGCAATCATCCATACGCAGCAACAACACACAACAACCCAGTCCCTCTGCCAGTGCGTCCTCCAACAGCCCAGAGCCACACACTTCAGAGGCTTCAACTGCAGGAAACGCCGGCACGCGTATAACTGCTCCCAATCTGGTCACAGTGGTACCGATGATACCCAAGAAGAAGAAGAGACCGGCATGGGACACCAAGGGTCGACTGGAGGATATGGAAGAGTTGACGGCTGTGCTGAACGAACAGCTGCAGACGTCCAGCCACAATATGAAAGACCTGTCGAACAAACTCAAGTCTAGTGAGGACCAAAGTATGTATCAACTTGATATGGACAAAATATGGCATGCTTTCTTGGCTGCACTGACATGTGTATGATACATTGGTTGACTCTGGTCCATTCTTATCGTCAATTGATAGTCGCGCAGCTGCAGTCGTTCAGGCAGAACCTCGAGAGTAAAGTGGCGCTCAAGGAGAATGAAAACAGGACAATCTTTCAGAAAATGCGGCATGTGGAGCAGGACTTGCAGGTACCGTTGCTACTGAGCAGGAATGTCTACGCAAACCTCATTTTCAAAGGAATGAGGTTCCATCGGCAGCGTTACTAAAATTTATTCTTTGCTTTCGCCTCTACGTATACAGACAACGGCTAGGAAGAATGAGGAGGAGATCCACTCTCTCAGGATGCAGCACTCGATTCACATGGACCAACTCAAGATGACGCAGACTCGACTGAAGCAGGAGAAAGACTTGTTGCAATCAAAGCTGCAATCTACAAACGGCCAACTCGAAAGCCAGATGCAGGAAAACACAAGTCTTCGCTCAACCATATCGACCCAGTCCGCCAATTGCCTCGCCTTGGAGAGCGACAACCGTGCCCTTAAGGAGAAGATCCAGGTATGCTTCATGGCCACAATCAGAAGCCATTCGATGAACATTCCGACATCGTGTATATCCACTCGATGCTAATCACTTTTCATATGTTGCTCATGTCCAATAGCGAACGGAGAACACATTGGAGCAGCGTGAGACAACTATTCTCATGCTTGAGCGCAAGCTCGCAGAGTCTCGAAAGTCGGTGAAGGACTTGGATCAACGGATTCGAGAGGAGGAGACCATCCGTCGTCGGCTGCATAACACCATCCAGGAGCTTAAGGGTAACATCCGTGTATTCTGCAGAGTCCGACCTGTGTCATCTTCGGTGAACGCATCCAAGAATGAGACGGCGACGGCTTCGATCACATACCCGGATATTGAGGGTCGCCAGATTGAGTTTGCGCATGCCACCGAGACGGCGACAGGATCGCAGGTTGCAAAAGCGTATCCTTTCACATTTGACAGAGTCTTTCAGCCCACGTCAACGCAGGAGGATGTGTTTGAGGAGATTTCGCAGCTGGTGCAGTCGGCCCTGGACGGATACAACGTCTGTATTTTTGCATATGGCCAGACTGGAAGTGGCAAGACACATACCATGGAGGGTCCACTGAATGCGTCGGCAGAATCGATGGGTATGATTCCTCGTTCAGTGCTCCAGATCTACGAGAATGCCGAGGCGCTCAAAGCCAGAGGATGGACGTATCAGATGGAGGGTCAGTATGTTGAGATATATAACGAGACGGTGAACGACCTGCTAGGAAACGATGGGCTGAATGGAGCCAAGAAGCACGATATTCGGCATGCAGATGGCAAGACGACAATCACGGACATCACGACGGTTGTGCTGACCTCACCCGAAAAGGTTGCTGCCCTGTTGAAGAAGGCTGCTCACAACCGGTCTGTTGGCTCCACCTTGATGAACGAGCGATCCTCACGTAGTCACTGGTGAGTTTTTGTCTTTTTATCGTCGATGTAGTTTCTGTTGTGAGAAAACTAAGTGTCATGGAAACACACCGTCATGCCTTCTTCTAACAGCTTTGTCTGTTTCCTTTTCTTTCCCACATATATTACTCTTCCCTCATTAGCGTGTTCACGCTTCGTCTGTCGGGAAAGAACTCAATTACGGACGAATCGAGTGAAGGAGTTCTCAACTTGATTGATTTGGCAGGATCTGAACGCTTGTCGCAGTCGGGAGCAAAGGGTGATCGACTGAAGGAGACCCAGGCTATCAACAAGAGTCTGAGTGCCTTGGGCGATGTCATTTCGGCCATTGCTAATCCCAATGCCAACACCCATGTCCCTTACCGCAACTCCAAGGTAACCATTAATGTCTCTTTGTATCTTGTTTCTTATTTGTCACGATTATTGTTCAGTAAATAATGGTCATGCATGATAACTAACTTTGTTCATTTGATACTTTGCTGTCATCACACAAACAGTTAACATACTTACTTCAGAACTCCCTGGGAGGAAACAGTAAGACGTTGATGTTTGTAAACATTTCGCCGTTGAGGAGTAACTTCAATGAAACCCTGTGTTCACTCCGATTTGCGACCAAGGTCAATGCGTGCACCATTGGCACTGCAACCAGGCGTGCCGTTTCCAAGTAACTTGGTCCCTCACTATATTCCTATCATATCCATACCCCTCCCTCATGTTGTCCCTTCTACCTTCTCCTGTGACATAGCCCGCCTTTGCATTCCTGTCTTCTTTTTTGTCCAGTTTCATTGCCACTGTTTTTTCTTTCTCCTATGTAAAGTATTCGCAATAATAATAACATTTTTCCATCAGCCATGATGACGATATGCCTCAGTATCTCTGTTGGCCCAAAGAATAGCCGATGGATCTGATAAAGGCGAAGGTATTGATAAAAACTTGAAACAGTCATAGCTTGCAGACATACTTACAGATATGCTTGCATGAACGGATCCCTAGGAGCCATTGGACCATTGGCTCTTGGACCCTGCCAAATTTGCGACCCTGGGTGCACAAGCCACCACCCACGACACGTCGAAGCTGAAGGACTCGGAGGAGTCTCAAAACTATCTTTTCTTTGTGCCCTTTGGCTTCCTTCTTCTCACCCCGAACTTCACTCACCTCCTTTAATCATCAACTCTTCTTCCCATACTCATTCTGATTCTTGACAGGGATCATCTTGCCTGGTTCATCGTCCATTCAATTGCACTCACGTGCACCTGTATCTACCTTATCACTAGTGCCAACAACACAACAACACACAACACCAATACACGCGCGCACTCCTCCACTTCATATCATCCTCTCCTTAGGCCATCCCCCTCCAGACACACAACAAGCTCATACCCGCAAACAAGGACAACAACGGCATACAGCCAGACAAAGTTCAGGACTTTTACTCGCTCGCTCGCCCGCTCAATTAGAAACACCAGTCTGCGTTTACTTCCCACTTCTTCCTGTACACATAATAAACAGTAACATTACCAATAGCAACGACAGCAACGATAGCAACGACAACAGCAACAACAGCATACAACAATGTCTGTCAACCAGCCAGAAACCCCGAGTTTCCTCTCCCGGTTCCAACCTCCAGTCAACCCCCGTAAAAAAATCAGGACCACGAATCAACTGCAAGTATCTAAGTTTTGCGACTACATAGCGGAGGTAATGATAATGGGCTCGAACGCGGTCGGTCCTGCCCTGTTAATTAATTTAATTCAACTCGCCACATACACGAAAACGAGAACGGAAGAATACTCACAGCAACAATATCTATCCATCGCGTTATCTTATTTTGTTGCAATCTCTAGGTCTGTTACTTCAGAGCGGACATAAAAAAAATGATGGTGGATGGGGTCGAGAAAATAGGGGCGATGAAGGCAACCCTAATCCTTACGGACTACACGGAACATGCTGACCTCCCCTATAATGACGTTGAGGAGCGGCCAACCGGGAAAGCCTCGATCATCGCGACACTTTGGGATGAACATTGTCAGTCTGCTCAGGATGCCAACATCAGCGCGGGCGATCTCGTCTGCCTCAAGAACCTGGTGCCAAAAATGGGCCGGAACGGACATATCGCATTGGACATGCACGGGAACCGACGTTACCTAGTGAACAATCCCGTCCAAAAACTGGGTACAGACCATGACGACGTCCAGGAATTGCTACTGTAAGGGTATTACCACCAAGTTGTCTTCGCTGCCTCTTTTCTTTTTTTGGTGGTTGTGCAAGAACAACTTCATTTGCAGAGACTTATTTAAATGTTCTATACAATAGGCGAAAGCACAAATACCTGGCACATGTCAATGAGGAATTTGTCGCTGCGCAGATGGCGGAGCGAGCTCAACAACGCGTTGGATCAGCGGCCCATGGACTTGGAGCTGCCTCGATTCAGCCTGAGCATGAGTATGAGCCTCAACTCGGACCAATCAACTACGAACCTGAAAGTGTCTCTGCTCAGTCTTTGCCTCTACCTCAACGAACACCAACACTCCGTAAAGACTCAACAACGCGACCATCAACAGACCCGGCACATAATCTCCGCTTGTCGGTATATTCGAGATTATCAGCTAACGCGTCCTCAAGTAACACATCACCTGCCATTGCATCCACAAGCACAGCGCGGTCACCTTCTCGAGACCTTTGGCCAGTTGTCGGTAGTCTTCCCAAACGCGACGCCCTTGTCCCTGCCGAGCGCGAGTCCAGTGTTCTTATCAAGGGCGAATCAAGTCCGCTTGTTGCGTTAAAGACGGAAGCAGCTCTTGAAGACATTCAACCAGTTGTCGGCACCTCTGTCGAATGCGAGCCCTATGGCCCTAGAGAGCTAGAAACGAGTTCCCTATTTGCGGGGAGGACGGAAGCACCTCCTCGGGACATCCAGTCAGTTTTCGATGCCCCTGTAGAGCCCGAGACTACTATCCCTGTACAGCCCGAGTCCAGTGTCCATATCGAGCGCGAGTCCACACCACTTGTTGCAGTAAAGTTGGAGCCGGATTGCCAAAACAGCCAACCAACTCTATCGTCGGCTTCTACCCCGGCGCCATCCACACAAGAGTCAGTGATCGTGCGGACCTCCCCTACCTGTAAGGAACGGACGGATATTAATCGGTGTCATGTCGGATTGATGTTGCTGAGATGCCATTGACTAACTTGTCCACTATTACTACCATTTCTATCTTCTAGTCGTGCTCGCTGAGAAGGCCAAAGAGGCGAAGAAAGAGGTAATTATTTGTTCAGGACAACAATCTAAGGGACTTGATGTCACAGCAATCCAGGGAACCTGATGTCAGTTGAATGCTTTAATACTAAATCACTTTGTTTTGGGAATGACTGTTATTAGGGATCCTGTTTAATGCCGTTGCGCGCTCGTGTGGTCGGATTTGAGCCAGAGACACTTATCGACTTTTCCAGTCCAGTGTGCAGGGAATGTAAACACAAGTACCGGTAAGTTGGTGCACGACTACCCTGGAATCAATCGCTCGTACTTAAGGTAACTGCATGACATACTAACGACTTGACGCGCTGAATAGACCCAGGTCGAAGACGAAGCCTTCTCGGCATTGTCCGGGTTGCAATCTTGAAAACGCGGTCGAATTCAAGTACAACTTCAAGCTCTACCTCATGGACGAGCTTGATGAGCCCTATCCTGTCGACGTTGATGGCGAACATGCGGTATGTCAATACTTTCTGTTTTATGGTGATACCTCACAATATGTCTATGAACAACTAAAACACTAAACTTCTGAATGTTCTTGAACTTTATAGACCACGCTCATCGGTGTTCCTGCTGGGGACTTGGTGAAAGATTTTGAGAAGTTGGAAACGGTGACTGAACGCCTTGCACGGATTGGGGTGTCGGAGGTGCGGAATCAGGATGAAGGACTCTTTTTCGATTTGTGTGTGCAAGAACACATTAAGCGCTTGGAGAACCGGAAAGAGACTATGGGTGCCAACCAGAAGAGAACCGGAAGCCCTCTTTCTTCTCGAGAGGCCAAACGACATGCCAGCGGTGCTCAGGAGGTGGATGAATCTGAATTTTGCCAAACGCCACCACCATCACCACGGTCAGCTGAGAAGAAAAATACCACTTCGAATGGTGGTATCATATCTGTGGAGCGGTCACTTGTGTTCACGGAGATCATGAAAAAGGAGTGCGATCGAATCGAGGAAGGAGTCTGTGAAGATGAATACTACGACGTCCTGAACCGCACACGTATATGTATGTATTTGTAGTGTTGCCATTTCTTGTCGTTTCCTGTGCGGATATACAACTCGTTTACTAACCCTCCTCTTTCCATTAACCATCGTTCCATTCCTTTTTTTCGATCCAGCTGAAGAGCAGAGGTTGGACACGTCTCTTTGCGCTCTCCCCTCACACACAGAATAATGACAGCAACATCCAACCAATACAATTATAACCCACTCCATGGGCTGTTTTTCTACGCAAACAAAAAAAAAGGGCTATGATGTGGCTCGTTAGATTTATCTTCAAGCCAACTTGAAGACGGCTCGCCAACATCTCTACGTGTTGTCGATGGGTCAGGTTTTCCTTCATATCCTACTGCCTTTCGTTGCTCCTGTTGTTACCTCACTCTACTCAAAGGGCGATTGTCGCTGCTAGCTTTTTTTTCACCTCAACTTTCGCGCCTGAAAAAAATATCGCCAGTACTTGCTAATGAAAGCGTGAGACCGGAAGGCGACTGGAAGATCCCTCTTCGGTTAGACCACTACATGTTACTTCCATTACGGTGGTGTCGTTCCCTTTGTACTCATTTCTTATTTCTGCTGATAACGCGATAGCAGGAGATGCAACGAGGAATGATACATGTTTGGAGGTATATGTGAGTGAGGGGTGTGTGAAGAAGAAGAGCAATTGATCTGGCATTGCATAGTCGGAATAGTCTTTCTGCTTACCATTGTGGAACACTCGTCGCCGAGCTTCTCCTATCCACTATCTATTATGTTAAGAAAAGGGGGAGGGAGCAAGGAGCATTAAATTGGCATGTATGCAGCCGTCTCTCCACTCATGTGCCGATCGTAGCTGTTTATTTCTTCCCCTTCTACCTCGTCCTTCTTTCAGCACCCCCTCCCGTTTTGTCCTCAACAAGGAACATCCATGTTGTTATTACCTTCCATCAGGTTTTTGATGCACCATTCGGGTGACATCCGTTCTTTCCTTTGTGATCAGTCCCTTTGCTCCGTTTGTTATAGCACATGTCGTCGTCTCTACAAGATGAGATCTATCCCTTTCTAGTTTGTTTGTTTTTTTGTTGCTCTGTCCGTCTTTGTTTGTTTACGTGACATTGCGAACGGTAATGTTCCACGAAGTCATAGATGGGAATATTCAGCGACGCGCCGCTCTCTTTCTGACCACACATTTCGTAGACCTTGCATGCACTCTCATCTCCATATGTATATAACACTAACAAACCATGAAAATCTCCTTTCACTCCCTCCCACACAAACTCACAACTTTCGCAGCTCATAGGCAACTTAGGCGAGAAAATCAAGGAAGAATTCTTGTTCATTCAATGGGGTCGGTGCTCACATCCTTGGTTAGTCCATCACGCCTTTTCTATCACTTCCTGTTGGAGGTTACACTTGTCCTTCTTTTCTCTTGACACCTTCCTTCGGATATTAATTCCGACGCGGAGGGCGTGGATGACGTGGTGTGGAAGATAGAAAGAGGAAAGAATCGAGGCTGGTTTTTGAAGGACAGAGAGGAAAGAGCCTGCCTTCGTATCTCGTTGAAATGAGAGGAAAGGAGAGAAAACCAATCATTGGGAACATCCTTGATTGGTCAATGGCGCGGCAGAGTGGACACAAACCAAACAATGAGAAACGGCGAAAAGGAAATGATAAAGAAAGGAGAGAAATAAGTGACCCATGGATGGGTGGGTGCATGAGTCGAGAGCGGACATGTGTCACAAATCTCTCTCAAAATGGCAGCGATAACACGCCGTGGATGACAGCCCATGCCCTCCCTCGACGATGATACCATAAATACGACGGCATAGAACTAAGGAGAAAAAGGGCCATCTTCCTTTTTTCCTCTCCCTCCTTCTCCACCTCCTTCGAGCAGTAGATGCTCTCTATCCATCCCCCCCATATCCCTCTCAACAAATAAATTTCCGCCAACTCAAAATGATATCGTTGCACCAAAAACATCCATAACAGCAGAATGGACACGATTGACGCCATTTTACACTTGCATTCGCCAACTCTCGGCTCTTCTTTTTAGTCCGCCTCTCCCTCCGTTGTCAAATATCGCCATTGGCAGACAAGAGTGACCCTGCGCCCGTCCTGTTTGTTCTGTTACTGGACCTTTTTTCTCTCCGTCTTTTTTTTTCTTGGGAATAAACGTCGGCTTAAAGGCCTCTCATTGGACCGACGCTAATCCTCGGTACTTCAAAATATATCACAAACAAACACACACACACATTTGCATACACACTTACAACAACATCACAACACCCTGTGCAGTGCGACAGAGGGACAGAGCGAAGCGTGCCTGTTTGTAATAGGAAATTTGTATTCAATCAACCTCTTGAATACCATTCGACGTTCAACCCTAACTGCCCCTTTTGCCCCTGATCCTGATCCAGAAGGAGAGACAAACACAAGCAAACATACAAACACACAAAAACGAAAGAAGGCTAAGACAAAGAACGTGTTGCTCAAACAGGGAAATGCCCCATTGAACAAAAACAGAAAAGGACCACATAATGCAATGCGCCTGTTTGAAGGATACCGAATACGTGATCGAAGTTATGAAAGTGAGGGCATTTGTGTTTTTGGGGGGATAGAAGAAAGGACAACGGGCGAGAGTGTGAGCGAGATTAAGAGGGAAAAGGGTGCCTCGGTTCACTTGCTTCGAAGAATGGATAGGAGAGAAGAGAGAACAGGAAGAGAGAGAAAAGCGGGCGCTGTCAAACCCGAGTTTTTAGCATGCGCAATTCTGCATGACAAATTCGCCATTGCGAAGCACACTTGAGGCTCGCTTTTAACTTTCCTCTTCTTCTAATAAGGATCACTTCCGATTGAAGTATACAGGGGTTGTAATGAAGAGGAAGAAGGACTCTCCATACTTCACCCTATTTCATTTCGCCTCAGTCTTCTCCTCAGTGCCCCTCAGTCGGACAATTTTATTCTAGGATGTATTGTACGATTGCTGTTTGTTCATTCCAAAGACCGACAGCGAAATAGGTTTGTCAATGGCCCTCACCTCTAACTCTCGTTGTTTAAAGTCAGTCGTACCTGGCGCTCATGCCAGCCAGTCGATGGCTAGGGATTGTCTGTAGGACAACGATGGCACCTTCGCGATCAATTCAGGCACCATTCATATCCTTACCCAAATAAAAAGGAACTCCTCCCCCCCTTTTTTCTTTTGTTGTTGTTTGCTCGTTGTCGCCAATCAAACCCGTCCAAAACTCCCACACCGCCCTCTCTCTCCTCTTCCTTCTTCTCTCCACATCCCCACAGGCTGTTATCCTTCTTTCTCCCCTTCTCTCTTTACTCCCTTCCTTCCTTCCTTTCCTTCACACATATTTCTCACAAGAGATAACACATCCGCATGTCTGCAGAGAAGCAATCCATAGAGTCGGTGCGCAATGGAAAGATCCCCGAGGACGATCCCGTTGCCCCCATTCCCCACTTCCCCTCAGAATACAAGGGCGATATCAAGGATGAACTCGGAGGTATCGAGACTGATGCCGGTTCCTTGGAGGAGGAGGAGCTTGAAGAGTCCATCCGCCTCGTCCCCAAGATCGTCCGTGAGCTCGTCTCCATGGACGATGACCCCACCCTCCCCACCGTCACCTTCCGGTAAGTTGTAACGCTTTATGTAGCTCTGTTTTACACCATAATATTATTCATTACAATGACTCTTACCGCTGCTTCCCTTTTTTTTTATTCTCTTTCTTTCCTTTTTTACAGCTACTTTGTGCTGAGCACGATCTTCGTCGCCTTAGGAGCTGTCATTTCCCAGATCTCATGGTTCAGAACCACTTCTGCCTCGTACTCTATGTTCTTTGTCCAGATCGTCTCCTACTGGCTCGGTAACATCATGGCCCGCACTCTCCCTGCCAAGGATGTTAATCTCGGCTTCTTCAAGTTTTCCCTCAATCCCGGTCCCTTCTCCATCAAGGAGCACGTCCTCATCACCCTTGCGTACGTTTCTGACAATGGCAATTGTCTCTCCGTTTACATGTGCTTGTCTGGTTTGACTTGTCCATAGCATTAAGCTGACAATTCCCCCCTTTTTTTTACTAATGCAGTGCGAGTGCTGGTGCGACATCCAACTTGGGTGAGATTATTATCTCGGTCAAGGATATTTTCTACAAGGAGCAAATGCACCCCCTCGCCGCCATCTTCCTCATGTGGGTACGTTCTTCTTCCCACTTCCAATCTTGTATCCATGGTTGTTGTTTTTCCTTGCATTCCATACCATACACTAACTCGTTCTCTGTCCTCTACCTCCACTCCACGAACATCAACAGGCTACCATCTGGACTGGATACTCGTTCGCTGCCATTGGACGTAGTTTCTTGCTCTATGACCCCGACCTGATCTGGCCCTCAGCCCTCATGCAGACCGCTCTTTACCGCACCCTCCGCGGTGAGGGTCAAACTCTTGATGTCTCCAGGAAGCAGATCCGCGTCTTCTGGCTGGTTCTCGCCGGTGTTTTCTTTTGGACCTTCTTGCCCGAGTATGCTTTCCCCTTCACCTCATCACTCGCCGTCCTATGCTGGTTTGCTCCCCACAACGACACCGTCAAGTTCATCTCCAGTGGACTCGGAGGCATGGGCTTCTTGAACTTTACTCTCAACTGGTCCAACATCACCTCCACCATCATGGTCTCACCCTGGTGGACCCAGGTCATCTCCTTTGTTGCCTTTGTCGTCTCTGTCTGGGTCCTAGTCCCCATCGCCCACTTCACCGGCGCTTGGAACGGAAAGGCCTTCCCCATCATGTCCAACCGTCTCTTCATGGCCAATGGCACCAAATACCCCTTCATCGAGCTCACTGATGAGCAGGGTCACTTCAAGGAGGATGTTTTTGAGAAATACGGAAACGTCTATATGTCGACCTACAACCTCTGGGGTATCTTCTTTGGATATGCGACCTTCCTCTCGGCCTTTGTCCAGATCTTTTTGTTCGGTCGTAAGAAGATCTGGTCGACCATCCAGCATCTCCGTCAGCGCAAGCAGCACTCATTCAAGGATCGTATCAATGTCTTGATGTCTGCCTATGATGAGGTTCCTCTCTGGTGGTACATTGCCCTCTTTATTTGTTGCTTCGCCACCATGCTCATCTTGATCCACACTCAGGACCTGTACCTTCCCTGGTGGACCTACATCATCGGAGTTGTCCTCGGCGGTCTGACCGTCGTCCCCATGGGTTTCATCTATGCCATCTCTGCCTACCAAGTCTCCACCGGAACCTGGAACGAGCTGATGTAAGTTTCACTATCTATCTACCGTCCTCTTCAAAGATCATGCCCTTTGCTCTTTTTTTTCCCCCACCAATGACCGTAATGCTAACCCTGGTGGTTTTTTTCTTGTCCATTAACTAGTTATGGATACATGGCCCCTGGAACCCACCCTGTCGGCTCGCTTGTGTACCGTGTTGTTGCTGGTCAGTGCTGGTACCGGGCCCAGAGTATTCTCCTCGACCAAAAGATTGGTCATTACATGAAGGTTAGCCCCCGCGCCACCTTCTTCTCCCAGCTCTGGGGTAACTTGATCGGTGTCCCAATTAACTACGCCGTCATCCGCTGGGTCATCGACACCAAGCGTCCTTACCTGGATGGCTCCGAAATAGATCCTCTCGGCCAATGGTCCGGTCAGGCACCCCAGAGTTATTTGAACCAGGGTATCCAGTACGGAACCGTTGGCCCCACCCGTCTCTTCCAAGACACCATCTACGGTCCCCTTCGCTGGGGTTTCTTGTTGGGAGTCGCTGCTCCTGTCCTCATGTACCTCCTCCACAAGCGCTTCCCCCGCGCAAAGTTCAACCTCTGGCACAGCACCATCTTCTTCTCGAGTATGGAGAACTTTTACGGAAACGTTTCGACCGGCCCTCTGTCGTCCATCATCGGAGGCTTTGTCTGCATGTACTACTTCTTCCGCTACAAGCATTCGACCTGGGTAAAGTACAACTACCTCATTGGTGCCGCTGCTGATACGGGTCTTTCGCTGGCCATTCTTGCAATCTTTATCATCTTTGGAAGCGCCAAGATTATTCAGATGCCCGAATGGTGGGGTAATGACCAGGTGTCTGCAGAAAAGTGCTATGGTTCTTCTCCCAATTAGTTAGGATCCCTCTTCTTTATTCCATCCTTTTTTTTTGTATAGCCCTTCTATCTTTTCGACTAGTGTAGTCTTTTGCCTCATCCATCATACATATTTTCTTCATATCCTAATATCATCTCATTGTATTTACCAACATATAAAAACTTGTCTTTTATCGGAACAAACTTTGATTTGCTAATGAGAGGTACATGATGAATGAAGAAAAAAAGTACATTACAAGAGATGGCATTGGTGAAGCGGACAGGGTGTAGGGTTTGTTGCCTGCAAAAGTTTTTTTGTTTTGCTCCAGCGTGAGAACGTAGTGAGGGCGAGACCAAAGAATGATTTTGATCAACTCATTTGGTCCGAGCACAGGGTACCTTTTTTTGTTGTTGTTGTTGATGGAATGAAACCTAATTAGAGTGAATCAGAAGACAAAATAAAATTAGACGCGAATAAAGGAGATTCTTCCCATCCTCTCAATCATTTATAACCTCCTCCTTCCTAACAAACTCCTCAAAAACCGCTCGTCGGCACCGCGCAGATCCTCGGCCGCTCCCGGGTACGTCCCATCCTCATGTGTGGCTAGCGAAGCGCCACACGGGCAGAAACCATCGCGGGTGATGTAACCGTATCCTTGACTCCAGTCACCTCGGGGGCTTATGTACTTGGATGTCTTATCCTTGGCAGAGATGCCCGCCTTGGGTCTGCTCCCACGCGATCGTTGCGGAACACCGAGGTTTCCATATCAGCTCCGAGGCCTGCGCCTCCAGGTAGCCAACAAACTTGTGCAGGACCGTCTTGGCGATGGACATTGGGGTCCGGAAAAAAAAAAAAAAAAAAAAAGAGGAAGCGTATGAGAAATTAAGGGGCTCTGCCCAAAATTGGTGGCGTGAAAGGTAGTGATGTGTGAATGAAAGAGATGCAATTCTTAATAAGATAATAATTAAGAGGCGATATGGCCGAGTTGGTCTAAGGCGCCAGAATCAGGATCTGGTCCGAAAGGGCGTGGGTTCAAATCCCACTGTCGTCACTCACTTTTTGCAGAATTTTAGTTATCAGGCAGGATGATGGTTCCTGGATCGTTGGACTGTTTGAGACTGACTGGAGTGAGATAGGAGAGGTCTTTTTCTTTTGTGGGGTGAATGGGAAGACACTCTTTCTTCTCATCCATGTCCTTTATCAAACCATTGTCGACCGTTCTTTGATGCTGGTTGTTTTTTCTGGATCTACACCTTAGGTGGTGACCGTGGTTTCTATGTATTGCGTACGGCATTGAGTGGAAAGCGGAGGCCACAGTCCTTTTGGGGGATCGACCATAACAGCCACCTCAAACAGCAGGGACGATTTCGGCCATTTTATTAAGATGCAACCACACTCCAGCACCCACTTGACAACTCTCTATCTACTGTAGTAATAAAATACGCGCTCCAGCCCTTTGCATAGCGAGACAAGTCGTCATAAATAGTGCATTGCGCTGGGGGTGTAAGAGGCTCGGGTGTGTCGGATAGGACCGAGTGGTGCATCTTCGTCTAGATGGATAGCTCCGAGTTGAAGGTGTCATCATACGCAGCAAGTGAACGCAGCAATCCATGAATGAAATCATGCATAGAACATAAAATACACGCCACCAAACTCGTCCTTTCCTTCCTTCAAAGCAGTCACCTGCGCAATTTTTTTTTTTTTTTTTTTTCCTTTAGCTTTTGCCTCGCTGGGGTTGACTAATCACACACTTCTTTTCTTCGCGGAATCAAACAGACACGACCATGGCTGATCAGCAGACACACACCAATACAAACAGCGAAGCAATGACCGTTGACACAACTTCAACCACAAGGAGAATACCACCAAACCCTGCTGTGCCCACTCCATCTCAATCAACCTCTGCCTCCTCATCCATTTTTCTTCGCAAAAAGAAGCCAACCGTTGCACACACAGGCAGCCGCCCGCTCCTTCGACCCTTCACCAACACCGCCATCGACTACAACAACCCCGGAAAGTTCGACCCAGTCCCAGTCAAACCAACAGCGCGCGGCACTGCCATCAGCACTCCAGGATCCACGCCCTCCTCAGGCTCAGGCTCACCCATTATCACTGCAAGCTCGGTCATCAACCCAACTACACCTTTCACTTTCGACAACCATACGTCAGAAAGCAATGCTAACCTAACAGCGACGTCGGGAAAGAGCACAAAGACTCTTCGGGAGAGCCCTAGCCAATCCTTCCGCAAGCGCGCTGGAAGCTTTGATCCCCCAGCTAGCAGCCAAACCAATGAAGAGGGGCTTACCATTCTCAGGATCAAGCGCAGAAGGAATGAGGAGCCATTGGACACTCTTGGTAATCAACACTCGCTCCCATGGACCGTCGAAATTTGATATGGTGATTTTGAAAGCCTGAACTGACATTATTTATTGGGTGCATTTTTCTTCTTGATCTAGTTGTACAGGAGCAACTGGAAAAGTTGGCAGGAAAGAAGCAACGGAAGACTGAGGATGAGGGTCAGCGGGAGAAAGAGAACACAGCTGCAGGACTAATGCCACTTCCAAGTAAGGCGACCTTGGCAGGAATAATAGATCGTTGCGATTTCGATGCGACCTTGCGAGTAATATCATCATGACTTACATACCTATTGTCGTTTTCTTTTGACATTGTAGAGGCAGCGCCGGCGGTTTTCAGATTGGCAACCACGGTCAAGAAGGAGCTCTTCAAGGACCCAACTCAGTCGAGCAAACTCAGGGTAATAACTATATCATAAAGTTTCTTGTTGAACGCCATGGATCTAGGCGTATAAAAGACGTGTCAGCTCACTCTCTGGCTGATCGTTGAACTTGACACATAGGAAAAAATCACGAATATGGCAGAGTCATCGCCCCGACCAAGATCCCGATTGATGGATCGCCACACTGTCGACTTCGATGAGCGCGTTCAGGAGAGACGAGGCGAGCTGGCAGAGACAAAACGACAGGAAGCACGCACAGCTCGCTACAGAGTCATCAACCAGAATCGCTCCGGATACTCAACCCCTAATACCAAACTTCCTCCCAAAGTCAAGTATGTAACCGTGCTGTATGCAGATGGCTGTATCATGCAGTGTTAGAAGCGTGAGCTTGTTATTAACAACGCATCTTTCGATAGGTCGTCCCAAGAGGTTGCGGCTGAGGCGCAGTTGGATATGTTCAAGATGTACGACGCCGTTAAGGAGGATGAGCCCAAGACCAAGAAGCAACTGTAAGTTGGGAAGTTGTGTTGAAGTCACCCGTGTCGCTGAATGTCCCATGTCTCATACATATATTAATTCGCATCATATTTTTCATTCACAACGCATAGTGCTCAGGAAGCAGAGGAGGCTGATATTATGTGCAACTTTCTGCCCATGGTTCGCGAATACTTGACAAGTAGGTGCTTTGTGTGAACGGTTTATGATAAGCTTTTGTTTATGGCCATGCAGTATGACTCGATCTGATCTCTTTTCCTCAAACTCCTGATCTGCCAGTCTCGGACAACAAGGCTGACCCCAAGATATCTGTGGATGAAGCTGCAGCCAGTGGACGACTTTCATCGGCATCAAACAGAAGAGACGAAGCTGGAGGAGCTTCTGACTCTGAGGACGAATATGTCTATGACATTTACTATCGTGATATTAATGCTGACCACGCCAAAGAGTCTCAGCACCGTGCCATTGGATCCTTGTAAGTTATTTTTTTCGAGTTTATTATGTTATATTGTATAGGGTGTGCGCGGCCAACAATATGTGTTGACAAATGTTTTTATTTGCATTGCGACATGGATAGGCTTTGGTTCAGCGACGACGAGAACAATTTTATGAACGAGGATGACTCGAGCGACGATGACTATGAAGACTCGGACTCGAATGCAGAGGACTACTATCAGAACGACTATCCTGAAGACGAGCTTAGCGACGGCGCGCATCCATGTGAGTTTTTTTTGTTCAGCTGTTGGTTTTCTCTTGTTGCATATCAAATAGCCAATGTAAACAATATGAACTGATTTCTGTTCCTCCCTTTTTGTTCAATAGACGAGCTTTCGACTGATGATGATGATGAGGAATACATATACTAGTGTCTACTATATGCTATCGATCTGGTTTGTGTTTTCTGTACAAACAAACGCGTAATAAAACAATAAAAAAAACAAGTGATGATCCTTTGGAGAAAAAGGAAGATCAAAGAAGAAATTGCATCGGGGTTCATAAATTACTTCTCTAGTTTGTGCTATCCTAGGCAGGCAAACACAGCGCAAGACAAGACATATTCAAGGAAGAGAAAAAAAGTAGAAGCTGGACACTGATCGGCTAAAGAGGGAGTATTGAGTGAATGCATGGCGGGCAGCACTGTCGACAAAGCGCAATCACTGCAGCCATTGGAGAAGGTGGTTTGAGTGCGATCGATCCCCCTTATGATACTTTCTCCCCCTTTTTTTTTTTTTTTTTTTTTTTTTTTTTTGTCTTGCCTGTCTTGTCTTGTCTGGTTTTTTTCTTTCTCTTTTCATCTCCCTTTCTCCTTCTTCCTTCTTCCTTCTCTCTTCATCACCCATCTGCAATTAGGGATTCAAAACCACTGATCAACAATCATGCTGAGCACTAGGCTCTCCTCTGATCGCCAAAGGTCTCACCGCAACAATGTCCTCAAGCAGCTTGCAACCGCACTCGGTCCTGCATGGACACCTGACACACCCACCGCCACCAATACTATTACTTCGACAACCACTGCCACAGCAAAAACAGCAACAACAACAGCAATAACTTCCCACCGACGTGGCTCAGAAGCAACACCACCACCAAAACGACTTCGGAAGACAGTCGAGCTCTTCAACCCGTCCTCATCCCCTGCCACCAGAAAAAAACGTTCCTCATCAACTTCAACTCGGCAACGAAACCCTACCGGTCGTGGGCCTGGAAGACCTCGTGGGTCAACAAATAAAGCCAAGGCAGAAAGGGCTAGCAGAGCTACACAACCCCCAACACACAGACGTCATTCATCCACAACTACTCCCGCCAACAGCAGTACGACGAGCTCTCCAAGTCAGCACCACCGGCGTTCACACCAGGAGAGACGAGAGGATCAAAAACTAAACGATGCCGCCCACGCCTCGCGACTGCATGCTCACGGTCTCTGTCTCGAAGAGTTTGAGCTCTTCCAGTACCACATTGGGCGATCGGATCTCGAGAGCTATCTCAAGGTTCGCAACACCATGCTCTGGCTCTGGCGCGAGAAGCCTGGTGAGCCTCTGACCCTCACTAGAGCCTTTGAGGAGACCAAGAGCTTTGGATTGCACCATGGATTGATCGCGCATGTCTACGAGTTCCTTTTGCGCTCTGGATACATCAACTTTGGCGGATGCCCTTTTCAGGACGAGGCAGCTGGGGACCAGGAAGGAAAGGCGAACGGGAGACAGGATCTCTCTACTCATCGTCACACCGTATCGACGGATTCCTCATCCTCGAGGAGAACGATTGTAGTCATTGGTAGTGGCATTGCGGGCATCGGAGCGGCAAAACAACTTGAGAATCTCTTTCAGTACTATGCTTGGAAGTTTACCCCAGAACTGCCCCCAAGAGTGGTTGTGTTGGAGGCGCGATCGAGAGTCGGAGGACGGATGCACTCATTTGAGCTCAACACCAAACCCTCCCCGTCATCGACAAAAGAAGCCAACAAAGCCAAGGCGGAGAGGCATTGCGTCGACCTGGGAGCGCAGATCATCACAGGATTCGAGAACGGCAACCCGATGGAGATCGTTGTCCGGCGACAACTCAACGACCTACAGCTTCACTACTTGGTTGAAGAGACGTGTGATCTGTTTGGTCACGACGGTCAATTGGTGCCCAAGGCAATGGATGTACGATGCGAGGCCGTCTTTAACGAGATCCTGGAACAAGCCTGTCAGCTTCGAGAGGAGGATGAGACACCCAAGGCATTGCTGGCATATCTCGGAGACAGAGTCAAAAAGGATGGTCGCGGCCCAGGACGCGTCCATTCGACGGATCTGCCGACACTGGGGCACTCAATGGACTACTTTATCCAAACCTACCCAGAGTTCAAGTCATGGTCGTCACAGGAGCTCGGACTCATCCACTGGCACTATGCCAACCTCGAGGTAAACGATTTTCTTATTGTTCGCACATCTCATGGTCTATTCGCGAATTAAAATCCAGTGTGCTAACAAACAACGTACTTCAATGTCCCCTGTGAAAAATAGTTTGCCAATGCGACACCGCTGGATCAACTATCGCTGCGACACTGGGATCAGGACGACGACTATGAGTTTGCAGGGCATCACTGCATGGTCAAGGAGGGCTACGGTCAGGTGCCTGTGCGGCTCTCTCAGGGGCTTGATGTTCGACTCAACCAACCAGTATCGCTGATCGAGCGTAGTACGACATCAACTGATTTCGGTTCGCATCGCCGCAACGGATCAGATCATGAACCAATCCACATCCAATGCCGTGATGGAACCGCGTACGAGTGTAGTGCAGCCGTTGTGACAGTTCCTCTGGGAGTTCTGAAGAGCGGCCAAATCCAGTTCTCGCCGTCGCTCCCAGACTGGAAGGAACAGGCCATTGGCAATCTTGGGTTCGGGTTGCTCAACAAGCTGGTCCTAGTGTTTGAGAAGCCGTTCTGGGACACCAGTGTGGAGTTGTTTGGGTACGTTGGCAGCGGTCAGGAGGGCTCGTCAGGCAGAGAATACAATCTGAAGGCATATCGGTCAAGTCGAGGAAAGTTCTACATGTACTGGAACTGCATCGTCGTTTCTGGTCTCCCCGTTCTCGGTAAGAAAAACAAAGCAAAATTTGGAGCCTCCTTGGCTTGTATGATTAATTTAATCATAGATTATGTGCGCTGATTGCGAACTTTTTGCTGCATATGAAAATCTAGTGACATTGATGGCAGGACAGTCGGCGTATGATTGTGAAAACATGTCAAAGGAGGACTTGGTGCAGGAAGCATTAGATTCATTGGCGCTGATCCACCCCAAGATCAAGAAGATCCCTGCACCTGTCGAGACAATCGTCACGCGCTGGTCGCAGGATGAGTTTGCACAGGGCAGTTATTCGTTTGTGGGTCAGAAGGGCACAGGAGATGACTATGATCGATTGAGCAAATCGGTTGATGGTCAGCTCTACTTTGCAGGGGAGGCAACAAGTCGGCAGTACCCTGCTACAGCTCATGGCGCCTATCTGAGCGGGCTGAAGGTTGCCAAAGAGATTCTGGATTCGTTGATCGGACCCCAGGCCGTGTGTTCTCGGTACACTGAGGGCAAGGATCTTCAAGCAAAGACGGAGGAAGAAGAGAGCAGTAGTGTGAAGGCTGAGAGCGGAATGTCAGCAGTAGGAGGAGTAGAGAGCCAGGATATCAGCAGTGACGGTAGCGAGCGGTCGCATTTGTTGTCGATGGAGGATGCCCAGACAACGGATACTCCGCCTCCAGATGCCAAAGTAGAGCCGTCATTGTTTATGAGTCTGGGCCATGGATTTGTTATTCCAAAGAGAAGAGGCCGCGTGTCACGGAGCATTGTTGCCGAGTTTGTCGCCGAGCGCAGTGAAGATGATTCTGATAGCGAGGCGGAAAAGAAAGATGAGGAGGAAGGGTCGGAGGAGTCCGAAGAGTCTTCTGGGAGTAGCGAGGACTCTGAAAGCGAGGAGGTTTCTGAAAGCGAAGACTCTGAAAGCGACGATGGCGATGACGAGTCGGCGGAGGAGTACGGGGCATCCAAGGCCAGGAAGACACCTGTCAAGTCGGGGAGTACACTCACCAAACTAACCAGGGTGGCGCCTGTCAAGGAGATCAAACCCACGCCGGTCCTGGGGATGGAAAAGCGAGGTCCCGGTCGACCCCGAAAGTATCCTCTCCCTACATCGTCTGAGGCTCTGCCTGGGGCGACATCTGCGTCGCGTCCTTTGGCTGTTGCAACCAAGGCGAGGACAGTGGCCAATTCTATCTCTTCCCCAGCAACAACATCACCATCTTCGACGGTGAAGACAAGAACCAGGACGACAACGACCAGTACCACGACGAGAGCAAGCACTGCAGCAGCAGTAGTATTTAAGCGGAAGTTGTCGTTGAGCAGTGATGGCGGTGATGGTGCGGCGGAGAAGGGAGTAGGAGACAGGCATGTGCCAATGCGGCAAACGCGAGCAAGGTATGAGGCGCACTACCTCAGCCAACCATAGCGTATGGAACTAGCTTTAACGACTGAATGTTCCTGAATAACAAGACAGGAGCAAGAAAGGCTGTGTGTGTGTGTGTGTGCCAAGTTGGATGTGTGTGATAACTGATTGCAAATTCGTGGCAAAAGAATGAAGTGTGAGGTGTGGCTTGTGAAAAACGTTGGGGTTGGGAGAGCAAGAGAGGGAGAGAGGATTCTGGCAACGACGGGGACCGAGGAGGGGAATTGAGAGAGAATCGGCAGCGATAAAGACGACACTTGGTCCGAGCTTCTCTTTTCTTTTTTTTTTTTTCTTTTCTTTAACCCTACCCTCTCCTCCCTTCACCCTTCCTCCCCTTCTCGCTATGGACAAGATCGCCCACTTTGTGCAGAGTGAGTCTCTTCTTCCTTCTCCTTCTCATTCGCACGTCAACACGGAGACTGATTCAGGAATAAAACGTCCTAATCACTATTCTCCATCTAAAAAACAAAATAGAATCAAACTGCAACGCCACGACTGTCGCCATCTTTGGTGCCATCGGTGCCATCGTTGTCGCCGCGAAGGCCCTCAGCTTCCTCAAGGTCCTCGTCGATGTTTTCCTCCGCTCCGGCATCAACGTAAGTGGGAGCACAATACGATCGACGCTTGACGAAACGCGTCTTTTCTTTTTTCTCTCTCTTGCTTTTTTTTGTTTTGTTTTTTGGTTGCAATAGCTCTGGTTCCATATGTTGAACTAACTCTGGTCTGTGTCGTCCATTGGTTTACTGCAATAGGTCAAGAAGTACGATGCTGGCAACGGCGGTTGGGCTGGTATGTGCTGTTGTTCGCATGGATATTAATCGAGTGCAGCAATTGGGAACGTTCAACGGCGTTTTATCTGCAAAGACTAAAGCGTTTTTTGTTTTGTTGTTTGACCTACTCTTTTGAATTTATAGTTATCACTGGTGCTTCGGATGGTATTGGCAAGGAGTTTGCCTTCCAGTTGGCTTCCAAGAAGTTGAACATTGTCCTCGTCTCGCGTACCGAGAGCAAGCTCAAGGCCCTCGCCGAGGAGTTGCGTAAGGACCACTACTGCAGGATACGTATTCCCTATAACGATTAATTGAAGACAGGAAGCGGTAAACTAACAGTTTTGTATTCCTTGGTTCATATATAATAGAGCAAAAGTACAGCATTGAGACCAAGGTGCACGCTATGGACTTTACCAAGGGAGACGACAAGGACTACCAGGCCCTCCAGGCATTGGTTGCCCCCATCAACGTTACCATCCTTGGTATGTGTGTTCTCTGTCGCCTGTTGTGTCTTGAGAGTGGAAGCATTTCCGTTTCGGAGCGCGATTTGAGTGGCAGGGACTGGGATTATAAATTATTAATTTTCTCGCATTTTGCACGACCCGGAGACGGCATCGTTCTCCCCGCCCAACAATCCTACCCCACACTTCTTTATCTTTCTTTTTCTCTTTTCCTCATGCTTGTTCACTAACAACAACCTTCTTCCTCTTCCTTCTCTATTACTACTACTACTACAACAACAACCTGCACTCCGTCATCCGCTGAACCTCCCACCTCAATTCGTCTTGGAACTCCTGACGGGATCAATTGGACACAACAACAGTCAACAACGTCGGAACCAACCATGAGATCCCCACCCCCTTCGAGCAGGAGACTGATAAGATTATCAAGGATATCGTCGAGATCAACATCAACGCTGCCATGAAGGTCACCAAGATCATTGTCCCCAACATGGTTGCTCGGTACGTTCTTCTCTCTTTGTTTGTGTCCTTGGACCCCATTCGACAATCGTCTTTGTGGCAAATATACGACAATTGCCGTGAAAAAGTGACAGAAAGGAGGTCAATGGACAAACCAACTAATGCCCCTCCTCTATGTCCTTTTTCTTGTACCGACATTACAGTAAGAAGGGTCTGATTATCAACTTGGGCTCGTTTGCTGGATTGGTCCCCACCCCTTACCTCTCTGTCTACTCTGGCTCCAAGGCTTTCCTCTCAAGCTGGTCTCAGGCCATCGGCGCCGAGTTGGCCCCCAAGGGCATCACCGTCCAGAACGTCAACACCTACTTTGTTGTCTCGGCCATGTCTAAGATCCGCCGCGCGACCATGTTGATCCCCATGCCCAAGCCCTATGTCCGCTCGGTCCTCGGCCAGATCGGCATCTCCGGCGGTGCTTCGACCCCTTTCACCTCGACCCCCTTCTACAGCCAGGCCATTCTCAACTGGTTGATCGATAATACCTTTGGACGCGCCTTCTGGGTCAAGCAGAACTATAACATTCAGGTCGACATCCGTAAGCGTGCCCTCCGCAAGCGTGAGCGTGAGGCTGCCGCTGCCGCCAAGAGCCAGTAAACAATAGCGGAGTGACTTGAATGAGTTGATTGGTTGGGTTCAATCGATCCATCCTTCATTTCCCCTTGTTTCTCTCTATCTCCATTCCTTCTCTTCACTCTATCACTTACATCTTCCCCTTTCCCTTCTAACATATCGTTCTCTCGTTTCCCACCACAAAAAAATATATTGTGCAATCTTTAAAAAACAGAATCGTTATTAATGGACCCATGGCGAGTCCCATGGTGATATCTCTACCATCAATTGTAATCACCCTTGTTCACGCGTTCCCATTATTATTTTCTTCTCGCGCGACGCCATCGTCCTCACCTTTCGATTTTCTATTCTTTGCTCCACCCTCTCTCTCGCTCATTCGCCTGTTCACACTCAACAACAACGAACTCGTCTTGTATCCATCTCTCTCACTTTTCTGACCAAACGAAGAGTTCAGAAAGCAAAAGGAAAAAAGCAGTCCTAAATGTGCTTGACATATCCAGGCAAAGACTCCTAGAAAAACGGAACCAAGAGAAACAAACTGAAGGAGAACTATCCTCCCTTCCCTCCTGCGCATTGTTTTCTATTCTGCTGCTCATACATGACGACTCCTCAAGAAATAATCGCCAGATGTTGAAAGAGATATGAAAATATAATTTGGATCCGCAACCTCCTCTATTTTCTCCATTCCTCTTCCCTTTATAAATGTGCAGTTCTAATTTTCAACCAAGGGAAGAAGGTATACAACTTTCTCTGCAAAGATAAGGATTGATGCCATAAAAGACGAGGATCCTTCTCCTTCTCCTCCTCCTCCTCCTCCTCCTCCACGAAGTCCTCGTTTGGATTATTATTTTTGCAATGCAATAACGGAACAATGCACGTTGACTATCGACAGTTTGAAAGGAAAGAGGAGAGGAGCAAAAGAGTCTCATTCATAACGGCACATCCTCCTCTTCGTGGTCTCTTGTTTGAACTGTTGTAAAAGAATGAAAAATACGCGTGTGAATAGAAAAAAAGGACGGGCGCATCGAGTGCATCTAGAAAAACAAGGAGGATGTATAACCTCGAAAGGGCAACCGGGGCAGCTGACAAGAGAGGCACCGTTCCTGAAGTGATGATGTATGAGAATCTTGCTAACTCCTAATCGTGAGTTGCTACAGCTCTTTGCTCTTTATCGTGAAGTAACCCCTTCTCTATCCCCATCATGAGGCAATCTCGTGCAAACAACAAACAGCAACACAGCACTCGGTTGGGATATATTTTTTAGTATTAAACTGTTTTTACACCAAACTAATCATTCCAGTTGAAACTACGAGGGCTATTGGTATGCTGAATGTGTTGCCTAAGAATTAGTGAAAGTTCGTCGGTAGATCAAGAGACAGTTGTCGGGAAACGACCTGTTGAGCTGCTGAAATGCGTCATCTGTTATATCCGCGGTGGTGATAAGGACAGTGATGGCGCGCGCTCGTTTGATCCCCTTCTGCTCCAAGACCGATCCATGTGCTGTCTTTCGATCGTCCTTGTGCTTTGTCATGCTCGCTCTGGATGGTCGCGACTGAGAGTAGACTCCTCAGCTTCTTTGCTGTAGCGCACAAAAGATGTTGTCGTCGTTGCCATCTGCCTTCTCACGGCAAGCGCACACATCTCCAAACTGCACACCAGCTGCATTCTTGATCTCAACGCTAGACCTCGAGTCCTGTTCTTATTCGTCGAACGTCAGTCCTCCCGGCTCTGGGAATCGATGCGCTGCCATGATATCTAATAGTTTATTGGGCTTGACAATTCGGCCCAAAGTCTCTGCTCGACTAATAGCTCCTTGGTAGATATCCCCGAGAGTCGCTGCTTCGCGGCCATCGCCGATAAGAGGGTTTGCGCGGAGCGCCTCGTACTGGGCGACCATGACTTGGAAGGATCTTTTCATTCACGATCCTCCACCAATCGTACAAGAACACAAATCCTAAGCGACTCCAGATTTCATCGATGGTTACATTGTAGAGGGGGAGGAAGAAGAAGAGGATTCGGACCAACACCTTTCCGTGGGCTTCATCGCTCTCTTCCAGAACCGTATGTGTATCGCGTTCTAGGACATCCAAGGTGAGTTCCGGGAATTGATTGGATAGGGCCAGCGTACATGGAGACGGTTGCTGAAACTGTAGAGACGAACAAGCGCGCGAACAAGTTCCTGATGTGTGATAGAGCAATATTTATCGAGGTTGTTTGCGACTTTCCTGAAAATTCGATCCGTGTTCATGTCGATGTCAAGCAGCGTATTAGGAGAAGTGGTGCATTTCTCCAGTGGATATCCGAAAAACTCTTCCAGTAAAAGCTCTAGTACTCGTGAAAGACCGCCGGTGGACGATAGTAAGTAAAAAAACGCCATCTTTGGCATCCGCTCGTGGTGATGGACATTAGCGAGCGAGGTGAAATGGCTCATGGTGTCGTAGCATACTCCCAGGGATAATGTTGGATAGCTGACACAATTGAAGGAGTAAGAGGTCGGTTCTGCTGCCCTAGTCACTTCCTGCCGAGCTGTCCCAGAGAGAAATGTCTGCATCATACTGGGTATGATCGCTCCGCTCATGAAAGATCCTAGACTGCGCATCATATCCTGGAACAGGGAGAGACCTTCCTTTGTGTGACGCTCTGTTTTGCCCCCCCAGGTGAATTGTAGTCTCAGGTAGCCGCACAGGGGGGTGGCCTTCCCAGCGATAGTCGAAGGTCTTCTGGAATTCGTCAACGTGAAGGAAAAGGAAGAGTAGCTGTTCCACCGGAAGCCTTAGATCTTGACGGATGGCGATAAAAAATAAGATCATATACTAGAGTATTCTTATTTAAGGTCAGAGATGATTGTGGAGAATGGGAAGAGAAAGGAGAATAGAGACGTTGCTCGCGACATTTATTTTTTCGCCAACTCGTTTGCACAGAAAAGAATATGGAGGAATGGGGAATGTGGTACATCTGTGAAATCGGAAATATCATAGAGCAAGCTGCAGGACAAGAGCAACCTAGTCAGAGTTCATGCGGGAGGAGTCTTCGTCTTCATCCTCGCACCGATCATGCTTTGTCGTAGGTTCCTCCATTTAATCGTCGCCGCCTTGGCCCCCGTCAGTCCGGTCCAACTCTCGCTTGATTCCCTTAAGCTTATCCAGTGCCTGCATATGGTTTTGGGGGAAGAGGTCGTGTATGTTGTTCTTGTCAATCCTCAGCGAAATGCACTGGGGTGTGTCTCCTTGGGCGGACCAGATTCGCTCGCTTCGTCTGACCTCCGGAAATGTGCCCTCGACGCCTGCAAGCTCGGCCGGATAAGCAATAACAACGCCAAGGAACCGCTTAGGAAAACCGGTACAATACCTCTGAAGCATCGCCTCCTGAAGATGACCTTGGGCCGCGTCAGCCTTGACCGTAGAGAACGCAATCAGGGTTTCTGGCATTGTCATCTTGTGTCGCATCTTCAATTGAACGAAAACGGGACAGTAGCCATACTTGTCGAGATGAAGAACAAATGCAACATCGGGTCCTGAAGGCGTCTCGGCTGGGTGGTAAAACGGCGGAACTCGCTTCCCGTCCTTGCGTGAACCGTGGTGGACATGGGCATCCAGAAACTCATCCAGAGACAAAGCTTTAAAATCGATCCCAAGGGCGAGGTGGTCGACGTATCCAGCAATTTCAGCCTTGCAATCCAGAATGGGATCGTACGATTTCGCCTCCTTTGGAACCAGACCTGTGTTGGACAGAATTTTGTCGTGGAAAACGTGTACCAGGCTAGGCAACACTGCCATTTCCCATTGGTGTCCATGCACTGATGCATTTGGTCCTGAACCGAACAACGAACAGATCGCACTGTGAAATTCCGGGTCATATCGACGGAAATAGTTCACGGCAGCGCGCAGTGCTAAGGGTTCATCGAGGACCGTCACCGTATGTTCGCCGAAATTAAAGATCCGCCCGACAGAAGCTTCCACCAGCGGCGCCTCCTCCGTATTGAGAAACAAAGGACTCCCGTACAGATAGTGCAGCAACACAAAAGCCATGAGGGAGGTTCGTATGTTTTGGTATTTTGCGTAACACGACACGAAAGTGTGAACTCTGCGAACCATTCGCGATATGTCGAAGGCGATGTTTCCTTTGCCGTAATACTGGGACCCCGTCGATGACAACGTATCCTCCGTTTTCATGATCGCCAGTCTCCAATCGATCTCGCCATTGCTGACCAAACGCTCTAATTATATATTGAATGATTCATTAAGTATTCACTAATCAGCCTGCGCGACTCTTTCACCATCTTCCGCTTCTTCTTTTCCTCTCTTTCTAACTTGGGACAACAGTGAACATTCAACCATGCTTACCGATAGCGGATACAATGGGCCTAAAACGTCCACGCAAGCGTACAAAGAGCTCTGGCATTGATTCTTCCGGCACATGAGTGTCGAAGATGATTCTGGCTTCGTCATTGTGTAGCGAACGACGCACAAGATCTCGGTAGTGTTGGACTTGTTCGGGCGATTCCCAGCCTTGGAAATCGGTGAATGGCCCAAGCCGCTTTCGGTAACCTTTGGGGACAGGAGCCGAGTCTTCGAACCACTCCATATCGAAAATACTGAGACCAGTCCCACAGGGTACTACGCAAAAATGGTTCTCGTCGGCAGAGATCCGGTTGAGTCCGTGAACCAAGGGGGAGAGGATCAGTCGCTTATAGACGTTAGGAAGGTCAGCTCCGGCTCGTCGCTCAGGTTCCGAAGGTGTTCGTTGAGAAGGGAAGATTCCAAATTCCTCTTCGCTGAGATTTTGGGCCTCGTCGATCACCAAAAGGATCTTGTAGCCAAAGCGCTCGGTGGGCGTGTTGAAGGTGAGGTTCAGAAGGCGTTGGCGAAGACTGGAAAATCGTTCTTGAGCGAAGGCGCTCATGGTCGTGATGCCTACGGCGTGACGGTGGATTTCTTTCGCAAACAATGTGAACAGCAAGGTAAACAGGTCCTCGACACCCATCGTGCGGAAAGCAACTTGTAGCAGCATCCAGTGTTTGCACGTAAATGTCGTTTCTTCGCTCTCTGCAATGTCGAGACAGAGGTTCAAAATTTTGACACGTGTAAGAACAAGAGCCAGCGCAAGGATGTGAACGTGGATGTTGCTTTCTGAATCACGACGTTGATATCGCTTTTCTTGTCGGACCAAATCAAGAAAGCTGAGGAGATCACGGGAGCCCCAATCAGTGTTGCTTCTGTTGAAATAGAAACCCCAGTTCTTGGTGAGCATCTCGATCGTCGTCCTCGTTTTCCCACATCCAGAGACACCGAAGAGTGGTAACAGGGGAATCGCTCGCTCACGAATCTTTTCGAGCGCTCTATCGGCAGTACTGGGAGGGCGCTGTGTCTCGACTGATTCTGGTAGGTTTAGAAACAAGAGACTGGGCAGGTTCGTTTCTCCGCCTGCACGGGGACGAACAAAGGGTAGACCGCCCAGTGTTCCTTCTGTTGTCGGAATGTTCGCACCACCTTTAACGAACTGGACGAGGCCTGTGTAATTGGCCGAATCAGGTGCGAAGAGGGTGTCCTCGATCTGTACTACAAGTTGTTGCCATTCCTCTCCTATTTAAATGCAATCAGTATTGCTCCACTCTTCGAGCCATCGGCAGGTGATCATACAATTCAATGACGAAACGAATGACGTACCTGACAGCGGTGGACCAGGATGAGATTCGGGTGCTTGGACTATAAGATAAGATAAATACAATGAACAAATTTTTGCCTAAAAGTTGTCAATGAAAGAGAGCAAAACGCGTGTGCATTACCTCGAGGAGGGCGCCGGACAAAGATGTACGTGTTATCATCGGGACTCTCGGGAAACAGTTCGTTGAGGCGTTTCCTCGGATTGTCTAACTCAGTCTTGTTGTCGTCGTCAAGAGCATCAGATGTGATGGTAGAGTGCAGATTGCCGGCGGGGATGACAACATGCCAGAGGGTAAGATCCTTAGCATCAACTCCGATGAACGTGTGAGGATTCTCGGTCCAGATTTGCTGCTTGAGGTGACCGATTGTCTTGGACGACCAAATATCGATAGGGAACTCGGTAGCCTCTCCATCAACGCGACAAAATAGGGTCAGAAGGTAGTCGGTCATGCTGCTGCGTAGTATCAGTGAAAATGAGATGAAGAGGGCTGGAAGGTACGGATGTAGAGAAGTCGAGGAGGGAAAGAAATAAAGGAGAAAATGATGAAAGAAGGAGGGAAAGAAGGAAAGGATTAAAAGGGCGTTGGAACGGTAACGGCGAGGAAGGTGTGGAAATAGTGGAATGTAAAGTGTGGGAATGGTGGCAAAAGGGAGGGTGATGCGATTACTCACTTCGATGACGTAATTAATGCGCCCATTGTCCCACACTTGTCTCCTCCTTTCTGCCACCATTCCCACACTTTCAACGCCTTTACCCCTTTCCACCACCTTCCGCCCTTTCTTTATCACCTTTACCATATCTCGTTTCCTTTCTCTTTCCCCGCCGCTTGTTTCTCACCATTCCCGTTCTTATTGCCAACCTTCATCGCCTTTGCCACCATTCCTACACCCTTTTAATCTCTTCTTTCACAATTAAGCTCACACCTTCTTTCATCCTTTTCGCGAAGCTCTGAACCCATCCAATTTTTCACTACTGGGGCTAAATCTTTCACTTTCTTATGGGGTCACCCTAGGGTCACCCTTTCGCTGCCATTTTGCCCAAAAAAAAAAGGTGACCCTATAAGAAAGTGAAAGATTTAGTCCCAGCCCCCTCAATAGTGAAAAATTGAGCGGAGGAGGGGATGGGATGGGTTCAGAGCTTCCCTTTTCGCCTCTTTTTTCTTTCACCCATCGACTTCTCCATATCCTTTACTTTCCAATCATCTTCACTGATACTTCGCAGCGCCAAGGCCGACAACCCTCTGACCCTTCTTTGTCCCGTGGATGGAGAGGCTACCTCCAACGCGCTCCCTGTCGAGATTCCTTCAAGCGACGCTGTTGATGGTCTCAAGAATCCTATCAAGACTAAGAAGACTAACGATTCCGTTGTGCCAGCCAACAAGCACAAACAAAAGGGACATCGGGAGTAAGGGCTAACAGCCTTTTGCCAGCCTGTTAGATAATATATAGCATGGAGAAGCGGGTGGAGAATCAACTGTGCGATGAGCTTGTATGGGATAACCATTCGGACATGAATGGAAAAGGGTGTGTTATGACGGTTGTATTGGAGAGCTAATCCATGGAGGGTCAGGGGAAGAGGTCATGAAAGCTGTTGAGAGGTCATGCCTTAATACTCGGATGTTTACCGCCACATCTAAGAAAAGTTGTTGGTAATGTTAGCTCAGCCGGATCTCGAGAAGTGTCCGATGACGATGGTGACGACGATGACGACGGCGAGGATAATGGAATAGACGGATATGAGGTAAATGAAGACAAAGGACCCAGACTCAAGCCCAAAAGACCGCTTGAGAAACGCTAGCTTAGGACGCAATTGCGCTGATCCCACTAGTATCAAGTATGTCGGCTTGGACTTTGAGACGGTTATTCATGCTGATTATGGACACGCGGTCCCATATGCTTTCTCTGTTATGGTATATGACAAAGACAGATACAATGAAACAGAACCAGAAAAACGTTATACATTTTGGAATCAGAATTCAGATCTCAACAACTCAAGGCATTCAGGCACAAGATTCCAGGAGAAATATATTAGACGTGGCATCCCAATAATTTGGGGTATTCTCATCTACGAGTATTCGCGGCGATATATGTATGATACAGTGTATTCCAAAATGCCGATATATGCAACAGAGACAGACTCGTACACAGCTCTAAGTGAGGATGCACGAGGGGGTAAAAAGAAATACCCTGATAAATATGGCGATGGATTGGGTCGGATCGAACTAGAATTTATTTGCAAGAGGCGAAAAGATGACATTAAATGGGGCAAGTCTACGGGTGCATGGATGTGATACAGACGAGTGGTTAGACATGTGAGAACGTTTAATACGCGTGAATGGTTAAGGGTTCTCTTCCTCTACCTTTTGAAAGGTTTTCAAAACGCGAGAAAAAAATGAAAGCTAATTAATGCTATGAGAAAAAAAAGGGAGGGGGGGGGAACCAGAGACGCTATCAATAGTATCGCTTATCCGTTGATGATTGAAAAAGAAAAGGACGCTGCTGTTACCCAATGTAGACATCGTCCTAGTTGCGTTTCGTATATCATTTTATTGTCGTAAAAAATCCTCGCCTTCTCCCCTTATTTGACATTGACTATGGGTGGCAACTTGTCCCTGTGACTTCAAACCCCGTCCCATGACTTTGGTCGGCATCCTGCTTGCAACTTCAGATGATCGCCAAGTCGCCTGATCTAGGATCGCCTTTTTCCCAACCCAGAAATATGAACTGAATACACCGCATTTCTCATCTCAGTGGCAAAAGGTTTGAAAACGTGAATGGTAATATGGAACACAAGACTATCAAAAATTGGGAGGGAAGATGTGCAAGCACAAACACGATATCCAATAATAAAAAAAGAGAAGCTAGGTGTTGGATGAGAGTTAGACCTACGATTCTCCAACCCCAACAGCACATTCTCAATCTCCACAGCTCTAGTGCAAGAGTATGCGAACATGTCATTGTTCTTTGTTCCTTTGTTCATGTGAACATCATGATCAGCAAGAAAAAAAAAAAAGATGACGCGAGCAGCGCATGCAATACAACTTTTTTCTTCAGGTCCCTCGACGCGACATCACGGGTCAGGTCGTGGCCAACATACCAATCACAGACAGCTCACACGTGTATGTACTAGTTTTTCATAATATACAGATTTGTTATTATTATTACAAACGCCAGTGAAGGCATGTTTTCGCCGTCCGTCTACAACATAATCATTCCGCTCCGCTCTCAATACTCCTCGTCCTCAATCTTGACAGGCATGTGCTCCCATTGGCGAACTTGATCCAGTTCCCCCTCCTCAAGCACCTCGCTCATAGGTTCAATCCTCGCTCTCGAACTCATATCTTCCTCCTCGGCGCGAGCTTGGTCCTGTATGACACCGCTCATATCTTGCGGGGCAGCATTGGCAACAACTGCAAGTTCACCACTACCGCCACCCTCCTTCCTCGACGAACTCTTGCCCTCCTTCGACTCACGGGACTCCTTGCTACGATGGTGGTGATGTTTGCTGCGATGCCGTCTCCGAGGATGTCCACTGTCCTTCTCCCTCTCCTCCGCCAACTCAATCGCACGATCCCTCATCAACCGTTGTGCAATGCGGAGGCGAAGCACAATCTGCTTATGCAACGTCTTGAAGGTCATCCGACGAATCACCACCCGCTTGCAATCGTTCGTGATCAGAGTCTCCTCAATCTGCGACGCATCCCTGTTCGCCCTCAACAGATCCTCAGTCGACAAGAGCATCCCCTGTGACGCCCGCGCCATTTGACCAGCCAAGTTGGGCCGCGGGAAAAGGTACAAATCGATGTCCTTCTCAGAGTTGTACGCAGGTCGTGTCTCCCGGTATTGTTGTTGAAACAGTTGCAAGCCTTCGCTCCTGCCGTCCTGGTGTTGTTCAAGAAGCTCGCGTTCGCGCTTTTGATCAAACGCATCTTGAGCGGCTCTAGCCTGCGTGATCTGCCTCAGTTCGTCATGGACAGTCCTGGCCTGATCGTTGGGATCATCTAGATCGTAGAAGAACTCTGCAGAGAGGGCCTGGCGTGTCGTGAGGGTGACTCGACGGCGCTTCTCATCATTGTCCATGAATGTCACCACTCGACCGCGCTGGGACAATACAATCTTGGAATGATCCGCAAAGTTGACCTAATACAAGAGGCGAGAAGGATATAACAAGGGGCATTAGGTTTTCGTAATGAAGTTTGACGCAGCTAAAGATGTAGAAAATGCATAAGAGAGGACGAGAGGGAGAGAGAGGGAGACACAAAGGATCAAGAATTAAAGTGAAGCAGTACCTGGGTGATGCCGTTGCTAAGGCGAGAGACGACATGTACGTTCTGGAAGATATCCGTCAGGAAGGGCATGTTCCTTCTCAGGTCCACATCGATATAGGTCCACGGCGCGGTACCTTTCAGACAGTTCAACATAAAGTCCTTGAAATTGTTGAGCAGCGTCACCTTTTTCTCGAATCGAGATGGGTAGTCTCTCATCCGACAGTACGACCGCTCCAGCGTCTTCAGGTATTCCTCATCGTCCAACTTGTCATACGTGTCGAGGTCCTTGGCAGCATCTCCGGCCGCGCTCTTGGGTTTCCGGCTCGTCGATGATCCGGTAAGGGTGGTACTGGAGCTTATGGCGTCTCCCGATCTGACCTCGGTGCTCCTTGACGTAGCCCTGACAACTTCGCCTGTGTGAGTTTCCTCCTCCTTGGCCTTGATCGTACGACTGCTGCTGCTGGATCTCTGTGGGTTCTTGAGCGATGGAGTCGCAGATGCGGCGCGGGAAAGAGAATCATCCTTGTCTTTGCGATGTCTGCTCTTTTGGTGGGCTGGCAGCGATCCTGAATTACTGTTGAGATGTGCCGTTCCATAGATGATCTCAATATCACTAAGAAAAAAAACAACACCAGGTTAGATAATTCGTCTACTCAAACACATTGCTGTTCGCGAAAGCCTTGGAAGACAACAATCAACATAACTTACTCTCCGTTGGGCGACAGGACAACGGTAGTGTTGTCGTTGCAGATGACTCCAAAGACACTGTTGGACAGCTGGAATCCGAATCCGTAACGGTGCTGGTAGTTGACCCAGCGGACCACAAACACCTCTGGCGCTGTCGGTATGAGCTGGTCTCTGGCTGGGTACTCCAATTGACCTGTGCGACGAGCTTCAATCACACTCCGAAGGAATTGTTCTGTTTCTCCTTGACTCCCCAGCTTTTTAGGTCCCTCGGCAGGCTGACTTGAGCCTGGACGGCGAACACTCTTCTTATTTTTGGACACTTGAAGGTCGTTGCTGATCTCATCCGTGTGTGAGGTTGTATGACGCAAGCGCTCTTGCCTGGGAATGAGGGCCTGGACTGTAGTGTCCTCGCGACGTGGATGTGGGGTGTTGTTGGTGTTGTGGAGGTGCATTTGCAACTGCTGCTGCTGTTGTTGTGGTTGTTGTTGCTGCTGCTGTGGTTGTTGAAGCTTCTGGTGGTGTGCAGGGTGGTCATGATGCATCGACAGCGAGAGGGAGGTGGTCGTGATGCAGCTTGTCGATGGGACTTCGACATGGTCTTGTTCATCCGAGTTACCTCCGGAGCTCATTCCCGCCATCGTAGTCTCATTGCTCTGCTTGGTATGACCGTTTTGGTGTTGGTGAGCAATACCGCTGCCGACGACTGCCGGTATCGATTCCTGTTCGTCTTGCTCTGGTTCGTCTTGATCTGGAACATTCTGTTGGCTTTTCCCACCAAGAGATGAAACGGATCGCAGCTGACTGGCAGTCATAGCAGCATCCTGCTTCAACTGGCGCTTCATGATCCTCCGCTGCTTTAGGCGAGCCTCAAACTGCTCAGGGGTCCTGCTCTCTTCAGCAGAAGACACTGACACGGAAGAATCCGCGTTGCTTGTGGACGTGTCCATGTCACTGCTGCCTGCAATCACAATCTGATGAGATCGGTGCTGCATATGCATATGCTGACTACGCCGACTATGCTGGCTCTGCTGACTCTGATGTGATCCCGAGTCCTCCTGGTGCTGAGACAAGTGAAGGGAGCGAGACAGAGAAGGTGACAAGGACTGGGAGTTGGAGTTGGAAGAATGGTCGTGACGCTGGCTGTGATCCTGTGGGAGCGGCTGCGAATGATGCTGCTGCTGTTGTTGCTGCTGCTGAGAGTTGCCTGTAGGGGACGAAAACGACGGCAAGCTCGATCTGACGCTGATCTTGGTCATTGATTTTGCGGGTGAAGGGGAAGGGGGAGTGGGCGACTGGGCGTGCAGACTCTGCTGCAATATTTGCTGCTGCTTGGCCTGTTGGTTCCGGCGCTGCAGCTGGCTCGTCAACTGGTACCGGTACGGATCCTCGACGCCCTGCTTTCCAGCTGTAGCCTGTGTGGGTGTTGGCTGTCTGAGCGAGAGGGAAGAAGGCGGTCTTGTTGGGACCATCGCATCTCCTGACAGTTGTTGCTGATGCTGCCGTTGAGAACCTCTGAGCTCTTCCTCCGGAGCGGAACGCACCATTCCTCCAATGGCTGTACCATGAACGTCGTTATGCTCTGAAACGCTCAATCCAAGGCCAACGCGGCTGTGAGAAGGGTGGGACCGTGTGCGCTCCATAGGCAAAGAGTGTGGGCGCTGAGTGGGACTCAACGGGAAGCTCATGGTTGGGACCATATGCGTCAACTTTGGACTAGAGCCAGGACTAGTGCTCTCCTCCCTGTATTGGCGATAAGCACCGGTCACTTCCACTGGCCAGTGCTGGGAGCTCTGCGAGGACATACGGACTGAAGGTGAAGAGGCAGTCGTAGTGGCATGACGCTGATGAGACGACAAGGGCTGCGAAGAGTGGTGCTTCAATGTGTGACTTGAAGCGCTCGCCCCATAGGGACCATGCTGGCTCGAGTGCAAAAAGGAGTGTTGCTGAGACTGAGAAAGGGAAGCCGCGGGATTGAAAGGTGACATGCCTCGAGGTAAGGACCCAGTTCCAGCATCGACAGACGAATGGTGGTAGTGAGAGTGCAGGGTCCTTGAGATCTTCCGTGGCGATTCCATTCCCCGGGCCATCTCGGACATCTCCCGTTCCTGGCTGAAGGTCCTTTGCATCGCACTGGCAGGTCGTTCAACTCCTTGCACATTCTGAATCAGGATCGAAGGTGAAGTGGATTCTCCGTGGCGGCCTCCTCCATTCGTATCGCTGTACCGTGCCTGGGAGCTTTGGAAGGGGGACTGGTCCTGGTGTGTCTGAGAAGAACTTTGCTGACGTTTAGGTTGGCTGTTGCTTGGAAGCGTGTACGTTGGCTGACCCTCTGAGATCTGCTTGACAATCAGATCGAAGTGCTGAGGAGGATCCTGGTCAACCTCCATACCGCTTTCTGAATCCAGATCCATCAAGTCGTCATGACGGAGTCGATGTTGACCAGTTTGCTGCTGAGAAGTCATGTTGCGCTGTTGCGATGTTTGCTGGTGATCCTCCTCATGGTATGAGAACCGTGAGGGAGTCGTGGCGACGGGAGAAAAGAGATCATCCATGCCAGACTGAGGAGTGTTAGCGGGCTCTTCTGTCGCAATGCCCAGTCGCTTCGCCTCCTGACGTCGATCCATAAGAGCTTTGCCGAACGCCGGACCGCCCATGATGCTGACCATATCGGATGATCGCCTCCTGTTCATAGTCGATGGTGAATGGCTCGTTCCCAGCTGCGACTCCTGACGCTGGTGCTGCGCAGGAATCGATGACCGAGGAAGGCTGGAGAGGTTGGGCGAGGAAGCGCTCATGGCCATTGAACTCGGAGGCCTGGGTGACGCGACATTGTGGAGTGGAGACTTGAAACTGCTTCTCGTCGGCGTCGCTGCAGAAGGCTGCTGAACCTGCTGCTGAGGGTCAACTTCTGAGGCGTAGCCTTGCTGGAGCGAGGGAGTGTTGGGTGTCTGATTAACGCGAGACCGTGGCACAGGGAGCCTCGACGAAGCTCCACGCTCCGTCCTATTGGCCTGAGGGATTGACGTCGAAAAGTCATTACCAGTAGCTGTCGAGGACATATGCGATTGGTTTTCCTGTCGCTGCTGCTGCTGCTCCTTTTGAAGACGCGCGTGTGCTTGGGAAAACTGATGGAAGTCGGGGCCAGCACGCATCCGTAAAGCGCTCATCGTCCTGATTTCAGTGGTGACCTTGTCGCCATCAACCATCTCGATCTTGAACTTGTCGCCGTAATTTAGCTTGCTACCAGAGGCAGGACTACCCTGCTGCTGTTGTGCCTGCCTAGACGGGGTTAACGCGTCATTATGGGTATATCGCGTTGGGTCTTGGTGCTGCTCCGATCCAGAGGTATGAGGGAGCACTGGCTGGCGATTTGCTGCTGTTGGGGTGGTGGGCATCTGGTCTAACATATCGGCCGTGAAATCAGAGTATCGCTTTGTCGGCTGGGTGTTGACTGCCTGTTGCTCATCCCATTGCTGCTGCATCTGTTGTTGCAATCGCTCCTGCTTGAACAAACGCTCTTCCCGGTCAAAGTTGGGTGCTGTTTCCAGTGCCGAGTAGTCCAGTTTAGAAGGGCAGTACCCTGATGTAAAAAACGCGTGCTTTGTCACCGTAGCAATCGAGGGTCGTGATTCTGGAGGCGAACAACGCAAATAAACATGTCAGCATTGTCGTAGTTGATGATGACGCATCTTCAAGCAAAAAGTTACAAGGTACGAGTCGCGTTCAAAATGATATCGGTTACACGTACTAGGCTTTGGATCCAGCAGACGAGCAATAAGACTCTTGGCCTCTTCCGAGATAGGCACATCCTTGGGGAACTCGTAGATATTGTCTCGAATTTTCCTATGAGAATGGTTGTTGAGTACAGAGATATTAGTATGGCCTCACTTGGTATTGAGTCCATGTGTTTGCAGAGAGAATTCACATTCCTGTGAACTTACTTGTAGATGGCCTTGACCTCGTTCGTTTGGAATGGGGGCTTTCCTATCAGTAGCGTGTACCTGTGAACAATGTCATGTTGGATGTGAGTCTCGCGATGGTCCATAATAGGAGTTTTCACACAAGGCAGCAAACCCCTATCCTGGTTCTGGGCTCCAAGCTATCCATTGTGCCATCCAATCCAAAAAGAGTACATACATGATGACGCCCACCGACCACACGTCGACCTCGAAACTGTGTCCGTTGTCCGTGTCAAACAAGATCTCGGGGGCAATATAGTTGGGTGTTCCACAGATAGTCCTAAAGTAAGATGAAAAATAAACAACACACAACTTGTCAGCAATTGGTTCTAACAACAAACATATCGTGGCCCATCCTCCCTCTTCAGCTTAATCGATGAAAAAAAAAAAAAAAAAAAAAAAAAGACTTACTTCTTCCGGTCGCCCTCGTTCAGTAGAACAGCTGCCAATCCGAAATCACCAATACGGACCTGGAGATCCTTCGTCAAAAAGATGTTTCCGAGCTTCAAGTCTCTGTGAATGATCTTTTCTTCGTGCAGGTAGGCGCATCCTGCAACGATTTGTTTGACGTAATACCGGACCTCTGGTTCCGTAAGCCGTTTCCTGCGTTTGATAAGCTCCATAAGTGTCTATATCCAATGGTGCGGTAAAAAGGATATCAGCCCACAAAGAACTTTTTTGATCCAACGTGTGCAGCATGATGGGGTAGTTGTACGTTATGTGAGGATTACCTTGCTCTCGCACAGTTCCAGAACGAGGTAGACAAAGTTGTCGTCCTCGAAGCAGTGGTAATACTTGACAATGTTCTTATGGGTGCGATCCTGATGAATCTTGATCTCGGCGAAGAGCTATTCCGTTGAAAAGGAGGCGGATATGCACGCCAAAAGTTGAGTTAGCCAAGAGCGATTGATTGCAATTGAAGACTGACAAATAATGGGTGCCGCATTCACATTGGCAAAATGAGTAGATATCCCGAGGAAGTGCAGGGTTGAGAGTGAGACCTTTTGCTCAGTCAGTCCTTCTTGCTCTCTAATGCCCATGCAACGAACAGTAAAAAGGAAACCCGAATGTTGCCAGTAAAGTTGGTTTAGTGTTCCCTCCTCCCTCCCCTCTTTCACCCCTGTGACAGCCAGCCCGATATTTCGCCTTTGGTATCTACAGTGTGTGATGCGTATGCATGGATTCTTATCCAATTCCACTACCGATTCACGCCTCGTGACAGAATGACCTTTCGAGCACACAGATATATAAAAAGGAGTGACAGGATGGTCTTTTTTTCCTATTCTTCGGAGTGTGTATTAGTTCTTCTCAACAAACAAGCGTTACGTTACCTTGTGGCGGGCCTTGGCGGTGTGCAGCTCCGACTTTTGGATGACCTTGGCTGCAAAGCGACCGTTCTTCTGGTCCGAGATCAAGAAACAGCTTGCGAATCCTCCCTAGTGACATGACACCCCCATCAAAAAAAAGCAAACAAAGAAGTGTCAATAACAAAACGAACCTGTTCAATTGCTCAATTGGTGCCTTTTCTTTTCTTTTTTTTTTTTCGTCGATATAAACCGCCTTGGCCGACGTACCTCGCCAAGGGGTGGGCCGCGGGTATAGGACATCTTTCCGTTGTTGTCGACAATCATATCAGGAGGCGGGATCCTTGGGGCCTTGTCCTTTTTGCGAATCTTTGGTTTGTCTGGGTTATTGGTCGTGGCGGTGGTGGTCGTTGTGGTTGTTGCGGCGGTGACCATATGGGTATTGGTATTGGTGGTCATCATGCCGCCTCCATGAATGCTCTGTGTGTTGAAGGTATTGGTATTATTGTTGATATTATTATGTCGGTTGCCAGGGTGATGTGGTATGCTGGTTCCTACTCTAGGTGCCAACTTGTTTGCTTCATATCGAGCATAGGCCAGATGCTGCTGCTGCTGTTGTTGTTGTTGTTGTTGTTGTTGCAGCGGGAGGTGGTGTCTCTGTTGTTGCTGCGAGTGATAGGGAGAGGGGAAGCCCATGCCGGTGGTGGTGGCGGTGGTGGCAGAGGAGGCGATAGAGGACGAGGTGGAGGACTGGAGAGGCCTGCTACTGCTGCTACTACTGCCAGCGCTACTGCCGAGACCCCCTTGCAGCTGTTGTTGTTGTTGTTGTTGCTGAAAGTGGTGTGAAGAGGTGGTATAATGGTTGTTGTCGAGACGACTAGAAACGGGGAGCTGGTATTGAAGTCGTCTGCCTGGAGGTAATCCTGTGCTAGGGCCAGTACCACTGGTAGACGAGGAAGAGGAGGCGACGACTGAAGGAGGGGCGAGTCGGCTCTTGGGGATACCAGTTGTGCCACTGCTGCCGAGGGTAGTGGTGGTCCGCTGGAGTGGAGACGCGTGCCCCGGTTGTGCGATGCGGGAAGGTGGTTGTGGTTGGGTTGTTTGTTGTTGCTGTTGTTGTTGTTGTTGTTGATCGCGATCTGGTGGGTTGACTGTCCTGCGGGGCATGGACAGTGGTGTTGTGTAGGAGGCCATCGTCAGATGGATCTGTGACAAAGGGAAGAGGGGGTATATGTATGTATTGTGTATGTATGTGTGTACGAGGTCTGAGGTGTGGGAGTGCAAGGGTGAAGCGGGGATTACAATCAAGAAGAAGGAAAAAAAGAAAACAAGTCAAGAACAACAACAACAAAGGAGGATGGGGTTTGTACAAGTAGAAGTAGTGGTGAGAGAGAGAGATAGATGAATAGTTGTTGGGTAGATTGAGTGAGCGCAAGAAGAAGAAGAAGAAGAAGAAGAAGAAGAAGAAGAAGAAAGAGATGATGAGAATGAAAAAAAGAAAGAAAGAAAAGGAAGGGAGGGATTGTTGGAGGGAAAAAGAGAAAGAAAGAAAGAAAGGGGAAAAGGTGAGCAGGGAGGAAAAGCAAGGCGCTGTAAGGTACTTAGTAGGTACTATAAAAGGTCATGGTATGGTAGTGTGGTATGAGTGAGAGAGAGAGAGAGGGAGAGAGAGAGAGAGAGAGGCCAATGGTCGGCTGGAAGGTGTCCTCGGGAGCCTCTGTGCCACAGATGCAAGAAGAGAATAGAGAGTAAGGAGAAGAGACAAAGCACCTGATAATAAGAGCCAAAAGTGGTGGCAATACGAGACAACGGACAAACACACAGCCAGCCAGGACCCCTCTTTCCTTTGCGGTTCCTGAGTGGCCTGCTGACGGTGCAAGGGACCTGGGTGATGAGACAGAAGTAAATATACTGCACCCAAGCCAAGTCGAGAAAAAGAAGAGAAAAGCCCTCCTTTATTGTTTATTCCTCTTTTCGTTCCCACTCCGGGAGGAAGAAAGCGAACTAAGAGCGAGGGAGAGAGAGAGAGAGAGAGAGAGAGAGAAAGAGACGGGATGGGAAGTGACATACACCATGTCCCTGCTAAACACACTTTTACAACCATCTCCCCCTTTCCCTTTGCCTTTCTCCCCTCCCTTCCCTCTGCCTTTTTTTCCCTGTTTCGTTTTGTTTTATTTTATTTTATTTATTTATTTATTATTCCCCCCTCTCCCTCCTAAAACGACCTTGCCACACATTCGCATACTGTGCATACTTCCATTCACACATGCATAGGAGATCTCTTTCCCTGTAAATCGCCTTTGCACTGTACCTGAATATTACTGATCATACCAACTGAGTCTCATCCCTCCACATACACATACACTCTCTTTCATCATTGTCCTCTTCTTCTTCTTCATCTTCTACATATATCCACCTTCTCCATCTTCTACACACATATATGTTACCTACTCCATCTCCCAAGTAGCGCTCAATCAATCAATACCCATCGGACCGTTGCGCTCAGAAATAAAATAAACGCATCATGCTTTCTTGTTTTTGGAGCAAAACCCGGTCCAACAGAGCATGAGAGCCAGGGCCACCCACCCGCCCTCCCTCCTCCTCCTCTTCAACCACCCTTGCTGGCTGACATATCTCTCCCTTTCTCTTTATTTCTTTTTTGTGGAGAGCGATTCCGAATTGCCACGCACGAATACTTTGACTGAGCCCTCTTTTTTTTTTTTCTCTTCCTTCAATCTTCCTAGGGTGCCATCACATCAACCACCTCTATTCCGCCCACTCTCCGTTGTTTTTTTCTCCGAGTGCAGCTACGCTTTTCACATTCGTTTTCTTCTTCACTGAAACGTAATCATAAAAAAACAACAAAGATACATCAACCAGTGAAAAGGAGTGTCTACTTGCTCTCAGAACCCATTGCAAGGGTGGCTACAATCAACCCCTTGACCACATGCAAGGCAGCCAAAAAAAAAAAAAAAAAAAAAAAAAGGGTATAGACTTTGTTCTCTCAAAGCGCACGGCTTACTTTTTACTCAGTGGCCCATGGTTACATGATAAAAACAAAAGGTATGCAAAGTCTGCACAAGAAAATGAGGATATCTAATTACTCATTCTAACAAACATCACTACATTTATAGTCGACAAAAAAAAAGAGGATATGCAAGGAGAGAATGGCTACTTGCTTTTCCAGAACGCAAACGCGTCCACCTTCTCATCTCCTTCCTCTTCTCCGCCGACCCCGCCATCCTCAGCACCGGTTCCAGTATTCGCCTTGAGGGACGCAATCGCCTGCTTGACAGATCCACTCGCAGGCTTCACATCCTCCACCGATCCTTCAGATTTGACAATCTTTTTTGCTCCTCCCGTTTCACTCTTCATCGTAGCTGCTGTTGCTGCGGCCGGTGATGACACTGACTTTTGTTGCTCCTGATCAGCTCCAGATGGTTTAAGGACAGACCCGGACTGGGCAGACCCCAACCCCGCCATCTTGACCTTGTTGGCAGCAGTTCCATGTTGATGATGATGACTACCTCCGACCTTGGCGACACCCATAGAGGACACCGCTGGTCCCGCCTTTGTAGCTGGCGCGGTTCCTGCAGAGCCAGCGAACGACAGCGGCTTGACCGTGGGGATCACAGGCAAGACGTGACGGTCACCACCAGGGGTATGGGCTGATGGTGCCACAGGGGCCGTAGAACCAACAGATGCCAGTTTGACCCCGGTAGATCCCGAGATACCGCCACCGACAGGTTTGCTGGAAGTGTTGACAGCAGGAGGCCCAAACGACTTCTTCAGCTGAGAGACCGAAGGGGGAGGTGCAGCTGACTCCTCTGACTTTTCCTCCTTGTTGACCACTGTCACTGCACTCTTGACCTTGGGTGCGGCCTTGCCGGGCAATCCTGCATTGGCGCCACCTGTCATCGCCGTCGAGGAAGACGTAGTAGACTCAAACTCGCCAGACTTATTGTTGTAGTTCTTGGTTCGCTGTTGCACGCTGGGTAGACTTGGGCTCTCTAGCCCAGAGTCCGATTTGCTAGGGGACTCAATACCCGCAGATCCAAGACCCAATCCCATCGACGCAATCGCCGCGTGTCGGCCACTGCCTCCTTTGCCCCTTGGATCCAGACCTGGCAACAGCACCTTGGACTTGTTGGTTGCTACCGTGGCCAAGGAGACCGGTGAAGCTGCTGTTGACGAAGAGTTGGAGGAGATGGACGAAACACTTGACAGTGCCGGCCGAATGATTCCAATCTCTGCTGCATTCTTCTCTGCTATCTTGTTCGGAACAGGGGTCGACTTGTTGCCGGTGAATGGGGTTCCAGCTGTCCCTGGCTGCTGATTCTTGAGCTGAGATGGCTTCAAAAGGGTTTCGGTTTCGCGCAACTTCGGGCTGGGGCGGTCTGCTTTGCTGTCGTCCTTCTTCACAACCTCCTTCTGCGGCTGCTTTTCTTCCTTGATCTCCCTGGTCTTGTCCTGCTTAAATACTACCGGATTGCTAGGGATGTCGACAAGAGCTGGCTCAGAATTGGCACCCACATGCGAGTCAGTGTCGTCGTCATCGTCATCTTCGTCGTCATCTTCGTCGTCATCTTCGTCGTCATCCTCCGTGGCATCCTGTTTGTCTCCCTCAGTGCCTCGAAGGAGACCGTACTTCTTGGGTGGCGGAGGAGCTGGTCGTCGGAAGGCACCGTCTTTGTGAATGACGGAGGAAGCTGGCAAAAGTGTAGGCAATCCTGTTCGGCGGCTCGCGGGTGGTGGAGGTGCATACTTTTTGACCGATGGCAAGGGTGACACTGTGCCATTGGAGCCAGGTCCTCTGCCTGCAGTTGGAGACATGACGGGCAACACAGGCGAGCTGCTGTCGATATCTATGCAAGTGCACCGTAGATAGAAAGAAATATAACAGATGATAAGCAAGCGGATCAAATTCTTCATAGAAAGAAACTACATGGAATCGATTGTTTACCTCCAAGGAGATCGACAGCAGGCTTCCTGGCAGGTGGACTTGGGGCTGGTCTGGATGCCAAAGAGGACGGGGTAGGAGATCCGGCACCTTGTCTAGGTGGCACCGCCTTAGCGCTGGTACCGTTGGTGTCGGTAATGGTCTTGTCTCCTTCGAATGGGTTCTTCTTATTGGAGGGGACCCTTCTGACCGTGTCCTCCAATGGATCGTTCCACCATTGATGGCTCTCCGAGCTAGGCTTTTGGCCTATATAATTCACATCAGATTGAATTACGATTAGATACATATCGAGCCACGCAAGTTCATGAGCAATAAGGATTCCAACCGCAGCTCCCTACTTACCGGTGCTTTGAGGAACACGGTCATAGGACATGCCGAACTGATTGGACGCAATCAGCTTACCACCGAGCTCAACATCACGCGTGAACCCATTTCCTGCGGGCTGCCGTTCCTTGCTGACCACTGACTTGACGGAGCTGTTACGGTAAAGTGTCTGCTCCATCTTTTCCTTGGCCTGAGAATCCAGCATCGTCAACTCCAACACAAACATCGACATCACTAGTAGCAAATCGCACAAAGTACAAATTCATCAATTTTTCTGCCAGTCAACTATCTTGAGAAGAAAGGCACCAGTACTTTCAGAAAGAAAAAAAAAAAAGGCGTAGAGTGACCATGCATGACATGAGGGTGCTTACCAGGTCTGTGATCGGACGTCCTGAACTCTGCGCGATCGTAGCTCGTTTGGTAAATCTGAAGAGGCAAGAATTGTCGCGGCCCATGTTAGTCTTCCATCTTCTCACAGCAAGCAGACAACGCTATTTATCTCGCCCAGTAGAATGAGAATCAAGAAGAAACGTACATCTCTTCCTTTGTAAAGAATGCGATCAGTCCAGGCAGGTGCTCGGTACTTTTCACTGGTGTCGTAGTTGTTGGTGCCAATGTCATAACGATAGGTGGGTGCAAATGCGATGATGCCCTCCTTGTATCCATAGAACGCCTCTCCATAATCGATCGAGCGCTTCAACTGGTCACAGCGGAAAATCTCAAAATAGTTGCCCTGGCTGACCAGCGCACGGATCTAAGAAGCACGGAGGATTGCCATACAAGGCGTTGTTCGTCAGACAAATTCAGCTGGAATCTGAGGCGCTACTTGGCAGGGTCGACAATAATGAGGACCATACCTGATCGTTTTCCATATCGACGCGATAGTTGAAATCTCCGCACCAAAGGATAATACTACGCAGTGAAAAATGAAGATGCGTGAGATAAGGCACAATGCTCGCACAAAAGAACAGTCCGTTCCACTTCCAGAAGATCACAACCTTGAGAGAATCTTACTCGTGGCTGGCAATGTTACGACCTCTTGCAAAAGTGAGGCCGTTGTTGATAGTATGAAAGTCGTTGTTGCGCTCCTGGAGATTTTCCTGTCCGGAAGCAAGATGTGATGTCACCAAGCAAAGCTCGGTCTCATAGTAGTTCATCCTAATGGCCACAGCTCCTTTGTTGCCTGCCATTCCACCCATTCCTGTCTAATCGAATGGTCACCAACAAGGAATGAGTCAACAATTGATTCCACCAAGATAGTGACAGTCTGGACATGCGAGAATCATATGCAGGAGATTGACAGTGCACGGCAACGATACCTTTTTAATGGCACATTCCACGTTGCGGATGAAAGGGAGGCTGGACTCCTTTGCATAGATCATCAAGGCTGCTCCGACCAGCTGTCCTGAGCGAAGTTGGGCATAGCGCGCTCCTCCTCGGCGGTTAATCGTCCTCTCGATCTCTTGCTCCCAAACTCGTCGCTTGCCTTCATCCGTAGCCATGATCTGCTTTGGCGTAAGCTTTACAATCTCCTGGAATCCAATCACATAGAGGTCAGGCTCCGGTACATCTATCCATGAATGAGGTGTTCAACATTGGTTAGTGGGAATCGACAAATAATCCTTGAACCTAACTTAACTTCACAGCGGTCATTGGGTCATACCTTTGTCGAAACAGAGCCAAGGCTCAAGGTTCTCCTCAGAAGGTGGTTTTCCGTTGAGGTTGTAGGTTCCCACAAAGACATCGATTTGCACCTTCTGCGAATATTCGCCTAACCGCGCCTTCACTTCCGATGCGATCGAGTCGTGAACAGGGTCGTAGATGGTCACCGGGCTTTGATGTGACATTTTTCCCTGTGTGTTTGAGGCATGGGTTGAAAGCGGGTCAGCCAACATGGCTTCAGCATGCAAGCGAGTATGGAAGGATTGCAGAAGCACGACGTGACTAAATGAAAAGGCCAGCTTACCAAGAGGATGTCAATGACTTCTTGACGATCCTTGTCCTGGAAGTTGTTGATGTAGAAACGGTTGATGGATTTAGTGGCGTCGCCGAGCATGCTCGCAAAGGACATTTTGCCCGAGCGAGTGACATCCGATTTGAGTGCACCTGTGCCTGTGTAGATCTTAGACAGCATGTCGCCATTGTCGCCCCAGAGTTGAGAGTGGATCGCCATCAGACTAGAGAACCGGCTGTCCTGAGGGAAAAGGTTGTGGATCAAGTATTCGGTCGCTTCTCTTGACAAGCTGCTCTGAATCACGTTCGTGCTATTTTCAAGTCAGAAATAAAGATCAAAATACATCATACATTATTAGTTCGCATTTTCTATATTACTCTCTGACAGCAGTAGTAAAGCATAAATTCGTGACATAAACATTCAACTTACCGATCCAAACAGTCGAGACAGTTAGTACGGAAAACACCGCGCTGAGTCTGGATGATAGAATTAGAGAGGAGATCGTGGTAAAAGTATCCATAGCGCTCTGAGTCGCCGCGGATATGCTGCAGCAAGTTCTGGACTTGCTCATAGTTGCCGCCCTTGACTTGGGAATGATAGTCGAACCGCGTCATATGGAGGTGCTTCAAAATCGGCTTGAGAGCCTCAACCTGCCCTCTGTATTCCTGTGAGAGGGTGATCTCGCCTTGGTCCTTGATACCCAACAGGTCGACAATATGAACGTCCCCGTATTTCTGAATCAGCTCCTCAAAATGCCTTTTCACTGCTGGTTTTGTCGCATCGCTTCCTCTCGAAAGCTGAATCTTGTGGCTCGCCAGCTGTAATCCTTGTTGCTCCCAAAACACTATCATATTTGTAGAAGCGAGGCGGGGAAAGGTGTTAGTGGAACGATCGTGATTCATGGTATTAGTCCAGTTCAGGCAAATATTCGACATCTTCGTAGCAACTGCAATGTACCTGGCACACTTCCGCGGATCTGGGTATAAGCGAAACACCACTCGGGGTTTGACAATATCGTCTCGGTCTAGATGTAAAAAAGCGGGTCAAATTGTTGAGTTATTCTAGCGCATGCTCTATTCCAGTGCCATCTCACAATTGCGCTCGGTCTGTCTTGCACGTCCATGAGTGTTGATGAGAATGACGATACCTCGACAAAGTTGGCTACGTCTCCATTGTCATCAATCCCGCGAGTGTTGTAGCGTGTGCCTATCAATGTAATAAACTGCCCATGTGAGTATTTCCCTTGACGAATGTGGCATGTATACGTATATTTGGCTGTTGTTCGTAGCGTTGTCTGCGACATTGGTAAACGTCTTTTTCCTTTTGCCGTACCTGCGCGCCGTGAGCTGAGCCTCGAGATCACGGAAATCTGTCCCTGTGTCGTCGCAGTCCTGAAGGGCTGGCATCCAACGTATCCTTGAATGACATGAACCTAGTTGAGGTTGCCCAATTGGTGCATCTGTCAGCACTGGAGGGTTGATGTAGATTACAATGTATCGTGATCGATTGCATGAGCAGAGTGTCGTTTTGTGGCAACTTTACCAACAAGCCTCCAATGTCCAGTTCTTCTCGCTCCTGTTCGTCGAGGTGGGACCGGAAGGTCAATAGTTCGGACAGCATGAAGTGATTCCAAAGATAGCTTTGGTCATAGTTTTGGTTGGTCTCTGCGCTTTGTTTTTCCTGCAATTGAAGCGTTCTAGATGCAGAGTATAAGAAATGAGGTTGAGATCCCTCGATTGACGAGACATGCGCGTTAATGAGAGTGTCTTTTGGAGTGATTACCAAAGAGGATCCTTCTTCCTCCCTCTTTCTTTTTCCCATGCCTTTTCGTTTGTTCATTCGTCCCTGTCTCTGTCATGTAGTTATTCTGTTATCTTCATTTGTATCGATGCCCTTTGTTCTCCTTTCGTACTTTGTTAACGTTCACTCTTCCTCATCCTGACATCCATGTTACTACCCGTACAAACAACCAGCAATCGAGCGAGCAAAACAAATATATCGAAAGAACAACTTGCCTGGATTGGATAGACCGTGTGAGATCGAACTGAGGGGAAAAATAAAAGCCGCCGTTGCAGAGAACCTTTTCGAGCTCCCGACAAGGGTGGGGCATTAACCCTGGCCCCTCTGTATCACTGGTATACTCAGGATTGGCGGGTGCAGGGATCATATCCTCGTCCGGAGTCTCCCCTGTCAGAGAAAAGAACTTGACTGCAATGATCTTGTAGACAGATTCGCCCAGGCGCAGGTCTCCGACCTTTGTGCATCCTGTGACCAGCGCAATGAACGTGTCTAATTGAAAGTTGATTGTGGAAAAGAAGAAAGATGTGTAAGTTATTTTTTTCTTGTTGTGAGATGATGCTCGCCATGAGCATCAATAAAAACAGGCAGACACGAAAAGGGTGAAAGAGTGAGTGAGAGAGAGGGAGTACCGTTGGCGTGGTGCATGAGGCCGAGACAGCCGTAGACGGGACGGGAGTGGACTTTTCTGTAGAAGCCCTGGTGAAAGTCGGCAGCGGGCTCGAGCCTGACGGCGACTTTGAGGAGACCAGTCTGGGTGTGTTCGTCGTGAGGGGAGAAGTAAAGGATGTTCCCCTGGGAGGAAGGGTTGAGGCGGTTGGTGCCGCAAGGTTTGAGGGCGAGTGTCCTTGCAGCCTGGCCATGGGAGGACAGATAGACCTCTGACTGCATTGTAGGAGGAAGGGTTGTTGTTCTTGTTCAGAGGAAGAGGGAAAAGAAGAGAGAGGAGCGTTGAGGGCGTGTGGGATTGAAGTGAGGATGGATAAGGGTGCAGGCAAGGGTAGGGGTATGAGTAAGGAAAGGTGGGGGATACGAGAAGAGAAGAGAAGAGAAGGGACACGACACCATTGACTGGATAAATGAGCGGGAAAAAGGAGCTCGAAATTCGATTCTACAGCCACAGCGAACATTTGGAAAGGGGACTGCTCTCTTCCGCCCAGGCATTATTCGAGGCATTCGATTCATTCGAGGCATTTGAGGGCATTGAGAGTGAATGAATGGCTTAGGTATTGGGCTGAGGCATTGGGCTTGGCTCAACAGTCGAGATCGACACTTTCATTCTAAAAAAAAAAAAAAAAAAAAAAACCAGAGGAGCACAAAAGGGTTACTTGACTGACATGCCGTTCTTAGATATCCCCGCAGCGAAGATCACCATCTGATAACAAACGGTGACGGATGTTCAGGGGTCAAAAATGGTCTCAGACAAATACACACATAACTTTATTTATTTGTTATGTTGATGCAATCAACCAACACCCAGGCACAACCTCTGGAGATGCCTAGTTCAAGCATAACCCGCGATCTGCTCTTCTCAAATAGACGGTGACAACGACATCCGTCATGACCCTGGAAACCATTCCTTTTTTTGTTCTTGCTGATCTACCAGAACACGAACTTGCACAAACTAAACGAACAATGACACCACAGACCTGCTATCATGTACCATGGATGAATGAGGGAAGAGGGCCTTCACTCTCCGCCAACCATCTCTCGTGGCCAACCATCAGCCACACCGGACCCACTCCTTGGGGCGGAGAAAAATAATGCAGCGTAAGAGTCTAACCCATTGAGCTTAACATACCTATGTAGCGATACAACACGCTCAGCCGACTCTCCCCTTATTTTTATATTTTGTCTAACGCGTTCTTCTTTATTTTCTGTACATATTGTAGGCGCAAGTCGTCTGACCTTTTTTAAAGGATATCGAAATCGGACGACAAGTATTGGAGACAGTTTCTGAGAGAAGCATTCATGGCATTGTCAAAGCCAAACAAAGTAAGTACTAAGGATGAGTGGTTTGTTTCAATTGTTGATCGACTGTCGGTGCCAGTCTTGTCTCATGTTCACTCCTTTCATAAAAGGTTGGCACTGCTCTTTCTTGATGTTCACATCTCACGGATGAGGAGAGGAAAGAGAAAGAAGAGGAAGACCCTCATGCTCATCAACAAGGAAAGCGCAAAGCCATGGATACTAAGACTCCCTCTGTCACCACGGCGGAGGAGAAAAAGGGCGAGAAGAATGTGGAGAAGCATCTGGAGGAGAAAGAGCTGACTAGCCGTGTGCACGCCAAGGAATAACGGACGGCGCGGGTCGTCAAGACGATGAAGACTGCGAATGTCAAGCTCAAGACCTTAGCTCAAGGCATCAATGACTATGGTAATGTATTGGTGCTTGTTTGATTTCACTTTGCTATACTGCCTGTACTATGTCCTAATGCTCACCTTTCCACTCGTTTTGTCTGATATAGGCGTGGACTTGGCCCCAGCGGAAATCCATCTTGTGAGGCGATTGAAGAAACGGCGGGAAGTACATATCCGTCGTACTACATGAACAATGATCAAATATAATGTAGCGTTCGTTTGTTCTTTTGGACTTGTGCTCATTGATCTGTAGCTTTTCTAGTTTTTTTTCTTCCTTTTTTTCATTGTTGTTTGCACCACATCTAGCAACGTGAGCTGCAATAGGCAGGCGTGATGGCTTGTAAACGCTCTTTCTCCTCGACGCAATGGATCAACAAGATGCGTGCGATTGAATATGCTAACGTTAACCTTTGCCTTATATTTACTTCTCATAAACAGGGCATGCCAGCCCGCAAAATTAGAACTATCCCGGACGGCTTTCAGCCTCCGAGTCGCGTGGCGAGGAGCTGTCTCAAACAGAATTAGATTATGCAGCTGTAAGAATGTACATCCTATTGCTGGACAGTGCATTACTTGCTATTAGCGTTCCAGTGTTTGCCGAATGAAAAAAGGTTTGCTAATATTCGACTTTCTTCATTTACTATGGTTTGAATGACTTGTGGGCGAAATTCGTCAAGTTGCAAAGAAAGGCGGATCCCTCTCAGTCTTCGTATGTTGGTTCGGGATAGTAAAAGATCTTGGGTTCATATTCGAAATACATGTTCCTCGGGGAATAAGACGTCTGCAAAGTGACAAGAGGATACGGAATAGAACCTTCAAGTCATGGAGCTTCGCAGCGAGACGCGCCTTGAGGGTGTCGAGGACGGCGGGCTCATCTTGGTACACGGCTACAAGTGTCTCCTGCTCGTCCTTGACGTCACCGTCGTCGTACTTTTTGCGTCCTCCTTCAAAGCAAGAGCCAAGTCCTGGAAGGCTCAAGGAACTCGAATACGACCCGGTGACGAAGGTCATCGACTCCACAAGGCTGGAATAATATGGTAGGCAAGGGTTATCTTCTTTATTGTCCGTAAGGGCTAGCAACAAGCGCAATTACGCGGGTGCTCCGGATAACAGTATTGATAAGAATGGCGCAAGCAGTTTTTTTAGGAGTGAAGATGGAGACCTGGGTTATTAACGCCGCACTGGCGGGCAGGAGCGGAAGGGAAAGGAAAAGGTAAGGAAAGGCCAAAACCTCGCCAAACTGTAGTTCTTGATGTTTTGCTGTCTACGGTGTCGCGATTTTTTTTCAATTAGCAAGGTGAAAGAGACATGAGTTAGTGTATTTTCTGCATTCGCAATTTTCGCTCTGCCGACATCAGAAAATAATTGAAAGGTGATGGGTGATGATGTGTTCAAAAGGGGATTCTAGCTCCACCAGCCATGCTTGCCGAAGGGTCAAAGCAATTGTCAGCCTACAGTGTGCTAATACTATACCTTCGACCACCCGCAAAGAGCCGACATTGGTCATTTCATCCTCACTACTCGCAAAGAGCCGACAGTAGCTACAGAGATAGGACCTTGCCTTTGAGGAGGAAAGGCAACAGGAGTCCATCACACCCCTACGGATGATTATGTCAACAATGCCCCCCCAAAAAAAATAAAGGTGATGATGAAGTATTGTGAGTTCAAAAGGATTCTAGCTCCACCAGCCATGCTTGCCGAAGGGCCAAAGCAATTGTCAGCCTACAGTGTGCTAATACTATACCTTCGACCACCCGCAAAGAGCCGACAGTGGTCGTTTCATCCTCACTACTCGCAAAGAGCTGACAGTAGCTACAGAGATAGGACCTTGCCTTTGAGGAGGAAAGGCAACAAGAGTCCATCACACCTCCACGGATGATTATGTCAACAATGCCCGAAAAAACAAAAAAGGTGTATAATAATGATTCTGCAGGTACCTGCAAACTGAGCACAAAACAAAATGGTACGTTCCTTGTGTCGGAGCGTATGTTGAGGCGATTGAGGGTGTTGATGGTGGATGGTTCTTAATGTATGTCTTCGAACGAAAATACAAGGTGGGGGTGGTAATGACAAGAGTGGTGTAATGATGAGGAGCGATGGCAACATTAGTGATGGACGGACAGGACAATGGCCATAATTACGTCACCGAAGCTAATCTTTTGTTTGACTCGATTCCATCCCCTCATCCTTCGCCTTTCGTTTGACCCCTTTGTCTACCAGACCTTCGGGGCCGCTTGTCCTGCATCCAGGGGTAGATCCGTCATTGTCCTGGGGCTCAAGGTAGAGTGTCCGCTGTTGCTCGCACGTGTCCTCGAATGGCATTGCAGATGTTGTGGCCAGCCATAATGTCGCGGTGCATGAACTTTAGACACTTTGAACAATGAAGTCGCCGTAGGTCAACTTGGCCAACGAATTCATGGCACAATGGGCATTCCTTGGAAGTGTAATACTCATTGACGCCAAACGATGATGTAGCCAAGAAATTGGCCCTGAGAAATAAGGCAGAGTAAAGAGCTGGCTGTAATTTACGCACGCGGGACTTACTTTTTGAACACAGTACGACTGCAAGGACTCAGGTAGAGACGATAACCTAATCTTCGAAGAATACTTCCCGGGACCCACGCCATTAGCAACCTTGTTATCCTCATCCTTCTTGGCCCCAGCCGATCCTTCAACAAGTTGCTAGAGATGATCAGTCATCAATCCGTACCTCCCTGCTCGCCTTTCTAGCGTTCCACTTGTGCTTCTTCAGGACCACACTGCTGTAGAACGAATCGAGATTGCCTTCCACCTCCTGTTCTCTCTGGGTATAGTTACTGATACTCCCTTCTGGGCTACGACAAGGAGGTAGGCTAGTCTTGATTTGATTTGGCTGATGGAGACTGCTCCTTTCTACGCTCCAGCCATCGTCTGTGTTTGAGGTAGGCTGATAAATAGCCTTCTGCATGATCGTAAGGTTAGAAAACTTGGGCGACGATTACTCGGCCTCTTCACTCCCATCTGCTTCAACGCTCGACAGCGACGACTCCATGGTAGTTACACAAGACTCTTGACCTTGTTTGACATTGGACTGCTTGCGAGGGAGTAGAATCGCACTGGCTCCGACTACAAATATTTGGCCCAAGTCAATGCCAAAGCTGGGTAACATCCCTGCCTGGTCGAAACGATATTTCTGATCTCCGTCAAAAAAAATTCCGTCCCGCCGACGGTAGACGTTAATCGAGAACACAACTTCTCCGCGGGTAGTCGTCTATACTTGACGAGTAGAGCTTATTCAACTTGAAAGCAAGAGGTTGGAGCCAGAACCCGTCTGCCCGAATCGATCCATGCAGAGCGTAGCCTTTCCTGGTGTAGGCGGCGGGCTCAATGGATCAACATAAAAGACTTAGAAACTATTCCAGGTTGACCTTCCTGATGCCTTTGGAGGAGATGAGGGGTCATGTCCAGAGTATCCGAGACGACAACTTTGAAGTATCGGCCAATGTTGGTGAGTAGCCTGGAGATGAGACACTTGCCTATGTGGCTTGATCGGAATGCTCCGTACTTGGATAGACCGGGAAGTCATACGACTGAATCACGCGCCTCAAGGGTGGGTCCTGCCAAAAGATCTTGGTTAGATCGTGATCAAGACCTTGGCAATCAGGAAGCGGCTTCCAGAAAACGTCCGCTTGTACGCCAAGGAACTGCATGATTACTTCAAGATGGAGCTCGAACACCTTCTCCTTGAAGGTTTGTACATGTGAATTGTCTTACTTTCAAAACTAACGGTGCACCAGCAGTCAGGGGCCGTTGTCATATTCAGTCGAAGTTCAAGTGTTCTGGGAGAGAAGAGTAAGTCCTTCGGTTTAATAGCAATTATTCATCATCCTCGTCGCTGCATGTCTTAACCTGACACTATGTTCTCCTTTAGGGCTACGTTCCGATGACAATATAGAGGTGAGTTTAGCCCTTATTTTTTTTACAGGCCTTCTTTGTTCAGTTATTCTCATCTTGGATTCCTCTCCACAATATCCTTGGTTGAAATCAGGTGTCGGCTAGGAACCAGCCTCACCCTCACCCTCATTTGCAACAGGAGAGCGCCTATGAATACTCACCGCCACCATCACCACCACTAGTTCCCTGGACTTCACCGCATCAAGAAGGGACATCTATCCCGGAAGAAGATGGGTAGGTATGTTTGCTTGTTTGAAATCATGAACGGCGTAATCGCTGGTTGACTAAACATAATCTCTTGCATGCAAAAACAGGACTTTGACGAGTCAGGGTTGTTCGAACTCAATTCCAAGGACCAAAGATTTATGAATGGGCAGGCGAACGACTTGAGACCAGGATTCAGCAAAAGATCGAAGACACAATCGAGGGATCCCGCACTGACAGATTTGGTATCCCTGGGTCCATTACCTGGGAGTTAGTTGGATAGAAGGCTTTTTTTACTTTCATCTCAAATAGCTTGAAATTATTGAAGTGCGGCCTGGATCCCACAACAGACAAGAACACTTATACTTCCTTCTGGATTGTGCCGGATTTCACTGCCCTCCAGACCGGTATCGATGATCTTGCATCGAAGATGTTCATTAACGAGAACCACTTCTGGCCCTCTGCGCTGCGGCGGCGTCTTATCCGAGGAGTCGAGAACGCCGAGGGAACCTCTATTGATGGCTATTGGTACGCAGTGAATGGAAAGGTAGACGTGGTCTTTGAGAACATGGGCCCACTTGGTCGCAAAGACCACAAAAAGAGGGCTGTTGACGCTTTGCTTCATCATTAAGGTGATCAAGAGCACAAGATTCAAAAGCAAATAGGTATGGGTCGTACGCAACAAAACGCGTCTCTTTGTTTCTATTTTCCCATCAGCAAGGGTTTTCGACGAATCTACTTTTTCACAGCCTTCTTTTACAGGTCCTTGTACCATCATACGCGTCTCGAGTTGATAGCAGACTAACTAGAAGCATACGCCATTCATACTTGACAGGCAATATGGTATGACTTGAGAAAAGGGAGCGTGTAAATGAAAAAGGGGCAGGGAAAGAAAGTAGAAAAGGTGGTTGGTGAGTAAATAGGGTGTAATTCACGACTCGCTGTGGGGAAACGTTACTCGGGCACGCTAGCGAGAGGTCCCACACGATCGCAACTAGACTGGCAAAGCTTGAGGAAGAAGATGGAGGGGAGTGATCGAAACTAGATCACTGGTAACGACAAAACTTACGCGGAACTTCCGGCGCACGGTATGGTGCTCAACCAAGACGAATGTCATAGAGGCAGGAGGAGATGCTGTTCTTATGTTCACCCCAGGTTTTCTTTTATACTAGTTGGTTACGTTACTGCTTCTGTGATGATGTAGATGGGGATCTACTTTTTGAGTGATATTTTGGTGGCGTTCTTGTGATCATCACTTCGTAGTGTGGAAAATTATAATACTGTAAAATAATGGAACCGAGCTGTTGCCTCGGGGCGCTTCTTTTCTCTTATTCTTTTTTATCCACTCTTTTGATTGTTATTCTGACCAGCAAGGACCACTCGACCACCTTTCGGCAGGTATTGCCATGATGGCGTGTCCTAGCTTTGTGCCCCTTCCCTTCTCAGTCAGCGTGGAAAGCAGGATCTCTCTGCGACCCCTGCGCATTGTCAACAATGAACACAATGCACATTGGGTAGCACAAGGAAGCCCACCACCGACCGGCTTGTCTGTCCTATCCTTGACACTATTTGCGCCATCCCTGATCACATGAAAATCCACTTTTCGCCCTGCCCACGTTTCCGCCAGTTATCGATCCGCCCACCAGCGTTGATACTGGCCGATCTATCGTCTAACGGCGGACTGCGGTGCAACTGTCAACCTATATTATGGATTAGCCGGTGCCCAGGGGTCTACCTCACTGTTAGCATTTCTTCCCTTCATTCTCCCTCCTTCCTTTTTATTTTAGTTTGTTTATTCTTTCGATCTCACATATGCGAACTCCTTGGTCCCCTCCCAGTTCATCCTTACGGATATAGTCCTAGCTACACTGCCCATTTGTTTAAACTAGATCCTTCATATATAGTCTTGTTTACTTCATCGCACTACGACGATGACTGAATAGAAAAGAGTGGAAGGAAAAGTGTGAAATAAAGAAAAGGGGACGATAACTCGGGGTTGAACACACAAACGTGGTAGATGCCGGATTTTCATCAACAAGAAAGGTCATGAGATTGGTGAAAACAGGAGAATGCGAAAGTGAACGTGAAGGGACTCATCAACGAGACAAAGGAAGAAGAAAGAAGAAAAAAGAGAGATGAGAGTGCGAAAGTGTGAAAGAAAAATAAAAAGAGTAAAAGAAAGAAACTGAAGACCGTCAACGCAAGAAAAACATACGAAGGTTCATCCGAGTGAATGACCAACACAAAAGGCTCACTCGGTCGTAGAAAGTGCAGAAGAAAGGAGACGTATATAAAGTGAAAGTCGCGTATGTTTCGTAATTCTTTTTTTTGTACACAATATTATTTGCTTGACAAACAGCACAGAAAAGGCATTAGGAAGTAAAAGAGGACTACAGACAAACCTCTTCAGCGCGCCATCCATCGGTTGCCGTCTAGCCCAGATCGTGGCTCTGCGCAACAATTGTCGCTGCTCTTCACAGCTTAAACAGAAGAAAATAAAACTAGATACGAATGAAGGGGATTCTTCCCATCCTCTCCATCATTGACAACCTCCTTTCTAATAAAGTCTCCAACAACCGCTTATCAACGGCGCGTGCGTCCTTGGTCGCTCCAGGGCACCTTCCTTCACCATGTGTGGCGCTTCGCTAGCCACACAGGCAGAAACCATCGTGTGTGATGTAACCATATCCTTGACTCCAGTCACCTCCCAGGCCAACTAATATCTGCTCTTTTTTTTTTTTTTTTTTTTTTATAAAAAAAATATCTTATCTGACTACGTCACCGCTTAATTTGATCGCTTCTGCTGCCTAGTTAGTTATGCCAGATGAAATATAGATCATTTCTGACAGTCTTCATCAGTTCAACTGCCCGCTTAGCTCATTGGTAGAGCGTCTGCCTAGTAAGCAGAAGGTAGCAGGTTCGATCCCTGCAGTGGGCATTTCTTATTTACTTCTGATTCCTGAACCAAGGAGTACGATTGTTTTTTACGTAGACACTAGGTGGCTGCCTTGTTTTCTTTCTTTTAGCTAGCGGGCAGCCCGGGAGGGTGACGCCCTGGGCTTTACCTTTCTTTTTATGCGGGATGAAGATATTCTGACAACATGCTTTTGGAGACATGTCAGAATATCTTTTTGTGCTGTCAGAATAGCTGCTGTGTTCTCATACAGTTAACGACGTTAAGAGCTTCACATTGGCTTTGACAACACCATCGTGACCGTGTGCATGCTTTCTTTCCTTTACACGGCCGTTTCGACGCCGTCAAGAGGTGACGACAAGACTAAAAATTAGTAACCATCGTTCAATCTACAAATATCATTGTATAACTTCTCCATCTTTATTTATGTATTTTGATACGTGTGTGAAGGATGGAGGAAACAGGATTGATCGTATTCAATAAACGGCACCGCTCCATGGTTGGAATGCTTCCTTATTATTGGTGGGGCTTGCGCTGGACGCTATCTTGATTCTTGAACATGGGATATAATCTCTCGAAAGTATTGTCAATATGCAGCATGTCGTTCAAGGGGAGCACATTATTGTTGTTGTTGTTGTCATTTTGCCTACAACCCGCTGAAGATTTCGTAACTGACTGGCGAGTTCATTTTGTTGGCATCTCTGATCAAAGATGACCTGCTGCTACCCAAGCATTTGATTCTGTTGAAATTGAAGTGGGGTCCAGAAAAGGATTCACGAAAAAGCATCAAACTCTCACAATGGCACTGGAATAGCATTTGACGAGCCGGCTCCTTCTTAGGATGAGAACACACCCTGTGTCTGGAAGGGAAATCACCACAGGCGTTATCGAATGCACTCGACGAATATGGTCCTTCTCTTTTTTCATCAATACAGCGCCGGCGTCACCCTTATCTACTCTCTGCTTCTTCTCAATCAACCCCTTGACACACAGGAAATATGAACATCGGCCTTGCCCTCGGCTTTTTCGCTACCTTTGTTACTGCCTTTGATATTGGGGTTGTTGGCAAGTGGTTTTTTAGGATCAATGGCGCATGAAGATTTTCGCATGGCTGGTGGGAGGGATTGTCATATGCGTGATTGGGAGGATTGTCGTATATTAAGTGATTGTGGGGTGGGGTAATGTTGTGCAGGTGGTAGGGAGGATCGTTGTGTAGCGGGTAACGGTGGGGTGGGGATAAGGGCGATAAGTGGGTGTTGTGTGAAGGCGACCAAGGGACGGGCCACTTGAGGATGGGCCCTCAGAAGATGGGCCATCAGCGGACGAGGGGATGGAGGACAATGCTATAGGGTGAGCGCCAGGCCATGGTATATAGGACCGATAGTGGAAGTGTGGTGGAGTGGATTTAAAAGGAGACAAGGAGCTTGAGTAATTTGACAAAACTAAACAGCGCTCTCAAGCAACGTTAGCATGTTGACAATAACCTGTTCTTGTTCGCCATGCGTTTTGTTCGGCTCGCTTCCATCCATTTCATATTACGAGGGTTGGAAACTTTTGGATGGAAGCGAGCCTAGCGTTTTGTCCTCTTTTTGGACAAAGCTGTTGGCGTGTTGGGACTCCCATACTCTGTTACCTCTTCTTGTTTCACATGTATGCATGTATATCTTTCTTGCCATTTTTCCTTCTACCATCTCTCTCTGTGTTCCATGTTTCATGTCTTTCTTCGTGCTGCAGCGCTAGCAGCTACTGCCGGTCGTAGGTTGGTCGTTTCCATAAAAGTAAAATAGGCAAAACGACCAATCTCCATAAAAGTAGGCTCGACTCTAGGCTCGACTCCATCCGTCGAGAAGCGCCTGCATTTCTTATTCCCAATTTTGGTCATAAGGCATTTGCTTCTCTGACGGCTGGCGTCAAAGTCGGGGGTGGACATAGGACCTCGCAAAATAGACTGTTGGACTGCTTTTGGCAATAAAACACCCTTAAAACTGCTGTAAAAAAAGAAAAAGAATGAAAATAGCCTACAGCGCAGACCCTACCCTCCAAAAAGGGAAACAAGAAGAGAATCAGCGGGATCAGCTTGTCGATTCATGGCTATTTAACTGATTGATTCGGTAGTTTGTACAGGGCGAGAAAAAAGGCATTATTAGAAAGCCTTTACTAGAAACATACATACTTCTTGATGATCAAGTGCTTTGTAACAAAAAATTGGTGGCAATGATGGCGAACAGCGCGAGCGGAGGAGAGGTGTGTTTTATGTATGCCTGTCTCGACTCCTTCTCTTCTTGTTTCCCTTTTTGGAGGGTAGGGTCTGCGCTGTAGGCTATTTTCATTCTTTTTCTTTTTTTACAGCAGTTTTAAGGGTGTTTTATTGCCAAAAGCAGTCCAACAGTCTATTTTGCGAGGTCCTATGTCCACCCCCGACTTTGACGCCAGCCGTCAGAGAAGCAAATGCCTTATGACCAAAATTGGGAATAAGAAATGCAGGCGCTTCTCGACGGATGGAGTCGAGCCTACCATAAAAGTAAAATTAGAAAAACGGGCACCTTCCATGAAAGGAAAATTAGGCCAAAACGACCAGGCGAATTCAGACTTGAGATCTTTTTTTACATCAGCAATAGCTTTGCTCATAGGCATCCGAATGCGATGGGAGTAGTTGCATTGGATAGAAGGCCATCTACGCTTTCTCCTTGTATCACTCTCAGGGCGCCAGGCTGGGTAGATCTCGTTCGGCAGCCAGAAAACATCATTTTGGACACTAGACTCGGCCTGAGCATTATAGCTAAATAATTTTGGTGGTGGTAACGTCATGATTATTTTTTGTTGGTCGTTTCCTTAAAGGGACAGTCGAAAGTGGTTTTTATGGTCATTTCCACTATCAAACTGACCGCAAAAACCACTTTCGACTGTAAAGGCTGGGTCTTCCTTTAGTTGTAAATTGGGAAGGATATGGACTATGTACGCGTGAGTTTTCTTATCCTCTCCATTAAAGATAGACGCGTTACCACCTTAACTACATCTCCACCAGCACTAGTAGTCGGGCCTCCCTTCCTTCCTTCCTTAATTATGCCCCCTGTATAGTAATATAATTTTTCTCTCTTTCTTTACGGCTCGCCCATCCCTCCTTTTCAGTACCCTTCGTCCTTGGGCATTTCATCTTTTTTAGCGACCCCTCCATGTGCAGAGGATATAAAAAAGCATATAAAAAATATCCAAAGCCCAAGGAACGGAGTGTTGACTTCCATAACTGACATATCTCTTCATAGTGGGCAATAGAACACAGAATAAAATAGCAATAGACAGCACAAGATTTTTTAAAATGTAATCTCTCCCCTGTATTTCGCCCCAAAGATACAGTTGCTTTAGATGATCACATACAAGAACTACTCTGCTGAATCTTGCAGTGAGGGGTACAGTTTAATAGTAGATGGAGACATTCAAGAGATTGGTGTGCAAAAAATAAGAAGACTTTGTTGTTTGAAGAATATCATAGTATTTAGTAGGATAGTTAAACAAAAATGTTACAATGGTTGTCTTACATGCTTGGTATCATATATACATTCTCATCTCATAGTCGCTATGGATATCGTCGAGATCTACAGAGATGTAACAAACACCATATGATAATTTGGACGTGAAAGGCCTCCCTTGCATTCAAGATACCGCAATAGAACTCGCGTTCTTGGCGGCATCAGACCGGTGCGTTTCCTAAGTGTCTCTTTCGTCATATCGACTCTTTTTAAAAAAAATTAACACTGACGGTAGTAGAAGTATTAAGCACACACATTCTCATTTACGTCAGTGCTTAAACGACCCTTAGATTTCACTATATTACAGTCGAGCAGCTCTCTAAAAAGAGCGCCATATGAGTATTACATGTCAGAATATCCAGATAATCTGACATTAGTGGAGTGTCAGAATAGCTTTTTCTTGAAAAAGATAATTTGACAGCTCATGTCAGATTAGCCAGGAAAACATTATTCTGACATCAATGTCAGATTAGTTATTCTGACATCCAATGAAAAAAATATAGTTAAGTCAGATTATCTCATAAAAGCTTATTCTGACATTACAGTCAGATTAGTTATTCTGACATCTAATGTCAGTTTATCTTATTCCTTTTATGCGCCACTCTATCCGCTTTTAAATTTGACACTCTTACGAAGTACGGCCCGTGACCGAGTGCCCGAGGCACGGACGTCATCCTTGTCAAGTGTGCTTTGAATGTTCAAAGAGGAGGGGACTTTCACGCAGAACGGCCGTCCTTATGGTTTTTCTCTTAGTGACTCATCACCGTGGACGATTGATCGCATTGTCGAAAAAAAAGGTCAAGGGTTTCCAACGTGCGCCATCAGGTTAGTAATATGAGCCTCTCAAGCAGAGCGGCCGTGGTCGAGCCACGGACGCCTTCCTTGCCAAGTGTGTTTTGTCTGTTCGCGGGGCCAGTAAAAGTTTATCTAAACATTGTTAACCTCATTTTACGGTGCTCCATAGTAGTATTTCCTTCTCGTTGCCCTAGATTTAGAGTTTTGGCGTCGCCATGGGTTGATATACACGTTACCCTCTACTAACATTTGCCCTGCCGGGGGCTGCGACAACACTGTCAACGGGGCTTGCATGTCGCTTCGCTTGATGCATGATAGAATGCACGGTTCAATATGGATCATAGCAAAGGTCAAGAAGCAGGGGAGGCGAGCAAAAGGAATGTGATCTCGTGTGCTGGCAGTTCATGGCCAGTGTTCGACGTTGAATTCCGAGCCGAGAACTTTGAACTTCTTGCTGGCTCTCTCGCTGGCAATCTCTGCTTGGGGCATCAGCCGTTTGCTGCGAGGTCGAGCTTTCGGTGTCACCACGATGGTCTCCGCGGGCGCTGGCAACGCTTAATTTTCAATGATGGGTAACGATTATCGATAAACCATGGCAATGGTTGAACAAGGCTGAAAATCCAATGGCACCGTTTACAGGCAATGAGAGGAAAATACTATGGGGCACCGTATATTAAACATTTCCATTTATCTAACGATGGCCGTCGTGTCGTCACCCCTTGAACGCGCCCTCCCACTCTGGTTTGCTCTCAGCCTTTGCTCTATTCTTTTTTTTTTCTTCTCAACTTGAACATCGTCATTTGACAAGTTCCTTTTTTGTCATTGTTAATGACCACCTGTCAGCTTTGGGACGACGAATCTCGGCGGACCATACCACGATGATACTTCAGGTGTTGACAGATCTTCGCTTAGCCCTCCAAAGCACCTCACCTCACATTAAACAATCTGCCATACCGTCTTTGGACGTGGTGTTCAGGTATGCGGCGAATGCACCCGTTGGAAACGCTTCTGTCAACCGTCAACCCCTCCGGAGACGCCTTCGGTAACCCCTCTAGAGATGGTACCGGTGGCACATCCGACGCCCCTGCCGTCTCCGCCACTCCTGCCAACCCCGACAGCTCTTCTAGCACTGCAGTTATTCACGCACTTGTAAATAGTCTTTTGGATCTGGTTGTGATAGTATCGTAGACTGTCCCTTGCTTTGCCTTCGCCTTCGTCCCCCTCGCCCTCACCTCTACCAACTTGGCTATCACCTATGCCATCGCCACACACCTACTCTCGCTCCTGCCGCTTTCATCATCTGCGCCAGAACTATGCCCCCTATCCACTTGTATAAATATTCCCCTTGCATAATAAACAGCATCCTTTCTTGTCCCTCCCCCTCGTCCCTACACCTTTGTCTTTCTAATTCTTCTCATTTATCGTCTCTGTTGTTGTTACTTTGAAGGTTGGAAGAAGGTATGGAGGAAAGGGAAGAATGGAAGACGCTGAGGTATTTTGGTAACTATCCCAGTGCTTTGAGCGACAAATTTTTGTTTATCCGCTGCCTTTAAGGGGAGGTCCCCGACACCGGCAAAACTTAATTGAATTAATTTCCGCTTCTTCATTCACTCTCACTCACACACTCACACTCAAGATCGCTCCATGCCAATTACCTTCCAGAAACCACTCCTACCATGACCCACTTGCTATCGACTTCAAACACAAAAGCCACAGTCAACAACAACAATCACAACAACACCTCTAACAATACCCTCCCCACCAACTTGGCCGCAACCAATGCAAGCACCAATGTCAAGGACAGTATTCTCTCCATGGAGAAAACAGATGTCGACCAGAATGACCTTGACCAATTGATGATCAGCGAGGGTGCAAAGTTGCCTCCACCTCTAGAATCAAAGACAGCCAAGACCACCGACACCGCCAATATTCTTGTCAATGTCCCTCCTCTTCCAACACGAGGCCGAATTCTGTTGCCGGCCATCATCATCCCATTCTCTATCATGGGACTTTTAATCCGCCTGGGTCTTGTCTCGATTGAAACCTTTGCCGGACAACAGGTCTTTGCTCTGGCATGGCCTCAGTTAATCGGGTGTCTGCTCATGGGATTGTTTGTGTCAACCAGGAAATGGATCGATGGCGGCTTTGTTCTACCGGACAGCACTTCAAAAGGCCATTGGATAGGAGCGTTTGTCTACGTTGGACTCTCTTCAGGACTGTGTGGTTCAATCACGACGTTTTCTTCGTGGAACCTGGCACTCTTTAACGAGCTCATCAACGCCGCAAAAGTCGCCCGGCACCCGCTTCAGAATGTAAGCCTGCAAATGTCGATTGATGAAGAGAAAAGCCGATATACGACTTTTTCTAATTTCACTTAGAAATAATTCTATCATAATTAGATTCTATCTGCGCTTACTGAGCTCGTTGTCACACTGGCATTATCTATTTCAGGACTGCAGCTTGGATCTCATCTTGGCGAAGCTCTTCTGCAGCTGGCAACAAACTGGCGACTTGCCTCTCGTAGGCGTTCTCATGCATCATTACCAATGACGGCATCTCGCTCATCGATGGTTCTTGAGACAGCACCAGCATTGACGCCACCGTCGCCTCCAGTCCCACCAAATCGCTGGACGATTCTAGATATCGTGATTGTGTCAGCATCTAGCATACTATGGACTGGTATGATATGTGCGGCCATCTGGATCCCTAGGGAATCACGTCCATCGTGGCGACATATTATTTTGGCCTGCTGCTTTGCTCCTGCGGGCGCCATTCTGCGGTGGTATCTCTCAAGGTTTAACTCTCGATCGAAGCTGTTTCCTCTTGGTACATTTGCAGCCAACCTTGGTGGGTCAATTATACTGGCTACCATCTTTTGTCTCCAGCATAGTTCAGCTGCTGGCAAGTCTGCCTTGGTTTGTGATGTTTTAAGCGGGCTTCAAGACGGCTATTGTGGTAGGTCGTCAAGAAAGCCTCCGTGTTTTTGTTTACTATACACTTTGCTGATATATTCAAATTGCTATAGCCTACTAATCATTTATCGATTATTCATGAATGATTAGGTTGTCTGACAACAATCTCCACGTTTGCATTGGAGATCAAGACATTGCCAAGGAGGGCTTCGTATGTGTATGGTGTGGTCTCTGTGGTCGTTACCCAAATATTCATGGTGCTGATCGTAGGGTCATATGTATGGACACGCAAAAATTCTGGAGACAATCTTATGGCATGCACTCCTTGAGATAGATAACGTAATTAAAGAGTTTCGTTTCTTCTCTCTGCTTATCAAGAGTTCAGGTGGACAATCGATGGCACTCCTTTTTTTCGAGGGGTTGAAGGGAAGGTTGCTTCCTTGGGATGATCCAGTTTTTTGTTTTGACCCATCTTAAAAGGGTACTCTGATTCTCTTCAAACGAAATCTCAGAAAATGTCCTTTGTTTTCTTTCTTCTTTCTTCTTTCGCTCGTTAGTTTAGGCATGTTATGGTCAGCAACCACATTCTCTTTGTGATTACAACGTTCATGCTTATCCATCCTATTCAAGCAGTAGTGAGCAGTAGCAACAAAAAAAGGAGTGGGGGGCGAGAGAAAGAGAGAGAAAAAGAGAGAGGTGGTCGGGCTTGGATCAGCACCATGTTTCATGGTGTGAACCGCTAGTATGATTTATTAACGAAGGCGGGAGGGCGAAGAAGGCGAGAGGAGATAATTGTCAGAAACAAAGAGAGATAAAGAGTAAGGGAAGGGGAGGAGAAGGGGGATGGGGAGTCAACAAACAAGAAGAAAAATAAGCAAAAGAAGAGGAGGACGAGAATGTGAAAGAAAGAGCAAGAGCAAAACAAGAGTCGAAAGGAGGACGAAGAAGGGAGGAGAGGGGAAATACGAAATAGAGCAGTACGAGAGAGATAGAGACGAGACGACGTTACTGTTTACAACAGTCGAGTGTGATGTTGCGCGGATAGAGACGACAGTTGGGAATGGGGTTGTGGTGTTTCGAATTCATAGTTTGCTTCACTGAGTGTACATGCAGTACATGTGTGGACGTTAACCGGCTCTCACAAAAAGGAAGGAGATGCGAGGAGAAAAGGGAAAGAGAAGAGAAGAGAAGAGAGGAGTAAGAGACGAGAGCAAGCAGAGAGCGAGAGGCGGGTGCAGAAGGCGAAACCCAATCACTTCTACTGAAGAAAACAAAATAAAGGGGGAGGGAAGAATAAGAGGAGCAAGAAGGGACGTGGAAGCGTCCATGGTCAGAGATGCGAGAGAGGAAGAGAGAGACAGAAAGTCAATGAACGACCCAGGAATCCAAAGAGAGAGAGAGAGAAAAAAAAAAAAAAAAAAAGAGAGAGAGAGAGAGAGAGAGAGAGAGAGAGAGCATGCTGCAAAGAGCATCAAAGACAGCGAAGAAAGGGAGAAGGGACGAGGAAGAAGGGGGAACGGAAGCAATCGAAGCGACCGAATCAAGAGGGAAAAACGTGCAAAGGGTTTTGAAGGGTTCTTGTCTCACTCTCCTTCTTTCTTTTATTCTTTCTCTCTTCACTCCTTCTCTTCTCTTTCTCTTTGTCTCCTTGCCTCGTTTTATCTCTTCCTCTTTCTTTTCCTTCTTGTTTCTGTGGAATGACAGCAGAGCAAGAAAGAGAGGATGAATGTGTAGCGAGAGAGGGAGAGAGGGAGAGAGGGAGAGAGAGAGAGAGAGAGAGAGAGAGAGAGAGAAATGATAGAAATAGACACGGAGAAACTAGACAGAACCTGTGGTTATGTAGAAAGTAGAGGATGCATTCATTTTTGTCAGATCGATGTCCACCTGAATTCAATCGGCGACTCCTCCTCTCCTCTCATGACTCGATCCTAGTCTTGAACAGCACTCGGGCTATGGTCACGACCGACTAACTGAGCTATGCACCACTAACAAGAAGCGACAACAAAAGAGTAACAGCAGTAATACTCGTATGTTGTTGTTGTGTTGAAATGGTTGCCAGACAGAGTGTATCCAGATCAGGGGGGAGGGCCCTGACAACACCGACCAGGTGTGTGTGTGTGTGTGTGTGTGTGCAAGATATATTTATTTTCTTGACTCTCTCTTCTAGATGCGTACTGTCAGTGTATCCGTTATCAGTCGGCGCGTCCCCATTGGCCCTGTTCTTGAACAGCGGGGTGTGGGTATTGATGATTGACAAACAAACAGACATTGTTATTGCCCATGGTCTGTGTCTGTCTGTTGGTCTGCTTGCTGTCATCTGTCTGTCTGTCTCTCTGTCTGTATTTCTGGTCTATTTCCCCCCTTCCCTTACCCTTCCTTCCTCTCTTCTTCCACGCCTCATCCGACAAAGAGAGGCAGAGAGACAGAGGAAGAGAGGGAGATATAGAGAGACAGAGCAAGAGAGGGAGAGAAAAAGTAAGAACCATGCACAAACCCATGGGGACCATGGGGGCCATGGGCACCATACAGTCCGCCCTCTCTTTTTTTTCCCTCTCTCTCTCTCTTTCTCTTCCTCCTCCTCACTCACTCTCTCACTGCCCATGAAGGAATTCTCTTTGGTCTCTCTCTTGCACTCCTACATTCTTTTCTCTTTTTTCTTCTTCATACCTTCCATCACCTCTCGTCTCCTCTAATTCCTTCGCTCATTCCCTTTCTCGTTCTTCTGTGCTCCCTCTTCGTCTTCTTCTCCTCTTTTCCTTATTCTTCTTCCTGCTTCGTCTCTCACCTACTCCCCGCTTGTCTCTTCCCCTTTTATCTCCTCCTCTCCTACCCACTCCTTCCCTCCCTCCGTCTCTTACTCACCCGTACCGATTCCCGTTTGCATTCACTGTTACTGTCACTCATCTCTTCCCCGCCTCGTCCTACACTTCCTCTACAACTTTCCACGTTGACCCGCTTCCCTTCTCTTTACATTCACCCATTCCCATTCGAATCTCCCCTCTCTCATTCTACCCTGACAGGACAACACCACCAACCTTGCTTGACCCGCCACAACAACCGCCCAAACTGCACCAGAAATGGCCAAGCAGGACGCTATCATCGACCGCCCCTATCAAACAGAGAAAGAAAGCGCAACCAACGGGTTGTGCAAAGACAAACAACTCCAACTCAAACCACAACAGGACGCAGTTGACGTTGCCAGCCTTGCCATTGGTGAAACGCCGCCCTCTGGTCGTCAAGACAATTCAGCTCGCCTGAGCCACCGTCCCTCGCCACAGCAACAACAACAGCGACAGCAGCAACAACAACCACAGCCATTGTACCGACGCCCATCTCCTGGATCGCCTCTAATACAGTCGCTATCCGTGCTGCAAGAACAACACCCCCTGAAGAACACCACAGCCAACAGGCCAACGACTTCCTCCCCTGCAGGATTAGAAAGAGGAGGTGAAGGAGGGGCAATGGTTAACAAACCTCTCGACGGCCTTTCACCCTCCAACTTTACAACCCTTGCAGTCGATCTGGACCCCACGTCCGTTCAAACCTTGGATAATTCGGATGTTACAGAGGCCAATGATGGCTTAGCAATGTGGCATGTACGTTTCATCTTTTATTTTCTCTTCTTGACTTTAGTGGACCTACACCACAACCACTTTGTTCGCTTGCCGTTCTAATCCAATCGACTCGACGGCTCCTTCTTTGTTTCTTACTTTCTTCCTTTTCTTCCCTTTCCCCTTTCCTCTCCCTAGTCCTGGGTCAATCAACAAGCCAAGAATGGAATCGTTGGCAATGCCAGCGATCTCACCAGCTGGCGGGATGGGACTCTCGAGATCACACCCACTTCTCTAATCCAGTATCTAGAGGCTGTCGTCTTGCCACTGGAACGAGCATCATACTTGTCCTCTGCTGATACCTCAACTAGCACCAGCACTGCGACCTTCTCAGTTACGAGTCGAAAGGAGGCGACTTCCGTCATCGAAACATACCTCAAGCCAGTCCTCCAGCTCTGGCAGCACCAGTATCAGCACAAAGAGGGGCAGCTGCGCCAAGAGCAAGAACAACAGCGACAGCCACGCCGATATCCCGATCCCTCCAGCTCATCATCATCCGTGACACTCTCTTCCGAAACAAAGTCCTTCCACGAAAGCCTCTCGGACGACAGAGCCGTGGTCTTGAGTGTACAGCAAGCTATCCGGCAACAGGATCAACTACAGCGATTGATCCACCTGGAAAAGTCCCACCAAGATACTGCTCTGGTCATCTCGCAGCTACAGGATCGAGTACAGCGTTTGGTTGACGACTGTGCCCACAAAAAGAGACTTCAGCTGCACTCCCACCAGGAGATGGATCAAAATATGCTTCGTGCATCCGACAACGAGTCTGGATCCAATGGAATCGTCGGCTTGGCGACATTGATTGAACGACACACTGTCCACCGTGGATACTCTCCTCCAACTCGTCGGCATCATCAGGGCCAACAGCGCCAACAGCAACAGACCAATGGATATTATGGTGGCCGAGGCGAGACTCACCGAGCGGAAGAACTGATTGAGGTCATTGCCAAGGGTCTGGAGGAGTACCATGCGCGAGCGGCTTATGAGCGCGCACGACAACGTTCTGGGACCGACCCTTCAACCACAGGACATGACCATTCATCCTGGCGTCACATCGACTTGACCGGCGACAACGCATCGGGACCTTTACATCCTCCTCAGTCACCCCACGATAGCGCGGTCGACTACCACCACTATGAGATAGAGACCTTGGATCGCTCCTTGGGACCAAACCAACATCAAAGTACATCATACTACGAGGATCAATCGCCAACACAACTTCACCACAACCATCGCCACGTTAACATCCCTAAGCAACAACAGCGACTGCAGATACAGCAGATACATGGAGAAATCCAGCATGACGACCTTCTTGAGGTACCCCCTCATCACCCTCTCCACGATCGACCTGTTCGTAGCCGCAAGCGAAGTAGTAGTATGAGCGGACCTGGTGGTGTCCACAGAGAAAATATCAAACACGCCCGATCCTGCTCCCCATCTCGCCCTCGGACCATTTCGGACACCTCGAGGACTGGGGCGGAAGAGACTGACGCCGCAGCAATGATCTCTGCCATCTCTAACAGCCATGCTCACTCTCAATTATCCACTGAACCCCTTGAGAAGTCAAAACAAGAGCCAAAGCTTGATGGACACCACAAATCACCCAAGAGCAGTATCAACCTCGAATCTTCAGCTTCCACCTCTGCGGCAGCATCGCTTGCTTTACTCCACTATGGTTCCGTGGAGAGGGCAAGACAGCACTCCGTATCTCCCCAGGATGTTGATCTCCACACTCGCCAGCAATCGGCACATCCATCCACTGTCAGCAACCAGCGCCTTCAAGCTAAAGGTGACAAAGAGTTGGTTCGCTATCCTTCACACTCTCCTCAAGGCCTCAACTTCAACTACACATCCACCCAGACTCGCCGTATTGACCCTCCTCCCTGTGGCGAGGGCGACTACCGTTCTTACCCAGAACACTCTCAGCAACCCATGCGCCACCATTCACATCCGAGCCAAAGCTATTCTCATTTAGAAGATATTACTGCTCAGTCGATGACAGAGCCGACGGGGTACAGGTCTCTGGAACTTGAGACGCGTGTATCGCCGTACTCCCATACTACAGGCACCACTACAGCCTATACCGTGCCCAAGCTGCCAGTCTTTCGTGGCAAGCATACCAAGAATCAAGAGTCGTTTGGCTATACCAGCCGCAGTGAACCAGCCCAGCAGCGTCGTCAGTCGCACCCCTCCCCCTCGCAGCCAACGTCAGTTCTAACACCGGTGAGCAAACCACACCCTTACCAGTGTGATGAGTCGACGATCTATTCTGGCTACGAACAGCCACAGCAACAGCCACAAAAACACCAACAACAACATCAGCAACCACATTTCAGTCGCCATCAAGACAGCGTCGATGATGAAGACCTCAAGTCACCCCAACCGCAGCCCAGAGAGTTCCAGTACCAGCATCTACAACATCATCACTATTTACCACAATCACAGCAGCAAGAGCAGCAGCAATATCAACAGCAACAACACCTTCACCATCACCATCAGCAACAGCAACATTCAGTATACCATCACCACCAACAACAACATCCTCATCAACAACAGCAGCAACAGCAGCATTACAATCACCATCACTTGCACCACCACGACTCACACCATCAACATTCTCTTCAATCTTCCTCCACCTCTTCCCCACCACCAACATCTTCCAACCAGCATCAGCATCAACATCAACACCACCCTCCTCCTCCGATATATGTCATGAACCGTCAGGTCAATACCGTCCCGGAGCTCTGGAAGGAGTGGACCGTAGGTTTGGGCCCAGGACATCCCAGTATCCGCCAGCTCGAAGCTCAATACGGCCCCAGTTGGAGAACCAGTTCCTCGGCAGCCAATTTCTTTTCCAGGCGCCTTCGGATTATTCACGAGATCCAGCGGATGGTTGATTACGAGGGACTTACAGAGGAGGAGGCTGTCAACCGGTTAGAGGCCAGACGAGAACAAGGGGTTGTCGTTCCTGGGTCTGAGGGACACACTGCTCTCGCTTCATCATCGTCGGATACTGCAGGTGGAGGCGCAGGGATGTCGTTGCATCGACTGTCTGAGATTCTGCGCAAGAAGCAGCTCTAGCTATTTCCTATCCTTTTTTTATTTTTACTTTCTAATGATGACTCTGACACTCTCTAACGCCTTGTTATGACCCATTCCTTTTATTTTTGCACATAAAATTATGCTTGATTTGCCACTTACAAAAGGTACTTCGAGTAAGAGGAAGGAGCGGTAGACGTGTAACCTTGACCAGTGGACAATAAGACACAGACGGGGTTTTTATGGCCTAAAGAGCAATTGGTGTATTGACTGGCTAGCTGGGCGCCTTCAAACAATGGCATTGAGAGGGTCATCCGCTCTATCCTCTTGCTCATCCACGGAGGGCCGCCTGGTACCCAAAAAAGCGCGAGCGTTCATTCCTTGTCGCTTTCGACCTGCTGTCCCTAGATCACGGGTTGGAATAGGGTTTAAAAACGCGTGATGCTGCTCATGCGATGATGATTCAGCTCGGTGACACTGCAATCGCTACAGTTTCCAAAAACCCTCCGCCACATGAGCGCATCCATGCTCAGCAGCCGTGATCACAGCCACCTCCATCATCCCCACAGCGTCTCCATGGACCACCACCCCAGCGACCGCAGGAAACGAGACCATACTGAACACGTAAGGACCGATTTATAAACACAAAACAGGTTCCTCTTTGGCAATAATTTATTAAGAGGTTCGTAGGAAAAAAACAGAAAAGGTGATAATACATCCTGTTGATTATCAAAATGACCTAATGCTAGAATGTCATGGTGCCTATTTCAATGGGGATGGTCCATAGGACACCTTTTATACAGAGCCTGGCTGGAATGGCTCTGACGATGACAGGAACAATAGCTTGAACAACAAGCGCAAATGGAATAGTTTCATCGACTGCGACGATTACTATGACATGGATGAAACGCCCGAGGCGGTTGATGTCCTGACCTCAAGAAGGATGCGGATATTAATTCGAGAGAAGCCCTGGCATGGCTATGTCGATTCCAGCGCCGCTTTCGCCGGCACAAACGCCACGAGGTTGTCCATGAGGGAGCAGAAGGGACTAGAGGAATTCAAGGACGAGCAGCGGAACATTCAGCTTCAAATGACCGACGAGGCATTGAACCAGTGGAAGGTACACTAAACTTAGCACGGCCTCTTTTGATGGTAATTTGTGAGAGTGCAGTCATATACACCTTGCACCATCTTTCTTGCAAAATGACCTCCCATGTTTCTTCTGGCACTTCTTTCTATTTACATTTTCTCAAATTTCGTAGGAGTGGTGCTCCTTACATTCGGACCCATGCAACACATCCATGAGCCTCAAGAAACTTATCGACTTTATCGGCAGCAAGGTCATCCCTCAGGAAAACGCAATCCTCCGTCAACTTTCACATGACAACCGGATACCAATATCTGGAGTCGAGTCTCTTCTCCTCCCCCTTCTTCGGCACATGTACCAAGAAGAAAAGGCACTGACAAGAAGAGCGTCTCCTTTCAGCCATCAACGATCGCCTCTCATGGTCAGTATCCGAACGGCGCCTCGCCCCAGTCCGGTCTTATCCTCTTCCGACTCATATGATCCGCCGGTTTTATCACGCCCAAGTCGTTCGGAATACGTTACCATTGTCGATCAGGCATCCCCCAAGGTTGATTCGGAGACGGAGGAGGAGGAGGAGGAGGAGGAGGAGGAGGAGGAGGAGGAGGAGGAAGAGGAGGAGGAGGAGGAGGAGGTCAGCCCATGGACCTCGGTCAGGCTTATCCGTGATCGCACAACTTCACCGTCCGCCGTTCTGGATGTGTCGTGTCTGGAAAACTCCTTGGAGATTGTGTCAACAATTTCCGCCGAGGTGGCGGCCCTTTGCAAGTCCGCCCACAAGCCAAATATCGACGTTTCGGAAAGCAATCCTTACTTGCTCACAGAGTCGTTCTTTGCTCGGCTACGCAAGGACCAGGCCAAGGCAGAGCGGCTGGGCTTGAGTGGCGCGCTTTACAACCCGCTTTTAGTAGAGGTCTTGGAGGGGCATGTTCAGTTGGTCCAAACATTGTCTGTCCAGATGTCAAACCGAGCTATGTCTCTCGTCCCCGCATCTCTGGCGAAGGAATATGCGATTTCCAACATCTCGACTGTGTCAAGCTCTCTGGTTCCTGATTCGTCATTACAAACCCCTCTTTCCGCCCGCTTGTCCTCTCTTATATCCTCCAAGAAACCCAGTTCGGGAAAAGCCTTCAAGACTACCGATCAAGATTTCGCACAGTCGGATGCTTCTTACGAAGGGCCAGATCAAGACCAAGGCACCAAGGTCATGGGCCAGATCTACACAAGCTGTCAAGACGTTGATATGCAAGCGGCACAATGTACGACAGTTATACCCAGCAGGAGCAAGGTAGACTCTTATGACAGGAATCAGATCAACAAAAGCGAGGCTGGCGAGGAGAGCGTTTGGCTGGCTTGGCAGAGGTGGAAAGTGGGCGAAGATGGATCGCTACCGCTGGAGGAGCTGGTTAATCGCAAGGGTTCGGACAGGATGGTGCCGGAGTTTCAAAACTATTGCACCATTGCTTACTACTTATCGGGTGAGATTGAGAGATTATGCGCCGGGGGCATGAAGCTCGAGACTGCGGTTCAGTCTTTAGAAGCTCGACGTCACCTTAGCTTGGCCGCCTTGGCCATAATCATTCATCAGGAGAGAAACCGACAACGCACTAGTGAAGGACTGACCTTTCTAGAGACCAGATCCAGACAACAGGAACCTTCAAGCCTTTCTGAGGAGCTCACCGGAGTTGTCTCGCCCAGGAGTGTTCCCGGCCTTACTACAGAGAAGCCCCTTGACCAATTGGTGTCTCGTCGGAACTCTGAGGCCATTTCAACTCTCGCATCATCCCAGGCTCCGATAGTTACCGTTGAGAAGCCTGCCCCTAAATTGCCCTTTGTCAGTTATGTTGCACAGACGCAAAGCATTTTTAGTCTAAATGCGATGGACCTTCATTCTGATGATGCGCAACAAACAGCAGGAATCGACAGTGCCGCCAGTCGAGTGGTCGTATCACCGACCGCACCTCCGCTTGCGGCCACGTCATCCGTCTCCCCTGGACCGCTGCATGCCTTACGTGGAACCGGCTCGTCTGCAGAGTCGTCTGCTGGATCTTTGAGATCGACGCTTAAGGCTCTGGCTGCCATGAACACAACGCCATCAGCCCTGGGACCTGACTTTACTCAGTGGCGGACCGCTACACAGGTCTTGACTGAAAAGCCCCGTGGCGAAAGTCGTCAAACTCTGCCTGGATCGCTCCCATGGTATTTGCCATCCTCGACCATTCGCAGTATCCAGCCCATCGCTCCCAACTTGCCTGTCGCAGGTCCAGTCTTAACCTCCACGCCAGTAACGCAGCAGGTGCTTCCTACCATGACCAACCATCAACCGACACCTCAACCCTCAAAACTTCATTTGGACCAGGCATCTTCCTTCAGCCCAACATCGTTTGTATCTCGGGGCTCGTTTTCTCATCCCCCCACCGTCAGTGCTGCGCCAGCACCATCATCCCGCCTTTCGTTTCCTGCCAAACAGGCCAGCATCCAAAACTACTTTACCGCTCCATCTCGCCAACAGCAACAGCCCGTCACCCCATTATCCCAACCTCATATGCCGACTTTACCCCAGCAGCAGGCGTCCTTGCTTCCTATATCTCAAGCACCAATCCCACTTGTACAATTTGTACCCCGCTTCTTCGTACAAACCCAAGCCGGTTTCACTGCTCCATCCTCTACCGGAGCCACTCCATCCCAGTCGGCCTCCAGTGCACTGAACCCTTTCAATCTGGCTGACGATCAAGTTGTTATAGCGCGCTTGGATAACCCTGAATCATTGGATGCGTCCTCAGCATCCAACGCCATAAGAACGACATTTAATGGTGTTTTTCAGCCTGCATCAAAGACCCTTCCAGTTTCGCACACGCCAACCCCTCATTTAAACCATTACGCCACAAAATTTCTCAACGACGCGCCTACGACTCTGAACGCGCACATCGCTTCCTCTATAGCAGCTCATATGCCTCCATTTGCTGCCAATCAACAAACTACACCATCAGCAGCGCCCATTTCAACAGCAACAGCTGTGACAACAGCAACCACAGCAACAACGACGCCAACAGTAACAATACCGCCAACAGCTGCACTGCAACAAATATTAGCAGTATTACCTTCACAAACTCTAACAACGGGATTATTACCTCCTGCGCCAGTAATTGTAACCGCCACGCAAGTACATGGTACTGCAGTGCCTCAAGTACCACGGATATCCGACACGACAACAGTCTCTACCCCATCCTCATCCACCACATTGGTTTTCAAGCCAAAAGCCATCAATCAACCCATGTCCACATCGTCAACAACAATAGCAGCAGACGGACAGGAGCAGGTTCAACTGTTCCGATTCAACTTTGAGCTTCAAACGGTCTTCGACATCTGGGACCTTTGGACGTTAGGCATCCAGGGTAGCCCCTCTGTCGCAGGTCTGATTGAAAAACACAGGATGGCCTGGCTGCACCCAGCCGACAGAGAGACATTTCGAGACTATCGCTCTGTGCTGTTGATTGTCGAGCGGTCTGTGCGGCAGTTGAAGCTAGATGTCCGAGTAGGATTGACACAGCTCGAGCACGTCCGACTCAAATTCAAAATGTCGGTCCGACAGTTTGCGAAAATTTTGACAGAGGTTGATATGGGTAAAGCAGCACCATCTAGGCCGTCATCTGCCTCAGGGTCACTGCCGCCGTCGTCATCTTTGCTCTTGAGCATGGCCTTGCCCATGGACCCTGTCCCAGAAACGATACAGGCATTTGTCAAAGCTATTGATGCCATGACGTTGCCTCAGCCCTCTTCCATCACCACCACTCTTCATTCCTAGTTCTTTTCCTCGTCTCCTTCCTCCACGCCAATCCTTTTTTGTTTCCATTTCCCGTTTTTTGCCACAATTTTTTTCTCTGTACATTATTAAGAATCTTTCATGTGTATTTTGTAAATAAACTATGGTGTGTCTGCTGACAGCCATTGTTATGTTAACGCACATTGATCAACACCTGTTCGCGAGCAGCCCTCCAACACAGACTGGATCTCGTTTCTATATGGTTTCAAAAAGAACAAAAAGAGTAAAAAGGGCAAACATTGAATAATTAGTTCAGGCCAAAAAAGTCGACGCAAGTTCTTATAAGACCACAACAAGTGGTGAGGTCCTTTTACCTGTGATGACAAGCTGAGATATTTCCTCATAGAGTGATCGCATCCTTGCAGCTTCCTCGTCAACAGTGTCGTTCTCGCCGTGGCCAATGATCACCAACTCATCGTAATCCTCCTCTTCCTCCTCTTCGTCTTCATCCTCAGAATTATCTCCGCCATGGCTGGGCACCACCGTGAGGAACCCAGTATTGCCATGGATCACGCCTGTCTGCTGCAGCAACTGTGGTGCTGCTCCGTCATGACCTCCAAGATGCACATGGTCTCCTACTACTCTTCCTACGGCAGTTGACATACCCCCAGCAGATGTCAAGGCAGAGGCAGCTCCGACCGTCGCCGGGGCTGTGGAAGGCAATGGGGACACAGCCATGGTAGGCGCCACTACTGTTGCAGAAGCGGCAGCAGCAGCAGCAGCCTGATTCCTCTTCTTGCGTCGGACCTTCAGTGCCCTCACGGGCTCTAGTGAGTTCATCTCTCTCCGCCGCTGAATCTGCTTCCTCAAGAACTCGCGTGCTCTCCTTCCTTGTGCCTCTGATCGTGCCATCTCTATCTCCTTCATCGTCAACTCATCCCCGATCCAGTCCCATAGCACCCGAAGACAAGTCTCATTTCCTGTCCGAGCTGCAAGGAGCAAAGAATTCATCGGTCCACCCTCATCAAAGGTCTGATAAGGGTCTGCCCCATGATCTAACATCCAGTCCAGCAACTCTTCCTGGTCCTGCTGATCCGGACGCTCAATCGCATCGTGCAGTGGTGATCGTCCCATGTTGCCCTTGGCGTTGATATCTGCGCCGGCTCTCAGCAAAGTCTGCAGCGCAGCAATCGGTTTCTTTTGGCAGGTCACCGCAATATGCATCGCGCTGTTGCCCTTGGAATCCAAATCGCAGCACCCGGAGGGGTTGTGGCGCAGAATCAGGTTGAGCACTTGGACGGGGTCTGGGTGATGCTCTGCCACATGGAAGATCGACTGAGGAGTCAGCACAGCACCCTTTGAAAGAAGGAGCGTCATCGAGGGGACAGGGTCAGGACAGTACCGCGTCAACAGATCCATGCATGTCCAGTCACTTCCCGTTTTCTTTGTGAAATCAGCGCCGGCCTCCAAAAGTAGTTGGATGCACTCAAAGGGCTCAGGGTTGTATCGGACAAGCGAATGCAACACTGTCCAGTCCTTGTGTCCAATGGCGGTCGCGTCAGCGCCGTAGCTCAGAAGCAACTTGAAAAGCTCCAGGGGTTGGTTGTTGGCACGGGCGACCAGGTGAAGCGAAGTCCAGTCCGACTTTGTCTTGGCGTTCACATCTGCGCCTGCTTCGATCAACAGTCGCATGCTCTCCAGAGGGTCAGAACAATAGTTGGCCAGAAAGTGCAGGATGCTCCATCCATCATGGGTCGTGACCGTAGGGTCGGCACCACACTGCAAGAGGAACCGGATCGATTCGAGCGGCTGGGGTGTACACCTGGCAACACTGTGTAAGACCGACCATCCATTCTTGCCAACAGCATTCACATCCGCTCCGTATTCCACCAGAATCTTTAGCGCCTCCAGTGGGTCCTCGTTCGAGTTGGCGAGCAGGTGAGTCGGCGACCATCCATCCGCAGTCTTGTCATGCACAGTTGCTCCCGCTTCCAGCAACAGTCGCAGAGCGGCCATGGGTTTCTTGTTACTGTAAACAAGGAAGTGAAGGGTGGTCCAGTTTTTCTTGCCCTGCTTGTTGACATCGACACCAGCATTGAGCAGTACCTGGATGGACTCAAAGGACTCGTAGGGGTCCTGGCAGTGCTTGGCCAACGAGTGAAGCGCAGTCGCGTGTCGAGCCTTGAGAATGTTGACGTCGACGCCTGCATTGACAAGCAGTTTGATGCCCTCCAGCGGTGTCTTGTTGTATCGGACAAGACAATGCAAAACACTCCATCCGTCGGCACCGATCACATTAACATCGGCTCCATGCTCCAACAAGTAGGCGAGGGCTTCTACAGGCTCTGGGTTATCTTTGGCGGTGTAGTGAAGGGCGGTCCATTGCTTGATTGTTTTGGCGTTGACATCGACTCCATGCTCGACCACCAGCTTGATGGTCTTGAGCATATCTCCGCTTGCTCTGGAGTATTCGCCCTTGAAGATGCACCGCGCGAGCGCATGGAGGACTGTGCACTGCTCGTCGGTTTGGGTATGAACGGAGACGCCGTGGTCGATGAGGTATTTGATGCAGTCGTAGGGCTCGGCGTTGTATCGGGCAAAGGTGTGCATGACACTCCAGCCGTGGACGCTGATCGCTTTAACGTTAGCACCAAGGGAAACCAAGAGCTTCATGGCCTCCAAGCAGCCAGGGCGATACGAATGAGCGAGTGTATGCAGGACAGAGAGACCCTTATCGGTGGCATGGTTGACGTCTGCTCCATGTTGGACGAGCAGCTGGACGGCGTCGAGGGCTTCGGGCTGTTCCTGGACGAGGATGTGGAGGGGGGTGGCGCCATCGGTTCTGAGTGCCATAGGGTCGTACCCTTCGTGAAGAAGGATGTCGATCATATTCCAGAGAACGGAGGGATCTTCCTGGATAACATATTGACAGGCGAGATGGAGATAGGTCTGGTTCTGGCCAAGGGGTTTGTCGCGCTTCAGTTGTCCTGGTCGTGCATAGAGGGCGTATTCGGCTGAGATGGGGTAGGTTTGAGCATAGGCCTGGTGATAGGCCTCTGTGGCAGCGGTGGCCATGAGAGGGAGGGTATGCGTGGAGTTGTCGTGGTACCTTCTGTTGTTTCCTGACCAGGAGGATGACGTTGCCGCTGCTGTTGCTGAAGATTTGGTCTTTGAGGAGTAATTTGCGTGGTTGGTCATGTCCCGGCGGGTGGCGTGTCTTGTGACATCGGAAGTGGTAGTAGCGGAGGTCTGAACAGCAGCAGCAGCCGTGCGGGAACGTCGACGCATGGCAAGGATGAAGGCGACGGCATGGTAGTCTCCTGCACGGACGGATATCTCCATGGGCTGCGCGGGCGGATTGTCGACGGAGTAAGGGCCAAAGCGGGCCTTGAGCCACTCCAGGTCCTTGTCGGTCGATGGTACGGTGAGCGAGTGTGGTTGGAGTGCCATTGGGAGAGAAGTGTGTCCTGTGTGGATGGGGGGGGGGGGGGGGGGGGGGGTTTGTTTTGCGTTCTATTGGGAATGTAAAGAGTCGGATGACAGTTCTGTTGTTGTAATGAGGTAAGGTATGGGTCTAGAAAGAAGCAAGAAAAAAGAGGTGGGTGTGCGTGTTAGAAGAGAAATAGAGAGATAGTTTGACCTTGGCTGTCTGTTAGCTGTTAGTTGGCTAAGAGTGTTACTGTGGTTCGAATTACCTTTTCTTTTTATGTGAGTTGTGTGTGAGTGTGTGTGTGAGTGTGTGTGCGAGTGCGAGTGTGAGTGTGCGAGTGTGAGTGTGTAATGGATGGAAAGGGATGGATGGATGGAGAGAGGGGGAATAAGAGAAGGAAGAAGGAGGTCTTGACTCTGTCTCTCTACTTTGATGGAGGTTCGAAGGAACAAAGGACAAGGGAAGATATCAATGGCGCTTTACACGTGACATGAATGCCACGCAGTCGCATGCGCTGCACATCTGTTTTGTCTCCAGGAAAATCGAGGATTGTCACGTGCCATTCATGTGTCCATCCAGCACTCACTCACCATGCCCCAAAGTCTGCTGTAGCAGGACGAGCATCTTTACCTTGAAACCAAAGTCTACTGTAGCATAAGATGTTGGAAGGCTCTAGTCGCTCTAGTCCTGTACAACCACTGTGTCCCTGATCTTTCTCCGTTCGCTCTTTCATGATGGGTCCAGGGTTTGCCTTTTTTTTTTTTTTTCGTACAACATGCAATAGCATGAGAAAACCAACTAAAAATCTCGAGGCTCACAAGTGTGGTTCAGGGCCAAGGCTAGATCTTTTCATTTGCCCCATTCATTCGTCGCTCTAACATAAGAAAGTACTGTACACAAGAAAAACAGAAAAGAACGAATTGCAAGAGCACCGGACTTGGTTTGTCCCCCCTGTCCTTCTCGCTCTTCCTTCTGCAGCGTGTGGGAGGGTGTGCTCATTTGGCTGGCTCATAGCTCATATATTAATAATTGGGCGCATTCCTGTGTCCTCTTTCCTGTTTGATCCACCTTCCACTCTTTTGCTCCAACGCCAACGACAAGCAAGCATCATTCACAACAACAACAACAGCAATACAAACAGAAAAGAGCAGCGTTATGGCTCTCGAAGATAAAAAATAGTCCGTTCCCGCCAATTCTGACTGTTGCTCGTTATTTTTCTCATTTTCGTCTCTCTCTGAGCTGTCTGATACTTTCTTTTCCTCTGTTGCTCGGTGCTGCTGTGCGGAACCTGTCGATAATCGGCACACATTGAAACACATGCGTGTGTATGTGTGTGTGTTTGGGTGTGTGTATATCCATGTCCCATGTCGCCGTCCAAGGATCTAGATTCATTATTCTGCCGATGTGTGGTGCAGCCAACACGTCCAAAACACCTATTTGTTTGTGTTTGTTTCCTTTTCTTCATCTTTCGCTTCTTTCTGCAAGCGTGCGCCATTGTCATCGTCAACGTCGACCCGCCAACGGATTCAAATACTTGAAACGTGTTGCGTTTGTATACATTGTCATCCTCTCATTCCCTCCATCCCCTGTCTCCTTTTGTTATCCCCTTCTATTTGCTGTTATGCAACACGTTTCTCCCTCCATTTCTCCTGTATCCCTTTGACCTCGTTTTCACTCTTCACTTCCTCTTCCTGTTTGTCTCCACTGGCCGACGCCCAAATTCTTTCACTCCTGTCGTGCATCTTTTGATGTTTTTTGTTATTGTTGTGATTGTTTGTTTTTGTTTATTTTGGTCTGCATGGCTAATGCATTGCATTTGGACCACAAGCTGTTGTCCTTTTCTAATGAAGTTTCATTTAACGTGGTGTGGCGTTCCTGAAGTCAGGAGGAAAACAAAGAGGGAGAGAAATGGAAGGGGTATGTGTGTGTGTCAGAGACGTTTTTTTTTTTTTTTTTTTGCGCTTACCCGCCATCAGAAGAGAGTGTATTCTACGAGAGTATGGCAGCATGGAGAAAAACCAGGCTGTTGTGTCTTGATCGAGGAAGAGTGGGGATCAGAAAGTAACGTTCCCTTGCCTTTTTTTTTTTGCGGGGGAATAAGAGAGGCAACGGTCGGGAAGAGAGTGTGTAGGAAACACTAGAAGAAGGGAATAGAAGCCGTGTGAGTGGGTGAACTTTCTTTCGTTCCTTAATCTCTCGTTTTCGTCGGGATGAGGTCCAAAGGGACATGGGTGGTTGAGATGTCTGTGGATACGCTATATCAGTCGCCTCGATGTGCATAAGAACACGACTTTTCTTTTGTGTGGGCAATTTACTAGTGCGTAAACCATGTTCTTCGTCTATTTTTTTCATATTTTATTTTTATATTTTATATTTTATTTGTTAGCTGTTTTGATGAATGGTCGTTGAAGATGCTTCCCTTTTTCTTTCTTATCCTCACCCCCTTCGCTCTTATCCTTTGCTATTCTTCTTCTTCCTCTTGTAGCCGTTCGCCACCATCGGCAATGGATATCTCCAATAAACAAGAAACCACGTACCCCATCCCTTTCCATGACATCCAAATGTACCCAACGAGTCGCCCGTTGAAAATTAAAAAAACAACAACATCAACAAACAATGATAAAAAATCACCCGTTGTTTTTCTTTTCTCTTTCAATTAGAGTTCCTCCCTCTGTGCCTGACTTCTCATTCGTCCCTTGTCTCTTCTTCCTCCTCTCTTCTTCTCCTCCTCTTCTCTTCTCTTTTCTTCTCGAGCCCTTTCCCCCTTTCCTCCTTCCTCTCGGTCATCATCTCTTTACCCTCTTACCCTCTTCTTTCTCTTCCCTGCCTCTCCTTCCTCATCCTTCATTCATAACCACCACCACCCACCCACCTTTTTTTTCTTCCATCCGCCTTCACTTCTCTTCTCGTCCTCGGCCATCTCTCATCCAGTTTCAATCTCTAATCCAATCGGTACTGCTCGACTCTAATAGTTTTTTTAAATGAATGGCCTCACCTGCTTCATGATCTCATCCCTCCCCTTGGCCACTCCTCCACATCATTCCTCTCTTTTTCCGTTGTGCTCTTCATAAACCTTTTCGTTCTTTGGAAACCTCTTGCACCTGGTTTTCCCTTGTTCATGGTCGCCTTTCTGGCTTTACCTCGTGCAAACCTCGGTTCAAGCACACGCGCACGCACGCACGCAAAGTAAACGGCCAGACAGTCTGAGAGTCGGCCAGTCGGCCAAATGGACAGACAGAGCTTCGATTGACATATAAAATATTTTCAACCTCCTTTCCCTCACGTCTTTCACACGCCAAACTCCCCTTCCCCTCCTCCGTCTCTCTTTCACCCTCCTCAACGGGGACACATCATCCCATCCATCTTCACTCCCCCTTTCTCTATCTCCTCCGTAATTACCCTCACTCACTCCATCTCTCCTCTCTTGTGTGTTAGTGCGTAATATACTATACTTCATATCTGACCATCAACGGCCATGCATCCATTGATTGCAACTATCCTTCTTGCCCTCTCCCTCTGCTCTTTTCTTCAGCCATCAACGCTCTTTTGTTCCCTTCACGAAACAAACTTTCATATATTTCCGCGTGCTCATTCGCTCTCGTTTCGCTCTCGTTTCGCTCTCGTCTTTCTCGGCTCTCGTCCTGCTCACCATTTGCATCTTATTACATTTTGTTTCTTTTCTTTTCTTTTCTTTTCTTTTGTTCGCTTGGTCTCTTTTCTTTTTAACATACGTTGCTTTCGGCTGATTGTAGTCGCCGGTAAGTTATGGCACAGTAACACCCTTGTTATGATTCCGCAGTCAAGGCGGGTGTAAGCTTCTTATGAGCGTACTCAACATGGCCCTTTCCTTTGCACATAAACGAAGAGGAGAGCGCAAAAAATACAAAAAGAAAAAAAAAGAGAGTGTTGATGATGATGGGTGGGGATGGCATCTGATACGGTATGTCTCAGAATGCGTGCCTTGTTCCTGATACCTCTTCAAGCGGCATGTATTTCATTTTATTTTATTTTACTTTAACCTTTGCAGGTGGAAAAGGGGTAAAAGTAGTGTATGGGGACGTAGAGCAGGGGACTCTCGACTAGGAAGGACGCTGATTGGACCAAAAAATAATGGGAAACATTTTAATTGAACTTATTCACACACACATACACACACATACACACACATCTGTTTTTTTCACTTCCTTGTACTCTCTGTTCCTTCGTGTCGTATCTGTGTTATCCTCTCCTGCCCGAGATAACCACCATGGTGCACAAGGATGAAAGGGAGAGAAAGAAAGAAGAAACTTAATTGTGCCGTGCAAAAAACAGCAGCGGCATGTTTATTTTTATACTATTTCATATTTTTTTGTTTCCTGGTTAGCATTTTGGAGCATTGGTGGGTGCACACAACAGAACCATAGTGTTCACCAGTGAGCATACTCGAGCAGAACGAGCGAGCAAAACAAGAAGTAAAATGAATGTGTGTGTGTGTGAAGGTGTATCTATAAGTGTGGACGCAGAGTGTTTATTTTTATCTACGGTTATTATTGATCGATCCTCTGTCCTGTCCTTCTCCTGCTGTATACATCCACCCAAACCTAATAGTCCATTCCCCATCGTGCTTTGAATTTTAATTTTAAATCACTTTTTATTATTATCATTGTACTATTCTTCACCACTCTCCTTTTTTTTTCCTTCTTCCTTCGTGTGCTATTCATAATCCAGTTCATAATCCTATTCATATCTCATCCTTCATTACCGACAACATCTACAGACAGCCAAAAAAAAAAAAAGAAAAAAAAAAAAAGAAATAGGTTACTAGTGAGCAATTGGATAATAATGAACACGGTCAAATCGATGGCCACCAAATGTAGGCACGCACAAAGATACATTAACACATTAACATATCACGCCTCGACGCTCTCCGTCTTTGCCACTCAATTTATTCGACCATTCTATTCTCCCCCCCTTGATTTTTTTTTTGGGTGCATGCAACCCTATCCCATCCTCATTTAACCCAATCTAATATGTCTTTGTTGTCCGTTGAACCTTACCCTCCCCCGCAATATAACCATCGACCTGCTACAGTATATCTAACCATTCTCTTTCCTCCCTTCGTATTTTTTTCTGTTTCTTACTTCATTACTGCTCCAATAGATACCCACAAGTTGAAACTACCTCGCCTTCACACCTCCATCCCTACCGCTCAACTGACATCAAGACACGTCCTGCGACTTCAAGCCTCCCTTCTCTCACACCACCACCAAGACTCATTCTTGTCTGTCGATCAGTACCCACACAAGCGACCCACTAGTCAATGTCATTCGGAACGACATACCTGACTCCTTCAGCGATCAACAGAGACTCAGACTTCAACGGACCCCGACACAGCCGCCACTCCTACCCCGACAGCGCCAACAACGAGATGTTTGTTACCCCAAAACTCGAATCTGACCCAAGAGATTTTTATACGGACGACAACAGAGAAATGTCGTCAGAACCCAACTACATGGTCGATCATCCCATGGGTATGGACGGGCAAAGACATCCAGGAGGACCTGGAGCCAAGCAGCCGCGGGATCGGATGCGACTCAACAGGATCCTTAACGGTTCGTCCTCCTCGTCCTCCGAAGAAGTCTACCAGCAGCAACAACAGCAACAGCATCAGGATGGCGAGTCTTCGTACGGTCACTACCCGTATCAGGACAGCGCACCCTCACATCAGTTCCAGTCCTTCCATCCTTCTGTCGGCACCATGCCCGAGTCGTCCTTTCCTTCGCCTATGGCTGTGCCAGTAGCGACCCTCCCTACGCTTGCAACCATGTCGTCACCCTCGGCCTCGTTCTCGCCCATGAACCAATCCAACTTGATCTTTGATAATGTCATGCCGTACTCCTACAACAACGCACCCTACCCCCCACAAAACTACCCATTCAAGCATGCTGGCAATGCGAAATCAATGGAACCCTCAAGCTTTGGTGACCATCCAGGATACTCCCACCCGTCGCACCAGCACTATCAGCACAGCCCCGATCCTTCGGGTTCCCCTTCAGTCCTCTCGGCCCTTCCCCCACGCATGAACCCCGACAGCCATGGAGGCGTGCCCGACTCGCCTCCTTCGTCGTTCTACCATGGACAGCACCAGGCTCCCTCTCCTTATAGCATTGGATCACATAGCCCAACGTCTAGTGCATACCCTCCTGCATATGTTTCAGCCGGTCCCCATGGATACAACTCTTTGACACCGACGCCTCCCGCCACACCCCACTATGGATTTGCTCACACACCCGATGGTCGGTACGCCGGAGGACCAGGCATGCCGGTCTATGGAGACTACTTTACATTGCAGTCGGGCTCTTCGTCTGCAGGAGGACCTCGTCAGAACAACCGCTACCTCGGTTCGCCGTCGACCCCACCTACACCTACGCCCACGGCACGGCCTCGCAAGACGCCCTACCAGCCTCGCGCTGCTAGGACGACGGAGCTTGGTGCTGCCGGCGCGACGCCCGCGCCTCGTCGATTCCCGTGTCAAGAGTGTGAGAAGGCATTCCCAACCAAGGGCGAGTTGGCGTCTCATTCTCGTTGCCACTTGAAGGTGCCGGCATTCTTGTGCGGTATCTGTGGACGTCCCTTCAAGCGCCGAACGGATTATGTCCGCCACGTCCGTAACGTTCACGAGGAGGTCGGACGGTACAGCTGCATTCAATGTGGTGAGCGGTTTGGTCGTCTGGACAAGCTGAAGCGACACGACAAGCGCGGTTGTGGTGCTGATCCCGAAGACGATGACAAGTAGAGTTTGCGACTCTTTTTTTTTTGGTTTGCATCCCTCCCCACACACATGCAAGAAAAAAAAACCCACCAAAAGCAGAACAAAGACAAAACAAAACAAGGAAAAAGAAAAGCAAACAAAACCAAAACCAGCAAAAGAAGCCATCTTGCGTCGTCACGACTGGTCTTTATCTTTTCTCTTTTCTTTTTTTACCCCCTTCGTTTCTACTGTTCACGTTCTCCCTTTTGTCCTTTAATATTAGCTTATTTACTTTCCCCTCTTAATATTCACTGTTATCGCCCGTTCCGCTGGTCGTAATCGGTTCTACTCCCTCCACCACACACTCGCACGCACTGTACCTAGTGTTTTACTTATCTCCCCTCCTTTTCTAGATGTTGGTTTATTGCTTTCCTTTTTTTTTATTTTTTTTTTCATTGAATGGATGTACTGTACAAGGAGGATTAATATGACAACACTTTTAGCATCTGTCTGTCCTCTTTGTATTATATCCTTTTCTACTCATGTTCTCTTCAACTACCTTCCACCCCTCCCTTCACTCGACTCGTCGTTGTCGTCGTTTACCGTTATTCCCTTCCTTGGCTCTCCTTTTCTCTTGTTGGCAACATGCACCCCGCCTGCCCGCCTACACATTGCACACACACAGACAATTCTCACCTTTGAAAAAAAAAAAAAAAAAGACAATAAAAAGCAAAAATTAACAGAATTGTAAAGTGATTGAAAAGGTAGTTGGACATCCAACCCCTTAAACAACCAACAGAGGGACGAGGCAGAGGCCCTGAGGCCCGACTGACTGACTGACTGACACACAACAAAGGAGAAGAGAAGGGGACAGAACCAGGGTCAAGGCAACAACGTACCCCATCAACAGACGATTGCCGTTGTTCCTTTATTCTTGCTCCTTACTCCTGTTGTCGTTCGTTGTCAAGTCTTTTTCTTGATTCATTATTGTATTGTTGTCGATCGAATATCCAACCGTCTCCTTCTCCTCCATCATCTTTTCCCAAAACTTGCACGCTCACCCCAAGTATTTACGCGTCATACTGATTTCTCGCCACCACACTCACACTACCACACCATTACCACACTCTCCCAAACCACATCTCTTCCTTTTTCCTTTCTTTCCTCTCTCTCTCTTTCTCTCTTTTACTCCTAAAGCAAGAGCACAACCAACCGACGCCATCAGTCAGTCAGCCAGTCAGCTAGTCAGTCCATTCAATGTCATCCCTCAACGGCAGACCAGCCAACAAGTCAGGAAAGGCCGTCATTGTCCAAAGGTACTCACCCACTCACTCACTCGCTCACTCACTCACTTCAACTCTCCCAACTCACCCAACTCACTCTACTCTACTCTCTCAACTCACTCACCCCTCCCATCCACTCCATCCACCCACACCCACCCAAAACACCCGCTCACCCTTGCTTTATCTTTTTATACCTTCTTATTAGGCAAGTAGACAGCGATCAATCAGTGGAACTCTACTTACTACTTTTGCATGGATCACACACAGACACGGATCATAACCATGTCGAATCAACACCACGCGGCGAACAGACAGCAGTCAACCCACGCATGGACGGTAGAATGTGAAGCAGGAGAGAGCATATACAGAGCAAAAAAAGAACACAGAATAGGAATACTCATCGACTGAGCACAGAGAGCAAAGCGAAGGATGGAGAGAGGTAGAGAGAAAAGAGAGGGGTCCGTCGAAGCACACCATCGACAACCACGACGGATTCGCAACGAAGACGGTCATCGCGTCTCAACAGCAACAAACGGACGTGAAGGGTAATAGGGTTATGTTTATGCTTGATGACAGGCTTTTTTTTGCTTATCAACGAGCAGACAGCACAACTCTTTACTCAATACTTGACAGGACACGGGCAGCCGCTTGGTGCTCAACCACTCGGTGCTCAACCATCTATTATATCATATGGATCCTCAACAGCTCATCGCCACCACTATCGTCTATGTTTTCCTCATTGTGTCTGTAATTTTAGAGGTGGGAAGGGCAAGCTGGGTACCCAGTCTCCTCCAACAACCAACCAAGCAGGATTCTCTCCTAATGCCGGTCCTACTCCTCCATCCTCGGGCCAAACTGCTTCTTCTGTCCCTGTCAAAGAAACGGTCATCCATGAGACCGATTTGAAGCACATGCACGACCGCATGCTCTTTCTCCTCTCTAACATGATCGTAAGGAACGCTTATTTATCGTTTTCGATGGCCTTCCAAGGATACGTTATATCACTGAACAACTCACACACACACAAAAAAAACGCTGTCCAAGGAAGCATTCAAAAGGACAAAACCACTCACGCGCCCCTTTCATGCTCCGTACGAACACAATAACTCCCATCATTAGGGCATGACAGTGGAGATCACGGTCAAGAACGGGTCTAAGTACGAGGGACTCTTTCATACGGCGTTTACAGAGGGTGAGCTCGGGATTGTTCTGCGACTGGCCAAGGCCATCTCAGGAAAGGACAAGAAAGACAATAGCCCTCTGATCAGCCAGATGATTGTCCTCGCCAAGGACTGCATGGCCATTAATGTCCTAGGGGTTGATTTTGTTCCCGCCGAGCGATCAGGTCCTGAGAGAGGAGAACGTGAAGGTAATGTTCGTGCCAGCGTGCATCCTTCTAGAGATAACATGAGTAAATGAGAGGCAAAGCGAGAAGGACGCGAAAAGTTATATTACTTACTTGTATTTTTGCTGTGCATTCACATGGCCTCGCCTACATTGCAGGGTTCAAGACTGACACGGATATCAGTCGATCAGGCGACATCAAGCAGAGGGACTTGAAAAAGTGGGCTCCAGAGGAAAGCTTGTCATACGGCGGAATCGAGGGCGATTTAGGCGACACCAACCACCATAGCTCGGCGTCGTGGGACCAGTTTGCCGCGAACGAGCGCCTTTTCGGCGTCAGGACCGACTTTGACGAAGAAATCTACACCACAAAGTTGGACCGCACGGGCGCAGACTACAAGGCCCGTGAGCAGCAAGCAATCCAGATTGCACAGGAAATCCAGCAGAGTGTTTCAAGCAACGTTCACATGCGGGAGGAGCGCGGTTTGGCTGTTGACGATAGCGGCTTGGACGAGGAGGACCTCTATGGTGCTGTTGTTCGCGATCCATTGCCTACGTCCAACAAGTATATGCCCCCCGCCATGCGTCGTCAGCAGGAGCTCAACCAACAGAGGCGCCCCTCGACTCCAGTTCAGACACCTGCACGTTCAGTACCCACGCCTGCTGCCACCCTTGCCCCTTCCTCAGCCCCGGCACAGGCCACTCCCGCCCAACACCCTTCCTCGACTCTGCCCACCAAGCCTTTGCCGACTTCCACCCAACAGCCTTTGCAGGCACCCAAATCAACTCCGTCTGAACAAGCCGCTATTTCCGCTACCACCACAACAGCCGGTACTCCTAAACTTGCAGAGGCAACGCCCATCAGCCGTTCAAACTCTGTCAAGAACAACAATTCACCCATCAATTTGCGGGATCTCCGAACCCACAACCCTGTGTCGACCCTGTTGAATGCCGCAACCATCCAAGGATCCAAGAACCAGCAGATCCCCGAGCATGCTGTTGACTCTAAGCAGATCGAGGAGAACTTGGCCAAGTTTGCCATGACCGTCAGCACCTTCGCCACCAACGACAAAGTCCTTGTGAGCCAGCGCAAGACTGAATTGATGCAGCAGAGGAAGGCAGGTCTTGCCGCTGAGCTCAAGCAATTCGGCAAGGAACTGGACGTAAGTGTGATACGCGTTTCTTTTGTCTTGCTTCTCTCGTTATTTTTTTGTTGGCCATTTCTCACTAACATTTGTTCGCCAAATTGCTTGTTTTTCCTACAGAAAAAGCTCAACACGCCCGTTCCTGAAGATGTCAAGGAAATCTTTGGCAAGAAGAACGAAGTGGTGGCCGACAAAGCCAAGGAAGCTGCGACGACAGGCAAGGCGTTGGACAAGGAGAAGACTTTGCCTGATATTAAGGATGCCAAAGCAGAGTCCGCAAAATCTAACACCGCAAGCTCTGCCACAACCACCTCGACCACCACGTCTGCAACTCCTGCAGCATCAAATGCGACCGATAAACCCGCTACCACCAAACCAGCGACAGGAAGCTCGTTCAAGTTCAACATCAAGGCGTCGGAGTTCAAGCCCAACGTGAACGCGGCTCCCTTCACACCATCCTTTGCTGCTGGCGACAAAAAGTCAGTACCTGTGACTTCCACCGCCGCAGACAAAAACCTGTTCTTTGGCAAGGTCATTAAGAAGGGACCCTTACCACTCCAGAGCTCCATGGCGAGTCCTTTCAAGAAGGGTCAAGCCACGCCCAACCCAGCCTCGACCACTCCGACCTGGCCTTACGGACAGCGTGCCTTCCGCCATCAGTTCCAAGTCACCAACCGTTACGAGGACGACATGATGTATAGCCAGGGCATGGCAGGACACAACGGAAACGGCGCTGGAGGGTATTATGCAATGGGGCCTTATAGCTATGGACCTTCGGGACAATTTGGAGTTCCCCCGCCCATGACGATGGGAGGCCCTAGTCATATGGTGCCCTTTATGGGGGCTGGTGGCCCAGTTCCCTTCTCTCAACCTCCTCCCGGTATGTCCCACACCGCAGCAGGACCGGGATATCCGCAAATGGCACCCACCACCGCTCGTAAGTTTTTCACATTTCCGCCTTTTTTTTTATTATCGTTTCGTTTGTAATTGTGTAAAACCGTGATGTGGAGCCAAATTCTTATTGCGTCCTTTAAATCCTAATTAGCCCACTATGCTCCTCAAGGATTCCCTCCCGGTCGGTCTGGCATGCTTCCTCCTTCGGGTATGCATATGCAGATGTATCCATACCCCCCTTCTCATGGTAACCGACTATTTACATACTTTGGGTTGCTTGCCTAGGATATCTATTGTATGAATGGTACCGTTATAATATCGCTACTTATTTCGATAAATTTATGTATTGCTTGATTTTAATTGTAGGTACACCTGTCATGATGCGGTACCCTCCGCCAGAGATGATGGCCACAATGGGACATAACGGGATGATGATGCACCAGAGACCTATGGGCATGGACCCACAAATGATACACTATTCAGCTGTTGGACGGGAAGCTGGATTGAATGAAGGTACACCAGTCACTCGTTCTTAGACCGACACACTCACTATTTTACAAGCTGCTTACGCAGGGATATCCAATACAAACCGCTAACTTGATTCCCTTCGTTGACATATTCGCCGCGTCATATCTTTTCATTGGGCTTTTCTTGTTCGTAGACACAGTTCACGAAAATGGCGCAGGAATCTGAAACTAAATGGCCGTGGCCAGAAACCCTAGGGGATGGCATGTTGGTCCGCTATTCCAGACACCGGGTTCCCAGGACATTTTTCTGTGCTTCGAATAAAAAATGAATATCCAGATCGAATGTCGTGATTGCACCAGTGAATCACGTGGGGTGGATTTGATTCGCCAATGGGTCTTTTCTAATCCAGCAATCCAAGCATGTTTTCTTCCTCTTGACTCAGTCATACTTTGTCTTTCTTTTCTTTCTTCTACTTGGCCTTTTTTTTTCTCTCGTTCTCTCGCTCTCTCGCTCTCTATCTATTTCTTTACCCGTACTTGTTTTGTGTACCCTCAAAACCCACCTCCACTTCACCTCCACTTCACCTCCACACATCATCACCTATAGACAATGAAAGTCATTGACAAGATTCGCCGTGCAGACCAAGAGCAGCGCCCCTACTGGTCCTTTGAGTACTTCCCGCCAAAGACCACCGCCGGTGTCCAGAACCTCTTCGAGCGTATGGAGCGCATGTACAACCTCGGCCCAGAGTTTGTCGACATCACTTGGAACGCCGGTGGAACCTCATCCGACCTCACCAGCGAACTCGTCGCTACTGCCCAAAGTGTCTATGGTCTCGAAACCTGCATGCATCTCACCTGCACCAACATGCCCATGGAAAAAATCGACGCCGCTCTCAAGGTATCTATTACCCTTTTTTTTTTTTTTTCTCACGATGATGGTTCAGTTAAACTCTGCTCGTGTTTTGGCAATAGTTCAGCAACTGCTTGAGTAAGATGTGACGATTAAAAGAACTCGTTTCTTTTAGTAGTCGTTCCCATTCACATTCAATTATACCAACGGCGATAATATCAACTCCCTTTTTCCAATGGTCTTTCTCACTCACACATCAATGCATGGCGCCTCCCAACCCAAAAACACAAATAGGCTGCAAAGGCGTGCGGAAATCAGAATATCTTGGCGCTGAGAGGCGATCCTCCACGCGGGCAGGACCAATGGGTGTCGTGCGACAATGGGTTCGCCTATGCATCGGACTTGGTCGCCTATATCCGCCAGCAGTACGGCGATTATTTTTCGATCGGTGTGGCAGGCTACCCAGAGGGACATCTGGATTCAACCGACCGGGAGGAGGATTTCAAGTGGCTCAAGTACAAGGTCGACCAAGGCGCAGATTTCATTGTGACTCAGCTCTTCTATGACACGGGCCTGTTCCTGGACTGGATCAAGGAGTGTCGCACCCGCGGTATCACCGTTCCCATTATTCCCGGTATCATGCCCATCCAGAGCTTTGGCGGTTTCCACCGTATGACCAGTCTCTGCAAGACCTTTGTTCCCGACCACATCAAGAACGCTCTTGAACCCATCAAGGTAACAGGGCTTTCTTATCTAGGTGATCTCCTTTGCCTTTTATTATTTGTTTATTTCAGTGTACAACAATGGGAGAAACAGAACTGGCGACTGTTCACTTTTGAAAGAACTGTGCCAAGAGTAGAAAAAGAAAAAATAAGGGGACAAGATGGCGTTCGGTTCATAATGAAAGAGAAAAGAAAGAAAAAAAAAACGATATAAAGGAGACGAATAAAAAAAACGAATGCATTCTCTCAATGAGACTTACACCTGGCACTCACTCTTGCATATTGATTAACGGCATATATTAGGAGGACGACCAGGCGGTGAAGGACTTTGGAGTCAAACTGGCGGTCGAGATGTGCAAGGATATCCAGGCAGCGGGAATCGGTGGATTCCACTTTTACACCCTCAACCTTGAGAAATCAACCCGCCTAATCCTCGAAGGACTTGGCTTTGTTGCTCCCCGCGAAAACGCTCGTCCTCTGCCCTGGAACCCTTCTCTGTCAAAGAAGCGCGAGATGGAGAATGTGCGTCCTATCTTCTGGAAGAACAGGATCCAGTCCTATGTCTCCAGAACCGAGGCCTGGGACGAGTTCCCCAACGGCCGCTGGGGAGACTCTCGGTCGCCTGCCTTTGGAGAGCTCGATGGTTACGGTACCTCGCTCAAAGTTGCGCCCAAGGATGCATTGGAATTGTGGGGTCGTCCTTCGAGTCCCCGTGATGTTGCTTCTCTCTTTGCGAAGTACTGCAATGGCGAGATCCGATCCATCCCATGGAGTGATGAGAGCTCGTTGTACCCTGAGACCGAGGCGATCCGCGGTCAGCTTGCTCGTCTTAACGAGCGTGGATACCTCACCATTAACTCCCAGCCCGCCGTCAACGGTGTCCGTTCCGACGACAAAGTCCACGGATGGGGCCCCAAGAACGGATACGTCTACCAAAAGGTCAGCCATCTTTGTTAATTTTCGTTATTCGTTTTGTATCTTTGCATTATTCAATCTTGTTTACGCCTTTTTTTTCCTTTCCTTCATTCCATTTGATTCATACTAGGCATATTTGGAGTTCTTTGTGTCGCCTGAGAACTTGAACGAGCTGGTGAGCAGGATTGAGGAAGAGCCCCAGATCACATACTATGCTGTCAACAAGAGAGGTGATCTCAGGACTAACAGCCAGAGCGATGGCCCTAACGCGGTCACCTGGGGAGTCTTTGTCGGCAAGGAGATTGTTCAGCCCACCGTCGTCGAAGTCGTCAGCTTTGTCGCCTGGAAGGTACCGACCGCCTTTTTAATTTTTTCTTTTGTTTTAAGAGGAGGGCTATATTCATCTCACAACGCTATTGATACAGAAACTAACATTCAGTTGTTATATGTCGTTTATTATCCAGGATGAGGCGTTTGAGCTGTGGTCAGAGTGGTCCAAGATCTACGAGCCATCGTCGGAGTCGGCCAATGTGATTGACAGCATCCGGGACGAGTGGTACTTGATCAACATTGTCCACAACGACTTCCAGGACCAGGATGGACTCTTTAGAGTGCTCGAGAGCGTCAAGACTATCGCAGTGTAGCCTCTGCAGCCACTACGAATTGACGACTCAAGGGAGCTCTCTGAGAGTTTTCTTATGCAACTACCTTTTCTACAATAATAATAGAGGTGCTTTTTTTTAAAATATGCCCTTTTGGATTTTGATGACACTTAGCCACTCTTGCCCTCTCCAAATGCCATTTTCTTGTCCTCTGTCTCGACGACTGCTATCAGCCTTCTTTCTTTCTTCCTTTCTCCTTCTTACCCTTCTCCCTTCATTTCCTTCTCGCTTACCTACATTCACAAAAAGGACAATGTCAAGAATCCACTCTCACGTATAGGTAGGTCGTCATCTTTCCTCTTCTTGCAAAACCTCTACTTCCTCTGCTCTCTCTCTCACCCTCTCCACCTACTTACTTAAACACCAAGAACAGAACAAAGGCGGCGGCGATGCGATCAACTCTCGACACCACCTTTAACCTGCCTCGATTCTCCTCATCCCATGCAGCCAAGCTGAAACCAGTTGTTCATTGTTCTGTTTATCAACGGTGTCTGAGAGTGTTGCGTCTGAGATTATAACACACCACAATACAGTTACATTGGTACCCTTGACTTGACTTGCGATAATAACAATAGCCTTACAAAGCAGCAGCGATGGATCAATTGCTAGCCTACTACGAGACTACAGCCGTATCGCCATTCTACTCCGAGGACGTCCTTATCGATGGAGCCCTCGTCGGCTCTGTCAGGAATATGATGAGTAATACTATATGTCTTCTTCTTTTTCTTCTTCTCCTCTTCGTTTTTCTTTCTTCGTTTTTTTCTTCTTTTCTTCGTTGCCCAATTGGCTATTCGACAAGCTTTCGATTTGTGGGATCTTTTTAACATATCTACTGCATATGTCGCATGCGACCAAAAGTGAACAAAGATGGGATCGGGGATCCCATTTTTGACCATGGGAACGCAAATGATGTAAGGAAAGGGCGTTGGACACAAAACAAACGCAGATTCAGATACTGGATACGTGGGTAACACTGGCGATGGGATGCGGACAGCCGGGGAATTTATGGGTACGTTGTACTTTATGATAATCTTAAGCTTTGCGATCGTGCTTCATGCGTCTCTCGAGTGTATCAAGGCCAAAAGGACCGAGATGGTCATCAATGCCACCTCTCCGTTCCAGGCAGCGGAAGCAGAAGCCGTCAATGCCTCTGTTGTTTAGAGTAGTTAAGTTGTACTTTTAGCTGTTGTAGTAGCCACTCATTTGACATACACAGAAAATGAACATAGACAATGATAGTACAAAGGACTGGCCTGTGTGCTATTTCTAGTAGGAGATGAAGAAAAGTACGCGACTGATTTGATATGTAACCGTGAGTCGACGTGAATAAGCAAGTCGCTGCGGGTTGAGAATGGTCTTAAACAGAAAGAAAGATACCGCGACTTGACTGAGCCAGTTGAAGAAGAAGAAGAAGGCGAGGGACGAGTGAAGAGTCTTGGTTATTCAACTTATATCTGTCTCCATTGCCTCCACTAGACAGAGTGTATCAGCCATGGTCACTGCATCCATTTTGTCCTTCCACCTTAGAAGATGCGAATCGAGTCATTCTAAGCCACCGATCCTTGACCTTCTCTCTCCCTCAAATAAAAGAACTTTTTTTTTCTTTTTCCAATTCCACAAACAATCAATCACGTCCTCACCCCTCACACCATGGCATTGTCCTTCCCGCTGAACAACGCCCCCTATGGCCTCGTCGCCATCGCCGCCGCCCTCAACGCTCCCGAGTCCACCATCTCCCTCAAGCCCGTCCCCGCAGAGACTTCCACCACCACCAGCCTGATCCCTCAGGGCACCGCAAAGCCCGTCAAGATCTCTGGCCAGGTTGCCATCGCCCGTTATCTCGTTCGCTCCCTCGCCTCCAACTCTCTCTACTCCGAGTCCGACCTGGCCCTCGTCACTGCACAGGACAACCTCCTTGATATCGTCCGCCAGACCATCGCCACCCCTAAGCACATCACCACCCTCGCCACCGCCGCCAACTCGGCCTCGACCGCCTTTTTGCTCGCCCAGGACAAGCCCCTCCTTGCTGACTATGCTGTCTGGGGTGCCATCACCGCCTACACTAAGAGCCACTCCCTCCTCGCCAACCTCAAGGATCTGGAAAAGTTCACCGCCTGGATAGCCCGCATGGACCAGCGCCAGGAGTGCAAGCTCGCTATCGAGCGTGTCGACAAAGTTCTCAAGGACGCCCAAGAGACCATCACCGCCGAGGCTACCTCTCTTGCTGCCGAAAAGGCCAAGCTCAGCTCCGTGGTTGACGTCCCCACCATCGAGGGCTCTGATCCCGACACCGACCCTCTGGATGCCTTCAAGAACGTTTTGGCTGCTCAGCTGTCGACCCTTGTCGATGTCGATATCAAGATCCTCTACGACGCTTTGGAGGCTCCCAGGGCTTCCGAGAACGGACACATTGCTCTCTCTGTCCCCCGTCTCCGCCTCAAGGGCGCACCCGCCGCTATTGCCGCCGATATTGTCGCCAAGGTAAGCGAAGAATGATGTTCGTTAAAATAATCGCATACCATGATACTTCAAACAATGCCTTCTGATACTAACATTTGCCCTATTTATTCTCTTTTATTTACATGAACTGTAGTTCCATTTGAACGATTACGTGTTGTCGACCAAGGCGGATGGACCATTTGTCAACTTTTTCTTGAACCATATCAAGTTGGCCGACTCCTTGTTCCACAAGATTTACGATACCAAGGAAAAGTGGGGATGCAATAAGTCTGGAGGTGACAAGAAGGTCATTGTCGAGTTTTCTTCGCCCAACATTGCCAAGCCCTTCCATGCAGGACACTTGCGCTCGACCATCATCGGATCCTTCGTCCGTAACATCCTCCAGGCTAACGGATACGACACTCTCAGCATGAACTACCTTGGAGACTGGGGCAAGCAGTACGGACTTTTGGCTGTCGGATTCGAGCGTTACGGATCCGAGGAGAAACTCCTTGAGGATCCCATCAAGCATCTCTTTGACGTCTATGTCCGCATCAACGTACGTTTTTTGCCTTGCTTCTTTTTTTCGTATTTTGCTCCCTAAGGATTACTAGTAACTTGTTTATCTAACTATTATTTTCTTTCTGGTCAAAACAATAGGTGGACGCAAAGGAGAACGAGGCTGTGCACGATGAGGCTCGCGCTTATTTCAAGAAGATGGAGGAGGGTGACGAGGCTGCTCTCAAGATCTGGACCCGCTTCCGTGATCTGTCGATTGTCAAGTACAAGGATATCTATGCCCGCCTCAACATTGCCTTTGATGTCTACTCGGGAGAGTCCCAGGTCACCGACGGGATGGAGCGCGCCTTGAAGATGTTGCACGAGAAGAACTTGCTCACAGAGTCAGATGGCGCCTTGATCATCGACCTCACCAAGTACAAGCTCGGCATCTGCGTTGTCCAAAAGAAGGACGGTACCACCCTCTACATCACCCGCGATATTGGCGCCGCCTTGGAGCGTTACGAAAAGTACGGATTCGAGCATATGTATTACATTGTCGCCTCGCAGCAGGACCTTCACTTGAAGCAGCTGTTCAAGATTCTGGAACTCCTCGGATTCGAGTGGGCCAAGAAGGTCACGCATCTCAACTTTGGCATGGTTGGGGGTATGTCGACCCGCAAGGGAACTGTCGTGTTCTTGGAGGAGATTCTCGAGGAGACCCGGGACGCCATGCACGAGGTGATGAAGAAGAACGAGCACAAGTACGCACAGATTGAGGAGCCCCTCGAGGTGGCCGACAACATTGGAATCTCGGCCATTATGATCCAGGACGCCTCCGCCCGCCGTATCAAGAACTATGACTTTGACTGGAAGCGCATGTTCTCGTTCGAGGGCGACACTGGTCCATACCTCCAGTACGCCCACGCCCGTCTCTGCTCGATTGAGCGCAAGACCGAGATGGAGGTCAACCCTAAGGCGGACCTGCGTCATCTTGGCGACTCTCGGGCAGCAGGAGATTTGATCACGATGATTGCTCGCTACCCCCAGATTGTCCGCGAGACGACCCGGTCGTTCGAGCCTGTGAATATTGTCGGATATGCGATGAAGCTGTCGCACAACGTGTCGCAGGCCCTCGAGTCGATGTATGTGATGGGAGCCGAGAAGGAGTTGGCCGAGGCGCGTCTGTTTATGTACTGGAGCGCGCGTATTACGCTGGGTAACGCTATGCGTTTGTTGAACTTGAAACCCCAGGAGCGCATGTAAAATAGTCATCCACACCCACACCCACACAGAGAGGATCGCCACATATTTTTTTTCTTCCTAGTAGATCATGAACCTTCCCTCTCACAGCATTTCAAATAAAACAATCAATAACAATCAGGTTGCTAACTCGTTGGTCACTGTCCGCCCACCTCTCACTCTCTACTCCAAGCCTTCCTTCCCCACGTTTTGTTTTGTGGGACAGGACGACGTTATCTGGGACACAGCCAATCACAGCGGTGGTTGATGGTCGTACCTGACTGTTCCTTTCATAACACTTGTCCGTATACTCTATTATGTGATATGTATATATTTCTTGTTGCAGTCAATGCCTATTGTTCCTCTCTCTCTCTTTCCTGTCCTGTCCGTGTCCGGGCGTTGCTCTCTGTTCATAATACCAATTGTGCGTGCTTTGCCCTACACACAAAGGCTTGTGTGAAAGTAAAAATAGGGATTTGTACACTACCAATCGCCAATGGCTCTTTTGTCTCTTACTCCCCTCGCACACCCCGCTATCTCTTGCCCCTCTCTGTCTTTCTTTGTCCCTCGCATCCCCTCTTCTTCTTACTTCATCTTCATCTTTCATCTCTTCCTCACTTCCCACAACATCATCTACATCATCTCTCATCCATAAAACAGAACAGAACATAATCAAAAAAGCAAACGAGAGTACCCATCCCCCATAACCTGCACTTCTCCCCTCCTGCCACAACCACCATCACTTTACCCATCGACAAAGGCTAGGCAATGTTCTCCTCCTTCAAGGAGAAACTCAATACGAGTCTCTCAACCCTGCAGGAGAAGGGCCTTAGCACTACGCTTCCGACCACCAACGCAACCACAAGTCTTGAAATTGGCCCCAGTCTCGACACAGGAGGAGCCGGAGCAGGAACAGGACAGACAGGAGCGACACACGTCGTCGTTGATAGTCAAGGGACAGCGGGCACCGAAACAGTGTCAAGTTCAGAACCTGGAAACGTTGTTGTCCTCCCCATGGAAACGATAGACTTGACCACTTTGGCTTCACCCCATTCCCCAACGCCACCTGTCCCTCACCACCAACCACAAGCACGACCGCAATCACAACAACACCAGGGCTCCTTTGTATCAATCGCCTCCAGGATCAGCAGCGGTGCCTCTTCTTCATCCTTGTTCTTCCGTCGTCCCTTACAGGCAACCCGCTCCACAGCTGATTTGATAGCCGTTGGCACTTCAACTTCGTCGTCTTCCCCTCTACCACCGACCCCTACAGGAACACACTACTTTATGGAGCCGGCCTCCGGAGTGTCCAGTTCAAACCGCCTGGCCATCCTTGTCCAGAAACTGACACTCGACCCACAGGAGGAAAAGGCCAGCCCGGCTGAACTCGACAAGATCCGGGACTTTTACAACCAGCAGCAACAACAACAACCTTCGGGAACCGAGCTCTCGACAGTCGTGATTGAGAAACTCGAGATCTTGCGGCGTTACGAAGCAAGGTTCCCAGGTGAGAAGAACTCCAGCAGTAGCAGCAGCAGCTTCATTAGCCTACGCTCAAACAGCGACAACGGTACTTTAAAAAAGAAAGGGACGCCAAAGGAGGATAAGAAGTCGGTCAATAAGGCGGACGTTTGTCAAATGGATGCAAATGAGCACAAGAGCGAATTAAGGCCGATGAGGAAGAGCCGACTTCCACGAGGCATGCTGTTCCCACCCCTACTCTCTTTCTCCCTTCACTTTACCATCGACAATTTATTTTACTGGTCAAGTCACTCGTGTCCCCTTTTTTTCAGGATGAACAAACGCTCACCCCTTGCTTTTTGTTTCCTTTCGTCTTTTTTCCGTGAACACAGACCTTGCAGGTGCATTCAAAAAGATCGTGCAGGAAAAGATCGCTGCGGAGGCTGTCCTTAGGGCATCGACCCCTTTGGAGGATTTGGGGGATGTGGATGCACTAGAAGCTCACTTGCAAAACATGTCCACCAAGAACGAGGTATGCCGACTCTCTTTTCTGTCTTGAAACTCGGTTCATTTTTGTCCTTTCATGCAGCCCCCCCCCCAAAAAAAAAAAAAAAAGAAAAAAAAGTCAACCCGTGCATTAAACTTACACACGGCATCCTTCATTTAATAGATGTCCATGAAAGAGATCAAGCGTCTCTCGGAGGAACTGCGTCGTAAGTTAAGAAAGCACGCCCTTTTGGAACCAACAGTCGTTACGACAACCATTATTTACTTACCGGGCGGAGTTTCCCCTTCTACCTCTTACTGTAGAAGCACTCAAGGAATCAGAGTCGCACGTCGCCCTAATTGAGACATTGCGAGCGCAACTCATGGTACGTACTGTTCAATACACCAACCCTCCTACCCCTAGTATTTGCAGACATTGATTGTTTACAAATCCTACCAAACTCCGTCATCAACCTATAGGACTCTGAGCGAAACGCCAAGGACAGAGAGTCCTTTACCGAGATCGAGCTTGACATAGAGACCAAAGTCAACACCTCATTTGATCTATCTGCAGGTTCCCCGCCTTCTGCCCCTGTCACGCCTCCACCTCAGATTGGCAGTCTCCCATCGACAGCCCCTACAACACCAGTCGCTTCTAGCACACCTCCGACATCAAAGTCCAAAAAGCCCAAGGATCCCGAAAAGAAGAACCAGGCACTTCGGGAACTCATGACTCGACTGGAAGCTGTCCTCAAGGAAAAGAACCAGGCCCAGGAGGATCAAGAGGAGGCTGTCGAACAGGTTAGGCAGCTCCAGATCAGGCTCGATCAGGAGATTCAGGCCAACCAGGATATCACAGCCAAGTTGGACCAGTTGCGAGCCACTGTCGCCGAGTTGGAGGAAGTCCGCACCGAGGCCGCTGAGACTGGATCGACATTGGCACTGAATGATGCCATCCAGGTCGCACGATCAGAAGCTGAGGCTGCTCAGACGGCCAAGAAGGAGCTCGAGATCAAGTTGTCAACCATCCAGAAGGCGCATACAGTCCTCCAAGAGTCCATGGGCCAGACTGAGCGGACACTAGAGACGGCCAAGAATCAGATCCGGGTACTGGGCGATGTCTCCAAAGAACTACGGACTGCCAAGTTGGAACTGGATGACGTCCAAGAGGAGCTCCAAGAGAAGCAGCGGTTACTTGACCTGGAACGTCGATGGCGTGAAGAGGCAGAGGCGAGTCGTGATACTATAAAGCGGGAGTATGATGAGGCCGTCAAGAGTAGTCGGCGACTTTTGGAGGAGGCACAGGAAAGGTCGACTGCAATGGCGTCGACAGTGGATGCCGCTTTGACTACAACGGGCAAGTACAACGAAAAAATCGACTCGCTCCAGTTGACTATCTCACAGCTGGAAGAGCGCTTTGCCGGAGTCAACCGTGTGCGAGTCGAGCTCGAGCGTACTTTGGTAGGAAGATCAGATCGCGCATCGGAGATCTTGGTTCTCAACGGCAGGATTGCACAGCTTGAACAAGAGTCACGCAGGCAACTACAACAGATCCAGGCATTGGCATTGGAAAAGGAATCCCTCCTGAAGGCCGCATTGGCCGACAATGAAGCTACGAGAATCACCACCAATGCTGAACTCACATCTGCCGTTGCCGTACGAATTGATCAGGCCACAGCTACAATGACGTCGGCAAATACAGCAGCTGAGGCGACCAGCACCGTAGGCCCTGACCCATCAGCAACGACAATCCAGACTCTGCAGGACAGGATTACCCAACTGGAAGCAGAACCCAAGGCCATGGGTCCTGTACCATCCCTGAACGACCTCAAGAAACTTCATGACGAGCTCAGTTCTGTCAGACAAGCCAGAGTCGAAGCAGAAGAGACCATCACGGCCCTCCAGATCAAAGTCCAGGCTGCAGCGGCAGCATCCGAAGCCGCCAAGGAGAGCGATACAACCATCAGCCTCGAGGAACTCTCGTCGCTAAAGCAGGAGCGTGCAGAATTGTCGGAGAAACTGACCCGTTTGGAGAGATTGCACCAAGGATTTGAGCGGTCGTCGTCAGAGCGGATCCAGACACTGGAACAGGAGCTTGCTGTCTTACTTGAACAAAAGTCGGCGCTGGAGGCTCAAGTCCAGGAGCAGTCTGACCTTCTTATCCGGGAAAAGCAGAAGGAGAAGGAAATAGAACAAGCCCGCGTTGCGGAGGGGATCGATCGGGTGACGCTTGAGTTGGCTGCTGTGAGGACGGCGGAACGGTTTGCGAGCAGCAAGGTGACCGAGTTGGGCAAGGAGAGAGATTTGGTCGTTGAAAAGGTGGTCAGGCTGGAGAAGCACCTTGAGAAGCTGAAAGAGTGTAAGGTCGGGCAGGAGCAGAGCTTGACTGGTCGCATCCAGGAGCTAACGCTAGAGAAGGAAGCCCTGAAGAAACATGTGGAGACCCTTCAGTTAGAACTCGAACAAGTCAACGCTCAGTCAGAGAAAAACGAGAAGGAAAGATCGTACGAACAGACAGGGGTGTCAGAAGAACGGGACAGAGCTGTTGGCAGGGTGACCAAGTTGGAGCTAGATTTGCATACTACGACAGCAGAATCCAATGTTGCTCCGTCTGCATGTCAAAAACAGGACAAGAACATGGACATGGACAAGGACAAGGAGCTACTGGCGCAGCTGACGTTGGAGCTCAAGACAAAGTCCAAGAAGCTCGCCATCGCACAGGAACAAGCCCAGGTCCAGCGAACGATGCATGCCGACAAGATTGCCCAACTCTCCGGTCAGATTCAAGCCCTGAAGACCGAACGAGATTCCCTATTGCAGCCCAAGACAGAGCTCGAGTCACAGCTTGCAGAGATGACGGAAAAGACCCAGAGACTGGAGCAGCAAGTCAAAGTCATGGAGGAAGACGTGGAGCGCTTATTGCTGGCCAAGACGGAGGCTCAGGAGCAAGTGTCGGGACTTCAAGATCGAATCACCGCTTTTGGACTACGAGAGCGCGACCTGAAGGACGCCCTAGCGTTGGCCACGGAGACGATGCATCACCGCGATGAGGATCTGTCGTTGACTCAGAAGCAGCTAAGGAAGGCGGAGAGTGAGTTGGAGAAGACTGAGCAAAGGCTGGTCAAGGTTGATCAGGCGAAAAAGTCCTTGGAGGAGGAGTATGCCGCGTTCAAGAGTACTGTCTCCAGGAACCAGCAAGAGGCCAAGACTCAGGCCAACCTTGCTGCCAGTCAACAGTCTACAATATCAAAGGAGCTCCAGCGTCTGAAGGCGACACAGGTCAAGACCCTGCAGGAGAGAGACCAGTTCCAGAAGGACAGAGACCTTATGGTGCAGGACAAGGAAGCGGGTCAGAAGGAACTTGAGCGGAAACAGGCAGAGCTGGACACCTTGAAGCGTATGCACGAGTCAGCCGAGACCCAGATGCGGGAGTACCAGAGTCAATTGGCAGAGGCCCGCAACCGGGTTGATACCCTTGAGGAGTTGACATCGATAGCAAAGCGAGTGGCAGAGACCAAGGTGACTGAGCTGGAGCAACTCAAGATCAAGAGCGCCGAGTCTGAAAAGGAGTTTGTCAGAGTCAAGAGCCAACTGAGGACCAAGGACGAGGACTACCGTGCACAAAAGGACAAGTTCAGGTCTGAGGTGGAAGAGACGCGGCTGGTTCTTGGAAATGAGATTGCAGAATTAAATGAACAGCTGGAGAAGAACAACCAGGAAACCATGGCACTCCAGACGTTGAGTGTCCAGCAGGGCGAGGAGCTGGATGTGACGAAGTCTAGGTTGGAGGTGCAGGAGACTATGGTGAAGACCCTGGAAGAGGAAGCAGAGGAAATCAAGCTTCGGAGGCGGGATCTTGAGCTGGAGCTTGTGAGTTGAATAGGTTTGCTACTTTATTGTTGGCGCTTTTATGTGAGTATGAATGGTTCCTAATGTTCAATGGTGTGGATCATACTGATGAATAGCAACACTTCAAGGATCTGGAAGAAATTATGGCTAAGGACCGAGCAGAGCACTCGACCCTTGTCGACGACTACAAGATGCGGGAAGGTCATTTGCGAACCGTCAACAAGGTAACACGAAGCAACTTCACACAACAATACCATGCGTGCGTGTATTTGCATGGAAGGAGCTGTATGCAGATAGAGTACTGACACACCCTTCCGCCCATGTGACTTTTATGGCCTTTTTGTAGACTTTGAAAGAAGAGGTGCGCAAGCTGCAGAGGCTGGGTCCTGGCTCACCATTGCCATCACCAACATCGCCCCATGCGCCTTACAACTCTCAGAATAATATACCCAGCACACCAACACCAGTAACACCACGACCAAGAGCTGCTGGTGGAGGAGGAGGACCACAGCCCCTTGGTAGAGCAGCCACGATGGCTCTGCCTGTCACGCCACGGTGGTCGTCGCCGAGTCAGACCCATTCTGCGGCTGATGACGATGTCAATGTCGAGTATCTCAAGAACGTCCTCCTCAGCTTTATGGAGCACAAAGAGCGCCGCGTAAGTATAGCCACCTTGTCTTTTCTTGAGGTTGTATTACTAGGAACGAATAATGCCAGAGATGAGTTACGCTGACTTGCATTGTAATATTATTTGTTATTAGCAACAATTGATCCCAGTGGTGGCGCAGATGCTTCGACTGTCGTCGGACGAGACCAAACGGTTTTCCAAGGTTGTCTAAGATACTCGTCTCATGATTCCCATCCATGTCCATATACCCTGTTTTTCTTTCTTGTGAATACATATACGTCCTGGCAGTGAAATTCTGTCCTTAATTATAAGAAAGCAGCATCCTATCAGAGACTGAGACTGAGACTGAGTGAGCCCCTCCTTCTCCCCCTTGATCTTGCCTTGAGGTACCCCTTCTTTCTCTCTTCCCCTTCTCTTTGTCTTCTTTCCCTTCCTTTTCCTTCCCTTTCTTTCCCTTCCCTTCCGACCCTCCTCTTCTTCCTCTCTCAACCAACTTCATCAACACACTCTCTCTTCTTTTTGTCCTTTTCCTCACGCCCTCATCAACAACCACCCATACACATCATCTTCCCCTTCCTGTCCATCATCATTCCTCCCACAAACTAACAAACCATCCGACAATTACACCAATTACTCTGACACCAAGCGGGTTTCCCTAAAGCAACCAACCCTTGTACACGCTCCTCCTTCCAACTAAAACAGCCACAATCATGGCCCTTCAAGAAGCAAAGGCGATGGGACTGAGCCTGATGCCTGACCCAGAGACGTTCGCAAACCCACCTCGCGATCTTCAGGACCAGAACCAGCGTGCAAAATACTTGTATGATAGTAACCTTCCCGAGGACTGGGGCTCGACCGCATCTGAATCCGGCGACGACGATGTCGACAACCTTAACGATGACGAGGAGCTGGCTCAGTATATGCTCGAAACCGGCGGGCTGACAGACAGAGAGGTCGATAGGTTGGACGGCAAGACTTCCAGCCGGTTGGGCGTTCGAGACTCGACCGTTGCTGGTGGGATAGGGACGAGTGGACCCAACGGACAAAAGAACTATCCGGAACGAGAGACGGGCGCCAATACAGGACCCAAGGGCGTGCTTGCCGACCAAAAGTATCATCAACAGCAGCAGCTTCAAGAACGGCTCTCAAACCAGCAAGCATACAATGCTCGCATGTTGGCCAAGGCACCCACCACGACCACCTTTCGAGAGGACCAAGCCCGAGAGCGGCGGAATAAGAAGGCCCAGGGTGTGCTGGATAGTGATGATGAGGCTGAGGCGGAAAGGGGGGAAGACGCTGAAGAGAAAGCTATCCTGGAGAGAATTCGGGGCAATCGACTCAAGGACATGTCGTGGGCTGCCAAGAAGAACGCTGCTGGCGCTCGTGGAGGCGCTGGTGGGAAGAAGATGTTTGGGTCGTTGATGGAGATGAACGCTGCCCAGTATGTGTCTGCTATTGACTCCGAGAAGAAGGATGTTACCGTTGTCATCCACATCTATAGCGAGGTAAGGACTATCGATAATGCACAAGTGAAGCGTGTTTGTTACGGTTCTTTTTTCGACTCTATACACAAGTGACAAACCTGCCGTTTATTAATTTATTTTTCCGACACATCAATTGGCGTGGTCAAACATGCACATCGGGACAACCAACAAAAACCTACAATCGCAGTTCAACCCTTCATCCAAAAAATTGGACGGGTGCCTAATCCAGCTGGCAGGACGATACGCAACCACAAAGTTCATTAGGATCAAGGCGCGAGAAGTCGACTTTGACGAAGAGGTCTGTCCTACCGTCCTTGTCTACCGTGCCGGCGATCTCATTGCCAATTTTGTTATGATTTCCTATGAGTTGTCCGAGGACTTTGACAGTACAGAGCTTGAAGAGCTCTTGACAAAGTACGTTTCTCACATAGAGCGATATGTACTCTCCAGTGGTTGTTGTTGTTGTTGTTGTTGTTTTTTTTTTTGTAATTTCTCTATGTTAATATGAAGTTGCTGTCATTTATGATGAACGTCGCCTTAGACATAAGGTGATTTCGCCACACGACCAGTGCCAGCGAGAGACATCGTTCTTTGATACATCGCTCGACTTGGACGCATTGAACGCACAGCTAGGAGACTTAAATATGATGGGCATGGGTCTCGGAGGTGTTGGATTGGGTCACTCATCATCATCGACAGGAGGAGGAGGAGGAGGAGGAGGAGGAGGAGGAGGAGGAGCTGTGAGTCGGCGTGGTATCTTGAGTGGCAACGTCAAAGAGTTCAGATACCAGGACGATGACGATGACAATGAGGCCGATCGTGATTATGATGAGGCAGAATACTAGCTTTTCTTGCGAAGGGCAGGTAACCTCCACTTTCCGCAAGAAACAATGTGAATACAGATAAACAAAGTGTGGGAATTGCATTCAAGGCCTTCACTTGTACCTTACCTTGCAGGGTTGGGCTATACCCTCCTTATTCTCTTTCCATCTCTCTGTTTTATCACACCTCCTCCCTGCCCACCTTGGTGTTCACTATCCGCTTCTCTCCCTCCGCTTTCTATCCCTTTTTGACCTGTTCACTGCCCTTCTTCCTCATCCTGTCTCTCATTCTCTCCCATCGCTCAGAGTGTTGGTCGCAGTCATCTTCATCTTTTATGCCCTTTTTCATTCTTGCCTCTTCATAATGTTCCCTTCCCTCCTTCGTTTTCTCCTGTGTGCGGTTTATCTTTTTTGCGCCTGAGCCACTTGGCACTCGTTTTATCAGGCTCCTCATTCTCTTTTATATTCTCATAAGGCTCAAAAAAGACCCACAGCTTCTTTGTCACCATTTTCCTCTCTCCAGTCTCTTTTTTTTTTGAAGAAACACACACACATAGTAATACACGCACACATAAAACAAGAAAAGAAACAAGAACAAGGCCTCCACGAAGACAAAATAACAAAGACACAGCTGCTACGACTCCAGTATTGTGCTACAGTATCTGCACTGACTATGTGGCCGTATTCCTCAGCCCTTTATTCCTTATTCCCTATTCCTTCCTACTACCGCTCCTTACCCTATTCCTCATACCCTAGCCTCTGTATAATAAACACCATCCGTTTCTAGCCTTTCCTTCTTGTCTCTAGTACTCTCTTGCCCTTCCTCTCGTTCTTGTCTCTCTCTCTCTGCTCCTGTTACATATTGACTCAACGACTGCATCAGGACGATTGCGAAACGGGTCCAGTAGTCGTGAAGAGCCGGATCTGGCCCTTGAGATGAAGGATCGCACAAACAAAACCATTTGCAAAGTAGGGATTGGGGAGGTGACCTCCCATGCGCAATAGGGTCACAAGAAGAAAAAGGCCAACGATTTGGTCCGAGTCGGACTTTCTTTGAAGGATGCTCTGACTTCATCCAGGACGAATATGTCGTTCATGACGCTGTTCTTGTCGGATGGCAAGTCCTTGGCCAAATCATGGTTATGTTCAAGCGGGGAAATTTGTACCTTATGGTCCACGCATGGGACGTTACGATCCCCGATATCCTGACAGAGCTCGGCACGATCAGCACTCAGATCAAGATCTGGAATGATCTGAGAACCTCAGTCGAGCAAGGACTGAGTCCAGTCTTGGAAGCAGTGGTATCTGGCAAAGGAGGAGTTAGTGGCGCTGTTTGGTTTTCCATAATTCCAATCCAGATAAACAAACCCCTTAAATTGAATAAAGGGAAGCAGCTGAATGATTCTTATGAAGCAAGGATTGAGAGAGCCGACATCGAAGAATCAAAAAGAAACATCGCTATGAAAGCTTGGCTGCCACGAGCCAGTTCTCAGAGCATCCACTCTGATATGACTGTCATGTGAGGGTCACGCCTAGGTAATAGATCGAATTCCGCCACAACCACTAAATATGAGATCCTCCCCTTGCTGACTCCTAGAAACTCCTATTGTTCTGGCTTCTACTACATATATAAATAGATAGTAGCTATCCATAGTGGTTTAGTTCAGTAGCTCATAACTCACTCTTTATTAAACATAAGCCTTCTTTAAGCACAGTTCAGTTCAGTCCAACCCCATTACACCAGTCATCCTAGTGAATGGTGATCGAGCCTTTTGAACTAAAGGGTCTTTACTCTTTCACAGAAATCTTGTAGCAATTGGTGCCCAAAGAGAGTCTTGAGTAGATCAGTTGAGTCGAGGCCCGGTTCCAGGTTCAGATTAGGCCGTAGTTGAAGTATTCATGTGGCGGTGTATTTATGATAACACTGAAGAGGCGCGTGCGAGGAGAAGCTACGGTGAAACAACAAATCAGTGCTTGTTTACGCAACGAGGTTTTACTATAAAACAGTACGCAAATAACACTTGCATTGTTCATGCAAGGACGTATACACGTAGTACAACGATTCAGGTGCTTGAATTCGCATGGGCCTTTCGATCCAGGTGCGGGCACAGAACAAAGCTGCCTTCTAGGGTCCACTCGAAGGAGAGCGGTGTTCTCCCATAGTCATTGGGTGTCTAAGGCTATTAGCCTCTTCTACCCTCTGCATTCTGGCTATGGTACCCATCGGTTTTCTGCAAGCTTAGATGAGTCACTATGATGGATATGCACCAACGTTTTACCACTAGTGGAGTGGTCGGACTCGGCAGTTAGAACTGCAGCCCCTGCCATACCATACCATACCATACCATAAGGCATTGGCTTCAGATGTATATATCGTTTTCTTTGTTAACCCTTATCCTCGAGGCAATGCGCCCACAGGTTGGCATTGCCTTGGAGACGAAACGAGTCACTGATGTAGCATCAGCGGTCGGTCTCGGCCACCCTTTCTGCGTCCTCTCGCCAGACCACCCGGGCCTAACGTAACGTCGCGAACCTCTCCACCTAAGAGGACGATATATATATCTGACTCAGTCTGCTCCCTTTCCTCCGTTTGTAGAATTTTCTTGGTTTCACAATTAAGGATGTGAGTCCTTTTTCATCGCGTATGTTGTTGAACTTAGCACATTTGATTAGTCGCATAATGCATAATAGAGATTCGACCGTAGTGGGTGATTGAGCCTAGTGATTGGCTGAAAAGACATTAATTGAAATTGTTTATTTTAAAACAGCGGAAATCCAGTAAAGAAAAGGGAATTTAAAATGAAAAGAATCTATTGACTTTTCAGCCAATCATTAGGCTCAAATCCCTATAACCCCCTATTTACGAGCCACTGCAGAACGTGCGCATCTAGATAGCATGGACCAATACGAAACAAACAAAATTATGCGGCTATACATCTGGCGAAGGAAAGTACCAAGCATATAAGATGTCAGGAAAAATAACTCTTTCTGACCCTCTCCCTCGACTTCTATCTTTCCACCCGAAAAGTCTGCATTTTGTTACTACAAACACTGTCGTCTGTAATGACCTCTATCCCCATATATACCAACACCTGCATCGCCCCCGGCCCCTCCGGCACATTCGTCTATCTGGTCGGGGTTCCTGTCACAAACGAGGGAAGATTGGAGGTGTATACTGTCGACCTTTCTAACATCAACTCGCCTGTGGCCAAGTTTATAAACAGCCAGACGAATGCCATCTGGACCAGTGACACCGTAAAGGCCTGTTTCAACTTTGAGAGCAGCCAGCAAAACAGTCCATTTATCCTTCAGCAGTTCCAACCAAACTCCTACTTCGTCAACATCTATCCAAATGGCACCTTTGCTTCCCCGGGGTACTTTAATAACACAGAGTTTGTCACGCCCAAGCTATGCTCTGTAACCGGGGCAACTGAAAACACAGTCTGGGTTACAGCTTATGTGAATGCGACAGTGAATGCGGGTCCGGCGAAAACCAACTCTTTGTGGAGCGGTATGCGGTTACACGCCACTAACAATTCTGAGAACAATCTAAAGTAAGGGTGTTTATAAAAATGCCAGCAGATGTTCAAAGATGGAGACGACACAGGCATGCTCCCATGCATCATGCATTTTGCTTTTCGGCTCTCATGTAGACGTTCAATTCTAATTTCTTGCTCTCCCTCCCTTCTCTAAATCCTTTCATTATCGCCAAACATCATGCCATTCATTGTGTCAATAGCTACCTTTCCTCGCAGTATTCGACAAGCAAACCGCTAATCTCGGTCGGTACTTATGTCACCGCCTCGGAAACCATGACCCAGGGTCACCACGTCGTCTTTGATACCAATGGTGGTGGAGTGTTTTACTCGGTCCTAGACTCCAGTGCGCCCGTTACCTCCAGTAATTACAGTACCGTCTCACTGTCAAACTCCCAACAGGTGAACATGAATGGAATTTGGCTGACAAGCAATGCGATAGCTATTACCATGGACAATGTTGCCTATATTCTGGACCAAGTAAGTCTGAGAGATAGCCCGCCTTGCATCGCATGGAAAACGACCACTATCAGATGGATAACGAACTTTCGCTTGTCGTTTTAGGCACCTGATGCTTCAATCCGCCTCTATTCCATCATTCCCAGTCAGTCGACTAACCTGTTACCCGTGCCGGTTTCAGGCAATGTTCCCATGTTTTCCCCCTTCATGACCGTTACGGCCTTGAATGAAAACATTATTCTCTATTCGATTTCAGGTGTCGGTGTTGCGACGTTCAACAGTTTTGACACTGATGCATTGGCCTGGAGTGGTCCTAATTTGATGATGCCCGCAAGCCCACCGAGCCCACCGAAACCGTCGCCCACTTCCTGTCCAGACAGTGGTTGCTCCACGCCCACGTCTCATACTGGCGCCATCATCGGAGGCGTTGTCGGCGGATTGGCTCTCCTTGCCATTGCTGCATTCTTCCTTATTCGTTACCGCCGCAAGTCCAACAAGAGCGCCTCTGGTGCAGTTTCTGCCAGCTCTACTGAGGCCGAGAGCCAGTATATGGGTACAGTGCAGCCAATGCAGCAGAACCATATTCTAAAGCATCAATCGATGCAGCTGCCTCAATACCAACAACAGAACCAGCCTCCAACGCAGCTGCAACATTGGCAGGCCATTGACCCTTACCAGTCGCTCAACCCCCAGGCCCACAGTTTGAACGAAGGTAGTGGCTCTCCTACCCGGACTCTTGTTCAGCAGCAGCAACAGCCAAGCCCGGTCATTTTCAGGCCTCAGTCTCAGTGGGATGCTACCAGCCAAGCCCATCTACAGCCCTATATGTACTTACCTCCAAGCGTTGGCACCGTCGCACCGCAGCAGACCAACACAGGAATCAACGCATCCTATACCCAGCCAGTCTATACGCAAGGAGTCAGTGCGCCGCATACTCTCTATGCTCCTGCAAGTCAGATCCACACAACCCCCATTGGCAGTCAGCAGAATGTGCAGCCACAATCGGTCCCAAAATAAATTTATCTCGGATGAATCGATTCATTTCTCCCGTTTGTTCAATGCGGTAGTTTCGTCGTTCGCCTCCAAACTTTCAATGTAAATACAGTTGTTGATGTTGTGCATGCTTGTATGGTTTCAAGGGCTTTGTTTTCAAAATGAAGAACAGCATTCAAACGCAAAGATTGATTGTTATTGTTATCCGACGTGCAATGCTTAGAAAAATTGATTCAATGAATCGCAGTTTTTTGACATTCAACTTTTCTCATTCTCATCCTAACCCTCTACTCCCATGACTCGCTCTATTGTTACACTCTCTCCTCCTCATTGTTCACGTGAAATCCCAACCAGGATTACTTTGTAGAATCGTCATCGACATCGCCTTATAATAAATAAGTTCATTGAATCAGTTTTTCTAATTGACTGAATCTGTTGCATGCCCTTCATCTACCGCGGTCATCAGTACTTGGTGTTGCGTCCTTTGTTCTGAATCACCATTGCCTGGCGGTCGGACATGCTCTAGTACAGTTTGTGAAGGTACTACGGAGGAATCTCCCTCCAGATCGCCTCCACACGTTCCCACAGCCTGTCCTGGTCCTCAGCTGCCTCTGGCTGCCGATCCAGCTCCTTTTGATGTACGACCAAACGTTCTCGATGAAGTTGAGGTCGGGCGAATTAGGTGGGCACTCAAGAACCTTGATCCTGTGCCTCGTAAAAAAGTGTATGGACTTGGGTGCAGTGTGTACGCGGGCATTATCCTGTTGGAATATGAATTTCTTTTTGTCCATGCCTAGCCAATAGCAGGACTGACGAACACGCCTTTGGAGAACATTGAGATAGGCATCCGAATCCATATTGCCCTCGATCCAGCAGAGGCCTCCGACGCCAGAATATCCAATGCAACCCCAGGCCATTATTCTCCCTCCACCGCCTTGTTGTTTCGGCCGAACTTGGTGAGGCAGGTATTGTTGTCGTTGGCGTCTGTGGTAGTAGTACTTCTTGCCGAAGGACCCAATGAGGCTGAAGATGCACTCATCAGAGAACATCACGTTCTTCCAGTCCTCGACCTTCCAGTGATGGTGTTCTTCTGCGAATCTGAGCCTTGTTGTGTTCTGTTCCCGTGTGAGATTCGGCTTGTGTGGTGCTGAGTAGGCCCTGATTCCTTCCTGACGTAGATTCTTCTGTACAGCGGTGAGGTGGACATGCTCTCCCTAGGTTGATTCGACAAATTGTTATCCATCCTTTAGCGATGTTAACTCGCCTTGAATGAGATGGCGCGCGAGATTCGTCCTTGTCTTTGTTGAGATATTCCTAGGTCTGCCAGGATGAGGCTCAGGGATGTTTTCCTTTTCATCGTTCCTGATCCTGATCGCTGATGAGACAGAGATCCGAAGTTTGCATGCAACTGCCCTGGTCGATTTTCCTTGTCAAAGCTGTTCTACGGCAGTCTCTTTAATGGATCGTGTAAGAGGCTTCATGTTGATTGTTTGTTGAGCTGGGAATCGTTCGAAAGGGTGAAGAAGGAGGAGCTGAAGGTGTGTGAAGGGTGAATCAGAGTGATCACAAAACAAAAGCGCGGCAATAAAGAGTGAATGGATCTATGATAGCGAATTAGAAAAATTGATTCAATAGACGTCACGATCTAGAAAGATCAAAAGCAACGGCCTACGCTACTTATTTTCTGATTTCGCATACGCATTACGATTAGGAAGGGGAAAGTTAGATAGATTCCCGGCACGTTTGGAGATTGTTGGTTGAGATAGACACAAGAAAAGTTGATGCATGTTGAATACTGCGATTCATTGAATCAATTTTTCTAAGCACTGTAAGGCTCCTTGACCTTGCGCGAGGGCGATCTGGATCTGGAAGACCTGATTGCTAATAGCATTCATGGCGTTGCTTATATCCTCTTTGTCCACGGACACGGAAGGGTTGATGACGGTCGAGGTTTGCCGATATAATGCAATTGCCTGAAGGAGTTCGCTCTTGAAAGCCATAAACATTGCGCTGTCGAAAATGTGGGGTAGCGATGTGAACAGGCTATTATCTAGAGTCCTTCCTTTGGTGTAGGGCGCAAGGCGCGTCCTGAAGAATAACTCGTCGCATCCGAACCAACAACTTTAAAAAAGCTATGCGATCGACTTGAGCGCTGCTGGTAAGCCTGTTGACGATCCAATCAGGTCCATTTGTCGAGTATTGTGCTGTTGAATGTTGAAAACGAGATTCCCAATGGATATCGTCATCCGTGATGACACTTTCGCCGACTCCTAGCATCTCCTGGTCACATTCGGCGATCCATGAAGGAGTTTTTCCTGGGTCGTCCAGATCGAAGGAACGCTCGATCCATGGAAAGATCAGACGCTGGAGCTCCAATGGTGGCGTGACAAGGTCCCGCTCGATCAAGTAAGGCTCACTGGGCTTGTTGAAATGTGCCATATAGAATGCACCAGTGATCAGATTCTTGGGGGCATAAAAGGACTCCATCTGTCCCATTACCCAACGTCCTAGATGGCGAATGTGATCTAGGCTCAAGTTGAGACGATAGGCTTCCGATGTTCCCGTATGTCGACCAGAGTGGGTCACCTTAGAGGAGTATACGTCACAGGTGCGCATATGTCAGAGTTTTACTCTGATAACTGGCATATGACCAACGCCACCAACTTCCAGATCTTTCTATCGCCACTGACTACGGGATCAACTGATCACTGAATGGCTTTCGCTGACTAATCGCCCTCCTGACCAGTCAGCCGATACAGTTCTACAGAAAGACCTAGAAAGAGCTATGGGCTCCGCCAGATCCCTTGAACACACATAAATAGGTAGTTCATACGTAGTCTAGTTCCTCAGTGAAAAACTCCCTTTTATTAAACAAGACATCTGTAAGGGTTTTGGGGAAGTTGTGTATGTTTTTTAGTGTTTTAATAAAGGTTGAGTTATGAACTGTTGGACTAAACTAGCATTGACTATGAATATTTATGTAATCTTGGAACCAGCTTAGTATTCATGGTTTCCGTGGGCTAGCCTTATGACCTTGGCTAGGCTTGTCAGCTCAATCAGACATGAGCAATCGAGATTGGTGCATGGTTGCTTCCTAGGGTTGGATTAGTCAGCATGTTACGTTATTGGTAGGAGGCGCGTAACCATGTTGTACCTATCCAGAGTGACACTCTGACAACATCACAATGTAACATTTCCCTCGTCTTCTTTGTCCACTCGCCTCGTTCTTCCTTTCGTCCGCCCTCGTCTTATAACAGCATAACAGTCGCTGTGGAGTCGATCTAAGTCTTGTTGTCCAATGATTTTGTACGACTTTTGACGCGCTGGTCTGGATCGCTGCCGGATACGAGGAGCTTTATATTATACCAGCTGTCTGGCTTTGAGAAGTCAGGAATAGGTTCGTTCTCGACCTATCATGGCAGAAGATATTTATTTACAAAACAACAGATAAGATGAAGGCGCAACATATTCAATAGACGTAGGCGACGATATTATTCATTAATCTTACTATGAATCTCTCAAGCATATAGAAAGCAAACACCCCGACTGTGCATCTGTAGAACCTCCTGTGATGAAAGGCAGTTGCATACAACTTTACGCCCTTCCTGTTCGTTTTTCCTAGAGAAAGGCAGAATGTGAGGCCGGTAGCTATGCGGCCCCTTCATGTGCAGAGGATATAAAAAGGCATATAAAAAATATCCAAAGCCCAAGGAACGGAGTGTTGACTTCCATAGCTGACATATCTCTTTATAGTGGGCAACAGAACACGGAATAAAATAGCAATAGACAGCACAAGATTTTTTAAAATGTAATCTCTCCCTTGTATTTCACGACAAAGATACAGTTGAGAGTATAGGTGCTTTAGATGATCACATACAAGAACTACTCCCCTTAATCTCGCAGTGATGGGTACAGTTTAATAGTAGATGGAGACATTCAAGAGATTGGTGTGCAAAAAATAAGAAGACTTTGTTGTTTGAAGAATATCATGATGTTTAGTAAAGTGCTCGACAAAAATGATCACTCTTTTTGTGAATTCAGCTTTTTTTTGGAAGTGCTCATCCATCAATGTTCCGATTAACCTCCAGGTTCCTGTCGTGCATTCTCTTGATTCGTAACCTCATTCATCACCACTTGTCTTTTTCTGCATGAACCGACATCGACTCATCGCCGGAATTGAAATGCCTGATCTCAATTGATCATTTTTGTCATTCGCCATATGTGGCGAGTGATCTCTATGTAAAATTTTACGTGGGTTTAGCACGGAACAATCTGATTTTTTAATCCCACAAGCTCAGTACACTTTCTACACATAAATCGAATGCAGTTCCATACAAACCGTGCCAATTGTGATCTAATGGTCTATGATACTTGAGACCAGCCTTTCTTAGTAGAGTGTAATATCATGAAAATGCGTGAGATCATACTAAATCCATGTAGTAAAACATACTTTAACGATATCTTCAATATATGATATAAATGTGCCGTAATTTTCCTACTTTCTACATCACGCCTCACGTCGTTTGTATGGAACTGCATTCGATTTATGTGTAGAAAGTGTACTGAGCTTGTGGGATTAAAAAATCAGATTGTTCCGTGCTAAACCCACGTAAAATTTTACATAGAGATCACTCGCCACATATGGCGAATGACAAAAATGATCAATTGAGATCAGGCATTTCAATTCCGGCGATGAGTCGATGTCGGTTCATGCAGAAAAAGACAAGTGGTGATGAATGAGGTTACGAATCAAGAGAATGCACGACAGGAACCTGGAGGTTAATCGGAACATTGATGGATGAGCATTTCCAAAAAAAAGCTGAATTCACAAAAAGAGTGATCATTTTTGTCGAGCACTTTAGGATAGTCAAAAAAAAAAATGTCACAATGGTTGTCTTACATGCTTGGTATCATATATACATTCTCATCTCATAGTCGCTATGGATATCGTCGAGATCTACAGAGATGTAACAAACACCATATGATAATTGGACGTGAAAGGCCTCCTATAGCGGAGCCAGTAGCAGAATGGCGTGTCTGTATGCTGAAAATATCAGACAGATTCAAGTTACGAGCATCTTCATCTCATAATAGCATGTGGTGCCGTGCTAAAAGACAGAGATGCTCTCGAATGTGCCTATAACGCCCTGCAGACTGGTAGAGTCGCTTGCCTTTCAGTTGTCGCATTGGCCGCTGGCGCCAAGTGTGAGTTATTATTCGGATAAACTCCTTCTCTGTGTAAGGGTCCCTAATACAGCAGGAGTCCGACCGGGCTGAGCATACGAATGACTGGTCGTACACAAGCGACACCTCGTACTGGTCAATGGCGTCCCTGGGAGGCGCGTCTTGGCGTGAACTTGATGTTGGGTTTGGGTAGGTTGCTGTCCGTTGTGCCTGATGTCTCCAGAAATAAATCAAAGACTTGCGGGCACTGTCGACGGTCTTATACGACACCGGGACCCAGATGAACTTGCGACCGTCGACATCTGTTTGAGCTGTCAAGAAAGCAGACCAAGCAATAGAATGAAGTAGATAAAGAGAACCTTGATCAAGGGCTAGGAAATGAGTATGAGGAATAGGTTAAGGCGTATGTTATATTGGCGATACCAAGTAAAGAGCTATAGATTTACTATCTAAGGCCCTTTTATATTTGTTAGGGCGAAGTCACAAGAGCAAGCTCTTGTCTCGTGACAACCTCCCCCTCTAGGGCCGAGTTCCAAGAGGCCTTTGGCTGGGTTTGTGAGGGTGTTGCAGATGGAACTCGCGAACAAGGTCCGGGGAATTCTTGATACAGGCGGCCGGTTCCCAGGTTTCGTTCGGATACGGGGTAGCCTCTCCAATGTATATAGTATTCAAGGTGGTTGCGCCTGATCCGTGAATCCAAAATGGCCTCAACCTCGTACTCCTCATCGCCGGAGACGACAAGCGGAGGAGGTCGTTTTGGGGCTCGACCGGGGATCGTATCTGGATGCGCACGCTCAAGTAAGTTTACATGAAAGACAGGATGTAGCTTGGTCGTTGGTGGTAAATCGAGATGGAAGGATCGAGTGCCGATTTTTTCGAGAATACGGTAAGGGCCCACGCGCTTATGGTCGAGCTTCTTACATGGTCTGTTCGTTTGGAGGTTCCAGGCGTCTAGCCATACAAGATCTCCTACTTGCAGGTTGGGTTGTGGTTGGGCCTTGGTGTCGAAGTTCCTGGCATGCTGTTCGATGGCGGTGTGGATATTGAGTTGCATCTCCGCATAGAGGTTCTTTAGGGCCTGAACGCGTTCCTGGGCTGGGACATTATCCTTCGAGACTCTTGGGATGGTGATGGTGAATTTCGAATGGTAGCCGAGGTTGGCAAAGAATGGTGTTGTTTTTGTTGTTGAGTCTGTTGCGTTGTTGTATGCAAATTCTGCTATCGGTAGAAGGGTGCTCCAGTCCATTTGCTGATAGTCGATATACCCTCGTAGGTACTGTTCCAGTATTGAATTTACTCTCTCGGTCTGTCCATCGGTGCGTTGTTGGTAGGCGGTAGAAAGCTTCTAATTGATCCCCAGAGACTTGAACATGGTGGAAACGAAGGCTGAAGTGAAGGTGGCGCCTCTGTCAGAAACAATGTCATCCGGGAGACCGTGGGCTGAAAATACGCGTTCTAGGAACAAACGGACCGTATCCTGTGCATTGATGTTGTCGTAGGTGGGGACAAAGTGTGCCATCTTGGTGAATCGGTCCACAAAAACACAGATTGCCGTATAGCCGTTGGAGGGCGGGAGTTGGGTGATGAAATCCATCGATACTGAGGTCCAGGGGCGATCGGGTATAGGCAGGGGTTGTAAAAGTCCATAAGGCTTGTGAGTGGATGACTTTGTCCGTTGGCAGGTGTCACAACCGTTGGTGTAGTCCTTGATGTAACGCCACATGGAAGGCCAGTAAAAGGTTCGACTGACAAGGTCTAAGGTCTTGGTGATTCCAAAATGACCGGCGGTTGGGGCGTCGTGACATTCTTGAAGGATTTGTTTCTTGAGTTCGGGATCGTCGGGGATGCAGACAAGGCCATCCCACAGGAGTAGCCCATCTTGAATTGAGTACTGGGCATTGTCCGAGTTCGACTTTGCGGTCTTGGCAAGTATTGGACCAAAGTATAGATCATCGGGGATTAGTGTCTTGATTTTTTCCTGGATCGCTGGCGTCTCTGATTGCAGTGACCGGGCCTGGATGGTGTTCAGAATCTGGATCGGCGGTAGGAGGGTCATCTCGGTCTTGCCGTGCTGGGGCGCACCTCCCTCTCCAGGGTTGTCCCGCCGGGACAAAGCATCGGCAGCGGCATTCTGGGAGCCAGGGCGGTAATGGATGGTAAAGTTGTAGTCAGACAAGATTTCAGACCAGCGGACTTGACGGCGGCTCAATTAGCGCGTGGTGGTAAAGTACTCAAGATTTCTGTGGTCGGTTGTAATAGGAGCAGAGCAAGAGAGAAGAGGCAAGGGTGAGGACAAGGAAGGAAGACAAGAGGCAAGGATAATAGCAAGGGAAAGAGACAAGATGGTGTAGGATCAAGAGGAAAGGGCAAGAAGGAATGAGGTTTATTGTACAGAAGGGACAGGGTATTTATACGTCTATGGTATGAGGGAT